CGTCACCTTCGTTTATTTGCCATCTGGCGATCGTTTTCCCATATCAATTATTAAAGCTGGCTCTCGATTATACCATTTTCATAAACTCTGCTCGAATTCCGAATTCCGTCTCATACCGCCTAGGTTATACATACATCCATCTGAATTAAGCTAGCGACACTCGATAACACGTTCACTATTCCACCCGACACTTTTTCCTTTCTTGATTATTCTCCAAAACTAAGTCTCGGACACAAAACGAATACAATGTCTGACGCTATATCATCGTTTCTCCGGAGGGTAATTGTCGAATCTCCTCCTGGAGAATGGGCTGTGCGCCAGCTTCGCGAGCTTCTCATTGGCGCCCTTAAGCAAGGTCCTATCCCTCAACACGTTTCTTTTGAGATGGACGGCAACCGACGATATGCTCGAAACCACAGAATGGAGACCGTAGAGGGTCATCACCGAGGATTTGAGGCGCTGGCTAGGGTATGCCATCCGCGATCCCGCAATTGCGCGAGGTGCTAACGAGTAATATCTAGATCATGGAAATTTGCTACAAGTCCGGAGTTAAGGTAGTGACTGTATACGCCTTCAGTATTGAGAACTTCAATCGACCAAAATATGAAGTGGAGGGTCTGATGGAGCTGGCCAAGATCAAGCTGGAGCAGCTGACAAAATATGGCCATATCCTCGACCGTTACGGTGCCCGTGTGCGCGTCTTGGGCCAGCGCGAGATGATCCGAAGCGACGTTCTTGAAGTGGTCGACAAGGCTGTCGCGAGAACCAAGCACAACAACAAGTCAGTCCATTGTATCTGAAGGAGCGAACCAGTTGCTAACGCGTATCCAGGGCCGTTCTGAACATTTGCTTCCCATACACCTCGCGAGCCGAGATCACTTCCGCAGTGAAATCAACAGTGCAAGAGTTCCTCGCTCCCACACCTCCTCGAAGCACACCCTTCTCCCCATCTCGAATTCGACAGAAGATCCTTTCGCGCCAGCTGGACGGTCGCGAGGGGCTACCTACAATCCCGGATGTCCTCCCCGAAGAGGTCGAACCATTAGATGGAGATGATGCCAAGAAGGACAGCGATGGAGATTCCTCATCGCCTACACTGCAACCCGACTCCCCTCCTCCTCGGCTGCGCGCAAGAAACAGCGCTGCCAGCCTTTCGGGCTTACCAAACCCCGAAACAATTACAGCCGAGACCTTGGACAAGCACATGTACACTGCAAACGACCCGCCTCTAGATATCTTTGTACGAACCAGCGGAGTGGAACGCCTCAGCGACTTCATGCTCTGGCAATGCCATCAGGATACACAGATCTTCTTCGTCGATACTTTGTGGCCTGACTTCGACCTCAAGGACTTCATCTGGATTTTGCTCGAGTGGCAATGGAGGCAGAAGCAGAAGGATCGCGACGAGGCAGTGGTTCGGCCTTCTTCTGTTACAGCGTGATTTGATTCTGGTGGCAGTGATACCCTGGTTGAGTAGAAAATCCAAACAGCTTTCATCATAAGCAGTCTTGGGATGGTTGAGAAAGGCGTGTGAATTTGAAGATTCTGGTGTTAGTTTTGCTGGGGTTAGTGAGCGATAGACTTTAATACGCTCATAATACCATTTTCTTAGTTTGTACAAGATAAGCTTGTTTGCGTTGGTTCTATACTGGTTCAATCACTGGTTCTTTGTAAACAGTTCTTTCATCACCAATGGATGTGAGGTTATGACGAAATGGCTATCGATATTGATACCCCACGCGGCGTAGGACATTCCTCCGTGATCAATATCTGATTAACCGCTAAAGACTTGAACATTATATTCAAACATGGAATTGAGATTGTGGAAGACAGAGGCATTCTCTTTGAATTTGACGTAATAGCTAACTTGGAGACTAATCTGGTTAAAAGTCAACATTGATCTCAGTCTCATGTGCCTTTTTCGTTAAAGATAGGTACTCCGTCATCGGGGGCTGGTTTCTCCGGGGCTGCGGGTCGGGTCCTGTGAGTCTCTGTGCCCCCTAGAGTTACAGCGTGTACAGTGAGCGCCGCGGCATTCGCAGCGCTGAGTCTCCAAAATCGAATGGGAGTGGGAGACAGACAGCCATCCAATCCATATCCCATCCCGCTTTCATTTCTGCTACTACGCGTGCTCTCTTTTCTCCCCTCCTCATTATACACAGATTCTTCTCACCACTTATGGCACCAGAGCGCAAAATGACCTAGCCTTTTGTTTTCTACCTGGCCGATACCAACTGTTACTTGCCTATTTACCTCCCGTCCACATCATACCTCTCTTGATTCAAACCTTCTGCCGCCAACTTCGTCCCGCCGTCTAATCTCGAACTGATCGACCGAGCAGCCTCAGTCCTCTCTACTCTTTCGCGTTTTCCACCATGAAGTCGGCCAAAGCGCCCGCGACGGAGAACTTGTCGCACCGCCGGTCGCAGCCCGTCCGTCAGACTCGTACGAACCCTCCGCGAAGCATCGCGAACTTGGGTCGTTCTGGTGGTGCTGGCAGAGACTCAATCGGCGGTGCCGAGCAACCCATCGACATTTTCCCTGCGATTACACACTTTGCCGATGCCATTACTGCACTCCCAAAAGAACTCGTTCGGCATTTTACACTCCTCAAGGAGGTTGATGCCAAACTTTTCACCCCCGAAGATCAGCTCTTCCGACTTGTTGAAGCTGCCACCAACGCTCCTGTTTCCGAGGCACGTCCGAACAACGAGGCATCCAGCGCCAATGCTCCTGGTTCGGCGCCTATGAGTGCGCAGAATAGCTCAAGTGGTATTGCATTCAACAATAGCGTCCAGAGCGTACCTTCAGTCGATGAATCGAACAGGGATGCTGTTTTCGACCCATCCAATCTTCCTCGTCGCCACCTCTTTCGCCAGACCGCGCTCAAGATCCAAGAAATGCTTGTCTCGCTCGAAGAAAAGAACCACGTTATCTCGACAGCCAACGAAGCACTCCAAGCCCAGCTCACTCGGATTGAAGATGTCTGGCCTCACCTAGAAGGCGAATTCAGTGACGAGGCCAAATGGGGAAGCACCACACATTGGGCATATCCTGAAAATCGCTTCTCCAAGGCCTCTCATGTCGATCGAACACGGCGCGACGGTGCCGCAGCCATATCTGCTGCTGCGCAGGCCCTTGCTGACGAGGCAGCCGCTAGAAGCGATGCTCGCAAGCAAGCTGTACAAGCAAAGAAGAATTCGAGAAATCACAACAATAATCATAACCACTCTAATGCCCATAACCACGATTCGGAGGGAGACGACCATGATGGCAAACACAAGCCTGATGCTCCAAAGAAGACAGCCAAATCGCGGAAGACAGTGACAGCAACGGAAACAGCCAATGTCGGACTGGGCATTTCTACGGCTGCGACTAATAACGGCAACCCACCACAGAAGCGACGCAAAGTTGAAAAGACGACTAATGGTGCTGCGGCGACAACAGAGCGTGCAATGAGCTCGGTTTTTGGAAATGCTGCACCGAAGGCAAAGACAACAAGTCCTAGAGCAACTCCCGCACCCGAGGCACCTAAGAAGAGAAAAGCTCTCCCTTCAGGAAGCGGCCAGTCCAAGAAGAGGTACGTCCCAGAATCCGTAGGAGATGCTCTCAAGACAGGTTCTAACATGGTGATCTGTAGCAGAAACGGCGTAACTGGTTTATCCAATTCGGTCAACTCGTCGCCCGTCATCACCGAGCTACCTGAGCCAAAGCTACCCCCTGTTCGCGCATCACCAGTACCGGTTCCTACTCCAAACCCGGCTCGGACTCGTTCGCGACAGAACTCAATACAGACTGTAAATACGGATAGCAACAAGGCAAGGCCGACATCATCGGCTTCTAATAAACCCAATGGTATTGCAGCTAGCACGCCAGCCGCTGGAGCTCCAGCAGCTAGTGCGCTTCGCAACGGTGCTGAACCCAAGACTCCAAAGGAGACGAGTGCACCGATCAAGACCGAAAATCCTAAGAAAGAAGCCGAGAAAACAGAAACTGCATCAGCGCCTCCGGTCCCTACTCCTACCACCACTGCCACCATCTCCACCACTACGACAGCCGCAACCACCACCGCTGTTACGACTGGCAGCAAGAAGGATACCAAAAAGCCGGAGGAGAATGATCGCAAGAGCGAATCGCTACCACCAGTTCCACAGACATCCACGGTTACAACAAAGAGTGGACGCGCCAGTAAACCATCAACGCCAGCATTGGCAACGTTCCAAGAAGCAGTGCAGCCCCGAGCACGCTCATCGAGGAACAATGACGGGACTGGTACTGGAAAGAAAAATCAGAAGAAAGCTGCACCTACCATTCATGCAGCTGTTGCTGCTCAACTGGCCGAAGAAGATACGAACAGCAGCATGCAAGGCGACGAAGATGACGGTGATGTTGATGCAGATGAGCCAACATACTGTTACTGTAATGGGGTCTCCTACGGCGAGATGGTAGCTTGCGATGCTGTTGAGTGTCCTCGCGAATGGTTCCATCTGGAGTGCGTTGGACTGAAGGTCGCACCGACATCAACAGGTAAGTTGTTGCAAAAGAGGACTGAACTATCAGACGAACTAAACGCTAACTTGGTGTAGCGAAATGGTATTGCGAGGACTGCAAGGAACGCCTCAAAGCGGGAGGTAAAAAGGCCAATGGTCGATAAAGGTCAGGCGACATTCGCGTGACGCGAGTCACGGGCCAGTCACGATGGCCTCATTTTGAAATCGATGATTGGTTCTAAAACAAATTGCACTGCCCATAGACTGGGCGAATGTATACGACAGGCACATACGGCGTTTCCTTTGTTTCTTGGGATGGCGGTGGACGCGGTCATACAGTACCCGTTCTTTGTTTCTGGTGTTCTCAAATGGTTGAGGGAGGTTTTGTTGAACCGAGGGTTATGTTATCAAGTTCTCATCTGGAATTGCAGATGCTGTATAGGGACTGGGACTATTCGTCCAGGTGTTATTCTCAATTCTATAGAAAGCGTTATGGTGTAGCAGGCGAAGATGCGAATATGGATGGAGAGCCAGGGGCAAAATGCGGGGGAGTTTGAGGGGTGTGTATTGCATTGCATTACTTACATTGGCCCCCGCCTGGGCGGAATGAATACACCGTTGGATTTGACCAATGGAAGCACTTGCTTGAAATGTGTTAGTGATGACCGGATGAGGAGAGGCGAAGAGAGGAGGGGAAAAGTCACGATGTTTGATCTGGAGCTGATGGTGGTTAGGTTGTGCTCAGTGCTGAGATTACAGCCACCTCAGCCGAGCTTGACACCAAGGTTCGAGGGTGGTCTAGCCGTGGTCACGAGGTTCACGATGCAGACCGCTAAGAGCAAAATGTTAGGTAATTGAATTCTGAGCCGCCAGAGTGCAAGGGGTAGCTTGAGGCATTGGCCAACGGCAGAGGGCGACAAGGGGGAGCTTCTTTTATTCTGGTGGTTGTGAGGCTTACAAATGCTCCTAGTCCACGGTAGCGAAGCTAGGATCTGCAACTTGTTGAGGAGCAAGAAACTAGGCTATGTAAGGAAAGTAAGGGGAGAGAAGGGACGAGAAGAGAGAAGAGAAGGTGTTTAGAAAGGTTTCGAGCTCAACAGTGTCACACGGAGATGGAGGTTCCGGGGGTTCGGAATTTGGATGGGGGTTGGTTATTAGTTAGAGAGACAGTGGGAGTCAAGTGACGCGTTGGAAGAGTGATGGAAAGTGAAAGTGACAGGCAGGCAGATCTAGGTCATGACGTTTAGGAAAATCCGGGGTAAATCTGTCCCCCTTAATGGCCGGTGTCTTTTTTTGTCTTCTCCCGTCTTCTCCCTTTTACCTTCGGTGATAGGCTCCGGGGGGGGGGGGGGGGGGTGCGGCTGCGGGTACACGGCGCTTATAAGCTGTATGTGTCCCGGCCGCGCTCCGAGTCCGCTGGCGCGGAGAAGATATCACGTTATTACACTGTCATGATGATATATTCGTAATCAAGCGCAGATCTGGAAAGTCTTGACGATGGTACCGAAATCCGATCATGATTCCGAGGACCTGCAATGGTGTTGCACAAACATGTTGCACAATAATGCTATTGTGAACCTCCTTTTCTGAATGATCGCGATCTCGGTTGGCATTCAACACGTATTCAGGGGCCTCAGTCTGGAGTGCATGTTTGATGAGGCGGTGTCTTTCCCATGTCATCTGGAGAAACAGCCGATATAGCTTAATTACACGATGTTCTGGGGGCGAGCTGAGAAATCTCATCTAGGTCAGACACTATGAGGCACGTGCAACAGCTGAATCGCATGTTGCCAGGATGCTAGTCGTACTATGGCATATCATATGGTCAGTGTGATTCAGGAACGTGGTATGTTTCTTGGCTGTCTGTGCTTAGCATTTGGGGGTTGTTCAAGGCTGTTGACATTGAGATGAGGTTTCGGGAGGGAGGATACTACAATATTAGCGTAATTGGTCTCTGTTACTACTGACAATAGGACCCCGGCTGACATGTCTGGTCCCTCGGCGGCTGGAGTCGGTGTTCGTCTCCGTGGTCGGTCGCGGCCTGGCGTGTTTAAGCTCCAGTTGGCGTCGACTAGGGCCGGAGGAAACGGGGTGCCGGTAACGACGATGCCCACCGGAGAGGGTAATGTTTACTTGAAAAGAACCCTTCTAGAGGATTTGAAATCTGGGGACCGGCATCTTTGCCGGTTCTCGAAGGAAATGCCTCTCTTTTACGTATCATTAGCATTTTTAAATTCTCTCAAATTTGTCTTCTCTGGCGGGCTCTGTCTCTCGAGACAGTTAGAGCATGAGTGCGGCGTTGTACGATTGGGGGTGGTAATAAGCCGGCGGTGCAAAGCGGGTAAGGTATCTTGAGGCAAAGATACTTTTTTCGTACCGAGGAGCATGCAGCGCCTCAAACTCTGCTGTTTTGAGACTGTCCTTGTGACCTGAGTGGCCATTGTACGCTATAGTAATGTCTTTTTCTTCTTCTTCGCGTAGGTGTCGTTCTTGGGGCTTCTAGCTTGGGGGGTCTAGAAGGAACGGATGCTTAGAAAAGGCCATTGCCGAATCGCGTTGCTGGACTCCCGACGTGGCCGACATTCCTTAGGTCACGAGGATCTCGGCGAATCTGTCAATATGTGATTTAATAATTTCGAGATCTGGGGCTTTTTGATGCAATTCCTGTGAAACGAAGGCGGGGTTGTGTTGTTTCTATTACTCTACAGGTGCAGCCGTCCATCCGTTGACGAAGGATGTCATTATATTACGTTTTGCTACGTTACGTTTGGTTCTTGTTGAACTGTAAGAATCCACTGGCTGGCTCAGCAAAAAGGTTGTCTCGCATAGAGGAGGAGTACGGTTAGGTGGAAGAGCCTTGTCCGCGGACTTTACAACTTGCAACGTGGAAGACCATGTCACTTATACGAACTTGCACTATACAGCATATACGTCAAATGAATACATGAAGACGCAATGCAAGATTCTGGGGTAAGGACACGACTGCACTGTAGAAACATCTGATGGTCAGCAAGATGATGTGCAATTTGACGTGTTGTTGCCAAGACGAGATTTGACAAAATTAGCAGACGGACAAGCAAAAGCAGTTGGGGAGTTGATTTTTTCTGTTAGTCTTGGCTTCTCAGCGAGGTCGTTCTCATTACCAAATCTCGACTTGTTTCATCCAATCGAGTGGCACACCTCTTTTTTTAGGCCGATCCGGCGTTAGCGGTTGCAGCGAAATTCTTTTCTTTGTTTGGACATTGGATTTCTGAGCGGCAACGGCTTTTGACATCTCATTACTCGCTAGTAATTCATCATTGGGCGGTTCTTGATAGAATGGATGGATACTTGGTGAGCTGCGGCATTCATCCTTGACTGACCGAGATTTCATGATGGATGGACACGGCATCAACTGTGACAGTCCAGGTAATGAATGACTGTGACAGACAAGCCATGGTGTCGTGTCGAATGCTCACCTGACGTCTCCAGACCCGAAATGTCCATCCAGTCTTTAATTTCTATTACCCAATATTGTGCGATCCCGAGCTAAACAAATGCCCCGTGCATGAGTATGAGGTGCCAAACACCAACACCAACGTCCCTGGACTGGCCCCAGTGGCGCCGCTCCTTAGCTTCTTTTCTTACTTACTGTTGCTCATCTTTCGGGGTTCGCCTTGAATCTTGCCTTTCCTTTCCTTGCCCTGCTTGTCTCGTCTCGGTCTTGGGTCTTGGATCCCTTTCCCTGGCGTTTGGACCCTCCGGTCCCCGTCATGAGGTCTCCATTGAGGTCCCGTCCCTAGTTCCAATACCCATTCCTTGTCCTAGTCCTAGTCATAATAACTGGTCGTTGCACTAGACTAAACTTCATGGAGTTGCCTCGTGGAGTCGTTCGTTCGTTTATAACTATCCCCAAGCCCCCCGAGCCCTGATGCGCGAGTCGCTCTGTTTCTTCCTTTTTGATTCCAGACCATTTTGACGATAAGAACGAATCCTCTGACCTTTAGATCTTATCTCTTGGTCACATCCTCTCCGAATATCGCAAACCGTTTCGTCATCGCTTCTCGCCGCCCTCTATCGGCCTAAGCTTAACAATACAGACAGCACCATATAACAAGAAGACTCCGGATCCGGTGGCTAATAGAACGCCACTGCTATTTCGTGAATATTCTTTTTTATTCAAACCTGAGATTTTTGCCAACCGTTTGGTTGGCGATCTCATTCCTACCTAGCCTACCTACCTAGTCTATTCTCACCTGACCTTTCCGTCCTCTCTCGCTGAGGTCGGCCATTGCATATCTTTATATCTTTAATTGAATGGCCCTCCCTCTTAGCCCCACGCACCACGCGGTGCCTCAGTTTGACCTTTCTGCTCTGCTCAAGGCCAAAATGTCACGCCCCGAATCTCCCAACAGCAACAGCGACAAGACTGCTCGATCGTCCTTCTCGTCTGTCCGAGAGAACGATGATGGCCTAGCCCAGACTTTCACCCGCTCAAAGATTTCCTCCTACACTCAAGGGCCGGAAGAGGTATTCGATGAATCACCCTCACCCTCCGTTGAGATTGCACAGCCGTCTTTTCAGGCTCCTCTGACGCAGCCTCACAGTCGGCTTCATGGCTTCTGGTTCCCCGCGGACAACTTTCGCGGATGGAAGCAGATCCCCATCAAGGGCAAATCCGCCAGCCGTAGCTGCGAGGATCTTCACAAGCTATCCATGACATGGAGCTCTCCAGCACCTCCCGCCGTCGCTGAGAAGGCTTCACCCAACAGCTACCAGACCGGAACCTCTCCTCTCGAGAGACTCCCCAGCGAAGTTTTGGGTACGTAAACGTGCGCGCATCGCATACCAAAGAGTTCCTCAGCCATCAGCCATCAGCCATAAACCCTGCTGAACCCCGGTCCCAATTATATGACATACCTTGTACTAACATGTCGATCACAGGTGCCATTATCGACCTTCTCGTCATCGAGATCCCTCCCAATGGCCTTACACCACGAAATGCCGACCTTATGGCTCTTCTCCTTACTTCGCGATCTATTCATGCTGCGACTCTCAACACACTCTACCGCCACATTACGATTCCTCACTCTCGTATCTTCCGAAAGTTCCTCGCAACCATCACTGAGTACCCCGCGCTCGCATCTATTGTGCGGCGACTCGACTTCAGCCACTTTAACCCCTCCACCATCTTCTCTACTGCAAGCGAGAGAGCCCAGACTCGAAACCTGACTTCCGAGACACTCTACAAATGTCTCGAGCTAACCCCATACCTGCAGGAGTTCCTGGCGCAAGAGTATATCGATGAGGATCTTGGACCTGATGTTATCAAGAAGCTCTTCTTCGAAATGCCCCGGCTCCAAGCCATCGACTTTTGCGGCTGCTCCTCTCCTTCTTTCAAGAATTCGTTCACAAGCCTCCTCCAGGCTCAGTGGCCCGATTCTTTGACTCTTACCCGTATTTCGTTCCACAAGTGCTTGAACTTGCCAGGCTCCGTCTTCGAGGCCATCCTACCCCGACTCGAACGAGCTACTCACCTCGATCTCGCTGGAACCAGAGTGACCGACAAGGCGTTGCAGAGCTTGCCTGAGACGGCAAGACTCACACACCTGAACTTGGCCAAGTGCCGAGAGTTGACCTCTGAAGTTGTTGTCAAGTTTGTCACAACTCATCCCGCGATCATCCAGACCATCACTGTCCTTAGCCTTGCTACTAATGCCAGCAGCCACCTCCTGCTGGGCAAGGCGGATGTTGATGCTATTCTTCCCCGACTGCCCCCTACCCTTCGATCGCTGAGTCTCAAGGGTAGCAGAATGGATCCTTCCCAGATTCCTCTTCTCACCCCTCTGGTCCAGCATCTGGAGGAGCTTGCCATCGGCCGAGGCCTCGATCTCCGTGACATCCACCAGCTCCTGTACCAAGCCCAGGAGTGGATTCCTCACAGTCTCCGATACCTCGATATCTCCGACCTGGACACTATCATCGGTAGTGCTAGCGCACTTCTTACCCCCGCCTCCGCCCCGCTGCAGGTTATCGAGCTCGAAGAGCGCGCATACGAGCGAGCGGCCAAGGCTAAGAAGAACCTTGAACGTGCAGGATGGACCCCCAAGGAGTTTGGCAGCCGTTACTGGCTAGTCCGCTTGAACACCGACGGAGCCTCTCTCGACAGCGGCGCCCGGTGGTGGAAGCTGGGCGCTGAGAGCTGGGGCATGAGGAAGATCCCGGTTGCGGAGGCCGACGTCGGAGGCATGTATGGCACGTTCATGTTCGGCCGAAGGCTGTAAAATGCCAATCTCCGACACCAGTTGCACGGATCTCTCTACTCTCATATCATTTTTTTAATGGTGTTATGGTTTGGTATTTATATGGTTAGATTTGGGTTGCATCTTGATTTGATATCCCGGCGCATAGCGGTTAAACTTAGCGATAAAAGCAAAGTCATTTTGATGGAAAAAAGCGTTCTGAAGCATGGATATGACGAAGGAAAAACGTGTAGATAATCAATAATGACTTTCATGAAATGATTAATCTTGATTGGTATAACTGTGAATGTATGTATGCTTGTCTGAACAAATAATCTCTGTTGCTGTCTTTCTAGTGTGATGGATGGCTGTATCTGCTTGTAAGAAGTTATACTCAGGCCCCAGCCTATCAGAATCTAGACTATGCATGTTCAACCATTTCGAGACTATGCAATTTAATATGCGGAGGTTACCATCGATCTTATCTTTGGTCTAAGTACCTTAGGGGAGATAATATCGATACCGATAAACTATTCTTTACCTCAAATCAATCTCGCAGCTTTCCCGTGTGGCATAAAGCTTGATGTGGCGCCTGGACGACGGTGGCTGAACAAGATCACGTGGCACCCAAACCGGAACAACCAGGCGCCGTGGCAAGAACAGCCTCCTGCGACGTAACCGCGCCGAAGCGTGCCTTGCTCCTTGAATAAGCTCCAACTCCAACGACATATACAGCTTTGGTGCTCGACGGCATCATGGCTCCCAAACCGGATACCCCGTTCCGCTCTGCGGATATGAGCATGGTACAGCTCTATGTCTCCAATGAAATCGGTCGCGAAGTTGTTACGGCCCTCGGCGAGCTTGGTCTCTGCCAATTCCGCGATGTAGGCAACAATCTATCAATTCTTGCATCAAGAACTGAGGCTAATCCACTGATGCATCATGCAGCTCAACGAGGATGTCAGCGCATTCCAACGCACTTTTACTCAGGAGATTCGACGACTCGACAATGTTGAGCGACAGCTGCGTACGTCATCCAAAGGGATCCACCAGAACACACGAATCTAACACATTGCAGGATACTTCTACGCTCAGATGGATAAGATCGGAATCCCGCTCCGAAAGCTGGACCTCGACGTCGAGCGACTTGCGTCACCCTCAACTTCCGAAATCGACGAGCTTGCCGAGCGAAGCCAGAAGTTGGAACAGCGAGTTTCTGCCCTGAATGAGAGCTACGAGACTTTGAAGAAGCGCGAGGGCGACTTGACCGAGTGGCGATGGGTTCTGCGTGAGGCCGGTAGCTTCTTCGACCGTGCTCACGGAAATGTCGAGGAGATCCGCGCTTCTACTGACAACGACGATGCTCCCCTTCTGTCTGACATTGAGCAAAACCAGGGTGGCCCCGATGCCGAGCGTTCTTTCTCCGGCATGAACATTGGCTTCGTCGCTGGTGTCATTGCTAGAGACAGAGTCGCCTCCTTCGAGCGTATCCTTTGGCGAACTCTGCGCGGTAACCTCTACATGAACCAGTCTGAGATTCCCGAGCCCTTGATCGATCCTACCAACAACGAGGCCATCAACAAGAACGTCTTCGTTATTTTCGCTCACGGCAAGGAGATTCTCAACAAGATCCGTAAGATCTCCGAGTCCATGGGCGCTGATGTTTACAATGTCGACGAGAACAGTGATCTTCGACGTGACCAGATCCACGAGGTCAACAACCGCCTGGAGGATGTCCAGAACGTTCTACAAAACACCCAGGCCACTCTTCAGGCAGAGCTTAATCAGATCTCTCAGTCGCTGTCTGCCTGGATGGTTCTTGTCGCCAAGGAAAAGGCCGTGTATAACGCACTCAACAACTTCTCCTATGATAGCGCTCGGCGAACTCTCATTGCCGAAGCCTGGGTACCTACCAATGATCTTCCCCTGATCAGGACGACCCTTCAGGATGTTACTAACAGAGCTGGCCTCTCCGTCCCTTCTATTATCAATAAGATTCAGACCAACAAGACGCCGCCTACTTACCTTAAGACCAACAAGATCACCGAAGGTTTCCAGACCATCGTCAATGCTTATGGTACCGCCACGTACCAGGAGGTCAACCCGGCCATTCCTGTTTTTGTCACCTTCCCTTTCCTGTTCGCTGTCATGTTCGGTGATTTCGGCCATGCCATCATCATGCTTTCAGCTGCTCTCGCTATGATTTACTGGGAGAAGTCACTGAAGAAGGTCAGCTTCGAGCTGTTTGCCATGATCTTCTACGGCCGATACATTGCCCTGGTTATGGCTGTTTTCTCTGTTTTCACCGGTCTCATCTACAATGATGTCTTTTCTATGTCCATGACTCTGTTTGAGAGTGCTTGGGAGTTTAAGAAGCCCGAGAACTATACCAACACTACAAGCATCGTTGCCACTCTAAGGGAAGATGGTCACCGTTACCCCTTCGGTTTGGATTATGCATGGCACGGAAGTGAGAATGACCTCCTCTTCAGCAACAGTTTGAAGATGAAGATGAGTATCCTTCTGGGCTGGGCACACATGACCTACTCGCTCTGCTTCTCTTACATCAATGCTCGCCACTTCAAGAAGCCCATTGACATCTGGGGTAACTTCATCCCTGGCATGATCTTCTTCCAGTCCATCTTTGGCTACCTTGTTATTTGCATTGTTTACAAATGGTCTGTTGATTGGCTGGGCACTGGCCGGCAACCTCCTGGACTGCTCAACATGCTTATTTACATGTTCCTCCAGCCTGGAACTATTCCTGAGGGCGAAGAGCTTTACGCTGGACAGTCTGTTGTCCAAGTCATTCTCTTGCTCTTGGCTTTCGTCCAAGTTCCCATCCTCCTCTTCCTCAAGCCTTTCTATCTTCGATGGGAGAACAGCCGTGCTCGCGCCAAGGGTTACCGTAGCATAGGTGAAACCTCTCGAGTTAGTGCTTTGGACGGCGATGATGAAGACGCCAATGGCCACGGCAACAGCTTCGACGAAGATGGCGAGGGAGTTGCTATGATCTCTCAGAACATTAGTGAGGAGCATGAGGAGTTCGAGTTTAGTGAGGTTATGATCCACCAGGTCATTCACACAATTGGTAAGTTTATTTCAATCTACAATGGCATTGCACTTTGTTAACAAATGGCTAGAATTCTGTCTGAACTGTGTCTCTCACACTGCCTCCTACCTCCGACTTTGGGCTTTGTCTCTCGCTCATCAACAGCTGAGTATTGTGCTTTGGTCTATGACCCTTGGCCCTGCCCTCAAAATGAGCGGCGTTGTCGGTGTCATCATGATTGTTGTTTGTTTTACTATGTGGTTCTTCTTGAGTAAGCATTGCCAATCCCTTCTATCTTGATTGTTCACTAACACATCCCAGCCATTGCTATTCTCGTTTGTATGGAGGGTACCAGTGCCATGTTGCACTCCCTCCGTCTCGCTTGGGTCGAGTCGTTCTCCAAGTTCGCAGAGTTTGCGGGTTGGCCTTTTGCGCCTTTCTCGTTTAACACCCTGCTGGAAGAGTCGGAAGAGCTCAAGGATTACTTGGGTTAATTGGAAGGGTTCGCGTATAGGGTGCCTTTTTTTATAGCAGTAGACAGTGGTATTTTTATTGTATCATAGGTAGCATAGTGCAACATTAGAAACTCTGGGCTTTTGCCAAGTTTTCTGACTTAGAAGTCAAGCTGTCTGATAATCAGACAGAATGCCCACATAATTCCCAGCCCTCATAACAATAGAATCAAGCCTTGTTGTACATGTCCGTGAACGTTTCTAGAGCTAAATCCTCGTTATCCCCAAAGAGGTGCCGTCACCTCGACAGCTCTCTCCACCACTGCCCTCACCCTGTCTGCAAAAACCTTATTGTTAGACTCAACCTCGAGGTCTTCCAACCAAACCGTGGCATTCATCCTATCCACCTTGATTGACACTCCTGGCACAGGAATACCAATCTTGTGCAGCCTGTCAATCTCCTTCTGTTGTCTCTCCTGGAGTTGTGTATCCTCACCATCCTCCTCTGTCTTCATGGCATCATCGGCCTCGTCCTTCTTGATCTTCTCTTCGGTGTCCTCCACGGCTGGTAGTTTGGGGATCGTGACTGGGGCAACGTTGTCTTGACCGAACTGAGCCTCGAGGAACCAAAGAAGACGCTCAAGGCGCTCCTCTGGGGAAGCAGAGTGGTGAGGGTTCACATCGGGTAGCTCGTGCGAGTGTGAGTGCTTAGCGGAGGAGCGCTTGACAGCAGCAGGAGAACTCTCCACGGAGAAGAGAACAGCCATGACGGAGTCGGCGATGCCGTCGTTGAGCATATTGCCCTCCCACTCAAGCTCAACCTCACCGTTTGTGCGGTATCGGACTGAGACACATCCCATGACGAGGTAAGCTGCAACGAGGCTAGCAACCTCTTCATCAGCATCCTCCTGCTTCATTTCCTCGCCATCCGTAATCATATGATCGCCATGTCCATTGCTTTGACCATTCTTTCCACGGCGCATCTCGGGGAGTTCTTCGATGTTGCCAAACGTGCCCTCGAGGGCCCACTTGACGAGGTCGACACCTGCAGCACTGAGGGTCAGACGCTGCTTGCAGGTGATGGTGGTTGTGTTTAGGCCTGCGTACTCGCGGAGATCCTCGGGCGCCATGAGAGAAAGCTTGAAGTCGTTCTGGACGAGCACGCCAGTAACGAGAGGAGGTGCAGCACTTTGATCAGGATGAATGCTCTGAGGAGGCTGGATCGACGCAAGTTTTCCAACAACCTTGGCAGTCTTGTCGGCTTTGAAGGGGATTCGAAGCTCTTCACAGTTGCGGGGTGAGTAGACTTTGACCTTTGCAGTTTTGTTTGCGTTGAGAGAGAGGAGTTTGGATTTGAGGCGCATCATGTTGTGCTGTTCGCCATGAACAAGAATCTATCACAAACGTTAGCATACTGTTTGGTGATGAAGGAGAGAGGAGGCAGACGTACAACGACAGGAGCTGCAACTTCTTCGATAAATTCACGGTTCTCAACGCCATCGACGTGAGCCGCGAAAGAGTATTCCTGGACACTACACCTTCGAGGAATGAGGACTTTCTCGCCATCTCCTCCGGGCATTCGACGAGCGCCCGCCATACTACGAGACATAACTGCCTGGATCTGATCAGGTTCTTGCATGATCTGCTTAGCCATTGTGCCTTCGACACTGTAACCCGTGATGATCACACCATTCTTCTCGCTGGGCGCCCACCGTTCTAGTAGCTCACGACTGACACCATTCTGAAGCATACCAGGACTGGCAAGCATAACACAACCGCCAACATCGTCGAACCTGTCCAAGTTCTTGAGAGAGCGGATGTACTTAAAGTCCCACGGTCCACCCTTACCAGCTCCATCGCCAGACGCCTCTGCCTCGGCCATTCGCTCACGGAACAAGCGTTTGATATTGTCGTTCATGGCACCAACGTAGGTCTGGTAGATGAGCATACATTTCCTGGCAAGGTTGCTGGCATAGTAGATGGGGTACTTCTGGAAGTCAGCATGCTTGCCCCAGTACTCGTCGAGAATCAAGAGTAGCTCCTGAGCTCGTCCGAGGGCAAAGACTGGCATGAGGACACGGCCGCCTCGGTTGAGGATACTTGTGATGGACTTCATAAGGGCCTGTTCTCTCTCGAGGCGAGGGACATGAGAAGCAATGCCGTAGGTGGATTCAGTGATAAGAACATCAATCTTGACGCCCTTAGGAACCTCTGCTGAGACCAAATGTCGATCTTGTTCGCGAGAGTAGTCACCTGTGAAGAAGATGTTGAGGCCAGCAATCTCGATAAGGAACATGGCAGCACCAAGAACATGGCCGGCAGGGTAAGGGGTGATTCTGATGGAGGAGATAGTATGAGTTGTGTGGTAGTCGATGGCCTCGATCTGAGGAAATGTGTTTAGATGGTCTTGCTCAGTATACACTGGCTGTGTAGTAGGATTGGATGAAGTATTGCCCACTCGAACACTGTCCTGAATAAGCCACTTGTAGATGGCCTTTGTGGGATGGGTCATAAAGACACGACCCCTGAAGTTCGTCTTTGCGAGAACATATGGTAACGATGCTGCATGGTCGATGTGAAAACTATGGCTGATTAGCTGGAATCCTCTGATGGCATCTGGCTATCTAGAGATGATATTGGCGACTGGCGATTCAGGACAGGACGGCATCACAAGGACGAACAGCAAGGGCGTAAGGTAAGGGAAACGGGCAAACTGTATTGTATTGATCTGGCATACAAGAAAGCAAAGTCGTGGATGTCGTCATCACGCGAGCACGATACAGGCCGCGATAGCACAACGCAATACGAGGCGGTTCTGTACCATCCGTTCTATCACATCACATAATATCAAAACACAAAGTCGTCCCTCGCCCTGTCCAGCCTATGTACGTCGTTGCGGGAGTGGAAAGAAGGGGTCGCTTACTGGCTGATGAGAAGCACGTCGACAGTGCTAAGATCGAAATCGTCGTAAAAGGGCAGTGCAGCGAGTCCATCGTATGCGGGATGTTGGCCGGCATCAAGCTGATAAAGGGCATTAGCCAAGTATGCGATAGACTTATCGACCTATTCTTACCATGACCGTCTTTCCCTTGTATTGAATAATATGACATGACCTTCCCACTTCGTTTCCTCCTCCCAGACAAAGAAACATGAGTTCATCTGAAGGATCTACTGGCTCTTCCGCCGCAGCCGCGTTCATGGCAGAAGCCTTTCGTTTGGATGCCATTATTGTAGATCCACCGAGCTATGGTCCAGCTCACATTCGACGTCGAGGTTCTATATAGATTATTAGTAGAAGCAGCCTTGGGCCACAAGCTCTCCGATAGAAGGCTGCTGTTCACAGCTAAAGACAGCAACTGGCCGCAGGGATAACAAAGAGATCAGATCACTATATCAATTAATGAATGGATGAATGAAATAGGCGGGCAGCACGGGCAAAAACGAGGCAGACGCGTTTCTTTGAACAATGAACGGATAAAAGCCGGCTTTTAGTTGACAGGAGCTTGCTTTAGGTGGTGGCTTTCTCAAGGACGGCTACGTACGTATTTTACGGGAGGAGGCTCTGCGCACGTGACGTTAAAACTACGCGACCTCCGTTTTACAGGCGAAGCTGCCTCCTTCATAGCCAACCCCCAGCGAGCTAACACCTTCGCCCAACGACGATATCCAGCGCCTCCATCTCGAAACGAAGTTTGAGCGCTTTCTGATAGCGGATCTCTCACCTGCCGAACATTTTTACAGCTTTTCCGAGTGCCCCGCCGAGATTAAGCGCGTCGGATGGGAGGCGTCGCGATTGATTTGACAGGCTCATCTGCCTGCTGAGCTAACACACTCAACTCACGCATTTCTTCCAACTTTCTTTATCCTCGACCGGGGCTCGCCTCTCGACCGACAAAGCAATCACGAACAGGAAAACTCATCATGGCTCAACCTCAGCCTCAGACGCAGGTGCAGGTGCCGCCTCGCGCATTCTCTCCACCGCAGCATTCACCCTCGCCTGCCGCGTCGCAGTCCAGCTTCGCCCTCCCACCGCAGAAACGAGCTCGAACCGACGGACCATCCTCGCAACCCGAATCGCCATATGCTACATCCCCTTACGCCGCGAGTCCAGGCGCTACAGCTACGCCGCCTGCTGGGGCTGGATCTCCTGCGTTTGCGCAAAGCCCTGCTCTGCCGCAACCGTATGCCACACCCTACACCAACGGGCACACAACGCCTGGCCTTAATCTCCCTGACGTACGACCGAATTCAACACCTCCGATTCAGCAGACCCAGCAGCTACAGCAGCCTATACCTCAATATACTAATGCCACAATGACACCTGTTCCTGTACCTACTCCTGGTCAGCTAATGACCCCGACTCCTGGCCCCGGAGTCATGGGGCCTCCGCAGAGGCCAGCAGAGCGGCCAACCAAGGATTACGAATACGATGTGACAGATTCACTTGCTGGTACTGGCATCGATCTTCGAGCTGAGGAACAGTATATGAACGACCTCTACGCGACCGGTTTCGACGAAGCGCGGACGGGCTTTGCCCACCAGCCACCGGGGCCAAAGTCGAGCTTCTACGGTGCCGGGCCCGCAAACCAGCCTGCCCAGTCTGTTCCGGATCAACCACAGGATCAGTTTGCTGCACAGCAAGCGGAGAGGGCTTGGTCAGAGTCGTCGATGCGACTTGCACTTCAGCGGACACAGGAGATAAGTGATCCTTTTTTGCTGGTCGCCTTGCTGCATCGACGCGCGGATAAGATCGCACGAGAACATCACCTGGCGCTGAACTTGGATCTGAAGAACAACAGTCAAACCATGGGAAAGATGAGGCTCCCGGAACAATTTCCTGCGCCAAAGGTGACTGTTAAAGTGACTCCAGGCCCAGATTCGACCATGGTTCATACAACCGGCTCATACATCCCACACGATGCTTTTCTAGTTGATCAGTTGGCATTGATGTCTATTGCCACAAAGCAGCGACTCCGAGAATTAGTGGAAGATGCACATGTAGTAGCAACGAATAGGCAAAAGACATCTCATGGCGATATACCTGAGGAATGGACTCCAGCGGCAGCTCCTATGAATGCTGAGCCTCTGGAGCCCATTGAGAAGCCAGCGGATGCAGTCAACGGTGTCGATGGGACCCATGTGGAGAGTGCGAACGGGGATAGCACGAATCCATTGAAGCGTAAGTAGAACCGGCAGTACGTATTCTGTTTTTACTCACACTCTACAGGCTCCAGCGATGCAGCTGGATTGACCAACGGCGCGCCTGCAGTCAAGCTGCCTAAAGTGTCGTCGTATATGACGACGACGATGCGGGACCTTGCTAGACAGGAGCGTGACTGGGAAGAGGCACGACTCCGCAAGCGTCAAAAACGCAAGGATGGTATACCAGACTCGGGAGCCACGACATCGCGTGCTGGGAGCGTGGCGCCTGGCACTCCTGGTGCTGTAGCGCCAGAAGCTCCAAAAGCAATGACGAAGAAGGAGATGAAGAAGAACCAGCAGATGAAGGCTGCTGAGATTGACAGTCATCAGAGCCAAAACACCACGAGTAGCCTCTTTGCTGGCTTCGGAGGTAAGAGTGGACTGTTCGGTAAAAAGAAGGCTGGCAAGACATACGACTGGATGACTCGAGGCAGCGGAACCAGCACACCGACCAGAAACGCTCCGGGTGCCGGAAAAGGGTCCGGAGGGCTAGGAGCGGCGCCGGCACCTGCAAACATGGCCATGACTACCGAGGGCCGCAACCGACTTGGCACATGGAGAGAGGATAAAGAAAAGGGGCGAAATATCCAGCTTCGCGATTGGGTTTCAGTATTAGAAAGGGATGGAAGAGAAGGCAAGGCGCTTCAAAAAGCGTACCTTTATCTGGACGCATCGAACCCCAAATAAGCACAGCACATCACAACATACTATAACTATCAAAATACGGCGAGGTAATGGGATAGGGAAGATGTGAGATGAGATTTCGTGACACACGGCCAGGGCTAGGGATGATCAGCTAGTGGAAGAAGATACCCTGCGCAGCGTGCATGGCTTGATATTACTTAGCACGGCGTTTTATGTTTTTTCTTACTAAAGGCATGACTTGGGGAAAGGCAGCCCTTTTTTTTTTTTTTTGGCATGCACTACAGGAAATCGAATGGGAGAGGGGAGACTTTGATGGCATGAAGGATGGGGATTCTTTTGAGACTGAGGGAATTCGACAATGCTGTTTAGGCGTACACCATAGGAACATGGGTGCGCCATGTATTTCTTAGGCCTTTCTTTCAGCCATTTTCACCCTACTTCTCTGAAGCTTGGAGCTCAGCGAAAAGGGCTATAGTTTGGGGAGAGAAGTGAAGGGACAAAAGTCTTCTAGGGAGAGATGAAAGAATAGACCCCTTATGAACTTGGCCTGACCCAACCTGAACTTGAACTTTAAGTTGATCTCGTGATGAGTATTTTGTTGGTGTTGGGTGACGGAAACATTCCTATGTTGAATCAAGGGAGAAATGGCTCTTTGACCTTTGCGATAGATAAGGTACCTTAGTGAGAGTCAATTACAAATGCTTCGTCTGTCTGATGTGCTTAGAAAAGTGGGACTATCAACTATTGCGGAATCGCCATTTCCCCTCCCTTCATCATCAACAATCGAAAAGAGTCGATTCTTTTTGTCTCTACAATTTAATTGATTCCTTAAAAGGGTCCAGATCGACCTGTCGCAAAGAAACATAGACAACGCCACATTCTGTTGAGTTCAAGACAAACCCACCCTCACCTCAAGGCTCCAAGTACTTCCCCATTCAGTCACAGCCACAAGGGAGAATGGGAGACTAATTAAGCACCCAATAACTAGATCTCATACCCGTTCGGGAGGATTCGTGCTCTTGGCGATACGGGAGGCGATCATCATGGCAATCGCGGTTGGTTCCCAGAGTTCCTCGCTCTAGTCTTGCTCTATTGAGAGATCCCTTGCTTCAAGCCGGTATGGACTATCTAACGGTATGGGCCTAGGCAATCGGCCAGATCTGCTCAACGGCGTCGATCAAGGGTAATCTGGAACAGTGTGTCAAGTTGGTGGCGAGTGCGGCGCGGGGTCAAGCAAAAGTGAGTTGAATCTTGTTGGATCTTGTTGGGCATGGACGAGTGTCTAGCCTCGAGGAATCTCTACATCCCTTGATCGAGATGGAGACTAGCGATTCGACTTGTCAGTTGTCGTAAGGAGACACATGATCTGGATTCGAGGGGGTCAGTCGGTTCGTGGAACCGTGAGACATGATCAAGGGCCCAAGCTGTAAGACCTCTTTACGTCGGTTGTGAATATGTCTCATCGTATGCCCGAAACGGCGATACTTCTCTTCGGGTGGCTTTTGATCTTGCGCACACGGTATACTTACATGCAGCGATGCTAGGTACTCTTCCTCCCTGAGGCTTCAGACTATATCGCCCCAGATGGACAGACATCACTGCAACTTGCAGAGCCACAGTCGACGTCCCCCTTCGTAAAGGGTCTCCAGGAGGCAGCTCGTGAGCACAACGTCGCTATCCATGTGGGTATTCACCATCGTGAAGAGGGACAAGACCAATCAAAGAGGATTCTCAACCGCGCGTTGTATATCACTGCCAACGGAGACATCAACGATACGACAACATATGATAAGCTCCATGTGTTTGACTATGGTGGTCTAAAGGAGAGTGCAACAGTGCAGCCTGGAACAAGCCTTACAGCACCGTTTGACTCCCCCATAGGCCGTATCGGAAGCCTCATCTGCTTTGACTTGCGATTCCCTGAGGCAGGATTAGCACTCGCACAGCCAGGACCTCACAGCGCATGGAAGAACAAGCCAGCGCAGATCATCACATACCCAAGTGCATTCACCCTTCGAACAGGTGCAGCACATTGGGAGACTCTTCTCCGAGCCAGGGCCATTGAGACACAGAGCTATGTCATTGCAGCAGCACAAGTTGGAAGACATAACGAGAAGCGAGCTAGTTGGGGACAGAGTATTGTTGCTGATCCATGGGGGAATGTAGTCCTGAAGTTGAAGGGCGTGAAAGAGGGAGAGCCTCAGGGGACTGCTGAGGATGGCGCGGAGGGTGGAATTGGGTTTGTTGATATCGACCTTGCGTATTTGGAGAAGGTTAGGAGGGAGATGCCTCTTCAGAGGCGAATGTGAGTTGATTCGCCATTTGTGGGTTCTACCTATGCTAATAGTTGCAGTGATGTTTATCCTGAGCTGTAACCAAGACAGGTAGACTATATTAGATTTATAACAGCATAGAGAACGTAATCGATACAGAGCCATAACCAGTCAGTAGGTGAAAATGCGAAGCCTCTCTGCGGCCATTTGCCCAAGTGCCGGGCTATTGGAAAGTGTTCTCTACAAAATGATACGGATACAGACCTACTACTATCGTCTGACGCTAAAGAGCCGCAATCAAGATACGACTTAGCCCACGAGGCATTATTATGCTAAGTGATGTTTCATATGCCCAAATTTTCAAGTGACTGCTTCTCAAATGTTATAAGTTCTTTACAGCCAATGCAAATTATGTTTTGTGATAATATGAACATTAAATGCTGACAAAATGAGCATTGCAATCTCTCCAACTTGCCCACTGAATCAGGCCATACGCAGAAACACTTAACCGAAGATCTAATCTGATTCTTTGGAATACCTTAATCAAACCGTTTTGAACCCTGAGAGCCTGAAGTGAGACAAGTATATTATTAAGATTCCCACCGGTCGACCATTGCGGTTTAGCATGCGAGGAGCATCTGTCATTGCCACCTGAGGCTCAAGCGATATCATCATCCCTTGAGGCTTGAGGCTTGGACCCTTCTAGAGTACGGCACTCGCCGAAGGCACGGGGAATCACATCCCCCAGCTCCCGCACAAGAGAGATTGGCCATGACCAAAGCCAAAGCCAAACCGAAGCTCAGCCCCGTCAGAATCAGGACCGACAGAATGGATCGGTACTGCACTGTACATCAATAAGTCCCGGGTGGCTGGGACGGCAAGCAAGGGTATCTGGTTCCGAGAGGCACATGACCATATCCGTGCTGTTGACCTGGCAGAGACGAACTGTCTAGGCGAACGGTAGAAGAACAAGGGTCGAGAAGAAGACAGGCTGAAATAAACGCCCAGTTGCAGGAACCATTTTGTTTAGACTTTTCTTCTTTCGTCAGACATGGATTGTATAGCATGGGTAAGGATATAGCATGGATATGGGTTTGTTTGAACAGTAACGCAAGAAGAAGACAAAAACAATGCCGAGATGACGATCTGTCAACTTTGGCCATGTCCACTTCTGGGGATACTGTAGCCTCGGTTCAACATGTCTCCATAGAAGCAGAAAAGAAGTTTTCTCTTTCTTCTTCTTGCACGAGCCCCCTTTCGCTACTGACATGTACAGTAGGTACTAGGCAACTTGCCAGCAGCTCCCCGGATGGAGAATATCATGGTCTCAGCTTTTGGTGTTTGCGCTTAGTGCTGCGACGTTGCAGCCTGGTCTTCGATGTTACCAAGTTGCTGGGTTCGGTAGAGAGAAAGCAAAAATTTTTCTCGGTCTTCAGCCTCGTTGTGAAACGGTTGTTTTTGTTTTTGCTGCGTGTTGGGTTTGGAGAAGGTATATCGGGGCGGTATTCGCTGAGGATGATACGCGCTGGAAAGCAGGGCAAGGCAGATTTGTTCTATATTATATGTAAATATAAGTAGGTGTCTTACATCATGTTTGCCTGGCTAATACTATTGAACTCAAGATACTGAAGTGGCTGTCTTAGTATCCGATGCGGTTGTAACGGAAGCATATGCCGAGTGATAGTATTTGGGTAGACCATCGCGATCATTATTAACTCAATCTTGTCTTTGATTAGGACTAGTTTTTATCGTATTGTATCCCTAGTCCTTTTTTTTTAGTTACTGAATTTTCTTCTTTCCGCCGCCCTTGACCTTTGAGGTTCAATAATACAGCCTCATCCTTTCCAAAGTCGCAGAAGAAACAAACCTAGACAAACGCTTTGATGTATCCACTTGATTGACACCATCACTGAGCATGAGGTCAGGGTGCTATGAATATGGATACTGTGTGTGTTAGGAACACGCCTCCTTGACCCCCTGTCCCTTCTCCTGTCCCTGCTCCTGCTCCTGCTCCTTCCTTGTCGTTATTCCATGTCCATGCAAGATTCCCGTCTCGCCTCTTTGATTAATCAATATGCACAGTAGGTGCTTCCATTTTTCTTTCCTTCCTTTTCCCTTCTCGTATTTTTCCTTCGTCTCACACCCTCCTCACCCTTCCCTTGTACCTTCCTTTCGCTTCTGCTTCTTCTTTCTGCACCTGCCTTAAGAAATCGCATTCTCCACCTCACCTTCCCAACGCTTCGGTCCCGGGAGCCAGGCTGCATTAGCCCGGTTTCACCATGACCAAGACGGCAAAGGCTCATGTACAATCGGTACGTACCGGTACATGACGCAGACTTGGGATGAGAAGGTTCTGTACCCCAGCCTAAAGGAGGAAGCTGTCAATGTCATCTTGCATTAGCCTATTTATCATTTTCAGGGGTTAATCGACTTAGACTCAATTCTTTTTTAGCATCTCTAGCTGAGTTGTTTAGTCAGTGAGTTAGGTAGCTCACTCATTATTCACGGCGCAGACTAAGAAAAGAAAGAAAGAAAAAATAACGTCTTCTCTTGTCTTTGCTTCTGGTGTCGGTCTGGAATATTCTTTCTTTTTTTACTGAGCGAATCTGTTTTATCGTTTGTCTCTTTTCTCATTATGACGCCTCATGCATCCACTTTATGCAAGGTATCGTAATTAACCTTTTTGTCTCGTCTCGTCTTGTTGGGTTGGGTTGGGTTGGGTTGGTTCGTAATTGTTTAGTTTATCCATTAATGGCTGTTGGCTTTGTTCTCTCATTCATCATCATTGCTTCTTCTGAGTCAAACAGTACATACAATACCTGGTTGTTTTCTCTCTTGAGATCTGATCTGTTACTCTGTTTCAGTTCATATTCAAACGCAAACTTTTCTCTTCTCGTAGTCAACCAACCTCGCAAACAAACTGTCGATCCAGTGCAACCAATCGAGACTCTTATCTCACGAATTGCTTCTCTTGTTGTCTCGTCGCGACTCGTATCTGTACCCCGGCCACCGACGTCTCTTTTTTTCCAATTAGTTACCGAGACAAGACATCGATTGATTGTTTGACAAGTACTGCATGTATTGTGAGACGGGTCCTTGACTGTAAGGTACGGATACTGTACGTGGAACGAATCAGCCTCGGCTGGTAATCTTCTGCTTCTGCTTGTGTCACCGAGCGCGAGTCTTTGGTTGAACCTGTGCAATTCTTACTGAATGTAGTGAGTGGCATGTTAATCAGTCTCTATTAGCCCATCTTTGAATCTGGACCTGTCTCTCATCGCGTGATGCCTGCTCTACCTTTTCTTTTCAGATCTTGTCGTTGTATTCGTTTTCGTTCCTGAGGGCAACCAACAAATATCACCTGAGACTTGGCCACAGGCATTTGCTCTACTCTTACGGTTACGAAGCGGGCGGCATTCAAACGCCTCAAGGGCAAGGATCTCTATCACCAAAAACTTAGCCGCCATCCAACAACTCTTTTCCCTCTGATTATGACGAGATACTTTATTCTCCCTCTGATTCTTGACTCTGTTGCTTTGACTTTCCAAGCGCCGGAATCAGCCATCCGTAGTCCTCCCATGGTCATCATAGCTGAATCATTGTGTGTCAAGGCCCCCCCTGAAAGTCAATTAACGAGCTACCATTCATTGCCCAAGCGCCAAAACCAAGGTCGGACCTTGTTTCGACTGTGAAAAAGTATGTATTTTTGGGTGGGAATTCTCAGGACCTTTTAGGCAACATTTTACTGACTCGTCTCTGTCGTAAATGTCAATGCCGGCCCCTTGTTGTCATAATCTCGCACGAGGCGCGTTTATGCTAAATTGCCTACGGTCGGGTACTAGAGTATTAACCCAACAACGATGCTTCAACCTTGTAGCACTTACAGTGACATCCAATTCATTAATTACATTTTAATTAACGTGCTAATTACACATTTTACTCCCCTTCCCGATAGACCACTTTGGTACAACTCTAGGCTGGGCTGTCTCTTCGTATTCAACCCATTCTCTAGACTCTAGAGTATTGGCCATTCATTCCCTACCTTACCTAGTAAAGGTGCTATCCCATTCTAAAACGTAGACATCCATCACATTCCAGCCCAATCCAAGAAAAGTATCTTACACTAAGGTATGATGGATAAATAAGGGTACTTTGTACGCGCGCGTCACCCCAACCAATCTCTTTCTGTAATAAGCACGTAATTATTGTTCCCTTTGGTAATACTAAAAGAAAGTAATTGTCTGATCACTATGTATGTGCATACGTACCTTGCTAAGGTAACAAACAAACGTACGTTCCCCAAATCCTCGGGATCTTCCAAGTTCTCCCGGTTCGTCATCCACTACCCGCTCGTCACACAAACTACGGCTTCGAGCATAGCAAACAATCTCTCGACCAAGTGATTCCCATCTTCTCTTCCTCGCCTCGACGTTCCCAAACGAGGTAAACGCAGCGAGTATACGATAACTCACCAACGATCATCTTGGCCAACACTCAATAGATTTCTTGCGATACCATACCATAACATTACATTCTTCCTCTTCAAGTCGCATGCTGCATTCGAGGCCAATGATAGTTATTGAATATTTCCATTATTTGTATTTTTCTCCTCGTAGTCTCCGTGAGCTGTGTAGCTAAATGTCTTCCATCTTATAAAATAATACTATACAGTCCAGAGGCTTCGAGGGGGGGAAGCGCGTAGTAGGGGGTATCTTCTATCAATCCTGAGTCCAGCCCAAGTGCTCTCTCAACACGGCCAGAGCATCGGTATCGCTTTCCTCTTCCCCCTCCTCAATCCTCTTCCAATAGCCTTGCCGTGTCTTGTACACCAATACAGAAATAGTACACGGGAATACAGCAACATATCCCTCTGCTGTTGGTCCTCCCGCGAGGGAGCCCAAACCACAACAGCGGTCCAATCCAGGAATAATAAAAAGTAACAGTAGAAAAAAAAAAAAGAAGAAAAAAAAGAAACGAGAGAAGCTGGCCAGATGGAAAACTGTGCAAGCAAGATGGGAACCGAGAGTAAACGGAGAAAACAAAAAAGCAAAAAGGTAAACAAAGTCCCCCAGGTCTATATGCAAAATGAACATCTTTTCCCATCCGGTCCCAGTTTTTGTGATCCTTATCCGAAACCCTTGCTGAAATTGAACTCCAAAATATGTCCTCGTGGCATTCGATCTTCTTGGCTCCGTCGTCAGGTCTTCCTTGTCGTTGTTGTCTCTGCTCGGTTTCGGTCATCTACTTTCTCTCCAAGTATGCTCGCCAACCCTTGTCGTGCTGCGCTGCGCTGTGGAGGCGAATCTGAGACATTCCCATCCCAGCCAGATCTGCATTCCGACTCAGAACGCCCTGACGTGAGTGGGTGCTGTAGGTTCAGATTGGTTATCGAGGGAGAGACTGTGGATACCGAAAGACGACTCGAGACCTGGAGCCGACAAGGACGCTGCTGTGAAGATGAAACTCGAAGACAAGAAAATAAAACAAATCCCGTTTTTTGGTTCCCGTCTATGTTCAAACGCCGCGTTGCTGAGCCCAATATGATAAAACAAACTTCGCGTCGCCACGAATCAGGAAGTGTGAAAAATAAGAAAATCGACACTCATTCAAATCAATGAGTGCATTCGTTCCCAAGAAAAAAGTCCTTCCCTTGAAATTTCCGCTTGCTGCTGGGAAGCAAGGGATGGCTCCGAGCCGTTGTGTATATGGTTTTCGACAGGAATGTGTATTAAAAAGTGTATTCGGAACGCATTAAGAGCCGGGAGTTATTCGGTTCCTTGGCTGCTGAAAGTGATTAAAATGGTGTCGTAATTAGAAAAATCGCTTAGAGTCGAAGGGAAGACAGGCGGAAGAGTGAGAAGTGCGCGTCTGTAACAGTACAGTCGCAGTGTCGTGTCATCGCCGGACAGGCCTAACCGCCAGCGTGGCCCGGCTTTGGCGTGGTCGTCAGTCGCATTAGGTTGGGATACATGTAGAGTTTATCCAACAATCCAAGCGAGGTGGCCTCTTATGAAGGTCTGGGGCGGGGCGGGGGCTTGGGGCAGCCGGTTGTGTCGTAGGCTCCTCGGCCCATGTTAGAGGGTGTTGATGATCCTTCAATCATGTTGTCTGTTGTTGCGAGAACGTGTAAATGAATGAGTTGTTGTTGTGGTGGTTGCTGCTGTGTTGCTGGTCAGTCATGCTGTGGGGGTGAATGAGGTGTGCAATGCATATGAAAAGGCGGAAGGATCGCGGAAGTATATATATAGGACAATGGAATGAAGCAGGCAGGCTGTTATCGGTATCTCAAAGGAAGACCAAGACGGGCACCAGCGCGAGGGCTTGAAGTGATTTTGGTAAGCGATCTTGACTTACAAGGAATACTCGTCTTGGTCGACAGAGTGTACAAAGGGTATTGAGCGAATGTGAGCGCGGATTGGCTAAAAGATTGAAGCGGCAGAGAAACAGAAAGCCGAATGGTATTCAAGATGCGAGCGTCACCAATATAATTGGAGCGTGTTTCGGACAGGTAAAGGAGTGGTGGTAAGTGATGGTTGAGTTTGGCGAGAGACGTCGACACCGGAACGTTGGAATAGGCAACACGAGCGAGAGATGATGTCGCAGACGTATTGGTATTGTATTGCAGATGAACGAAAGGCGGACAGGCGAGTCTCTTCAGGAGTGAGTGAGAGAAAGGGGGCTCGTTACGGGTGGATGTGAGAGAAAGTTATGCTTTTTGCGCAACAGCCCAAATAAGTAACAAGATCCAATAAGGGGAAACCTCTTTTTTTTATTTGGGGTGACTCGAGCTTTGGTTTCCGTCAAGGGGATGGGATGTATGGGGATGGGGATGGACGGATCGTTGCCGTAATACGGTAGCGTAGCGTAGCTTTCTCAGCTCGTTGTTGAGTTCAGGCACAAGGTACGCTGCAGTGGCGCCGGTCGGATGGTCGAATGAGTGTGGGTCAGACGAACGGGGCCGATTATTACGAGGGGGTGTATTTCCCTTTCTTTGCTGGTCCTGGCCTGGGCTAGTTCGAGACTTAGACTTGCTTCCAAGAGGTGATGTGACCTGATGAATGAGGCAAGGCGAGATGAGGTTGCTGATGAGTGTCCAGTCGTCAAGTTAGGCTAGTTTTATAACTAGTCAAAGTCGTCGATATCGTTCGCTTAATTGCGAGTAAGCGTGTGTGTATGTGTAAGTGATTCACTCTCAGAGATGTGTAAGAGGATCGAGCAGGAGGGCACAAGTCTTGAGCTGACGAGGTGGGCGGCTGAGAGGACTTGAAGGGGAGTTTGTTCCAAAGGGAGACGTGAAGTGAAGTTCTGAATGGAGGAAGGAAGTGGGAAGCAAGACGCTTTTGTACAAGAGCACACACATCGGAGAAAGAAGTAATAGGGAAAATCTCAATACTCATCCATGACAAGGTGAGGCTTGCAGCGGAAAGCCAGACCAGGCAAGGGGTGCCCTCAATGTGCCGTTCATTCAGTCAATCAATCATTATTACCTTAGTTACCTGAGAATGAACCTCATCAAAATTGCTGTGAAATTTCCCTAGTGGCCCACGCTCCAGGGGGCCAGGGGGGGCGTACCAGAAGGGGGTGACAAAAAACTGTGAGCCACGTCCCCATCGTTCCAAAGCAAAAAAAGGAGAGAACAGAGCGATACCTGGCTGGACCATGTTTCATGGCTTTTCTTCCAGGGCCTGTGCATGTCTCCACGAGGGATCCGTCCGTGGCTGATTAGGGTCAAAGAGAGAGCTCGGGCTTCCAAAACTCAGGGCGCTTCTCTCAATCTTCTCTCGCTTGCTATCAGCATGGGTTCTACCAGTAGTCCTTCCGGCATCCAGGGCCTTGACTCCCCAAGAAGCGCTGATCCGAACAGCACCCACCCATGTATTGGGCATGCATATTAGGTACGGTACCCTCTGTACCTTGCAGTGTACATTCACTTTGACAGCGACATTGACTCTCACTCTCGCCTCTCTGGGACACCCAGGCCACCGGGTCGCAGGGGTCGGAAGCCGCTGGGATCTGCTTTTTACTGCAAGGCGTGCAATGTCTCCGGGTGGTTGGAAAGTCGTCGCAACTTAGCCACGAGCTCTCAGACCGTTTTCTCACACCCCAACTGCAATGCACTCACCACACCCCCAGATCCTCTGGTCCATCCCTTGACAGGCGCCCACATCCATCTTACAGTAAACAGTGCTCTCCTTCTGTAACTGGGCACGTTAGAGCGTTAGCTTGTTGGTCGTGACGTTGACAGCCCGTTAGAGTCCGCTTCAAACCGAGCGCACACAAAATGGGTGTGTGTAACCCATGTTTGTGCTTTATAGCTCCCAGTAAACCTTCTTCATCCAACGTCTTTTGCTAGGCAAGGCAGGTAGCCACGCGCACGCTGAAATGGACGGGTAAGCCCTTCGAAGAATCGATGGTTTCCCGGCGCCCCGTAGTGGATCCAAAACCGGCCCCAATACCCTGGGCTGTGAGGACAATCCACGGCGGTGGTAATTGGGAGGAGATGCGACCGGCGTCAAGCTCAGCGTCAAAACGGTACTCCGGGCCGTGTTGCTGCACTGTGTAATACAGTCTTGCTAAATCATGGGGTACCTCTTTAGTCAGGAACGAAGTTGTCGAATCGGCCTCCTCTTCCATGACATGGCCAGGGTCCTCCATTCTCTCGGTTCCCCCAGTACCCTTTCGTCGTAGCTCCAGCCCCCGGCTTGATTGTTCCAGCAATTGTCATCCTGCCTGTTTGATTTCCCGTTGCAACCTGATGTTTGACTTGTTTCTTGTCCCTGCTTTGCTTCTGAGACAGTTAGACTCTGCGTCGTAGGGGCTATGGGGAAAATTGTTGTGGGCATGACACCAGTCGCATCGGACATCCTAATTCTTGACCTCTGTAATCTTTTGGGCCTCTGATGCTTATAGAAGCTCCTCCGATAGAAGTTGATGCTCCTTAGAACAAGAAGGTCTTCACAGCTCACACGCTCAGTGTCTCATCTTGTTGGGGCATAACAAGGCAATATCAGAACCCAACAGCATAATGCGTCAATAAGACCAAGTGGCACATGGGAGCGTTTGTCGCACCTATGACATCTTTTAGGAGCGCATAATTTCTCGACTAAGAAGTCATGCATTGTAGTAGTACATAACTCCATCCCAGTATCGCAAACTCCTCGCGAGAGATGAAGTATCGTCGATACCTATTGATAAATATCTTGTCAGATTGTGCTAGGGGCAGCTCAACTGGCTCTTTGATCACTTCCCGCTTGTTCGAAGAATCCGAAGTTGTAAGACTTAGAATCCAGAGCTATAAATAGCCCATGCATGTTATGAGTGAATCCCATCACTGCATGTGAAACTACACTAAAGCCTTCCTGCCCTTCTTGTTTGTTTCCGTGTATTGGCAATGATTCTTGTGACAGCTGTCACTTGGCAAAATGAAGTGGTCCATGCCTAGATGACAAGGAGACCTGATCTCGAACTATGCGCGATTCAAAATTAGCGACTGACGATTGATCGATGGGCTCAGTCGTAGCCATGTGGTTCTGAGCTGGTGGGTTTCCATACTGGCCGGCTGCCGAGCTTGGGTTTGGTTGCCAGAGGACAAATCATCACCAAGGCTATGCTCCTAGTTTAGCATGTGGTAGTCTTGGGTACCCAAGCTCTCGCAGGTTTCTTGCTCACGTGCGGAAAGGGCATAGTAGTTCAGAAACAAACGAGGACGGGAACGGATATCGCTGGAGTAGCCCCCTTGAACCAGAACAGTTTATTGTCATGTAAGATGGAAGTTCCTCAGCCCAAGGATACTGTCGCTTCTCAAGCTCAAAATCATGCCGCCCCGCTATGATATCGAATACCAATCCCAAGGACACGGAACCGCTGGGGCATCTCGGCTGAACAGTATCTTGGTTGAGCCTTGGGCCATCTGTGGCAACAGCGAACGTTGCACAGTGGTGGTACACACATGGTCAGTAACGAGGACAGAATCTCTTGCCTCTGAGAATCCCAGTCTTGTGTTCGTCTGCGAAATTATCAAGAAAAAAAATTGAGCACCAAGGTAATAAAACTGTTTCACATTCAGCTGTTGCCAAATGAGACGTCGTAAAGTGTTTGAATCCTTAGGAAACCCATGCGTCACGAGAAGCCCTATCCATGCGTACTGTACTTAATGCAACGGAAGTATTGCCGGGCTCGCCTAACACTGGGTCAACGTGTCTTAGATTGGCAGGTCGATGTTGTATGCCATATCACCACAATTCGCCGAGAAGCCGTGTAAAGTATCGTCAGACTCTTTATCAACAACCAACGATGAAGGCTACAGTTTTCACAGCCGTACGTAAGCAATCATGGGTATTGCGAAGCGTGTCGTGTATTTTGTTGCAGCTCAATGTCGGGGAACTTGCTTTAAACACCTGCGACGAACCTCTGGAATGTCACACCTGTAATTCTTGCGGCGATTTGTTGAAGTCAAAGTGGGCCGATGAGGCTTCGTAGAAAGCTTCCAGAAGCCTGTCAACCAACGGAACTCCACAGCACAAAGCTCTACGCAAGATACTTTCCCACGGTGTCAGCAGCGACATGCGGTGATAGAACACTGTGCGGACGATTTAAGGCGTGTCATCTCTTGCAATGTCTCCCATCAGTAGACTCCTTCTCAACCTAGCTCCACCTGACCGGGCAATTTTGTAAGCGTCCTCCTGTGGGGAGGATGGTGGATTGGGATGAACTGCCAACTCCCGTGCTGCAAGTTCAGGGGTATCGCTGCACACATCCGAGTTAGCGTGGCCAGCTACACGTTGTGGCGGTTTGCGCGTTGCTGTAGCGCCGCATAGAAGCCCCAGAACTTCGGTGTTCCTGCATTAGCCAAATTCCAAACGCCATTGACATTTGAAACAGGGGTCGTTACTACTTGTTCCAGCCTCCATCAACCACTAAAAAGCGTCCCTATGGCGCATTACCATGGATGACCTTTCCCAATATCAGATTGTCCCAGTCGATCGGTTTAGGTACTCTCAAGCCAACTAAGGTATACCAGATGTAATTGTGGTGCTCGCATATCATGTGACAATTCCAGCCTGCAAATGTCAGCTGAAAGGATTCTGACCAACACTGGCAAGCCCTCCACTCACCATGTGGCAGCTAGCTTAGCTTCCGGCCATTTCGGTGCCTTCCTCTTAGATATCTTTGGAAGCGAACAAATATCATGCGACGTAGGCAACCCGCCTGGTTTGAGATGAGCCTGTTTCCGGTCCTTTTTTTGATCCGCCCCAGATTCGTTAAAGCAACCCTGGCTCAGGTGCTTGTTTGCCATACCACTTTGCACAAATGATGATGAGGCGAGACCACCACACATGTGCGAACATGACTATCGTGGCTCACGATGAAGCCGTAATCGTATGCCCAGACCAACTCGATGCCACAAGGAATGGTGCTATCGATTCATCCCATCACACTATCGCAACTGACCTTGTCGAGCACGGCAGCTGCTTGTAGATCGGGCTGCCGTGTCCAAGCCAGTTACATTTGGTTCCAAACTATTGCAGCTAGTCAAGGAGGAAATGTCACCAGTATCTCAGCTTGTTGCTGTTGCTGGTACATAGTACGTACCCGCCGGCGACGAAGATGAGATTAGGACCCCTCGTGGCGGCATATGTGGTGGGGCAGTATCAAAGTCCACCTATCGGATTCAAAGGATTTTCGCTTTGAAGACCGCGCTAAACTGGATGATCGCTTCTTGCCTTCTAGAAGCCTCAACGAACAGTGTTGCAGATCAGAATTGGAGTCTTGCTTGGGAAGACACCCCGACAAGAGCCTGCGTACATAGAACTTGCTGGCACGTCATATTTGGCAGAGGTTTTCAGGGTAAAGCTGTGGGTGTTTGCTTTCTTGATCAACCCTTCCACACCAACGCTGGGTATCCGTAGTGCTACCCAAAGATGCACCAACACTCTGCCGATGTGACCCGGCTTGGTGGCTGTCCATTTTCAACCTCTCTGTTGTCAGTTTAGACCTCTCTGCTTGATTGAATCGTGTTCGTTGAGATGATAGTATTCGTGTCACCGGGGAACCGCTTCCGCAATTGTAGTGCGTCCGTGCCGGATCCGCCAGGTAATTTCAAAATTTTCGTCCCAAACGTTCATGGTTCCTGGACTGTTTGTGTGGGGACATGAGAGGCCTCTCTTGACTAGACAAGGTAGGCAAGCTTCTGGAAGACCGATCTATGAAGCCAGCGAGGAGCGTTTGTTGTGGTGTGTGTGTCGTTCGAGCCGGGTATGCTCCCCGAACGATAGACCAAGCAAGCCACGAGTCAAGCTTCTGATGGGATGGATGCAAAGATCCATCGCCTTCCGCCCGCCGCGCTCCCGGATGTTGATCTTTATCCAGATAGTACCTATCGTGCCCGACCGCACCAGCTCTTGGGTACAGGTTTGAATAGGTCCCTGATCATGTGCCTCATTTCAGCCATGAGTCGTAATAGTCTGGTCATTGATTGCAAAGAGCCAGAGCCTCAATAAACTGACTCGAACAGACTGACCCCTAACACTCTATCATGGGGACTTCTCAGTCTGGGGAAGCATGTTGTGCGGCGCGACGTTTCCAGAACTGTCAGGCGGTTATTTCAGCCGCTTGATCAAGTGATGGTATACCAGGTAAGTATCCGTAGTAGCTTAGGTATCGTAGAGCCAACTATTGCAAATAGTAGCCTTTTTTCTTTAATCTGAAAGAGGATAATAGGTAGCCTGATGTTTATAATACATTGAAATTTGTCTGCAGGGCGGTGGGAAGGTATACTGGGTTTCCATAGTGATAGAAAGGAGGGTGCTCATAGGCCGTCTAAAACTCGTTGTTTAGGGTAGCTTGAATTTAACTCGATTATTTTTAACAGCTATTTCCTCTACCTTAGGTTCGATATTCGTTTGCTCCCTATGCCATTAACTTGTGTGATTTGAAGCTTTGAGTCTTCCATATGTAAGTCAGCTATTTGTTCTCGGTGTATACGTCCTGTTTATTTTGGGCTATTGTGGTTCAAAAGGATGCGTTTATATGAACATGCCAAGACAGTTGCACGTGTAACAACTCTACCTCAAAGTATGGAAGCCATAATATGCAATTCAGTATGCCTTATGCAAGGATGCGATTATCTCAAGATTATCCCTCGCTACATAGCGACGATACAAAGAGTGTTGTATAACGAGTGAAGGCATCGGCGTTGACGGGGAGCTTCCTAGATAGTGCAATACCTTGAGCTGATTGGAAGACAGCGAAAGCCCACTATATTCCTAGGATGTAGGCTGCTACAACAGGGTCGCACCACTGAAGCTCAGGTACACTCCTATCACTCATTCGCAGGCTCCAAACCAGGCAAGTAACTATCCCACAAGCCACAACTCCAGCCTCACCTCCACCCCGCCATCGCTGACGCAGCTTGAACGTCCACCCAAGCCGACACCGATATAGCTTCCAGTTAATACAGGAATACTCACAATACCTCGAGTCGCACGGAAAATCACCTGAAACCAATTGATAATACCGAATTACCAAGATGTCAATTATCCAGCAGCATACGAGCGCGACGCTCGGTGACGCATGGCGCACCATCAACATCGACGCCTTGAACGAAGACTCCAGTGTCAACTTCGACACCTCGACTCTGCATCCCCCACAGCCCGAGATCGACGAAGCGGAAGTGCGACAGCTTTCTGGGCAGATCAGGCAGCTTCTGAGAGGCGGTGATGCGGAGGGAGCTTTGAGGGGCAGCTTGGAGACTCCAGTATACAACGGAACGGATGCAGCCAAGGTATGTCAACAGAGAGTCGAGATGCGGCAGCGTACATTTGCCCTACACATGTGGAATCTAACATGACGTGTCTACTTAGGATGCTCATCTGCACACTATCATTGAGGTCCTCCAGTCGATTAAGGCAAGCGACATGTCCCCCTTACTGAAGAGCATCTATGGATCTGAAGGTGGCCCTGAGTGCCTGGATGTCCTGATGAAGTATATGTACGTTTAATGATGGAACGGGTGGATAAGTGTGCAAACCTAACGATGTAATAGCTACAAGGGAATGGCTACGGTTCACCCTGGAACAGCTTCGCGATCACCAAACAAGGTTACACCTCAATCGACGGGAGGTTTCAGCCAGATCGCTGGGCGACCTGGTTCGAACGAGCCCGCCACTGCAGCCATGAGTGTGCTCCTGAGTTGGCACGAGAAGGTCGTTGAGGTCGCTGGTCTGGGATGCATCGGCCGAACAATGACCGATTGGCGAAAGGTTTAGAGGCCAGATACGTGCTCGCGATGATGAGCGGTCAAGAATACATAGAATCATGAATCCAATTCATAACCCGCAGAGTAAACCCCCGTCCGCGGAACATAGCTCTGGTGTTACATTATTTACATTATACAAATCATCTGCCCTCTACTTTTGCTCCAAGACATCTTTCAAGTTTATGTCACCACTTCCTCTGGCCAGAGGTTGTGGCTGGTTTTCACCTTCCCGCCATCCGATCATATAAATGATTCGGAAAGTCGCGGGAATAGATCCATCCGGGTTACCGTGAAGTTCCTTATAGATGGCATCGCCAGCGAGGAGAACATCGCGGGAAATCGCACCCATCTCCCTTCCGAGGACAGCATTACCCTCACCCATGGCCTGAAGATCCTGCATCAAAGCAAATGTGTCAGGGTAATCAACGATGATATCATCGATATCAACAGTCAACATCTTGAAGCCAGCTTTCTGAAGCAGACCACCTATATCCTTGACATCAGCCAAAGGAGAGACACGAGGAGACATGCCACCTCGTCTTTCTGTCTCTGCCAGCTGTAGTGACGTTCTCAACTCGAATAGTGTGTCTCCACCAAGCATAGCGCCGATGAAAGGAGAGTCAGGTTTGAGGACGTTGTTGATCTGTGTGAGGATACCGGGTAGATCGTTGATCCAATGGAGACTCAATGAGCTCATCACCAGGTCAAAAGAAGCAGGCTCGAAAGGAATCGTTTCTTCGTCGTCCACAACCGTCCGCGTGATATTAAGCTTATTGTTGAACTCATGATCAGCATCACGGTGAAGCAGTGAATGAGATGAATCAGCAGCAACCAATTCGTCAATACGAGTCGCCAGTGGTGGCGACTTAGGTGTGTTAGGGTCAGGATCAGGATTCTCCTGGACCAAAGCTCGTGCGATATTGCATGAATTTGCGCCGAGATCTAACACTCGAGGAAATCTGCGTTTGATGTCCTATTGGTATGTGAGAAACGAGTGTTGCTTCAAGAACATGGTTACTTACTAGAAGTCTTTCTGATACTCGAATTGCAACCTCATCCTTGAGGTAATCAGCTTCCCGACTTTGTTCAGAGTTGGCACCAGCTCGCTCCTTTTGTAGCCATTTTGTGTGGCGATTGAAAACCTGGAAACGAGGCGCTCCAGCAGCTTGAACAGCATAAAACCGTTGATTTGAGATGTGATGATAGAGATTGGCTGGCTGTGACAGAGTCCGTAGACTACAGCGCATTGCCAATCGTGAAACTGTGCAAGATGACATTGCGAACTATATTCAATCAACCTATCTTTGAGCTTGAAAAGGAATGTGAAGTTTGTTTACGTAGAATAACGATAACCCTCGAGTATTGATGCAATTGAAGTCATGATGAATTTGATAGCTCTATGGAAGCACTCAACTGGCCGCAGTGTTAAAGTGAACAAAGCACGGACCATGTGCAACTATGAGCGGTTAAACCCTTTCTGGCCGTTATTGCACCCGTAGGAGGCAGGAGGCAGGAGGCTTCTTAGAGGCTAGAAGTTACTGGCCTGGGTATGGGATGACAGATGAACACGCTTCTCACCTCCTCTTCCACCAATTTTGCTGTTAATAAACACATCTTCCTTTTCTTCTTGAGGCCTTCTGTGTCGTTCGTTGCAGGGACTCTCTAGTGCTCTCTCATCACCGACACGCTTACAATACAATCCCCTCTCGCCTGTCGTAGCCCTTGTCATTCCCCGACTCATCCGTTCCCTAGCCCACGGGCCTCTTCCGCAACTCCTAACTAAACCATTAGGCCGCACCAACAGAGCACCGCCCACCACCGCATCTCCATCCGCATCTTCAGTCTAGCTCGCCCCTCCAGCGAGCAATCTCCCATCACATCGACATACAATCGATGTCTGGCGCGTGAGCCGTCTGGACAATTCGAGTCGACTATGCGATTCTTGCGATAAGGCGCGACCATACTCTGTCTTGGAGATACTTTGACATCACCTTCCACCGTACGAATCCATCTAAGCCGACTCCCCCCCGTTTCGTTCCAAAAATCAGGGGTCTTCAGCGACTTGACCGCACGAATACCTTTGCATACCACCGCCCAAAATGTCGAGCTCAGGCACAGGCTTTCTCGGCCGCTCGAGTAGCAGCAATGCCAATATGCGCGGATTGGTTCAGTTCATTGCTGATCTCAGAAATGCGAGAGCGCGTGAACTCGAGGAGAAGCGAATCAATAAGGAGCTGGCCAATATTCGACAGAAGTTCAAGGACGGCAGTCTTAGCGGTTACCACAAGAAGAAATATGTCTGCAAGTTGCTATATATTTACATCCTGGGCTGGAATGTCGATTTTGGGCACCTCGAGGCCGTGAATCTGATCTCAGCAAACAAATACTCAGAGAAGCAGATAGGTTATCTGGCTATGACACTCTTTCTCCACGAGAAGCACGAGCTTCTGCACCTTGTCGTCAACAGCATCCGAAAGGACTTACTCGACCATAATGAGCTTTTCAATTGTCTTGCTCTTCATGCGATTGCCAATGTTGGAAGTCGAGAGATGGGCGAAGCCCTAAATGGGGAGGTTCATAGACTCCTGATTTCTCCGTATGCGCTCATACCCCTTTAGTGCGAAGGAACCACACTGACCGCTGTTACGCAGTACTTCAAAATCGTTCGTCAAGAAGAAGGCCGCTCTGACGCTCCTCCGATTATACCGCAAGCACCCAGATATCGTATCGCCGCAATGGGCGGAGCGCATTATCCACCTTATGGATGACTCTGACCTCGGCGTTGCACTTTCCGTCACGTCGCTGGTCATGACACTGGCCCAAGATAATCTAGAGCAATACAAGGGAGCGTATGCCAAAGCAGCAGCTCGTCTGAAGCGAATTCTTATCGACGGCGAGTATACGACCGATTACCTTTACTACAAAGTCCCCTGCCCCTGGCTGCAGATCAAATTACTTCGACTTCTGCAATACTTTCCACCTGCAGGTAAGTGTGATAGCGCAATTACACAGGAAGCAGTTACTGACACAATGTTCAGAGGACACTCATGTTCGGGAAATGATTCGCGAGTCTTTGCAAAAGATCCTGAACCTAGCCATGGAGACCAATAAGAACGTTCAACAGAACAACGCTCAAAACGCCGTGCTCTTTGAAGCCATCAACCTTATTATCCACCTAGACACTGAACATGGCCTGATGAAGCAAATTTCAACGAGACTGGGCAAATTTATCCAGAGCCGGGAGACCAACGTCAGATATCTAGGCTTGGAAGCTATGACACATCTGGCTGCACGCGCTGAAACTCTGGATCCCATCAAGCAACACCAGGAAATTATTCTTGGCTCGCTCAAAGATCGAGATATCAGTGTTCGTCGCAAGGGTCTGGACTTACTCTACAGCATGTGTGACGCCACAAATGCCCAAGTCATCGTTGGTGAGCTACTGCACTACCTACAGAATGCCGACTTCGCTATCCGAGAAGAAATGGTCCTTAAGATTGCCATTCTTACGGAAAAGTACGCCACTGATGTGCAGTGGTACGTTGATATCTCCCTCAGACTTATCGCCATGGCTGGAGATCATGTCAGCGATGAGGTGTGGCAGCGAGTTATTCAAATTGTGACGAACAACGAGGAGCTACAGGTTTACGCAGCTCAAAATGCGTTACAATATGTCAAGGGCGACCACTGCCACGAGACTCTGGTCAAGATTGGCGCCTATATATTGGGAGAGTTTGGTCATTTGGTCGCTGACCAGCCCCGTTGCAGTCCTATTGAGCAGTTTATGGCTCTTCAGGGCAAGCTGACGGCATGCTCTTCGAGTACTCGTGCCATGATTCTCTCATGCTTTGTCAAATATGTCAACTTGTTCCCGGAAATCAAGCCTCAGCTTGTTCATGTGTTTGAGTTTCACAGCCACAACCTGGACTCCGAGCTTCAACAGAGAGCTTGTGAATACTTGACCCTTGTGAATATGCCAACGGATGACCTCCTTCGAACAGTTTGCGACGAAATGCCTCCTTTCCCTGAACGACAGTCTGCACTTCTCTCCAGACTACACCAGAAACATGCTAATACGAGCGACCGAAGGACCTGGGTGGTGGGAGGAAAGGATGCCAATGCGGACGCTCGGGAACTTAGCATGGGTACTGGAGCACTCAAGAGGACTTTTAGCTCGAATGTCCCACTGAACGGCAAACCGAATGGCCAGGCTGCAACTGGCACAAACGGTCATAGCAATGGTGTTGCCGATTTGGCTGGGCTCGATCTCAACGTACCTACACCATCTGAGCCAAAGATGCTCAAGGCCCCTAACTTGGCCAGTGCAGCTCATTTGTCACCCGGATGGGAGCAAGGATTCAACAAACTTCTTGTTCGATCAGACGGCGTTCTATACGAAGATGGCCAGTTACAGATCGGTGTTCGATCAGAATATCGTGGCCAGATGGCTTGCTTGATCACATATTTTAAGAACAAGACACCAGCAACTATCAGTTCCTTCACAACGACATTGGATCTGGACGAGAACGAAAAAGAGAACCTTACCTGGGACGTCAAAAACCTCCCTGATAGTACCATTGTGCAAGGTGGACAGTCCCAGCAAGTTGTTATGTTCGAAGCAAAGAAGATTTTTGAGAAGAGTCCGACTGTACGCATCAGCTACCTGGCTGGTGCACTACAGGCACTTACTCTGAAGCTTCCCGTGTCTATACACAAATTTATGGACCCGGCAGAGTTGACTGCTGAGGACTTTTTCAAGAGATGGAAGCAGATTGGTGGTGCCCCCCGAGAGGCGCAGGCCATTTTTGGAGTCAGTGGTAAGGGCGACAGAGAAATCACAGAGAGCTTCGTTACAAAGACAGTGGAGGGTTTCAGATGGCGTGTGCTGGACATGGTTGACCCTAACCCCAAGAACGTTGTTGGTGCGAGCGTGCTGCACACATCTCAAGGAGGCAAGTTTGGTTGTCTTATGAGACTGGAACCAAACTATGGACAACAGGTAGGCGAAACCATTCCGCTTCAGATGTTGCATATTCTAACTGTTCATCAGATGATTCGATTGACTATCCGTGCCACAGATGATTCCGTGCCGGCGGTCTTGTTGAAGTATATGCAAGAACGGCTTGCTGCAGGAATCTCAACGGGACCGGATCGATTCGAGCCACCTTCACGGGAGCAGATTTCGGACTCTTTCCGTAATGTTATGGTGACTTGATGGGAGAACATGATGTTTATCTTCTATATATTCGCCGGACAGGAGTTGTTATAATACCACAGAAGCATATGGGCGTTGGGGAACTAGCATGAAATCGGAGGAAGCGCTCAATTAAAGCCAATCGTTTATTGGCTGAAAAGTTGCCTGCGTCGATCCTCCTTGTATAGTCCCTCTTTACCGCACAAGGCGATGAAGCTGTGCGGAGTGATCTGATCAAGGAGGATGCAGTTGTTACATACCACGATCTCTCATTGTAAATTGAATGAATATGATGCAAAGAAAAATGTAATCAAGCGGTGAAGACGATGGAGCAGGTGTTAGGGCATTGAAGAACCCCGTCAACTTGAAGAAGGTGGGCTTGAATGGGGCTGACTTTGTGTTAACTCGCTATTTACTCCTTGATCTTTGCATCTGCCTTAGCAGGCCTCTGCCCGAAAATAGTGCTGCCTACACGAACCTCACTGCTTCCCAGGCGAATTGCACCTTCAAAATCCTCACTCATACCCATGCTCAACTCCAGGCTATCCTTATCCAAATTCAGCTCCTTAGCCACAAGATCTAGCTGCTCCTTGAGAGTAACAAAGTCCTCATTCTCAGCCTCAGCGGTAGTGGCTTTGCTGCGAGCAATAGCCCCGATGGTCATGAGACCGAGAAAACGGAGGCTGGGGCATGTCTCAATGACTTCACGGCATAGAGCAACGGTCTCTTCACCGGGGGCACAGCCAGACTTGGCTTCCTCTCCAGATGTGTTGACTTGCACGTGGACACCAATCTTGTCAAGATCAGGCTGTGAAGAAAGAAGATTTGTGCGGGCAGTGTTGAGAAGCTGGGCCTTCTTGGAAGTATCTATGCTTGAGACACAGAAGAGATTGGGGATCTTTCCCAGGGACTTGCAATGGCCTAATATATCATATCAGTATGCGTGGTTCCATACGTGTGAGTCAGGCCTCTTACTAGACTGGAGACCACCGATAAAATGCCACTGAATAGTTTTCGGTAGCAAAGCTGCTTTTTGAGTCAACTCTTGAGAATAGTTCTCACCAAAGTGAGTATGGGAAGTAGGAGCCTGATGAAGTGCTAGAATGTCGTTCACAGGCTTGAGCTTTGAGACAGCAACAAGTCGGACCTGATATAAATGTAAGCCAGGGTATGTTTTATGGTGTTTCAATGTGAGAGTGAGAGTGAGTGTCATGCATACATTTCGACCGTTTGCTACGGCAGCAATACGCTCTTTGACGGAATTAACCTGAGAAACAAGAGCCTGAGCCCTTGAAGGATCAATCCTCATCTCGTCTTGAGAATCACTCATGTTATGTATGAGGTTTTGTAAGTCTGTTGCTAAGAGAGTGGTGATTGTTGTAAGTGGGCAAGTGATTTTGGGCAACCGGATTATCATCGGTTAGGTCATGCATTCAGTGCCAACGACCCAAAGTGGCCAACATAGCTCAGTCAGAAACCATACCCCTTGGGACTTCTAAACCAATTTTATAACGACAAATATTCACAAAATCGAGAGAGTAGAGAGAGCTCTATACATTTGAGGCTTATCAGAGATGGCTACTGATCTGAAAACTGGCCGCCGAAGGGCTACCAGCAGCGCGGCTACAAGACCAGGACACACGAGACGAAAGTCAAGAGCTGTTATCCAGCCAAAGTCAACACATACATCAGATGAATTTCTACAAGACTTTCTAGACCCTACATTTGATCCCGCAACTTTCCTCAACTCAACCCTTCCTCCACTGCAGCAGCGCTCTATACCTGGCCGAACCGGAGATGTCGCACCGCTCGCTGAGCTGTCCACGCAAGCTCAGACTCTTATTTCACAACTTAACGCCCAGACTTCACGGCTTTCAACTACTCTTACGCATCTTACTGATGAAATTTTGAGAAGCGGGAGTCGCCTGGCTTATGAGGTGGAGCTACTACGAGGCGAGACGTTGAGTCTCCAGGAGACTATGAATGAGACGCTTCATGACGACATCAAGAAGTTTGTTCCCGAAGGACTGCAAGAAGCCATCGAGGCAAAGAATGCCGCAGCGGCCGCTGCTAAAGAAGATCGGAGTGCGGCACCGTCGACAACTGCTGCAGCTGTTACCAACGATGGAGCCAATCCAGATGACCCTGAATTCATCAGACAGTTACAAACATTAACTCTTGTGCGAGCACGCCTGGAATCAGTTATTAAGACATTCGGAGATGCCATGGAATTCGTCTTCCCACCATCAGAGATCTCCGTCAGCTCCGGTTTCCTCTCAGTATCAGCACCCGAGCCAGGTTCAGCACAGCAGAGTTCTGAGGAAAAGGGCAAGGAAGTACTCAAGAACATCAGAAACGAGATATCAGATCTATTGAACAAGTCTGACGACCCTATTCAGGGCATTGAGAAAGCGGCACAAAGAATTGAACAACTCAAGGAGCTTAACCGTGTATGGAAGGACACAGCAGAGGAGAAGGGACGAAATAAGTTTATAGAGGGTCTTGCCAAGACGGTTGAAGACAAGCATCGGGATCTAATGAAGGAAATGGAGCAGACCAAGGAAAAGACTAAAGTGGAATCACGGTCACGGAAAGGCAGTGTCACGAGAGATGCTGCAGCGACTGTGGTAGAGGATACAAAGTCACCGGGTGGGTTTGGACTGATTAGCCAGTTGCACAAGCTTCGAGGAGGTCTGTGAACCAATGATAGAGACTCATAAACTGAAAGCTATAAAATATATTGTTTCCACTGAACGTATTAATTGTCCCTGTTGAAGGTTAAGCTCTATCGCTGACGGTGTAAGTACAGTATCTCGCACTGCGACCCTACAGCCAATCACTCCACTGACCGCATGACAAGATCGGCCCGGGGCACTATTTTCCTATACTGCCGTTTGCAGCAGGCGGTGAGGTCACTAATAAGCGCCCCGGCGAGGTCATGCCTCTCTGGGCCTGCGTCTCTCCCAGTTTGAGCCGAGACAATAGAAACACTTCCAGGTTGCTTTACTTCCACTGCCACATTGTTCTATCATTGCATTGCATTGCACTGGCACTGACGCTGGCAATTGTTCGTTTGCTTGCTCTATTCTACTTTTACCAACCAATAAGTATCCAACTTGTTGTGGAGTAGACACCCTCTGAATCTATTTGTCTTGGCCATCTCTTTTACTTGCACTCAGCTCTTTTATCCCAAGTTGCATGGACTCTTTACTCTCCCAACCATTACAACCTCAACCTCAACCTTGAACCCATAATCACGAAGATAGTACGACTCTCAACCTTCTGAATTCTTTTCTTGAAGCCTACAGAAGCATTCTTGCAAACACCAGACACCACTTACACATAACTACAACTATTTACAATGGCCGCCAACGAAGCAGCGGCCCTTACAAACATGGCCAACCGATCCGACCGACGCTCTCCTGCTCCCGCTTCCCAGTCAAAAAGAGATCGCAAGCGACAAGCTCTTATAGAGAGACTCTCTGGCATGACCGATAAGTTCCATCGGGAAAGGGACATGACATATCGCGATCAGCTCCAGAAGATCCAGTTCGACATCAATCTCGTCCAGCGCTTCGACCCTTACGATCCAAAGGTCCTTGAGGTCATCTCTGAACTCCAGAAGGAGCACACCAACACACAAGGTCCTCCGGTCAACGCCGAAGATGCCCGAAGCTTGCTTGACATGGCTGGCATCCGATTCTCTGACTTCGTTGACGAAGTCGAGGATTTGGTAGAAATTCGTGACTTTCAGCTGGCGCAGTCAAAAGTAAGAAACCGTCCCACGCCACACGACCAAGTGTCTTGCTAACCATTTATCCAAACAGAATGAATACGACCGACGACGAGAAGAATATAGAAACACTTACGACTACAAGGTTGAGACCGCCAAGCGCGAGCACCGAGCCCTTACCAACACCCTTCGAGATCGATTGGTCAATACCCTCACCCACAAGAAGAACCGGTTGAACCGCGAGAAAGAGGTTTTGGAGATTAATGATTCCAATGCCTTGCTACTCAACCCCAATCAGTTCAGCTTGACCAATCCTGCGAGCCCCGGTGGTCCCCATGGAAAGCGAGCCACACGTCTGCGCAAGGACGCCGACGATATGCAGATGTATTCCGACAACAAGAAGCGCAAGCGAAACGCCGGCGATGACGACGGCTCACCTGCCCCGACACGACGAGCCCTCGACAACCACAATACAACACCTCTCTGGCAGTCTGAGAAGGCTCGTGCTGCTGCTAAGCAGAACGGACCTATCTACAGCATTGACAAGCTTTTCACTGACAAGGAGCTGTCGCTAAACTATAACACTGCTGCCCTTGCTGCGCACCAGTACATTCTTCGCAACCGTGTCAGTGGCGGCGGCTCTCCCGAAGACAGCGATTCCGGCAATGGTGAGGCCAATGGCGACCAGGACGCCGATTCTCAACCATCTGCCCCAGCTATGGAGCGCTCCGTCTCGCACGCCACCCGTAGCACTCGTGGCGGTAATTTGCTTGACGACAAGATTTTAGGTCTTGAGGGTATCACCAATTTCGAAGTTCACAACTTGGATATTCTCCACGCCCACGAACCCCCCAAGATGCCTCCTCCGGTTCCCCAGCAATACCTCAAGCCCTACCCTCGTACAGCGGACCAGAACTTCCCTGTTCCCCTGTCTAATGACGATATCACTTCTGATCTTACGATCATGGGCTTCTTCAAGCAATACGACGCAGCACACAAGCCTGGAGCTCACCTTGATCGCCCAACTGGAATGCGCCGGGTTCTCGCTGCTGTATCAATACCTTACCAGCATTCACGATATGTCGCTTTTACTAGCGCCCCTAGAGAAGACCCGGAATATGTCCGCGATTCATTGGGTCTACCAGCTCTCAGCAGCCTTCGAGATCAGCCAAGCCCAGCACATGCTGGTGCAGCTACTTCAGTAGCAGCTCTGTCCAGCGCCGCAGTGCCTATGAGTCGCCAGAGCAGTGCCGGCGGAGTTGCCATGAGCCGCCAGGGTAGCAGCAGTACGCGTGGCAAGGGACGTAAGAACTAGAGATTCTCGCGGCGCAAATGACCTCCTTTTATAGTATTGCAAGCGCGGCGCAAAGGCGTAGCATCGATTTGGCTTACGGCGGCATCTGATTTCATGGAAGTCCAACCTACATCAGCGGACGGTGTGGGGTCTGTTAAACGGGCTCATCAAGTTGGGATGAGTTTTACTCAAGGCTTGTGGATAAAGAAACGAGCTGAAACATCAGCAATGGAATATGGGTCTGAGTCACTGTCTATGGTCGGTCATGTCATAACTTTATAATACATTAATCGCCTTCTCCTGGTCTTCTCCTGATCATCTCCTGGTCATCGCACAATTCGGAAACTTCTCCTTCCTCATTCTGCACCTTCTCTCCTCAGCTTCACGGCTTCTCACCTTCCCTCATTCAACACGCCAGCTGTTGCGTCTGAGAGCTCTTACTCAAAGATGACTCCTTCCCCTTTCGCCGCCATGCTTGCCATCACTGGCGTCGTTCCTGCCAGACTTGCGAGTCACTCCAGCAGGATGCACAACCTCCTTCCGAAACGCACCCAGCTGTACCTGCCATGTCGAGAGTAACTCTCTGTCGAGTACTTGAGATGTCTTGCAGACACTGTCTGTATCGTGTCTTTGTCTCCAGACACTCTCCGCATCGTGCTCATTGCCCTTAGAGTCACTCTCGAGCAGCCCGTTCTCTCTATCATGGAACAGGCCGACGCTTTAACACACCTTACAAAAGTTCTCTTTCTGCTCTGCTGGTGTCTCTTGAACCTGCCGGACTACCAACACCCCTGCTACAAACATGTCTGCTCCAACTTTGCTACTCTTGGCTCTCTTCTCAAGCTTGCTGGTTTATCCTGTCCTTCCCAGCTCTCAGACATGCTTTCTATGGTAACCCCTCCCAGTCTTGTCCAGCTCAAGAGTCTCCCTGATGAAGCTCCTCGCGGTCTCTGGGGTGTCTATCTCCTCGTTTTCGAGAAACCTGGCTGTCTCCCTGCTATCTACATCGGTTCTGGCACTGCTTCTCAAGGCGGTGTACGCAGACGCTTGCTTTCGCACCGTTCAGGCAATACTGCTGTTCCTTTCGGTGTTCAACAAGCTAAGGACAATGGCTATACGCTCACTCACACTTCACTGCTCGTCTCCTGTCTCATTCCTCTGCCTATACACCGTCCACAACTTGCAGTCCTCATGCTCCTACTGGAAGCTGCTTTCTGCGCTATATTCTGGCCGTTTCCCTCCACTCACAGGACGTACGGGCTGGATCGCTACACACCATGGCCTCGAGAGTCACTCCCTTGGACAGGGTTATGCACTCATAGTCCCCTATAGGAAGGATCGACAGTGGGTCTGGGCTTTACACCTGAGCAACTTGAAGCTATCGCTGAGGAGAGGCGAGAACGAGAACGTGTCTACCAGGAGAAGTACAGGAAGGAGCACCTGGAGTACCACAAAGAGTACAGGAAGGAGCACCTGGAGTACCACAAAGAGTACCAGAAGTCATTGCGCGCCAACCCTACTCCGGAGTTCCGTGCTCGCAATAATCGGAACAACATTAAGCAGCAACCAGGGACCAAACTGCGGCAGCAACAGGCTGTTGCCAACAAGACTTACTACTGTCCTGTTTGTAAAGTTGCCTGTCGCGATCATGCCGGTCTTGTCCGCCATAACAACACACCCAAACATCACAAGAAGACACTCATGGGTGACTCTGACTATATCTGTGGCCCTTGTGACATTTCTTTCAAGTACCTGTCTGCTTACAAAACTCATTGTCGCTCAAAAGGACACCTGGAACGAACTCAATACTAACTCTAAACAGAGAGTTGAATTGTCGGAGGGAGGATTGAAGAAGTTCAGGGTTGCAGTGACGTCGCCACGGGGAATGGTTGAAGAGATGGCCATTGTCAAGACTTATAGGACTTATAGAACCGTCGACGTGTATCAAATGGACCAGAATACAGAGGTGTAAGGGATATCGGAGAAACTGATGTGAGTTTTTACAATAGCGATGATGGCAGAGACATCAAATGCGATGATTTAAATTGATTATTGAATCAATAAAGATGCTCTCTGCAATAAGTTGCTTCCTGTCCAGCTCTTTATACTTTTCATCTGCACTCAGAGATGTTACCATCATAACATATGGATTTCAAATCAGAACCGAGTTCACTTCACCATCTCATACCAGAATTGGCCATGAGGCCGTATGTGCTTGAGCACGCAATTCCAAGATGCACAACCGTTGGCTGGAGGTCAATTGACATGGCCACAAGGGCGTACGGTCGATTAGTAAAGGGGTTTGATTACTGTACACAGCTTGTTTGTTAATTGACCTAGTTGAGAGAACCAATGGGAATTATAGAGTGAGTATATCGGGAATTAAACGGGTTTGTTAGAGTTGGAATAGATTGGTTATGTACAATGGCGTCAAGAAATATGCTAACGTTAAAAGAAAAGCATTTCGCTTGATAAATGATGACGGCAAAACTTGATTGTGCGCGGCCGTCTTAATGTATACGAGATAGATAGATATAGACATAGATCTACAGTGGCAGTAAGCAGAAACTCCTCATCCTGGGTCAATTGCTAAATTTAGCCCCTTTTGCTCCATCGCTTGGTGGCCTAATTTGCAACTTGAATCCCCCTTTCATTTCTGAAACGCGTGAAATACTCTTCGCTAAATGGTATCTGCAAGGCTATCACACTCTTAAACTGTCTTAAACTGGAACACTATTGCTCTCAAGAGATTTCTTCAGCCTTGGTTCATTTGTTCATCGGTTGCCCCGTTGGATCAGCCAGTTCATGTCTCAAATCTCATCCTTCGGGCTCACTCTTGTCTGTCCCTGTTAACCCCCGATTCTCACATGAGACGAAACAGCAAAATCGACTATGTGAAAGACCTGCTAAATAACTCACGGCCAAGAAAACTTGAAGAGATGAACTCGAAATGCCGTCACCTGCCTCTGTCAACAACGCAACCGGGCCCTCTCCGTCTCCTCCGGCTCCGAGTCCGGCCCAGACTCAGCCTCCACCTCAGCCCGGCGCATCGGGGGCCGGATCCGCTGCGCCTCCGACCACGCGCCCGGGCCTTCCGGACCGTAGCGTTTCCGAGAACACGGTAGAGGATGCTTACGTTGACTTTATTCTCTTTTGCAATCCGGCAGTGCCGCTCTCTACAGACACGGCAAGTCTGAGAGAGGCATTCCGTAATCCTCCTCGCAGCGGCGGCAAGTCCTTCAGCACATTCGCCATCTATGAGCTCGTCCGCAAGTTTTACAACAGCGAGATCCGGACATGGACAGAATTGACTACAAAGCTTGGTGTTGAGCCCCCAGACCCAAACAAGGAGGAGAGTGCCCAGAAAGTTGCACAGTATGGCGTGAGATTAAAGGTGTGTGATGTAGAGCCACCCAAACTCAAGGTTTACCCACTAAACACTGGTCTAGAAGTGGATGAATTCCATGCACGTCAAGGCATTTTTCGAGTATCTGATGGACATTCCGAATGATTACTGGACAAGGATCCCTACTGACAGTAACCCTACGAGCCAGCCCATCCGCGATGGTGTGGCTATCGAGGATGACATGGCTCTGAGGGCTCTTTTCCCACACATACGGCCAAAGAGAGGTAGAAAGCGTCCCGTCGACGATGACACAGCCACTTCTCCCGCTCAGAGATCTCACCTTGCACCGTCATCAGCTGTCGAGGCCGTAAGCGGTCCTATGTCAATGTCATTGTCAGCAGATCCCACGAGGCTAAGCGCTGCACCGTGGACTCCGAGTGACGCTTCTCAGCAGACGCTTCTATTTCGGTGGCCGCAGTCTGCTATTACACCGAACTCGAGGAAATCTTTCTGGGACGATGCTCTTGAGCCACAGTCTGCTGTTACACCGTCGAAGCCGAGACTTACGACGCAGCGGAGAGGGCCCAAGAATGTGTCTTCTGCCTGGAGACCCGGAGTTCCCAACGGTGGTGTCAAACCACGAGGACGGCCACCGATGAATAGAACTCCTATAGATGCTTCTCTGCCTCCGTTTTCTACCACGACCACCACAACGGCCCCTGAGGAACCCGTAGCCCCCATTTGTACTCCGCCAGTCTCAGCTCCCGGGGCAGATAGTGGACAGTCAGAGAATAGTTTCTCGATCCCCTCGATAACATCACAGCCGCATCCTACCCCTGCTCCACCGAGGCCTTCTCGCCCGAGTATATCTTTACAAGTCCCCGAAAGACCATCAGGCAGTGTTAGACTTGCAACTCCTCCCCCAGTCGTGGTCATCAACGGCCCCAGTGAGACTCAGGCTCCTCCTCCGCATACATACGTCGGAACATCATCGAACTTTGCGAGAGCTACGAACGAAGTGACTACGTCACGCCAGCAGCAAGCTGAGGATACAATGTCACAACAAAAGGATGTTCCGAGGTTGTATTTCGAGAGGCTTGAAGAACGTACGAACGTGGATGAGGTTATCGGTTATATGATGCGCAGTCTCTTCGGGGCAAATTGGCTCGATGCTGAAGGAAATCCAACACATACATGCTCAACGACTGAAGCGATGGCGATCGTCAACTCGGTTCTCGAAGACTTGTACAGAAAGGCAGCATCACCGGACATGTTTTTGATCAACCTAGCTGCCATGACAGGAGGTGGGTACCTCCTAGCCGGGACGACGAAACTCAAACGCGTTGGCGTGCAAGACGGTGCGATGAAGTATACTTGTGAATGGATATATGGTCTAGGTCATCTCAGGGGTCAATATCAGATGGAAATTGCTGTACCTGTGGAGATGCTTGAGGATTCTAAAGAGCCGAGTCCCGAAGCTACGTCTGCGGAATCAGCATCCAAGTTATCTGCGGATGAGTGGCAGGCCAAGTACGAGAAGCTGCTTGAAGAGTTGGATAAGAAGGATAAGACGTTTATGGATCTGAGGATGAAGGTGACGGATATTCTGAGGGGTGTACCTAAGAAATGATGCTTTGTGGAATACTGCCGAGGTTTGCAATGGCGTGCGTTGTTGAGCGGAGTTATTTAGTTGTTTCTTTCTTCAGGGCATATATGGCGTTGCTTCTTTTGGTTGACACTTCGCGAATTGATGCATATTTGTATGTGGTCGCTTATCTTGGGTACTTGTTTACTGAGAATAACATGTGGTTACCTTGGAAATCGTGTTCCAAATAGCGGTGAATGTGAACCTCGATACAATGCACATAACTATGTGCATTCTAGGCACACATAATGTAAGATGGTGTCACTGAACATTTACGAGAGCCTTGTTTGGTATATAATATTCGGATCTTTCGGAGGCTCACCATCCCAATTGAGATAAAGGCGAGGAAATCCCATCGGCGACTCCGAGAATGCGTAGGCATGTTAGACGATAGCTATTGCATTACGCTACTATAGTGGTATTCCCTACATGTAAGAGCCTTTTCTGGTGGGTGTGGATAGTTGATGTTACGATATGACGATTGGACAGATTTACGAGCGGAGGGATCTCAGAAAACACGGGGAATCTGGGGATCGCACAAGGGCATATCGGATATCGTAGTCAGGACCGATGAGCTGGGATTCTCTGGGGAAAACGCGAGAGAGAAAGGGTATCGAGATAAGAGTCTGTGGTGTTGGTGGAGATGAGGCTACCCTGGGGACGTCCACTCACGATGCAGGGAATTCTGCTGCCTTGAGCTGAAGAAGAAGCCAGGCAGCCTAAGAGAGTAGCAAATGAGGTCATTTTTTAAATTCCGGGGTAGCTGATAACTTGAGACGAAAAGTCGTTTTATTCAATGGTATTATTCAAATCAGTCTTTGGAGTAGACGATGAACAATGATAACGGACCGTTGGATTACATGTAGCATCACGTGTAACCCTCAAACGTTGCACTTTAGTGGGAGCCGGTTCGGAGTGTAAGAACGGATAAGCGAAAACGGTTAACCGAATAAGCAATGCGATGTAGATCCATGCTGTTCCCAAGACCCGAGGAATCCTTCACGACAGAACCAAGTGATATTCCCTACCTCTCTTGCATCCGGAGGATTCGAGATGTGTGATTGCGCAGATCAATGACTGCTATAGACAGTTCGCCCGGGAAATCATAAGATCCTTGATTTCCATTGTCTTGGATCATGAAAAAAACACTCCTAACTTTTAAGTTGTCATTTTGGGGTTGATCATGAGACATGCATGGTACCTCATGATTACAGGTGTTGGTTACAGTAACATGCTATTTGACTCTGACTTGTCTCTCGGAACAAAAGTTCGGCATGTTAAGTAGGGTTGCAGAGAGGCGGCACAGAGGCTGAAGGGATGGAGGGATGTCAGACAGTTTGGACTGTGACGATGGAACCGAGACAAGGGGGCCTTGCCTGAAGATGCTCTTTCAAGGTACTGGGCCAGGATAGGAGTTTATATTGGACATATTGAATTTGAGTCATCAGAGCATGTTCTTGGATGGCAGTTCAGCGTTGTACATGGTTACAGGAAGTGAAACTCAATAAGACAAAGACAGACCAACTAAGCTCGGTATGTCCCTTGGTTTAAGGCATGGAGACGAGGATATGCAATGCTGTATCTGACATGAGGTAAACATGGGACATCAGACTCTCCACAAGAAGAAGAGACGAGGAGGAGATTAACTTGAACATACACGTACCTTGGCAAGCCAGTGTCAATATAAAGAATTGCCAAAGTTGTTTGGTCCCAAAGAGAAGTCTTGAAGCTGATAATCCCTGCAAATAACGAACCGAAGTAAAGACCCTTGTCATTCAGACCCTGTCCTTTCCCCTGTCTTCCCCATCTTGGTCTTGTTCTTGTCCTTGTCCTTGGGTCACCGGTCAAAGCCCGAATAAAGCGCAGCGTCTTTCTCGTAATTCCTTCAACCAAATATTTCTGTTGTCTTTTCCTGTGTGAACTTGAAATTCGATGTAATACAGACGAGTACCACCACTCTTAGTGCATTATCCCCGTCACTATTCAAGAAGCTGCCATTATAGTCTTAGGTCCAGTACTACAGTAACTTTAGTGCCCGGACCAAGTCTCGTCGTCTCACCCCAGACTCGCCTCGACTCGACTCAACTAGGCTAATCAAACAAACGGCCTGGATCCTTCGACTCAACTCATCAACTTTGCCTCCTCCAAACTCTTTAACCAAATCCACGACAAATCATTCCAAGTCAACTGCTCGATTGATTCATATGTATTATTAATCATCATCTCACGCCTAATCTCCCACAATCACCGCGACAACTAAACAGTCATCGATCACACTCTTTTCCTCGGCTTTGGCGCTGACTGTGCCTCATTCTTCTCATCTCCCCAGCTTCCAACCCCACATCTTGAAGCGATCGACCGACGACACCCGCTAGAAACGTTCGACAGGACTCATCAATCAGCTTGGCTCAACTCTACTCGACTGTTTCTGTGATAACTACGCCTCTTCTTATTGTTAACTAACTCACTCAAGACTTGCTCACCACAAACAATATCATTGGTATTGTCTTTTCTCAATCGGGCAATCGCCCGTTTCTCCGACCAACCTCATCTTACTCTCAAGCCGCCGCCCTCAGTCACTCACTCTCACTTTGCCAGTCACTGGCTTTCTACAACACAAGATGGCGCCGAATCGCGGCGAAGACGATATAGAACGGTATATTCTACCCTTGCTAACCCATTGCCGATCCATATGCTGATCAGTACTCTCAGCCTGTCAAGGACCACCAATGAATATCCTTCCAGTTCCATGATAGAACATGCACGGCGTCCTTCAGAAGCTTATGTCAACCTTCATGCAAACATTGAAGCCAAGTACGCTCGCTCAACCTCGGCACGCCCGCTCAATCGTTCATGACTAACATCACCCAAGAATCAAGAACCCTCTCTGGGGTCTTCCACGAGCAAGACTTCTAGCTGATGTTGATGACTTTTGTCGAAAAAAGGAACTAGAACAGTACCGCCCCCTCATTCGCAAGGGCGCTCTAGTTGCGCAGGATCCCACTGGCTATGAGGATATCGATGGAGACGAGAAGCTTGACGACACAGAGATACAAGCGCTCAGAGACGAAATCCTCCACAAGTGGCGAGTCCCTTTTGTTCTGTACTTGACCGTTGCGACATGTTCCATCGGCGCCGCCGTACAAGGATGGGATCAAACAGGTTCGAATGGAGCGAATTTGGAGTTTCCCTATGCTTTCAATATCGGCAGCGAAAGTATACACGACAAGCTCCTCGTCGGTCTCGTCAACTCTGCCCCTTACATCGGGACAGCCCTGTTTGGCTGTTGGCTTTCGGATCCCCTGAATTCCCGTTGGGGTCGTCGCGGCACGATATTCTTCTCGGCCAACTTCTGTCTCTGGCCTGTCATTGGGAGTGCTTTCTGTAACAGCTGGAGACAGCTTTTTGCGTGTCGTGTATTACTTGGTATTGGAATGGGCACCAAGGCTTCAACAGGTGAGTTTCTACGTCTCTGAACCACAAGCATGTCGCTGGGACCTCGCAGCTGACATGTGATACAGTCCCCATCTTTGCCGCGGAGAACTCACCTGCCCCGATTCGAGGAGCCTTTGTCATGAGTTGGCAGATGTGGACGGCTTTCGGTATCTTCCTAGGAACATGTGCGAATGTCGCTGTTACGAAAATCGGCCATAACGCATGGAGATTCCAACTAGGATCAGCGTTCATCCCAGCTGTACCCTTGATGTGCTTGATTTACTTCTGCCCAGAATCGCCGCGTTGGTACATGAAGAAGAACCGTTACCAAGATGCGATGAAATCCCTGTTACGACTACGAAACCACCCGATCCAGGCCGCTCGCGATCTATACTATATCCATGCGCAACTCGAGGTCGAACTGGACTTTATTGGCGAGGCACACTATGCCAAACGTTTTATCGAACTTTTCACCATTCCTCGCGTGCGCCGTGCTACTGTAGCTTCATTCGTCGTTATGATTGCCCAGCAGATGTGTGGGATCAACATCATCGCATTCTACTCGACAAGTGTGTTCCGGGATGCAGGCGCCGACGATAACCAAGCTCTGCTGGCATCGATGGGTTTTGGACTGGTTAACTTTGTCTTTGCCTGGCCTGCAATATGGACGATAGACACCTTTGGTCGACGATCTCTGCTACTCTTCACTTTTCCTCAGATGGCATGGACACTACTTGCAGCAGGTCTATGTACTTTGATCCCAGGCACAGGCGGAGCTCACATGGCTTTGGTTGCGTTTTTCGTCTATCTTTTCGCGGCCTTTTACTCACCTGGCGAGGGTCCTGTGCCCTTTACCTACTCGGCTGAAGTGTTTCCTCTGTCGCATCGTGAGGTGGGCATGTCGTGGGCTGTGGCAACGTGCCTTTTCTGGGCGGCAGTGTTGTCTATTACTTTCCCACTGATGTTGGCTAGACTACATGCTATTGGTGCTTTTGGGATGTATGCAGGCTTCAACATTGTTGCGTTGGTTATGATTTTCTTGCTGCTACCAGAAACAAAGCAGCGGACACTCGAGGAGCTGGATTACATCTTTGCAGTACCCACTCGTGTCTTTATGAGATATCAAGTTACGAAAGTGCTTCCCTGGTGGATCAGACGATGGATCTTGTTCCAACGAGAAGCAAGACTGGAGCCTCTGTATCAGTTTGACACAGTTGGCGAACCCGAGGATAATCACAGCAGTGACTTTGGCTACGAAAACGACAAGGCAAAAGTTGAATTGAAGGATACAATTGGACTTACGTCAGGAGTTCAGACGACACGATGAGGTTGATGGTGGATATTGTGATATCATGACATTTGGCGTTTGTTTATGGGAGACTTGATTTGGAGATTTTGTCTGTACTGTACTCTTATGATACCCTGCACGAGAAAGTAGCAAGCGAAATGGAATTGGGCCTTGCCTTCAACTAAAGGAGATGAATACCCCACGAAAGAGGAGAAACGAGGGTATTAGTTTCTAGTCAAGTGACGTAAGGAGGAGACTAGTTATTGTATGATAATGGTCTACGTCGTTTGTACAATTTCCGTCTCTGATCGTTATTCATCAAAACCCGACGCTGAAATTCGCCGAGCTCCTTAGTTCGATGTGAGTGACGTCGTGATAGCGGAAAGTGAAGCGGGCTTCTCAACTGAACTGGTCTTGGCCCAAGGTGGGAATTCCGTCATTCTCATTCGGGGCCTCGGGAGACGATCACCATCTCCACTTGATCAACATTCGGATGGGTTGGAAAGAGATAAATGCCCAAAAGGCGTTGATGCTCAGTGACAGAACTGAATTAGGAAGGGAGACGATAATGCCGAGGCCGACATGGGCGTCTAATCGAGGAGACACACCGTTTCTCCATACAAGTTCTCATTCAACGTCATGATGTTTGCGCGCGCTTAGTGAGTGACGCACATACTGTGTAGCGTAGCTTCTTCTCGTTTACGATACCCGACGATACGAACTGGGGAGTGAGAAGTCTTTGGGCGTTTCTACAGTAGAGCAAGAGCACGGTCAAGCTTTTCCGGGGATGGCTGATCGATCAGATCACGTTGCATTTTCTTGTTGTTGCTGGTTGAAGCGGAGACTGCTGATCGACCTACGTGGATTCCTCGTGAATAATGGGATCGACATTGCGTTGTCGAAGGTGGATGGGCACTGTGGGTGAGGAGTGAGACATGAAGGGTCCAGCAGATTAGCAACTGTGAGAATGATCATTGAAGATGATAATGGCAAAATATTATAGTAGCAAGTTGAAGTTGAAAGAGTAACAAAGGAAATGCGGCTGGTGGAATAAGCCGAGTGATGACCCAAACTGTCGGTCCTCTCAAGTTCCAGTTTCAACGTCGTCCCAGCTCCCAGTGTCAGTGTAGGTAGGGTTACACTCCATCAGCTTATAGCAAAGACAACTATCTTGGCACCGGGAGATGAACCGAATTTAATGTCGCCTTGCGAAAAAATAGGGGGACGCAATTAATGTCAGCGTTTCCTCAACTCGTTTCATATATCCGCAAACTCTACCATTTCAATCCACGATGAAACCTAAAAAAGAAAAACAATTCATGGTCTCGACTTTTTTTTTTTTTTTGTTGAAATTTGACTTTGGCTTCCATCACAGTGGATGGAGGTCAAGGCGTGGACTAGCGAGCGTTTTTTTTTCTTGCCGTCACCCTTATTCTGACACGTTGACACAGGCTAATGCGGGATAGCATGACTTGAGGTCACTTCGTGTCTGCAGGGGTAAATATCATGGTTTGTTTTGTTCTTCTGAACCAGTGGCAAGATGAGAGGGGCTTTGGAGCAGGAAATAAGTCTTGGTATGGTGGCTGTGAGCCGAAGATGCATCATGGAGTAGAAGATGAAATGGCCATCATGAGATATCCATAGGCAGCGTCATAGAAAGCATCTTCAGCATGCTCTTCAACATCAACGTCAGGATGTTCGATCAGATTACACAATCTTCGTCTAAAGATACCAACGGCCAAGCGCTGCGGCAGTTGGCGGCTTTCAATTTGAACAACACCCTCATTCTCTGGTGGCGTAGACGCTAGAATTCCCGGGAATGACGAAAAGAAAAGCGGTTGGTTTCGCCTTGTCTTCAATGTCTTAATTGCGCGTCAGTTATCCAAAGGTGTGCTAGCCGGGGATCAATAACACAAAAAGGAAACTCAGCCGTTGAAGGCACGAGGGGCTAACCGTTAGCCTACAACTTGTTGAGCCTCCATCGACCCTTTGTAAGTCGAACATCGAATAAGAACTTTTCGTAATGATTCTCGCCATGTGCAGCATACCGACTCTTTCAACAACATTCGAACCATCACTGATCAGGGAGAACTCGTACCGTGTTTCACTGTTACAGTTGCTGGCGTCAAAACGTCAGCTCCCGATGTGGGATCGGTATATGGACCCCTTGAGATCTCTGGTGTAAATCTTTGCCACGAAGGGACGCCTCGAGAGCTTGAAGCTTTCTTGGTGGATAGTGCTGGGTGGAATAAATATGGGGAAGATACGGTTAGATGTTAACTTTTGGTGCTTTGCATTGATGATTGACTGATCTCTCGTATCGAGAATCGCCTCTGGTCCCCAGTTTTTGTTATGTTTCTTCCCTTGCTTGGGTATGTGTCTTCTGATCATGGTAAAGATATTCTTCTTGCGGTGTAAATGGATGGCCTGTTGGTGGTCGGGTGTTTTAGACGTGCAAACCGAGACATACACAGACTTTGATTGTCAAAGCTGTGAAATGTCATGCATTTGCCTGCCAAAATCACGTTCGTATAAGCCCACGTCTCATCCTTGGTTGAATCCTACATATTTCTTGTCATAACAAAAGGCTGCACTGTCTAGACTGTACAGTATTTCGCGTATGTGTTGACTTTTCGGCCGCGTAGCACCCCAGCCCGATTTGGAGACGTGAAACAAAGGGGTATCTGAGACCAGCCTGTCAATGGTTGTTTGTGGCTGCCGGGGGGCGGCGCCTCCCCCTGGCCCGGCGTTGAGAACCGCTGCCGTTCTGAAATATTACTGGATAAATGCCGACATTTGGGGGGGCCGGGTGCCCCTGAAGCCCGGCATACAGCAGATGAAAGGAAAAAAAGTGAAAGAGAAAAAACTTGCAGAGGTGCCCAGTGTCTGGGGACCCTGTCGCGGATCCTTTTTCAGCTGGTAGGGCTCATGATCCAGCGAGAGGGGAGCCCTGAGGGCCCTAAGGACCCAGGACCAGGACCCAATTGGACTTGGTCCATAGAGAGAAAAACTTGAGTGGGTGGTTGGCTTTTCGCCGTGACTGAAGACGCGCTGCTGGTGGATTCACGGCCCCTTCTCCAGAGCCATGACCCGCCCGTGAGTGGGAAAAAAAAAACGATCGGGAACCCCTTTTGTTGCTGACGGTATCTGAGTCCCGGCTTGGTATTTCTAGGATTGTGCTTGGATGGCAAGGCGGACAAACCTCAAATAGCAACAGAACCTGGCCTAGCCTAGTACAAGAAAAAAAAGGAAAAGCACACCATGGTAGTGGATGTCACAGTGTAATTTTTAAATATCTCGCACTCACACGAGCTTGAGCAAGAGCCAAGTCCGACAGGGAAGGAACAAGGAACACCCACCCAATCCAGGATCCCCGAAACCTCGTTCGTCAATGATTGACTTCAACCTCTCTTTCTAGTCGTTCCCTTTCTCTCTCTTCTTCCTCTTCATCATTTCTCCACCGACACTCGTTCCAGTCCCTATTATAACCACGGCCCTCCACCCCCGGCCTAGGCTTGCCCTTCTTTTGATCGCTTCCCATCTTTTGTTTGTTTCCTAGCTCCTAGGTTTGATCTCTCTCTCTCTCTCGCTTCCTCACTTCATCCCAGGTAGCACCAATAACCACCAACTTGTTCCTGTTCGTCTTCGCTGGAGAAGACGGCAGATCACCTTCGCTCTTTTTCCTATACCTGCAAAAAAGAGGAGGAGAATCATATGGGATCGTTGTAGCGTTTTGTCTGCATTTATTTCCTTGAATCTACTACATCATCGGCATACAACACAGCATTGAGCCGAGCATTGGCATATCTAGCTTGGAGCAAGTCTTCAGCAGAAAGATAATCACCCCCATTCCTACCTGATTCCTAGACACCCTACGAGCGCAAGCAGATCATTGCGGCTAAGGATTTGATATCCTACCACCGTCTCATATCCTGCTAGTACTGCCCGACCTCCAATCTTCAAACGCCTATCGGTTTCATCATCGGCCTCGACTCACGCCAACGGGTCGATCACCTCTTAACTTGAAGTATTCGGGCCACCACATCGAATACTCCCGCACTTTCGACTCCCTGGTTGGAGTTTGATATATAACTACACACGAGAATGGTTAATCGCCACGTTTCTTTATCTCCCCGCAATTCGCGTCACTCTCACACAGGCTTCGTTCCCCTTGGTGGCAGCAACAGCAATAACGAAATGGGCGACGGTATTCAGCTCACGCCGGTCAAGAGCAATGCCTCTGCCCGGAGTGGTATGAGGAAGGCCGACATGCCTCAACCCTCTACCATGGATAGCAACTCTCCCACCGAGGACGAAAAACTCACCGGTCAAGGTCACCGCGGCCGTCGAAGGAGAATGGGCGATGGCCTCTCTCGTAGCGGTACCGGAGGAGAGGAAACCACATTGAACCCAATGGGTAGACTCTACTACAAAATCATCGGCTTCTCTGTTGTCACCAGATACCTTGTATATGTCGTCCCTGTCGGTCTTCTCTTGGCTATTCCTCTGATTGTCCTCGCCGCCATTGGCAAGAAGGATGGCATTCCTGTCGGTAAATGGAACGGAGATGGTGACAGGGCTGGCGATGATGGCCCTCCTCTCTTCAAAATCTTCCTCTGGGTTCTCATCATGTGGCTCTCATGCTGGGTCGCCAAGGTTGTTGCTTGGTTCTTACCCTCGCTCTTCATGTTCTTTACTGGCGTCGTCAGCAAGGGTACTCGCAAGTACGCAACTGTCCTCGGAAACCTCATCCTGCCCTTCTCCTTCTTCTTCTGGGCCTTGGCTTCTTATGTCACTTTCAAGAACCTCTGGATGGAGGAAGATAGAGGTAACAACTACGTCCCATGGGTCCGCACTATGGGCCGTGTCCTTGGTGCTCTTTTCGTTTCTTCAGCTGTCTTCCTTGGCGAGAAAGCGATTGTCCAGCTGATCGGTATCTCCTACCATCAGCGATCGTTTGCGAACCGTATCAGGGAGTCTAAGCGTGAGGTCCACTTGCTCGGGCTTCTTTTTGATGCCTCCCGAACCCTCTTCCCTCTCCATTGTCACGAGTTCGCTGATGAGGATGCCATCATTAATGATAGCATTGAGGTGATGCTCCGTGGTAAGAAAGGACACAAGCGCAACGGCTCTGCCACCCCCATGAAGCTCATTGGAGAGGTTGGCAAGATCGGAGACAAGGTTACCTCCGTTTTTGGCAACCTTGCCTCTGAGATCGCTGGCCGACAGGTTTTCAACCCTAACTCCGCTCACTCCATCGTCATCGAAGCTCTTGAGAAGACTAAGTCATCTGAGGCAATGGGTCGACGTATATGGATGTCTTACGTTGTCGAGGGTCACAACTCACTTGTTCTGGATGACTTCCAGGAGGTTCTTGGACCTGCTTACAAGGAAGAAGCTGAGGAATCATTCTATATGATCGACGGTGACGACAATGGTGATATTAGTCTCGATGAGATGGTCAGGAAGGTTGTCGAAATTGGCACCGAGAGAAAGGCAATCGCCGAAGGTATGAAGGATATTGGTCAGGCTCTTCAGGCATTTGATAAGATTCTTCTTGTCGTCGTCCTGTTGGTCGTTATTTTCGTTTTCCGTAAGTCTCACCTCATAAGTGTGTTTCGAATTTCACTAACAATCCCCTTAGTTGCTTTCTTCCAGAGTAGCTTCATTACCACTCTCACCACTGCCGGAACTACCCTGCTTTCTCTGTCTTTCATCTTCGCAGTTACTGCCCAGGAATTCCTCGGTTCTTGTATCTTCCTTTTCGTCAAGCACCCCTACGATGTCGGTGATCGTGTCGACATCAGTGGCACCAGGATGGTTGTCAACAAGATCTCCCTCCTCTACTCTGTTTTCCACCGACTCGACACCATGCAAACAGTTCAAGTGCCCAACATTCAGCTCAACAACATCTGGATCGAGAATATCTCCCGTAGCAAGGCCATGCACGAAACCGTCGAAGTCAACGTTTCTTTCGATACCTCATTTGAGGACATTGAACTTCTCCGCCTCGAGATGGAGAAGTTCGTTCGACAACCCGAGAACGCTCGTGACTTCCAGCCTGATCTTAGCATTAGTGTTGGCGGTGTCGGTAACCTCGACAAGCTTCTGCTCTATGTCACCATCGCTCACAAGTCCAACTGGCACAACGATTCCGTCCGCGCCAGCCGCCGTTCTAAGTTCATGTGTGCACTTGCCCTGGCTCTGAAGAAGGTGCCTCTTATTGCTCCCGGTGGCGGCGGCGAGCCTCTTGGTGGACCTACAAACCCCTCTTACTCTGTTACTGTTACCGATGAGTTCGCCAAGAACAGTCGTGATGAGGCTGCTAAGGCTACTGATGAAGCTCGCATGGTTCCAACCTCGAAGCAGGAGAACACTGAAGAGAGCCAGGCCCAGGCCGCTGAAGGCTTCAACTCGCGCCCCCCTGCCGCCGGCCTTGGTGTCTGGGATAACAGTGACAACCACACCCTGGGCTCTCACGATGATGAAGTCAACCGCAACCGCGATATCGAGCATTTGCGCACTGATCTCAAGCGTGAGAGCACTCGGGGTCGCCGCAAGGCGGGTGAGGCTATTCCCTCACTTTCTCTTGAGACGGCTCCTCGTGCTAGCATCACGTTGACGCAAGCAAGCCCTCGCAGCCCTCACCGTGGCCCCTTCGATGAAGAGGCCGAGGCTGGCATGGGCCCAACGCCTTACCATTCTAATCTCTCTGCCGGCCCATCACAGGGTTCACAAGGCTACCAGCCATATGCCGGCTCCAGCAACCAGTATAATGTCGCCAACCCTCTACAAAGGCCTGGTCAGGGACCGCCTCAGGGGCCACCTCCTCAAGGACAACCACCCGCTCCCCAGCGCTAGTGGACCTGGAAGTGAGACAGACGAACTGTAACGGCTGATCAGTGTGTATTGATAGTAGTAATATTGGGGAGGTTATTTGGGACGGAATTGAGTTTTTCTATGTTGGTATTCGGGTTACTCGAGAGACTAAAACAGTCCTCTCCTTTCTTAGAAATCAGATTGGGTCATCCGTATAAAAAGACTGGGGCGGATGTATCGGTTTATGAAACACAGCCAGGGACTGCTGAGCAGCAGCTCTCAATATTCACGAAGTAAAGAATCTAGATTATTATTACACTTCAATCAAATATTTTGAGGATAAATGTTGTTTCAAGGAACTTGGCATTTGCAAAGGCTACTAATTTAGCAAACGTGCTCTGGAGGTGGGACCTCGCCGTCCTTTGCCCCCAACTCAGTCTTGAGAACACGACCGAAGAGTTCTAGCAGAACCTCGAAGCAGACCTTGGTGATAGCAGGATCATAACGTCCCTTGCTTAGCTCGTCACGGATGAAGGCGTGCTGAGCCCACGCAAACTCATAGAAGCTAGTAGGGACACCAGCTTCGCGAAGCTTGGCACGGATTAGATCGCGACCAGCATCAGGGACATGAGTGTCCTTTACACCAAAGATCATGGCAACCTCTCCCTTGAACTTGTTGAAGAGATCGATGGTGTGGTTGCTGTTGGGAGGAGCAGTTGATGAAGTGTTGGGCGCATCATAAGGGCCGAGTGTGCGGGAGTGAATATCGGTTGCGAAGTAGGCAACGCAAGCAGAGATGCGAGGGTCAAGCTGTGTCGAGCTGTTGAGTGATATGAAGAGAAAATATTAGGTGAAAGACTTACAGCAGCGCGAACGGCCAGATGGCCACCTAGACACATGCCTGTAGCTCCAATACGGCCTGTGCAGGTGGGAAGTGAGAGGAGGTAATCGACGGTGGCATATGAGTCGGCATCATAGGACTCGAGGGTCTAAAACAGTTAGTTAGAGTGAGTCCAAGTAAACAGTGCTGGTTGTCGAGTGAATACCTTTTCGATCTTGAACTTGTTGCCACGATCAGTGTCCTCGGCGTCGTACTTGAGGGGCTCAGGGCCGGTGAAGTCATGGTAAGATGAAGGCGCAGCGACGATGTAGCCTTGACCAGCGATCTGACGAGCGAAGCGGGCAACAGGACCGGTGACTGGAGAAGTAGAATGAGCTTGTCGTGATATTGATGTGATTATAATGTGAAGTCTTACCTTGGTAGATCTCACTGAAAATACTCACACCAGGGAAGCGTCTGAATGAAGGTCAGAATGATGCAGAGCAAGAGGATTCAGGAGACTTACGCATTAGGATATCCAGGAATAGTGGGATGAAAGACAAAGATGCCTGCTCAAGAGTGTAAGCTTCTCATATCACATGGCATGAGAGTTGAGCTGGACATACGCATAGTACCCTCCTTGCCATTGGCAGAGGTCGGGACATCGACGTGAGACTCCTTGATCAACATTTTGCTTCCTTTAGACCAAAGATTATGAAAGTTCAAAGTTGCAAGATTGGAAGTTATAAATTGTACGGAGTAGTTGCTTTTATCTATTCAACCTCATATCATTATCAACTTCCCCTCGATGCCCCTCGGCGGGGTGTTACATACATCCTTCAAGCGAGACGCCTCTGATTGGTTGAGAGCAACATCATTCAAGCTTCATAACTTGATCCGTTGTGGCACCCGGACCGATCCCGCCAGCACCCGCTATAGAATCAATCTCATGAGTAAGCAGTAGTAAGTTCTTATTAGCAGAGCGCAGCTGATGACATGTCTTGGACACCTACCCAAGTTGTATGCGTGTCCTAGGGCAGCTGCTGCAGTACAATGTGACCGCTTTTTGACACCGAATCACAGAAATAAACATGTGGCAGGGGTATAGCTAATTACCGTAGAACACCTGCATATAAGGAGTGATAGGGAGGTGCTTCAGTGGGACCTCAACTGCTAATCCGCCTTCGGACCGTCGAATCCTAGGGGAGAAGAGGTTCGTTCAGTAAATAAGTACGTACCTCACAACCCCATCATTCGTCGTCACAAGGATCTATCCTGTCCTTCCTTGTCTCTGTCCAGGTGGTCACAACTTTTTGGTCGTCCGACTGCTCTAGTTATTTGCCCCAACAACTCTCGATCCTGTTTCTGACTCTTTTTTTCCCTCTATACAGATTTTAAAAAAGGGACACTTCCTTCAGCATATATTCTCAGGATAACATAAGCTCATCATATCGAGGGTCGCCACCCGTACTTTTGTCCACGGATGCACGCCCCAGCTCTCGAATAAACCTCTACCTACACCTACTTACGTCTACTACATTTCTCCTTGATATATACCAATCGCATACCATGAACGGCCATTTCTCTGCCGTCGGCGAGGCGCCGGGGGCTGGAAGCTATGAGCACGGCGTCCAGGTTATTGACGAGGATAAGGAGTTCAAGTATGTACTGTACAGCTGTCGAGTTGTTCCCCCGCCACTTTGTCCGTCATGATGTCTACAGTACTAACTAACCCTACTACACTACAGCACCCACCTCAATGAGTATCTCAACGTTACTGATGTTGCTGCCTCTGGCTTCAATTACCATCTTATCTCCGTCTTCGGCTCCCAGTCGACCGGAAAGTCGACCCTCCTGAACAACCTCTTCGGCACCGACTTTTCCGTCATGTCAGAAACCGAGCGTCGACAAACCACGAAGGGTATCTGGATGTCTAAGAACAAGCGCGAGACGAGCGCAGGCACAAAGATGTCCGACAACATCCTTGTCATGGATGTTGAGGGTACCGATGGTCGAGAGCGCGGTGAGGACCAGGACTTTGAGCGCAAAAGTGCCCTGTTTGCGCTGGCCACCAGCGAGGTCTTGATCGTCAACATTTGGGAGCACCAGGTTGGTTTGTACCAGGGTGCGAACATGGGACTTCTCAAGACCGTTTTCGAGGTCAACCTGCAGCTGTTCCTCAAGGACAAGCAGTAAGCCAAGCTCTACGGTAACCCATTGCTTGCGCGATTACTAACTCTACCTAGGTCAACCCCTAGATCTCTACTATTCTTCGTCATTCGCGATCATCTTGGCACTACACCCCTGGGCAACCTGCGAACCACCCTGATTCAGGACCTGACTAAGATTTGGTCGTCCATCTCCAAGCCTCAGGGACTCGAGGGTTCGCGCATCGAGGACTACTTCGACTTTGGCTTTGCTGCCCTGCCTCACAAGATCCTTCAGGCTGATAAGTTCACCGAGGAGGTCCAGAAGCTTGGATCGCGGTTCACCGCTGGACACCGACACGGCAAACCTGGTCTGCACGGTGACCAAGAGCTCGAGGGTGGTCTCTTCCTCCCTGAGTATCACCGACGAATTCCTGCCGATGGTTTCTCCGTTTATGCTGAGGGCATTTGGGACCAGATTGTGAACAACAAGGACCTGGATTTGCCTACCCAACAGGAGCTTCTGGCTCAGTTCCGTTGCGACGAGATTTCTCGAGAAGTTCTGATTGACTTTGACGTCGTAGTCACGCCCCTTGAGGAGAAGCAGAGCGAAGCTTCCAAGCTCGGTGTCCCAACTGTTCTGCCCGATCTTGGCCTGGCTGGTAACGATGCTCGCCAGAAGTGCATCAAGGCTTTCGAAGTGCAGGCAAGCCGATACCATAAGGGAGTCTACGCCCGCAAGCGACACGAGCTCGAGGGCAAGATTGATACTCGCCTGAAGGCACTCTACCAGGGTCAATTGGCCGCTGCCCACAAAGCCGGTGTGACTGCTTTTGGCGAGGCTGTTGCCAACAAGGTGAAGGCTGGGCAAAAGGCTGGTGGTAGCTACGAATTTGCTGAAATTGTCGCCAACGAAAAGCGAAAGACACTGGACATCTTTGGTGTTGAGGCTCAGAGCTTACTCATTGAAGGTGTCTCATGGACTAACTTCGAATCGCAGCTCAAGCTCTTTGAGAAGGAGCTTGACGAAGAGAGCGCTAAACTACGAAAAGAAGAAATGCGACGACTTGCGACCCGTGTCGAGCGCTGGGTCAGATCTCGACTTGGCGATGCCGTTGGTCTCGAGTTCAACAAGCTGGGCAGCGGCCGAGCCGGCGGTGGTGCTCCCGAAACCGGCGAGAAGCCTGACTCTGAGAAGGATCTCTGGGACAGAGTATGGAAAGTCTTCACGGGCATTGTCAAGGAAGCCGAGGTTCGATTTGCCGAGCGGGCTAAGAGCTTCGACGCTACTCAGGAAGAGGTTGAGATCGGCACATGGCGATTGCGCCGAAAGAGCTGGAACGCCCTTCGAGAAAAGATTGAGGAAGAGGTCATGGAGGGCAATATTCTGCTGAAGCTTCGAGAGAACTTTGAAGATAAGTTCCGGTACGACGAGGCTGGTGTACCCAGGATATGGCGTCCCAGTGACGATATTGAGGGTATTTACACCAAGGCGCGAGAGTCTACTCTCACCCTTGTTCCTCTTCTCTCAAGATTCCGACTGTCAGAGACATATGGCCCTCCTGACTTGCCAGGCTTCGTTGGACCTCAGCCCAACGGTGTCCAGGCTAGTGATGAAGAGGACCTCACACCGATTGGAGGCATCGACGAAGAGGATGGCAAGAGCCTCGAGGAGGAGATGACGGTGCTCAGCGAGGGCAAGCGCCAGGACCTTGTTGTACGATTCAAGAAGACTGCTGATGGAGTTTATGTCGAAGCCAAGCGAGGTGCCATTGGTGGGGTTGCTCAGGCTCCTTGGTACTTTTATGGTTTACTCCTTGCCCTTGGCTGGAACGAGATATTGACTGGTAAGTTTTATCCAGCTATGATTGGCTTTTGTGCTTTAGCTAACAAACGGCGTTTCAGTTCTGCGAAATCCCTTCCTTTGCCTCCTCATCCTGGTCATCGCCGGAGGTACATATGTTGCATACACACTTAACCTCCTCGGTCCTATGCTCTCAATGGGCAATGCTGCTATGACCCAGGGTGTCGAGATTGCGAAGCAGCAGCTCCGCGACTTTATTGCCAACTCCGATACAGCACGTCAGGCTGTTGGCATGCCTGCGCGCGAGGACAGCGATAACATTAGCATGGATACTTTGGATAGTCGGGGCAAGAAGGCCAACGCGACTTCCACAGAGAAGGATGACATTGACGACATTTAATGTATAGGGGCTGTGTATGAGTCTGAGCAGTGGCGCCAGGCCTTGTCGAGTATGATTAGCGAACAGGATATAATGTCTACTGTAAAAATAAAAGGAGAATTTGTTCGATTCACGCCCAAGTGATATCCAAAATTGACTGTTTCAATAAATTCGTTCCCAAGTAGATTATAGGGGTATCTAGAATGCTTCCAAGCCAGTCGACGTACCAAACCAATTGCCCAACTCCGATGACTCCTTATCCTTGTCCCCCGAGGTGAAGTAATCAGTGAGCCTACCCGTCTCACCGTCATCCTCAAGTGGCCACTCAACCTTGACACCATTTCCCTTGGCCTCAAGCATGTCCTTTGCTGTCCCCCAGCTGAACCGACACTCCGGTCCCCATCCGAACACAGGATGCATGTTGCCCTTCATCCATCCAACGCAGCGTCCGTCAGATGGATATCCTGAGCCCCATGCCATACCCTCACCATCCTTCTCGTCTTCATCTGCCCTCGCTTCAAAGAGAACTTCGAGCGCGGCATCACGAGTGACCTTTGCGCATACCGATGCAGCACTGACGCAGGCATACAAACTATCGGCCTTCTTGGCAACCGTGATTTTGGCTGTAGGAAACACGCGCTGCAGCTTTGCTTGATATGCTGCTGGTTGGCCAATTGTATCAACGTAAATCTCCTGGATGTTTACGCCAAGCGCATACGCAGCTTTTATAAGATCGACTGTAGCGTCCATAGCCTGTGCATTGAGGTTGTACGCATTCGTAGGTCGGTACATGTTCGCGCCGATATCTCTAGCTGATAGTGAAGCCGTTGCCCAGCCACAAGAGTCGTGGAGATCCGAGCCAGGTGTGCAAAGCGTGCGCATAAGATCTGAGCGAACAGCAGGTGTGAGGACCTTGGAATCGTCAAAGTGATGCTTCTCGCGAAGTAGAGAATCAGAGAGATCTATCGGGAGGAAGAAGACGCCATAGACCATGGGGCCGAGAACAGGACCACGTCCGGCTTCGTCGACACCGAGACAGCATGGAGTTGCTGAGGAGGGATCGGAAGGGTCGCTGGGGAGTAGAGAAGGGGGGACGGCGGAGAAGTGGTTGAATGACGAGCCTGAGAGGAGGGCTTCGCCATGGACTGAGGGTGGGATATAAGTTGTTGAGGAGCGGGTGGCTGTCTCGGGGACGTCTTCGGCTGGTGAATCCATCATTATGAGATATTCTATGATAAAAGGTATAGTTTATTATGCTGCAAGTTCAGTTCTGGGAACAGATTCGTCAATTGATCGTTTTGATGCCTCTGGTTGTCATGGAAGTTGAAGTAAAGAGAAAGTTAGTGGTAAGAGTTCCAGGAGACGCGTCTAGACGCGTTAAGCACCCGAGCCCCATATTTTATATAGTGCCACTGAACTATACCTACAGGCACTTGACCACCACAGCCAACCTAAAGGAAGGTATGGCAAGCTCCACGGTGTAAGTCATGGGAGATATACGATTGGCTTGGCCTGATTTATGTCAGTTTATGCGAGTAACCTAGAATTGTATTTGATTTTCTTGGAGTCATGTCATCTAATATTGTCGTTGATGCCCGTTGAAGGCAAGTAAACAAGCCACTGCACGCACTTATACAACGCCACGATAAGTCAAGCCACATGCAGTGGCAAACTGAAAGTATCAAGTCAATCACCTCAAAGATGAACATAACAGATTGATTGAGCTCCTGACTGAGTATGGATCAATAAAACATGAATAATTTATCTACGGCAAAGCTCTTCCCTCACTATGACCTCCGCATATTAAGGACCGAGCAAATTATAGCCTACCATGCTGAAGGATACCTAAGCCCACTGTGCCCATGTAAGATTTACTGGTCAAATTTAAACTGTGACCCTCTAACACCCCCCCAGCTCCAGGCGGGGACCACTCGATTCCAATTACTTGGGCGCGCCGCTTGAAAGTCACCACCAAACAACATTCACAACCGCGTCACCAGTCGCGTCTTTGTTTCCAATTCTCATTATATCCCACCCATACATTTCGACGTCGCGATCAGAGAATCCTTTTCGGAAGAAGGAGACATAGCATACGTTCAGGTGAAAAACAAACAAAATGGCACCTCGAGGCGCAAGGCGCAGTGAAGTTGCTGAACCGCAGGCCATTTACAAGCTCGGCGAGCGTGGCCGGTAAGTTCATGTTGCGCGTTTGAAGCGCAAAAGTATACCGTTACCTATGTTTATGCAGGGTCTAATTGTTCCTGTAGCAAAACTGGTGTCGAGTTGATAGACACAGGTAATCGCGACGAATATGGCATGCAACCTTTGGACGACCTTCTTTCTTCTCCAGAAAAAGAAACCGGATCTGATCAAAGATACGATGACGAGGATGAAGGGCCAAATAACGACCAATACGAGAGCGGAGACGACGAGGACGAAGATGGCAGTGAAGATATGGACATTGAAACAAGTGCGAGCGCAAAGGCCTACAACCATAAGATGCATTGACTGACACCATTCCAGTTCCTGGGCCGGGACCTCAGACTGTGCTTAGGGGGAAAATGCAGTATCCCATCCCTCGAAGTCGATCGCCCGTGAAGACTACATTAATGTCTTCCCCTCGACGAAATCCGAACCTCGAACATCTCTCCTCACCCACCCGCGCACCCTATTCCAACGATCGGGACGCTACTGTGACCCGGAAAATCGATTTTGGAGCAAAACCTTCTTTGCGCGGGAAAGCTACGGCGAATGGAGTCAATGGCGGCACTCACGACGAGGAGGACGCCGATGAAACGGAAGATGCGCCTGAGGCCAGTGAAGAGGGCGACGTTGCGGATGACATGGACCTTCTCGATAAGTCTATTGAATTGGTTGACGACCTGACGAGACACTCGTCAGAACAGGAGTCAGAGCCTGAGCCGGAGCCTGTTAAGACCAACAAAGCATCAGCCAAAGACAAGTCACAACGAGCAGAACCAGAACCCAGAAAGCCAGGGAAACGAGGAAGACCAGCGAAGGCCAGACCAGTCGAAGAAGAGCCCGTAGAGGAGGAGCCTGTTGAAGAAGAGCCTCAAGAGATCCAAGAGCCAGGCAAGGGCCGAAGGGGACGGAAACCGAAGACCGCTGTTCAACCTAAGAAGTCAGCTGCTCCCGAATCACGGAAGCGACCTGCGCCAGAGGAACCAGAAGAGGCCGAGGAGCATGAAGAGCCAGACAACGAAGCCTCAGATCCCGAGCCTGAACCTGAAGAATCCCACAAACATGCCAAGAGACCGCGAACTGAAGCTTCGAACCCCTCAAAACCAGCCAAGTCAGCGCCAGCAGCCGAGTCAAAACCCAGAGGGAGACCGGGACGAAAACCTAAAGCACAGACCGCCGGCGATGTTGGAGATACATCAATTGCAGCGATTCAACATAGACCTCCGATGCCCAAGAAGCGCGGTCTGGTCTCTGTTCGTCATAACCCCGATGAAGTCAAGACGACGAGATCTGGGAGACACTCATTCAGACCACTGAATTGGTGGGCAGGCGACAAGGTGGTTCAAGAGGAGGAGGAATTTAAGGACGTCTCCGGCCGTGATCGCTTTGTGTTGTCAACTATTAAAGAAATCATCCGTGCGCCTCAAGAAGAGCCGCCTGCAAGGCCTAGGACAAAAGCTCGTGGAAGGGCGAAATCCAAACCTGTGCGAGAAGTTGAAGTGGTTGAGCCTGAAGAGTGGGAGCTGAATCCTGGTGTTGTCAACGCTGAGGTCATCTTGTGGGAGCCTGAGCACGAGACGAATCCTCCTGGAGACGAAGAACCAGTCGAGGTTATGGAGGATCGGGTCGCTATATCGGGTGAAGCTGTTCAGACCCGTGTTGTTCAAAATGTGTCTTTCCGCATGGCCAAGACACTCACTACCCCTTTCATGGGTGCGGGTGTTGTTGATCTACCTGCTGGGTCTGAGAAGAGGCCAAAGAACTCGCGAAAGATGCACATGGTCTTCTTTGTACATACTGGAAAGGTCCTTGTCACGGTTAACGAGGCTTCATTTCGACTCAGCGCTGGAGGCATGTGGTTTGTTCCCAGAGGTATGTCAACTTCCTCCTCCTCTTTTTGAATCTGCTGAGTGACTAACTGCGTGGATTAGGAAACTATTACAGCATAACCAACGACTACGATACAGATTCTCGCATATTCTTCACTCAAGGATGTGAAATATCAGCTCAACCAGCAGAACCCGATCAATCACAAATGTCCATGATGGCTTAGGAGTAATTAATATAGTGAAGGCTGTGGGATGTCAATGGTGAACTGTGTCACTTTGTTTGATCATGGCACAGATGACGAGTGTACTTTTTTTAAGCAACTGTTTACTTGGGAGCATCCTTGGAAGAAAAAGCATGAATACGGGGGTTCATTATGTCGGATTTGCCTTGAAGGAGACGCCTGTTGACCGGCTTCATGATTTATGTTCGGTTAGGGGCTTGTTTAGTTGTATACCATTCATGACAGATGAAATTTCAATTTTACTGCAAGATTCTTGTAACAATACCTGAAATGCAATACCACTGCTGGCCGATTATGAGATGATAAGTATTGTTCATAAGCACCTTTCCGAGTCTCAGAAAATTCTAGTAGACTTAAATAAATCTCAGATGTTCTTGCTCTGATAAAGTATGACAATAGTTAGAGAGGAGTCATCATAAATCAAGATAATCCTTCCCAAGCATATGCAACCCAGGATTAAAACTCCTCGCTAAGAAGCTTCTTCAAAGTGGTCATTTCCTTATCCCATTTAGTGATCTTGGCTTGGCTATCTTCCAACTTGCGGAGCAAGAAGTTAATACGTCCTGCTGTCTCTGCTGTCTGACGAGGCAAGTTGCCCAGAAGAGCCAATTCGTTTTCAACCTTCTCGATTGAGCGAGCTTCGGCCTTGGACGAATCGTTGAGAACATCATAGTCCATCTTGGCTCTAAGGACACGGTCCTGTAGAAGGACCGAAAAGGCAGCTTGGTGCAGAGGCTTGCTAGCTGTGATTGTCATGGGTCGGCCCTGGTGCGTCTTAACAGCGATGAGCTCGGCGCTGACAAGGCTATCAATGGCAGCATCGGCATTTGAGGCAGCCGCGGGTGCTGCAGAGGAGAATGGCGCCGAGAGTGTGACTTCGTTATAACGTAGGTTGGGGGTTTGAGCAAGCGACTTGATAAGATGCCAAGCCTGTTGAGAAGAGAATTTCTTGTCCTCAATCTCTGAAGACTTGCCAAGAAGGTAGATACGAACAATGTCAGTAGCTGTCTCGGAAACGATCTCTTCCATAGCTTGTTTGGGAGATTGCCCAGTTCGTAGGCGCCGGGCGAGGAACTCCAAATCTGTGAGACGGCCACCAAGAGTGTCGATACACTGGTCAAGCTCAAACATGTTTGGGCGTGGGATAGGTGATTTTTCAGTGTCTTCATCCCCTTGCTCCTTTCGTGCTTTCTCGTCAGCGGCGAGTTGATCCTTGAGCCGGCTAAGAACAAAGTTCTTTGCTACCTGGGGCGCTAAATCACCAAGGGAAACAGTACGGAAGAGTCGGTCAGGTAGTGCTTTATCTAGGGGTTTCGAGTAGGCCGAGTCAGTGGTGAGGAAAATAACATGGGCGACGTTGTTTTGCACGACAGTCGCTGCCCATTCAGCTATCTTGTCGTAGATGATGCTGTTTTCCTCGCCCTTGTGGAGGAAGTTATCGATGACGACAACAGGTCTACGCTCAGGATGAGCTTCCAGCCAGGCATCCTCGGACAACTTGTAGTCGCTATCCTTTTTGTTACGCGAGCTAACGGCAACGTCTTTGAGAGCACCGGTCGTAGTCTGCATGATCTTGGTCAACTGAGACTCAAGAGTTTCCGAGAAGCCAGCTTTGACGCCAGTAGTGCTCTGAACAGCAAGATCGATCATACTGCTCATACTGTTGGCCCATGAGAATACAGGACGATAGCCAACGGCTGTAGCAAGACGTTTAATAGTGCCCGCCTCGCCCCTAGCCTCGACAATGCGTCTGCAGTCGATCTTGAGCACGTTCTTCCGGCCTTCCAAAGCTTGATCCATGACCATCTCAACCTTTCCCGACCCCTTGGGTCCAGTAACAACGATGAATGTGTCAGATGTTTCATCAAGCCAGCCTTGCACTTTGTCAATTGCATCTCGCCGGTGATTCCAGACTTCCTCAAGGCCATCTCCTCCCTTGGGTTTGGTTGATAAGCCAAAGTTGCCAGACTGTTTCTTGAACCATTTGTAAATTCGAGAATCCTTGAACTCTAGAGAATGCTGAATATGAAGCTTGATGAAGAATTCCCGGATAGGGTCGAAAATCAAAACCGAAAGACCAGCTACAAGAGCAGCAAAGACGGGTATCACAATACGTGGATGGTTTGTCAACCAATTCCAAATACTATGCGCCTTGACACGTTTCTCGAAGGACAGGCGGAGCTTAGTTCCATTCTTGCCACCTCCCAAGACCTCGTTGACAATAAACCCATGCATACAGTTGCGAGCCATAATTGCGTCTCTTGTTACAGGAAACATGACATGGGCATATCGTGGCGTGACCTTTGAGTCGGTTGGCTGTGGTATAATGTCTGCGATTTTTCCATATTTACGGAACAGAGAGTACAGCGTCTCTTCGGGGAGCTCTTCAGGGGTGGTACCGGGAGTTGGAGGAACAAATTCGATTTTGATGAAGCTGGTAGGGTATCTGTACAGGTCTTCTAACCATGGCGTGCCCTGTACGAGACGGGCGTTGACGGGACGGAAGATGGAGAACCAAGGTTTTATGGGCTTTTCTTTCAGTCGACTTGCTAATTGAGCTGATAGATGAACTGAGTCAGTAAATGTGTAAGGTGAGTTCCAGTAGGGCAAAATGTACCTTCAATTTCGGCAGGGTCCATGTTGGAGTCATGCATGAATTTGACATATGCCCCTCCATCCTTCAGCCGTGGTAAGATCTCGGTCACTTTTATTGGTAGGTCTTCTGGAATGGCTGTCTTCACAAGGCGAATTGGGTCTAGAATGCCTAAAGAAGATGATTCGAATCGCCTGAGTAAATCCGATACGTCGTTGTCCGACTTCCAAGGACGCATGAGAACGCTGCTGAGTTTGAGAGGAAAGATATCTGAGTTCCATGTCAGCTGACAAGCAGGCGATGGCTCGTTTATAAGGAGACTCACTATCGAAAAAGAGAATGGCTTCATTGGATTGTGTTGTGATATGACCACTCTTGTCAGCACCTTCTTCGGGTGCAATTGGGGGAACCGCATCCTCGGGGTTGACGACTGTGCTCTCCCACACACGGCTAACGGGTCGGTTTATCGCATTTTGGTCGAGCCGTTGTCGAAGAGAAGCTGCTGCGAAGCCACATCCGAGGGATCTTGATGATATGAGGGGGCGGCGGGCTGCGAAAAGTGCCGCTGTCGCAAGACCTCGGCTTGGAATCATGATGCTTCGATCCCAACAGCGCGCATACTGCAACAACTTACGGTTGGGAGAGTGGGAGAATTCTCAAGTTCGTGAAGAGATCAAGTTTGTTAATTAGGGTAGAGAATTGTTGGCAGGAAGGGCTAGCTTGGAGCTGTCGCATTGCAGCTAGCTTCCTCCAATGAGGTCATAAGCTTAGAATGGCAATCGAGTCTCGGCCTGGACTGCCTTGAGATGAAGAGCTACTATGAAACACGATGTATGTCTAACAATGAATTATTATCACTATTATTCTCTGAAATTTAATCTAATATTTACTTATACTGTTGTGATAAAAATATATACACATACCTCAAAAGAAGTATTTGTTTCCTTTTTGCCCAGCAGCTGAAATACCCTACCCATGTGACGATCAACCCCACCAAGCAATTTATGATCCGATCCATGATATAGAGAGATCACGATGATGCTTCAATTACCTCACAAAACTCGCTAAGGAAGAATTCTATTTAATTCTGCATATGTCAGAAAGACTACGAGAGTGACTGTTTAGAGCTTCCTGTTCGTAGTAGTCTTTGTGAAACCCCCATCACAAGACAGTCGGTAGCTAGGTAGAGAAACACATGAAACCCGGTTATCAGGACAGACATCAAACCCTTCACACGTACAGATGTTAGATCACAGCATAATAGTTAAGCCCAGAAAACGGTATACTACGGCTTAGAATATCACATTGATTCTTATTCTAGAAGAATTATGACATGATAACTCTGAACTCCCTTCTTGAGCGGAACGCCTCGGGAATACGGCAGATCTATTTTTCCTTGGCATACCTCCCAGCGCATCTCATCACCCAAATCTCCAATATCCAGAACAATCTGCGCTCCACCAAGACTCAAGTCAGATTATATCGCTTCAACAACTTCAATTAGACAGTCGATTCTCTATTCATCAAGATTCAGGCTTCAACCGCGCCATTCCCTTGTGAGATCGATACTTTCCCTTCCATCTTCACCAAATTCCGAGCTTTTTCGCATCAACCATCACGAGAAACTTAAACGAGATATTCAGTTGAATCTACCACTTATAAAACGTCGCAATGGGTTGGTTATGGTCTTCAACACCTTCCAGCGAGGATAAGTCAGCAGCGCCAGTCACGGAGACACCTCCTGTAGCATCAACAACCACAACCACAACCACAACTTCAGATCCTTCAACATCAGCCCCATCCAACTCAAATACCGATCCCGAAATCCAAAAGTTCATCGACCTATTTGAAGCTGAGAAGAACGCCAAACCTTCCACAACAGAAGACCAACAACAACAAACCTCCTCATCTTCCAAAATACCATCATGGCTCTCTCTCAAGAAATCCACGCGCTCATCCGCCCCTACGCCCGCCGATATTCCTCCCCGCGACGCCCTCTCCGAAGCCCTGCTCCCTACAGACATGTCCTGTCGTCAGGCCTTCGACCAAGCATGGGCATGCAACTCGATGGGTGGACAATTCAATGCCGTGTATCGCTACGGTGAGATGAGGTCATGCAGTGAGCATTGGGATGACTTCTGGTTCTGCATGCGTACCAAGAGTTACTCTCCTGAGATGCGGGAGAAGGCTATCAGGGATTATTATCGTGCGAAAGAGTTCACAAAGTACGGCCCCGGGAAACCGAGTAGTGAAGATGTCTGGGAGAGTAGAGAGGACAAGGTACCAGAAGGGACAGTATTTAATGAGCCTGTTGAGCCACGAAATTGATCAACTTGCTCTTGTATTAATAGAAAAACTCCCAATATCTCAAACAGGATCTGTTATTATCCTCGAGCGGCTGCCAGAGGTTGCTACCTTTTCCTGAGAATGTGGTTCGAATCATCCAGACCATTCACAGGCTTCTCTACAGCGTGTTGTCAACACAACAATGATACTTATGATAGATAGGTGCCGGCAACATATTAATACCTCTTCGTATTTATGTCGAAATACGTTCTTCAGATCCTTCTTGGACGTATTCACGTGAGCCCAAACATCATCATATCCAACTTAGTCATGAAACTAATCAGCTTCATGACGAGGACCAATAATGGAATGGCAACACTAAGGTTCTGATGACCAAGACTGTATAATAGGCCAGTGCTCTATCAATCACAAGCAATGATAAACATATCACAAAGGCAAGAGGCAAAGTAGTTATTGTGAATATCTTGATTCATCGATTCATTAAAATACATTGGGTAAAAACCACCGAGCTTTTTCATAACCGTGAAAGTCGCAAAAACAAAACAGAAAATCTAATCTCATCATATCATCCCATGAGACCCCTAGCCTCCGCATTGTATCATTGGACACATGACAACTCTAGAAGTCGAGACTGATGTTGTTGGGGTATCAAAGAATTTAGTCGACCTCCTCGACGGTGGGACCATCGTCACCACCAGCACCGGGAGCACCACCAGGGCCGCCAGCACCAGGGAAGCCGCCGGGACCACCGGGCATGCCGCCAGGAGCACCCTCACCACCAGCTCCGTAGAACTTCATCATGATGGGGTTGGCCTTGCCCTCAAGCTCCTTCTGGTGCTCCTCGTACTCCTCACGAGTAGCCTGCTGGTTATCGTCGAGCCACTGGACGACCTTGTCGATCTCGGCAGTGAGAGTCTCCTTGTCGCTGGCCTCGATCTTCTCCTCGACCTTGGGGTCGGAGAGGGTGTTGCGGAGAGAGTAAGCATAAGACTCAAGACCGTTCTTGGCAGCAACACGCTTGCCCTCGGCCTCATCCTCCTCCTTGTACTTCTCAGCGTCGTTAAGCATGCGCTCGATCTCCTCCTTAGACAGGCGGCCCTTGTCATTGGTAATGACAATCTTGTTGGACTTGCCAGTGCCCTTCTCGACGGCGGAGACGTTCATGATACCGTTGGCATCAAGATCGAAGGTGACCTCAATCTGGGGAACACCACGGGGGGCAGGGGGAATACCAGTGAGCTCGAACTTGCCCATAAGGTTGTTGTCCTTGGTGCGCTGACGCTCACCCTCGTAGACCTGGATAAGAACACCAGGCTGGTTGTCGGAGAAGGTGGAGAAGACCTCGGACTTCTTGGTGGGGATGGTGGTGTTGCGGGGGATGAGCTTGGTCATCATACCACCAGCGGTCTCGATACCGAGAGAGAGGGGGGCAACATCGAGAAGCAGAATCTCGTTGGTGGCCTTGCTGGAGGTGTCACCGGAGAGAATCGCAGCCTGGACGGCGGCACCGTAGGCAACAGCCTCATCAGGGTTGATGGACTTGTTGGGCTCCTTTCCGTTGAAGTAGTCGGTGATGAGCTTCTGGACACGGGGGATACGGGTAGAGCCACCGACGAGGACGATCTCGTGGACGAGGGACTTGTCGATCTTAGCGTCGGTAAGGACACGGTCGACGGGCTGGATAGTGGATCGGAAGAGATCCTGGCAGAGCTCCTCGAAACGAGCACGGGTGATGGAGGTGTAGAAGTCGATACCCTCGAAGAGAGAGTCGATCTCGATGGAGGTCTGAGCAGAAGAAGAAAGGGTTCGCTTGGCACGCTCGCAAGCAGTTCGGAGACGTCGCAGAGCGCGGACGTTGGTGCTAAGATCCTTCTGTAGAATGAGTTAGTACAAGTTCTTGAAGGTTTGGTCATAGGCAAGGGTGCGATGTGGGGTATTTAAGAGTGGGTCTTCTAAGTTTATGGAGAATTTATGATGGAGGGGTCGAGTTTTGACAACCTCATCAAAAATCGCCAAAACTCATGATATGTTTTGAGGAGAAAGGAAATGGCAATGAAGAGGAAGACTATCGTACCTTGTGCTTTCGCTTGAATTCGTTTACGAAGTGGTTGACCAGACGGTTGTCGAAATCCTCACCACCCAAGTGAGTGTCACCGGCGGTAGACTTGACCTCGAAGATACCCTCCTCAATGGTAAGGAGAGAAACATCGAAGGTACCACCACCAAGATCGAAGATGAGGACGTTGCGCTCGCCCTCGACCTTCTTATCAAGACCGTAGGCAATGGCGGCAGCAGTAGGCTCGTTGATGATTCGGAGAACGTTGAGACCGGCGATGAGACCAGCATCCTTGGTAGCTTGACGCTGAGAATCGTTGAAGTAGGCGGGGACAGTAACAACAGCGTTGTTGACAGTCTCGCCGAGGTAAGACTCAGCGGTCTCACGCATCTTGGTGAGGATCATGGCGGAGATCTCCTCGGGGGTGAAGGTCTTGGTCTCGCCCTTGAACTCAACCTCGATGTTGGGCTTACCACCCTTGTCGACGATCTTGAAGGGGAAGTGCTTCATGTCGGCCTGGACCTCAGGATCGGCGAACTTGCGACCGATCAATCGCTTGGCGTCGAAGACAGTGTTCTGGGGGTTCATGGCGACTTGGTTCTTGGCGGCATCACCAATCAGACGCTCGGTGTCGGTGAAACCGACGAATGAGGGGGTAGTTCGGTTACCCTGGTCGTTGGCGATGATATCACATCTGGGGAAAGAGTTAGTGTCATACTCCTAATGCAACTCATAATGATTTTTTGATATAAAACTTACCGGTCCTCACGGAAGATACCCACGCAAGAGTACGTGGTACCCAAATCGATACCGACGGCGGGAGCCATTTTGTGTGATGTGTGTGGTGTTGTGTGTAGAATGCGTAAAGATTATGTCGTAGAGTAGGAAGAAAAAGGAAAAGAAAATCGCAGTTGCTTCAATGGAGGATCGCGGTTATTTGAAGACTTTTGAGAGGGTATTTGAGTGTGATGATGTTGTGAGAAGAAAGACGGAACAGAGCGAGTTGAGCAAAAGGATCTAAATAAAGGCGGGTGCCAAGGTTCGACGCGGTTCTGCGCTGTTCCAAAGGAGCCCACTTTGGAGAGCTTCTCTGGTGTTGCAGGGGGGTCTACCACTTTCTGGGCGCTGCTAGGCGTTGCTGGGGGGCGTGCTTTGGAGGGGGCGAGGGGTCTGAAGAAGCGTCTAGCAGCTGCGTGCACCTGGCAGACAGGCAGATCTGGGTTCGCCCCACTAAAAAAACTGCGTCTCCCAAACGATGCGCAACCTGAGATGGATCTTTGATTGCTTCTGGCTGATTCCTGATGAGGTATCAACACACAAGATCTCATCGTGTTTATTCCCGTAGCTTCCGTCTCTTCTCTCCAGATCTCACAGCTTCTCCTGGTACCCAGTGTCTTGTGCCTGATGCCCTGTGCTCTCATCTTACTGATGTCATGTCCTCATAAACTTTTTGCTTCCCAAATCTTCCAGCGCGGGGCATCCGGGCAGGGATTAGAGCTTCATGTCCTGACTACATTCCTTGCAGTGCAAGCATCACCCAGACAGCCGTACTGACTACTTTGCCCCACTACTCGACCTCATGTTGGACGGGTAGCTCCCTCTTCGTGCCCCTCCTCAGACGGCGCTCCCTCATCTTCTGTCGCTCTTCTCTCCCTGGGGTTTAGCACTGCGAAAACTCTAGGTTGCCTCTTCATTATGGAGCGTCATAACGGGATCCGGACAATTTTGTGGCAATCAATGGGAAAATTCTGATAATCGAGACTTTGGCAAAGTCGGTTTACTGAGATTTGCTCCGAAAGAATCAAGAATGCGCCTTTCGTCCAGCCAGAGGTCTTTGATGCCTGGTCATGGTATCCAACAGACAGCGTATGTCCATGTGTTGGCTACCGCTACTTGAGTTGCTTCAACTGATTGGAAGCGTGTATTCGTGATGCAGCAGGCCTGTTTTCCTGCTTGGTGATGCTTCAATAGTGGTCCACGTATCTACAGTAGTATCATTCATTATCTTATCACAATGCCATGGCCATTAATTGAATACATCAATCGCATGGCGTTTCTCAGTCAGATATCTGCCTCCCAGGCATGTAGAGTGACCAATGCTTACTGCGCGATTCATCATCCCCAACAACCCTGCCTGTATCTCGATCGTAGTCTATCAGGCCGAAATCGATATGACCTTGTACCAACCAGCCAATATTGAAGCTCAATTGCTCGCCGTATGTCGATAACCGTGATGAAAGCATATGACCTTTACGCAGTTGACCCCATTATTTTTCTCCGGGTGGATCCAAATCTCCAAACTCTTCCTTTGTTGTCTTTCGTTTCCTTTGCCTCCATCTTTTCAACAAACTGACTTTGTTTTCCTAGCGCTTCCACGGCTCTCTGCGCATCCACTTGGGCTCACAAGATCCCAGGGCTGAGGCGTGGCGTAGGAATTCAAGGGGCCCCTCTGCCCAGTTTAGCTGTTTATCTGGCAATGTTGGTTGTCAGGCAACCGGTAGAACCCCTGAGGCCCATTTCAAGCTAGCATGTGTAATCAGTCTCGTCGTTGGGCTTTGGGTTTCACAGCGACAGCCTCATCAAGGCACCGACTGTACCTTACAGCTTAGGCACAGCTGGTAGACAGGTAGCTCAGAGCACAACAGCACATCCTGACAGGGCAATCGTGGTACCAATCGTTGTTTATGCTGGCCTCATTTCGATATCTTCCTCATTCTTCTTCCTTCTCTATGGGGCAGTTGCCTCTCGGCTTCTGTTCTCGCTTGGAGGCGACCCCGAACAATTGGATCGTATGTGGGGTTCCATGTCGTGATTAGCTCCATCTAGAAACCGGCTTGTCTGTGGTTGCATGGTTGCATGGATCCACGCTTCCTGACTTGCGTTTACCCTGGAGCTTCCGACACCCGTTTTGGGACATTTAGACAGCATTATGATGAATGATATCCTCAAGTCTACTGATATTTCTGTGATAGATCAAGATTGGACTAATGGGTTTTCGAATTGGTTGGTGCTGTGATATTCCGTACAACTCTTTTTGCAAATGTTTCTTCAGGCGAGACCTATCGCCGGATATTTGATATGACGCTTCAGCCGTGATAATTTTAGACCCATGATTTTGTTCAGAGTCCATTACTCAGCGTCAAGGAACGGCAAAACTGAACCGAATATAGGGATATAAGCTCAAGGCATTCACTAAGAGTCAACTTGATACTGTAAACTGCCATCAAGCCCGTTATCCGCTGCATCGGAAGCAACCACGCATTGGAACAGTTATGACATATGTAATGCAACTGGTATAAGTCTCGAAAGCTCTATTCTAAATATACACTATCCCCACACGTCGAGATCCGTCTGAACGCATGGGCTTCCCGTCCCCTGTCGGTATTTGCTAGAAGTGCCCAATGGAGGTAGAGCTCATGTGAGACTATAGACTAAGGTATCTATGTGGTTCTTCTCGTCTATTCACCTCGCTTATATTCAAGGCCCTGAGACTATTGCCTTGCGATAAACCCCGGCAGATCGTGTTCTTCGATCATCAGTATCGACTTATCCGCCATCCTCGAACTTGTCTCGGTTGCTGATCCACCCAAGAAACCATTCCATATCTTCTGCATTACGTTATCTGTACTCAACAACTTACTTCCTTTCAAAGCCTCCTCATCCTTTTCACCTACCACCAGCAGCACCTTCTTCGCAGCAGGGAAACCATCGACAACGTGCCACAAGCATCCAAACACCTGATCACTTTCCTGCTCCGCGTAGCCGAGCTCCGAGAGAACGCAGGCGAGATGCTTGACCCTGTGGGTGTCTTCACGTCGCAAGAAATACACCATTGCCGAGTTGAAACCGTAGATATCATATGCCTCTAGTTCACCTGCAAGATATACAGCGTCAAGGGCGAAATTGAACCAGACGCGCGGCGGTTCAGATACGGGCGTATCTGAAAGGAGCTTGGATATGCGCCAGCCAAAGGCAAGCTCATAATGCTGTAAGGCTAGATATCGCGCCTCGCGGTTGATGTGCAACAATACAGGCACCGATCTTCCATGCGACCGTTGATTCAACTCATAAAGTCTCTGATCAAGCCGCTCATCGCGTTGAAGACAGCAGACGACGATAATGCGGGGTTGAACGAGGCATGACCATATTCGTAGGCGCAGCTCAGGCGGTAGTTGTGCGAATTGAGGAAATGCGGTGAGAGTGGATGACGAGTTGACTTGTGAGGAGAGACCATCGTCAAAAGTGCGAAACTCGAGCCAAAACGTTGGATTTGGGCTTTGCTCTTCCTCGGTATCGATATCGCTCATATTTATTATTGGTTACAAGGGTGTCGGTCAATTGGTTAAAAGAGGTGGACTATACGATACGATATGAGCTGATTATAGAGGATATAAAAGAATGATAAAGCGAATGATCTGTGATGGTTAGTGGGGTGAAGAGAAGTGAAGAAAAGAGAGTGTTTTCCTGCAATATTCCTAGATTCAAGGTCAGGCGATTTATCTCAGCGAATCACTGTTTGGTTTCAAATTGGATCCAGATACGCGCAAGCCGTTGGTGATTCGCGGATATGAACGATCACCTTCGTCCCTATTATTTCAAAGAAACTTGATTTCATTCACAAGGCTCTTCGAAACTTATCCTCTTATATAATTTAGATTTATTCGATTATCTCCTGACCGACAGTGATGCGGCTCGTGAACCTCACTACCCCTTCACCAACAGCTAGAGTAAAGAATCATAGTTGAGAGAAACCCGAGATACATTTTTGTATCCATGGACAATATAAAAGCAATACGCGGCATAAAATAATTTAGTAACATGAATCACGTTCTGGAATTGTATGCAAATACGACAGTGATGGCTCGAGACACTCAGGCATGGGCCTGAACGATGATGATTTAGTCTAATCCAGTTCTATATTCATATAGGAAATTCTAAAAGCTAAATTATATTCTAACTGTAGTATCTTCTACCCGTCTGAAGCTTCATCTCTCCATACCCCCAGGGGCTTATACCTGAGGGGAACCCTGCAAAGGTCTCGAGGCGTTGACGCTCTGATCAGAAGCTACAGCCTCTGACCATGTTCCACTGTGTGAGCTGTTGAGCCTATATGCATTCTTCTCGATCTTCAACTTTTCCTGGCCTCGTACCAGCTTGAGCAGATAAGAGCCCTTCACCACGATGTCCGTAGGACCATCCTCTCCAGGGGGGCCTTGTCCGAGCTTGACGTTTCCAATGAACCAAGTAATTGGGAATGCCTGATACTGAATCAGTTCCTATCCAAGATATGAAAAATTCCAGAACTTACCAGTGCGACGAGAGGAGTAATGGCGACAAACGCCCAGACAACACCCATCTTGGCTTGATGAACAGCCTGTTCATTTGCTGCACCACCAGACGAAGAGTGTACGCTGCTGAAGTCGCTATGAGAGTCGAGCCCAGAAGTGTTGTTGAAGACTGTAGACATGATAGTCAAACCGATAGTACCGCCAAAAGGGATGGCAACTGCCATGAGTCCAATGACGGAGGCGCGCAAGTGTCGAAAAAGACCAATGCCATGAAGTGGCGAAGCCATGAAACGCATACCACTACCGCAGCCAACAAGGGCCATCATTCCATAGATAACGCTCAGTCTGTTCGCGTAGATAGCCCATGCAAGAACGCCCAGACCGACAGCTTCGGTGAGCGTTCCCAGAAAGATACAGGGAAACGTCATGCGTGGCCACTTGTTGCACATGAAGGAGCAGATATAAACACCAGCTTTGAAGGTATTAATACGTAATTCAAGTCACAAACATCATATGAAACGAACCTCCAAGACCAGGGACAAAGTAGAGAAGTTGGACACCAGCCTTGTCAGAGTCGTAACCCTAAAGACCATTAGCAAGGAGTTCGTGTGTTGATTCGAATAAGACTTACCCTGACTGCAATAAAGTAGATGTTACAGAAATAGAGTACCTTGACAAGTCAGAAAGGGAACGACCAACGGCAAACGATAGTCTTACAGCGTACATGCCAATTCCTGTGGCACACTCGCAATAAAAGAGAAGTCCGATATCACGATTTGAGATTAGTTCCCAAGGGAGCATTGCTCTTTGCCAGGGTAGCTTCTCGGCCATGGTATTTCCAGGGGAAAGGAGATACTCCCAGTAGCAGAAAACGCCAGCAAAGATGATACCAAGCACCAGAGGAACAATGACAGCGGGTGATGACCAAGAATATGTTGCGCCACCCCAAGTCAAAGCCAGAATAACGAGACCAAAGCCAAGGATGAAAAGAAGCTGGCCACCAACATCAACAGTCTTGAGTCGGGCAACGAATTTCGTTCGTCGGCCAGTTTCAGCTGTCTCGTTGAGCTCAGGGATGGGTTGAGGACCGAGAAGCTCCTTGCGTAGGACAAAGAAGACTATGATCAGAGCGACGGCGGCAATAGGGAGGTTGATGGCAAAGCACCATCTCCAGTCGGCATTTGTGAGGTATCCTAAGCTGATGTTAGCTGTATTCAAAGATTGAACATGGCTTTAAGTGGTCTTACCACCGATGACTGGGCCAAGTCCATACGAGACACCACCGACGAGTGAGAAAATAGCCCAATTCTTTGCATTTTCTTGCAAAGAAACTCTATCGGCAAGAATAGTGCGAACAACGACATTGAGGCCAGCCGCAGCGAGTCCTTGAAATCCACGACCCAGAAGCAGAACTGGGAATGCATTTGTAGGGGCCCCAGTACACAGCGCACTACCAATGAGCATGAGAATAATGGCAGCATTGATAGAAGCATTGCGGCCAAATACATCAGCCATTTGAGCCCAGAAAGGGATGAATGCTGCAGATGTGAGGTTGAACGCTGAGACGATCCAGTTGAGCTGTGAGATCTCCCCAAAGTCCGACGCAATCCACGGAAGAGCACTGGCGATGCTGTTTCAAAGTGTCAGTTTCATTCTGCAATTTTCGGGTCTTTCCATACATTGTCGAGTCGAGTGCTTGAAGGGCAAAGGGTGCCACTAGGCCGAGGATAATCTTCCATCGATATATCCTTGCGGCCTTCTTTTCTGATGCACATGCAACACATTTCCCAGACGAAGACTCATACGCTTCCATATGTCGACATTGTGGTTGTTGAGGTGCTTGCTTAGTAGCGTCAGATCCCGTTTCTTGCAATTCCATGGGCGCCTGTTTGCGCTGCTGGTTGGCCTTAATGGCCTTTCGAGCCAACGAGATCATAGTGATATAGAAGATGTAAGAGGAGCCGATCGAGGGCCGTGCCAGTTAAAGGCTGAGGTATCGTTCACGGTTGAAGAGATTGAGTATTTGAGGAGAAAATTATGATGTTCAACTCGAGATTGAGGCATGAAATTTGTTGATATTTATCCATCTTGGAGGCACCCTGAACAATATTGGAATCTCCATAACTGCTAATCGTTCGCATTCTCTCCTATCTACATACGTTACAGCTTGCGTAGAGCGTGGGTCGAAAGGGCGAAGCATGCAACTCACAAAGACAAGCAATCGAATGAGGTTTCCTATTCAAGAGGAATACGAGAAACTAAAACCAATAAGAAGTGCCAAAATGTTCCAACGCGGTGGGATTATTTGTCCGTAAGTTGATGCGAGATGAGGTTCGTAGGGCTGTGTTCGAACCGGGGATGTAATCTCGAATGGCTAACTAGAAACGTTTAGTGCGTTGCTCGAATGGCTAACTCTTATGGGATATATTGTTCAACAATGTTACGCCGACTCACTTGGGCATCTCCATACGAGAGCTTCATAATGGATTTTGCTACTATAATTCAATTGTACGGGCTACGGTATATGATAAGTTATCGCACTCGGAAAAGAGAGCCATCAATCATCATGACTGGCTAGTTATGTGTTCAATATTTCAATTTCAAGACACAGGGGATCACAAAACATCACCATGTAGGGTTTCCAAACTTTCATATGGAGTAAGCCATCCAAATTGCATTTCAAAAGAAATGTGCGGACGGCCAACCATTTTAACAAGATTGTCGGCGCCGGACCGATGCCTCTTTGCATTTTGCCGGCAGCGGACGGAGCGGAGCCGAAGATAGAGGACGGATCCGTGTTTGAGGACAGCCGAGACGCCGGGTGCCCGGAGTGCAAATAACATCATTATCATATGGCAGTCGGTCGGTACTGGAATCTCAGAGCAAACAGCACAGTAACACATCGACGTGTCAACTCATCCGCAGAAGAAGACTGCAATATGGCTAGTGCAGAAAGACAAGGACTGAACATATTAATCAACTAGGCCTTAGGTAAGGAGCACGAAAACTTCTAACCTTATGACTGGAAAGTACGGTTCACGGCAACACAGGTGCGACACAAAGACAGGGTTACCCCACGAGATTCCCCATCTTTCCCCTCCAATTACCTTCCTCAAAAACTGTCCTCAGTCAATTAATAACATCTACAAGCCCTTTCAATACAACAGGACGTCCCTATGCGCCACTCAAATCAACCCAGGGTGTTCTTATATTACCCACTCGCACTGGCAGCTCAAAAGTCTGGCGTCTGGCTGCGGCTGCGGCGATCCCGCATTTGATGTGCTGCTCTCCACTGCGGGAGCGAGGGAGCCAAGGTGTCGGAGCATAGCTATGACGAAATAAGCTCTATCACTGCCATCCTTTGTCCTTTGTCCTTTGGACCGAACCGAAATAGGCCCTGGCTATCGAGTGCCAATATCTCTCCGTCGTTATACCCGTTACAGATCCAGACTGCCAAAACCATCGACAGCCGGGCTCCGTTGGCCCTCGGGAATGCCAAGAGACCCGGAAAATTACAAACTTAGCTTACACGGGCAATCGTAGGTTTCCAGTATGTCGTTTGCCTATGGCATGTGCTCTGTTCTTGCCGCACACCGACAAGCATCACAAGCTCTTTTTGGCAATTGTCTTACCCATGGATGGCCCCGAGAAAAAGCAGAAGAATCTGGAGAGGAACAGTTCAAGTATCACAGCCAACTTCTAGAAGACGCAGCAATTTCCTTGCCTAGATAACACACTTCCTCTCAACTATTTAAGAAGCAAAGAAATGACGAAAGAATGAGCCTCGCCAAACCATCGTCAGCCCAGACTACAAGTGCGGCACATGATGCTGCGATTTGCTGCTCTTCACGAGCTGTCCACTTTAGCTCACCCATGACACCTAGCCATGGTGCACCACGTACCTCCAAATTCGATAAAGGACACCAGACCATTAGACACAAGCGCTTGACTGTCCCTTTGAGACCTCACAATACCGCGTGCATGCAGAAAGAAAGACAAGCAATCACACAGTACCATTGCTTTTTTCTTTTTGCCACGTGAAAGGACCCCAACTGAGCGGTTTCCCCTCATCATACCCGCTTACTGAAATCTGGGGTTTGGGGTTATCATCAAGGCTTTTTTTGCCTCTTTTTGATTGCTGGCCACTCCCCGTTGCGACGTTTGTGGAAGCGTTGAAGATATAGCATAATTCGGCCAGTCAAAAGCAGCCCATTTACCTCCAACTACCTTTGATAGTGGATCCTTTCTGGTCTAGGCTTCGATCTATCAACTCTACTTGTCGTCACGGTTGTGTCTGGCAACCATATTCTGCACATCCCGTCGTCCGAACCACCAACCTTATCTTTTTATTGTTCGGGAAACGTCCGTAACGGTAAACTCACACTCAGAACCGGCGACGCCTCGCGGCGAGCCGTTCTTAGGCTCTAGTATACTACGTCGCCAGGTACTGCACCTCCTTCGCTTCTGCACGCCACCCGGTTGTCCTTACAAGATTCATTACTCGGTAGCCTCATTGTCTTCATCCCGGTCTTTTCCCCTTATAACCATCACGATACGGGCTCCAAATCCGGCACCGATCTCATCTTTACCGGCTCTCGTCTCTCGGGGATTTCTCGCTTTTCTGTACTAAACATCCTCTCCTGTTCTGGGTAAGTTCTATGCCAGACCCGTTTACCTCGATGTTCCCTGATCCCACGTTTCGGCACTGAGCACCTGTTCTTATCGGACTTGCGGAGGCGTTTCATTACTGCCAAATCCCGTCCTGTGCCTTCTTGTCCTATCATAGCCGTCGGCTGTTTTCACTCCCCAAGATGCTCTCCCTCACGTTCGGCTACCCCAGTATCCTGTACGCTGAGGGTGAAGTCCAGAGGGTGTGCATGGGGTGCATATAGGGTCCACTTGACTCTTGTCTAAGTCAGCTCGGTCACAGTACTCTGCTTATATCAGAGCCATATGCCCTCTCAACTTGGCTGGTCTTGGCTATTGTACTCATCACTCGTCTCCTCCCATTCAAGAAAGCACTTCGTGTAATGCCAAACTACTTCCTTCAAGAGGACTGTCATTACTTCTACCGAACAGCTCTCCGCGGACTCAACGTTAGCACAAGCGTGTCACCTCTCTACGCCTAAACTTCGTTTCCATCACTCCCGACTAACACCATGACTCAAGTCCGCACTTTTACTCCTCCTCAGCCTCTTGGAGACAGGCTCTCTGACCCAACTTCTGCTCCAAAGCCTGCTGGTTCTACTGTTCCTCGAACTCTTCCCGATATTCCCGAGCTTGCCCAACCACGACGCAATTCCCCCCCCAGACTTAGCGGCGACTATACTCGTGTTCCAATGGCCAACTACAACGAGTCACGGAAAGATGGTGGCATCACTTTCTCTGGGCAGGACAAACTACCCAAGCTTCCCATCCCTGAACTCGAGGCCACCTGCAAGCGGTATCTTGAAGCTCTCAAGCCACTCCAGACAGCCCGGGAACATGCAGAGACACAGCATGCAGTAAACGAATTCCTGAAGAGCGATGGCCCCGAGCTGCAGGAGAAATTGAAGGCATATGCTCAGGGAAAGACGAGTTACATCGAACAATTCTGTATGTCAGAACATACGTCTGATTTATAGCAAAGTACTAACTTTCATAGGGTATGATTCTTATCTCAACTTTGATAACCCTGTTGTTCTCAACTTGAACCCTTTCTTCTTGCTTGAAGATGATCCAACTCCCGCTCGCAATGATCAAGTCACTCGTGCTGCTTCTTTGGTCGTCTCATCACTTGAATTCGTTCGTGCAGTACGAAAGGAGGAGCTTGCTCCAGACAAGGTCAAGGGAACTCCACTTTGCATGTACCAATTCTCGAGACTCTTTGGCACTGCGCGAGTTCCCACTGAGGAAGGATGCCAAATCGAGCAAGATCCTGAGTCGAAGCACATCGTCGTCATGTGTCACGGCCAATTCTACTGGTTCGATGTCTTGGATGATAACTCAGATGTCATTATGAGCGAGAAGGATATCTCCATCAACCTGCAGACCATTGTCGATGATGCAACCCAAGTTCCTATCCAAGACGCTGCCAAAGGCGCTGTGGGAGTCCTGAGCACCGAGAACCGCAAGGTATGGTCAGGCCTTCGAGATGTCCTAACTAGCGAGCCTGGTTCCAATAATGCGGATTCACTCGGAATTGTAGACACGGCCCTCTTCGTTCTTTGTCTCGACTACACAGAGCCCGCAGACGCTGCAGCCCTTTGCCAGAACATGCTTTGCGGTACCAGCGAGATCGAGAAAGGTGTTCAGATCGGCACATGTACTAACCGATGGTACGACAAGCTCCAAATCATTGTTTGCAAGAACGGAAGTGCTGGTATCAACTTTGAGCATACCGGTGTCGACGGCCACACAGTTCTGCGATTCGCTAGTGATGTTTACACCGACACCATTCTTCGATTCGCCCGCACAATCAATGGCATGGCTCCTTCGCTCTGGGCATCTTCCAGTCCCGATCCCTCCAAGCGTGATCCAGAGAGTTTTGGAGATGTTAGTGTCACTCCTCGAAAGCTGGAGTGGGATATGATCCCTGAGCTCAGCGTCGCAGTTCGCTTTGCAGAGACTCGATTGGCAGATCTCATTGAGCAAAACGAGTTCCAGACTTTGGACTTCGGTCACTATGGAAAGAACTTCATCACTTCCATGGGCTTCTCTCCAGATGCCTTCGTTCAGATGGCTTTCCAAGCTGCATACTATGGGCTTTATGGTCGTGTTGAGTGTACATACGAACCAGCCATGACCAAGACGTTCCTACACGGCCGAACCGAGGCGATCAGAACCGTATCGTCAGAGGTTGTTGAATTTGTCCAAGCCTTCTGGGCTGATAATCCTGTCGACGCCAAGATTGAGGCACTCAGGAAGGCGTGCCAGAAGCACACCGCGAATACCCGACAGTGTTTGAAGGCCGAAGGCTGTGACCGACATCTCTACGCTTTGTTCTCTGTATGGCAGAGGAGCTTGGATGATGACCTTGACAGTGGTTTTAACAGCAATGGCTACTCTAGCCCAGGAGATGGATATTCTGACCAAGCAGGATCGCCCGTGGGAAGCCCAGAAAACGAGTCGCTCCCCTCTGTTGATGGCGTCGAAGTGAGGCCTACACGAGATCGCGGCTACAGCGTCAACTCGAGATCGCGCGACCAGAACCCCCTTCCCCTTCTGTTTGCTGATTCTGGGTGGGATAAGCTTAATAACACAATCCTTTCGACTTCCAACTGTGGTAACCCTTGTCTTCGCCAGTTCGGTTTCGGTCCCACATCAGGGGATGGTTTTGGTATCGGGTATATCATCAAGGATGAAGGGCTCGCTATTTGTGTTGCCAGCAAACACCGTCAGACAAAACGCTTTGTTGACACCCTCGAGAGCTATCTTCTTGAGGTTCGTCGCATCCTACGTATCGATAACCGCAAGATGTCAACTGGAAAAGTGAGCCGCGCTCGCGAGGTGGAAATCGAGAGACCCAAGCTCGTGAGCCGCATCAAGTCTAGAGGTCGTCCCATCACCGCTGTTGAGAGCCTGCGATCTGCGACTGGCACAACATCCCCCACCAACGAGAGTAGCACCTTTAGTGAAGATGACGAAATGGGCGGGTGTAAGTTTCTCCTCTTTCACCCCCAAGTCCTCTCAACATAATGTACTAACTTGATAACTAGATGGGTTCTTTGACGCTGGTATGCTGTTGCAAGCTCTCAAGGCTCGCAACGAACAGTTTGAGTCGACCGATACGCGCGCTTCAGACAGGGCTGCAGCTGCTCAGGCTCGCCGCCGTGACATTGGAAAGAAGCTGAGACTGAGTGATTATTAATGATCATATCATATCGTACATATTTCATTGCATAGCGTGGTCATGGATCTTGCATGGAGTTAAAGGGGGCTCATGTTTTATATCAAGACGCCTAGGTGTAAGCACTGAAAGTGGTGAATTTACAGTTTTTTATATTTGTAACGAAGTCATATACATGCGCCTCGTCTAATTGCTACAAGATATTCCCACAAGTACTAGGTTATCGGCTGTCGCATAACGTAGCGTCGCCTGCCCCGGGGAAAATTGAGCACCAAAAGCTTGACCTGCTTCTTAAGCACGTATCCTAGCATTGCAGATAGAAGAAGCGATGGTATCCTTGACTGAGATCACGCATCAGCCAAATGTCGTCAAATTACACAGAACCGTGCAAGGCTAGTCATATCCTATACTGATCTCATAACTTGGTTTTGTATCATGGAAAAGGAGAGCATCACCTTTGCAAACCTGACTGACACTACTGGAAAGGCAATCACGGACACGGCCAAGACGTTCACATATTAGAAGCCATTCAAGTTAAAGCAACCCTGATTCAAAGACCTAGTCTATATACAGGTAGGGGTCCCCTCTTCCCCCATGCCAGCAGACTGGCACCTCCACGAGGACCTCTTATTCCCCAGTAGAAAGCAATAAATCATCGTTTCCCTAAAGTCATACAACCCAAACATGAATCGTTCCTGAGTCGAATTCGCAAGCAAACGGGAAAAGAAAACCAATAGGTCCGAAAAGAATCGAGTCGTCTATGCCGATGTCTGATGATTGTGATCTCGCCGATCCAAATACATGTACACGCCTTAATCATGATACCCATACCCTCATGTGCGCAGCCATTCTCCCCAAGCAAAGCACACGAAAAGCAGTGGCCCCAGGATCAGCGGCTGTAGTCCTGTAGCGCCCTTTTGATAATGTACACACGACAAGGCCCTGAAGGCCGTCGTGTCAATCGATCGCGATGGGCCTGCGCCCTTTTGGCTATGCTTCTGAGACGTGGTGAAACAGATCAAAGGAAAATCGTGAATCATGGCGGTGCCGACCTTGCGGTACCACTGAAAGCCATAATGAACGTCATTTTACAACCAGGTCTATAAAAATGTCAAGACACAAGTCTAAACCCACTGGGGCTGTTCGCCCTGACCCGTGCTGACATTTCCATTGCCATTGGTAGGGCTTGTAGGGCCGCTGTTGCCACTGACTTGGCCAGCAAGGTTACTGTTACCGGCGCTGCCATTAGCGGCACCGTTAGCAGCAGTATTGGGAGCAAAATTGCCAGGAGTCATCTGTCCGAACTGAGGCTGCTGGACAGGTCCACCAGCAGTAGGGACTTGACCGTTCATGGCGGGGTTAGGAGAGTAGACAGACATGTTCTGGCGCATAGGTGGCATAGGCCCACTGTGAGGGATACCATTGCCCTGCAGAATAGGGCCACTTCCAGGAATACCTCGAGCGTGAGTAGCGCGCATAGGAATTTGACCCTGGGTGTTGTCGGCTGGCGTCACTTGCCCACTAGAGGCAGCGCTTCCACGGTTGTCGAAGGCCGAGATCTTAGCTTGAATACGACGGCCGTAGGGAGTTGTTCGAATCTGGGGAAGGATTGGGCGGATGGCCTCTACAAGGCGATGCTTTTGATGAGGAGTAGCATACTCAAGAGCAGTCTGAATGACATAGTTGGCGAATGAGTCCCGGAGGAGGCGCTCCATCTCCTGGTTGCGTAGTAACTCCTCCACAATCAGGTCCTTGGAAGGTGGCTGGGCGCAACGCAGGCACTTCTCGATGACGTTGGAGCTGAACTTATGGCGGGACAGCTGAGTGATACAATCCTTGAAGGTAAGAACGATAGGCTCGGTGAATAGAGGTTCGTTCAAGTCAATAATGTACTGAACGACGTAGTTGCCGAAAGGGTCCTGGACAAGGATTCGTGCATGCTCGGTGATTCGCTGGATAAGCCACAGCTTCTGGTCGCCAGAGGCATGGTCGATGCAGCGCTGAAGAACACAGCAGCCGTGTCGGTGAGTGCCCACTTCGACACAGCTGCCGCCAACGGCGTCAAAGATGAACTGCGCATCAGGGGGGGTAAGCTTGTTGAGACACTTCTGAATGACATGGTTGCCGTTGAGGTCCTGGATAAGCTCCACAACCCGGTAGCGAAGAGCCTCGATGATGATGTGGACCTGCTGAGGGGTGCTCACATACTCGATCATCTTCTGGAGTGCGCGTGTGCCGTGCTGGTTGAGCGCAATGCGGACCATATCCTGGGAAGCATTTTGAATCAAAACAGTCCTCTCATCGTCATTGCAGAACTCAAGGAGCTTTTGGCACAAATAATTACCAAACGGGTCCGTCATGAGCTCAATGACGTGCTGGTTGGTTTCGACCCAAATTATGTGAACCTGATCGGCGTTGCGCTCCTCAAGCTTCTTCTGGAGGTAACGGCAGCCATGCTGGTCCTTGCAAAGCTCATAGATGTTGCCCACGAAGGAATCGAGGGGCGTGTTCTGGTAGCGAGACATGGCTGCAAAGCAAGTCAGTGTGTGCTGATACGGAACTACTCTGAAGTCAAACTCACCTTCATTGTCAAGCTGTCGGCGATGCTGAATGACGCGTGCCTGGCTGTCTCGAGGCTGGTTACCCTGATTGTATGGACCGGCGTTGTAGCCGTTGTAGTTCTGAGGCTGGTACATGTTGCTGCCGTTGGCCCCATTAATGTTCATCTGCTGCATACTGTTCGCGAGCATACTGACATTGTATCCTCCTGGCTGATGTGGGGCACCCTGGGGCATCACCTGGGGAATGCCGCCTTGAGGAACACCTTGAGGAGCGCCGTACCCGTTGGCGGAATAGAACACATTGTTGTAGTTATTGTTCGCGGCTGCGGCCCCAGCTGAAGGGTTCACCATAGCGGAAGGTGGCACTGCAGCTGTGGTACTGGGTCCAAAGGGAGCGGCACTGGCCTGCAGAGCAGACTGGATTGAAGGATAGTTGTGCTGCTCACGGCTAACAGCAGGGTTTTCTGAAGAGAGCTCCCGACTGTGGCCACGATGGACCGCACCAGCTGGGATGCGGCCTAGGCTAGCATTGTGGTTGTGGAAATGCTGCTGTGCATGATTGTTTGTCTTTGAAGACGAAGTCCCAGGGCTCTTGACCGTGGGAACATCGCTCGAAGAGAACGAGCTCTGCAGCTTAGGGGGAGTTGCCATGTTGGGAGTCGCACTAGGAGACATGATGGCACCAGTCTCAACTGCGTTTTCTGAGATATACTTAAGATCGATGGAATGGCGGAGGGAAGTAGGTCGAGATGCTAGGCCAACAAGATCGCTTACGATGTTGGAGGTTCCGTTGATTGAAGAGAGACTCTGCTGAGGGCGATGACGGTTAACAACACGGCTCCAACCTCTGGAAGAAGATGTCGACTCGGGATTAGGAGACGGGGATAGGGCAAGATCTAAGGCGGCCGAGGACGCTGAGAGCTGAGAGTAAAGTTGTGGGTCAGAATTCGACGCAACAATAGTACAACAATATAGGTTCTGTGGTGGGGCGCTCGAATAGATAGAGGGTCAAGAGCTCAAGATCTTATTGCGCCAAAGGAAAACAGTAGGGAAAGGGAATTGAATGGGCCTTATGCAGGAAAGTGGAGGAGAGTTCTATGCAGGAGAGCAAATGCTGAAAGACAATGGGCGCGTGGTTCAAGGAGAGCTCGAGGTGAATATGCACCTCATGGAGAAATGTGGAGCCTTGGTGTAAGTCGAGAAGTTGGAGCAAAGCAATAACTTCCGGAATATAGTCTCACCACCAAGCATCCACGGAGTTGGTTCCAATTTTAAATGGCTAGACGAAAAGTTGCTCAGATGAAAGAATATGAAAGTACTTACAATCTGATCGTCGTGACGAACAAGAGTTGGGAAGTTTGCGTCAGGACCACTATGGCCTCCAGCATTCATCTCCTCGTCGCCAAAGAGAAAACGAGTAGTATTTGTTTGATCAAGACCAACGTCATACATCCCCGTACGTGAGCGCGTCACAGGCATCGAGTATCGGTTGATGCTATCGTCGAAGTTCATGGTTAGCTTTGTTTGATGGTTTATAAATGACCGCTTGGTGCTAGCTTTTGTTGAGTTGGATGAGGATTATTGTATCGCAGATGGAGTTGTGTTGTTTGAGGGGGTTGAGTTGATTAGAGCCGAAGCAGAGGTTCAAAGAGAGGATTATATACTCCTCTTGAAGCTTTCTGATGAGAGTGAATCACTGTTTGAATTATGCGAGGTATTTGCCTTCTCACTAGAGAGTCCTCATATAAATCAGAGCCCTCATATTTTGGCTCAGAGTTAAGATTCACCCACCAATAGCAGCATTATTCACGCTGAGAGGTTTCCAACGCAGGAAACCTAAATGGAAAAAACCTAACCTGCTTGCTTCTGTGGCAATTTACAGCAAAGCCCGAAGCTGGACCTGCAAGAGCTCTAATGGCAACCCCCACTTGAAGAGGTGCTCGCTCAGGAATAGAAAGACATGCACATGCAATAGGAGCTGTCACTTACGCATTACCGGAGCGATGACTGCTGGGATCTTGTCGAACAGCCTCCTCCTTCTCATCATCACTATTTCTTCGCGTAGTTGGCACAGAACGAGAAGGCATCTGGGTCGTAGTATCCTCAAATCCAAAGCGTGCCTGTCTGATACCGGATTGGGGAGAAGCGAGTTGCGAGCCGGATCTAACAGGGCGGTTGAACAGACCTGGGGGGGAGGTCAAGCTAGACATAGAGTATCGGCTCGGCCGCGATAAAAACGTAGGGAATCCAGAGTTGTCCCGGTATTCGGGGGGTGTGGTGGGCTCGGACTGGTGGCCGCCCATTCTACCAACTTCCTCCTCCATCTGAGCAAGTTCCAAAGCCTCTCGTCTTTGTTGTTGATCCAACTTTTGCATCTCGAGCTCAAACCTCCGCCTTTGCTCCCGGATTCGTTCATACTCCATCTTCTTCTTCTCGATCTGAGTCTATCATTAGTTAACGGCCGTATCTTGAGTTGGTTGGTGTCGCATCGTTTCGGATTCGAGTGCTCAGGTCTGACTTGAACAATCGGCAAATTCGAAGGCAAACCCAAGCGAAAAATACGAGCATCAGAACGTACCAATTGCACCTTGTGCATTGCCTACCATCACACATGTCAGTACTTGCTGTTATTAGAGGGATTGGCAACTTTCGTAATCCATCAGGAAACCAAGCCACCCGAAGCCCTGTCGGGTTCCAAGCAAGCGACAGATTCGTCATATGTTGATTACTCACATTATAGTCCTGGGAGGATTCGGGCACCCGTTGAGCACCCAGAGAGGAAAGTGTCGGGACTCGACCAGAATCGGTGGTGAAGCGGCGAGGCAGGCCAGATCGATGGTCGTGGGCGCCGGCATGAGGGTTGACCTGGGGGGCAGGCATTCTAGAGGCATTTCGAGTGGGTGAGACAAACGAATGCATGGACTGGTCGTTGCCCCGCGGGGACTGCTGGGAGCGAAAGCGTAGTTCGTCCATGATGGACTAATAGATACAGGATAAAGATAGTACACGCCGAATTGGCAAGCGGTCTCAGCCTATAATACTAAAGACATGAAAGAAACAGATGAGCATCAGTTACCGCGTTTGTATAGACGATAAGGTGTGGGATGAAGCAGAGAAAGAGCAAAAAGAGACGAGGTAGGTAGGTTAGGTAGGTAGTGGATGGAACGTTGTTGAGAGGCGGGGTGGACGTGGTCAGTGTGGGTAAGGCCCTGTGAATGGGGGGGTGTCTTTTGGGGCTGGCTTCCTGAAGCAACAACACAGGGGTGTTGGTGGGCGCTGAGTTCGGTGCACCTCAGACTAGACCTGGAGTGGCCTGTATGCTTGAGGCAGTGTGATCATAGGCAGCCGGGATTGTATGCGAACTGTACAGTATACAGAACCCATCAGGACCCATAGGAGCTCAGGATGTCGAGAGGATAGACGGGGAAGACTTGTTGGAGAGTGATGATAGAGCTTCAGGCCACGCGGGCCACAACGATGTCGTGGACAAGGAGGCAGAGACAGAGCTCGGAGTTGAAGTGTTGAATTCGGAATGGTGCAACTAGGATGTGGTATGAAACGTGGGATGACAACATTTGTAGGAATGATCATGGCCAGGAAAGAGATGAAGGACACCAGGGGATTACAATCTTCATACTCTGTCACGGTTCCGTCTGTCTTCTATATTCTGAAAGCAAATAGCCATCGCAAGAGCAAGCGAGGAGTAGTTGTTTGTTTGGCCGTCTTGTCGGAATTAAGGTAGCATGGGCGTGCGATCTATATCAAGTTGGCATGCCGTGCCGCGATGTGAATGGATATCCTTCTACCAAAGTGAAATATGTATGGATAGGATATTGCACTATGTCGCCGGCGGCGGTGGGTGATTCGTGGTGCGGTGCGGGATGTCGGGTGCGTATTTCGTGTCCGCCGCGCTATGCTCGGTACCTTTGGCTGAAGACGGGGCAAAAGAACCCGACAGGACAGAACGGAACAGAACAGAGTAACGAGATGATATAATAACAATTGTGGTATTACAGGCAACACGCCTTGAAGCTGATGGATGTCTTTGAGAGAGGGTAGGAGAGCGGAATGAGTGACGGGAGTGGCCTTCTGAGAGGTAGGTGCCTGCTTTGACGAACCAGAGACAGAGGCTCTAGACAAAAAAAGATGAACCAACCTGGATTTGAAATGGCAATCAATGCACGGGAGTCAACAATCAATCGTACAATAGACACTTGGCACGTGTCTTTGGTGGTGATACAATCAATGATCTGGTTACAGGCTTTTCTCTCTCACAGCGCGCCCTGGAAGCCAGGAGCGACAGGCTGGTTTGGAGGAGAGGAAGCAAGTTGCGATCAGTAGATAGATAGTCGAGGTTGATGTGAGAGTGATTAGAGGAGAAGAAAAATAGGTCAAGTACGGAGTATCCAGTTGACAATGGGGACCTAAAAGATTGGCCTAACGCGGGTGTTTGGCGCTCGGCTTAGAGGTCGGCGCGTGTGTATGTGGACACGGGACAGGGCCTCACGGACAGTACCGTACAGTAAAGGCAAGTCGCAGGGTTTGGTTACAGGTCAAGGATGAAGCAAAGAGCAGCAGGGATATATACAAGGTTTCCATTGTTTGGGAACTAAAGTTTCTCATATTAACACCGAATATTGCGTTTATGAACTATACACCTTCGGTTACATACAAAGCAACACACAAACATTTGATGATATACGGAACGAGACAAGAAATCGTATTCGATCAGGGGTTGTCTTACTCAAGAGTGAGGCTGATTGTTCTAATCCAGATCTAAATATACACCTCGGCTTACCTCTGTCCTGAAAATCAAGATGCCAGCGTCGTACTGGAGTTTGTTAGACCAAGCGGGTAACTTACATGACATACACACACACGCAAGACACCTCACATGAAACTTTTTTCAAGAACTGCGTCTGGTCCATCAGAGCTCAAGAAACCACTAACGAGACCAGTGGGACCCAAGTCAGGCACCATCAGAACAGAAAAGCAAAATCTCCAGGGGACGGGAGGGAGGGAGGGATGGCGGATGGATACAATGTCCACTTCTTCCAACGGCTAGGCACATCAACTAGTGCTGGCCGAGTCCAATTGGTCTGTCGGCTTTGTTCCAGAAGCAACTGAGTGTGAAGGGTCCAATTGTGCTTATAAATTTGCATATAACAGGTCAGTAATTCAAGCTTGTCTGGATCCAATAGTGTAGTAGTCGTTGTTGCGGATGGTCGAATAAGCCTCAGGCTCTTCTCGTCCGAACGCCTTTAGAGGTGGGCTATGGCATAAGCAGGGTGTTGTACAATGCTTGAATATGTGCTGAGGGATGCATCGTATGTTGAGAAAATCATGTCAGCTGAGACAGTCAGATATTTATACACAAAACACAGTATAGTCGACTCATGTTCGTAGAAGAGATTGGGCCGATTTATACACATTGTATCGGGCCTTGGTCATAACGGCCTCGGATCTAATCGTGCATTGGAGCGCAGTTGACATGAGCATGGAGGGTTGCAAGGATTGTGCATCCCTGGCAGCGGCACGTTAGCTTATTACAATGGTGAAAAACCTCCACTGCGACCATCGTGAGTGTCTCTCAACCTGCTAGCATTTATCGGAATATTTATCCCTCCTGGCCTGTGTAAATGTTGCACTAGACGATAACTCGTCGATATTCCGCGCTACTCGAAAGATTCATACTACAAATTGTGAGACAAGCGTGAGGAGGAGAGATGCGTGTCTAGTTGAGGCTGCTATTGGATCATGCACTCATTTTCCCCTCCTACGACAGGAAGCTTCAACCTCTGCGTCTACCAGGATTTGACTGGTTCGTAACAACACTCTAGCCTTTCCTGGAATTCCTTTCCAACCTCCCCCAGATTCGGAAGAGTCAATCAAGAGTCAAGTAGGGAGTCACTCACAGAGACATTCAGGAGCCTGTAACGTGAAAGAGCTTAGAGATCAAGGCACACAGAGTCTCTGAATGCCGGTTGACAGAAACTTGCCTCAATCGTGTCAACCCACCAAAATCTCTTCTCGTGAATGGACAATGATTGATATCTCGAAGCCCCCCGGTCTCATAGAGGCACGCAAGACATGGACCAAGCGCACATCCCCGTCACTCCAATATGCTCCACCGATTGGTTGGTGTTTCTATCCTTCCTGCACGTCACCCAAAACCCATCCCATCCTGAACTGCAAAAGCCAAACTAACATGTCCCCAGATTGCCCTTGATGCATCGGCCAGGAACGCCCTGACATGGGAGCTTTGCTTATATCAACCTGACAGGTCCGTTGTAGCACAAGCTGTCAATATCAAGTCGGGCCTCATATTGCCACTCAATTTCGACAGCAGCCGTCAGCCGTCCGCCACAGACACTTGACACATGACGATCCATAGCCGAATTTCGTTCACCGCTTTCAATAAATCCTCCACCTGGCGCTTCGTGGGCTTTAAGCTGATTCGCACCTCTGACTGGCATTGCTAATAAGAGGCCAATGACACGGAAATCGCGGTGGCTGACCATGGGATACAAATATGATGGATTCCGCATCGTTACTTGATGGAGCCTGACCAGGAACCGATCGTTAGACAGTCATGGCCTTGGTCCGTGGTGCAACTGGCGTCATGTTTCCCTCTGACCTCGCGCAGTAGCGTCTTGGGATATGATGCCATCGAAACCAATCAGCATCAACCGTTCTGAATAAATACAGAGAGGCCATGGGGGTCACAAAGGCCCTCGGCTTGGTCGGTACGAAATCCACCCTGAGCGGCGCTGTTGCACATGGGGAACCACTAGTTGAGCCACTGCCGATGGGTTGTGGTTGCGACTGTTAAAGCTGCGACGCCTTTATCAGGCACCATTCCCACTAAACTGCGAACAACTTCGTTCGCCATATCGACTATCTCATAGCCCCAAAACAATACGGTCAATGACTCGAGTCGTGCTGGGGAGCTATGATAGTAACCATTCTGGCGTTGAGCCATCTTCCCAAGTCTAGATGACCTGAAGCATTGTCTCTTTAAGGCATCATCGACGGGCTTGAGTATGACGCAGTACACATTCTTCACTAACAGCTTGACGAAGCTGCATGTCCCTCTGGCTGGTGCCCGCTCAACTTTCCCCTCACTTTCAAAAAGACTCAATCCCTTCACCGACTTTTACAACCTGCCGCTACAAGTGGTCCATCAAGCTAGTCAGGTTGCTGTCCCACCCTACTCCGTCGCGACTCGAAGTCAGGGTCCGATCAACTCACTAGGGGGCTAATTGCCAGCGCCAAGAATCATGTCTTTGCTTCATCCCGCTACGATCGCAGCACATGAGCCAGGTGAGCTTGCTTTCACGGACCACTGAGTGGTCTCCTCATTTTAGAAAATGTCAGTCAAGGACCCCAGTGACACACATCGATGCTAGGCATGAACAGATAGACAACTTGCAGAGGGTTTCCTGCTTATGTATACAAGCTCATGCGGGGGTGTGATGTTGTACAGACGATCCCGAGGCCATGTCTCTGAGCAACTTGCGTTGAGCAAAGTCTCAATGCTGAGGGTTGCAAAATGGCAACGGCCATAACGAGGAAGACGAATTGTTCTTTCTTATTCACATCATGTGTGATTAATGCCTTGGGTTAAGGATTAATTGTAGAATTGGCGTTTACGCGCAATTTTACATAAGTTCTTTCTTCGGTCTCTTTGACAGAACTACTGTTGCGTTTAAGCGTCCAACTCTTTGTATGGCTATTCTAGATTTCAACCGGATAATTGAATAGAATCGAACCGGTTTTTTGGCTTCTATTGGTGATAGTGTGGTGCCAGTCTTACACTTGACGGGCTTCTACGAGCCTGGATCCTAGACGCTGTCACTACTGAAGAAATACCTTGTATCAGGAGGCTACCACTGCTGAATAGTCAAGTATTCGCTATGGCTACAATTGTATAGTTATATTCACAAAATCGACGATTAACGGAAGGCCATTTCGTGAGCCATGTCGAAGGTTCCTTGGACATAAGTAGGATCATTATATCAACTGTGTATGTAATCTCAGACTTATAAGTCATTTGTCAGTCTTTATAAACATGCAGTCATGACTTACTCAGAATATCAACCATAAACAAACCAATCACCCTGACAGTATACTAGATGTTAATGCGACTATAACGTGAACTCAGAAAGTATCGTTCTAATGCCGTTAGAAAATGAGATCGAACATCAGGGGCATAGGGTAGGCCAGATCAAGAACCGTAACCGTCGATTTCGTAGTGAATAAGGTAGGTAATATTGCTAATTTCTGAAGAATGTTATAAAGTTCCGAGTAGGATGATATACAATCTGGAGGTTGATGCTCTCAATAAAATGCCTATTTTAAGGTAAAGAGTCCAAGACGTTTTAACGTTTAACGTTTATACAAGTTGAAATATGTCACGTGACACATATCACCAACTCTCGTCCCCCACCGTGGCGCACCCGATCAAGCCGGCTCCACCTATGACCGCGGGGCAAGAACTTTTTGCGAAGCTATCGCAAGCTGCCGCAGAAAAAAAGTAGTCAGCGCAAACACGCACCCAAAAACCATCCTTTTTAGATGTGCGCTCTTAGGTGACATTCAAGATGCCTACGGTCGACGATGGCTTCGAGGCTCTCCTGGAGCCATTCTATAATGGCAAGAAGCTTACGGATCCTATTTCCACAAAGGAGGACAAGTTCCAGCTTCTGCCAGCCTTCTTGAAAGTCAAGGGTAAGGATGTTGATCAGCCCGGTGAGCCTTCTCACTAACTGATTTATAGGTCTTGTCAAACAGTATGTCTCCCGGATAAAGAGCGCAGAGCTTGCGATTGTACTTCGCCGCTTCTAACTTGATTTAGGCACATTGATTCCTACAACTTCTTCGTGGAGCAGGAGATCAAGGATATCGTACGCGCCAATCGAACCATTCGAAGCGAAGTAGACAGCAATTTTTGGCTAGAGTAGGTACTGGGATATCAAGTAAATTGGCTATGCTAACATTACTTTCCAGGTTCACAGATATTCGAGTAGACAGTCCTCGACGTCAAGATTGGACAGACAACAAGTCACATAGCGAAGTGACTCCCATGGAGTGCCGCCTTCGAGACATGACATACGCCGCGCCAATTTTTGTCGACATACAATATATCCGAGACAAGCAGCGGATTGTGCGAAAGAATGTGCCTCTTGGACGCATGCCAGTCATGCTCAAGAGCTCCAAGTGTCGTCTCGCCGGAGCCAACAATACGCAGATGGAGGAGATGAACGAATGCCCACTTGACCCTGGCGGTTACTTTATTATTGGTGGTACCGAGAAGGTCATTTTGATTCAGGAGCAACTGAGCAAGAACCGTATCATTGTTGAAGCCGACGAGAAGAACAACATTATTTCAGCATCGGTCACCAGTTCTACACACGAACGAAAGTCGAAGACGTACGTTACTCTGAAGAAGGACAGAATTCTCCTGACACACAACGTGCTGGTGGAAGGTATCCCGATAGTAATCATCCTGAAGGCTCTGGGAGGATTGTCAGACATGGAAATTATGCAGCTTGTTGCTGGATCAGATGGAAGATACCAAGATGAATTCCTGGTAAACTTTGACGAGGCGACAAAGGCGGGCGTTTTCACTCAGCACCAAGCGCTGGAGTATATCGGAGCAAAGGTAAAGATGGGTTCCCGCAGAGGCACATTCGGTCCTCAAGTGCGCCGTAACCACGTCGAAGAAGGCCTCGATGCCTTGGCCAACCTGGTCATTGCCCATGTGCCCATTGAGGGACTGGATTTCTACCCCAAGGCCATCTATGTGGCTCAGATGACTCGAAGGGTTCTCATTGCCGCCCACAACCCCAAGTTGGTTGACGACAGAGATTTCGTGGGAAACAAACGACTTGAGCTGGCTGGTCAACTTCTCTCACTTTTGTTTGAAGATTTATTCAAGCAGTTCACATCTGGAGTCAAGATGTCGATCGACAAGTTCCTGAAGAAAAACAACAGGGCAGTTCCTCTCGACGCGGTTCACATGATCAGCAACCACGCCAACAACATTGGATATGGAATCAACCGAGCCATTCAGACTGGAAATTGGACTGTCAAACGCTTTAATATGAACCGAGCAGGAGTCACTCACGTTCTCAGTCGGCTGAGTTATATCGCCGCTCTTGGTATGATGACCAGAATAAGCAGTCAGTTCGAAAAGACCCGAAAGGTGTCTGGTCCTCGTGCACTTCAACCATCGCAGTGGGGTATGCTTTGTACGTCAGATACACCTGAAGGTGAAGCCTGTGGTCTGGTGAAGAACTTGGCTTTGATGACCCATATTACTACCAACGTTGATGAAGAGCCTGTTAAACGGTGGATCTTTACACTAGATGCTGGTGTTGAACCTATCCGCAATTTCTCGGGTGCTGAGATGCACCGTGAAGGAAGCTACATTATTCATATCAACGGTACTCCGTTCGCATTAACTCGATACCCAAAGCGATTTGCGCAAAAGTTTAGAACTATGCGACGGAGAGGTTGGATCTCCCCTTTTGTTGGCATCAACATCAACACACACTTCAACGCCGTTCATATTGCCACCGATGAAGGCCGTATTTGTCGACCTTACATCATCGTTAAGAATGGTAAGCAGAAGCTCAAGCCTGAGCATCTGCGATTACTTCAGATGGGCAAAGCGACATTTGACGACTTTCTGAACCGCGGAATTGTGGAGTATCTCGATGTCAATGAGGAGAACGATGCCCTCATCACCATTTATGAGGACCAAGTGACACAGAGTACCACTCACTTGGAAATCGAACCCTTTACAGTCCTGGGAGCTGTCGCAGGATTGATTCCCTTCCCCCACCACAACCAATCTCCTCGTAACACTTACCAATGTGCTATGGGTAAACAAGCCATTGGTGCAATCGCATACAACCAGTTCAACCGTATTGATACTCTTCTGTATACACTCGTATACCCTCAACGGCCCATGGTTATTTCAAAGACCATTCAACTTATCGGTTACGACAAGCTTCCTGCAGGACAAAACGCCACCGTGGTTGTTATGTCATACTCAGGATACGATATTGAAGATGCTTTGGTTCTGAACAAAGCATCGATCGACAGAGGATTTGGTCGTTGTCAGGTTTTCAGAAAGTACACGACGGAACTGCAGAAGTACCCCAACGGACGCAGAGAACGTATCGGAGACCCTGAGAATGAGGGCGATGGCAAGATTAAGCGCCGGATCGCTAAGCACGAGGCCTTGGATGACGATGGTCTTGCAATCGTTGGTTATAAGGTGAACAGCGGCGAGGCTATGGTCAAGAAGGAGACACCGCTTGACCAGACAAGCACTGGCATCGGACTGGACCGTGGACCTGCCGAGTTCCGCGACTCATCAGTTTCGTACCGAATCGCAGATCCCGCATATATCGACAAGGTCATGATTTCTCAGACAGAGAAGGATACCACAGTAATCAAGGTGCAGACAAGACAAACTCGACGCCCCGAATTGGGTGACAAGTTCTCGTCTCGTCACGGTCAGAAGGGTGTCGTTGGTATTATTGTTGAACAAGAGGACTTGCCTTTCTCTGACAGTGGATTGAGCCCCGACATCATCATGAACCCCCACGGTTTCCCTTCTCGAATGACAGTCGGCAAGCTACTCGAGTGTCTAACGGGCAAGGCTTCTATCGTCCACGGTCGTCCTGACTATGGCTTTGGAGATGCTTTCCGTTCTCATCCATTGGAGGAGATGAGTCAGGTGCTTGTAGACCATGGCTTCTCATGGGAGGGCAAGGACTACTTCACATCGGGTATTACTGGAGAGCCACTGGAGGCATACGTCTTCAACGGACCTATCTACTACCAGCGACTCAAGCACATGGTGCAAGACAAGATGCATTCTCGATCTCGAGGTCCCCGAGCCATCCTCACTCGCCAACCTACAGAAGGTCGTTCACGAGATGGTGGTCTGCGCCTGGGAGAAATGGAACGCGATTGTTTGATCGCCTACGGTGCTTCCCAGCTTCTTCTGGAGCGACTCATGATCAGCTCGGATGGTACTGAGATTGATATTTGCCAGCAGTGTGGTCTGTTTGGATACAAGGGTTACTGCCACACATGCAAGAGTACAAGGGAAGTTACCAAGATGACGATGCCGTATGCAGCGAAGCTGCTTGTACAGGAGCTCATCAGCATGAATGTTGGAGTGCGACTCCAGATGGATGACGAGTTTCCCCACCCCAGGTAATTAGGGTTACATGATGGGCATGCATAGAATGGAGTTTTGGAACTTGTATACCTTACATATAGCATAGTCATTTATGAGGCGGTTAGGTAGTCTAGAGGTATTATTTTGGTTGCTTCAGGTTTCTATCTATGCGCATATCTACAATGAGTTTTAGCCTGTCGTGACTTTGATAATACAACTTTTGCCAGTGGCCGATACACAACTTTATATGCGCCCTTGCTTCCACGCTCGTTATTGCTTCTTCGCCTTTTGAATCTTAATTGATTTTAATCCTCCCATAGTAACTTCGAACTCGACCGCCCCGTCTAAGCCTTGACCCGTTTGAGGCGCATGAGGCGCAAATACAACTTTCATCCATCTTCGCCATCCTCTGAGTGTGGGTGCTGCCAAGTCAGAGTCGTCCTCTGCTGTTACTGGCGCAGCCTGTCTTATACGGCCATAGACAGGACGCTTGAAGAGTGCAATACGACAAGCAATCTGCGTTGACCACACGAGGCCCAAACTTGGGGTCTTGAGTGAATAAGAAGCGTGAGGATCATCACCCCAGCCTGTGAACCAACGCTGTTGATGATCAAGCATTAGGGCGGGTGGAGGCGGAGGACCATCGGGATCTTGTAAGGCAAAGGGTAATGATGATGAGGGCGTGCCAGGAAGGTTTGTAGATGAAGGAGGAGGCATACTCCTTGAAGCGAGGGGACTCTCATAAGCGACGCCACTGCTTCTAGGAGGTGCATGTCGTGGTGTAGAGCTGGATGCGAAGCGATCAGCGACTTGATTGGCTACGACAACAGCGAGATTATGCCGTCGAGCTAGATCGCGCAGAAGAGCACCGAGACGAACGAGTTCAGCACTTCGAGCGGCCATATTAGAGCCGTGAGAACCCTGACGCTCAAACTCAGCACGATAGTTGGCGGCCACTGAGTCGAGAATGATGAGGCCAATTTTGTGACGGGACAGAAGAACGGGAACTTGAAAGTCAAGGATGTGATCTTGTGTTTCTAGATCAGGCGTGACTGCGCTGTGGATAGCATCAAGAGAAGGGCGAGTTTCAGGGTCATCGTATTGTTGTAGAATGGGGTTTGAGTTGAGCATCTGTGCAAGACGACTTGTGGCGAGAGCTGCCTCAGTTGAGATGTAGAGAGCTTCACGGCCCAGGCCATGAGGAGGAGGAAGTTGAACAGCAAGGCATAGTGATAGAAGAGCTTGAGTCTTTCCAGCACCGCTCTCACCAGTGATTTCCGTTATCACACCAACAGGCACGCCACCTCCTAATGCAGCATCCAGACCCTCATCAAGAGTACTGATGACTTTGGGTTCTTCAGCCGGTTGAAGTAGAGGCTGCTGTGGGCTGAGATCGTCAGAGAGAGACGCTTGTATAGCAGCTATGAGACGCTTGAGATCGAGGATAGGGAGGCGTGTCTGCTTTGCTATGTCTGCGGGATGAAGGGTGAGAAGATCTGTTGTTGTGAGAGCCTGTTGCTCAATTGTTGGTATTAGAGCTGCAAAAGGGCGGAGAGGAAAGGAGGGCAGGATTTGGAGGAGGTCTGTCATGAGGACGGCTGAAGAGACATGGATGGTTGTGAGTGAGTGAGAGTGAAGTGAAAGTGAGGGTGTAAGTGAGTGTCAAGAAGTGAATGAAGGGGTTGGCTTGGTGTTGACAGCAAAAGTGTATATCTCTTTCTTGTGGATTCAACGTCAAACTCTATGGCAAAAATAAGTCTTTGCCCTTATAAACAATTTTGTCCTCTGTTTGCTCTGGTTCAGTTGATTTCTATCAAGATAGTTGAGGTTGCACTTCACGCGTTTAAGTGAATAAGATTGACGCGGTTACATACATCACGCGCTTAATTGGATTGGCCGGACAAGCCACAATATCAACGCCACATCATAGTCAGAAGAGCCCACTGAATTTTCCGGGCAATTTCCCGACTGAAAAGACTGCAAATTTAGTGGACTTGTTTAATCCAGTAGCACTACAGTACGAGGCTCGAGAATCTTAAAAGTTTGTAGGGTAGAAAAATGTTTAGCTTTTTGATAGCAAAACAGCCCTGAAAATGTCAACGCTGTTAGAAATCACTTCAGCCAATGTTTCATAGACGCATTGGCTTGTAAACATCTCTCATGAATCACGGCACAGCACCAATCACAAATCGGTAGGCAAAATTCGGGAAACCATATTCTTAATCTTGATCATGAAATTGGAATTGCTTTTGATTCCATTTTTTGTGCTACCAAATAAGGTTCCCGACTCCCCAGAGTCCAAGCATGCAGTGCCAAAACCAGACCCTCCCAAATCGCATGTACAACCGAACAGCCGCGTTGCGAATAACAAAGCCAGCTCCTCCCGAAGCAGGGGGCGAGCTGTTTATCGGTATCGCCACAGGGACAGGGTGTTGTGGCGCTTCCAGGTCTTTCTGCGGCCAGCCTGGGTCTTGTTGTAGCGGTGGCCCTTGTTGAGACCACGGGACTTCTTGCCGGTGGCGGTGAGACCACGAGACTCGCGGTGCTTGTGGACGGGGTTGACGATCCAGTTGATGCGGGGGTCGATGCGGATGGCCTTGTGCTGAGGGTCGACGAGGATGACCTCGTAGTACTTGTAGGTAGAGTCCTGGTTGATCCAGTAGGAGTTGAGGACTCGGAGGTTAGCGCAGCGGCGGCCGACACGCTCCTCAGCGGTAGCCTTGAGGGATCGCTGGTACTTCAGCTGGTTGATACCCTGGTTGGTGGGCTTGCCTGTTGGGCCTGTGTTAGACACTGACATCCCTCTGTTCTCGAGAGCAAAAACCTACCATAGGTGGCACCCTTAGGAGCAGGGCGCTTGCGGCCACCACGGCGGACACGGACACGGTAGATAACATAGCCCTGCTTGGCCTTGTATCCGAGACGGCGAGCCTTGTCCAGACGGGAGGGGCGAGAGGCGCGGTGGATGACGTTCAATTGACGGAGCTATATTGATGCACTCTCAGCAAATGTTCAACGAGTGTATAGCACAGACGGCGGTTAATAAACAGCCTGCTTCGTCTCGGGTTCTCTCTCATCGGTGTCCAAGCGTACACAGCTTGTGTGTTGATTTCGTCGTTGAGAATTTTCTTCCCAATGCGGAGTATTCAAAACTCCCACAAAAAATTCGACCGCTTCGGACAATTCGAGAGGAGAACAAGAGAGCGAGAGCAGGTTGGATCCGCCGTCCACATGGGGAATTGATGTTTGTGCTTGTGCATATTCTTGGTGGTTTAACGTACTTCCCAGCAGCGAACTCGGAGGAGGAAGGCAACGACATCCGACTGCTTCTTCTTCTGAAGCTCTTCGACGTACTTGAGGGCACCCATCTTGGCTGTTTATGGCAGAGACGACAGAGGTTAGCGAGAGAAGAATAAAGAAAAACAAAGGCTTGCAAAGAGGAGAAGAAGAAGGAGAGTCTGGAGGAGGGGGGTTTTCACATACCGGCTTGGTCGAGGTCCTGGTGGTTAGTAGGAGGTCGAAGATTTTCAGAAAAGAGAAAGAACCACCGATATCCAACTTTCCGTGGGAAAATTGTGGCCTGTGGGTTAAGCGATGCGCTAGCCCTCGCACTTTTTGCAGCCCTCGGATGTGGTCTGTGCATGGTCACGTGCCTTCGATCTGCAACGACTAAAGGTTTGGTGGTGACAGGGGTAAGTCATCGGCAATTGGTAGGCAGACTTACAGTAATTGAAGACATGGCTTCATGAAGCTGTGTAATACTACTCAATTCGTTTCATGTCTTTGGTGCTGCACTCCCAGATATAAGTAAGGTTTTCATATGATCTCTCCCAAGCCATTACAATTGATCATCAATGTCGTAAAATCACTCACTCTTCCTCTTCAGCTGATAGTGCTTTCAAGACCTCAGTAAACACCTTCAGATGACCCTGCGCAATCTTTCCCCATATATCATCAGACATCTTTGGTAGAACCTCCTCAATCAGATCCCATGCTACATGCTCAACCCCGCCGGCGCCCTCAGAAGGCTTGGGAGGAAGTCCGTGTAAATCAGGCATAATAAAATGATTGATCATCTCTGAAGCCATCGCAAGACCGTGCTTGCTCATCTCCTCCAGGTCTTTGGTATCTTGTTGCCAGCGCATCCAGTCAGGTGGTCGGATCTTGTTGTCTTGTTTGACCAGGTCTTCGTAAGTCCTGACATCGCGCTGTAAATTGTCGAGTGCTTTGAGAATCATCCTTGGGTAAGTTTGGGTGCTCTGTCTCTGGAGAGCCGACGAAGAACTCATCCAGGGAAGAACGCCTGCAAGATCTGGAGAGATATCTTTCTTCAACATATCGACGCCAATTCGAGGACTGCTGGCATTAGGAAATTGGATCGAGCGAAGTGCCGGAAGTTACATACATCCGTGTATTGGTCTCCTTATTGATAAACTTCACAAAGTCGGCACCGTGTTTCTTGATCCGGCTCTTGGCTTCAACAGAGAAAACCTTTCGCCTCTTGTTGGAAGAAGCGTTTGTTGCGCGCATGAAATTCTTGTCTCTGCGTTGATTTGTTCCCCTCGCACCTGATTTCCTTGGAGCCCTGGTTGTCTTCCTGGGAGGTGCATCTTCGGTACCGTTGCTCTCTCATGTGCTTTTAGCTTCTGTAGGTGAACTCGTGATTGTATCGCAACTCACCCGTAGCAGATGCTTTTCTCTTCCGTGCTCGCGGGGGCATGATATGATGATGGAGTGCTTCTGTTGAGAGGTGACAAGGTGGGTGGAATGAATGTTCAAGAGTTCCGGCTCATTCAGAGGCGTCTTCTCTGGCTACGAGCCAAGGAAGTTAGTGTGGGAAGCATCCGAGCATGCGTGGAGAGGAAGGTACAGGTGCAATCCTTGTTGCAAGAGTGGGAAGGCGCTTTGGGTGCTTCTCAATATGGCAAGAATCCGGATCTGCCTCAACCGCCAATCAAAGTTATTCTCTCAGTATTATTCCATGAATCTCTAGCTTCGCTTTAGTTCACGTTGAGATAACGTATAAGCAAACCCTGAGCTCGAATTTAATCTATCACATAATCTCATTTTCGTGCCTCGAGCCAAAGAACCCCTTAGAAACAAAACCAATTACCTGCACGAATAAGCAAATGAGTAAATCAAATCTTTGTCATACATGATTCCGGCTATATCTCCCAAATGTGCCCCTTTTTTGACTGCGTATTAGTTACAGTGTTAGATGCGAAGTCCTCGGGTCTTTCTGTCTATAATCTCGGCCTGTAAAAGAAAATCCATGCCATCGAATGCCATCTTGTCTTCCCTCCCTACTCCCCGTTGTCGTGAAATCGGCCGTTGGATCATGGATCCTGAACAAAGCATTGGCGATATGGAATTCGAAAAGCAGCTATTGAACAATCTCTTAATACTCGAGTGTCGAATGAGAATTGCCGATTAACGCCAAAAAAAGATGTAAACGAAACGGCGAACCATTATAAAAGAATGAAGATCGAAAAACGAAAACACACAATCACATAACCGCACCGAAAGCCGAACGAGGGCTGGTTCTGTATATGTCAGTCCACATCCTCAACTCCATCAACTAATGCCAGCAGTTTCTCTTTCATGAAACGAAGTCTGCTGTGCCTGCCTGAACGTAAACGAGTGTACTGAGATGAACTTCTCATGGTCGCCAAACGTATGTGATAACACACATTAATGAGTGTTGAGAGACAAGCCCTGGAAAGATCCAACCCAGTCATTCTGGGGAGCCAGAGGTGAAGTGGCTTGAGAGTGAGGCGCCGGGCTGGGACCAGACTGTGGGTTGGGGAACCGCTGGCGCATCGACGTGTATTCTCCAAGCTGGGGAACTCCAACGGGGTAACCCTCCATAGCGCCCGGCATAGCACCAGAACCAGCACCGTAGCCAACATTGCTGCGAGGATTGCTATAAGGGTTGGCGAACTGCCCGTAAGGGTAGTTGGAAGGAGGGTACCCAGATGGCTGCGCGAGGCGGCCCTCATTGCCAAATGGCTGGTTGAAAGTTGGAGCAGGGCGGAATCCGCGGCCATCTCTGGCTCCACCGGTAAAAGCAGACGCTTGGTGGGGTTCTTGGACCTGCTGGTTCTGGCGTCTGTCATTACCGCCCGCACCACGGTTTGCGTTCACTGCTCCGGGGCCGATGCCACTAGGAGCCTGAATACCAAGAGTTGGGCTAGCGAATGAGGCTGGGTTGATAGCAGACATCCAGATTCGAGTCTTGTAGATCTTGAACAAGTCGGTAACGAGAGAGTTGAAGTTGATGTACGAATCGGCAAAGTAATAGAAGGTCAACTTCTTCCAATCCCTAGCAGAGAGGTTAGTCAGATCCTGCTGATAAGTGGTAAATATACTCACATCTGGAACTCGGCGTCGAGAATCTCCATATTGAGAGCGTGCTCCTTGACCTTTTGCATGCAAACACGCTTCGCCTTCGCCTCTTGACCTTCCTTGTCCCGTAGGGCTTGGATCTCGTGGTTCTGGGCAAGACGCTTAATGAGCTTGGGTCGAAGTTCGCCAGCGTTGGGCTCCTGCGCATGGTGCTGGCTCGGAGGTCCCATGCCTCCAACCGCGCTTCCCTGAAGACCGGTAGAGGAGGCAAGAAGACCTGCGCTAGAACCCTCCTGCGCGACGGCAGCATTTTGTGAGTACATCATCAGCCACTTGTACTGCTCTTCGGCATAGTGCTCCTTGAGTTCTTTAGCAGCCTGCCAGTCAACGTTATCCTTAGCAACGGTGCCAAGGTCAGTGCCGCGATCAGCCTCGACTATCACCAGATCACCTGGCTTGACATTGAGACCAGTGCCCTCTTGGATGTAGAACACGTCAGCTCGAGCGCACTTGAATAATACAATGTGAAGAAGCTGGTTGTGACGAGGCTGAGCAATGCTGTAAACATTACGATGGGGAGATGGTGCGCGGTTCCCGTACGTAGTGGACAATCCATAAGGAGATCCGTATTGATTGGCAAACCCAGTCTGATAGGCATTTCCGATGTTGGCACCTCCGCCAACGCCAAAGTACTGGCTTGCTGTTTGCGTGCGTTAACAAATCATCAAACAAAGAACATGAATTTTGCGCCTAACTTACCATGAGAAGTAGCACTAAAGGCGGCAGGGTCGGGGTACCCGGGGGGGTACTCCTGAGATTGCTGCATATCGAGTGCAGAAGGCTCTAGTGCGGCCGCGTCGGGAATAGAGCTGATAGAACCTTGGCGAGTAGGCATGTTGGCAAAGGAATGTCGCCTACTTTGAGAAATATCAGAAGGAGAAAATCCAAGTGAGCTTGACCAGAGCGCTTTCTTGAGGTTGGCGTTTTCAGGTTTGCGATTGTTCTCAAACGGAGAGCGTAATGACCCCGCTCCGTACTCGCTCATACGCCTGCTCAGCGCCCGTTTGGCCAACATATCGCCAGATTCGTTGGCTTCATCAAGCTCATCAATAGCATAATCAGATTCCTCAGGAACAGTGTCTCGTATTGGGTAGCCGTTTGCAGGATAGGAGGAGCCAGTGACTGCGCGGGGTCGAATACGGGCATTGTTATACTGCGTTTGCTGCTGCTGCTGCTGCTGCTGCTGCTGCTGCTGGCGCAGCATAGCGTTTTCACGAGCCAGTATTTCAATTGTTTTCGCATCCGATTGATGAAATGAACTTTGCATCGATTCGCTTGGGCTTTCATCGTCGTCATCCTCGACTTCCTTGACTTTTCCAAGCATCGAGCCGTCGTTGGCCATTTCGCTTAGCATGCTGGGTCGAGAAGGTCGATGTTGAAGCGCGGGATAGCGAGCGCGACCCATGATGGCGGAAGAGCTCATCGAAGGCGGAGTGGCTGTTGACTCAGGATCCAGCTGCCCAACAGAGTATGATTGAGACCGGTATGTTTTAGGAGTGGGATGAAGCGGAATAGCGAAAGGTATTTGCGAATTAGGCGCAGGATCGCGCGAGACCGGAGACGTCTGCATCTCTGAGCTAAAGAAAGAATTGCCACCGCCCGGGGGCATGGTCGACGTGGGAGAAGGCAAAACCTCGCTGAGCCTCGATGGAGGATCTTTGCGTTCAGTGTTCCAGATAGCCGTACCCCATGAAAAGCCAGGTGCGCCAGATCCCCGGCCCATCACAGATGAAGCTGAGTGAGATCCCCACGCTCCACCGGTCTCCCCAGAAGGCGTGCTGGGATGAGAAGTAGTTGGAGACATCGAGTTACTAGCGATAGATCCCCTACGGGGACGGCCCAGGGTTTGAGAAGTCTCGTTCAACCACGAAGGTCGTCGGACAGGTCTAGGAGGTTGCGACGCAGAATGTGATGCTGCTGTTGCGGACTCGTATCGGTGCTCGCCTTCGTCGTCTGAACTAGCAAGAGCTTCTGAATCTGGTGTAGATGTCCTCGCGTGCAGCTTCTCGAGGAGCAGTGACTGGTTGTTACCCGGGGCTGTAGGATGAGATCCTTGGCCTAGTCTGGAAGACGGGCCTGTCTTGAGCGGACCAGAACTCATTATCCAGGAAAGACACTAGTTGGCTTCTTTCAATCTAAAATCTACAAGGCTGCTGATTGATAATGCCCTGTGGATGGGAGTTTTAGTCTTATATCTGTGATACGTAAACCGGCTAGCACAAGCTGTCGTGTTTCGGATCACGGATAATAAACAGAGTTGGGGGTTAAAATAAAATGTAGGCTGTAAATATCTTTAAGAATGAATAGAATCGAAACTGTAAATGGCTAATTAGCTGACTGGTCTCATGATGAACAATGAATGGTATTTTTAAGAACAGAAGCTCATTGGCCCCACGACACCTCAGCCATATTGGGGAATGTAACAAGAGTCAGGGCAAACAAGTCTATGAATGAAGACTCGATAAATGAAGCAGAATGTTTATCAAAGCATCCAGATTCGCTGCAGATGGACTTACCAGAGATGGGATCTCGAGGATATCTAAAGACTATGTCGTCACACGTGCCAAATTCTAAGTCGTAAAAACAGACGAAACGTAAGAAAAAGAACGCTGATGCTGTAATCAGTGTCGAAGGGATGTGGCTCTGAGAAGTGGCAACTCTGATCTTATCGCAAATGTTAAATCGCGATAGCAGAAGTCGTTACGGTGTGAGCCAGTGGTTGATTAGTGTGAGTGAATACGACAGAATATCTAAACACCAGCGCGTCTAACCCAAGGCGCAAATAGAAGATTCAGGTTGTCGGATAAGAGTAAAGGAGAATGGGTGCCCATTCATAAAAGGACCTTGTTGAGAGGACTGATTTGGGCAAACGAAGATGTCCAGTGCTGTAGCGACGAAGGAGACTTAATCGTGGCCCATTGTCAGTGAAAGGCTCGAAAGCAGGCGCGAAATCCGACACCAAGAGATTGACGCGGGGTTGCTGCTACACTTGGAGCGGCAACAAGGCGAGAGACGAGCGGCGGTGGCAAATAGTCAGTGATCAGAAGACCTATCTCCCAAAATTCGAATATCAATCTGCAAAGACCACGAGAGCGTCAACGACGATGTGAACAGGCAGGCGAAAAGTGGTTGATCGCGAATAACGTCGTCGGGCACACGGTTTGCAAGTCGAATGAGGAGGACGGAGAGAGTATGCGAACTGCAGTCGGAAGGCGGGGGAGGACAGCGGCGCGCTGCAGAAAGTGATGATATTGGCAAATAAAGGCAAGCAGAGGGAAAGCTTGGCAGGAGGAAGTATGTCGCGTGTCGCGGAGCAGCGTTGCAATGTGCCGTGTTGTGTCGCGAACCGTTTGCTGCTTGTCGTGGCTGCTACTTCTGTTGGGTTTTGCGATGCAATGCGCCGAGTGTTCAGGTTGTGTCGAGATGCGGTTACCACACGAGACCAGGTTCTAAGTGGTGCTGGAGAGAGTCGCGGGCGGTATGAACCTCCAACTAATACTGCCGTTCCTCTGCGGGTACCAGGGTGGCGCGGGAGCTTTCAATGGGGAAAGCTGGTGGGCGGCGCAGCAGGGGAGGGGGTCCTAGATGTAAGCGCACCGTCGCGAATTGTTGACTTGAGAGGGGGAGGATTGATCTCGAGTCGACACAATGCTTTATGATGAAGAGGTAGATAGGAAAAGGGACCAGGACAGACAGGCCCGATGAGTAGAGTAGAGAGGGTGGAGCGAGCAGAGAGTTGTGGAGAGTCCCGAAGTGGAGAGAGCCTCAGAACGAGAGGGACCTGGACAAGAACGCAGAGATCCGAATGGAACACTGAGAGGAGTGATGTGATCTTCTGATCAGGGGACTTAGACCAGGAGTGGAAGACTGGACTGGCTGAGGGGTAGGCGAGGCAGGAGACTCTGTCCCTAGTTCATTTGCCAGCCAAACCTGGAGAACGATGCGTTAGCGAAAGCCCTAGAGCAAGGTACCGATACATTTGGCGAGGTGACGAGCCAGCCCAGAGCTTGCTTGCGGAAAGCTTGGGAATTTGGGTGGCTCGAGCACTGCGACGGGAGCTCTGCTGGACTTTGAGGAGCGCAAGCGCCACACGGTACAAGGAAGCGCCGTGACCTACCTGAACAAATGAAAAAGGGGAGTACCTAAGAAAGAAAAGTTGAACCAGAGCACGCCGCTTGGTGAGTCGATTTGAGGCGCGCCTCAGACTCTATGTGTTGGAAGTAAGGTAAGGTAGGCTAAGTGAGGTACCTAGCTGTGTTGATGGAGGTCTCAGAAAGCAGCGGGGACCCGACGTTGATCTGGGGAGAGCTACTAGCTCGGGTCGGTAGCTGGGCGATTTAGTTTTTGTCACCTCGGCAGCCCGGTAGGGTAGAGGAGTCGACGCTAGACAACTTGGCCCGTAGAGCATACGATGACCACGATGCTCTGCTCTGCAGGCTAGGCTAGAGACGAGAGACAAAAGGGATGTAATTTGATGAGGGGATCGGAGTGTTGATATGCTTTTCCCTTGTGGCAGAAGAGGGGGGGGCTTGATTAAAAGATGGTGTCGGCCAAGTGATATTGAATGGTGATACAGTAACGTGGTGGTGATGGTGCTATGGATGTGAAAGCTGGGGTTGATGGAGCCTAAGGCAATGTTAGAAAAAAGCGGGCACTTCCAATTCAAGAATGAAAGCGGAGGCCATTGAAAGAGAGACTCGAAAACTACTAGGCCAGCTAGGGGAGGGAGGCAAGAAAACTTAGGACCTCTATCCCAAGTGACGAAAATACTTGGGTAGATTTAGTATGTCTTAGTATGCCTTTAGGTTAATTAATTTTGGCATCCTGGTTTAACGTCAGAAGTTTTATTGCCTGAGGACCAGCCAGGCCTTGTACTTTGGCTTTTGGCTTAGGTTTGCGTAGGCTTGCGTTTAGGCTGGGGTAATGGGGGCGTTAGGGCACTGGCGGGTTGGCAGGAACATGCAAATCATCCAATCAATGTTTTTGGGTTACCTTGACTCTACTGTCACGGTGGGCTAATCCTACCTACCTTCATCGTCTACAGTATGGAGTATCGTGAGAATTCGCCTCCGTCATAAGGTTGAGAGGGAAAATAGGTCGGGCCTAGACTCTGCAGTACTGTACGGAATTGGTGGTAGCTGGCCACGGCGTGCCCTCCATCAAATCTTAGGTTTCTATCATCTCCTCCACCAAGACCGGACAATAATTGGACCCTGAAAAAAGGGAATCAGATGTTATTCTGTCCGGCATATTATCTCAAAAGAAGCAAGTATAGAAGACCCCTGTTTATTAGAGGCAAGGAACGGAGTACCTAGGTAGACATCCATTGAGTAATTCGATAGGTCAGAATTGCTCCTGAATATCCGTGAGCTTTAACCGTTAAAGTAGGCCAGCGTCAGACCATTGGATTGGGCCCAGGCCAACTCACGGCAATTGTCGATGAAGTGCTGCTTATTTTCCGTATAGGTAACTTTGAAGTCGGCAAGCTCGTGATGCAGAGTGTCAATGGGGGCTGGGACTTGCAGAGAAGAGAGACTTGGGTCCGTTGTATGCATCAACCGGATGCGCATAGAAAGCGCCTCTGACGTGATGTTATTGAATAACCCGCACTCACACCAGAGCTGGAGTCTAAAGTGTAAGAACGGGACTCAGTTTGATGGATAAGTAACCGAGAATCAAATGCTGGTCTGTTTAGCTCATCTATCGTTCATACAGATCTCCAGGTCCATCTCGAGGTCATCTCGATGAGGTGATCGAAACTGCCGAGTACAGTCTCTCATCACGATACCTGACTTCATGTTCAACCGACAGACAGACTCAAAAGAATCAAAGGATGGCTGGTGGTGTGCATGTCCCTGTACTTACAGTACAGGGCTTGGGTCCAAGTTAGACGCAGTTACAGTGAAAGCGGATTGGCCGCTCCACACTCGGAATCGATATGCTAACGCGGATGAAGCTTCATCGGCCCCACCAACGTATCCCCGACCAACCGAAGACTGATATATCAGAACATCCATGGATCACATCAGGTGAATCATAGCAGAATAGGCATGAACGAATAAAACAGGATCAAGGTTGCAGTGAGTTCTTTCAGGATACGGCAGCTGCGATATTTGTAGTATACGGAAGGAGAATACCTAGATGGCTCTATGTCATAAGGTACCCTGGGCAAACAGCCCGTCAACTACATCCATTGCTAGGCATGTAATCGATGGAAACCCCGCTCAACAGGCCCAATGACGATACCCTCGTCAGTGGAGGATGTCTTTGTTGAATTTCTTCCACTGACAAGCTGCAGCGTCATCGTGTGTCGTAGCTCAACCGACCCAACTCCCCTCGTGACCTTGCTTACTAGGACTAGGATGGACCCGTTGGTAACAACGATCCAAGGGACTCGCGGATCAAGATCGACTCCGCTTAACTTAGCCTTTGACTCCGCTTTTTAGCTCTGTAGTAATTCAAGCTTTCTTACTTGCTGGTGCTCACGTCACTTTCCGAGCCTCAAGAACTGTTCTTACTTTGCTATGATGATCACCAGAGCTTGTGAGACCTAAGAATTGAAGATACAGTCTCCGCACTGAGTAGTATGTCGAGCTAGAACTTTAGTGTATTGTTGTCTTTCTTCACCGTTGAATATCTCCGAGGACAACCTAACCGGAATTGACCTTATGTCGACTCACGAGTGAATTTTAAGATGTTGTCCTTTACCCTCCTACATGTTTTACTCCAGAAGCAAAGAAGTTGAGGCTATTTTATGTACCCATACGCAAGAGACGAGATGCATAATCAACTCTTATTCGACACCGAGGAGATGTATAATGCAGCCCGTTTCCACCGAGTGTCGATCCTCACGAGCAACAATCTCGATTCTCATTCGCCTTTATGGTCCGAATTTGTGTCAGGTTCACTGTGCATCTCATCGTATGTTTATCACGATGTTCCCAATTTAAATGTCTTGAAGCACATCATTGTTGTTGCATTACAGTGGTCCTCACGGGGCGCATGATTAAAAGTGATATCACTGTCTAAGAAGACTGCCTAATCATAAAATAGTTCAGCGCTTCAGACATAATAGAAAACATGTCATTGAGAGATTTCTCGCTCCACTCCCCTATCTAAGTCATAATTGATGCTGCTACGACACTGAGGGCCGATATCGGTCCATTCGTGGTTGATTCTTAATCGCAACCTCCCCGCCGTTGTCGACCTTATAGGAGTTCTCACAGATGGAATATTCCGCTCAAATGGGATATAATGCGCGTATCTGCCGAGTTGCTATCAGGGCTTTGTCCATGGTGCAGTATCTCGAACTTCTTCCGCTTCGACCATCCCAGCATCTCAACCAGGGCACAATATACTTGGCCAGGACCGTCGTTAGTATTATCTGATTCTCGCTGAGATACGCGTTGCTTAGACGAGAAATAAAGTCTCTTTGGAAGCAGAGTATCAAGTTAATCGGCAAAATTATGAAAAAGAATTTCTTTGATTTGGCCAGTCTTGGCCCCTGTCACCAAGTGACGATAGCTTCAAAACTACACCCCGACGAAAGGAATCGGTCCGTTTCTTCTTCACTACATCGTACTGCCTTAATTCAACCCAATTGGGCCATTCGCACTTCACCAATAACCCGATCGTGCACAACAGTGAATAGTGCCCGAAGCGTCGGTGAGTGAGTGAACTTTATAAGACGGTGATGCTGTTTGCGGAAATAGTCGAGATCTACCTATACGAGCCCTGAACTGTTGATCCGGGACACAAAGCAGGGTTTTGTAGATATTAGCAGTAACTTGAGGGGTATTTCACGGCTTCCAAATCAATGCATATTCGAAATGCTACTCTGGTTTAACAAATCATATGGTATTCGTTTCAGATCCTGCCTGATATGTGACAATTGTAGTTGATGTTTCTCGTGATTCTTCCAAGCCAGCCCATCTAAATCATTTCTCCTGCAGTTGTAATACATTCTCCTTAGTACACTAGGTTGAGTCTCCTGTATATCACCAAGCCCAGGATGACAGCCACGTGCTTAAGCATCCATGTATTTTTGTAAGAAAGAATCGAGAAATGAATATGGACTCTGGTAGACTGAACGTGTTGGTTCTGACAGAACTTTGGGTATGAAATCCGTGGAGTGTAGGAACAAGAGCTGGATTCTCTCTTGTAGCCTGTGTTGCGGTCGTTCAGACAAGGACTGTGTATGCTAGTATGCAGTGGTGTGTTCGTAACGTCGTTAAGTTCGAGTGAGTGTGTGAGTTGAGGCGATACAGTCTTATTCTCCAACCGAGATGACTACATCGCCCTTGCATTTGCCGTATGAGCAGCATTCGGATGCATCCATGTCGCCTTTAAGGATAGCATCGACTTTAGACTGGTACCAACTGTTAGCGTGGATGATGCCTTTACAGAAAATGGGTACATACTTGAGGGCACGGCCCATTTGGTGAGATAGAAGAGGTTGGAATAGGTGATGCCATAACCAGGGCAGCAGAGGCAGCGAGAACGAGCGTGTACCACTTCATGATGAGTATATAAGGAAAATTCGGTAAACGAGGGAGACTACTAGAGTCGAGTAAAACGAACGAGTTGGGTGAAAGAGTGACTGAAGAAACGAATGACAATAGTTTGAATAGAGAGAGTGTGAGTGAGTGAATGAGTGAGTGGAGGAGTAAGTGGACGGAGGAGAGAAAGTTGGTCTGGTTTATATGGCCTGGAGGTCACTGCGCGAACTCAACATTTGACCATAGATTCAAGGGAGATTCGTCGAAAGCAGGGAATCACTCACCGACAGTGGGGTCACTGCCAAGATTACCTTGGGTCGCAAAAGAAACTGCATGCGGCGCTGACATCCATTTCCCAAGAGAGTTTACAAGGCAGCGTTGAACTCTTTTTGACGCAAACGTTGAAAATGTTCATTCCAACCCAACTCGGATTTGGTGCGCACCTCATGCGCTAATGCAGGTACACTACAGGCGACTTACAAGGGGACAAGGGCCCACATGCGTCATATTCCGGGGGTCACAATCGCTAATGAAACCTCGTAATCCAACTTTTTACATTGGATTTATCTGCCGATGTTGAACTGTCTGGTAAAGATCAGCCATGACAGTTGTAAAATTGCACCAATCAGTACTGGCTCTCTCACATCATACAAAAATACTGCTGAGATTTGGTTGCAGGTCAGAATCTACTGGATTCTCAGAATGGCCTAGGCTTATTGTCAAGAGAGACATGAAGAAAAAGAAACAAGGCCTGGCCTTGAGAGCAAGAAAACTTGAGAGCTGTAGGGAGGGTGTCAAAAACAAATAGTCCAAAGTCTACTAGATCTATCCTAAGTTCGCTCAAGGTCTTTTTGTCGTGTGTGGTAGTGGTCTTAGGTTTTCTTACCTCCCTCAACCAGGGTAACAAGTGGAACGAGAAACCCTGATAAGACAAAACAAGGGAAATAATAAGCGGCATTCTTAGCGTTGCTAGAGCATTGTCATCTCAGCCCTACGCTTTTCTAATTGCAGTACTTTGAGTTCAGAAACGGTTTCAGCAGAGTCATTGCGTTAATGATTTGATTATGATGTTCATCAACCTTCCAAGTTTGCTGAGATAATAGATAAAAACACCTTATCATCCAACATCAGCCAATGGGTTTGAACAAACCGTCATCTGCCGGTTGCGACCGTTGAACAATCTCACCTCATGCAAGGGACTGCGTGGTTATCGAGAAATGTCTTGGCATTTCTCAGCCGCTTCCGAAAGTCCGGATTCAGACAATGTCTCAAATTCATGGGTAAGGCTATCAGGTTATGATAGCGCTCTGTTGACCGAGACAACAAAAACATGAATCAGGATAAGAACTATGAAAGACTTGATGACGTGGGGAACGCTAAATTGGAAAGGAAACACTGGTAACCATGCTATCAAAGGACATTCCTGAGGGCGGCGATACTCTTCGAGCACCTGATGATGCGCATTCACAAACTCCCAACTCTCACGACCGTCTCCTTGGTGCTGAACTGTGTTCCTTCACCCTTAGAAGACTTGTATTAGCGATCTAAAGTGACCAAGTTTTGGGAAACCTCAAGATGAACTACAACTTCTGAAGGTGCCACTATTTTACCCAGCCCCGTTTGCTATTTGGCTATGCTTTCATCAAATCTGGGTATTTCCTTAGAAAGGGTGCTAAGACATGGTTTAACATCAAGAACCGGTTCTCGTGGATTATTCCCATGCCTTGGGGAACAGGAAAAACTTCTGACCTTGAACCGAGATGCTTGAAATAGTTAAGTAGTCTAAAGGTCTACTAAATCTATACTAAGTTTACCTAAGTTTACCTAAGTATTTGTATCTAGGATAGAGGTCCTGAGTTGTCCTGCCATATTATCTTCTTCGGATACTCACTATTGGCCCATTCTATAATTTTGTGTTGTTTAGCTGAAGACTTACCTAGAAGCTGCTCTGAATCTATGCGGATCCTCGGACAAGTTGAAATGGTACTATGTACCTTAGAATCATAGTGGATTTTATTCTTTATCATAAAAGCCACTTTTCTCTAATGTGCCAGCACCAGCAACATGTAGCAGATCAAGAGGATTGCGCTGCTCAAGCAAGACATTTATGTTAGGCACTCTAACGATCCAATTGCGTGTCTTGTTATTGTTGAAACTATCAAACTTTTGATCCTTAATAACTTGAGTGTCTTATGGAACTCTGTTCCCAAAACGCCAACAATTCTAACTACCACGACCAAACTTCAGCACCCACTCCCCCAAGTACAACATTGACCTTCTCACCATCACTCTCCCCTATGACAGCAATATCACCAGGGTCAGCAACACCACTATACGAGTCGGCCACCAGTTTCACATTGTTCACTTGAACTCTCCAGACCCTGACCCTCTGATCGTTGCTGACCGTAATGCCGAACGTCTCTCCCCCACGTTGCAAGAGCACCAGACCGTTGATTGCTGCTGCATGGGCCTTGCGTACGATTCCACGGCTTGAAGTTGTGTATCTACGTTTGTCCGACTCGTCTGACATAGGTACAAGTGTTGTCACACCAAGACCGTTGTCGTCGCCTCCTGTGAGAACTAGAAATCCTTCGGGCGTTGGCTGGAGATCCAGGCATTTGATACTGCTTTGGTGCACGGGAGCCACCTGAACGAGAGCATGGCTAGCCACTTCCCCTCCGAAACTAACCTCCCAGGTTGTCAGGTGTCCATCCGTAGAAGCAGTAAGTGCCGAAAGACCGTTCTCGTCCACCCCGAGATGGCGAACCTGTGTGAGACAAGCTCCCGTGTACGACATGCGAGCCAGGAGGTGGAAACCTTCTCCTGGTGTGTAACGATATGTTTTCAATGTTGAGTTTGACAGAACCATCGTGATAATGATGCTTCCATTGCCAACCTTGCATGCGTCGAAATCCATAATGCGAAGATCTGCGGCAGGACTCTTGTCTTCTAGGATTGCTTCGCACAAGATTCCGAGGCCTTTGTACTGTGAGTCTAGCCTTCGGACAGACCATACGAAGAATTCTTCGAAACCAGCACTGCTGAGAAGGTAGTCATCTCCCACCCAGTGAATCTTTTGTAGTCCCGATATGTGAAGCTTTGTAGAGGCAACACATCGAAGTCCACCACTATTCTTCGTTCCACATCGTTCATCTCCATACTCCCAGATACGAACAGTTGTGTCCTCAGCGCCGGTTGCAATATACCGACCACTAGCACTCAACCCCCGAATCTCTCTTCCGTGTGTTCCACATCTCAGAGGGCGGTGTATCGGGTTGTGCTGCGAGAAAATGTAGAGCTTCGTTGCTCTGGTATAACCAAATCGCACACGGTTGTGGTTGATGGAATCATGAGCAATGGTAAATGTCCGGTGCGCACCTCCACAATCAACTGAGGCAATTTCTTCCCGACGTGTTTCGTTCCATACGATAAAGTTCTTACTCTTAAAGCCGTACAAGATCAATTCGGGAGATTCATCTTGAGTAAACCAACCACCTTCTATATCGGCACCAGAAGGGGCAGCGACCTCATGCTGGAGGTGCAATCGTACTTCATCGCCGAGATCTTCAATCTCGTATATTCTGTACTTTGTATCTCTGCTCGTCGCCAGGAAGTACAGGGGAGCTTCCTGTCCATCGGTTGTCGGAAGAGGTACCAGACCAGTAATAGCATCGCGTGTGTTGAATCTGAAGTCCAGGATAGGGCGGAACTCGTTTCCTGTCTGCCTCAATAGTGCAAGAAAGCCATGGCGCGACCCTATGGCAATCAAATCCTCCCTAAAACGAGCAGCAGATATAGCAACGAATCTCTTGTCGATGCCGCGAATATCTGCCGTTGCTACAACAGCTCCTGTGCGCCAGTCGATTGAAAAGTACTGGGAGTCTGAAGTTCCATGAATATGGACAATGAGTTCTGTAAGACCCCACACGGAACTGGAAAGGATCGATATGTTGAAGATCTTGCCCGGCACAGAGCCAAGAACCTTTACCCCTTGAGATTCAGAGAAGTAGTACAGCTTGCCACTTGTCGTACCAAGAATAGCAGCACCGTCACCTATCGTCTGGAGAGTATAGCACGTCTGAAATTCGACGTTGAGCTCATCTTCCAGTTCAATCTCTCTCCACTCCAAAGCCGGTCGGAACGTGCCCAAGAGGAGTCGTCCCCAATTTGTTGTAACGAGCATACGGTCATCAGAAATGAAATCATAGCGGCTGAATATCTCTTTTCCACGAACAGATTTCAAGGTTCGTAGGTTAGGTAGAGTGGCAGCAATCTCATCGAAACCAAGCCCAAGCAATTCGTGGGTTGATACTGACGCAGCAGGGGTCAATGAGGCAGGTTGTGTGATGAGAGAAATCTTGCTATCAGCGCCTCCTGTTGCAATGAGGGTTTGGTCTCCCTTGTTGACCACAGCGTGCGCCCATAGATGCTTGCCATCGTGCACGGCGTATGTCTCGATGTGCTTCAACGAACCAGAAACTTTCTCGGACGAAATATTGAGGTTCAGTTGCCATCTCTGCGATGTCGAATCTTCTCCAAAAGAGTACAATGATAATGGGCTTTCTGGGAGTGTTTCGCCTTCCGTGAGTTGGGCGAACTTGATACCCCAGATTCTTGACAAATGTCCCATGATGGTAGCCACAGGTCGTAGTTCTTCCGCCCTAGGCCCATCGTCCAAACCTGCTTTTGATCCGAATCCTGTCTCTCGTGGTGCAGCAAAGTCATGCTTTTCGTGTGACCCATCTCGTCCGGTGATGTTCCAGATTCTCACGGTCCGATCATCACTGCAGCTTGCAATGAGCCTCAATTTGGTTCCATTTTGACAAGGGAGTTCTTCTGAGATATCAACACCAAAAATGGATCCTTCGTGCCCGTTCAAAATGGCCAGGAGTTCCGAGCGACTCTCTGAAACATAACATCGCCATACAAGAATCTCGCCAAAGATTGTACCTCCAGCCATAAGAACAGTGTCTTGGTCTAGCCACTTGAGTCTCGCAGCGTAGAGAATGGGTCGTGAAGGCGAAACAATAGATCCGACAACCGGTGCATCGTCTCCATTCAGGTGTAAGTGGACGACTTCGTTATGAGCCGTTGCGAGCACCGCGGAAGAGTCGTCGTATGGTGACGGTGCAACATCGTAGATCCAATCGGGAGCGGCTGCCTTCTTCACAAACATTTGAGAATCCGTCATGTTTCCGATAAATCCCTCAATATTCGACACCACTGCAATCTGTGCAGCACCCCAGACCAACACTCGCCCATTACTCAATAGGCGTATTCCATGAATAGGCTGTGCAGAGAAGACACGAACGCTGCCTACGCGCAATGCATGGCCGGTTTGAAGATCGTAGAGAGTCAAATGAGTATCCTCGCCAGCAAGAAGATATTCCGCATCATGGAAGAAGGCGAGTGAAGTGATAGGACCCTGAAAGAATTCCCGAGTGAGCCTTGACTGGCATGTGTGAGCTCATGATAGCGGGGGAGGGGCGTTTATGATCATGACTCACATCTGCCATTATTGATAATAGGAAATAAAAATTGAGAAAGTTTAAAATATGTGACTCATTTACTTATTCATGACAAGGGCAATCTTCATCTGCCATAAGAGCTCTTGCGTTGAGTCAGGTGTAGAGTTAAATTTGTATTGTATGAATGAGGTTTTGTGTGGATTCTCAGTCAGCCATGAGAGAAAATTTTTGGACTGGCTCTATATACTACCAAGGCCCATCCTGATGAAGCATCACTAAACTCTTCACTTGAACCATCACAACAAATCGGACAAAATAGTAAATGCATTGTGTATATTTTTATGCTTTGAGGGCGAACATATAGGATAGCTATGTATGTTCATTCATTGCCCAATAATTTCAAAAAGAAGACCTTTGGGTATCATGCCATCCGGCATCTTCCCGTCGCCAATATCCACCAACTTCCTTTGCAAATCCATAACATAACCAAACCTCTTTCATGACGGCGTGAGTGCTATAGCAAACATTACCCTGTCATTCGATCCCGAATACCAAAATCAAACCCAAACGCCATTAATGCAATCATCATCAGATGTCAAATAGACTTTAGGAATCATGTCATCGAGTTACTCGTAGCGGTTTAAGCGCGATGAGAGTAAGGCTCGTAGGCGAGGTCAGAACGGGCAGTACCGCTGGGGTAGCGAGGAGCACCATACTGAGACTGGGACTGGTTGTGGTTGTAGTAGCCGGTCTGCATCTCGTGGTCGTCACCGAGAGGAGCGTAAGAGCCGTGCTTGTTGGTGGCACCACCGAGGAGCTTCTCGCCATCGGATCGGCGGTTCTTCTTGTCGCGACTTCGGCTCTCAGGCTTGCAGCAGCAGATGGTGAACATCCAGAAGAGACCGGCAGCGATGGCGAAGGCGGCTGCGATAGAGACACAGGCGAAGAATCGACCGTTGATATTACCCTTGACACCGTAGAACTTGGCTGTGCCCTCGACAGCACCAACGACTGTACCAGCAAAGACACCAGAGAGTACGACAGCGGCGATAACGAGAGTGGAGGCAATACCAGCGACGATCCATGTCAAGCAGGAGAAGATGCGAGAGCAGTTGGAGAAGATGCCGAGAATAATCTCAGCAGCGAGAGCGATGAAGGCGGCAATGTAGACGACCTGTGTCCACTTGGTGACAGTCTTGAAGGCCTTGAGAGCATCCTGAATCTCATCAGGAAGTTCAATCTGGACATTCTTGTCGGCACCAATGAGATAAGAGGTGTTCAACTTCTTGTTGGCCCAGTCAAACTCGGGCTTCTCGCACTTTCGCTTGCCATCTGAGTCGGTCTTACAGAAACCCCAGAGGTTGATGTCGTAGTACTTGTCGAGACCGAGCAGCTCAGCGGTAATGTTATCCTTGATCTTGTCGGCACGCTCCTCAATAACAGGCGCATCGCGGGTATCCAGCTTGAAGTCCTTGAGGTCGAGGTTATCGATAATGTTGCCAACATCGGCAGGGCTGATGCTGAGGTTCTTGACATCGATTCGGAAGATGTAGAGAGATTTGTCGGCGACACCAGCGAGAGCACCGACGAGTAGGAAGATGATGGAGCCGACTGTGAGCACGAACGGCAATAACACGCAGAAAAATCGACCGACGCCCATTGTTGCCGTGTGTGGTGTAGTTTTTGGGGGGTTGTTTTTAGGTATGCGGAGGATGTAAACCCTGAGTGTCGGAGATCGAATCGGAATATGACGTAGAGCTAGCAGAACGAGTGCTGTGCTGTTGTAAGCGAATGACTCTATTCGAGTGAGTAGAACGAAACGCGACAGATAGAAAATGACGCGAACGTAAGAAAGGGAAAGATGAGATGAGGCGAGATAATAGAGGAGAGAAGGGTATCACCAGAGGGAAGAAGAGGATGGTTTTATAAAAGCTGAACACAGCCCAGGACCACTTGTAGGTAGGTAGATTCCAGGTTGGGCTGGGCGTGAGCACTAACCGTTGTACTGCAGCACAGTTACGCACTAACAAACAGATGAGGGGGTTGGATGTTGGTTGACGTGGAGTGGCGCAGCGAGCCCCTGCACCCCGGACAGGCAAGATCCGGCGCTCAGCTCACACTGTTATTTGTAGCGATAATCGTTGGTGTCGTACAGTGCGTAAGTATCACGCTCTGCCTCGTCCGCCTGGAGGCGTTGCGCTTACGACTTCCCCCCAGTTACCCAAGCCCAAAAGCCCAAGCCTGGTTGTTACAGCTTGAGGTCAGGTTCCCACTAAAAAGGTCACAGTGGAGAGATAGGGCGCTCAGCCACTCATCCACGCTTTCACTCTTTTTGATGAAGCTGAGCTTGTTCGCTTTTCGCTTGTCTAACCTTGAATGGGCGCAGCTCACGTTAATTTGCTCTTTCAGGCTGTGCTAGTTGAAGCAGCTGAAAAATAAACATGCACTTGGCTTGTGACTACAGTGAGGTTATCTGCTATCTTCAGGTCCTGTTGTAAGAGGAACTGCCGTAAGCTTTGGATCTCCCCACGATCAACATGACGATCATGCCATTGGCCCGGCAGCCTACATGATCTTGGTGGTTGGAAGAAGTTCAGTGGTGACAATTGATACTCTGAAAGTTTCCATTGCGGGATTAAGAATCGTGATGACATTGCTCCGCAACTAATACACCACGGATCACTTCCTCCTCCATCTGATCCTCCAACATTTTACGATTATCGAACCAAAATATGGATCCATAACCCTACAGAGTCAAAAATGCAGGGACCCTGAGCTTTTGGTGCTGACGACACCTGCTAGGATAATGATCCACCTCCAGCACCACCACTTGAATTTTTTCTCCATGATCAACACAGGAAAACAAACAAGAAAAACAAACGGGATGACTTGTATGACTACGGCAACTGGCCGGAATAACGCAGACGGTAGACTCTTTTTCGCCGAAAGAACACATAACACAAGTTTGTGCAAGATTGAGTTACCGTTGTTAAAGAGAGCGGGTGTCAGATGGAAACACCCGTTGTGCTGACAACGAAGAATTAAAGCATAAAGCTATCAGCAGCTGTTACGTCAAAGTACCATGCCCAATCCTTATCCACAATCGCGATGTGGGATGAAAGTCCGCTATTCGGTCAGGTAAACGCAGCCTTACAAGAGGGCATACAAAACAAGACATTTTTTTTTTCGCAATGTTATCGATTGCTCCCCTGTCTTGATTTCTGTCTGAAGGAATTGACATGCAAAGCCTCCCTCCATCTTTAAAACACAGCCTTTGCTAGTCCCGGGTATCGAGAATGTGTACGTAGACCGCGTCTAATTTTAGATTTTGCCGCGTTTTTTGCCTCGCTCAGCCCTCTCTCAGTCTCAGTCTCACTCGCTTTCTAGGGTCCCCCCCCCCCCCCCCACATTACGCTGGCTTCCAGTGACAAGCTTACAGACTCTGCTGCACCGCCTTCGGTCCAGGCCGTTACCGGCACATGGGAACTGATTGATAATTTGTCACGGGGGAGCCAACGAATGATGAAACTGCGGCATCTTTATTTTGACATCAAACTCAATTATCAATTCATCCCACTATCAACCCGAAAAGAGATCTACGTTCTGACCTTTTATCACCGGTTTGGGAATGGTCAAGCTTACACATGCAAGGGCCAAACTCTGAGCCTGAAAGATGCTGACTTCAGCTGCCACGTCTTTGTCACTTATCACCAAAGTCCTTCTTCCACATGCAGCTAGTCATTGTTTTTCGTACTGACCGACGTTTTGACCCTACCGCCGCTGGGCCGGTATCAATGTGATGAGCTCCTTGGCTCTATAATGGCATATGATAATTGTGAAATGAATACCTACCTACTAAGAGACTGTCTTGCGTAACTTGTATGCCACAACCGAGTGATATCTCTAATACAAGGGTTTTTCGCCAAATTGTTACGTTATTATCTCAGATCAATCGATCCAAAGAGTTCATCCACAATGATGATAACACACAATAGAGCATGAATTAAGTCCAACGACACTTCGAATAGTAACTGGGAGGTTAACACAGCGGCTTAGTATACGGGCGTGCAAGTAATGAGTATCACGAAGCTATATCCTCACTGTCTGTAAAGCCCATGTATTGTGCTGTTCATACGTTGAGATAGGGTAGGCCGGATAGGTTCGTCATACAGAGCTACCTGGAGGATGTTAATGTCAATATAAGAGTGTAAGTAAGATACCCTTTTCAACCATCCTTAACACTGGTGGGTTTTACTAATACACAACAGATGTAAGAAAAGGCTACAAGGGGGAAATGCCGGCGTAAATTATCAGATGTTATACAACAAGATATGTTCACCATTCACTTTGACGACAGATCAAAGACACATACGAGTTATAGCTTGAAATACATGATTTAGACAAAGTACTATACACCTGTGCTTGTGTAGGGAAGATTCTCTCAACCTCCCTTTATAAGTGAGAGCCCATCTCCTCCGATCTCGCTGCCACCCTCTTAATCTTTGGTCTTTATCTCCACAGGCATGTGTGTCAAGGTCTGGTATTCCCATGCAATTGTCCGCGAGCTGGACACCTCTGCTGTTCATGAGACAGTTCTCAAACTACTATATCAGTTGAACTGAACTTCAACTTCTTCCTCGCCGACTTTGGATCCTTGATAATGGAGTGAGAAGTTCACAGTGCCATCTTCACAATCCATCTTGATGTGGTAGTCTAATCGTGGGTATGCAACACCGACGGGGTTGGTCCACTTCGGAAGTGTGTCGACATCGACAATTTTGTCCCATTTCATCGCGCAAAGGTGGTGAATGTCATCCGAGTCGCCAAACCGTACAGGAGGTGCACGGGATGTCTAGCAGTAAATCTTCTCATGGCCTTGAAAAGATGGGACTTCGAAATATCGGACGTAAGAGTGTGAAACGGATCTCTTCTCTGAAATATCCTCGCCCTGTGAACCGCGTCAGTAGTGAGGCTTTCCGCGTTTGCTTCTTCTTTACCACTCTCAAAAACCATGCCATTTGACTGTTGGCTCGATAGTTTTGATGTACGTGGGACCACGTCTTGTCTGCCTCGTTGTGGTATCCCTCGATGAATGGACTACTGTACATGATACCATAGCTCATTCGAGCGACCCGTGTCTCGACATCGACACCCAGATTAGCGGAGGGGTTATGTCGGACGAGACCCTGCACGACCGCGCCACGGCAGATGGCAGTCCAACTATAGAATAGTTAGAAAAACCCCGTTCTCGTTTTTATAAAGTAGAAAAAAATGAATCCTTACGGCTTGTTTCCACGGGACTGCAAGACGATGCGCCCAAATCGTTCCTGAAGATGATTGAAAAGGAAGCGACTGCGACCGAAACCACCGACAAGGATGATGTACTGTACAGGAAGTTAGGAACATAGTACCTACAAGCGTTTCTTTTTGTATACCTTGGGCTTTTCATGGTATTTGCTCTGGGTTGCGTCGACCTGGTGTCTGACGAGGACCTCAATCTTGTCAACGATCGATGAGAACGCTGAAAAAAGATCCTGGCTATGCCAGAGTTAGCTGAGCGCTTCGATCCGCTATCATGTAACCTACGAGGTGAGATCGAGTGTCATACGGCGCATCAAGCCTTGACTGGAAGGGTTGACACAAGTATCAGGGAGAGCGAGCGACCAGCTCCGCTTCTGATTCTCGAATTGAGGTTTGATACCATGCTCCCACTCGTCATTAAGGAACTTCCTCTCTTCGGTCTTAGTGACAGGCCACCATGTACCCTTGGGACTCTTCCTCTTGACAAATCTGATGAAGGCCTCGTCAAGAAAAACTCCTCCGCAGAGGTCACCTATCTGTGAGTCAGTCATCCTGAAGTTCTCTCATCGAGTCGGCATGTGTTTCTTGACTGACCATCGCCTTTGACACATTCTTTGACAACGAATGGATCAGTTGATTGAAAAATGTAGCTAATGAGATCCTTCGAAATGTCAGCAGCGTATAGTTTCTGGCTTGAGATGAACCTACAACCGTGCCACCTCCTGCATCGCAGACAACAATGGTGTCACCAGCCTGCCCATATATCAGCCCACAGAAATTCTGTTACATTGATAGCGATGTATATGCGTACCTTGATGCTCGAGCGCTTGGAGAGATCTTTGATGGTGGCGAGTGCTGCAGCTTCTGGTTCAGAGACGAAGCGGAGAGTAGTAGGGCCAGCAAGGCGTGGATCCAGAATACCTGCCTGCTTGGCTGCCATTTTCATTCGTTGTTGAGCATAGGGGGGCCAAATTGCCGGCAAAGTGATGACGACCTGGAATTTGGATCGTTTCATAACACCATCCCCAATAGCGCGTCTGATGGACTCGACGGAATGATCCCAGATCTTTCGAAGGAAGCATGCCACGATTCCTACGGGTTCCTTTCTGAACTTGCTCTGTAGACGACGTGCCTCCTTGAGCTGGGTAGAGTTAGCAGCGCCTTGAGGGATGTCTTTGGGTTCAAGGAGCAAAAGCTTGAACCATTTCAAGGGTTCATGTTCGGGGGAAATGCCATATCCCCATTTGATATCCCGGCTATTGTGGCCATAGTGAATCTGGGTAGGTGCTTTCTCCACGTCGGAACAATGATTAAGTTCAGATTCCCAGCTAGTCACGATTTCGATCTCCTCAGGTTCTCGTGAGTAGGCCCAGGCCACGCCCGAGTACCTGCTGACAGCTTTAGTATCCGATATTTTGCAGCAGCTCCTCAACTTACGTAGTTCCGAAATCTATACCAATGATGACAGCATCATCAAGTGGTTTGTTTGCAGCCATGATGCCTGGGTTTTGGCTCCGCTCGGAGGACTGCTGGGTGAGGAGGTGAGTTCAGGTACAGTATGAAAGAAGAGAAATGGTGGAAGAGTGAAGGAGAAAGAAAAAAAGAGAAGAAGAAGAAAAGAAGATCAATAGAGAGAGCTGCAGTAATTAGGTCCGGGTAGCAATCTTTCTTTGCCAGTGCCAGCACTGGCAGTGTCTGCCAGCTGCTTAGGTCGGTACCTAGGTAGCAAACGAGCCCGGAGGTCTATGACGAATGCGTGCAGTGACGGAACTCATCAGTGCTTCTGGTAGTAACCCTATATATTTATCATAGAGATATGGATGCCTGGGTAAAGTGCGTTTGCTTGTGTCACACATATCTCTTTCATTGCAAAGGTGTTGATGCACCTCCTGTCGGCACTAAAGCTTTTCTGGAGCGAACTCCAAGGTTTTTACATATTATTGATTCTTTCCCTTCTCCTATCTTCTTTATTCAACTGATCCTTCTATGGTTTTGCGAGAACTGTGGGAGTAGTACTATAAAACGCCCTGTGCTTTGACCTTGCTCTGCAGCCAAGTGTTCTCATAGCATTGCTTTCACCTCCTGCGTCGTCTCTTTCGGAATACTGATTTGCTTGCAAGTTGAGATTTTGTAAGTATCTCGTCTTCTTGTTAAATACATCGGGGGTGAGCTTTTACTGAGAAACCTCGACAGAAGCCATCTTTGGCCAAGCTTCATAAGACTATTGAGCACGAATCTCAAAGCAGGAGGGCACAGCGAGCTCAACATGCATGATAGGACTCCTCATGCAGAAGCCACTGCTAGATACCCTCACCAATCTCATACATCCGGGCCTCTTGTCGACGTCAGTTGCCCTGAAGGCGGCCCAGGACAGCATGGCAATACCTACGTCCAGGGTTTTGGGAACCTTGCTGATCCCCTTGCAATCGATGAATTCCTTCGGATACAGGAGGGACGGGTGAACCAATTTCTACAGGTTTCTGATCGACGAGCGGAGGCACAGCGATCTGCGCTTCAACAAGCAGCGGACCGTCTATCCAACATTGCCAACAATATCGGGGCCATCGTAAATCAGTGGATCACACACCCATCAACAAACCAAGGCTCAGACTTGAGTCACGGTCTTCAGAAAGCTTACAAACGACTTGCTGACGTCGAAAGTCAGTACCTACACCTGAAGCTCGAGCACGAGGCCATCAAGAAGCAGTTGCAGGAGGCGAACGCCAAGGTTGACGAGGCTGTCAAGGCGCGAGACGAGCTGCGACGACTCGCTGACGGCGTTAACTGGACAGGATCAGCCAAGGTATCGGATCAAGAAATTCGGAGCAAGTGGAAACAGCTCGAATATAACATTCGCTCCCTGGCAAGTGTCTTGGCCAAGTGTCCGACGAAAGTGCCATCAGACAAGTTGACCAGAACCCGATTAGATGAGGTCTCCACAGCCTGGCGCAAACTGCTTGTCGTCGATGATTATAAGAACTTTCTCATCGGCGCTTATATTTGGACTATCGTTGAGAGTGTCTTCACGACCGGAAGGATATTCTGCAGTGGTGGTCATAACATTGACCTGAAGGCCATGCGAGCTGCATTTCTCGGTTAGTTCGGACTTCGTTGCTAGATGGCACATGATATAGCTAACGAGTCTTGTAGAATCTGCTTCAGAAGTTGACAATCCTTCGCGCCCAGGACCAACGCTTCGAAATGTAGCGAGGTGGTTTGCCCAGGGCACAGCACTCTTTGGACACTTCTTCGGACGTGACCAACACGCCTTCAGACGCGAGGCACGCAGTGAAGTCGATAGACTGAAGCTATTCTGCAACATCACCGCAGACAAGTCGGGAACTGACTTACACCAAGAGATGAAGGCCATCCTTGAGGCTGCACTGGACCTAGACGAGATGTTGATGAGCTCCAAAGCGATCTTTTTGGTTCGCTGGCCCCAAGATGGACAGTCTAAGACACTGCAGCGTTTCGACGCAAATCAGATGGAATCACTCGCACACACCAATGAACTTTCCTCCAAGACAATCGTTAGATTCTTCATCTCGCCGATGCTAATCAAGATTGGAAACGCCGACGGCTGCAACTACGACAGTGAGATGACTCTCTGCAAGGCCACGGTGGCGTGCGAATAAGCTGCCACAGCTAGCTGCGGTGAAGAAGTAGAATAGGAGAGCAACTACCGCAGAATGAGGTTGGTCGGTGGAACCAAGAGTGTCCGTCCTTAGGGTAGGATTGACGATGCAGCTCAGTATTGTTCATTTTGGAAGGGTGGGAAGTAATGGGCAGTTACATGGTTATGAAGGCACGGATGATCGTCCGAAGCTAGTACGCCAGATTTGGTGCCATGGGAGATACAAAAACCCATAACGTCAGAGTAGTTTGTTGTTAACCGTGTTTTGTCTTACATCGTTACAGTGTATGATGCTTCTCCTCGGTGTTGTTCACCTTTACACAGAAAAGGAATAGTGTGCATTAGACCAGCTGCAACCTGGCAAGCCAACGCGGGGATGTCTTCGGTGAGAGAAGCACGAGGGATAGTCAGCTGTCACTACGCAGAGACTGTGTTATCGTAGTGTCTAGTGTAACGAACTATTGGTTCACTAGGCAGGCGAGAACGGCGGCCTCAAAAAGGCTGACTGATAGAGTGTGATTTGATACATCATTATGCTCTCGTCTGCAGTCATGGTAGAAAGAGGGGTTGAGTCTTGGCCTTTTGGCCATTATGCAGCAGCAGCTCTGAATAGTTGACATAGTGGTTGGAGATGTCAACTGATTTAGATCGAGAGTCTGAATGTTTGACCGAGTTTCTCGTTTGTTTCGAATCAGTGAATGGTCGAGACAGAACAAGCTCTCGCACGTGCCAACGGTTGTCTCCAACTCAGGTCAGTCTGAGTGTCAATCTCCAGGGATTCGGGTTAGTTATCAGGGGGCCCGGGCCTTGAAGCCGTTGCATTTCGTAGTCTTTGGTGACGAATCAATCCATGTCGATTTTTATAGAGGTCCAGATTAGATCTTACCAATCCAAATCTGTCTCGAGTCTCCGGTTCAGGTCCCGAGACCCAAAGATAATGAGACGACTACCATAGAAAACCGCCATATGACAGGTTTATGCGGAGGACGAATGCCGAGGATATCAAGTCAGAGGAAACAGCGGAGAATAGACAACTTGGTGAGAATCTTTACTCTTATCAAGTCTTGTCAAGCTTGGCCCTCCCACATTCTCACGTATCGTCCAAGCAATCGCTTGATACCCCTGCTTCACGCCCAACCTCGCATTGCTGAGCCTCCCCTCCATTGGGCCCCGATCAAGAACCACCCCGGACGAACCAGTCTTGGCTTCAGTGCTTGTCATTGAGCTTCTGTTTCAGTCTGTTTTTGGCCTCTGTTGCTGTCTGTCTGTCGTCTTGTCTTGTCTCGAGTGACCTCAATACGACGAGGTCAGCTCCGTCCAATGATCCTCTCAAGACGTCAACTGAACTGTTATCACTAACCACAAGACGCCCTAGTTCGAAATCACTGAACTCTGTCCGACAAACAAGAGAAGAGGGTGTGGAACCTTATTCCATAGCCTGCGCCTGTCCAAGCATCTCCATCCGCCACTTCGCTTCCAAATTGACCTTATCCGGCTCCGCTCCGTTGCTCTACTACGCGCTGTAAGCTCTCAACCGGGCTCAACTTGACTCCTCATCTCGTCTTGGCCTTTTTTTTTTTGCTTTGCTTTGTGAGTGAGGGAGAGTCAGAGACTTGGGGTAAGGAACAAGGTCCAGGTGGAGGTGTTAGTGTGTACATACCTTGCCGAGACGAGACTACCACTACCTTACCTCTACTTCTACCTCTAGTTGACTTATCTTTCCACTTCCGCAACACACTTGATCCATTGTTTCTTCCTCTTTCACAACAAACTCTAGGCCCTCATACGCTGCAATTGACAATTGAGCCTATCGTTATTTGCGTCAGTGTCTGATTCAGGCACTCGACTTATCGTCCTTTCTACTCTATCGACGTCATCGCATGCGAACTACTCCGCCCGCTGTATATCTTGCTCCATCGCCTCTACAGCACTGTAGCACCTACAAACTGTACCTATACCTATACCTATAACGATACCGATACCGTCTTCCACCAACACCTGACACTCAACGTTTTGCCTTTAAACGCCTTGGCAATCTGATTTTTCATTCAATCTCATCTTACGATTACTTCACTTGCTTTTGCTGTTAGTTTGTCTTGTACAGTACCTCCGATACCTTCCTCCACTCCAAGTAAGTCCACCTGGTCCTCCACACTGTGGCTATACCTATTTTTTTCACCTGCGTCGTCAACACTTGAAATGCGCCGCAACCCTGCCATACGCAATCTTCACTCAGCGTCAACCTCTTCAAGTGTGACTCAGCCTAACGTGGACTCTTTCCAGATTCGAACTCGGCCTTTGCTATTTCAGCGTTATCTCCGATCTCGTTCCGTTCGCCTTTTGTATCGTCTCCGGCCTCATCCCGGCGTTAACAGGCCTCCCCACGACGTCATCACGCCGCAAAATCCACCCGCAGACTCACTTCAACATCTCGTGCTTCAACCTGAAGCATCTTCCAAAACTGCCCAAAACGGACGCATCAAGGAGTCGTCGCCGCTCCTCCTCCTCCTCCTTCTTCTTAACTCTCGATCGCTTCTTTCACCCTCCCTAACATCTCCCTTGATCCAAGCTCAACCTTAGCTGCGCCGAAGGGAATCGCTACGAATCGAACCGCCCATCACCAGTGAAGTTTGGGATAACCACTGTTGATCGCGGGAAGCAATACCATGGGAAACAACAACTCCACTCCAGGCGGATCCAACTCCAAAGGCTCCGGCTCGGCCGGGCCTGATGGACCCCTCCAGTCTTACCCATCATTCAGCAGATCTGACACCAAGGAATCGTCCCGCTCGTTTCGATCTCTAGGCTCAAAGATTCGTGGTAGCAAGTCCGATAGTCCCAGGAACTCACAGGTTCTATCCAATGGTGACACTGCGACCGAAACAAAGACTGAGGAGCGACGATCCAGTAGGCATGGACGTTCAAGCTCTTCTCGACTGAGCCGCAGTGAGCTTCCTCCGCTAAACACCGCTGCGTCAGACATGTCAGCACCCGAATCGGCCCTCGCAGATTCGGCTATTGGAGACGACCAACCGCCTCCATCTCCTGTTCAAGGAAACACCAAGGGCGGTGCCCACGATGTGAGCGCCGCGCAAGCGTCGGGAGAGGTTGATCATGTTTCTGACCAACCTCCGTCTGTCAACGCTGGAGCTACTGCGCATATGCAAGCTCCAGGCCAGTCTATTCTGGTGAAGCGAGAAAACACCATTAACCCAGTCAACAGCCCTTCTGCTGAGTCCAAGACAGACGGAAACTCCAATGTCGCCATGTCTGAGATTAAGGATATCGATCTCGATGACTTTATTAAGCGACTCTTGGATGCGGGTTATGCTGGGAAGGTCACCAAGAGCGTCTGCCTCAAGAATGCCGAGATTGTTGCCATTTGTCAGAGGGCTAGGGAAGTCTTGCTGTCACAGCCTGCTCTCTTGGAGTTGGATGCCCCAGTAAAGGTCGTGGGTGATGTCCACGGCCAGTATACCGATGTTATCCGAATGTTTGAGATGTGTGGTTTCCCCCCTAACTCGAACTACCTTTTCCTCGGCGACTACGTTGATCGAGGTAAGCAGTCTCTGGAGACTATTCTGCTACTCCTCTGCTACAAGCTCAAGTTCCCCGAGAACTTTTTCCTCCTCCGCGGAAACCACGAGTGCGCCAATGTCACGCGAGTTTATGGCTTCTACGATGAATGCAAGCGACGGTGCAATGTCAAAATCTGGAAGACGTTTATTGACTGCTTTAACACTCTACCCATTGCTGCCATTGTCGCGGGCAAGATCTTCTGCGTTCATGGAGGACTTTCACCTGCACTAGTTCACATGGACGATATTCGAAACATTGCTCGACCAACAGATGTCCCCGATTATGGACTACTAAACGATCTTCTTTGGTCTGACCCCGCAGACATGGAACAAGATTGGGAAGCCAACGAGAGAGGTGTCAGTTATTGTTTTGGCAAACGAGTCATTACCGAATTTTTGGCAGTGCATGATTTTGATCTTATTTGCCGTGCGCACATGGTCGTTGAAGATGGCTATGAATTCTTCAATGATAGGGTTCTGGTAACAGTCTTTAGTGCCCCCAATGTGAGTTACCCATCTCCGCACCTCCTCGGATATCCGGCTAACTCGTATAGTACTGCGGTGAATTCGACAATTGGGGCGCTGTTATGTCGGTATCTGCGGAGCTGCTCTGCAGCTTTGAGCTCCTTAAGCCTCTTGACTCAAGCGCTCTGAAGAGTCATATCAAGAAGAGCCGAAACAAGCGACAGCACATGCTCAACAGTCCGGTATGTTCCACAAACAAGCACCTTTAAAACCTATCTAATCATTGTCACAGCCCGCTATGGTCCAACCTCAGAGCGTGTAATAGTATACATTGCAAATACGAATCCGATTTTTATGCTACTTCCTCTATTGAGACATTCATTTAACAAACTACGGCAATCCGAGGGCGACCCGGACATTGCTGTCCAATTTCACCGGAATGAGCAGCGCAAACAGATCGACTCTTGAACCAGAGTATGAAAAGGTCAGAATGGGTTTGGGTGCCGAGAACAAGCACACTCAGTATACAGTTGCCAGTACCACGGTGTGACAGCCGCAAGGTCGCGGCTCTGTTCCGAGTGACGGACGTAACTGTCCTAATCAAAAGACCTGAAATGGTTGAATCGGTACACAAATCCCAGAATAGCGCCGCTGTGCATACGCTTTGGAGTTTGGGAAAGGTTGGCCTATACTTGAGGCGCACTTGTAAATGGTTGATTGGAGGATTGGGAAGGATGCCTTATAGAGTATTATGGGCTAATAACAAGATCCAAGATCTTGATTTGTGCATAGCACCAGGAATTGATTACAGGCAGTTCCTATGAATATGTTTATGCTTTTCTATATGACTTACAGTGAATCGAATGTGATGTTGATGATTGGCCAATGCGGGGTGAAATGCTTAGTCATCGAGTTGCGACGAAAATTGATCGTCGAAACCACAAACAATCAGCTTCACCACATCAAACAACCACCCCAAAATGCAACGCCACGCCTTCCGTTCGGTGTGCAGCCGGACAAGGCCAGAGCTCGAGCAGGTCTCGGATGCTTTTCGAAACTACGCCCGCCAATTCTCAACAACGCAGTTCCAGGCAGCCGATGGCCCAAGCCCCAGCACTCCGAGGCCGCCTCGAAGCCCGGCTGGTGGTCCCAAGGTTATCGATATAAAGAGCATGCCCCTGCGCGGACGTGGGGGTCTCAGAGGGCGCGGTGAAGCTCGTGGAAGAGGTGGTCTTATGTACAGAGGTCGAGGTGGACTTGCTAGGGGAGGATCATCAGCTCAGGATCGATCCTCTACACCTGTTCGAACCTCTTCACCAACAAGAGGTCGTGGTGGTTTCGGTGCGGGCAGAGGACGAGGCGGTCGTGGAGGTCGTGCTCGTGGCCGAGGTGGAAGAACCAACGATCGACGACCAAGGGATGAAGAGGACAAGGATAAGAAGAGGATCGACCGAAACGAGTTCAACACATTGGATCCTGATGAGAAGTCCTTTGACGATAACATTCGATTCGGCATCACCTCGGAATACAGGCCATCTCTCACACTCGAATCTATCAACGAATTTGCGCCCCTTGCACCGAATTCCGCCTCTGGAAAATCGGCTGCAGTTCTTCAGAACCTCAGTGTCCTCGGCACAGCGGATCATGTCGGTGCACCAGACACCTTCCAGCCCAAATATTACGCCTCTGAGATTGAGACCAATGGTGTTCGCTTCTTTGCCGACCCAAAAGATAAGGAGGCTACCGAAAAGTACCTCCAGGAGAAGCTCAAGGCAGAAGGCAAAGAATCCACAGGCCCCATCATCACCGACACCGAAGAGGCTATTCGTCAGGTCATCACAAAGCGGGCTGTTCAGGGTCAACATGAGACACCCAAGTTCGCTTCAGACCCTGTTGGTCTCTCTCGCTCATGGCATCTCAGGGCCGAGACTTACTCTACCAACGATGTCAACTCCTTTGAGACGAAGTTGACGTCACTTTTGGCCAAGAAGCCTGCTGCTGGAAAGGGTGGAAAGGCGCGCGCTTAAAAGATTAGATCTTGAGATCAGTGTACACTTGTCACGATATGTAATACCACAATATTCTGAATCTATCATACAATTACCATCTATAGTTGACGGATGGTCTGTGCTTCTTCCTGGTCAATTTCCTTCATCTTCTTGTCTTGTACCTTTTGAAGCTCCTTCTCGGCCTTTTTGACAATGTCGGGGAGGACAGTGCCCGACTTTTTCCAGTCCTTGAGTGTCTTTTCATGTCTGGATCTAGCATTGCGAATGCGGTCCTTCCAGTGCTGTACTGTCTCTTTGATTCGTCGCTCGACGTCGTCCTTGCGCTCGAGCTCCACCTTGAGAAGAAGCTCAAGTTCGTTGTCCTCTGACCGCTGTGGTTGTTGGTTGAACTCACGGCTTGCTTGCACCGCTGACATGATAGGCTTGATGTATTCCTTGTCGTTCACGAGCAGTGAAATAGCCCGACCAGATCGAGGAACGACTTGCGCCAGCTCTCGTAGAGGGAATGTCACATCATTGCCGTCATGATCCTTCATGGGCACAGGCAGCGATCCCAAATTGGTAGGATTGAATCGTCCACCATGGATCATACCCGCCAGCTGGGTCTTGAAGTGCGCATCAATAGGAGCATACGCAGCAATAACAGCTGTAAAATCGAGGGGATCTTCCGGATCCGGCATCGGCACCTTTGCAGTATCGAACTCCGCCTTGTTCATAGAGCCTGCAGCTGCCTTCGCATTGGCGCTGTTAGGGCTGTTGCTAGGGGCTGTGATCTTGCGCTTCTTCAGCAGAGAGGGAGACGTGCTGAAGACGCGGGGTGTAGCGGCTATCGATCGGAGGGGAGCTGGGCTGGTTTGGTCAGTCAATTGCATGATGAGAATATTGTGAGACGGGCCGTACCCCTCTGAGCGCACGAGTTGCCGCAGGCATGTTCGTAGAGTACCATTGGCTTTTGACATTGCCATTGTGGTGAGTTCGTGTTGTGAGATGTCGTTTCTGGTGTTGGGAGTTTAAGTGATGGTCGAAATTCCTGCACGACGTCAGATCAGGACCTGGTTGTGAGTGATAAGATAAGCGCTGGGGATGACATCGATGGACATCACCCAAATAGTAGCTATGGGCCAAATGAGATTTAAATAAGTCATACTGAATTATAGATATTACAATAAACATTCAGCTGATCTTAAGAAATTTCTATACGTCTGATGTAAAGACGGAAGTGAGAAGCGGGCAGCTTCGTTTGAAGCTGTTAGTCGGTCTCACAGCTCTACTCCTGGAAGTAATTCGACTCAATCTGGCAGCAGATGGTGAACTGACATGGCCTCAATCCTTAACGATAGAACGGCTTAAACTAACAGAGCTTAGCATAATTTTAGGACAACCTTTGGAAGGCCGTTGACTAAAGGTAGTTCCTTTTAAACTCCTCGTTTATGATGCCCGGGTGGTTCAACGACATTGAATTTTGCAGACAACAGACCGAGTAGACTTGATCGTTTTCTCACTTACTCTATGAGGCGCTCGTCAAACACTTTCATAGGACATTTACGGCATATACTATGAACAGGACATCACTGTTTGTCATGCTGGCCATTCTGCAAGCTGTCAGGTAAGTATTACAATAAGACACGGATTACTTTAACTAGGTCGTGTGGTGTAGTGGTTATCATGTTTCCTTTACAATTGACGCATCTGTGAACGGAAAAGGCCGCAGGTTCGAACCCTGCCACGATCAGCGTGATACATGATATGTTGGTGTTGAGACACTGACCATCTTCAATTTTTGTCTGATGACTCAAGATTTTGCGTTTTGCGGGGTAGTTGTGGGTCTCTACGATTCGTGTAAGGCTGGTGCAAAACGAGTTCATCGGTTAAATCTGAACTTGAAAGTCATCATGGCAGGAGCAACTTCTATAGAAGGCAAATCGGTAATTGTTTATTTCAACCTCATGCAAACCACACGGTAGTAGGCTGCAGATGCTGAGCAATGCATTGGCGCTGTATCTTGTGTCACCTATGAACTTGGTACCAATTCGATGCATATAGCAAGTACTTCTTGGTATGTTATGTATAGGAGGGGCATTGTTGGAGGAGATATCTCAATTTACAAGAACCATATAGTCGTTTGCAATAAGCACAATACTGTTTATGTTCCATCGGACAAAGCAAGGGACAGATCATGACTGAGCAGAATCTGGACCAGAAGTGGAAAATGCAAAGATAATGGAAACATCGTGATGTAAAGCGAACTCTATAAAGAAGGCTTATACATGTAACAGTGATCCTCCAAGCCTTTCATAATGGTTTTCTCCTGAAAAGCAATAAAGGCACCACAGAGCTTATCTTTGACTTATAGAAACCAGGTTGCAGAATATCACGCTCATCGTGGCAGGGTTCAAACCTGTGGCCTTTTCCGTTCACAAATGCGTCAATTGTTCTTTCTGGCAATGAGGGTACTAGCTATGACAAGGTTTTTGAAGGTGCCTGAGGTCACACTCTCGTGAGTGCTAGAGGTCTCGCAGATACTGCACGGGCAGAATCGGCAGTCTCTTTCGTAGGCCTGAGCAGCTCGTAAGTTCCCATTGAGGGTCATCTCGAGCGAGATTGGTCCCGAAGCCGGTCTGAGATAAGTTCAAAGGACTGTCTCAAAGGACGTAAGGAATGAAGGAGTGTGAAAGAAGAACAAAACGGTCTTGAGGGACTTCCCCACGACCCTCAGCATCAATGAGCAAGTCTATCATGTCAACATCATTCCAAGCTCGCCGGTACGATTCCATCCTCGGATTGATGTAGGCATGTATATCACCAGTTCGGTTCGGTTTCTGTTCGACGTGCAATGATATCAACAAGTGCAATCTCTTTCTGAACAAGCAAGGCAAGAAGGAAGAACACAGGCTCGACTTAACGACTAAAGGATCACCATTTTTTGAAAAGATATCTTGAGGCTCGAGAGGTAGGCTCAAAGATAAAATTGGGATGGCAGCACGACGAATGCGGTGAATTGTTGGATGCGAAGAACAACCAGTTTTACAGAAGCCATGCTTGGGCTTCTTTGCATAAGGGGAAGCATCACCGCCTTCGACTTGGTGTTTTGAGCCATAATTTTGTCTGTCAAGTCCTTCTTTAGAATCTGGAAAGGAAGAGTGCTTGGCGACTGAGCAGTGTGACTCCCAAACCCAGTAATCCGACCTTAAGAAAGCCCTTCGGGAGTCGTCGAGCTTCCGAGCTAATCATGGAAGGATCCGTAGGCTGTTCCGACGAAGCGCAGAAGGGCAGTGCATGTATCCTTCTCCACCAGTGCTGGAGCTCAAGACAATGTCCAGGAGTCACAATCAATTGTGCATGTAGGAAGCCCGGAAGCAGAGTAAGTGGTATTCTTACCGGTAATGGAGGCAAATATCAACCATCCCAGCATACCCAGTCTCTTTTCCGGGCTCAAGTCCATTCAAGGCTTGCAGGCTACAAGTAGCGCAATTATCCCGAAGTCGTCACTTGTTTAGTAGGTGCAATGTGCGGCTGATATGTTCACTTCTGGCGTGCGTTAGAACTGTCATTGACTTACGCTGCGCTGGCATATCCCGCGGGTGAAGGAGAGTAGAGCGAGGATAAATCATAGGATGGAAATGGTGAATTGATGAAGGAGGTAGGCGGAGGTAAAATGATGTTGGATACTTGACAGTAGCCACTGTCAGTAGGTAGTTGCTGGCTTGAGCGTTCCTTAGTATTGTAAGAAGTTGTAGTGGTTACCTCATTCTTTCGCTCTTAATGATGTAGATCACGGTTCGATTGTGTCGTTTCATCTTATATACTGTGAAAGATGAGTCAAACCCTTTTATAATAGTGTTCTCCTGAAAAGCTACTGAAGTGCTGACAGCAAAAGAAAGGCACCTATAAAGCTTATCTTCAATATATAGAAACCAAGTTGCAGGACAAACTACTCCATGGACTAGCATTCGGTGTGTGCAAATGCATTGTTCTGTCTGTAGGTGACAGCTTCATTCTTTATTACATACCATACTAAACTCATGCATTGGACATGCTCATCAGCTTATGACTGAAGGGGCTTGCCCATGCCTCCATATGTAATCATCTTTGTAATCTGATACTCTCCGATTCCATATAGGGAGCCCTCGCGACCGAACCCACTCTCCTTGACACCACCGAAAGGCGCAGCAGCGTCGGAAATGATACCAGTGTTGACTCCAACCATACCAACCTCAAGAGACTCAGCAATGCGGTGCACACGCTCAATATCCCGGGAGAAGAAATAGCCTGCTAGACCAACCTCGGTGTTGTTGGCCATCTTGACAACTTCTTCCTCTGTCTCGAAGGGGAAGAGACCGGCGACAGGTCCAAAGGTCTCTTGTGAGGCCATGTCCATCTCAGGGGTCATGTCACGAATGACAGTGGGTGCATAGAAGTTGGAGCCAAGGTCGTTGAGTCGCTTGCCTCCGATGGTGATCTTTCCACCCTTCTTCTCAGCATCCTTGACATGAGCCTCAACCTTCTCAATAGCTCGATCGTGGATCAGAGGTCCATGTGTAACGCCTTGGTCAAAACCGTTGCCTACACTGAAAGACTTGACCTTTTCGGTAAACTTGGACACGAACTCATCGTAGATTCCGCGCTGGACATAAATTCGGTTGGCGCAGACACAGGTCTGGCCTGAAGATCGGAACTTGGACGCGATAGCTCCAGCCACAGCAGCATCCACATCAGCGTCATCGAAGACGATGAAAGGGGCGTTGCCACCAAGCTCCATGGAGAGCTTCTTAAGAGTGCCGGAAGACTGCTTCATAAGAAGCTTGCCAACACCGGTGGATCCTGTGAAGGAGACCTTGCGGATAGTAGGGTCAGATGTGAGAAGCTCGCCGAGCTCGGGTGTGTTTTCGTGTGAGGTCACGACGTTGACGACACCCTTGGGGATGCCTGCGCGGTGAGCCAATTCGGCCAAGGCGAGTGAAGTAAATGGTGTTTCGGCAGGGGACTTTGCGACGACCGTGCAACCTGCTGCCAGGGCTGGTCCGATTTTTCGTGTGATCATGGCAGCAGGGAAGTTCCATCTAAAAATGTCAGTTATGAGTCTTGCAGGAGTGAAACTAACTTACGGTGTGATGAGACCGCAGACTCCAACGGGCTCCTTGATGGTCCAAACACGGTTTCCAGGAACCGAGCTAGGAATTGTATCACCATATACTCGTGGTGCTTCCTCACTGAACCACTCGAGAAAGTTTGCAGCATATGTGGTCTCACCCTTGGCGTCGGCGATGGGCTTTCCATTCTCCCAGGTAATAATCTTTGCGATATCCTCAGCGTTGGCGGCCATTTGATCATACCAAGCGCGCAATAGCTTTGAGCGCTCACGGCCGGTCTTGGCGCGGAATGAAGGGAACGCATCTGCAGCAGCGGCAATGGCTAATTGGGTATCTTTGGAGTTGAATTCGGGGCATGTTCCGATGAGTTTGCCAGTGGAAGGATCTAGACTGTGAGTATATAAGATTGATAAGTGAGAGGGTGAAGCTCACCATGGACTTCGAACGTCTTGCCGGAGCCGGCCTTGACCCATTCACCATTGACATAACAAACATCCTGCTTGAGAAGTGATGGGTCTTTGAGCTACACGATATTAGTTCTATGGTCAATCATGTAGACTGTAAGACGTGTACCTTTGGGGGAGCGACATTGGAAGCTCTCCTTGTGATCATCAACGAGATAACTGGAGATTGACGCAGAGCTCCTCGCGATGGAGCGGCCAATCGTTGAAGGAGAGCCATCTTGATATCTCAACTCAGTCTCGACAAAAGCCCAATACACAATACAATCAATCAATTGAAGAGATGAAGGGCCAAGACTTGGAGTTTCACTGATGCCGATGACGGATCGAGGTTGGTGGTGGCGGGGTGACGTCTTGTTAAACAACCTTGTGTGGGGTTGACTAAAGCTCCCGGAGCCGGTATCTCGACCACTATCGGCTCCGGCGGGACCGGCACAAGAGATATCGGCATGTTATTACCCAAGGCCGATTAATTAACCTCAAATAGTTCAATGGTGAGTCAGACCTTGCAGTTTCTTAACGTGCTTCAGCCTAGAAGCATATGCACCGGCAATTCTTATGGAGCTATTCAAGCTCTCCCCGTATTTCACCAATCGACCGGGCCGTGTTACGAAATAGGCAATTCTGCGCGACGGATAGCTCATGTAAATCTCAGTGAATTATCAGATTCATATATGAATAATAGTTAATGGAAGTTGAGCCTCGTTAGGCTATGTATGTTCCTTGGTATATCATCCTTAACTCCAAACACCCAATGCTCATTAATGATAGTGGTCCCCTCATGACATATCCTAAATTTCGTCCTAATACTTCTTCAACCATAGTATCTGTTTTGCTGAGATCGCAGTGGCAGTTGGCGATCCAGAGTGTGGAAAGCCTGTGTTCGAGGAGTATACGGCATCGCTCGAATACTAGGGGTCTTCATGTTGTGCATCTCCCAAACACCTCCCTTCGGCTCCGAAGTCGTAGATCCATCTTCATCGTCGTCGTCATCCGAAACATCGTTGATCTTATTGGGAAGCATGGCATAGATGCTGAATGCCAGATTGCAGAGATAGATCGCCCTAAATCAGTATTAGTAAAGTTATGGCATATGCAAATACTATAGACCACTTACAGCATGTAAACACCAATTACAAGCGAGTATCGAGCAATCATGCAGCTCTTGTACTTTCCATATGGCTTGGCAATATCACACCCAATACGGTAGTACCAAGCTGCAGGAGCGGGATATCGTGAATCAGTGTAGTCAGGTCCAATTGTTCCGTAGACGCAGACTGTGTAGAGAGCGACCATGCTGGTATTGATGAAAGTGGCGAAGATGGGGTACCAAACTCTCATGATAAAGGCAGTAAGCTTGCCGAGGAGGAAGAAGAGTGAGATGATCGAGATGGCGACATTGAAATTGGTGAAGCTGTTCATGTTAGTCAATCCCTTAGGCACAGTTAGAGGTACACTCACGTTCGTGTCCAGATGAGAGCAATCTTTGGTTGAGGCTGATAATTGGCATAAGCATAGAGAACTCTAGCCGGGTTCGAGTTGAGAGGAGGATCATGCTCCCAACCAATCTGCCACATATCGGTACGGTAGAGATTTGGTTGAGAGATGCCAAAGATGACCAGAGCAGGGACAATTCCAATCAGCTCAAGAGGCATTAACCACCATGTTCCCTTTCTCGATACGCGAGGCCATTTCCGGAATAAGACGCGGTAATTCTTGGCCTTGGCTGGTTTGTCTGTGTGCTCTTGCTGAGAGCGTTTGAAGGTTGGGAACTTCATGTTTGCGATTTAATCTGATCTGATCTGATTGCTTGGTGACGTTGGAGTTCAATGTTGCGCTGTGTCGGCTGCTGGTAGCAGCTATAAACTGTTCCACATGCGATATCGTACAGAGTCCTGATTGAGACCGCCAAATTCGTCTTTGCTGACCGGCAGCTCAATTCAATAAAGATGTAAGAAGCATTCCTGGGCGGCCAGGGCGGGGTGGGCAGCCGTTTAAGGGCCTTGGAGGTGGCCATCAGCTGAGAGGGGCCCCCATGTTGGACAGCTGTGAGAGGCTCTCGAGGTGAGAAAAGCCGCTGTGATGCTGCGTGAAGGACCTGTAGCCAGCCTGTGAGCGGGCGCCTGGAGTGATACTCTGATGCCAATCACTGCATCTCGAGGATGAGCATCAACGGCGTGGGCCAATCAGATCAGAGAAGTGAGGTGCTATCACCACTCGTCTCCTCTGTTAAGCGCCCGGGTGGAAATCATGAGATGCCCGATAGTGATGGAGTAGCCCGATTGGTTGAGTTGGAGGTTGGAGATGCAACCTCATGTGGCTGGCTGGCCAATCAGGACACAAGAAAACGGTTGAAGATGTGCTCTTGAGTGAGAGTCGCAGGGATTGGGAGCCGCCAATTCTTTGCCGTCAAGTGCTCGCAGATTCAATTCCTGTGATCTACCGCAAGAACGGAAAGAACGGGTGTTTTATGTTGGTTCTTGGCCAGATTCGTCCAGATTTAGCCGCCCGTTACCATCTGTCAGTCGAGTCTCTATGGAAATGGCCTCAGTTGTGGCATCTCCATATACCGATTATCCGAGATCGAGGCTGTTTAACATTCAAGGTGTAACATTCTGAGTTTGTATGAAACGAAATGTGTCATTTGTGAACATCATCGGTCAGCTGGCGGGTAACAATAGCAACAGTGATGACATTATGCAACCCACAGATCACTCTGCAGCAGAGTCACATCTTTTAACCGGATCATATCATGTCATGAACAGCTCGAGTCTAAAACCTTGGATCAAAATGAGGGCATTCCCAACTCCCGATGGTAATACCCAAAATCGGTAGTTTAGACTCTGGTCCGGGCTTCCACACCATGTGCTATGCCCTGACTATCAACGACCTTTCACAGGAGCTAGGACATAAAGAGAAGACAGCATACTTGGTTATCAGGGTCCTAACTTGATTGTTAGTGAGAACAAGAGAACCACTGGCTTCCGTGTATTATCGGCCACTACTGAGAAACTCCCGCAAGAATATCAACATATTGACTAACCCCCCTGACTGGTGTCGGCTATCAACACCAAGCCAGCCATAAAACCCGTAAAGAATGCACTTGAACCAGCCACATCGTCACTCGAGAGGAGACTCCGCCGTCACGGCAATAACGGGATGGCTTACACGGGAGGAAGCCGTCAGAAGTCATGGATTGTACTGAACAGTATCCACACCGCCTCGCTTTTGGAAATTCCATGCGACGAATCATGAGCATGGGGCAGCCGAGCTACCGGAGGATTATTCTTGATACCAACTCCAACTCGGCCGAATAGACCATCACCAGCGGAGGAGAGAGAAAGACGCAAAACCAACGTTACCTTGATCTTTGCCTCACGAAAATTTCAAGACCCCGAAACTCGGTCCGAGTATTCACGATTCAACACCAGAGGCTTAAAGATTGGGCGTTTTTTGGCGCCAAAATTCAAGGTCAACAAGGCAAGCCAAGACCAGGGGCAGACTTCGAGACCGTGTTCTCTGGAGACAGCCATTCTCACAAAGAGACAGGGGGAGCTGAAGACATGCGGGGCCTTTGACTTTGAGCTCAAGGCGTGGGTAAAACAGACCGTTCTAGATCTCGCCGATCGTCATGGACATTTCTTGATGTGGGAGGGTGAGTTCCACGCATCCGTTCCACAGACCCAAACCATTTTATCCATTCTCCGAACAGATCGGGATTTTTTCCCTTCTTCTTTTTTTTCTTTTCTGCCTTTTCCTTCTTAGCTCCGGTCTAGTTGATGACTCGCTCTGTCGATGCGTATTTCCTTTTACGTTTCCCCTTTGTTTAGAATCTGCATGTGTTGACATGATATTGCGACAATAAGAAATACATGCCTCGGTAGTTTCGTGTCAAACACGCCTCCACCCTTGTCAGCCCAGTCCAGGTCAAGGACAAGTAAACCAATTGCATGTAACTCAGGGTCTTTGCTTTGAGTGAGAGTGAGAGTGAACTTGTGACAAGTCAGCCATTAAAAAAGTGCCCGGCTGGTAGGGTTGAACTGCTAAATAGGCCCAGCATCCATGGAATGTCTACGTATGGTCAGTGATCAAATAATGGTGCCAAGACGTTGCACCGATGGTTCCGCCGCCGTTAATGTTTGATACAGGGATCTTGGTCAATATTGATTGTGCATGTCCTTGTCGAGGCTCTCGGCTCTCGTCTCTCTCCCGTCTTTCAGTTCCGCTCCGATAAAAGAATCGGATGGTTCGATATACGATGATCGACAAGAGAAGGGAAAAAGCCTGATGATGGATCACTAATTACATAGTGCTAGCAAAGATTTACCAAAGTCTAAAAGCTTGTTCGATTCCCATGTCTTTTTCATGACTGGTCGAGATGGATTGAAGCGGGACGGACTAGGTCCGGTGGCCTGGGTTCGTCTGTAGCGGCCAGAAAAGAAGCCGGCCGCATATGTATGTGGTGGGACTGCTTACTATAGACGGCAGACGGCAGATGTGGTGAGGTTATCGGAGGGGATGATGATATTGGTACTCGGCTGGGAGTGGGAACTCAAGAGGTGAGCACCATGCATCTGTCTATCATGACTGATATTTCACTTCTTCCACAACAAGTAACTCCATCAGTGATCATGAGTTTGTGTCCAGGTGGTCAACTCACTTGTCTTATCCCCTGTCAGCTTCAAGGACCCAGACCTCGAAAGCAGGTAGGTTATTTGTTGCCAAGATGATGGGATATCCACCTACAAGCCGCCTCACACCAATTCCCCGTCCTAATCTCCATGAACGAGTATGACCCCGGTAATAAACCCCGGTTCGCTTTCTGAATGGCTTGCCTTGGCTCTCTATGTATGAGTTGTTGTGCTTTATGCTGTGCTGTTCCGTACAGCATTACTGTTTTGTGATGGACTCAGATTCAAGCTGAAGCTGAAGCAGATCAATGGGATGAATTATTTTCTCCGTAAGCAGACGTTGATCCTTCCTTCCTCTAGATTAGACATGTCTATCTATCATGCCCCCTTTTGTCTATCATTTACTCGTTCGATGTGAATGTCACCACTAACTAGTCTTGTGCTCGTTCCTTTGGAAATGCTATTTCCCATTCTCCCATCCATTATTTCCATACCCATTCAGTCAGTTCGTGTGGCCTGGTCTGGTCTGAAAGCTCAAATGCGGAGCAGTGATCAGCCTCTTTCCAGACTTATCTTACTCTAACTGCCACTTTATTCGCTCATCTTGTTAATCTTCTTTCCCTTTCATCGACACTGTATTGTGACGCTGACTTCCCTTGTCCCCCTTTCGCTCGGCTGACAAACAACCGAACCGACGTCAAAATATCTCCACTGGAGCCTTTCTCACTGACAATTGCGGCTCTTTTTTCCCGGCCCCAAAACTGTTACTGCTTCTACCTACTGTACCTAATAAGGTACGCTACGCTACCTCGATCTATTACACTACATGCCAGGACCCGTTCGTTCAGTCAATTTTGACTCCGATTCCGCCACCCCAAACCCAGCCTAACTCAGAGTTTCCGTTCGAGTCAACATTCGGCCGAATGCTTTCGTCAGATTGAATTGAATCGTATTATTCATTGGTTCCCTCTTTCCCTTTGACAAACTGGTTGAACCAACCATCACTCAAAATCGAGTCAAGCTTTTAGCACCTACTGCACTCCACCCACTGAAGGACCCCCGGACTACGGCCATAACACAGCACCGTACAGCCGACTTTTAGCTGCAAATCCCCCTGCAACTCATCCCCTCTGATCCCATATCCCATCTCGATCCCCATCCCATTTCTTCCCCCCTCCCCTTCAACCTAACATCGCGGCGGCTGTATTCCTCAACATATACTTAGCAGCCCGAGCTTTTACTGCGCCGCGCATCAGGTACTATACCTCCTACTGACTGTTGCAGCTGGCCCATACAGTTAAGGTACTGCATCAGAGTCTCCCCACTTCATAGGGAACTTCCACCACTGTTTTCGCACGCATACGGTACCTTACCTTACTTTCACTCATACGCTACGCACACCCGACCTCGCAGACACGCCCCTCATCGCATCTTGAATCTCGATCTCTTGCTGGCCGCTGCGCAAGGCCCAAAGCCACTGGCCACTAGGTGCCAAGGACTCGCAGTCCCTCCGGGGCTTCGATTCCCTCCTCTTCTCCAGGCGCCTTCATGCAGCGGCTTCCTAGTTTCAACTCTCCCTCGTCTCCTTCTGCCTCTGCTTCTTCGAATTGTCCCGTCGCAGACTCAACCGATCAAGAGAAGGAGGGTCACAAAAAGCATCCACCACCAACCTCAACCTCTACTCTGGGTTCAGTACCCACATTTACGACTCCAAGCAACACCACTACCACCAGCACGACTGACGCTGAGCTTGATACCGACGTTTCAGTTCTTGCTGCTGCTGCTGCTAAAGCTGCCGGGGAAGCTTACAACAGGGTCACCATAACTGGCAGGAAAGCCTACGACTCTCGCCGCATATCAGAGGCACCAGCATGGAGGCACGAGCTTAGCATACCAAACTTGGCCTCAATCGCGCCCTTTTCTGACTTTGCGACCTCCTTCTCGCCAGCTTCGACTACCGGCGCTATTCACCAGTCAAGTTTGTCCACCGCCGGTAGTCCACGAGGTCTTAGCGCGTCCACGCGAGGGCTTCCACAGACTCCCATTCCGGCGAAGCGTCCGTCCGCCCCGTTCAGAGGTGAACCCGTCATGCACCCATCACCCATCAAGAAAGCCCGCACTGGGGCATCACCACCTCGAAAGGTCGAACTTCCTAACCAAACCGCGAATCTTGATCCCTCAGCAAGGGGGAAGCAGCAAGGGCCCCTCTCGCCTCTCTTCTTCTCACACACGCCAGCGAGGCACGTTCATCGTCCGGCCAGCTTTCCCGCAACCGATCCTGCTATTTCTATGCTTTCACGTATGCGAGAGGACCCGGCTGGCGGTGTCACGACCTTGAAGTTGCCTCGCGCAAGTGTGAGCTCCATCAGCCCAGGAAGATCAGAGAGCACTCCTGGTAGTTGGGGGTCTTCAATGGACGCTCCCGCTCATACAACGACTCCAGACAGTCGTAGTCTCCCTCCGGGGCTGCAGATGCTACAAGGTGTTGGTGTTATTGAGTTTCTGGAGCAGGACGAGAGGCCTACCTTTCTGATAGACCTGGACAATTCCGCGAATGCTAGCCGTGCCGGCTTACACATCCTCTACTACAACGCGTCTCTACGAGGAGCACATGAAGTGCTTCAATATTTGTCAGTGGACCAAGAAGATGCTAGTGCAGACACAGATTTTGGTCGCTTCAAATCATGGATTATGACACAATCCAAAGCTCGTGTGTCAGCTGATACTCACAAGTATGCTGGTATTACCTGGACATTATCAACATTACGTCGAAGGTTTCGCTTTGTTAGCGCTCAGACTTGTGTTGCTACTCCTCGCCCCAGTACTGCGTTGCCACTCATTGACGAGGCAGCTGCTTCGGAAACGAGAAGTGCCGGACACTCGCCGCAGATGCCCGTTACTCCTGACGCCGAGCTCGTTGATGCGCCAGATTATTTCGGTGATGCTGAACCTATTGATGCTAATTTTGGTCGCGCAGATGTTGATGCGATCATGGAGGGAGGTGACACGAGACTACACCCTGACGAGTTTACAAACCAAGTCTTCCAATCGCAACCCGCAAGGTCAATTTTCGATTGGACAAGGATACCGGTGTCGGATGCACTTCCTCCTCATATAAAGTTTGCTCGTTCTGTAGATTGGGCGGCTACTCCTCTCGGGCCAATCGAAGATTGGCCTGCGGATCTCAGATCCATGTCCAACCTCATCATGGGCAGCCCACACCCCGCTGCCATGTACTGGGGTCCCCAGTGTGTGATCATCTACAACGAAGCTTATCTTGACCTTGCAGGCCAAAAACATCCCAAGTTGATGGGGTCTTGCTACATGGATGCCTGGCCTGAGATTTGGGATGAGATCAAGCCTGTGTTCAAGAGCGCACTAGAATCTGGACAGGCGACAATGAAGCACGAGAATCAGCTCTTCATTAATCGGCACGGCTTCTTGGAGGAAGCCTTCTTTTCGTGGTCAATTGTTCCCTTGGTGGGTGGTGAAGGCGAAGTGGTCGGACTATACAACCCAGCTTTCGAGAATACCCGCAGACGAGTCAACGAGAGACGAATGCTGATGCTTCGCGAGATTGGCGAGAGGACGGCTGCAGCTACCACTGTCGCAGGTTTCTGGCCCCAGGTGCAAAAGGGACTGGAGTTCAACGAACACGATGTGCCCTTTGCCCTGATCTACTCGGCCAGAGACGACACTGAGAGCGAGGTTTCATCATTACATTCTGGCAGCTTGATACACTCACCCCAATTGGTTCTTGAGGGGAGCCTTGGAGCACCAGAGAATCATCAAGCCGCACTTCCACAGCTTGACATGCGGCAGTCTGAGGATGGCTTCGCGCCTTACATGCGCCAATCAATGGCTGCAGGCGGTGTTCCAATTGTCCTCTCTGAAGAGAGTGGTAACCTTCCTACGCATCTTATTGATGGTCTTCACTGGAGGGGCTTTGGCGATCCCTCAAAGACGCTCGTTGTTTTCCCCGTTATCCCGACCACTACAGGAGAATCCGTGATTGGATTCATCGTGATGGGTGTCAACCCTCGCCGACCCTATGACGACGATTACAAGCTGTTCATTCATCTGTTGTCCCGGCAGCTAGCTACCTCGATGGCTTCAGTGGTTTTGTTCGAGGAGGAAATCAAGCGTGGTCAAAGGGCTGCCCGCCTCGCTGCACTAGACCGTCAAGAACTCTCGATGCAACTTTACCTCCGTACACAAGAAGCCGTGGAAAGCGAGTACAGATTTACTCGAATGGCTGAGTTCGCTCCTGTCGGCATGTTCATCGCCAACTTCGCGGGCAAGATCAACTATTGCAACGATATGTGGTGGCAGATCTCGAGGCATTCCCGGTCCGAGGATTCTGTCGATACTTGGATGGATAGTGTCAGAGACGAGGATAGACCAGCATTGGAAGATGCGTGGGACAAACTCCTCAGAGAGAAAGTCACGATTTCGGTGGAATTCCGGTTCAAGTGTTCTCAACAGAGCGATGGAAACACGATTGATACCTGGGTTCTGATGAGCGCTTATCCCGAACGGAACCAAGAGGGCAATCTTAAGTTGATATTTGGCTGTATCACCGACATCTCTTCTCAGAAATGGGCCGAGAAAGTGCAGAATGAGCGACGTGAAGAGGCGGTCGAGATGAAACGACAACAAGAGAACTTCATTGATATCACCAGCCACGAAATGCGAAATCCTCTATCAGCGATTCTACAATGTGCTGATCAGATCGCAAATAACATCACCATCTTCGATTCGCATTCTGTCAAAGCAGATGTTGAGAACCTACTGGACGGATGCCTGGATGCTGCAAACACAATCAATCTGTGTGCCAGTCATCAAAAGCGTATTGTGGATGATATTCTGACGTTGTCCAAACTAGACTCGAACCTCTTAGCCGTTACACCCATCGACGAACAGCCCGTTAGAGTTGTGCAGCGTGCCCTCAAGATGTTCGAATCAGAACTGGTTGCCCACGATATCGAGTTTGACTTCAACGTGGATCAGAGCTTCGAGCAGTATGGCATCAAATGGGTGAAGCTTGATCCTTCCAGACTGCGACAAGTCTTGATAAATTTGATGACAAATGCTATCAAGTTCACCCAAGGTCGTGAGAAACGAGCCATTACTGTCAGCCTCAGCGCTTCAAAGCACGTGTCTGAAGTCACTAGGAAAGGCATCTCATATTTTGATAGAGTCGACCATCAACGTACTGCGGTCATGGATATCAACAACACTGACGAGTGGGGTCATGGTGAGGAGATCAACATTCACTGCACAGTTGAGGATACTGGTCCCGGCTTAATCGAGGAGGAGATGAAGTTTCTCTTCCAGCGATTTCAACAGGCAACTCCACGAACACACGTTCAGTACGGCGGCTCGGGATTGGGTCTCTTTATTTCTCGTATCTTGACAGAAATGCAGGGTGGACAGATTGGTGTTACGTCCCGCCGTGACATTGGTAGCAGCTTCAGCTTCTATGTCAAGTGCCGACGCTCTTTGACTCCTCCTCAGGATTACGAACAGATTACACCGTTCAAGATCGCTCGAAAGTCTCATGCCCCAGCCATTCCGCAGAAGCCTGAACTCAATCGCCAACCATCTCGAACGACGACGACGACAACCGAAGACACAACCCAACTGTTTGATGTTTTGATTGTGGAGGACAACATTGTCAATCAAAAGGTTCTTCAACGACAGCTACGAAACTGTGGCAACAACACGTTTGTTGCAAACCACGGCAAGGAAGCTCTGCAGACTCTCGAGCGTTCAAGATTCTGGGCTGGAAAAGAGACTGAAGGTGTTGACATCTCTGTCATCCTGATGGATTTGGAGATGCCTGTCATGGATGGAATGACCTGTGCTCGAAAGATTCGAGAGCTGGAACGAGAGGGAACCATTGTGCAACATATCCCCATCATTGCAGTTACGGCATATGCACGACCGGAGCAAATCGAGAGCGCCAAGGCCGCAGGAATTGTGAGTTGATCGTGCCAGATTTTGTTAACTTAACCACTAATAATTTATTCTAGGACGATGTCATCTCCAAGCCATTCCGAATTCCTGAGCTATTGCCCAAGATCGAAGAGTTGGTCGGCAAATACAAGAATCTTTCGGTGTCTGCTTGATGCTGTATAGGTTCTGTTGAGCCAGCTCATGCTTAATTCTGCATAGATGCTGCGCCAGCTTATACACCTGATGCTCTGTCAGAAGAACTATGCAGTTTCTCCACGGTTTACGAATATAACGAAGTCACTCGACCTGGATGGTTAGACATACGCTCACCCTCACTTTCGACATAATTACTTCACCAACCTATTACAACCTACTATTCTCTATTTGGCTCCATGTAGCATTTGGTGTCATGACTTTTGGCGTTTTGGAAAGAGACAAGGCTGGTTTGCGGGATGGCGAGCCTGCAAGATCATTGAAATGTAGAACATGGAAGCGACTCTTTTGGATTTTATGTGTGAATCTCTTTTACAGAGCATATGGAGCAAAAATATCAGTGAGGATGGGACACGATGAGCATTAACAAACACGATAGAGGATACACGACGTGCTGGCGTTGTTGGCGTTGTTGGGCTGATGGACGTCGTTTTGTGGATGGATATCTCTGGACAAAGATATGGGTTGTGTTGGTTATACCTGCCCTACATGATCATGGTTGATCATGATTGTTATCTGCATATATCTAGATAAGACCGTTTATTCGGTGGATGTCAGCTTGACTTGTTTTATGATATGGTGGTCTCCGTGAACATGATGAAGCATAAAGCTACATATGGCGTGGGAGGTTATCCCGAACCTAATCGTCGTCTCCGCGAAGGATGAGGACTAGCAAGTGTAATACTAATACTCGAAGGCAACTCAATTGATATAGATAACGCCAGATGGTATGAATGAAGACCATGATCAACCATATCTGTTTCTGATGTTCTAAAATGCCATGATGGAACTTTCAAGGCTCAAATGGTAAAGAAAAAACAATCACTTCATTGGTACAGACAAGATAATCAACACGCAGCAGTTGTATTATTAGGTATTAATTATCTCCATCCCGGGTATCAGACAAGAAAAACAAGAAGCAACGACGCGGGCAACTCGACTCATCAAAGTCGAAAGCCCATTCAACATTTTTTTTGGTTTTCGGACATCCATCAGATATCCCTTTTCTTCAACATCCTCCTCTCCTCCGTCATATTCAGTAACTTAGCTATGGAAATTGGTATCAGTGAAGCAGTCTCGACAGGGTATCTCGGTATCTTGTGAAGAAATGCAGATGCAGTTCCATCCTTCCATTCCCAAACCCTCTCAATGCGCGTGTTGTATGGTGGTGTTGGGGTTTTTGTTTCATTGTGAATTCAGTCGTAAATTTCAACGCTCAGCGCCGGACCACCCTCTAGGCGGCGGCAGTGACAACGGGAGCGGGAGCAGCGTCCTTGGGCTTGTCCTCAGCCTCGGGCTCAGCGGGCTTAGCAGGCTCCTCAATCTTGGGGGCCTCCTCGGTCTTGAGCTCCTCGGTCTTGGCCTCGGTGGGCTCCTCCTGGACGGTCTCCTCCTTGTTCTCCTCGGCGCGCTTCTCAGCAGGCTTGGGGGACTTGCCGCGGATGGTGTTGCGGAGCTTTGAGAAAGGGGACTCCTTCTTCTCTCCCTCAGCAGGGGCGGGAGACTTGTCACGCTTGCCGAAAGCGAAAGGCAGAGAAGACTTGCGCTTCTCCTTGAGGTCCTTCTTGACCTCAGGGGCAGGAGAGGTGGCGGCAGCCGTCTCGGTGGTCTCGGTGGGGACGGTAGCGGGGTTGGAGACGTCAACGGCGAGGGGAGTGGTAGCCTCAACAGGGGGGATCACAGGAGCAGTGGTCTCAGCCTCGGCCTCCTTGGTAGCCTCAGGCTCAGTGGGCTTGAGCTCAGGGGTCTTCTTCTCCTTCTTGGAGAAGACGTTACCGAAGAAGCTGTTGCGCTTGGTGGCGGTAGGCTTCTCCTTGGGGCTCTCGGCAGGCTTGTCCTCAGCAACAGCGGGGACGGCCTCAGGGGCAGTCTCCTCAGCGGGCTTAGCGGGCTCCTCAACGGCAGCGGGAGCAACCTCCTCGACAGGCTTGACGGGCTCCTCGATCTTGGGGGTCTCCTCAAGAGCAGGGGTCTCGACAGCGACCTCGTCGGCGGGCTTGGCCTCAGCCTCCTTCTTCACTTCCTCCTTCTTGGACTCCTCCTTCTTGCCGAAGCCGAAGAAAGATGTTCGCTTGCGGCTAGCAGATCGGCGCTTGGGCTCCTCGGACTTGACATCCTTCTTGCGCTCGTCCTTGGTCTCCTCCTCTTTGGGGGTCTCCTCGGTGACGGGAGCAGCCTCCTCGGTAGCAGGGACAGCAACGGCAGCCTCGGCGGGAGTCTCCTCCTTAGCGGCCTCAGAAGCCTTCTCCTCCTTCTTGACAGGAGTAGGCTTGAAGCTCTCGAGGGTGGCCTTGTAGGTCTCAGACTCAGTAACGGTGGTGGCAAGCTCCTTGGCCTCAGCGATCTTGAGCTTCAGCTGAGCAACCCAGTTGTCGCGCTCAGCAGCGCTGGAAGCCTTGAAAGTGTGCTTGTTGCCCTTGGAAGTGAGGTGGAACTTGTGAGAGCCGTCGATCTCGGGCTCAGTGGCATCAGCCTGCGGAAATTGGCGATTAGCTTACTGTGACATGTCGGCAGTTGACGCTGCATGAGATTTTGTGGGTCTAGAACTTACCAGGCTGATGACGCTAGAGGGGTTCTTCTTGTCACCAACGAAGAGAAGACCCTTGCCAGTCTCGGAAGCCCAAGCAATGTTAGAGTGAGCAGTCTCGGCGGACTTCTCGCTCTTGAGGTAGTGGGAGAGAGCCTTGGGCTCGACAGCCTCGGTGCCGAAGAAAAAGAACTCCTTGCTGGGAATAAGGTTCCTAAAGGGGTGTGGCGTTAGTGCCCTGTTCTTGATGGTTCGAGTCCTGTTGCGTTTACAAGAGCAAGCTCTCTTCCACCAACAAGATGTAGAAAGCTTGCCGGCAGCAAGGCTGGGACTCGCACATGTGATTCTACTTACTTGGGGAAGCTCAGGCCTTGAGCCTTGTGGTTCAAGTGACCCTCCTCCACGGGCTTAATCTCCTCCTCCTCCTTCTTCTCCTCAGCCTTAGCAGCCTCCTCGGCGGGCTTGGTCTCCTCGGCGGGCTTCTCCTCTGTAGCGGGAGCGGTCTCGGCGGCGACAACGGGTGTCTCTTCGACAGGCTTTGTCTCGGCGGTAGCCTCAACAGCCGGGGCAGAGATGCCAGCGGCAGGGGCAGCGATCTCAGGCTTGGTCTCCTGAGGGACCTCGATGTTCTTCTGTTCCTCGGCCATTTTGAAAGATTTGGGGGGTATCAAATGAGATTGGGTATCACAACAAACAAAGACGTTGGTATAAAAAAGGAAAGAAAAAAGGAAGTTAATCCAGAAACAGGCGTTGGATTTCAGATGGAGCTGAACAGCAGGTAGAGGGGAGAGAAGAAGGAGGGAAGAGAGATTCGCAGAAGACGGGGAGGCTTGGGGTACTTATTTGTTGGTGTCTTGCTGTGGAAAAAGGGATTAGAAGAGAGTTATCCTATCCCATGGATGCCCAGGTTGGAAGGGTACGGTACATTCAGACAGGGTCACACACAGTGAACAGGCCTAAAACTGAGGACGTGGGTCCGGGCGGGGCGTGTGCAGAAGTGGGCGGGAATTAGGGGAGTGAAGAGATTAAAGACCGGCCAGGGCAGGGTTAGTAGGGAAGGGAACCTAAAGGAGAGAGAGGGAGGAGTCATCAGTGTGAGTGAGTGATGGGCACCTCATATCAGCAATCAACTTTTCAGTTGATCAGTGGCTATACCGCACAGTTTGTAGATGTGTTGGTGCCGCACGAGGAATCACTGGATCCGATCGTATCTGCAGTGACAGTAACTGTACTGTTCGAGATCTGATTTGCAGTCATTCAAGTCCGATTATTCTATTCAAGCCACACAATCTCCTATTCTCTCACGATAAACCGTAATCTCTTAACGTCTCCGGAGGAGCACCTCATCAGTAAACGATCCGCTTATTAGTCTATTCATTGGCTACTCTCGCGTCAATACACCGGCAATTACATGGCACATCACAGCTTCTAACACCCACTGATGGTTGAGCAACAGATCGCATCTATCTATCCGTTTGATAAGGATTTACGATTACATCCACCACAGCTCATGCAATCTGCAACATGATACATCACTCATCTGGTTCCCCAGCAACTAATATCTCCTCAAAATTGCCTGTCTCTCGTTAACCAATTCTATGCTTCTTCTCAACAATCTCATTTTTCTCTCCTTGTTGTTGCTGGGTGATGCCCTGGTCTGTGCTGCATTAAACAAGTGGAACTAATATTGCAGATGCCCCATCGACCTGCCGGCTACCAGTGGATTGACTCTAGCGAATGACGCTAACCGCGGACAAAATTGCAGTAGCATATTCAGGGCCCACGTACTCGACACGTACATTCTCATTCTCAGACGGTACACTCGTTCCTTACCTTACCTAACCTTAGGACTTAGTTTCCGTCTGAACTGGGCGCACGCTCATCAAGGCGGGCAGGTTAAAGTAAATAGCACTTTCCTTGCCAACCTTCAGCACACGGAGCAAAGGAAGCAAGGGAAGGTGCTCACCGTATCCTCCGTTTCGGCCGTATCCAATAATTCTACTCCTGTTGCTCATCATCTCTTTAATATTCTTGATATAAGCTTCATTTCGCACCACCAAGCTATTACTCATTCTACATGCCTCTGATACTTGACTGGCAATTCCGGGCGTCTTCCAAGTAATTCCCAGTACTCCGTTCCGGATTGTATCATGATATCAGTTATCCTCAAGATAGAGACAGAATACACTACACTCATCGTCACGCCTTGATTCATTGCCGGTGTATGCAAAAATACCCGTGCAAGTCTCAGCGCTATTCTTTACCAGGTGTATCCATCGGCTCCATCTTGGGCATGGAAATCATCCCTCGATTCAAACTACCCATCGAATACGGTGTTGACTGCCCTGGAACTCTACCTGTCCGTCAACCACTATATAGAAAACCATGCCAAGGCGTCCTCACCCCATCTCCGGCCCTGACTCAATCGTGCGGGTCTTGGTCCTAGAGAAATGGAAGACAAATTTCGCTGTTGATTGCCCACTGATTTTCTCTTCTAGCTCGGTTTCTGAGCAATAGCACGAACAGGGTCTCGAGACGGTGCTCAATATCGATCTCCAAACAGCCTTTTCCCCCAATCGTCTCTATCATCCATCTCCACTCTACCGAGCAATTTGCTCTAGCACTTGGGCTCCTTGTGCATCCCTAGGATCACGAAATGGACTAAAAGCCATGTGCACATCAATTTACAACTATGACTTTCTTTTGACTCAGTGGCTCATTGTATTGTTTAGGTGGCTGTTGTTCCCAGCCGCGGCGTCCAGCGATCAATCGTGAGTACGGATATTTTTCCTAATAATAATAAAAAACAATCTGCCCAGCTCCTAGGATCTTCCACGAAAATCCAATCAACATCCAATGTCCTGCCGCCTCCTGTCTCCGGCCTTGTTAAAAGCCCCTTGACAACAGGACTGGCTTCTTTCCGAACTATCCACCAAGTCCTTGTCCCTGGATTTCTCGCTTGAGCCCAGTGCCGACGAGTGCGCCGTGCCTAGGCGGCCAAGATCAACGCAGTTGACATGGTCTTGGGTGGATCATTATAGAGCAGAACCCGAGATGATGTTGTTATGCCAGAACCAGAGCGTTTCGACAAGTGGCAGTCTCGACATTTTTCAGCCAGTCGTCAGTGCTCTCCTCAGCGCAGAGGTCGTCTGCTGGACTGCATGACCCTGTCATTGGCTTCTTGGCTCTGTTGTGTCTCCTACACCACTTTGGCACTCAGATGAATCACGGCGCTACCCGTAGCTGCCATGAGGCTCTATTGTCTCATGTTTGCTGCAATGGTTCTTGTGACGTTGGCTTGGATTTGAGCATCGTCTCAGGTCAAGAATTACGTTTTGTTCGATTTTTCGACACACTGTTGCTGCCCTTCTCATAGCCCGCAGCGTATCCCTGTTCCGCCGTGGGATGCACCAAGTGTCAGGTCATGTCATATCAGGTCACGCTTCAGCTACCCGCAGCAGCGTCATCCTCTGGCAAACGCTTCTATCCAGTAACCTTATGTATCAACCCTCCAACATGTCGTGGCTACGAGAGCCGGCCATCACAGAAACTCTACCGAGCACACCATCACAGCACACAGCAGGTTTATGTCTGGGATCTGGTGATTCCTTGCTCATCGATTTCTTCAATATTACCTACCTTACCTAAGACCCAAAGTTCAAGGAGAGACTGGTCTGATCTGGTTTCAAGCCTAAACATGGCCCTACAGCGGCTGGGCGCTAGCGAAAACGTCGTATTAAACAGTATCCGCATTGTGCCCTAGCCCAAGATACTCTGGCGAATCAATCAATACGGTCTACTGAGGCAAGGGACAGGACCCCATAAAAGATACATTGGCATGCACGAAAGGTACCTCGCTGGACTTGTGAACCAAGCCCATACTTTCTGATTCCCAAGATAGTATCGGTACCTTACTTTGACCGCTAGACCCGTAATTCCTGGCCTCCACGACCCTTATTCGCCGGTTGTTAAGCTCACTCACTCTCAAGAATCACGATGAATGAGGAGAATGTTACCCTGTAGATTGACCAACAGTTGAGCAAATGCGATCAAGAACGGAGGTTGAACCCAGGGGATACACCCACCAAATGTTCAACGTGTATCCAGTCGAGCTATACATATGATTACCAAGTATTAGTTACATATGCACCTGGAGGCTGTTTCATTCCACACACAGCCATTTCCATTTGTCCAACACGAACATTAGAGGTTGTCTACCCATTCACAGTAGAGGCACAACAATGTCACGGTTCCGCGATGCCACACCCAGGCCTTTCATCAGCCACTCAGGATTCGATTCCATAATCGAGGGCAGACCAGACTACTGGTCAACCCCAGCCGTGGCTCACACGATCGCGCTCTCTCCCTCACCGTGCGTTCAGGTGACTCCCAATTCAGCTACCGCCTTGACCAACTCGAGCACAGTTTTGTGACAAGTTGGGGATAGTAGATCAGCCAGAGCCGCGATCACCAAGCCAGTTTGGGCCGTTTACCGCCCTGAAGCCTCCTATACCAGTGGACCACCTATTTGGACTACAATACGGATGTTCATTCCTTCATTCCCTTGACTCAAGCATTCCGAGACTACTGCTACTACTGAAAGTTAGAGACTTGGTTGGCAAGACACATACTATCTATCGAGGCGGATCAAAGCCGAGACAATAACAACTCTGCAGAGGATACATGACCAGCGGCACGAGCGGTACAACCAATTCTCTGGATGTGCCAGAAGATTGTGTTCCAATCATATACAACGCCTGCTAACCCAAACCGGCTGACGGTGGCTTTGTTAGACAGGAGCCACGAGAATGCCATCAAATTGAAGTTCATGTGCTTCAAGAGCCTCGAACTCTGGTTCCGTTCCGGGCCCCTTCTTTTCGTCTGAGCTGGCTCCCGAGGCGTTATAATTTTGACTGATATGATCTTCCCTGATCCCTCTCACCGTGTCGACTTGGCTCTGATCTACAACTACGTCCTTTCGGAGATTCGTACACCAATAACCTCACAAGAAGAAGAGCAGGATGCTTCTGGTGCACACCCGTGATCACCATACATACATGGTCCGTGGCCGGTTGACAATGCAATCTAGGTCCACATGCCCATCAGCGCAACCACATTCAACCACAGCTCTCCACATGCAGGATTTCGGGTTGTGGGACCAACCCTGCAGCCTCTTTGGCGTCTGGCAAGTATTGCGACGTGAAGGTTACGGAGGATTTTTGTTGAACTCGATCGCCAACGTCCAAGACGGGTTATTTCTTCAACAGCAGTGTTGCATTGCCCCTTGGAACCCCGGAATAGAGCCCGAAACAGCAGAGCGTTCGTTTCGGTCCAATGCCCATTGTGATGAAAATTTGTCCAGGGCACACCGACATTCGATGTTGAGATTTCTCGGTTTTCATCCCTGATGAGCGAGGCTGATCCCTTCTTCACTAGACCTGAGTCCGCTGAAGGGGCCCTGTTCTATTCATATCGCGGCTTAAAATTTCGTCGCCTCTTCCAACACTGCGACTGGGCGGCTTACTCATTTCACGCTTGATCAGTGGCCATTCACATTCGCCTTGTTGTTTACAGCGTGGCTAGCCTCTCCTATTTGAAGATCATGACTCATTCGCTATGAGGGAATGGTTATCATTTTCCATCGCTGCACCATTATCAACAAAAGAACACTCGACATCGGTCCTACGTGATTTAGAATGACTGCTCGCATATTTTCGCATTTTGTCAAATAATAAGCTAGCAAGGCAGTTCCACAAGATGATCTTATTTGAGATTTTATGCGACCGTGCAATTTCACTTATCCTAGCGGCCCTTTATTGTATGGCGATCCACCTTTTACTCTGTGGTTGTCGTGATTCGACTCGTGATTCTTCATGTGAGTGGGCTCTTGTAGAACCCGTTTTGACGTTTTGGAGGTCGATCTGATCAACCTCAAACGGCCGTTTCCCGCTATGAACGATCATGTGCTGTTCACAAGCTTTTGTTCCATGCATTGGCCACAACGGTGCCCGTCCTATGTCTTGAACGGCGCCACCGTTTCGAGTCAGATGATTTGGCGTCTTTTGGGTTCATTCCTCCTCATCTTGACATGATCATCCCACCCGCATACTGGCGATCCCCGAGATAGCAATATCCTTGGTATGCCTCTGATAATAGTATCAATCTCAAAGACGGCGCATATCTCCTATGAAGGCTTCAATTCTGAACCGCAGTTTTCTGTACTAGGCTTTATCTTGTAGAAGCATGAGAATTCGGAAGCAGAATGCCTTCGAGTCAGTCCCATCGAAGACATTGTAACCTCTACCATGGTAGCTATCACCAGTTTCTGTACCTCATTGTAAGGACGTCCAAGACAGATGGAACCGAAGTTCCCGTTTGCATGATCTCGTGCGCATGCGTGTCATGATCTTATACACAGCCAACCTTGTTTAACCGCCCGTTCCGTCGTGCCCTGGAATTGGTCGAGTCAACCGTACATCAAGTACATGATAGCATGAGTGAATGCGTGGTATTCCATGCCGCCTGTCACGCTTTTGTTGTCCTAGGACAATGACGGCTCATCTCGAAGACTCGAGCTTATCCTCGTCGAGAAACGAAACGAAACGTTGATGCAAGCCCCGCACCCTTGCAGATTGAGCCACGCCCATGTGCCATGCTTTCATGCCCACCACCACTTCTCTGATGGCACCCAAAACTCCCGGAACGGCTTGTTTCTCATGTCTGCTTGGCTGGTGGTGTGTTGGACCCTTGTCCTGATCTTGGGCGTAAGCTAAAATACTTGGTCCAGGTTAGCCTGTTCATTGCTTGTCCTTGGCCCTATCAAGGCTATCATGCACCGCACAGTCTGTGCCCGGCATGTGAGTGTGTACGTGATAAGGCAGAGATATTGTGAACCCAGGCCTACCATGCCTAGCGGGGACTTCTGCATCTCGAATTTTCTTTCTTGTCGGCTGGGTTTTCTGATCTTGGATCAGACGAGCGATCTTCGTATTATTTCCCTCTTTCAACATGGCACACTCCGTGATCTGTCAGCCCGCTTGTCCATATCTTGTTTAACATAACTCTCGTGGGGTATACTGAGACGGCGGTGAGATAAAGGCACCACGGTTTGTTGTACCTTGTAGTTCACATTGGGCGTAGAAGGTGATGCATAGTATACGTAATTGACACAGGAACGGTGTCATTGCGTCAGGATCAGATCTGGTAGCCATCATGCAAACTCTATACAAGTGTGTCTCAACTTGCAAGATATCCGAGCGTCCTTAGGTCAGTTCTTTGGGTTGTTAAGGCTGTTGAACCGCCACTGAGGATCTTGGAGTTGATTGGAGCCTTCTTAGAGGACTCCGTATTGGTTCGGCCGTGTGTCAATGGATCTTTGATCGAACATTTCGATCTGCTTCGATGAAGGACTCCCCCCATGAGAGTGTTGCTCGGTATACCGCAACAATGTCTGTTCCAGCATGTATCTGTCCCCTGATTCGACAAGTCCTCAGTGAAATAGGTACATGTTTCGATTAGTGTCGATTTTTGACCAAAATGTATTGCGCAGGCGTCTGAACACTGGCTGTCTATTGAAGAATGTTTCGTTTCACAGGTGTCCATCATCGTTTCTTCCGAGTAGTCTGGGTCGAGTAGCTTTATCTCGGGATATCGAAAGCTGGGTGTCTAAGTCAGGGGGCTCTTGAACGGCAGAAGATAGGTGATTGATTCAAAAAAGTGTCATAAAAATTACAAGGGTATTATTTCGATGTATTAAAACTGTATTCAAGCTTGCCGGCATTGCAAGTATTAGCTTTCGTGAATGTCTGGGCAGTACAATGACTGTAACTTAACTTTGAACCCTTCTAAATCTGCTCAACTATATGTAACTGGACATTGCAACATGTAATATTGTTGTAGGGTTGCTCGGTAGATGGCACTGTTGGAGTCTTCGGCTGGCTCGTCCTTGGAAGTTCCTCAATGGTTCAGGGGTCTCTCGGACATGTCTCCTTCTAATGACCCTGGAGATCTGCCACAACTAGAAAATTTACAGACCAATGAGACATGGGAGTCAACGATATAGACAGGACAATTAGATGATAAATTGTAGTATCGTATGTGTGGGTGACCGAATCTTGGTGGGATCGAAGTTTCATAATGGCGGCGGACGACACGATTACTGCTCGAGGGACTGAGAGACCCTGAAGAAAGTGAGAAATGTTTTCGTTAGTCTTATTACAAGAGTTAATCAAGAAAAGAGAATCTCTTAGCAACCGGCTGATCTGTGAAGACCCCATGTGCCTGTTCTTAGCTTTCTGACCCCAACTCAGGTCTTGCAGTGCATTTCTGAAGCCAAGTACTATTCTTGAAGGAAGTAAAGACCAAATATGTTCTTGGAATCATTTCCTCGTGATTATTTGATGTTTGTATCCTGTAAAGGGGTTGTGCGGTTGGATGCCGACCGAGAGCTCGAGTCCGGGGGTTAGCCCCTTTTCCACATTTGATGGAGAAGACGCATGTTGACAGGATGAATAATGTTGCGGTGCATTGCGAGATGATTATTTATGTTTTTTGTCGTAGAACAGATGAACCAGTGGGTGTACAGTGAACAGTCAGTCGATGCAGGTCGCAATGTTCGCAAGATGGAGGGAACAGCACATGAACCATCACCCAGTGTGTTGGAGTTCTTTACATCTTCGGGCGTTTCTGCATAACAAAAAGCCTACTTGATATGTAAAGAAGTCTTCAGAGGGCATAGGAAGCTAGAGACGGTGCTGGGAGAATGTTTGCTGCCTGCCGAGTTCCCTAGCCATGCCCTGAGATCTAGGGGATATATCACGGGCGATGGTTCTACAGCGCCAGCACCGCAGAACAACAGCACACGCACACTATTATGTCAGAGAAGCCGCATATATAATTTATAGAGATGCATATACGATAGAATGCCCATAATGGTTGAGTTACATGACACCCCTTGTTTCGTCTGATGTCTCATTTACACTCTAATATCCACTACAATTACTTGTTTACTCTATTGTGCTAAATGCTATATAAAAGCCTGCCACTTGACCAACACTGCGAGTGCACTTGGGCGTTTGTATTCCTAGGCTCCCGTGTTAGGAGTTCGTTTCGTGTTGACGTACCTGAGCCACACTCCACAGCCTTTCTCTTTCTGCACCTCCACTCGCGCTGCAAACGCATCTTCACAAATCACCTAGTAGCTAGCTACTTAGTTGGCAGTGAATCACCGCCTCCTCATTCACATGGAGTGGGGTATTCAATCTTCTCTTCTATTGTCTCTCTTCCTTTCTTGCTCCTACTTCTCACTTCTTCTTTTCATCCTCACCCTTCCCTTCTTTCTTCACCCCTAAGCCCAACATCTGCACTCCATCTTGGACTTCTCTTGGACTTTATTTCTCTCATATTTCTTGACAATCTCGCCGTTCTTGCACGGCAAAGTCTCCAACCATGGCTAGACGCAAATCAAAAGCTAGACCTTGGAACAAGAATAAACAAAATGTTCCTGGTAACATTCCTGTCAACTCGACGATTGACACAAACTCAGAATGGAACACAAACGCTGGATGGACTCAGACCACCACAGCCAACTATCAACATGTCCACGTGCCTCTCACCGAGGTGACTCCTATCTGCAAGCCTGAGGATCGAGGACGATATGGCCACAAGGAGTCTCGAGAGCGCCTTGAGTCGCAAGGCTACCATCCGTTGGTCACTAGCATGACCAAGGAAGAGGTCGAGGCCTCTTACGAAGAGAAACGCAAGAAGAGCCTTGATAAGCCAGATTTCATTGAGTATGCCTGCGAGGGAAAAGAACAAGGCTTCGAGGGTCGATATACTTCCGACAGGAATCTGCTTATCAAGGCATCCGAGTCCTCCTTTGAGAGAAGGGATGAGACACCCGAACTCACCAAGGAAGCTTTCAACGGGACACACCCCCAAGGTCTTCTAATTGCACAGCACCTTGCTTCGCTCGGCATCAAGCAGCTTGAGAAGCTTGCCCTAGCTCGCCCACGAGAATGGGACACCCTTTCCAAGGGTATGGCCATTTGGGATTTCACTACCAAAAGTTTCCATGGCGAACCCTCCGGTCACGTTTTTTTGTGTCTTTTCCCAAAGATTTCTCAGGGAGCTTTCAGCAAGTCACCTGCCCACAGGGAATCGCGAGGAGAGGAAAAACTTGCTCGAAAGAATATCGTCAAGCAGATCAGGTGGATTTACTTTCTATGCGGTCCTACAGAGCTACCTGCTTGGCATCCCGAAGAAAAACTCAAGATGCAAACCGAGGGGCCGAGTGCGGAAGTCTGGCGCTGTCGCACCACAGGTACAAAGCCACCGCTGGTTGTGATCAACATGGCCAGGTCCATCCCAGACATCAGTAAACTCGACCACATGATGCGAGACTATGTCGACCAACCCAAGCATCTCGACTATTACATGTCTAAGCAAGTCGCACTGAAGAATATGTTCGGCCTACGTAAGTTCCATTGCCTTCTACATCTGTGCTTTCGCTCACAAATCACAGTCACAAGCATCTTCAACAGAAGAACAAACATTCGCGTTCTTCACTTTCAGAAAACGCCGCTTCTTGACCGACGACTGGTGGCCTGCATCCTGCGTGCTTGCCCTCATATTACCACACTTGGCATCTATCAATGCCCCCTGATTCACTTTGGTGATGTCATCTGCCTTTTGGACCTTATCCACGAGGTCAACTTGAACCGCAGCAGTCAGAGCTTGCCGCTGGTAGAAGCCTTGGACTTTTACCCTCTATACCATGCCGGCATGCCCTTCAAGTTACCCATCAACGACGAACTCACAAAGGCAGAGAAGGACCGTGGTATGGAGCCTGCCGCAAGGGAAACACACGGATACGGCATCACTTGGACCTACATGCCCAACGAGGTCCTTCAGCGAGGCGTTTTCGCTATTCTCCTGAAAACTGTTCTAAAGGCTCGCAAGATGGGCATCCGTCTCCTGATGGATAGAGACGCAGCCTTCATGAAGTACCTCTCGGATGTTCCCATGCTACCCGGCATCATTTTTCAATTCCTAGACGGCTTGTACCGCTATCTTGATCTCAAAGAGGCTGGATCCGAAGACAACACCGCCATGAAAAGAGCGAAGTACGACATGATCCTGGCCGTACACGCCGGCCTACAGTCGCCGTATCGCAACACCCTCGACCCCTCCGATGACGTTACCCGACGGGTCACCTCACTCTTTTGTCGTTCGTGCGGGTATAAGATGTTGGATATTTTCTTCTGCAGCAACAAGATCGGATTGCCACCTCACCGACGAACCTGCGCTGGGTGTGAGTTCCAGGCTTGTCTCGACAAGCAGAGCGACCATCAAAAGCATCACGACCTCAATTTGATGGGACGTTTCTTAGAGAAGGACTGGGACCCCAAGGGTTTCAACGTTGATGCTCCGGTCCATGACGATGGCCAAGAACTCCTTTTTTTGCACACCCGAAAAACCACAAACGATCTCCCTCTGATGGTGCTCCTCCCAAATGGTGAATTCGACCGGCCGTCGTTCCAGGAGCAACTTATCTGCGAGCATAAGGAGAACAACGACTGTCTCCAGGGCCTGCCCACTCTTCAGAGCTTGCTCCTACAAAAGGACGCTGAGAAGGCCGATGCCAAAGACCATGCTCTCCACGTTGATGCATGCCGAGCCCTTTCGATCATCATGAATCACCATGACTTCGAGCTTGCTATGCACGATAAAAATCACGGTGTCGGGGGTCATTTTTGTGAAGGCCAGGGATGGCGTCCTCTCTCCGGAGGCTTCAGAGATAAAGGTGTAAGCCACACATTCGAGTCAGCCACGAAGGCGGCCGAAGACCTCAAGGTGAGGGCCGACATTGCAGAAGGTCGACGACCGGAGCAGGATGCTGCGGGATTTTGGTGATGTTTGGAAAAACCCACCAAGGTCAGCCCTAGAACTTGGGAATTCGCGGAACGTTTGGTTGCTTTTGATTTGTTGGTACATGGTACAATGCAGAACCCAGGATGCGGTTTTGCTTACGATACTGGAACAACTTGATGATAGCTACACGGAGGACAGAACGGGAGCTTTCGAAAGAAAATGGACGCTGGCTATGATGGGAGAACGGGCACAGCTTGGGATGGTTGGTGCTGAGATAGCTATTTTCTGATCCGTAGCCTTAATCAAGTTCATAGAACAAGCGGCAGCTCTCGTGAAATTTCGTCAAGACTCTGATCATCATGGCTAGAATGTATCATAACAAGTCTGTAAAGACATATAGATCTTGTCATCAGGATATGAGGTTCATGGAGGTTGAAGGTCGAGGTAGGAAAAGTGGATTCTGGGGTGAGTTTATCCACACGTGATTCGACGATTCGGCACTCGAAAGCAAACCTCAACTGTTCAAGGATAGAACCTTTCTCTGGCCAGAGTCGTCCGCCTCAGAATCAACCACGATGGCTTCATTTCTTCGCGCCTTCTCGCTATCAGTGAGATCATTGACCCCAAACAATGCCATGGGCGCTTTTGCGGCTCGCGCCAACTGGTCGCTCTTTGCCAGCCCCTCAACCACGCCCATCTCTCGAGCACTCGGAAACGGTTTGATGCAACAGACTCGCGGCATGAAGGTTCACAGTTCGGTAAAGAAGCGATGCGAGCACTGCAAGGTAAGAGAGGGCAGCCAGAAACTCGGCTTCAGGTCAAGGACTAGAGCCGGGCAGAACTGATACTCGATAGGTTGTCCGACGGAAAGCCGGCAAGCGACATAACGGATACTTGTATATCATCTGCAAGGCGAACCCTCGACACAAGCAACGACAAGGTTAATTCCAAATGACGAGATACGGGAGGATATGTACGATATGTGTGAACGAACTGCGAATCGGACATTGCTAGACAGGGCGACGGGAAGCATTGTGCGTGATAGAACGAACGAAACACTGGGCGATTCTTTCAGCGAGAAGCCTTGAATAAACATTCTCTGGAACTTGAGAAAAAGACGACAGCGCTGGGACTGGAACTGTTCGTCATGTACAACTACATCTACATTTACAAATGCTGCGCTACATACCATCGATATACCTCTCCATGCCTTCCCATTCCGTCTTTCCAATTGAGAGGAGATACCGAACGTGTGACTTGGAGAGAACAGTCAGTAATTGGGTCGAGAAGCGAGTGAGGGAAACATACAGCGTCTGTTACGTTGCGACGCCGTTCAAATTCGTCCCGGGCGTATTTTCGAGACTCAGCTCTTGTTGTAGGATCAGCGATCTTTTTTGTCCCGCGGAGAATAGTGCGGTAGAAAGCCAAAACTCGACCTCTTTGAATGAACTAGATACGATTCTATCAGTATTTGACATCATGAACTTGTATCAGACCCGAGAGTGTAGATCATACCTGGTCGAGACTTAATGTTGGCTTGAGACGAGAACCGCCTGGTCGGGTGGCATAGCCACGTCTAAATGTCAGCAAACGAATGCTGAGGGCCATTCCGCCAACTTCTACCTCGTTAAATGAGGAATAGTGAATTTTGACATTCCTTTGAAGTTGAGATATTGATGATAAAAAGCTTCAAACGTTGCTTTCTCATCATGTCGGACGAACCTCGGCTATCTAGAGGGTCTGGTCTTTCCGGTTCATCATCCCTTCATGTTGTTAGTGGAAAGTGACCAGGTTTGACAGAGACAGGTATATCACCATTCTCGTTGGAGGTTTACCATTTCGATATCTTCATCCTTTCTTCTTCATCAATATTGTCTATTTGCATCAAGACCTCACATCAAAACTATGACAGATACAAATGGCACAAAAGAACCAAGGAGATTGGTTGGAAGAAGACGGCAACGACCAGAAAACCCAATTGAGACGGCCAATAAGATCGAAGACGATGAGTTTCTTACACAATATGTGAAGCCAAGGTTAGTTTACGTTTATTAACTGTCAGACAAATCTAGTTATAACAAGCGTTGCATCTAGTAGTGAGGGTTGGTCAGAATGGAAACACCCACAAAATGAAGCAGCCTATACCATGAGCCTCATACGCCCTACTTGCATGAGCGATGGAGACCTGGAGGCATGTTATAACTTGGTAGAAGAAACAAGCGGCGAAGATTATCGCACTTCATCTCTCGGCTGGCATCCGGCCACTAAGAAGAAGGAGATGCGGTCTCCAGATCTTCGTTACATCCTTGTGAAAGACAGCAAGGACCACATAAAAGGCTTTACATCTTTAATGCCAACATTCGAGAACCATGAGCCGGTCGTTTACTGCTATGAGATACATCTGAAGCCAGAGCTACAAGGGTGAGTCAGCCAAGATGACCGTTCCTGATACCATCCGCATTTCAACGGGGATTCGTCTATCATGCAGGAGTGTACCACATATAGAACACGGATGGCCGTTGAGCTAGCTGACATCCAATAAAGGACAGGTCTCGGCAAGAAGCTTATGGGCTACTTCACGGACGTCGCGGAGAACATACCTTCAGTTGAAAAGGCCATGCTCACGTGTTTTGTCAGCAACAAATCTGCCCTCAAGTTCTACGAGAAGCTAGGGTTCTCGAAAGATGATTACTCACCGAGGGAGCGAAAACTACGAGGAGGAAAGGTGGTGATACCCGATTATGTGATACTCAGTCGACAAACAACCTCTAAGAGAGTCGAGGCTTCGCGGGCGCACGAGCCTGGACTTCGATGAGAAAGGCTGTAGATACAAGCAAACACGGACTTTGTGTCGAATTATCGTTGCAATTGGTAACCCCAAATATGACTGCAATCCGTTTCTACACCAAGCGGCTGCGACCGCACGTAGTAATACGAGCTGCTTTGCAACCGCAACGAGATAAAAATCCGACTGGGCATTTTTCATGTCGATTTACATGTTCAGGCCCGCTTCAGCCGCAAATACCAAGCATTGCATTGCCCCATCTTCGATGGGACGCTATCACTCTGGATGTTCCAGCTTTTAAAGGGATGTCCACGTCTTTTCTAAGAATATCGTCGTGGAATGATCTTCGCAGTGGTGGCCGAACTTTGTCTAGTCTGACCTATATTGAAGCCCAAGCTGAGAGCTGTCCTCAACACCCTTTTGACTCTGACTGGGCAAGACTGGACACGACCGTGAGAGCTACCCAATTCAAGACTGATGGCCTCATGATGAGCGGTTCAACTAACCAGCTTGGGCGGCATTAATCTTCTGCAACTGCAAAGATCCCTTCACCAAGGCTGACACGCTGGGGGGGCCCAGGACCTTTTTGCTAGCACACTCCACCACCACACACCAACCATGTCAGCCCTAGGACGCTAGTCAGAAGCCGTGGCTGAGCTACCTTTTCTAGGAGGCAGCTCTACCGTGAAGCACCGCACTCGGAAAGTATTCTGCTTGCCGGGTTTGTCCAGTCCAGAGTTGTACAAGTTGCACAGCCAGCTTGTGAGACATAGCGTCGGTGCCAATGCGGTAGCTGCATGCAACCAAGGGATGATTTTCCATCATGTTTCTGAGCTCGAGGCGTCAGACGGCTTCTAGCTAGGCTCCCCTGTTGCCTGTCCTGTCGTTGAAATGAAGGGCGACCTAGCTAACGTGGAGGCTTAGAGCTGAAGCTCTGAGAGGAGAGGGCTTGCTTGTGATACGCCAGTCTGAAACGAAAGGCGAGTACCGTGCCGAGACTGTTGATTGTCCGTACGAGTTTCTCTCATAAGGCGCCGTTGCCGTCCTCTTGGCCGTTGTTCTTCTTCCTCCTCCTCCTTCCTTCAACCCACACTCTTTCTTCTTGGCTCAAATTCTGTTCAACTATAAATCAATTACTTGGCCAATTGACTCACGCATCATTCACAATGGCCCAGCAGTACTCTCAGGGACCTAATGTCCAGAACCAGGAATGGCAGAACAACCTCTGCAATTGCTCGCCCTGCGACTCTTGCCTGCTCGGCACTTTCTGCCCCTGCATCCGTATGTGATCTGTGTCACAAATTGATTGCAATTGGAAGACTGACAAACTCGCCATAGTCTTGGGTAAAACCGCCGATCGTATGAGAGACCCTACTATGCAGACTGCCGATACCTGCAACAGCGATGCTCTTATATTCTGCGCGATCAACTGTGTGACTGGCTGTGGTTGGATGTAAGACGATTACCGGAGTCTTGTTCAAACCATCAACTAATACGCGGCTCCTAGTTACTCCATGATGAAGCGTGGTGAAATCCGTGAGCGATTCGGCATCAAGGGCAGTGGCATGAACGACTGCTGCGTCAGTTACTGGTGCCTTTGCTGTGCTCTTATCCAGCAGGACAACGAAGTCAAGTCTCGTCTCTCACAGGGGCCTATCACCCAGGGCTACCAAGCTCAGAAGGAGGGTATGCACATGCCGACATCTCCTCCTGCTCAGCAGCAGCAATATCATGATCAGAAGCCCAACCCTCAGCAGCAGGCCCCTCAGCCCGATTATCAGCTTCCTCAGCACGGTTACCACTCTCCTCAGCCTCAGGGATCCTACCCTCCACCTCAGCAGACTTACAACCCTCAGCAGCCCCAGTATTAGGCCATTCGACCAGGGAGTGTACAGCAAGATGGAGCCTCACACCGATATGACACCACAAAAAGAGAGAAATACATTTGAAGGGGGCGATCAGAGAAATATCTGGCATGTGAATTGACTTTGAGCGCGGACGGGTACGCGCCAACGGATTATACCTATATACCCAGTGACGAAGACGGTCATTTCTTATTTATATTATATTTATTTCGATGTATTATTTGCTTCAATGAATAATCTACTGTTCACCTTTCAGTCACATATGAAAGCGTCACACTTCTTCTCCCATTCTCTTTTGAATTGCCTAGTTCGGCGAAGGAAAATCAGCAGACAATATTAATGAAACTCTAAAAAAAAAAAACCTTCACGCTTCAGCTCGAGAGACCCTTGCAAGCTATCATTTATGATTCCACTTGACCTTCCCCTTCGAGGTATGGTTTTGTTTCGCTATGTAATGATGCTTCCCGGGATTACGGTCTGTGCACTTTGATATTTCGGCGATTTCCATGTTACAGAGCTATTCCGATGCTCGGAATCACAGCTTGTGAGATCAGAGTGGGGATTATCAGATGTAAGCCATACTAAGCGATACTTGAGAATTTACTGGTACAATCGCTCAATGATATATACACTTACGGACTGGTGCTGACGTTAATCTCCCCTTCTGATCCTCGCAAGATGTATCACAATTCGGACAGACCGGCAGCACTTCAGTATCCTGGGGGTATCAATAAAAATTTCATTCATGATCTCTGTCCCTGTCGTTTTTTCAGACTGACAGCAAAACGCCCACGCCGCACCTCTATAGTGGTTGGACAAACGCCTATTCAGATCTACGGTTATAGAGGCCCTTTACCCTCAACCCAAATCAAACCCTTCTGAATCTTGTGCCCAAATCCCCAATGCAATTGAATGCATATAAACAAACCAGTCCATTTTTCCGAATCCCTTTCCATCATCCCATCATTTTTTCCAAGCATATATCATTACGCATAAAGCTTCTTCTCATAAGACTCCATGTTGACGTTGCCCTCCAACTGGGCGCTGGCTGTTCGAAGCTCGAAGCGCAGCTCACCAGCCTCGGCACTCTCGTGCATAGTCTTAAGGCTGGTCATACCACTGTCCTGGAGAGAGTGCTTGAGACCAGCAGCGAGATAGGGAACAAACTTGTTGATCGAACTATTGCATGTTAGCATTCACGGTTCCATTCGGCTTTGGGTTATGACTTACCCTCGGTGAGCAACAGCGCCAGAAACACCCTGAGCAACCAGGACGCTATCACCCTCAGAAAAGTAACGGGCAGTACCAGCATTGCTCTTCTGGCTGTCCTTACCACCGTTGCCGGCCTTCTTGTCCTGCATAGCATCGATACTTCCCATGCCTCGGTAAGCCTTGACGAGCTTACCCTCGCGGGAGACGAAAGAGGTGCCGGGAGACTCAGTGGTACCAGCCAAGAGACCACCCATCATGATGGTAGAAGCACCCAGAGCAAGGCCCTTGACGATGTGGCCAACGTTCTGGATACCACCATCGGCGATACAAGGAACACCGAAGCGGGCAGCGAACCGGCTGACGCTGTAGACAGCGGCAGCCTGAGGACGGCCGACAGCCATAACCTCCTGAGTGATACAGGCAGAACCACTGCCCATACCGATTCGGAGACCGTCGACACCAGCAGCGATCAGAGAAGCAGCCTGCTCTCGAGTCACGACGTTTCCGCCAATGACGTCGACACCAGGGAACTCACTCTTCACCCACTTGATCATCTCAATCTGATACATGCTGTTACCCTGAGAGCTGTCAAGGATAACGATGTCAAGGCCAGCGTCAACCAGCTTCTTGAGGCGAAGCTTGTCCTCGGGGCGAGTGCCAATGGCAGCAGCGCAGAGGAGCTGCTTGCTGTCGGGAAGCTTGGAGGCATTGGGGAAGTGCTGGTTCTTGGTCAAATCGGAGCGAGAGATCATAGAGACCAGGTTGAAGTCCTTGTCGACAATGGGCAGCTTGCCCTTCTTGGACTTGGAAAGACTCTTGTTGGCTTCGAGGAGAGTGACGTGCTCGGGAGCAGTGACAAGGTCAGTAACCATGACATTGGAGACGGGCTGGTCAAGGTCCTCCTCGAACTGGAGGTCTCGGTTGGTAACAATACCAAGCAGCTTGGAACCAAGCTTGCCGTCGGCTAAATTTTTTCTTGTCAGCCCAATATTCTTGTGCGGGGCAATGCGACCATAGATGACAAAACAACGAGTTGTGGTGTGATTGATCATAGTAAATAAAGTCCCCATGACAATAGTCTATACGGTGGAACGAAAGTTATATAAAAGGGTGTATAATCATGCAATCTTGTGAGAGGTGAGAATGCTGTAAAACACTTACCAGTGACTGGGAAACCACCGAAACCCCACTTCTCCTTCAGAGCTTTGGCCTCACCAACAGTGGTGTTGCGATCAATGACGATAGGGTCGAGGATGAAACCGTTCTCGTATCGCTTGACCTTGCGGACCATATCGGCCTGAGCCTCAGGAGAGCAGTTGTGGTGAATAACACCAAGACCACCCTGGAGAGCCATGTGGATAGCCATCTCGTGCTCTGTGACAGTGTCCATGGGAGACGAGACGAAGGGAGTCTTGAGAGTGATGCGCTTGGTGATGGGCGCATCGAGAGTGACCTCAGAGGCAGCGAAGCCAATGTAGCCGGGTAGAAGCAGGAAGTCATTGTAGGTAAGACCACCGTGCTTGGTTGTGTCCATAAGCTCGTGGATGTCGAGGCCATCCTTCTGCTTGTACTCCTTCAGCACCTCGAGGGCTGTGGTGTAGTCAAGGACTGAGGCAGACATGACTGGCAGATAAAAGAGTATATGACGAGAAGAATGGAAATGTGAGGTCGAAGGCGAGTTGAGTCGATAAGCAAGCTCTGGCCTTTAGTATCGACTGCTAAGATTGATAGAACGCTTCTTCCCGAAAGAAAGAAGAGAGAAAAGAATTGGTGGTGCTGCTTCAAAAACTTTTTTATGGGACGCGGGACCCTGTAAGGTGAGGGGCGACTTGGAGGGGCAGTTGCTTCTCTGAATGGATGAACTTGGTCAAGGCTCGCGAGACAGGTGGGGCCATCCTCTTTTTTTCCTTCGAAGCTCTGCTAGTTTTTCTTGCCGAGATCGCTAAAATTAATAAGCTCTTTATCACCACTTTGAAATTGACTTACCCTGCAGCTGTGGTGTTAAAGTCTTATTATAGATAAACTGCACTTGTTTGCGAACTTGTATGGCTTATGATAATGAATAAGCTAAGTGTTTATTGGGTTTGGCAAGTTGTGCTTCAGTCCTGAGTATGTGTGAGTTGTCAATCGTGACAGACCCTTCACAAACTGAAGTAGACCTTGACTTCAACGTCATTTCCCCATCGAGTTTCAAGACCCAATTCCTTCCAGGCTTTTCCAATGTCGATCTCAAGTACGCGAGTATCAACCTTAGATATGGCCACGGTATGCAAGGGTATCACCTTTTCTTGAACCGTGATCAGGAAATCACCTTCGATCGTCAAAGAAGGGAGCGTAGAGACAAATATCCCTAAATATTGTCAGATTTTAGTCATCGTGAAGAAACAGTAATACTTCTTACCTAGGATGCCAAATGCTTTAACTCGCGTATCAATCAAAGCACGGCCATTCTCTCGCTCTTGAACATCGCTCATGAGGATTGCTGCTGCGCCAGCCATCTTGCCCAGCAGGCCCAAATTCGAGATCACGACATTGCCATGCTTCTTGCTGGATAGGCGAGTTAGAGGAAAGGCGGAGAGAATATCATACCCTCTGACAGGCAATGAGATAGTAAATAGTGACTCTGGGCTCTCGACCTTGGTAGGATGAGAAACCTTGCCCGTGGTATGAGCACGAACCACATATTCAAGATCGTGAACCACACCAGGGAACGCTGAAAGGGAAACCAATTCAGTCAATGGCCGAGAGGAGATATTGAAAATGGCCATAATAGGGCTTCCGGTATGTGAGGCTCCTGAATCATGATTAGTACACACTACTCACCTCCCTCTAGATAATTCTCACCATGATAGCTTCCAACCTTGAGGAGTAAATCATCGTCGTATCCGATATAAGGGTCAACGGCCTTTCCTAAAGAGCTTGGCCGGAATATGACAGTCTTACCCCGCGGGGTGTGACCACTCATTTGCTCAATAAGATCCATGTCATGCTCACCGGGAACATCAGTGATATAAATTGGACCTCCGCTCACACATCTGGCCGCAGCATGAAATCCAGAATACTCATGTACAGTTTGGAACATATCCCAATCCGGAAGAACATTTAGATGCTGCATGAAAATAGCATTGTGCGCATTTGTCCACACGTGCCAGGGATGTGAAGCAGGAATCTCAGGGAAGAAGTCGTCAGAGTTTCGTACAAGAATGGTAGGCCGATTGGTTGGCATCTGCGAGTGGAAGAGTGCCTCCGGGAACTGCGACATACATGATATCGCCTTGGCACTGAAGTGACGAAGTGTCGAGATGGTCCACGCATCGAGGTACGTATTGATCAGATCTCGGCGAGGGGAGGCTTCAATCCACGTGTCGATCATGAACTGCGCGTCCGTCTTAACAGCATCGATACCGGCATCCGAAAGGAATCGATAAAAGTCATCATAGAATCGATTCACATCTTCTTGTGCGATCACCGTCATCTTCCCACCTAACGGAAGGTTTCGGCGGTCAGCATCTTCCCGTGTCACTTCGATAGTCTTGTATGTCTTGGCAAGCTTGCCGTCAGGGGCAATGCCACCCCAGTAGCCCAGGAGGGCATGCCAAACAGCAATGTGTTGAATATGTGGATGGTTCTGTCGAATATGAGATATGGTGGATTTCAAGCCTTTGGGAAATGCCTTGGGCTCCGCTTCAAAATCATTCCAGCCATATTGAAACTGGCTGGGGCCGCGATAATCGATCGACTGCCAGTTGTCATCAATGATGAGACTCGATACTTGGATGTTGTGCTCAGAAAGCTTATCGAGAGCGTCGAATATTTTCTGGTCTGTCAGTCGTTGCCCCAGAGCGTTCCATGTGCCTGTGAATCATTAGTTCGTGGTCCTTCGAAGTTGACCATACTCAAGAACACACAGAAACCCAGTCCATCAAACCAGTATTCTAGCCACTCTGGTTTGAAGTCATTCTTCAATGCGGATAACTCCTGTGACCACTCATCGCTGGCCTTCTTTGTTCCCGCAACCATATCTCGAGCATGATACATCACAGATGCAATGGCGCAGTCGAAATCGTCTCCAACCGAAACAAGAATAACGGCCTTTTCTTCGGAGAGACCGTCATTTCGGATCTGAATTGTCAGATATTGCAGGAAGCTGTATCAGACACACTTACATGAACTTGAAGCTTTCCATTGGGCTCGCTTCGAAATACTGACAAGACATGACTGACACCGCCGACGGCAAGGAACACTAGGTTTTGACCTTGGGGGCTTAAGAAGCAACAGAGAATGGCATCTTTATCGAGGTTAAATTGAGAGTGCCCATGGCGAGGTGCAAGCCACGGTGACCATAGTCTGACAAGAGAAAACCATCTATGTCCGGTCAGATAACATGGTCGCTAATGGATTTTCGGTACGTCGTCGTGTCACTCAGCTGAACTTACCTGACAAAAGAGCCCCAGGGAGTACCGACACTGATGTCTCTGTACGTAGATTCATCGCCATTTGCAGCTGGAATGACTGCTTCGAGTGACCAGAGTGAAGTTCTAGGTGATTGACTCAAACGTGGCTTGACACTCCAGTCTTGAGAGTTAAGATCAGGAATTAAATCAGAGAGATCACTAGAAGAAATCCTGTTAGAAGCATTGACAATCAAGCCATCATTGAGACCCTGTTCATCGCGGATCCATCTCCAGTCTGCATCAGGACTATGTCGAAACTTGAGAGTGAATTGCACAGATGCTGTAAATGAGAAGGAAGACGTGAAATAGAATCGTGCCATAGAATCATCCAGTACTTGGAGAGTCTGAGGAACTCCAGTCTCTGTGATGGAGGCTACCTCCAAGTCCTTCCAATCTGAGCCGTCTACTGAGTGCCATACTGAGGCTTCCCATGGCTCAGTGGCACGGAACTTGGGTATCTCAAGGACAGCCGTCAAAGTGACCTTTGTGCCCTGGACAGGTGTTACTTTCCCGAGAGGCGGGAAGCTTTGCAACACAACCTTCATGTCTTCAGCAACAGGCGGCGGCGAAGGCTTCTGTTTGGCGATGTAAATTGCCTGGAAGACATCGCCAAAGTTGTAATTGTCAGAAGGCATCGCAGTGAAATGAGAACAAGAGGAGCAGACTTGATTGAAATAGGTTTATTTAGCCAATTGACTGAGAAATTCAGACTTCTCATGTATGAAATTTAGTGAATATTTTAAACGTATGAATCAAGGTAACAGACATAAAATCACATCAACAAGTTTGATGTTGTGTGACGATGTTCGTGTTTACAAGGCATTGTCACAGAAGCTCACGAAAACGGACAGGCGTTGGATTATAGTGGAGTTCCAGTGGAGTTGGAAGTGGTTAGTAATGAGCCCCTCTCATTGGCTCCGGTTTTGGTTTCGAGTCGTTCTGATTCGGGGACGGCCGGAATGACTAAGCCTTCCGCCTCATTGCTCAGGCTGCAAATTATCTCAGTAAAGCTTCTAGCCGAGCCAGATCGAAAGATTTCATCAAACCACTCAATTCAGCGTCGACCCTCCAAACCTGCGTCATGGCGTCCCGGAGACTGGCTTTGAACCTCTCGCGAGGTCTGCGAAACCGTGCTGGTCTTTCGGCCGCCGCTCCTTTCACACGAGGCTTTGCCACTCCCTCTACCGTCGGCAAGACTCAGACTTCGACTCTTAAGAATGGATTGACTGTGAGCATCATCATCCGAGGTCAATTGGCCTCGACAACCACTTGGGAATGGCTTCCTGACACGCCCTTCTGATAGGTCGCTACCGAGCACTCGCCCTTTGCGCAAACGTCGACCGTCGGTGTCTGGATCGATGCCGGTTCCCGGGCTGAGACTGACGAGACCAACGGTACCGCCCACTTCCTTGAGCATCTCGCTTTCAAGGTTCGACAACCCATCAATTGGCCGAGACCAATCGTTAACAATGAAATCAGGGTACCGCCAAGCGAACTCAGCAGCAATTGGAGTTGGAGATTGAGAACATGGGTGGTCACCTGAACGCCTACACTTCGGTCAGTCGGATGAAGGGATACGGGATTGACTGATGCTAACGACCGTCCAGCGCGAGAACACCGTCTACTTTGCCAAGGCTTTCAACTCTGATGTTCCCCAGTGTGTCGATATCCTCTCCGATATTCTCCAGAACTCCAAGCTCGAGGAGTCCGCCATCGAGCGTGAGCGCGACGTTATTCTCCGAGAGTCCGAGGAGGTTGAGAAGCAGGTTGAGGAGGTTGTTTTTGATCACCTCCACGCTACCGCTTTCCAGCATCAGCCCCTTGGCCGCACCATCCTTGGCCCTCGACAGAACATCCGCGACATCACCCGAAAAGAGCTCACCGACTACATCAAGAACAACTACACTGCTGACCGTATGGTTCTTGTTGGTGCCGGTGGCATCCCTCACGAGCAGCTCGTCGAGCTCGCTGAGAAGCACTTCTCCGGTCTTCCCTCAAGTGCTCCCCAGACCAGCGCCTACCTTGCCTCCAAGCAAAAGGCTGACTTCATGGGCTCTGACGTCCGTGTCCGAGATGATGGCATGCCTACTGCTAACATTGCTCTCGCTGTTGAGGGTGTCAGCTGGAACTCTGAGGACTACTTCACTGCCCTCGTTGCTCAGGCTATTGTTGGCAACTACGACAAGGCTGTTGGCCAGGCTCCCCACCAGGGCAGCAAGCTCAGCGGCTGGGTCCACAAGCACGACCTCGCTAACAGTTTCATGAGCTTCTCCACCAGCTACAACGACACTGGGTAGGTCTTGATGTCATACCATGAATTTTGAGGTAACTAACTTGCCATAGTCTCTGGGGTATCTACCTTGTTTCCGACAAGCCTGACCGAGTTGACGACCTTGTCCACTTCGCTATCCGTGAGTGGATGCGCCTCTGCACCAACGTCAGCGCCGCCGAGACCGAGCGTGCCAAGGCTCAGCTCAAGGCCTCCATCCTCCTGTCCCTCGACGGCACCACAGCCGTTGCTGAGGACATTGGCCGACAGCTCGTCACCACCGGCCGCCGCATGGCCCCTAACGAGATTGAGCGAAAGATTGATGCTATCACCGAGAAGGATATCATGGACTTCGCCAACCGAAAACTTTGGGACCGGGATATTGCTGTTAGCGCTGTGGGAACTATCGAGGGTCTCTTCGACTACCAGAGACTTCGCAACACCATGAAGCCCAAGTTTTAAGGTAGAGAGGGCTGATGGGATTGTGAAAATCGAAATAAGGGTATAGAGTGTATGAGATACCGTTTACAGGCCTAGTGTACCATAAGATTTCCTCTGTTCATGCTAGGTAACACGGAGTTGTGATAATTGTGTCTTGACTGTACTGCCATCCGTAGCTAATTGCAATTTTGTCATATCGCGTCTGTAGTGCTTCTGAGGTAGCGTCTATGATCTCCCTTGAATTAGAATGTATTGTGTCATGATCATTGATTAGATGAGAAGATGGACACCTAGCCCTCCTCTGCCATCTCCTCGTCGACATCCTCACCAAACATATCCTCGACTGTCCCACCCTCAACTCCATCTCCGCCAATATCTTCAGGCTCGGGACCCTCAATACCCTCCATGGCATCACCCCCTTGATCCTCTTCCTCATCGTCCTCTTCATCCCATACATCCTTCAGTCCCCAACTTGTGCCACTCAGTACGAACCGTTCGCTTGGTAGTCGCACACCCCATTCACTGGGCACAATTTTAGGCAGTGCCACCTTGTTGCGTTCGCGCGCAAGTTCTTGCATGTAGTCTTTGCTAATTCCCCCACCTGCGTTTCCTCCGCGGAACTGGTAGCTGAGTCGCGCAGCAATGGCGAGCTTAACGGCATTGGCTGTGACTGCAGCGTCGCCTGCAGGTGCTGAGATTGCTCCAGCGTTTGCTGATGGCTTAGAACCGGCCTGTGTGACATATGGGTCGCCGGAAAGATGTAGCGCATCGCTGAGAACAGATGAGGTATGACGGTAGGCGAAGTCGAGAAGGAGGAGGGGAACGCGTGGCTCGTAAGCGGTGACGCCTTGCGATGTGAGCAGTAGTTCGATAAGCCTTGAGTCGCGCGGTCGAGGGGCGGTTGTTGATGGCGCAGGAGGAGGTGCGTTCTGTGAGGCCGCAGCAGCAGGTTGGCTAGAAGAGGCCGCAGTGGTTTGTGTGTTTGGTACTGTTTGCGAAGTGCCTGCTGATGAGGCGGGAACCCCGTTTGTTTGTGGTTGACTTGATGACATCTTGATCGATGCTGCAATGCTTCGTAATAGGTATCTCGGATGCGACTGTCTGTGAAAGCCTCAAGGCGATATCACGCGAAGCATTCGAGTTCGTGTTTGGCAAGGCTGAGAGACGCCCGTACTATGAATGAGTGAAGTTGACAAAATACAACTGATGTATGTGAATGAGAGTGCTTTGATATTTGGGAAAAATGCAGTAAAAGTTAACGTTCCAAGTCGAGAGCTTATTGAAACTCGAATTATTTCCTTTGCGACGGTGAAGTCGCATGCCGCGTGCTTTAGCCGGAGGTTTCGATAATCCGAGACGTGATCTGGTAGCGATGGGTGCACAGACCACACCTTAAATTCTTGTGCGCTCATTGCGATGAAAGAGCTTTCCTAAAGAACAAAGTCATGAGAGTGACGGGATCAAAATAACCTTATAATAATGGTCTAGATGACAGAATAAGGTAGTGATCCTAACTGAGTTAGTCTTAGAGGCCATTACTGGATATGACGTGAAAACGGCAGGAACTCTTGAATCACACTTTCTTTCCTCATTATCATATGTCTAAGGTAGGTAGGTGGCCACTGGCGGAAGTCGGATTTCAAGCAAGGAAAGAACGATTGAGGGGCAATGAGTAAAGAGTGCCCCACCATTTGTCGCCGATGCAGGAGGACTCATAGTCATCACCTCAACTTTTTCGTCGGGCGATCGATCTTCACTCATGAACAACTCGATTTAACAACCTCCATGCTAAGCTTTCGACTATAATCGACACCAATTGATTCATCTGGTTCATTACAAACATGGAAACGACCCTACCGCTGCCATTCTTGGTGAGCATTGGCAGCCCCAATGGCCAGGCTACCAATGATGGCCTCACTCGTCAAGAGATTGCCCTTCTGGGAGCTCCTTTCTATGAGACAGCTTCTAAGGATTGGGGTCGCCCCAGTGCCGGAACCAATGCTCACATGGATGCCACAAGTTTAAGTAACCCAGACGATGTGATTGCGTTGCTCGATGGCGGGGTTCGAACGGTTTTTGTTGCTTCGGAGTCCTACTCAGAGTATACAGAATATGGCGCAAGAGTCATTCCCACTGTTTCTTCCCTTGACATTTCCACAGCTTCCGAAAATGGTCTATTGGTAAAGGATTTCGACATTTCATCCAGCGACGTCGACAAGTTTGTTGAGGAAGCATCAGCCAAGAAGATCAAGAGCCTTTACATTAAGCCAGCTCCCAAGACCGATATCGAAAAGTTCATCGAAATTGCCAAGAAGGCCAATGCAATCCCTATCATCCCTTCTACAGGGTTGACGACCGACAAGAACGATTCGAGTCGACTATTGTTATCTAAGATTATCGCATCATACTGGAAATCCGATCGATCTGACGGCCTTATCCCTACTGTGGTAACCGATGATGCCGGGATCGCGTTGGGTCTCGCCTATACCAGCGAGGAGAGTATTCTGGAGGCTCTTAGGACACAAACCGGAGTTTACCAGAGTCGCAAACGTGGTCTTTGGGTGAAGGGACTTACTTCTGGTGACACTCAGGAACTGTTGCGAATTGGTCTCGACTGTGACAACGACACTCTCAAATTCGTGGTCAATCAGAAGGGCCGTTTCTGCCATCTCCAGCAGTTTGGTTGCTTTGGAGACCTCAACGGCATCTCAGCACTTGAACAGACACTCAAGTCTCGCAAGGAGTCTGCTCCCGAGGGTTCTTACACGGCCCGCTTATTCTCCGATGAGAAGCTTCTGCGAGCAAAGATCATGGAGGAGGCAGAGGAGCTCTGCGATGGCAAGACCAAAGAGAACATCGCTTTTGAAGCTGCTGATTTGATCTATTTTGCTTTAACTAAGGCTGTTGGCGCAGGTGTTAGCCTCGCAGACATTGAGGCTAACCTGGACGCCAAGAGCTTGAAGGTCAAGCGTAGAACAGGCAATGCCAAGGGCAAGTGGGCGGAGAAGGAGGGTATCAAGACCGATGCAGCCCCTGTGAAGCCCTCACAGCCCGCGGTTGAGAAGCCAGCTGATGGACGTATTGCTATGGAGCGAGTTGATGCCTCAAAGATCTCCGAGGCCGATCTCGTAGAGAAGCTCAAGAGACCTTCTCAGAAATCCCCTGACGCCATCTTGAAGATTATTCAGCCTATCATCGAGGAGGTGCGAACTGGTGGCGACAAGGCTGTTCTGTCTTACACCCACAAGTTTGAGAAGGCCACTTCGTTGACATCGCCTGTGCTGAAGGCTCCCTTCCCCAAGGAGCTTATGGATATCTCGCCTGAGACCATTGAAGCTATTGACGTCTCTTTTGAGAATATCCGAAAGTTCCACTCTGCACAGCAGGAGGAGAAGTCTCTCCAGGTTGAGACTATGCCTGGCATTGTCTGCAGCCGCTTCTCGAGACCTATTGAGCGAGTCGGTCTCTACATTCCTGGTGGAACCGCTGTTCTCCCCAGTACTGCTCTGATGCTTGGAGTTCCAGCTATGGTGGCTGGTTGCCAGAAGATTGTATTTGCCTCACCTCCCAGATCTGATGGCCGCATTACCCCTGAGATTGTATACGTCGCTCACAAGGTTGGCGCTGAGAGCATTGTCCTGGCTGGTGGTGCTCAGGCTGTTGCCGCCTTGGCTTATGGTACGGAGAGCGTCACCAAGGTTGACAAGATTCTTGGACCTGGTAACCAATTTGTGACTGCGGCCAAGATGCACGTCAGCAACGACACCAATGCTGGTTGCGGTATTGATATGCCTGCTGGACCCTCTGAAGTTCTTGTTGTTGCTGACAAGGATGCCAACCCTGCTTTTGTTGCCTCCGATCTTCTCTCTCAAGCCGAGCACGGTGTTGATAGTCAGGTTATTCTGCTTGCTGTTGGCCTAAGTGAGCAGGAGCTCCAGGCTATTGAAGATGAAGTTCACAAACAGGCCCTTGCCCTTCCTCGTGTCGATATCGTCCGAGGATCTATCGCTCACTCGGTCACTGTTCAGGTCAAGGACATTGAAGAGGCCATGCGCATCAGCAACGAGTACGCCCCTGAACATCTCATCCTTCAAATCAAGGATGCCGAGAAAGCTGTTGATCAAGTCATGAACGCTGGCAGTGTGTTTGTTGGTCACTGGACCCCTGAGAGTGTTGGCGACTACTCTGCTGGTGTCAACCACTCTTTGCGTAAGTTCTCCCATTAGTTTGTGGTATACGACTGATGCTAACAACTTTCACAGCTACTTATGGCTTCGCCAAGCAATACTCTGGTGTCAACTTGGGCTCATTCCAGAAGCACATTACCAGCTCCAACCTTACTGCTGAAGGTCTCAAGAATGTTGGTACCGCCGTCATGCAACTGGCTAAGGTCGAGGAGCTTGAGGCTCATAGAAGGGCTGTGGAGATCCGACTTAACTATTTGAAGCAACAGTAGTAGACTGGGACAGACAAAAAGGGAAAAGGGCGTATGTAGATAACAGATGGGTTTTCTTTAGGATAGGGGCGCGGACTTGGGACTAGATGTTGTTTCAATATGCACAAGCTTGACAGACCACGGGTGCTTAAGAATAAAATGCAGCTTGCTCAAGTAGTATTTCTAGCCTGTCAAACAACAAAAGCTTTTGTCTGTCAGAATGCCATGATGTAATCACTACAAGTACAATGAAATGCTCAACGCCACGCTATGCCTCAATATGTAAAAACCCTTTCTTCTCAGTTCACCTTTATCCATCTCCTCTTATTCGTTCAGATAAAACTCTCGCCATCAATGTCTATGAAAAACAACCCATAAACACTCTAAAAAGAAACGCCTTTGAATTCGTTACACCTTACTGCCTGTTGGGAGCAGCAGCAACAGCCTCGGTGGCCTGTTCGTGATACTTAGCTTTCCTTCACTTCACTTCATTTCTCAATGGTGAGATGACCAACCCCTGTTATGTGTTGGGCGAGAACGTCCTCCTTAAGCTGACCTTGACGCCGTTGTCCAATGGGAGCAGCGTCAGAGGTTCCGTCGCCCTCGTCTTCATCTTGACGGCCTTCCTCGCCATCTTCGTAAATCTCATCTTCATCGTCCTCGTCGTAAGTTTCTTTCAAGTCGCGTGTCATAGACGCCTTGAGTCGCTCTTCGTCGACGCTACCGCCCAAGACACTTGCGGCTTCGGCAAACTCATCCATAGATGCTCGAGAGATGTAACTATCGGCAAGCCCTTCACCGATCTCGTCCACATCTTCATCTATTTCGCCATCCTCATCGTCATACTCCTCTTCATCATCACCATACTCGCTGGTAGGTCCTCCTGGGCCGTCCTCGTCATCGTCATCATCACTCTCGCTTGCTGAAAAGTCAGCCATGGCAAGAGGATCATCTCTCCAGTACGTGAAATCCGTGTACTCCTCGCCGCCACCTTTTACCAGTGTGCTCACGGGAGGGAAGTAATGGTCAACGACTTCGTTGATATTCACGTAGCTCATCTTGAGCTTGTTGAGTGTCAGTAGATCAAGTGACACTTCAGAGTTGGAATTGATGGTGAAAATGCGGTTTCGAGGGACATCGACGGTCCGGTAAGAGATTTGATCGGTCAAACGATTTCCGTAACCAGCATAAAAGGGATGACGATCTGGGCCGTATAAGTTTCGAATATCTCGAAGAGTTGCCATCTTGAAGATGTGGGGTTTGCGAAGGTAAACCTCTCGCCTCAATGCAGCCATGGTTCTATCGGGCGACAGGATCGTAGGTCCGGGCGGCATCCTGTAGCCATCCTGAACGATACCCGCCAGGTAGGCTCTTGTAGTGTCTGATTGTCCAACGGATCGACTGGTAAGGTACATGATATTATAACCATTGGCGGAAATATCGCTGTACAACTTAGCCACACCTGAGTGAGTCCAGTCACGGCCAATCATGTTCAACACGTGGCCAAGGGCATCCGACTTGGTAATGGTACCGTCAATGTCTGAGATGACAACAGGCGTCTCATGTCTCCAGAGGTACATGTTTGCTTTGCAGGTAGCTCGGTTGACAGTGAAAGCCATCGAGTTCGCGCCTGGCTGAAGCTTCAGATCCTTGAGCTGCTGACTAGTCAATCGCAAGGTCTTGGCGTAATTCCTGTTGGGATCTCCTGCATGGCCCGATGAGCTCGGCGGGGTGCGGGGAGGAGTTTGCAAGTCCATAGGACCAGCGTCGGACTCGGCTCTTCGATGCAATAGAATAGGAGAAGCAGTTGCATCGCTGCTGTCACTCTGATAACCGGGATCAGAAATAGCATCGGCTGCAGTAGCCCTACGGTGCGACTGCAGAGACGCCTCGATAGTCTTGTTCATAGCAGCCTGCTTGGCCTCCTCACTGCTGTAAATCCATAGGTTTCCCTGCTCATCGAAGCCAATGAGTGCGCCGATGTCATAGTTTCCATCCAACTCTTCGGAAAGAATCTGGCGAGCCAGAATTTCAGCCCGAAGAATGTCCTCCTCGTTTCCCTTGAACCCATTCATGTCCAGCATCAAATCACCGCTGTCTGTGACCTTTGTGGGTATACTTGCGGCAGAGAGTCCCTTAGACAAGGCCCTTGCACGTTCGAGTGCCTCGCCCGGTGCCAGAGGCGGAGGACTAGAGGATCGTTCAGAAGCAACATGCTCATCGTCATCGGCGGAACTGTTTCCGTCTAGACCTCGGCTTCTAGCACTGGCACGGAGAATATCGTCACTATGTGGTCGGGGCACCTTTGAAGACCAGTCGCCGGACGCTGGGCGGGCGCTGGATAACTCTGGAGAAGTCGAAAGAGGGGTGATCAAGCCTGCTCCAGTGTTAACCTATGTTTGATGGAAGAGGACAGCTTATGCCTACCATTGTCATTGTCTTTCTTATAGAGCACGGACGGGAGCGGTCGTCGCAGCTTGGACTCTGAAGCGTCAAGCTCGAACGCTTCTGGCTCCTGCAAACCAGATTCTGACTGTTCCGGGTTGAGCGGTGGACTGCTCGCAGGACTGGAAGCGGGGGAAACGAGCGGCGATGTCTGCAGCGACTGTGGGATCCTGTCTGTGGTCTCGAAGACGAAGAAGGCCTCGCCGCCTTCGCCGAGTTTCATGGAATAGCTTTGTTTGACGCCATTGACCTTGAATTCGACTTTCTTATCCGACGGCCTCAGGAGAGAGAACTTTCCGAATCGGACATGGAACGGCGAGCAGACCAGAGTGCCATCTTCGTGTTCGACAACAATGACATCAATAGCACCACTGAGAGTCGCGGGGTTGATTGAATTCCAGGCTGTCGAGACCGACTCGCTGAGGCCGCGCACGTATTGCATCTTGCCTCTTACGGCAGAGAACGTCGTATGGAAGAGATTTTTCTGTTGCCGGTGTTGATCGCGAGTTGGAGAAGCTGGAGCGGCTTGTCGCGGGGGATATAAGACGACGATCTGAAGGGCTCAATGACACTGAGAAGCTCCCGAAAGGAAACGAAACAGCAGCAGGTGACAAGAGCCCGGGGCCCTAAAAGAAGTTTATCTGAATACGGATGGGAAACTTAAGCGTAAGGCGATTCAGAGGTATGCAGTCGAAATTCTAAGGTGAGTTAGACAGAGCAGAAAAAGATGGAATGGAATGTGAAATGTTGGGGGAGTAGGTGCAGGTACAGATTGGTTTGAGGCGGGTTGAGCGCAAGACAAACAACGGAGGTACCGAGTACAAAGAGACGCTTGCTGTGGTTGAGCGGGCTTGGCCTGGTCACTTTTTTTTTTCTTACCCCAGTCGCCGAGTCGATTAGATCAGGTGAAGACGTCACCAGAATTGGAGAAGTGCTTTTTACTTGGAATTTCGAAATTCTAGACAACAACAAACTGAAGTTATTCGGATTGAGACATCACAGAAACGAATGTGTAGTAATTTCATCATAATTTGGAGGCGTCTTACTCCCGTGCCACGGCACACCTCATACAAGCATAGAAACCGCCTGCAGTCAGCTAAGAATGACGAAGTCACTGTAACAGAAATGCCATGAGGGGCGCCCCAACATGACACTGCCGTAGTACCAGGTACAAAGGCGCTACCCGCAGCTCGCAGGGGTCTAGACGTCCGCCAGAATCATGATGGATGATGGATGCCCCAGCAGAATCTATCACATGAACGGCTCAGGCGGACTAAGTTGCCGAGTTAAGACTCGAATCATTCGGTTTTCGGATACTTTTTTGTAAGAGGTTTCTATAAACCTGATTAGATGTAGTTTTCACAGCTGAATGCGTCATATTCTGTTAATTCTGGTATATACCTTCTTTCAGGTTCTGTCGTTGAACTGATACTGTTGCTGATAATTGAATAGCGCGGATAGGCTGTAAATCTGCAGGGATTTAGCATGGCTTTGTTCAACGGTTGAAACATAGACACATACTCAAGTCAACCCATGTTCGAGAATATGCTGGTTACAATATCTCACCGCAGATGATAAGTCATTCAAATTCCGGCGGCTTTGCTCCGTCTGGAGGTGCTCGATTATAACCACCACTATACCTGGCGGTCGACAACACTCGTTGGTATTATTCTGTTGATATTCTATATATTCCAGATCCGTATTCATAGTACTCCAACCCAAACTTGGAGAGGGTCTTGGTTTCTCTAAACTTTTCTGTTGTTCTTTCACTCAACTCTGTGTGTAACGGATATGTCTTCTATCCACTTACACACTGACCGCTTTGCGTGAACCGAGGCAAAGACGTTAGATCAATATCCCAGCATATCTATTCTCTCAGACATAAAGAAATAGAGCAAAAGTTTTCCTAGGTATGTCCTAAATGCTAAAAACATATATTCTTTTGTCTGAGCAGCACTTACATACCAAACCACCTTTACCCACCTTACCCTGTATGTTTAGACAACCACCAAACGCCATGGCTTTGAGTGCGATATGGAAATGTAACTTGTATGCAAATCTTGATACGATCTTGCATTCTGATAAAGATTTATGCTACCTTATCACATAGTGCCTTAAGTAAATCTGACAACTTTGCTTGGTAGTATTCAACAAGTACCTGCTACTCCAGAGGGTATCTCTTAAGCAGCAGTGGGGATTGGTCAACAAGCCGCGGTCCAAGCACATGCTGAACCACCACTGAAAAAATTCACATCGTTCTGTTATAGGTTCAGAAATCTCAGATCTTTAAGAGGTTCATGATTCGTTCCCTTGTTTCTCTCAAGCTCGATCCATTGCCAAGAGGGAAATGCTACGGTAAAAGTCGCTGTGCCGAGGTGATATTGATGTCATTGATCGATCGAGGCTCGTGTTTGCAACTCACTAGTTGCGTTTTATGGAGTAAAACAGACTGTTAAGGAACAAGGCACTGCCAAAGCAAACCATCCATCCAAAGTAGACCAACTTGTCCAACAATATCAGTCCCAGATGTAGAAAATGCTAAACTCAGCGCAAACAAATTCACATGCTTGAACAACGCTAACATCCCGAGTTCAGAGTCGATAGTATCGGTGCGCTGGCATTAGGCAGGGATTACAACTCCAGGTTGAGTAAAGCCTCGGAGAAAGGCTCATGCCTTTTCGGAGAAGACACGGGCACTAGAAAAAGCCTTGAAAGCTGAAGATGAGGCGACAACTGGCAATTGCAAAGCTCCCAAGCTGATAATGATGATGTCGGTGAAGACTTACCGTTTGATCATGAGAGAAGGATGAGAAAGTTTTTATGCGTGTGAATCCAGTGAGAGCATCCATGATTAGAGGCAGATTATTGACCAATGGACAAACGTACTTCCTAAGCCTATAATATCGAGTCCAATGCCACGTATATGCAGACATTGTGTACTCTTGAGGGCTAACAATGGTAAGGAACTCGCCTATCGTGCACCCGGCGCCCTCATCCGCCCTCTGCAAGGTGTAAAACGGCAGAAACCCTAAATAGGCCTTATTCACAATGGTAAATGATGATGCCATGCAGACGGGACCCCATTATTAAGACCCGAGCCGTTGGGAAAAACTCAGCCATGTCATGTCTTCCGTGAGCGTGAATCTTCCAATCCGCCGCAAACATCACCAGTGACGTTTACAAGGGACTGTGAATTCGCTTACGCACGCTAGCTAGTAGCGCGCCATGTTCGTGAGTGCATTCCAGCAGTTTTACGTGAATAGTAATACTAAACTATGAACATAGGTCGGTAAGAATTGGTTGCAATCGATAATAGACAACTCTGTTGGAAGTTAACGTATAAACAGCGGATTCAAACTATAGCATTGCTTGAAAAACTGCGACAAGCTTGTGGCAAACGTTATCCAAATACAGTGTAATGAAAACAGTGATAACCGTCGTATTTTGCATGAAAGATCGCCAAGCAGGGTAACATGGCGCACATTTATCAACGCTTTAAGGACCAGGCGACACGCAAGGCACTGTGCCATTGGACGACGAGGACACTGTACCTCCGCAAGAAACAACAGGACAGCGCTGTGGCTGAGAATTTGCACGCTGCAACCATAAGTAACGAGACAACACTAACACCAGAGAAGGAGGCCAGAGCCCAAGAGGGCCGCTGAAATCTCCACCCTTGCCCATGACCACGCTGTCTCTCTAGTTAAGGTCCAAGACCAAGACCATCCTTACCCATGCCCGCCTTTTTTTTCACCCACTGTTGGCATCGGCATCTGCCTCAAGGATCCTCCCCTCCCACACGACACCCTGAGCTTGGATTAGGTATTGGAATCGGCACTGGACCTGGACTTGGACTTGGACTCTTCTCGGTGGTCTGGCAGAGAAGGACAGCAACATCTTCCACCAAGATTGAGACCGCTGAGAACATGTCATGGGAGTTGCCCGTCTTGACCACTCTCATCCTCAGCGTACTTGGCTTCTGGTGGATCTATAGCCCTCGCGCCAGCTACCAGAAGGCCCTGCTCTACCTCTTGCTGTGCAGCAGTTTCACCGTCTTCTTTGATCCTCGTCGTCTGATCGAGTACCTATCCCCCGCCACGGTCGAAGCATTGCTGGATTTCCGCATCCATGTTCTTTTGATCCATCACTCCAAGATGGTCTTGACACTTGGTGCTGTCGTTTGGTGAGTCAACGTCCTCTGTCTCGCCCCTAGTCAATAATTAGAAAACAGCGATACCCCTTTGCTCGGACTGCGCTGACTATTGATTCTCTCTCTCATTACAGGCTACTGCATCGCTCGTGGCAGACGTTATGGAAACCCGTTCCTGACCTCATCAATATCCTCGGGGTCGACGTGCCTGAACCTCCCGATGTTTCCCTCGCTGGCATTCGATCCGATGCTGCTACTCTGAGCTGGACTCGCCCAACTAGTAATCGGCCGGTACAAAAATACACTATCCAAGTCAATGGCGTTCATGGTCGGTCTTACTGTCGAGATCTATCTCGGAACCTTCGGTTGGGGAAAATATCAAAAACTGACTGACACGGTCCATATAGTTGGCGAATCACCGGGAAACGAAGTCGCGATCACTGTCACAGGACTGAAGCCAGATCACTTTTACAATATCAGGGTCGTTGCTGTCGGCCCGAATAACTTCCAGGCCGGAAGTCAAGTTTTACGACTTCGAACATTCGGAAAAGATGGCAGACCTCAGTTAGGTAACTCACGTGTACCTACCAGCTTTCCTAATAACGACCACTCTCATCCGAAAAATGGCGATGAAGATGACGATTCCGACTCGCAAAAGAAGCCTCCAGTTCCGTCTGTCGAGGCGGCCCCTGTGCTTGATGGTAACAACGCGTCCACCTCTGACGTTAGCGCTACCGGTCCAAGTCAGCGACGAAATACAGTCAATCGACGACACTCCCCGTCCGTTGCCAGCATGGACCAACCTCAAATCAAGCTTCCACCTGTGGATGGCCCGGAGCTATCGCTGGACGAACTGAATCGCCGATTTGAATCCACTCGGAAGGAAGTCGACGAGACTTTGGCTCAGTATGCCAAGGAAGAGGCTGAACTACAGCAACAAGAGGAAGAGCTCAAGCAAGAGAAAGATGCCAAGAGACAGGCGCTCAAAGAGAAGGAGGAGCAGACCGCTCAGCTCAAGGCCAGCGTCCGTACTACCATGGAGCAAATGCGTACAGCGGAGAAGGATCGCGCGAGAAAAGAGCAGCAGTTGAAGGACAAGGAAAATAAGAAGTCCAAGATTCGAGATACTGCTTCAAAGCTCGAGAATGAGATGGAGAGGATGAAGAAAGAGAGGGAAGGATTCGAAGCGCAGAAGAAAGAACTGGAAGCTAAGCGGGATAAAGACGGCCAGGAACTTGACGACTCTAATGCAGAGCTGCAGGAGAAATGTGCTGAGCTAGAGGCCGAGCTGAAGGAGAAGGGAAAACAGCTCCAAGACCTCAAGGCTGCTCGAGAGCAACTTCCGGGTGGCGATGATGAACAGTGGAAGGAGAATGACTTGATCGTGCGAAGAGAGTGGGATGCCAGGAGAAAGGAACTGCACAATCAGCTCGTCGCCGAAACCAAGAAGCTTCATAACCTTGATCAGCAGATACGCTTTCTCAAGGAAGAGCAGCATCAGTTGGCGCTTTACTACAGCAGCCAACCAGACCCCACTGCCATGGAGTTTGAGCCTGCTGCCTCCCAAGATGCTCTCGAAAGCGGAAATATCAACTCTCTTTCCCACATCAACTTGTCACCTCCGCCCAACCAATTCGGCCCTCCCGAAGACTCATTCTCAACTGGCTTTAGTCGGGCTGGATTCAGTCAAATATTATTCATGGACCACAATGCAGCCGACAACGCCGATGATCACCAGTCAGAAGCCGACTTCAGGGCGAACGCGGGACCACTCAGCCCTACAGCCCATGCTCTTCTTCCTTCAGGTATCTTTGACGAGACATTTGAGGATGCTGAAGAGCATCTGCCTAGCCAATTCTTGCCAGACTCTGTTACTGCTGCCGAGGAAGATAACCCACAGTCACCACTGTCTTCCGATGGACGCTCTCTGAACATGTTTTCTAGTCCTCACGGCTCATCACATAACTTGCCCTTCCCCCAGTACAACGACGTGGACTCTCATTCCTTGAACATCAACTCTTCCCCTCAACAAGCACCTCTCGCTTCAAGCCACAGGCTGTCCAACCTCTTATCTAACTTTCAACGTAACAGGGGTCCGAAGCCGGCAGATGTGGAAGGACCCGCGATTGGCAGCCTCAAAGCAGGACAGAGCCAATCGTTTCCCCGAAGCACCGATGATCACGATATGCCGGGTAACAAACGCAGGATAAGCTTCTCTTGGATGAACAGGCACTCTGGAGGTGAATCTAACAGATCAAGCATGGGGCCTACGTCTAGGCCATTCTCTGCCAAGAGACTCAACCCCTTTGCCAGTAGTGCTGGAGCTCTTACAGGTGACAATGACTTGCCACACTCGCGGCCCGCGTCGATCACATCCATTGATCTCCCTCGACCTTCGACGGACAGCGGCTCTATCTGGAACATTCCCGGGGATTTCTCTATGCTGGGAACGAAGGGAGTTTGGTCCCCGAATGAAGGACGCTGGTCCTCTAGGAACCCGTCTCGCCGACCTTCGCTCGGTGCAGTACCGACTGTGCTTGAAACAACCCTTGCGACAGCCAATGACGAGATCCTTGACGATGACGATCTCCTCAACCCTCAAACATCACCTAGCCAGGTCGGTGTTATCGGATCTCGCCCCCCAAGCCACCGTGCGTCCATGAGTCGACATCTCAACCCAGCGGCACCGACCTTCAGGACACCCTTCTTTACCCGTAGAGAGAGGGATGCAAGTCCTGATAAGGATAAGTCGAAGGGCAAGGAGAAGGAGAAACGTGGAAAGTCCAAGGAAGTTCTGACCCCGACCATTGAAGTGCCTCCAAACCTTGATGATTCACCTTCAGATTCGCGGATGTCTCGCGACACGTATTCTGTTCACACACAAAACTCGATATCAGAATCTCATGAGTCTTTGGATCTAGGCATGACAGCCTCGAATTCTACCACCGACAACAACGCCGCGAGCCACAAGGATGCTGACAGTAGTGTTGTCAAGAAATTGTTTAGGAAAGGAAGTTCTAGCAAGTTCAGTACCTTGTCTTCTAGGCTGAGTAAGGATTCCGTCCTTTTCAAGAAGGGACCTGGCAGCAGCACGTTCTCCGAGAAGAATATGTCAGCAGAGCATCGTTCCAGCATTGGCGATGCAGACGAAATCGGGGAAGATCTGTCTCAGCTTGGCCGCAGTTACGAAAGCGTGACTAGCAGCCCGTCGTTGGGTCAGGGGAGTTTCAAATCGAAGGAGGCCCCTAAAGAGGGTCGCATGGGCATGGGAACATGGCGATTCTCGATGAAAAAGAAAAGCAAGGAGCCTGCGTCAAAAGAGAAGGAGAGTATGGAAAGTGACAGGCCTGCAGATGAGTAGAGAGTGTATATTATTGTGATATACATTTATGTGTAGCAGCATTGAGATTAAGTGTAAAGCGGAGTAGCGTATTTGGCATTAGCATTTGGCAGCAGTGGATAGTAAATCATATATAGCCCGACGGTTATTCACAGCATTGGCAATCGCATCTCAACCATTATAAGTCATGGATATCCGATCATCATTATGTGATTGCTATGCTATAGAATAATAGTGTTTAAGTTGGAGGCTCAGGGGAAGTTCAGCCACAATACATCGTGGCAGCTTATCCGGGGGTGGCCCGCTTTTAGCCATCATGGCTCTTGACACGTGCAAGGAGCTTCCTCATGCTCACATCGAGTAGCAAATTCTGTTTGATGTTGGAATATTCTAGACTCTGAATGACCGAGCCTCTTTCATAATGAATGGGACCTACCCAGAGGCTTCAGCTCTTGATGCTGGTAAGTTGATGTTGAAGCTGGAGGCTACTATCCCTTTGCGACTAATCCCAACGCTTCTGGACAGTCGACTACGATGCTATAGACCACCTCAATCTTCTCTTCTCGCACCCATCCGCCATATCGTCTATAAGCGAAGTCTCCAAATCACTACAGAACCACCAAAATGCGCTTTCGAACGACATAGCCACCCTCGAGACGAACCAGGCTTATGGATCCGACTCGAGTCTCGAGCGCATGCAGTCGGCGCAAGCTGAGCTAGCACAGCTATTTCGAAAGATCGAGACGGTGCGCTCGAGGGCGATCGAGACCGAACAGAACATCACGTCGATGACGGCCGACATAAAGAGACTCGATGGAACGAAGAAGAACCTCACGCTGAGCATGACGGCCCTCAAGAGGCTGCAGATGCTGACAACGGCTTATGAGCAGCTCAGGGGCTTGGCCAAGACGCGCCAGTATAGGGAGTGCGCGGGGCTCTTGCAGGCTGTTCTGCAGCTCATGAAACACTTCAACAGCTATCGCAGTATCGAGCAGATCGCGACACTGAGCAGAGGTGTGGCCGAGCTGCAAAGAGAACTCCTTGAACAGGTCTGCGAAGACTTTGAAATGGCATTTGCTAAAGGAGAAGTCGGTGCACGAAGAGGCACACTCGTTGAAGCATGCCTAGTCATGGATGCTCTTGGAGAATCTGCCAAGGCTCGGCTCATGAATTGGTACGTTAATACAGAGCTTCGAGAATACAGACAGGTGTTCCGCGGTAACGACGAAGCTGGAAGTCTGGACAACATTGGGCGGCGATATGCCTGGTTTAAACGAATGATGAAGACTCACGATGACGAACACGCTATGATCTTTCCTCCGCACTGGAGGGCTAATGAGACATTGGCAGCAGCTTTCTGTGACGGTACTCGAGATGATTTCAAGGGCATTCTGGAACGAAGCATGCGACGGACAGACGGCAACAAGATCGATGTCAATCTATTGTTGAGCTGCCTTCAAGAGACACTCGACTTTGAGCAGAGCCTTGAGAAGCGATTTGCGACTTCATCAAGAGCCAGCATCGATACGCTCAGCTCTGTTGAGGAAAAGGCGCATAGTTTCCACGGATTGATCTCAGTCGCATTCGAACCATACTTGAGTTTGTGGGTTGAGTCGCAAGATAAACAATTGGCAGCCATGATACCCAAGTACCGCAGCCAACCGCTCATACCGCCTGATGATGAGTTCTCACCACAAGCCGTCATTGCCTCGGCGATTGAGTTGTTTCACTTTTACAAACTCACGCTGTCACAATGCGCGAAGCTTTCTACGAGCGAGCGTCTTCTTGATCTAGCCAAGATACTGGCCAAGTACCTCGATGAGTATGCTCAGCAGGTCTTGCTACACATATTACAGTCCGGTGGACCTCAAGGGCCTCCCCTACAGGATGTGGTGCTTGTGTTGAATACAGCAGACTTTTGGCACATTAACACTAATCAGCTGGAGGAAAGCATCAAGAAACGCATTGATGGTGAGCTTGTTTCTAAAGTCGACTTGTCTTCACAATCGGATGCCTTTCTTGGTGTAGCGAGTGCTTCAGTTCTGGCTCTGGTTCGCGCGGTCGAGCTTGACTGTGAAGGCGTCTGGCGGGAGATGAAAAATACCAATTGGAGCACAATGGAGAGCGTTGGTGACCAGAGTTCATACGTGGGAGAGCTGGTAAAACATGCTGATGGAAAGGCCGCCGAGATATTGGCTATTATCTCGAAGCAACAATATGCCAGAGCCTTCTGTGATAATTTGGTGGAGCATTTGGCGACGGGGTACATTACTAGCATTATCCAATGCCGACCGATATCCGAAGTTGGTGCCGAGCAGGTATGCTATCTGAGTTGTTCGTTTGAGTCATGTTGTATGCTAACAAGTGGATTTGTAGATGTTACTTGACAAGTATGTTCTCACCAAAGCCCTCGAGAAGCTGCCCATGCATCATGCATCGTTCTCTGGGCACGAAAACCCCCCTTCCAGTTTTGTGCGCAGAGTTCAGCATTGCATGAACAGACTTGACCCATTGCTCAAGACACTTCAAGTTCGGCCATCACCGCCGGAAGGGTTGGTACAGGCGTATTTGATTCATATTGCGGATCGGTCAGATACAAACTTCAAGAAGATCCTCGATCTCAAGGGTGTTCGGAAAGCGGACCATGCTCATCTGATAGAGCTCTTTGGCATTCACCGCGACAGCACTCCCAACGATAAATTGGTAGCCAGCTCGCCATTGCTCACACCTCTCATGACCACCCCAAGCCTGGGTAACACAGTCCCTCTTGGAGTGATGAACCCATCAGTCGCAGCGGCTGTAAGTCCACGGTTTGAAGCGGGATCATTGGGTGAGAAGCTTCTAAGTGCGGCGAGAGATATCAGTCAGAGTAGCACGAGCACTGCAGCACAAACAGGACTCGAGAAGGCCACGATAAATGAGAACTTGCGGAACTTTGGCAAGTTCTTCAAGAGAGATATTGGATCGTTAGGAGCGAGGTTTGGAAAGCGAGACGGCAGTGTTGGTGCTGAGGAGGGACGATAGAGCGTAGATTGCAGATATCTAGATTAACTAATCGTGTCATATGCTACAGATACCGAGTTACGAGCTATCTACGGTCTACTAGTGCTAATTGTTCGGAGCCTTATCCCTGGTTATCATGAGGAATCAATTAAACCTCCGTCGGCACCTCATCTCGCAAACATCCGAAATCCTTGCCACATTCGGTAATAGGCGGATTAGTCATGGCCCGTTAGATCTGAAGATTGATAAAGACAAAACAGAGGGTATTGGAAAAGTCAAATCAAGTCATCCATCACCTTCTAAGCCCGTCCTGAGCGCCTCATCGAGTGACATCTCCACTAGCCGGGCTTATAAATCCTTCTATCCAATCACATCTTCCCTCTCCATCTCCATTGTCAAAATTGATTCCATCTCCTGTCTGCATTTGCATTGCATCAATCCCCACATTCACCACGTTTCTCTACCTCTTCCAAGCTATTCTCTCAGGGTTCATCCGCCGAAACCGCTCTATTTTTTTTTACCGCCCCTCAACCGTACCTCAGTAGCGACTCGGTCCATACTTTGCTAGTGGCGTTTTTCGTCTTCGATCCATCCATATTAAAAGAATCGCGACAGCCCACCTTTTCTTTCTCACCTATAATCCTCCTCCCCTCCAACACCGCCAAACTGTTCTCCTCAACGTTTAAACGCGTTACTCTCCGTTCCAGCGCTGGTCTTTCGATTGCGGCAGCGGCGACTACTTTCCATAAAACTACGAGAAAACCGGCTGTAGATTTTGGTGTTAGAAAGATGCATAGCAAGGTTGTCAGTATGTGCTTGTCCACGCCCATGCCCATGCCCATGCCCTCGTGCTTATTGCCCCTCCATCATGAACCCCTCCTCCAAAATTTACAGGTCTGACGGGAATTATTAGTTATCGGCTCAGGGCCTGCTGCCCACACAGCTGCTGTCTACTTGGCGCGAGCTGAGTTGAAGCGTAAGTTACACTTGTCTTACAGGATCTGAAGATCCAAACTGACACCGCATAGCCGTTCTTTATGAGGGTTTCATGGCCAATGGCATTGCTGCTGGTGGTCAATTGACCACTACCACCGAGGTTGAGAACTTCCCCGGTTTCCCCAAGGGTATCATGGGCGGCGAGTTGATGGTAAGCCTTTGCTTCTTCCCCGGTAACTCTCAGTAACTAACACAACATCTAGGACAACATGCGAGCCCAGTCCGAGCGCTTCGGCACAGAAATTGTCACCGACACCGTCACCACCCTCGATCTCTCCTCCCGCCCCTTCAAGTACAGCACCGAGTTCTCCCCCGAGGAGACACACACCGCCGACTCCGTTATCATCGCCACCGGCGCCTCGGCCCGCCGTCTTAACCTCCCTGGCGAGGACAAGTACTGGCAGAACGGTGTCTCCGCCTGCGCTGTCTGCGACGGGGCCGTCCCCATCTTCCGCAACAAGCCTCTCTTCGTTATCGGCGGTGGTGATTCTGCCGCTGAGGAGGCTACTTTCCTCACCAAGTACGCCAGCCACGTTACCGTCCTCGTCCGTCGCGATGTCCTCCGTGCCAGCCGAACCATGGCCAACCGTCTCCTCAACCACCCCAAGGTCACCGTCAAGTTCAACAGCGGCGCCACTGAGATCCGAGGTGGTGAGGATGGCCTCATGAGCCACCTCGTTGTCAAGAACAACAAGACCGGGCAGGAGGAGGTCCACGAGGCCAACGGTCTCTTCTACGCCATCGGTCACGACCCCGCCACTACCCTTGTAAAGGGCCAGGTTGACATGGACGAGGATGGCTACATCAAGACCGTCCCTGGTACCACATACACCAACGTCGAGGGTGTCTTTGCCGCTGGTGACGTCCAGGACAAGCGATACCGACAGGCCATTACCAGCGCCGGTACCGGATGCATGGCTGCTCTCGAGGCCGAGAAGTTCCTCGCTGACCATGAGGATGACCAGCGAGCTGACGACCGACCCAACCTCAACTAAAAAAGAAATAGACATAGACACCTAAAAATCATAAAACACATAGACTTGCGCCATTTTAGACGGGATATAGATATCTACATAAAGAGCAGGAGCAGTCGAGACTTTCAATCTAATCCACTTCACGTTTGCATGATATACAGAAAGTTCCAAACCAGAGTCGTTTTGATCTTTATCATTACTTGTGATCAATGTATTTCATAAACTACACAAGATCTTCCAAACAACTTTTAGCTGCCAAACCTAGGACAACAGCATCGTTATGTCATCCTGGCTGGTAATGGTATCATTTATTTTCTTCTTACTCTCGCCATAGGAGAGTAGGGGGTGTAATCTCGGTACCCTTGAGCTTCTCCAGACCCTCACCGCCCTGAGAAATGTTAGCATCATGTGCTTCATGAATATCATGGGATTTTACTTACGTAGCTGATGAGGGGGGACACCTCAACACCGACATCGGCCTTGTCACCAACGACAATGGCACCAGCAGCCTCGACCCAGCGCTTGCCCTGGGTCATGATATCGGCCTTGCTGGTATCGGGGTCATCCTCGCCAGTGCCAGGAGCGTTCTTGAGGGGAGAGAACTCGTCCTCACGCTTGACCTCGAGCGAGGCAAACTTGTCCAGGGTCAGGAAGGGGAAGACATCAAAGACGAACTGCTCCAGCTTGATGCCATTGGGCTTCTCGGGCTTGACGGTCTCGCCACTCTGAAGATCAGCAGAGGGGATCTTCTTGCGGGCGATGTGGTGGGGGAGCTTGTGAGCCCACTGAGGAATAGAGTCGAGGAAGCTGAAAGAGTAGTAGTGGTTGACGATGTTGGCAGCACGGAATCGAAGGAGATCAGACTGCTTAGGGTCAAGCTCCTCAGCAGTGGCCTTGTCGATCTCGGAGTACTCAACAACATCGGGCTTGCCGTTCTTGGAGAGAATCAGACCGACGGACTCAGTAGCGTTACGCTTACGGACAACCTTGGTAGCAATGTCGACGTTAAGGGCGGCAGAGAAACCAATGAAGACGGGATCGGCGACCCTCACAAGGCAGTTGTCAACGCAGTAGGCGTGGATGTGCTGAATACCGCGCTTTTGCATATCATCGACAACACCGGAAACGACAAGAGCGTTGTAGAGACCACCGTTTCCATCGGGGGCAACAGCAACCTTGGCCTTTGTCTCGAGAAGGATCTTGCCATCGTTGGAGATGCAGGGCAGAACACCCTGCTCGAAGATCTTGACGTTGTCCTGGCTCAGGCCAAAGTAGTTGTTCTCCTGGAAGAACTTCTCGGTAGGGCCACGGGTAGGACCACTGGTCATGACATACCAGGGAACAACAGGGCTGGAGCCAGCAGACTTCTTGGCGGCGAGCTCCTGGACCTTGACAATTCGCTCACCCTGAAGTTGGAAGAGAGATTTGTGGGAAGGCAGGCCAATGTCGTAGCAGCCCTTGGGGGCAGAGCTACCAAGACGAGTACCCTGGCCGCCAGCCATGAGGACAACAGCGACCTGACCCTTGGAGATGAGGTCAAGACCGGAGTCGTACCACTTGGAAATATCATCGGCACTGGAGTCGAGAATGCTAGCGGTAGCAGATTCGGGGAGAGGCTCGAGGCGATCGGGCTCATCGCTGGTCTTGGGAGGGTTCAAGGCGCGGTGTGTGATCTCGTTGATGTGGGCGGGGTCGAAGCCAGAAAGCTGCTGGTACAGAGTTCCTCGCTCGGCCGATGAGAGAGAGTCGTAGAAGGTGAAGACTTGCTCTTGGCCGGCCTTTGTGTACTTCTCCTTGAGCTCGTTGAGAGCCTCGGGGCTAGGCTCAGCAGGGGCATCGTTGGACTTGCCAAGGTGAAGAGCTTGCTTGATGGCCTCCATTGTGATGTAAGTGTATGTGAGGTTTGGGAGAGTTGCGGTGAGAGCGATTAGAAGCTTGAAGACGAATGTCCAGAAACTTCACAGAGACGGAGTATTAAAAGGCTGGAATTGAAGAAGAAAGAAAAGAGGAATGAGCTAGGAACTACGGGTGTGGGAAGAGTTGAGATCTAAATACGAATTGCAGGAAGTCGATCTCGGAAAGACCCTTACACAGCAGCCCGCAACTTTCCTTTACTTTTCCCGTTGTCCCTGACGTCTTCGGTCTTACCTCAACTTCCCTAGCAACTAAGACGCCTCTTAGCTTACCTGGTTGCTACGCTCTTACCTTACTTGTAACACCGTTTACCTCACCGTAAGTAAGGTACAATGCTTGAAGCTCCTCCCACGCCGCCAACGCCAACCAACGCTGATGCCCCTCAGCTGCCCCGCCTACTCAAGGTCCAATTGAGGTTGGACCGCCAATTAGAGTGAGGGAATCGGCGGCTGAGGGACCCCATCGATCCTGCCTCATGCTTGCAAGTTGGTGCTGATGCAGCGGCTTTGCTGAGAGCGCTATAGCGCCCATGCTGTTACGCTGCCACCTCCTATTGGATTTTATGATAACTGATGCGTACGTAAGCTCAGCGACTTGTACAGTCAGAGTTTATATTCAAGATCTGGAAACTCAAAGAACAGATTAATAACGATTGTAATGGCTGATGTATTTGTCGAGACTACCACGGGATCCGCGATGTTCACGAAAAGGAAAAATGATCCAGATTTTCGTCAGGGACCTGCAGGGTTCGTAATCGTCAACTTGTCTCATAACCCCAACATGACACTGACGCCCATAGCTCAGACACGAACTGGCAGGGCTGTTTTGTGTGGCTGTGGCGGCTGACATTGGATCTCAGGTGCTGAAAATAGCACTCTGGGCCAGGAGGCCAGGTCCTGGGTCACCTTGGTTACGATAGAATCCGTGCACTATTTTGCCTACCAGTAATACTTTGATGGAGATGTAATGGAGCCCAACATCCAAGGATAGCGAAGATTCATTTGGTGAGTATGAGGAAAATATGCAATGTCATCAAGGTGTTTTCATTTAAGAACATATTCATGTAGACTCTTGAGGGTGGACTTTTAGCTGGAACCAGTTATTAGACCCCTAATTTATTGTCGGGCCCAAAGCTCCTGTTTCTCACTCTAGAGACCTTTCAGATCTGGCTGCCTGTGGCGAAATCGCCAGAACAGTCTTCACGCTGTTCCACCACATTATCTTGTAGAACAGTTGCCTAAAGTTATCGAGTGATATATTCATAAATATGATGTGTTGATCTCCGAGGAGTATTTAAATACATATCTGCCGTTCAATCAGAATTCTTTGACCCGTCTCATTATTCCCCGGCTGTCAAAAACCGCCAGACTGTCCCATACTCCCACTTACACCAACAGACTACCTAGTCACAATGACGAGAAGCAAAGCTGCCCAAGAGGCCACTATTCAAGACCCTGTAGGCGACGATGGTGTCAAAGAGGAGCAGGACATCTCAAGCTCGCCTCCTCAGCCAGCAACCTTCAAGGGACGTCTTCAAATGAGTGACTTCATGTTCAAATCAAATGAATCTTCAAATGGCCAGACTTCCCCTATACGAAGATCCCCGAGATTCACAACTCCTATCACTTCGACCCCAGCCTCATCCGCTTCAGCCGCCAAAACGAAGCGGACCAAAGAGCGAGAGGCTGAAGACATAGAGAAAGAGATTAAACCAAAGAAAAAGAGAGCACGTCAGGCTTCTGGATACGCGCCTCCCTCAACATACGCACATCTCAATGGCCTGCCAGATGCCATCGCCTCGAATCTTCTCGTTCTCTTCATCGGTCTGAACCCTGGTATACAGACAGCACGAACAGGCCATGCATATGCTCATCCCTCCAACCTGTTTTGGAAACTCCTCTACTCAAGCGGCCTTACACCACGTCTCTGCAGTCCAACCGAAGATCGGCAACTCCCTGAACTGTACTCCATGGGATTCACCAACATTGTCGCCCGACCCAGTCGCAATGGCTCTGAGCTTAGCAAGCAGGAGATGGACGAGGGGGTTGAAATTCTTCACGAAAAGTGTCGCAAGTATCGTCCCGAGTCTGTATGCGTGGTGGGTAAGAGTATCTGGGAGAGTATTTGGCGCGTAAGACATGGCAAACCTGTTGGAAAGGCCTTCAAGTATGGCTGGCAGGACGAATCGGAGAACATGGGTGTGATCGAGGGCGAATGGGAGGGATCTAAAGTGTTTGTGTCGAGCAGCACAAGTGGTCTTGCTGCTACGTTATCGCCAGCTGAAAAAGAACGTATATGGGCAGAAATTGGAACATGGGCTCAGAAACGGAGAGCTGAGAGGGAGCTTGAGGCAAAAGAAGAGAGCAAATAAATGTTTAATAGTGTGTAGTACATAAGAGATAGACATTTACTCTTTTCGACAAACAATTCACTACAGCAGTTGATTGCACAGCTTATTCTTACCCTAACCATCTAGAATGAACTTTTGCCTTACCAGGCCCTTCTGATTTCAGATTGTAAGTACATCTCCTCCCCAACTCCGTTACGCCAGAAGCCAAAGCACCTAGAGCCTGGCCTTTTACTTGCATCGCTTCTCAACCACATTAGGTCCATTCTCCTCATACTCCTTTCGCGAAATCCACATCTGGTGGAAAGTGCCCAAACTAGCGAGAATGCTACCGCCGATCCAGGCACCGAAGCGTCGCTCACTCGTGAGACCTGCCGCGTGAATCTTGATCTTGAGTCCAGGGTACATCGCCATCAACTCGTTGTTCAGGCGGTCGTTGAATCCGTTGATCAGACTGGTGCTACCAGTTACGACGACGTTAGCCAGGAGGTTGCCTCGAAGATCGACGTCAACTGCGTTCAAAGCAGAGCGGATGAGCTCGGGGATGGTTTGCGCCTTGGTGAGTTGCTCAGAGTCGGAGCCATGATATCCAACAGTCTCGTCAAACATGCCCTCTGTCACTCGGAATCGCTGCTCGCGCCACATCTGGTTATAACCGTCAGGCATTTCGAATACCCGGCCGGGTTGCGTCTTAACATAATCCTCATTGCCGGAAACACTGTAACGACCGGGGCCTCGCCAGACTTCTACTACTGACTCCTTGAATTCCGTCAACACACGCTCTTCCTCATATGCGCGGAATGAATCGTTGATCTGAAAGGGGAAGTGTCGTAGTCGGACTGAAGGAGGTGCCAGGGCGTCGACAGGTGTCTTGTTCTCGATCATGAAGGTGGGTGTCAGCTCGACCTTGGGCTCTGATGCTTCAAAGAGATTTCGAATCTGAGAAGAGAGCCAGATACCACCAACAGGAGACTTCTGGATAGATCGCTTCAGCACCATGCCGTCGTGAATAGCTGTGACCGAGGTGTTGGCACCGCCCACGTCAATAACTAGTGAGGTAGCCTTGCCAGCGGCGAATGCTGCCAACACCGGAGTGCGACTCAGCCAGAAGGCAGGGCATCCCCAGTTCTCCATGATGATCTCAATAGCCTTCTCACGAGCCTTGGGTGTATTCCAGGGAGCCTCTGTAATCAAGAGGGGATTTTCGCCCAAGGGCTTCTCGGCAGATTCGGCAGCCTCGGCGTCGTCCATAGCCACATCGCCCTCTCCGTCCTGGCCTTCTGCCTTGGGGTCGTCGTTTAGACCGTTCTTCGAGGGAGGTGTTTGTCGTTCGGGTTGCAAGCGCTTAACAAGCATGTTCTCCCAAATTCGAGCAGCAACATCCCAATCCTCCACCACACTATCCTTATTCATGTAGTTGCGGACTTCGAAGTCGGGGCGAGGGATGAGGCACTCATCGCCAAACAGGTCTTTAGGGTTGTCGCCGGTTGTGTGGCCGTAAAACGATGGGAGGATAGATTTGGGAACATCTTCACCAGCGAAGCCAGCTCGAGTGTAGCAGTATCCAGGATCGAGAACGAGGGCAGAAACCTCATCTATATAAACATATGTTAGTGGAGATCTTTGGCGGGCTGACGCGACATGGGGAGCTAGAGCTGCGCGTACCTCCTCCATAGATGTCAGTGGGCTGCATCGACGTGGGAAGGGGCTGTTGAGCCATGATTGATGCTTTATGAATGATATTTGCTCGTCGGAGATAGTGGAGGTGGATTGAACGACCCGGCGCAAAGTATCGCGGAATTGGTGGAGTTGCGCCAGACCAAGTGATTGATGGATGTTCGCGTTGGAACAAATTTCAGCCTTGAGTGGTTGGTAAGGGAGCATACGCCACACATTGTCGAGGCTGCGGTGTGGCGGTCATGGCTCCACCAAAGGTAGCCGGATTATTTTCGGCGAACCGGCTCTCTTTAAATTTTCGCAGATCGGCTCCAAATCGCTTCTCTTTTTTCTTCATACATGGAGCGAGAGTTCCATGTTACCATCATGATTGTAAGTACGCATATTCCTCTCAATTATTTCTCTTCCCTTTGCCTAAATGATGAATTCGCATACTCGCTTCAGAACCGCTGCGATTGACACGGCTTGCTGTGGTTGATTTAAACTGCCAATTTCTGACTCTAGTGCAACACATTTCTTTGATGTCTCAACAATGAGTTATTGAAGCATTGCTAACCTAATTGATAGAAGCCATGATGTCTGCACGGTACTTGCGACAGGCCAGCCGGCCTTTAATACAGTCGATCTCCCAAACCACAAGTGCTCGTTGCTCACATGCGCTCAGCTGTGGCAATTCCTCAAGGACATTATGGGGTTCACAAAGCGTGGCATATGGGAGGTCCCTAGCTACTTCGGCTGCTAGGAGCCAAGATGGCCTGGAGGGATACTCGTCTTTCAAGCAACAGCGCCGAACTGAGCTCTTGGCGGAGAAAGAGAGCGAGGATCCTCTATTCGAAGAGACACACCCTCGCCTCATCCATCATGCAGAGCGTAAGACGGTGCCTGAGTTTCATGAAGCTTTTCGAGATGCCCTTGACGATTCCAAGTACATCAGCGTTTGTGGCCGGGTTCGATCCAAGCGCGTCGTCGGAAAGAATCTTATCTTTCTCGACATCGTGAATGAATTTGAGCGTCTACAGGTCATGCTCAACCGGTCAAAGTGCATGGTAGAAGAGGAGGCAAGGAGTTTGAAGTTCGGAATGTTGAGAAATTTAATAGAAGTGGGCGACCACATATGTAGGATCCCTAATGTTTATCCTGTTGTATCCCAGATGCTTACAGCCTGGCAGCTGTCGTTGGTATACCGGTTCGTACTAAAGCCGGCGAACTCACCATGGAGGCCAAGACTTTGCCTGAACTTCTGTCTCCTACCATGGAGCAGATCCCAGAGAAACTCACCGATCCCAAAACCAGAATGCAAGAACGTCATGTTGATATGTTGGTGAACCGACAAGCAATTGATGTCCTCCGACTGCGCGCCGAGATCACCAAGCACATGCGTGAATATTTTCACTCAAGAAAGTTCCTCGAGTTCCAGACACCGATTCTCGCTGAAAACGCTGGCGGTGCAGTGGCCCGCCCTTTTGTTACCAGAGCCACGGAGTTCAAGGATAAAGATCTCGCCTTACGCATTGCCCCCGAGTTATGGCTCAAGCGCCTCGTTATTGGAGGCGTCGACAAGGTCTTTGAGATTGGACCTTCGTTCCGTAACGAGGGTGTTGACGCGACACACAATCCGGAGTTTACTATGTGTGAGTTCTACAGCGCCTATAGTAACCTGGAGGACTTGATCAACCAGACCGAGGAGATTCTCTGCAGTCTTGCCCAACACTCCCAGGATCTCATCTCTACCCAACTCACATCTCTGCCTTCCATCGACATGAAACAGTTTGTGCGACCTTTTAAGCGGGTCGAGTTCGTTCCCGCACTCCAAGAAGCCCTTGGGCTTCGTCTGCCCAAGCTCTCATCTCCAGATGCTCTACCAGAACTCCTGGCTATCCTAAAGCTTGCTGGTATCAAGGTGCCAGGTGAGGTGCCTACCTCGCTGGCCAAGCTGCTTGATCGTCTGGCTGCCGTTTACCTGGAACCTATGTCATTCACGGAGCCTATCCTTATCATGAACCATCCCGCCTGCATGTCGCCTCTTGCGAAGAGCTTCCTTTGTCCACAAACTTATCAGTTAGTATCTGCCCGCGCAGAACTCTTCATTGGTGGCCGTGAATTGGCAAACATGTACGAAGAGGAAAACGACCCCGAAGAGCAGAAGCGTAAGCTGCTCGACCACCGAAACCTCGTCAACAAGGATGACGGTAGCATTGCCATTGAACATAATGAGGCGTCTGAAGGCGAAGCAGCTGTTGAGGAAGCTCTGGATGAGCCTTTTGAAGACGAGGACGGCGACGCTGCTCCCCTCGATCAAAGTTATGTCAAGGCTCTCGACTATGGCCTGCCCCCTACTGGCGGCTGGGGATGTGGTGTTGAGCGTATGGTCATGCTGTTTTCTGGTGCCAACCGCATCAGCGACTGTCTAAGCTTTGGTACGATAAGAAATGTTGTTGGACTTTCAGCAGCAGAGGAGAACAAGACAAGCTCTGAAGAAGATAAGAAGCTCGAAGAAGATAAGCAGGCGAGTCCCGAGAGCTCATAGACCAACTCTGGAGGGTTTGTACTATTAGTAGACTCTAATCATTGCGATGATGTATGAATGATGGAACTGTATAATATTGAAACAATGGCTATACGCTAGAAAGCTGTATAGAACAATAGACGATATATCGCGTTCATGCAGATTATCTAGACTTTGCAAGAATGATAAGATGACAACACAAGTGGGTTTATGGTGGGCCAGTTATGGAACAATTCTCAACTGGTATCTTAATATATATGTACAAAAGAATAGGTATCAAATATTCAAATCAAACCAACAGCAAACAGATCCAACTCAGGTCTCACCCTTACACAGAAATAGACAGCTGGAACAGGCTGCTTCCCTTCTTAGGGGTAGACATGGTCTTAATCCAGTCCCTCACAGTCTCATCGCTCAGAGATGATCCAAAGTCAAAGGCATCATCCAACTGCTTGATAGCGACGCTCGACGTACGCTCACAGAACACAACAGCAACCTTGATGTACTTGTCGGCAGGTCGCTTGAAGTAATCAGAGCTTCCAGCGCCGTTTGTCAAGTGGAATGTGCTCTTGCACTTATCATCGCCAGTAGCAAGGACCTCGTAGATGTCGACCTCACCACAGCCTGTCTTCCAGCAGCTGCATCCGCTGTATTGGCCAGTTCTGGGAATGCGGCCGTTGAGAGCCCAGAGGGCGGGCATGTCGCCGTTGAAGCCGGTGTTGCCATCGAAGGGCATCTTGAAGTTGAAGAGGAAGATCTTGTTTGAGCCGGAGAATCCCTCTGTAAGGGGGTTAGTGAGTGTTATATCTGGGTTGAGGGGGAGGTAGCATACTGTAGGCAACATCAGGGACACGAGAGTAACCGCAGCTCTCGTCACACTTCTCAGAGCTGAAGATGGAGAATTCTTTGTTGGAAGGGATGAAGACGTCCTTCAGGATCTTGGGAGAAGAGGAGCCACCGTTTCCGTTGGCGTTGAGGTAAGAGAGAGAGTTACCCCAGGTGCTATACTCAGTCAGTATAAAGGCATATTGAAGAGGGACAGTAACTTACTTGTCAAAGACTCCGGAGCCCTCACCACCATAGTTACCCATGAAGATAACATTATCAGCAACACGTCGCTGAGCGTTGTAGTAAGCAGTGCGCTTCCAGTGTCCACCAGGAGTAGCAGTGTACTCCTTTGCCTTTGAGGTAGCCTTGCTCTTGACCTGGTCCACCTTGCCTTTGACATTTTCAACCTTGCTCTTGATCTTGTCCAGTCCAGGCAAGGGGTCAGCCTTTAGCTTCATGGGCTTCTTCTCATCGACGACGTTCACAGCGTCGGTAGGGGCAGCAGGGATATCAACGGGAGCAGCCTGGGTAGCAGGGCTTCCGTTATAAGTGTTCTCCCAGGATACGACTTGTCCGTCGATGGTGGCAGTGACCCAGTCCCCACGCTTCTTCTTGCGCTGTTCGTGGAAATGACGATGGCCGTGGAGGTGAGGAGAGGGGGCAGAGTCACGCTTCTTCTCGCTGGAACCGAGGTTGTAGACTGCGAATTCCTTGAGGTTGAAGGGGCCCCGAATGTGGACAGACAGCTATGTTTTGTTAGTTTATAATGTGAAATAGTTGAGTGACGGCCAACTTACATCCTCACTCAGAGGTCCAAGAGCACCGTCGTAAGAAAAGGGCTCCTGATCACAAGATCCATCATCTCCCATCTTTGTAACAGCCTTGAAGCTTCCACTGCTGGAGAATCCCTCATAGAGAATCTGATCAATAACACCACAGAACCAGTTTCCGCCTTCGTTGACGGCGCTGCCAGAGCATTGCTGTGTGAGGGCTGTGGCGAGGCCCGTGTAAGCCAGAATGGAAAGATTAGCGACCTTCATGGTTTCAAGTCTCTAATCTATTCAGCCTGATTGACTATCGATATTTTGAGACCTATTCTCGAGTCGTTGAGATCGTCGATATAGGCAATTGCAAGGAGTGTTTCGGTGAATGTCTTCAAAGAGTGGACTCAATAGACAACAGAGATTCCAACAGATTTTAAGGAGTGACTAGAAGTAAAGACAAAAGAGCGTATAGTTCAAAAAGCAAGAAATGCCCACAATGAACGACTGATATGTTTCAGTACCAACCTCTGGGGGGAACTCGAAGGATGAGGAGGATTTCCATCCTTCAGTGGGGAGATGGGCGATATTAAAGAGGATCCAAATAACACAACTACTACACTTCTGCAGGACTCAAAGGGGTAAAAGAGCCCAGCGTCTCCCCCAAGTCTGGGCAGCAGATCTCAATTCTGTTCCTGGCACAACCAAGCCTAGCAAGCGTAGCTCATAGCGCAGTACAAAGATGGCCAAGATAGGTTGGTGGTGTATTTGTTTCAGGCTACGAGGGGACTCTAGAGTCTTGGCCAATTACAGGCGTCAGATGACTTATTGAGAGTGGTTAATAAAGGGAACGGCCTGGCCATGCTGCTTTGGGAAGTTGAGGGCATCACAAAGAGCCACGCTTTGGCGTGTGGATGATGGCGCAGCGGTCTTGGCTTTGGGCCGGTCTCTTGTTTTAGGCTGGGGGCCAAGATGCTTGATTAGACGCCGAGACGCCATATAAAATTGCATTTCTCAGATAATACTTGTTGTCTTTACTCAGTGTGATTCTCTCGCATAAGGTAGTGGGTGCCAACAGGTCTGTGTGATACAAGTGATGGCCTCATGAATATCAATGAATATCACACAACCAAGTCACAGCTGCTTCTAACAAACGATCAACATTAATCGAAACAAAAAAGGCTGGTAGTAGAAAGTGGGTGTGGTCAGTTCCCCTGCAACACCAAGAAAGGCCAACGCTTGTCTAATCTTGGCTTTTCTTGGCGTGTCCCCTAATTTATTTGACTCGTAATCGTCACCAGGAACAATGAAGATGATGAGAATGCCTTTGTTAAAGGAAAAGTCGGTCTCTGGAATGTCCACGTGCTGCTTGACTCGAGGTGCTCTTTTAGTAGATTTCTAGCCCCCTCAAATATGGCCGATTATAGGTAATGTCGCATTTAAACAGTGGAGATGAGTCTATCGCTATTTCACCTGAACAATGCTGAAAGACGTCAGTCAGTCAGTCAGTCAGTCAGTTTTTTTCTTTCTTTTTTTGATACAATTGTCGAGTTAGTCACAAACTGTTCAGATGCAGTTGTTTGTTAAAGAAGAAGACATTAGTTTGAGCCCTAGCTGATAAGTATTCGCTGTTGAATCGTGTCTCGATAGATCTGTATGGCCTCAGTTAAGCCACGACTATGCTAACAACTCATCAATACTCAGCAAGTCAATGCGCTATGTTGAATATTTCGGTCCTTTTCAATCATGAGATTTCACGATTCCGTCAATACATTCATGAAAAAGGCGGGAGTTCTAAGAGAATTCTTCTCTATATCATATTATTTTGAGACATTTTATGCCTGATGCGGAACTAGTTGTAAATAAAACTAGCCTTCAAACTCAACTCGCAAGTCCAAGCTTTTCTGCTTTTATGATCTTCAGATCTTCAGGTTCCATCGCTCTATATCCTCAAACGGCCATGCTTTTCCATAACGTTATATGCAAACTTTTCCAGACCATAGTGATGTCCCTAGTCATCAAAACCACCCCATTCACCATCATCACCACTGTCCTCATTTGCTTGTAATTTCCTCTTCTTGCTACCCTCAATAGCACCGCGGCGGTTATTCTCCTTTCGTCTCTCATAGCCACTCTTGGACGTGATCTTGGCTTTATTTCCACTTCGCCGCGCTTCCACACCTCGCTCCTTGAGCTTCTTGCGGTCTGCCTTGCCGACATTAGGGAGAGCATCCAGGAGCCACTTTTGCACCCCAGCCTCATCTCCTGTTTTGCCAGCCTGCTTCTCGCTTGCAGCGATAACATTGGCGACCATCTTGACGAAGGGAATGTCCTCCTTGGTGTAGAATGTGACTGCCACGCCACCTTCGCGACCTGCTCGGCCTGTCCGTCCTGCGCGGTGGACGTAGCCGGCGCTGGAGCCGGGGACATCGTAGTTGACAACACCGTTGACACCGGCAAAGTCTACACCTCGTGCCAACACATCTGTTGTGATCAGAACCCAGATGTCTCCAGCACGGAACTTGCGCATGATGGAAGATCGAGCAGAGTCTGTGAGACCACTGTGAAGGGCTGCAATTCTTGCTGCACCACCAGCCTCGAGAGGAATGTCGTATTGTAGTTCCTCGTGCAGAGCAGTCGCTCGGTCAATTGTTTGCGTAAAGACCAAGAAAGGGGGTCGTAGAGGAGGACCCGAATCATCAGCAGCCGTAGGGTGCAGCAGCTGGCGCAATGCTAGTAGTTTACCCTGCTCAGTCGCGGTGTAGATAAGCTTGTGGGCAATGTTTGGAACAGCAGTATCCTTGAGACCGACGACTAGTCGCACAAAGGGCTTCGGTGTGATACCCAGCGACTGTGCTCTTGAAGTCAACTTCTCTGTAACCATGGACTCAATGTTTGAGCCCATCGTAGCAGACCAGAATGACACCCTCAGGTCGGGGTTTGTGCATGCTGTCCAGTCAGACATCATGGCATCTCGGAAAAGAGGGTCAAGTAAAACATCCGCCTCATCCAATATCAAGTCTCTTACAGTAGGCAGAACCTTTTGTGTGCTGGGAGGTCCTGAGGTGAGAAACTTTAGTAAGAGAAAGGGTGTGGTGACCAAGATATCAGCCTTTGTGATTTGCTTGGGCTTGTCGTCTGCCTTGTTTTCATCTTCATCCTCAGAATCCGACTCTTTGTCCTCTTCATCTTCTGAGCCATCTTCTGCCATGTCCACTTGCTCGGCTGAAAGTTGTGTGTGCTTCTTCATCGAAACGACCTTCAGTCCTGTTCCTTGAGCAAGCTTCTGTCCTTCGCTAACGATTTGGTGCACCAATTCGCGGGTTGGTGCAACAATAATCGCCTCGAGTTCGTGAATATCGCTGAGGCTTTGCTGCGAGCGCCTGCGCAAAATGTTGTTGATAGCGGGAATTAAGAAACTGATGGTCTTTCCGCTTCCTGTGGGAGCGATTGCGAGGAAATCGACTCCTACTTCGAGTCCATCTTCGTCTTTCAGGGCAGCCTGGGGGTGTACGAGAAGAGGAAGACTACCCATCTGAACTTCAGTAGGAACTCGGTATCCCTGGAATACAAGGTTGTCGGCGACTTTGTTTGAGAGACCGTAGGCATTGCGCAGCTCGCTAAAAGAGTCCAAAGGCTGTGGGAAGAGCTGCTTCTTTCCATCCTTCTTCACTTCAACAGCCGCCTTCTTCTTTTTCTTGCTCTTCTTGACCTTAGACTGATCCTCTGACTTGGAGAGGAGAGTAATCTTCAATCGATGCGATCGTAGCAGCTGGCGACACTCGTCCTCACTCAACAATCGAGACGGCCGTGTAGGTTTCGGTACTTGGACGGGCTCCTCTGTCTCAACAGCTGCCTTGGCTACAGGCTCTGGCTTGGGGGCAAAGAAGTCAACTTCGGGGAGCTCGTCGTGAGCTTCGGGTTCGGGCTCATTCTTTGTTCGCTTTCGCTTCTGGCCGCGGACCTGATCATGGTAGAGCTGAGGGTTCGTGGATGTACCAGCCGAGGGAAGCTTCTGCTGAGCATTGCTGGAGTTTTGGCTGTTCTTTTGTGTCTTTTTGGTCCCACGCGATAGAACCTTGAGGATATCCATTTTGAAGGGTATGCGCTATAACGCGTGGTTGAGCAGCGAGCTTGGGCTGGAGATCCAATGTGAAGAAAAGTGCTAGCAACTGAGAATTGCATTCAGAAATTTTGGTGGACCCATGTTGGCTTGACGGAAATCATCACTAGCGGGTAGTGGGGGTGGGTGTGATGATAGGTGGCTGGTGGGTGAAAGCAGCCACAGTTGTAGCACCGCCACAGCCGTTGAGATCTGCTAAGGTTACCTACCGGTCGTTAGTGTTAGTGGGCGCTTTGGATTGTTCAGTAAATCCCCGACCCGAGATCGATGGGAATTTGTTAGCAACTGCACACTTTTGAGCATCAGGAACGCTCCATGGATGATCCATTATGGGGGATCATCTCATCCAATGAAACTCTTAGTCTGTACAGTAAAACATGTTCGATTAGTGTCGATCTCCGTCATAATCTTATCCAACTTTTTGCTGCAGGCATGAGCATGATGCATCCAAGGTTGACGTCACTCTGGCTGCCGGGATAGCCAGCAATCAGGATTTGGAACTCGCAAGCATGGAAAATACATGAAACTTGGTATTTCTGCTTCTGCTTTTCTGTATTTTATGTCTTGCATTCCCCATTTTCATTCTGCCCTGCATTGTCACTCTTGCATCTAAAAGCAGATCGGATCTTCAAACTAGTACATATCTCTTCAACACAGACAACCGCCATCATGCCGACTATGCTTGGTCTCACCAACGATCGCTCGCCTCACGGGCTTAACGCTGAAGAAAGCAAATTCGGTGGTCCCTCCAGCCAGAGAGGCATGGAACTTACCCCGCGCCAACAAAACGGTAGCATCGTATCCGGCATCGAAGGCTCCGACTTCTTCAACGGTGGTGGCAAGCAAAAGGAGCACGACGCAGATGAGGAATCAGATGAGGAGAACCTCAAGACCATCAAGGGCCGTAACCTCTCCGCCGTCAAGGAGATGGAGACTCTTCTCTGGCGTGCCCTCTGCGACAAGCCCAAGACTGCCCTCAAGTACATCGCCAAGGACGCCGTCATGTCGAACCGCTTCCTCTTCGGCGACCCTGTCCCCCGAACCGCTGACTCTGATCCCTCTCTAGAAGAAGAGATCAAGCACTGTGAGGAGTGGCTCGCCTACAAGATGCACGACCCCCAGCCCGTCGAGATTGGTCTCATGGCTGCTGCCATTGGCTACAAGGTCACCCTCTTCCGCCAACTTGACCAAGGAGATGGCAACTTTGGCATGCAGACCGTTCAAGCTACGTGCTCGAGCTCCTGGAGGCAACTCGCTAGTGGCGACTGGGAGCTTACCAGTATGTTTGCTGGTTAAACGGTTTGATGATATGGATGATTGCATGAAATGGACCGGCGTTAAATCATGAATGGAGTATTGGTTGGTGATTCGTGCCTAAAGGAGCTACATCATAAATATGAATAACAGATTACTTGCACATGAAATCTCTATGTAAAATCTTTTGTCATTCCTTCAGTTGAATCTCTCACCTTTATGGCATGTACGCAATATGAGGTGAATAAGACGGCTTTTATCTTGTGGCAAACAACGCTTTATTCTTAAATCCACTAATGTAAGCTTCTTGATACCTTCATGTCAAACCATTCAATACCCACGCTTTAACTAAGATACTGGTAGCTGCCTCCAAACTCCAGCTCTCCAGAGTCCAGGATTGAAAGCCGAAGATCACGCATCAAGCTAAGCGGTCCAACGTCTTGGACCAAGACTTTCGATAATTATCTCGAAAGTTGGATCTCCCTTCCCATTTGGTGGAGTTTTCTTTGTCAATGCATCAATAAGATGTCTGAATCTCTGCTGTAACACATGAAACCTCTCTTCAGTGCGAGCTTTCCGTTGATATACCAGATCTTCTCCCCCAACAGTACACTCGAGGGAGATAGTTACGCCGCTATCTTTTTCGAAATGTATCTCTTCTATAATCTCTGCAAGCGACATGCCAAAGAAGCTTCGTGCTGGACACCATTGATAACTCGAGTACTAATCGGTGTGGTAGACTGTGAAGTCGATAGCGAATAGGCGGTCGTTTGCAATCATTGTGACAATAGAGTCGGGGGATGAGTGGGCACTGGCAGTTGGATCATGGCCGTGATCTTGTTCTTGGTCGTAATCTTCTTCTTTGCCGTAATTCTCTTCGTGTACGTAAGAAGAATATGGTTCTTCATCTACCGGCTCCTCGTCCTCGTCCTGAGCAGAAGGGTATCCCTCATCTCGTAAGGACTCTGGTATAGGTGTATCAGGCCTTCTCCCAAGGCCTGACTGGCGATCTTGAATTCCCAAATCCTCCGTGATCAGAGAATTATTCGATTTCGACTGATCAACTTGGGAAGTCGAGATTGATTGCCCTGGAATCTTTGGTGGTTCTGCGTTGCTGTTCGAAGCTTCGACCGAAGAGGAGATAGGATGATCTTGACCTTGCGCATAGTCACTCTTTGAAGTTACCTTGTGACTCGTGGCAACAACGGTAAATGAAGGTTTACTTTCCGAGGTTTCCGAGGATCTGGATGAAGAACTGGTGTGATCTGCCGCTGGATCGTCCTTATTGATAGTTTTATCCAAAGCCATGTCGGGTACCTCTTCCGTGCTACCGCGAGACAATGACGATGACTGATCGTGGCTGCCAGATCCGTTGCGGTCCTTTGGACTATTTTCTGACTGTTAGGAGATACGTTAGCACTCAATGAAGCAGGATGGTAATTGCTCGATGCCGTGGGCATACAGTCGGGTCAATGCCACAGCTGCTGTCTATGTCAGATTCTCCCACGGCATCTGCCTCTTGGAGGGGCCATTCAAGATTGGAGCAAGACATGCATAGGATTTACTTCTCTTGATGAAGGTTTGGTTTGGATCAGAAGAACTTACCATGGTTTTTCGGTGGTACTTGGATTGAAACTGTCCTAGCGATGTTGTCTCGAGAATATGCGCTTGATCTCTGTATCTTCTGAAGAGTACTTTATGATGATTAAAGAAAGTAGCCTTGCTGTTACTAGTGACTGATTGTGTTGAAAATATCGTCTTGTGATGTAAGGACGAAGACTGGGTAGGGACTCAGAAACGATTAATGGCGAAGCTTCGGTATGGGCCAGGAGTGTGCACCTACCTTAAAAGACATCTCAAAATAATAAAGGCAAGTTGGTCCTCTGGAAGGTGCTACTATCACCTTGAGGAGAGCTTCGAAGTTTGTCAAGGAAAGAAGGCCACACAAGCTGTTCATATCACGACAGAGTCATTGCTATTATCGAGCAGCCCTTGGGGGGGCAAGAGTAGGTATCTCAGACCTTGAATCAGGGCGCCATGTAATAACGAATGCATGCACGTAGCCAAAAGACCCCCTAGACTTATTAAAAGCTTATCCAAGTCTTTTTGTTCCTTATGATTGAGGTCTTATGTGGTGCCCCAAAAAGGTAGACTGAGACAGCTGGGCACGGCAGAAATGATTATATCGATATATCAATTCTCTAGCATAGTAACAGTAATATTATTTGAACTCATGGCTGTGTTGAGGCCTATGGCTGTTCCAGCACCGAATGCCATAATTCCCGTGCTCTTGCTGACGGTGAATGTGCTGAAGCACATCTATTCTGGTGGAACATTTGCTGTGGACAGCTATAGTGGCTTCGGTCGAAATTCCCAGCTGGTAGATCACATCACCGTAGGATCCAATCGCATCTTGACCGGCCCAAGAGGACTGTATCATGATCTTATCCAGGCCGTACCGCGGATGACGGAATCCCAAGAACGAACTCGAATTCCCCCCAAGACGCCATGATGACCGACTCATCATCTCCAGCTCTCTGGTAGCCGAGAGCATCACCACACCTCGTCTGTTGTTCCACATTTCCAACGTTTCAAGCTCTTGTATCTTCAGCGCGGCGTCAGCGGCGTCATGGAGCATGTCGCTAATATCTCATGGACTCGTGTCGTCATTGATGAGTTTCGAAGTCGACGCCGGAGATTTGTGACTTGTAAATCTGTTCCCTTCATTCATCGATCCATCTCTTACGGGAAAGATTTCTCATATCACTCCCTAAGTGGCTCAATACTAATCTCGTAGTCCAGCCTCTTTCCGTGGTTTTTCACATCCCGTGTGTCGCTCTCAATACAACGGAGAAACTGCTGACGAATGTTCCCAAAAACATCCTCGTTGTACAGATACACTTGCCGGAGACAGAACTTGGGCCCGTATTGGCGTATGCATAGCCCTGTTATCATTTCCTTATCGTTCATGGGTAGAACGTCCATAAACTGTTTGAGGGTCATTGTGAAGAATTCGACTGCTGAAATGTTGAACGGGTCGCCGTGACTACCATCGTGAAAGGAAAAAGAGAATTGAAGAGGGGTAGGAGTATCTGTATTGTGCCCGCGGAGATGGGAGCTCAGTAAGCGCCTGGCCGCAGCTGTGTCATAGGAGATACTGCTGAGCTCTTCAATGTCTCGCCCAGACGTGGCAGTAGTATCCTTCTGAGAGAGTGGAGTAGATCCAAGCTTTACAGGCTGGTCTGTAGCTGCTCTTTCTGTTACATTTCCAGGAATATGAGTACTGCTATCCTCTCCAATGGGCGGAACTACTCGTATCGCAGTTTTGAACCCACAGACGATCTCATCCGTGGTATTCCTCTCTGCCTCTGGTGATAGCTCCTGGGTGTCATTCGTTCCTGACCCTTCACCCATGGAAGCAACAGGCACAGGAACAGATTTTCGACTTGACCTCCGAAGGTCTTGTCTGGGAGAAACTGCTCGGGCGACTGATTCAAGCCGAACATTAGCATCTCGAGAGAACGGATCGGCTGTGGGTCCACGGAAACCGCTGAGACGCGGGCTTTTTGTGCGCAACGGTGACGCCTCGGATTGTGATAGAGGCCTTTTGGTTGGCAGCACAGGCTTTTCAGTGTCAGTAGAGTGGTACCAGAATTACTCAAGAGAATTCTTACGCTTGTTGTTGAAGGTTGGCTAGATTCCTGAGCTGGCTCAGGGTTCACATGCTCATCCTGAACCACACTCGGTAGCGGCGTGACAGTATCTGAGGGCATAGTCTGACTCTGTACTGTATGTCTAATCTCCTCAAGTGAAGGTAACTCTGGAGAATCAGAAGGCTCTCTAAACTCACCGTGTTAGCACATACATCTACCACATTTGTTGACATCAATAGCTCACCTCTTGAGGCTAGATTCACCAGATATCGGTGATGCTGGGGTATCAAATACTTGGTATTCGTAATCAGACTCATCGCTGGATAGATCAAGGGCAATAGGCTCGTCAGGCGCATCCCCTCGCTCGAAGAGATTGGTACGCCTCTTTTCTTTGCGAACCTTTATATCGTGTGATCTTCTGTTGTATAGCTGTCGAAAAAACAGCATCATCAATGTTTTGATGATCCTATACAGAATAGGTACAAACCCACTGTCAGTCACTCATCCGAGACGCGTCAGAAAGAATAAAAGGAGCTTAGACCGACTGTTGGGAATCCTGTGAATAACGGTACTTCTTGGTGTTTGCAGCAGAAGGCTCATCGGGCCAGAAACGAGGGCCATGGTTCTGTCTGACAAGGAAGTCCTTGACCATCCTGCGAATCTTTTGCTTGCATGGCTCGGAGGACCACTCCAACATATCTTTGTCGTCGATTATCTTTTCTTCTATGAAGCGGTTCATGTGAAATTTACGAGCAGTGTTGAACTCATTGAGTAGCGCCTTGTCTGCAGAATCGCCAAATCCAAGTTCGCTGAGCAGTTTCATGATCGGAGGCACGTCCTTGGTAGTCCTCGTGCGTGAGGAAAATAGAAAAGGCCCCGTCCGGCGCGCGGTACCTTTCTTCTTTGAGGTCATGATCAGGACGTAGAGGACAATTCAGGGATTTGCAGAGCAGGATTATTGAAAGGATGGGACGGCAGAACGGGGGGGTATTTAGTAAGATTGTATGCAAACCCCAGATTTCGATACCCCTGTGAGAGCCTCAGAGAAATGAGCATGGATCTTCAGGGAATATTGCAGTGAAGGCATGGTAACTTTCCACACATTACGGCCACCTACAGTTAGCTCAGCGGGCCATTACTGGTAAGCAATGTAATGCCAGGGCCAAGTCTTGCATTTTTATAACAGCTGCAACAAAATATGATACTAGCCATGCACGTTGTGATGTTGGTTGTTGGCTGATGTCTCGCTTCTTACACCTGATGGTATCGCGGATCAGGCGACGGATGTAAGTGTTTCCGATTTCTTAGGAAATCAATCAGTGTCGGCTCTTCGATAACGCATTTAATTAGACTTTTGATCTAACTGAAATAAAACAATACATTGTTACATATGGTGTGTAGACATTGCATTGTGTAATATTATGTTATTGTTTAAAGATGTTACAGCCAGTTCATAGACGGACCACACACTAGCCTTGCCCTGCTACCACTGTCTGTCCTTATCTTGTTCTGCAACCACAATTTTCCCGTCGTCTAACTAGTAGTTTTCTCTTCTCTCCAACAACAAAAAGCAAATCCGAAGTTATTTCCCTGTTTCCAAGAAGGCCATTTACCCCTGTGAGACTACGGCAGCCTGCATTGCGTAACCACTCGTTGCACTGTTCGCCAACATTTCCACAGTATCAAAAACTTAGCGACATTCGAGCGGATAACATCCATATCGAAAGCAAAGACAATGGCAAAAACATAACTACATCTATTGATCGTATGTTTAAGATCTATGCTGTGTCTTTTCTTTTCCCTTGTTCTTCCTACTGAAGAAGATTTCGTCTGTTCCAAATCCCTGTGCTTGATACGAAATAAAACTAGATATTGGCCCAATCGTTAACACCCTACGCGAGTCCAAACCATTAATCCCATCATTAATTCATCCCAACCTTGATATCCGCATATATATATATACGTAACTGGAGTATAGATAACGACAGCGCAACAAAGGAAAATAAGCGAAGAGGAAATAGTAGAATTGAGAAGCTCCATTCTTAATAGAAGTCAGGCGCTCTGGAGATGTGGATCGAATAGGCCAATTCCGGCCTCTCGGCCTTCGGAAGCGACCGAGAACGCTCAAACTCTTCAATAATAATGTCCAAACACTCCAGCTTGAAGAAACGAAAGTCACTATCTCCATTGCGCAGAGCCGGAGCTGGTAAACCGCGCTGGCGTCCAGGTATCAGCGACTTAAATAACAAGTGAAGACTCCCCGACTCGCGATTCGGAGCTAGAGCGGCTGTCAATTCTTCAAGGGACATGTCGAATATAGACGAAGAAGGCCTCCATATCTCTAAAGACATGCAGTTGGAGATGCTGGATCGTAGTTCAATACGAGACGCCATAAGAGCTTTCGATTGTAATTTGAGATGAGGGTTCCTCCTTGAGTCTGAGACCTTCTGAGAAGCAGCTTGACTAAAATCTACCCCAGGAGCACTGCTCTCCTGAACTGGAGTTGTCTCTTGCGCCGGTGTTGGCTCTTGGATGAGCGCCATATCTCCGACGGGCTCAGGGTGAGGCAGCGTGGGTTGAATTCGAGATTCATCAGCTGTGTGCTCCTGAACCCCGTCGGCGGAGCCTGTGTCAGTAGCTGTAGCGTGACATTCCTCTATGACCGATACAGTAGCTTGAGCTTCTCGCTCAGCGCGTCGAGCAGCTTCTGCTCTTGGTGGTCTCTCGGGCTCGAAAGTCTTTTCCCCTACACTACGACTACCATGACGGGGTAAGGGGCGTTTGAACTGGGAGCCTCTTGTTGGCTGATTTGGTGCCGACCAGTTGCTGTGTTGCGATGACTGCATAGATGAAGACGAAGTCTCATCATACACTGCAACCTCTTCTTCGGGGGCACTATCTAGTCGGGCAGTGCGTTTCCTGGCGCGTTTAGTGGGCAGATGTTGTGGCTGGGAGGACGAAGGTTGTGGAGTAGTGTCATCGTTGAGCTCAGCTGGTCGCTTGCCATTGTTCTGGGCCTGCCATACACATCAGTTTCTGAGAAGGATGTGGATCAATAGATGTACTAACCCTCTGTTCATCCTGCTGCAGGAGGTCGAGAGTGTCGTCAAGGCCGGTGGCCATAGTCTCCTGAGTCGGAGGAGCAAAGTTCTGAATGTTGGGGTCGAAAGGAATGCCAATCATGGCACGGATATGTTCCGAGTTTTCAGGCCCGTTGCTTTCGAACCTCTCGTCGCAAAACGGAGCCATAGGTTGGCCAGCAAAGGGGGCGTGAGTTCTCAACATCATGTCAGGCAAGGAATTTCAGAGGGTGATGGCGAATTACCTACTCGGATACTCCTTGAACAAATGGTGGCATATCATCTAAATATATAGGGTTATCCGCACTCTGGCCCCTGATATCTGGTGTATTGTGTAGTACTCGATGATCAGTGCCGTCAGAGTTATCCTGAGCCTTGATGGGTCTATCGATTGAGTTGGTGGGTTGCGAGAGTAGCTGAGCAGTGGCCACACTTGACGTTTTGTGTCGCTTGTATTCCTTAGCTGTGCGCCAAAAGACCTTGATCATGAGACGGTGTATCCTATTACGGCCATTGTCAGCTATGCTCAAGGCCAAAGGTGTGTGTATTTCGAAGGCATACTTAGCAGAGTCTTTGTGATATCGCAATGGGCGTGATGTGTCAAGGTGGCACCTGTCAGGCCAGTACTCAACCCCCTTTCCTTGAGTATCAAGAAAGTCCCTAGTGATTTCGAGAAGTCCTCTCTTATGAGAAGGATCTGTCCACTTAGTGAGCCTGTACCCGGGGATACCTTCAGTGGATTTGAATTGCTCGATCTGGTGTCGAATGGCTCGCTTGAAGGCAATGTCTTGATCTTGACCTGGATGGCCGTACCCAAGCTCCTTACGCAGGTCTGTAAGGCTGGAAATGGAGGTGGCCTTTGAAGTTTTGAAGATCCTCTCGCCAAACTTGCGAGACTTACCACGGGCTAGAGAGGCCATATCACTGTATGGTGTTGTGAGGTGCAAACTTATTTATCTGAAGAGGATAGGAGGTGTGTGTATGTCATGCTTATGGTCGGTTACGAGTGAAAGCTGGTCGGGCAAGTGGTGGATGGACGCAGTTAAGATTGACGTAGTCAAGACTCGATGGAGTACCAATGAATACCAGTGAGATTTACAAGGGGCATTCATACCAGGTTCAAGGCTGTATTGTCTGCACGGGGAAGGGGCCGCGGAAAGATGAGATGCTTCCGGGAACAGAGTCAGATAGCCTTGGAGTTGACCATCCTCACATCTTACTATGGGATATTTTAGAACATTCAGTTTCTTCTCATATACAAGTACCCGCCTGAGCTTGTATTGAGGGCACGCTTTTGCAGAGTGTCAAGTACTCGATAGTACCATGTTCAACTTTGCCATACTAAACATCAACTAAGTTACATACTGGTCAAATTATCCAGGTTCTCTTTAGGGTTTTACTTATTGCAATAAGTTGATTTGAGAGCCAATATTCATGAGCAGAAAAGTGCAGCGCTCGTTCTTGATACTTCTTGGGCATGAGATGGTTCACAACCAACAACCAACGCGCATAGACAAAAACAGCCATTGCAGGGATTATAAGGGAACTGTACAAACTCCACTTCACCAAAACGCGTCCCATTCTCTTCTCTTCTCTTCTCTCCTTCCTCTCTATTAGCTTCTCTTGCCGCTAATGATGGTGGTTGTGCCCATGATACAGGGCTGAATATACTGCCTTGACAAGCTTCCTGGATGGAATTTCTGGCCAGTTAGAAGCCTCCAGAAACTGGCCATGGCCGATACGGATCATCCTCCCCACTTCATCGTCTTTCTGCAGATGCGTCAGGAGGGTTGAAACGACCAGGCTGGCAAGCTCTCGTTTCCCTACCGCTTTGTCTTTTGCAGCGTTGATGGTGAGCTCACCGCACCCTACGCCCGTCAAGTCGGTCTAATTGCTTTTCCTCCCTTCGGATGGCACAGCACAAGCCAAGATTGGCCTGAGCCGAAGCCAGATACCAGCAACACAGGTTCGTGATAGTGTCCAAGCTTCAGCCCCATCACTGCGCCTGTTTCATTTTGTGCCGTGAAAACTCTTCAAATCAGATCATTTTCATGCTGAGGCAACCTTGATCTTCACCGTATTATGGTTCGCAACGTGAATCTGTAAGGTAGTTCTCTTGTCTGTGGCACCGGCACTGAAGTTCCTGGCCTACAAGGCAGTGAGTGGATGCTATGAATAGACAGTTGAAGGCGTTTGTTAGACAAGCGGAAACACGGCGCGTCCCTAGTTCCATTAGCTCCACAGAGAGTGCTGTAGTTTAATCAGTGTTTAGCGGAGTCTATCACTATCCGTAAGGCGAGTTTGTCTTGAAGGGGAAATAGCCGAGCTGTAACGTCATGTTTCAAAGGAGGAACCATCTTTGCTTTTGTTATTTCTCTTCGTACACTTTTTCTCCCAGCAACGCTTTAGAACGAGATGCTTACGGGGACGGCACACTGACACACAACCTGGGCTGTTTTGGCCCGTGCAATTACCTCATCTCTTTTGGACTGGTCATGGAACATCCCCGCCAAAAGCAAGACTGCTTCATTTTGATCTTGGTTCAACCAGTGACTGTTCCCCGTAACCTGAGAAACGCGTGCTTACCTTATATACACATATAATCGCATTCCTTCCCAGGTCTCTGGGCCCAAAAGGTTTTTCTATCGGCTGGTCTAAACTAAAGGTGCTAAGATATACAAATCTGTTATTACAAAAGTCTGGTACTTGATAAGAAACAAAAAGACAAAGCCACGGAACAGAACCCTGTTGACACGTTCATGCCCGTCTAACCATTACAAGTCGTCAATCCGCCAATTTCCCAAGAATAAAATACAATACCATAAAAACACAAAGAAAGAAGAAAACGAATTTGCACCCATCCATACTAACTAAACTGTACAGTCCACTTCAAATAGAGATGGGCTTATCCGAAAAGTAAATCCAAAACTGTGGTCGCTGCAATACTGGAGTAGATGCAGCACCAGAATGTCGCTGCATAATAGCTCTCAGGCACTCATCTTTGAAGGATTCAAATCCATCTTCGTCACCATTCTCGAATTCTTCATTCAAGTTGGACGTTCGGCCTCTGAGAGACATGTGAAGTGTTCGGCCGTGCCTCAACCCCAACTCCCCAGCCACAGCCGCAAGAGACATGTGGAATAAGAAAGATGAGGGTTTCCAAGACCTGAAGTCAACGCCATTAGCGATGTTGGATCTGATGACTATTTCACGTCCATTCAGTACTTGTCGCTGTATGCCTTCAGGCTCCAGATTCCCGGGGCGGCTGCCTTGTTGTCTCGCAGCACTGGCCTCTGGTCTCGCTGTAGACTCCGCCTCCCGCTCCCGACTTGGCCCAGCTTGAACCGTTGGGGTCTGCCTGACCGGCACATCAGGTAGCTTTCCTTGAGCTTTAGCGGAGAGGCCAGTAGTAGACGTGCCGTGGGCATCTAGTTGTTGGTCTACACCCGCTGCTATGGCTGCTTCTGTAGTCTGCCTTTCAGCCTGGCGAGCTAACTCTGCTCTGATAGCTTCGGTTGGAGACTGGCTTTGTGTTTCCCCAGCTGGAGTTTTTGAGGTGGAATCATTAGTGGTGGCTGAGGGCTGTTTGCTTTGGCTCGCATTACTTCTGCGCTGAGGTCCAACTACAGCTGGGGGAGTTGATGGGGTTGGGGTTGGGTTCTCGGCAGCTTGAATCTGTTCTTCTGTAGCAGCCTCCGTCCGATAGATTGACTTGGTCTGCCGTTGAGAGACTCGGACTCTAGGACGGTGGCTCTGTGTCTTTCTGCCACCTCGAGTGCCTTTTGGAGGCCGACGAGTCGGTTTCGCAGACGTACTCGGGTCTTGTCTGGGGACTTTGGCCTGGCGGTTGCTATCATTGGAGTCTGACTCGACCGGGCGCTTGCCGTTAATCTGTGCCTATGAAAAGATTTAGTCTCGATAGGATGAACTTGATAGAAGGTACTAACAGTTTCAGTGGCCCTTGGCGGGCTCTTAGGCACTTCGTACGGGTCTGTCCTGCACGCACTATCTGCTTCTTCGGGAATAGGCATCATAGTTTCCGCTGTGTCAGGGACTAAAAGAGAAGACGAAAAGGGCTCAGAGCTCGAGCTCTCCTCTGGTGTATCCTGTCGTTGTGTATGGACAGTAAGATTAAGAGACATTCCAAAGGCTGCAAAGTGATCGTCTCTGGGGACCATGTCAGAAAGCCGTACTTCTGATGCGTTGGGGATGTTCTTACGTGGACGGCCCTGATGTGTTGGTTCTGGACTGCATGCTCTCAACATCTATGGGGTTGTCGATACTCTGGCCTTTGAGAATATGCGAGTTATTGAGAACTTGGTGTTTGTCGTCACTCGGCGTGTCCAGGGGCTTTAATGGTGAAGCGTCTCTGTCGCTGGGCTGTGATAGTAGCTTGGTAGAGGTAAAGTTTGAGGGTTTGTATCGCTTGTGCTCTCGGGCTGCACGCCAAAAGACTTTTATCATGAGACGACGTATCCTGTTTGAGTCAGTGATAGCTCATGTCAGGGGAATACTGTATGTTTAGTCCATCTGGGTCTGAGCACTCACCGAGAAGAGTCTTTAGAATACTCAAGACACCTTGTGTTAACAGAGTTGTGCCTCCCAGGCCAGAACTCAGGCCCCTTTCCCTTGGTATCGAGAAAGTCTCTGGTGACCTCTTGGAGTCCTCTTTGGTGAAGAGGCAACCTCCACTTGGTGAGTTTATATGCAGGTAGTTTGGTGCTAGGAGATATAAAAGATTCGATCTGTGTTCGAACAGCCCTCTTAAAGGCGATGTCCTGGTCTTGGCCTGGGTTGCCGTAGCCAAGGGCCTTGCGTAGTTCTGTGAGATGGGGGATAGTGGAGGTTTTTGTAGTTTTGAAGAGCCTGTCAAGGACTTTAGGGGGGCTTCCCTGAGCTTCGACTGGTTCCATGGTGTTGGCAACAGAAACATATATCTTTGAGGCAAACCTGTGCATCCCTTTTATGTGTAGGTAGGTCGCTTTTCAGGTTGGGGACGAATCTTGCCTGATGGACCGGTTGAGAGATTGCCGTATTAGGGATAGGATCACACGCCTTGAATAGCTTGAGCACTCAGTAAAGATCCTACCAATTCATCTGAGGTAAGTTCTAAGCGTCTGGCCCGAGTGGAAGCCAGGTGAGACTGTAATGAGCTTGCGCTTGAACTCTGGCGCAAGCATCCGTAGACCACGGAAGGATAGGGGGGATCCGCGCACCATCTGGGGGACGTAACGAGGCAGATTCGCGATAAATTTGCGTTCAGTTTCAACGAGATCTCAAACATTTTTCCCTGGCTCACAAGTATATGGCTTGTACCAGTTGTGTGGCTCAATTTCTCAGAGTGTAAGTCGCTGGATCAACCCATTCTCAATGCCATTGTATTGAAAGATCAGCTTATCAACAACCACCTCAAATTACTCACAATGCTCAAACTGTTTTAGCCATTTAACTATAATCCATTTTATCTCTTGCACAGTGAGCAGAAAAATCGAGGGTACATTTTGTAACTTGCTCTGTCCAACCAGGCTGTCGCCTTGTTCACAGAACCAACGGCCAACATGCATATACTCGAACCGCAGCAGCAGGGGTATTCTAATAAAAATGTAGAAACTCCACTCCACCATAACAAGCTGAGGGCGCTGTTGCAAAGCATCTTTGCTCTTTTCTCTTCCTTTACCACACCTATGGCCTCTATAGAGGCCTGACAGGGGGGTTGCTAAGAGTTTCGGTCTGCTAAATTACTCAGGACAGTCAGTAATCTGCTATCTCTGGGAAATGTTTCAGCTCGTCCCAGACGAGGTGAGAATGGTACCAATCTTGTCGCCTTGCCACCTTGACAGCTGGCCAAGCTGTCAGTCTTTCGGGCACCATGATGAATTCACCGTCTTTTGTCTCATAAAATCTGCTTGACAGGTTCGTTTTGCTTTTCCCCCGTTGACGTGTCAGAGCGAGGACAAAGGGGTGACCTATTTTGGGCATTGACAAGAGTCGAGATCAACACTGCAAGATGGTTCGGCACGCTTTATCCTATCCTGACAGTCACACATCGCGACTTTCCACTCGCACTTTGTCCTATCCCTACGGTGGTAACGGCCACAAGATCATCTTAACTTGTGAAAACTCTTCAAGTCAGATCATTCTGAAGCATAACATCATCCTGTCTCCGTTGTCGTCATCTGTTACAACAGGCAGCGTGGATCTCCGGAATCTCCAGCTCATAAGGCTATCTATCTAATTTTAGACAGCTGCCAAAAGTGTCTAGAGCTAAGGAGACTCGGCTATTCCCTAGCGAACTCCGCAATAGTAGTTTAAACGTGAGGTAGAGCATTGAGTACCGACTGCAAGGCAACGGGATCTCAAAAGGGAAATCACCGAACTCTGGGGTCGAGACTCTGCCGTGCATCATCTGGTTCCTTGTTCCTGAAGATAAGATACCTAACATTGTTACGCTCCGTCCAAGCTCTTCAGTCATAGGTCTCCCAGCAACCCTCCATAGCAACAAGATGCTATTCGGACTTGTATTTCCTGCCATGCAAACGCAGGTCTTATCTGGCCCGTGCCAAATAATTCATCTCTTTCGTCCTGGTCATGAAACAAGAGGTGCTTCCCAGGTCCTTGGATCAGAGGCTGCAGCTCTGGGGCGCGAACCACTACCAGACGGTACCTTGAGTTGAACGGTACATCAACTTAAATCCTTGTTCAGAAGCATCTGTATCCTCAGCCATCCGGGAATAATATGTCACAGTAAGAATAGCACGGATGGTCGTGCTGCCACCCATTCTTACGTGTTAGTGAGTGGTGTGCATAAGGTGGATAATAGTTATAAAAGGAAACAACTATGTGCATAATTTTGATTGCACAAAACCCTTTTGCTGAGACTGGGAAATATTGCAAGAGGATTCCCTACGTTAGCCAGTGTATGGAATGAGCACACTCCTTTTCTCAATCAAACCAAATGGTTAGTACTGAACTCCCTCCAGACCACATCAATCAATCACACTGATTGTTATTGTAAGATGGACTCACTTACATTAGTCAAGATCCCAAGAGTTTTGACATGCCATTTTCATGTAGTATCTCTAGGGTAGACAGTCGGCATCAATTGAGGAGCACCAGGACACCTAGGAAGACATCCATTACATATGCTCCAATTCTTAATCACCATAAGCCAATACAAGCGAGTCCTAGTCACTTAAAGACTTGGTCATCATTTAGTAGTAGCCAGTCAGAGCTCCCTTCACCTTCAGCCTACAGTCCTTAGTCACACTGCACATCCATTCAGCCGCAGCTATATATACCGACTCATGATCCAAGCCTGGAGAAATGCTCATTTATTACACAGACACAGTGTATACAACATGTCTATAAAATGCCCCATAATAGAAGCGCCTGAAGCTCGATCCACGCCCCGGACAAAAGATGACAATGGCAGCTGGCTATCTGCCGATGGACCATATCTCACTTACGTCAAGCAGAGCTGTAGTCGACAGCCCAATCTCGAGTTACCCGATGGACGGAATCGCGCTATTATGCTGTGCGACAGACAGCATGTTCGAGCGACAGTTCTCGAGTTAAATAGTGAAGGCAAAATGCTGTCGCCCGCGGAATTCCCTCATGTTACACAACTGAGGAATCATTTTTCTCAACTGCGAAAGTTGCGCCAAGATGGTCAAAGTCATCGGATGATCTATCTTGTCGAAGGCTTAAACACAGAAGTTATAGCACTTTTAGGTGACGAACTCCAGGTAGACCCTATGTTCTTTGTCACTCACGAGAGAACGTCGACATATCTGCGATGGCCTTACGAGCCCAATCTAGCACCATGCTTACCTTCACTCATTGACGGGAATCGATCATTTACTGCAAGCTACTACGACATTCGAGCTCTCAGTGAAGAGTTCGGGTCATTCAGCGTAGGATGTGCAGAATCGGGTAGAGACGCTTTGAGGACCAAGCTCGGCAAGGATTGGGAGCCTACAGTTATCCTTCACAGAAAATGTTCATTCTGGAAAACAACATTTTCCAATCAAAATGACTGGAGTGGTAAGTTACTATTATCATAGTCTTAAGAATAGTCAAATTGATATTCTGTAGTTTTAATCCTCTGTGATCCACCCTTTCGAAAAGCTCATATATGGCATAAACCACAGCCAAAATCTGAGACGTGGTCACTCAAGACTATAGAATTTTCTGCACCTCCGTTTCAAGGAGGATATGCAGATTTTATCCCCAGTCCCTGGACTGTACGGAGCAGAACATCAGGACCTTCACGAGAATGTCTATATGACGACTTGCTTCACTACTACACCGAATGCTACAATGACATATCTGCCAGGCAAGCAGCTCAGCTAGACATCACTGTTTTCGTGAGGAAGATCATAGCGTCTCATTATATGCTTTTGATCGAATACCACGATGCGCTTCTATCGACAATGGCATTTCCCTTGCAGCGAAAAGACAATTTTGCATCTGTTCAGACAACATCTCTCGAAGCATCATGGAGCAATATCCAACTTTTATGCAGTCGACTCAGCAGATATATCAAGGATGTTTCACAAATAATGCTACAGTTACACATCAGATTTGACGATCCCGTAGTTCCAACCGATTACACACAGTGGACAGAAAGCGAGTCAGATTTCCAGTACATTTATATGAGATTGCAGTCTCTCAGACAAAGAGCAGAGTTTCTAAGCGAGTCGCTTACTGGAGTGACGGGTATCAATGGAGCTGCAAGGTCTATTCGCGAAGCAAAGACCATCAAGACGTTTACTATCGTAGCGCTCATTTTTATTCCTTTGTCATTCTCTACGAGTCTGTTTAGCATGTCTGAGCGGTATTTACCTGGCGAGAAGAACTTTGGGGTCTTTTTTAGTGTGTCGTTACCACTTTTGGTCTTCATTTTTGCCGTCATACTATTATTTGATCTGGGATATGATGAGAATAGTAGTTGGACGTTCAAGACATTTACAACCAGAATATGGAGGTTGTTATTCTAAGCATGTTGCGAATAAACAAACACTGTCAGATCTCATCATCTACATACATATCCTCACCGTCCTCTCTTCCCTCTCCATACAAAACCTCACAAACACCTGCCAGCGGAATATCCATCACCGCATCCGTTCCCTCACTCCAAATCTCCCTCCATCTCAATCTCCCATCTCCATGCACCTTTCTCTCCCTATTACGACTCCCCCTCAATCTTCCCTTCGCATCGATCTCCGCCAACTTTCCCGCCCCATCAACGACAGTCTCAACACTCGATAGTGGCACCGTCAACATCTCTGTGTTGAACGCAGCGAGAGCTACGTAGATGTACACCACTGTCATGACGATAAAAGCCGGTATGGCGAGCGCCCACCATCGGTTGGGATAGTAGTATATCCCCAGGGCGTGCAGAAATGGCGAAGGGAGATAGCCCCATAGGAGGTAAATGAGGAATGTCAGACTGCTGAAGAGATACAGCACAAAGCCGTAGTATTCGTACGTCGGCACCTTTGGCGCGGCTCTAGGTACAGGCGCGATTGCATCGTCATCAGATGCGTCTGGTGTTGTTGGCCGTGAAGGGCGTAGAAGAGATGTGAGTGAGGGCGAAGGGGGCAAAGGCGTTGGAGGTCGCCCATAAAATGGAGGCGCAAACAGATTCTGCGACAATTGTCGTGGGGGAGAATCTTCGTCTTCTCCGGACGAACTGGCCGATTGAGCGTCTGAGAGGATATCGTCCTCGTCATCTGAGCTGAGTGACATGTTGATTGTGATTTGTCTGTTTCTGTACGAACAAGACTGTAGTTTGAAGTGTCAAAAGTTGAGGTCCAGGGCAATGTGACAACGTCACTCAGTTGAGTTTAGGCCAGGTACCCGCTACAACGGGGCTGTTCTAGTGCCTCGTCTGGCACGTTCAAGCTTCCAGAAAGCTTATCTGCACCACCTTAAAAGTCATGAAGCAATTGAACTGGACTGAACTGAAAAGAACAATAACAACAAGACTACTAAATTTTTTATGATCTGGGTTGTTTATTTATTAGATCTGATTGCTTCCACTATCTCATCAGAATAATACCCAGTATCCATGTACCCATGGCTACCACTCGACCACTCTCCTTTCCGCTACCCTCACTCTGATTAAGCTATATCCAAGAGTCATCATCATTAATCCACATCTTTAATATCTAACTAGGTCATACACTTTGTACAAAAGAGCCCTCTCTTGAAGAAAACTTTAGTCTCACCCATCAATAGGGCATCTATACTCTCTCTCAACAACACCCACCACTCCATTCTGCTGCCTTTCCTGCAACTCATCGAGACAGCTCTGGTGATAAATGTGCCGGCAAGCCAATACTACCAAAGGCCCCATAGGCTTGTCCTTATTACTGCCCACGCCGCTGTTGGCGTTGGTCTCGATGAGCATGCTCGACGGTCTCGTGTCGACTCCCTTACCCTTAGCCTTGAGATCCGTTTCGCCATCATCTCCCTTGGCACGCTCCGCTGCGTTGGCTTGCCTTTCTTTCCTTCTCTTTTCTTCAACAGCCTGTTTATCCTCCCACGCCTCGAAAACTGCTGTTCCAGCGACTCCAGGTCCCCACACTCTTCGGCTGCATGCTTCACACGTTGATCCTCTTGGTCGCCATCCCCTTTGACGAAGCTCGACTGATTGATTGACGTTGACAAATAGACTGCGCTCCAACAGACGATTCGATAGCTTGAGGATTGACTCCTCATACGCATACGCCGAGAAGATGGACGCTAGTACACCTCGAAGATCTGCCAGGTTTGGTGATGACGCAGCCGCTTGTGTCAAGAACGCCCTGAGAATGCGCAGAAAAGACAGGCTGGAACCGGCATTTGATAGCAGCTTCGACCCCGACTGAGATGTCGTCTGGCTGGATGTCGTTGTAAGCAGCGCCGTGAATGTGTGCTGAACCAGCGAGCGAAGAAGAGCCACTAGCTTCTCCTCATCAAACTCGTCGTCACTGATATTCTGCTCAGCAGCAGCGCTGAGAGCAGGTGACAGTTTCTTGGTGATTTGCACACATGCATCGATCAGACTCAGCCATAAAGCCTCGTCCGGTGACAGTGCCTCAGTTGCCGTTTTTGGAGCCTTCTGGACCAATTTTGACTTCTTAGTCGAAGATTTGGTCTGGCCTTGACATAACCATATGCCAACATGAACATATTTCTGAAGAGCTTCGAGAAGACCCTCAGCGGCGTACCCAAGGCTTGGTCCTGAATGCTGTTCCTCAGCGCCTGTCAATAGTCCATGCATTGCGGACTCCAAGGTCTTGAGATGCTTGACAAGTCGTTCCATAGCGTCCTTGACTTGGCCTTCCCGAGCCATCAACACAACGGCCGCATCAATCACACCAGTCTCCTCCATCGTTGGCAGCAGCTTTTCAAGCCTCAAGTCAGTTGACTGCACAAGACCAACGTAATCAGATACATGGGACGGCTCAAATTTGCACATGAGCTGCACATAACGTTCGACCAAGTCACGAGCGGCCACCAATTTATCATCTGCTGTTGGCTCCTCTGGCTCCAGCAATGTCTTGAGATATGTGTGCTGTAGGTCTGGTGCATCCTCGGCAGAGTCAATCATGTGCTGATGTAGCTCCAAGCCTTGCTCTGCTAGAGTCTTCGCAGTTAATGCGGCATCAAGCTCAAGTAGTCTTCGTGCATGCTCCTTAACGACAGTGAGCACTTCCTGAATCTGACGTCTAGTCAGCCCTGTCTGAGGTCGCAGGCATTCGCGAAGGCAGTCGAAAACCAGCTCTTGGTCTTCCGGGTCCTCAAAATACGTCTGGGCAAGATTTCCATATTGCTTATCCGTCTTGTATATGCGCTTCAGGATACGATAGAACCCTGCCTTCTTGAACAAAGGCATCAACTCAGGCATGTCTGACGGGTGATAGACAGAGAGTAGATATTCAGCGCTGAGCTGTGCATCCTCAGCCAAGTCGAGGCCTGGATAATTGCACAGACCAGTCAAGACGCGCGAGAGTGTTGTGCCTGAAAAGAGAAGGTATTGTGGGAACTTTGGAAGGTTCCGCGCAATAAACATGTCGAGGTAGATGGTATCCTCAGGGGCAAAGTCGTTTGGGTTCATGACGTCCAGTAAGATAGAGAGAACATATTGCCGGTTTATGGTTTGTCCAAAGATCTGTTCTTCCGGCATGTCTCCCTTAGAACCGTTCATGTGCTGATCGGTGGAGTCATTCAGGAAAGGGTCCTCGAATGCCTCGTTCAACGCGCTCAGAAAGCTAGGGGCATCCAGTTTGAGAATCATGCGAAGGTAGGGAAACGATGGCTGCGACTCAGAGTTGGGGATGGTACGGAACTCGTTCTCACTGCCTTTGGGCCAGGTAATAGTTCTTCCGGAAAAGAAAAACCAGTAAATCTCAGATTTAGCTTTGGTTGCCATCTCTTCACTCATCGCTTCATCGTTTGGATACACCCTGCCAGTCAGTGTATAAGACAAATATGGGAAAATCTTGAAGGCGTTGATGCTGAAGAAGTCATCTGCTGGATTGTTTGCCGTGAAGTCCCCATCAACCATGAGGGGTATCAACAGAGACAGAAGATCAATCATAGGAGTGATATAGTCACCAAGTGCCTGGTTCCAGACGTAGATCAGAGCATCGTACAAGCTGTGTTGCTTACACAGCAATGTTATCTGGTCAAGGTCCAGTGTCGCTGTCTCCATGTGGCAGATCATTTCCTCAAGCCTGCTCTCCCATCCTCGACTGACGTAGTGCTGGACCAAATCTTTCACAACAGTTGGAGGCACCATCGTGATGGTCTTCTCGAGGATATATGGTTCGAGACACTCAAGAAAGATACCTCCAATATCAGCATCTTCGTACCAGTCATACATGTCCTCAAAAAGGAAGTCCTGGTTGTCGACGGCTTGACAAGCTGTGAAACAGGTCTCTGCTAATTGCTTCATGTGCTCATCGTCGTAGCTCTCGGGATCCTTCTGACGCTGACCAAAAGCATACTTCAAAGAGGCACTGATGATCTCCATAATCTTGTCACGAACCATAGTGTGACGCAATGAAGGATCTTCCGGCAATCCAACGGTGAGCTTGTCTGCATCGCCAGTATAGTAAGAAGTGGCGAGCTGGATAGCGCCCAGGTAGTCGCCATTTTCCATCATAGCAATAAGTCTGTCGGCCCAGTTTGACAATGCGCCAATTGAAACTTCATTAAAGCCAAGGATAAATATCCTCCCCTTGTACGCTTTGAAGCTCATGTAGAAAGCATCAGCTACAACGCCATGCATAGAGGAATCGTTCTCATCAAGCTGCTCCACGAGAGTGTGCAGCTGCTCTGAGAACAGGTCTGCATGGTATATGTACTTTTGCACAAGATCGAAGCCCTCTGTCATGCGCATGCTCCTGTCTTCAAGTACGATCATTCTTTGAGATATCGTAAGCACGGCTAGTACTGAACGGCTGAGCCATTGCACAGCAACAATCGCTTCTTCGCACTTCCACCTGCTTCGTGCCTTGAATCTGTACGATGCAGGCTGGTCCTTGTCTTCACGGGGATACTCGTCTACATCCAGCACTGTCAAGATATTGGACCAGCAGTACGCAAGCTTCACCTTCGAAATATCGCTGCCGGTTTGAGGGTCAGGAACCTTCAGCTTCACTGCTGGGAACCATGCCAAACAGCCTGTCATCGCGCTGTGAGGGGGAACATCCTTAGGTCGCGCCGACTTGTGTTGAGTCTGTGCCACTGGTGTAGTTGACACAATAACAAGAAGATATGGCGTCAGCATAGCTGTTAACCCGAGAGTGTCTGTTGAGCACTCAACATTGCCAAGGGGTAGAGGTGCGAAGGCAAGAACGGTGCTAGGCTTGACCGTCTTCCCTGGAGGCATTGGCGCATCCGGATATCGACCAAGAATCCGATGGGTTTTCACGGTTCGTCCGAGTGCACCGGTTCCTCTAGTCGCTAGATGCGAGAAAGCCATGCCCTTGTTATCAGCTGAAACAAGGGCTGTATGGCGGGTTCCCAGGAACCCAAGGTGAGTGATAGCAACGTCAGGGACATGTCCATCTGCCGTGCGATTTTGGAGCTGCAATGGCTCCAAATGTGGTATTGTTAGAAAAGGTCTCGAGGCACGGCCTGTATCCCAGGTAAAGATGTTTCCACTCGCATGTCCTCCTGCAATTGTAGTATGATCTGCGGATATCGCTATAGCGGTGATTGGTCCAGATTCGACAGCTAAACCATGTCAGTTTCATGCAGCGCAGCGAACAGATTGTAACCTACCTTTTGTCCCTGGACCAATAATCATTTTGAGATTTTGGTTATAATCGAACACTAATATTATACCCTTCGACGTTCCAAGCACTATCGTTGCTGATACAGCAAGGCAAGTTGGGGAACCAAAGTTTCGTTTCCCTGCCTCAGAGAATGCATGACCATTAAGCTTCCGTAACTTTGTCCAACGAACCACCTCCCATGGCGGCGTGGGTGTTTCTAGATCGGCTTGGTCGAGGAGGAATTGCGAGCTTAAAGAGACATTACGGCTATGGCTGGAAAGAAAAGGAAATGCCGGAGACGACGAGCGAGGTGTATTGATTGCCGAGGAGGAGATTCGCGACTGAAATCGGCGATCGAAAGGTCGGAAAGATGGTGAGGGACTGCTCAGGCCAGGACGAGAGGCTACAGATGGGAGAACGCTGCTTCCAGGAGAGGAGACAAATGATCCCTGCGGTAGGTTAGAATATGGCTCGAGATCCTGGAATTGGTGCTCCTACTTGAATAGATGGTGTATCGTCAGGTCCCGACAAGACCGAATCTATCGGGCTACCAGCACGCTTTGGTAGACCATGCAAAGAGCTTCCACCCAAAGAGCTCACATCCGAGCTATCTTGATGTTGCTGCTGCATGATCTCGCGATATCTATTCGTAACGGATCCGTTTCCTATTGGAACCGGTGTAAGATGACGGTCGGGCCCGTCACTGTCCTCCAGTAAACCATCATTACTGGCATCAGCATCAGCATCCACATCGGTACCAGCTAACGTAGGCGCATCATTTATCGTGTCGCCATTGTCCAAGCCCACGTCTCCCGCGAGCGACAAATCTTCTGAATCGGCCATTGCGCTCTGGATTCCATCACTGCATGCGCAAGCACTACCGCGTCGAGATCATGGCACTGTGGGAGTAAAAGCTGCAGATTGGCGATAAGGCAACACTGTTTATGGAGCTCGGTCAAGGTATAAGATGAACCAGGTCGGAGGGGCAACGAAAAAACGTGGAAAAGTTGCCTTTTCTGGTATGATTAGACTTTCGAACGCCTTCGGATGCTTTGGCTCTTTACGGATCGATTCGCGTTGCAAAAGACGGGAATTAAAAAGGTATTGCACAAATGAAGCTATGGTGAGCTACGTAGGTAGGTCAGTAGTTCGTTCGTTACGCAGCCCCATCTTTTGGAGGTTGGCAGCGGCGCAGCGAATGCCCATGCCAAGCCCCAGCCCACTCCAGGTCCAGGTGCGGGCCGTTGGATTCTCCGGACTGCGCTGTGACGTCTGTTATCGATGGGACGTCGCATTCGCGACAAGAAGTTCCACCTTGAATCGAAGCTTTAAATGCTACACCCCTCGCAATATACAGACTGAAACACTGGAACAGAACGCCATTCACAAATCATACTCGAAATGTCTTCGATTGGGCCTCAATTACCGCCGCACCTATCGAAACGGAAGCGCACACCCGATGATGAAGCCTCAAACTCCAGCAAACACCGTCGCAGCGAATCTCCAGCAAAGAATACAGATGAGATTGACCTAGAAGACTCGGACGATGATTATGGTCCCAGCGCACCTTTACCGCCCAAAGCACCCGTCGGCCCAGCTTTACCGGCATCGAATAAGGACGAGATAGATCTCGAGTCTGATTCCGAATCTGATACAGGCCCAGCACCACCAAAGCCCACCGTTGGGCCTGCGCCACCTCCCGCCGATATTTCGCAACGCCCAGCAACATCTCCCGACTCAGATTCAGACTCCGAAGATGACTACGGCCCTGCACTACCAGGCTCAGTCAAAGCGAACAAACCCACGATAGGGCCACAGCTTCCATCCGCTGAACCAGCACCCCAGCGCGACTCGTGGATGCTTGCGCCCCCCACAGCATCGGGCTACTCAGAGCGCGACCCAACCAAGATGCGCAATCGTAAATTCGCTTCCAAGCCAGCGTCGTCTTCTGGTCCCTCGACTGTATCGACAATATGGACTGAAACCCCTGAAGAGAAGCTGAAGAGACTGCAAGACTCGGTACTAGGACGCGCCGACAAGAATACAGACACAGCACCGAAGTCAGGGAAGTCTCAGGAAGAGGAAGAACGGAATCGTAGAATTGCAGCAAATATTGAATCGCAGCGAGGTAAAAGTCTATACGCAGAGCATCAGGGGCGAAGAGAAAAGGAAGGTAAAAGGGTTGAGGAGGAGGAGGATGATCCCAGTAAGCGGGGATTTGACCGAGAAAAGGATATGGCTCTGGGCGGAAAGATCGGCACGGCGCAAAGGAGAGAGTTGATGAACAAAGCTGCTGATTTTGGTGGCAGGTTTTCAAAGGGATCTTTCCTCTAGCATGTGGACGATAGATCTCTGGGATTCTAAGACAAGAAACTAGATTAAGACTTCTTCTTCTTCTTCTTCTTCTTTTTTTTTTTTTTTTTGAAATGAAACTCATAAAGCACAGCTTTTCGACCAACTTTCTACATCAATCACCTACCAATAGTAGATAATTGAATCATTCAAAATCTAGGAATAGCTTCAAAGCGTTTCTAAGATGAAAAACGGCTAGCCATATTCACCAATCAGAGACGGTGTTTCAATTAATACAAGTTACCTATGGCTTAGCCTTTATTTCTATTATTCACCGTCCCTAGGTACCTAGTCAGGAGCAAAGTGTGTATGCAGATGGAACAAATATTCTATTGCGCCATCTAACTATCAAAGACCCAGAACCCATAAACTCCGCCGCTCCGTTCCCGTCCAGCTAAAAGCCATGTTTTCTAGCCCAATGCAAATACAATAGCTGTCTTACAGATAGACAATCCCCAGAGAGTAATGGTGATTCCTCCCTTCGCACTACCTACGCCATCATTGCCTTTATGGCCTGCGAAGCATGATACGACCACGCACGCCGCCTCAGGGGTATATATAGCTCGCCGAGCCTATACGTCCGTCCTCACCCTCACCCGGATATACACCTCACCGACCTGCTGTCGCCCCACGTATATGTCATGCGGTATAAAATAAATGCTGTGTCGTCAAAAGTCAATTCCTTTATGTTGTCGAGATTCGTGACGGTTGTGCCCAGCACCTCATGCTGGGGAAAAATGAGAGAAAACCATCGCTAAAAAACAGTCGCGTACTTTACGTAAGAATAAAAGTCAGGTACACATCATTACGTGGCAGCAGGTGTGCGGTTCGCCGCTTCAAGTTGTGATGGTGTTACAGTCTCAGAACCATTCTGGTTATCTTGTGCTTGTCGCCTTCGACCGAAACGCAGAGCACCTCGAACAGACGACAAGACACCACCATTTGATGTTTGAGTAACTTCTGGTGTTTGGTGAGCCTGTTCCGGCTGTTGGACAGGCTCCTGCTCAGCTGCGGCGTCTCCCGTCCGACGTCGACGACTGGCGGGGGCCGGAGTTTCGTTGCGGCCATTGCGGGGACCCCTGATCCATGCAGAGCGGATCGCAGCAGGGAGACCAAAGCGTGGGTTATTCCGAGGATCAAAGCTTGAACCGTTGTTGGCACCAGCTTCGTTGGCAGCGTCAGGAGCCGGCCGAGGCTTAGGAACATAGTAGTCGGCCTTGCAAAGCGGGCAGCAAGCTCGTCGACTTGTCAGCCAAGGGTCAACACAGACGGCATGGAAAGCATGGCCGCAAGTCAATCCGCGAACGTCGTCATCGTCTTCCAGTGTGTCAATGCAAATAGCACATGTATCACCCGGGTTCTCGAGGCACTCGGGTGGCAGAGCGCCATCAATGTGGTCATCCTCATCGTCGGTCTCCTCACTAGAGATTCGCTGAAGTCGGTTGTTGTTTGCTGTCTGTTCGGTTGAGGTTTGGCCTTCGGTTGTCTTAGGTGTTTCCTTTGGCTTCTCAGTCTCGGGCACAACAGCTGTGGCGGCAATTTCGGGTGCCGATGTTTCGGTGGCATTGCTTGCTCCCGTTGTCTCTCCCTGTCCATTCGTCTTTGGTACGGTGGTCGCCGGTTGCTCGTCGGTCGAATCGCGTACCTTTGCTGAAAAGTCTGGCACAATTCCATCCGCCTCTCGAATACTGTTAGGTCGAGTAGGAGGTGCAGAAACGCCACCGGTTGTAGGAAGACCCTCCTTTGCGCGATCGGAAACCCATGTTTTGTACTTCATCATCGGGAACTTGTCGTTGACTTCGTCCATAGTCATCAACTTCTTCTCGCGGCGTCTGCGATGAGGTCGAGGCATGTTTTCAAGGGTGATAGGCTCGCCATCTTCATTCATTCGCATTTGTCGATTTCGAGCGTTATAACGGAAGCAGTATTTAACACCAACGATGATCCTGAGATAGTCTGTTAGAGCCTTTTCAAGATATGGCCCAGCCATCGCCATTGGACGAGACCAGATGTGAATGTGTAAGCCAAGTCTCACCATAAGTTTGTAAAGACAACACCGAAACCTAAAGCAACAAAGAAGAGAAGAGGCGAGTTCGACCCGCCTCCGTTGTCTTTCTTCTCATTTCCGCTGTCTGTCGTCTCGGCAGCTGCGTGAGAGGTCGTCGATGAGGGATCTTCCGCGGCGGCAGCGCGAATGACGACATGAGTGACCTCGGTCAGAATTTGATTAACGGCGACCATGTTTGCTTTCGGGCAAATGCCAGAATAAATGCTGAGCAGTGAGGCTGGCTCGAATTAACTCGCGGGCTTCCGTGCGGGTACCATGGACCGTTCAAGAACAAACGCTCGCAAATGCAGGGCGGCAAATAATGCACGGGCAAAGGCAATTAAAGTTAATAATTGCCAACCCTCAGCAATCGCCCTCTGAATGCAGAAAATGCGATGTCTGTGATATGAATCTCCCTTTCTTCACAGAAGAAGGAGAAGATACTCGACTTGAAGTGAGTAGTTGATGAGGTGAGAATAGCCGGGAGGGCGAAGGTGGAGTGGCAGAACAGGCAAGGCAAGGCAAAGCAAGAGAAGAGACAGATCCAACGGCAGGTGCGAAAGTGGCCGCGTAAAGGATAAAAAGAGAAGGAAGGAGCCCAAAGGAATGGGGGACGGGGCGAGCGAAACCGGGCCGGGGGGCCAGCGACAGATGATGATTGGCTGTGTCTATCTAGTGGGTGGAGCTCAAGCCGTGAGGGGCACTGTGAGCCGGTACCTCTATAGTTGCAAAACTTAGACCACTTTGAGGGCTAGAGGCTAAAAAGACACGGCGCGGGCTGGAGAAATCCTGGAGAGGCCCTGGCTACTGCTCTACGCTGGAGCTAGTGGAGGTGGAGAGAACTGGACCTGCTGAAAGAGGGAGGCCGCTGCCGGTTCCAATTGGAGTAGAGGCCTTGACAGGGGGATTCAGCGGGTGGAACTGACGGGGTGATTTGTCTGTGGCTGGAACGTCGATTGAGTGAGTTGGTGTGCTGAGTTTTGAGTGCGAGGTTGGCGGTTTGGGGGTGATGGGGGGAGGTGGTTGGTCGGAAAGATTGCCCGTTTAGAGGATTACGAGACGTTCGATAGATATCGCGTGTAATTGTTTGAGTTGAAGATCCTCAACGGATGTGAGTTAAATGAGCATAGACTTGGCCTGAATCAAGACGTGCGACAAATTGAAGAGATGAATGAGGTAGGTGATGATAACCACGAGATAATGAGTAAATGGCGTGTCAAAGCTCAAAAGTCATTGGGATACCGGTATTTAAGAGGAACTGTATGTCCGAAAATGTCATGATCGATTAGATCTATAAGGGTCCAGAGGTCAACGGAGGCATCCGTTAAACCTTGCCTTGTTGCATTTACAATACAATAAGCGGTTTTGTTCCGTATTCGCGGGCGTATTTAACGCAATACGCTTGCTTCACTCTGGCGCTCAAATCCGTGATCCGTGGCGCAGTCCGCGGGGGGACGATGAAGATAGAAGCGCAGTAAGTGGATATCACAGAGTGTCATTCAAGCGCACGGGGACTCTGACCAGGGGTTACTCTGAGCTGTTGGGCTTTGTTCATTTTTGGGAATCTTGATTAGACTTTTCTTGTCTTATGAGACAGGGCAGGTTTCTGAGACGGGATGAACAAGATTAACCACTACCAAGAGTCTGGAAGCCTGGTTACAATTGACAGATCCGACTCACGTTACGGTTTCACTTTAAGTATCCTGTCAGCTCTACTCAAGTCTAAATCAACTCCAGATGCAGTCATCTCACTGTAGTTCACTGCCGATAACAATTTCAACAGTTACCAAATATTAAACTTCGCCACAGTAACATGCCGTTCGCAAATTTCCGAGTCACCGGTTTGCGCCGTTGAAGCGTTATAGGGTACTGGCTTTGGCCGCTCAGAAGGCTTTGTTTATTTATTTATCCTTTTTTGCTTGCTTTTGAAGGCCCAAAACTTTGGCCGGATATTGACAAGCATCACAGCGCTTCCTACCGAAACAGCTCCACTTGTTGCCGACTTAATTCGTCTCAGCCCGGCCCGCATCACGGAGCTCCTTGTTTCTGAGCCGCTCCACTAAGATCGTCATCGGCAAAAAAAAGGATAGTAATAAATGCGAAAATGTTTAAAGAAATCCCTCTTTGAAAGGTTTCGAGGTAATATAAGACCAAAAAAAAGGGGGGCAAGGTTGTTGACAGGTGATGATGTTGAGACTGTCAGCTGTGGCCTCGGCCTAGGTGGTCTAGACAAGCGGCACAGCTCAGCCGTTCACATACGATAAGTAGGGGACGCATTCAATATCTTGGCCTCACTGTGGCTGAAAGTGCACATAGAGTTCATGTGCCTGCGTATTGATGGTGAAATACGCTGTGGCTCTATGCATAAGCCCAGGTTTTACGGTGAATCCGGTAATGTCCATTCGCCTGTAGCTTATTCTCATGAAAAACAACAACTCGATTCGAATGACGATGTTCCTGCAGTAGGGAAGTGCCATTGTACGACACAACCCTCGATCGAATGGCTCTCATGCAATCGTCAACCCATCACAGGCCTCCAATGCAGGCCTCGGGTGACAGCTGTCTCAAGACTGGGGATACGGCAATCTTTAAACAAACAAGAGAATATCAAAACAAAGCAGTTTGATAATACGACAAGACTTATTGAAGCAACCTCCAGCGATGCTGAAACACTTCAAGATGCACAACACCAAGAGAGAAAGTCGACGTGTACACTACAGTGCATCACGTTAAGCTCTCACACGGCTCCCTAGCGTCGATTTGACTTGTGTGGGTTGTGCCTTTGGGATGGTCTTACAGGGATAATGTGCTGCACCCCATCCTCTCTGGCGGGTCTTGGCTTACTGGCTATCGTCTTGGCTTGTGGCGATTGGATCCTAAATGCCTCGCTGTGATGCATTAACGCTCTGACAGGAAGAAGGTCAGCGGGGTTTGAGCCTCAAACAACCGGAATCTGCGGGAGGCTCGGCTGCAACGGGTTCGTTGGTCCTTTTTTTTTTTTTTTTTTACCTCAATATTCAATCGTTGAAGAAGTTTCTTGTGTCCTCGTGCCTCATGCCTCGTCATGGTTTATCAGGTCATTGCTTCGTGTGTGTTCCGCGCATCCCGGTAGTTGGTGCTTGATTCATGATGGGGCTATGACGCAGTCACTGAAACGTAAAAAAAAAACATGCCTCGAGACAGTTGTGAATATCTTTGTCTAGGGGAGGCAAGATAACTGAGGACCTTTATACCAAGTGACAAATATAACTAATCTAAAGCCCCTCTAAGCTTATACTAAACTTACCTAAATCTTTTTGTCACTTAGAGCAGAGGTCCTAAGTTTTTTTGCTCCCTTGAGGCTTGTCAGACACCAAGGCAAAAGCCAAAGATCCACGTAAGATCTTCGCTGGTTAACGTTACTTGCTAAAACCCAGAACTCCCCAGCCTCAGAGAAGAATCAACTACCGAGATGGGGGGATGTCGTCGTCAACACCAGGCTGTGCAGATATATCCCATGTAAATGCATTCAATTCTGTTAAGGTGAATTACAAATACCAGAGTCTATGATGTCTACACCATGAGGCTATGTTGTCTTGGCTCTCGATCTTAACATCGACCGCATAGCAATCGCCATCACTGATATGCTTGTCAAATCATACTGATATGCTCAAAACCTCACTGTCAGTGTCTCTCCAATCCTTCCCACTTGTGTCAAATCACGGATGGATGGACCCTGACTCTTGCTGCACGAGCATCGATATCCTTAGTCAGACGTTTTGACGATCAGAACGTTCCCATCGGTTTGGCTTGTTCGGAAGCTTTTGACGAGATGCACACTAAATTGCATGTGCTTTGACGAATCAGTGGTGAGCCCAGGTAGACTTCAGCCATAGATCTTAGGGTAACGGCAAGGCCGTTACTGGCTTTCCAAGATCCTGGGTGATGCTTAGCTTGAGAAATATTGATACAGAAGTCTGAGTTGTGATACTCTGAAATTGTTAGAGCCTGAGGTCTATGAATCAGATAGACACATCAGACATCAGAGAAGGTCGTTCAATCTGAAGTATCTACATTAATCCATGAATCCATTTCACTACCCCTCAGCTGTCGTAACTCTTTCACTTGGCTTTGGCTTGGCTCTGGCGTGCCCAGAAGGCCTCGAATGGCTTCATAGACCTGAACCCCGGATGCCACCCCCGCTTTCCTTAGTTGATGGCCTGGTCGAGATGCATCATGGGGTACTTTAGCGGAGGTGGTGGTGTTAGATCTGGATCCGAAGCCAAAGACGTACGATACTCCTAAAAATGAATATTTTCAATACTTTATCCTGCCTCAGTCTTGACCGCTGCAGTCGTGAAACGGATTTACCTAAAGAATAACCTGGAAGTATTAGCAATAATAGAAACTGAAAGAGCCTGGTTGAGCACCTTATCGTTCCTTCTCAAGTTGATCAACCAATCATAGATCCCCAACCTTCCTCCACACTGCCTTCCTAATTGGGACCTTAGACAGCTCCACACTAAAACACAGCAAGAAACAGGCCGCCCGATTAACGCTGCATTTCACACCGTCTAAAACATCTTGACAAAAACGTATAAACAACTTCGACTAATCACACAATCCCTCAAAATGCCTCCTACAAAGCTCCCCGAGTCTGGAAACCCTCTGTAAGTCCCGCCAAACCTCTCAGAATAGAGTGGCGGTGCATTATACTTCTACCCTGGTGATTCGAGGTGGAGAGACGATGCACCTCGCAGCGCAGTTTTGAGTCAGCTCCCCAATAGAAGAGGGTGTGTGTGGGCTGACCTTTGCCTGGTTGTTTATAGTGTCTTTCTTGACATTACTCTCGGAGGTTAGTCTTCCCGTGTGCTCTCCGAAGACGGAGCATATCACTGCCGAAAGTGAGGCTATTCCCAGTGATCTGCGGAACTGGCCACGATGACCCTGTCGATATCATTGTTGACTACGGGCACTCAATCAATGTTCTCCATTCAAACTGACAATATTAGGTGAACCTCTTGGCCGCATCCAGATCGAACTCTTTAAGGATGTCGTACCAAAGACAGCTGAGAACTTCCGCCAGTTCTGCACCGGCGAGAGCAAGAACAGTGCCGGCCGTCCTCAGGGTTACAAGGGCTCCAAGTTCCACCGCATAGTGAGTTTCGTATCTCCGATGACAGGTGCAACCATGGACTAACTTGAGGAACAGATCCCAAACTTCATGTGCCAAGGTGGTGACTTTCTCAATAACGATGGTTCAGGATCGACCTGCATTTGGGGCTACAAGAACTTTGAAGACGAGAACTTCACTCTCAAGCATGATCAGCCTGGCCTCCTATCGATGGCTGTGCGTGACATAACCCCTGCTTCCATGAAATTGCCACTGACAGATTAATAGAACGCTGGACCTAATACCAATGGTTCCCAATTCTTCATCACAACTGTTCCCACACCTTTCCTCGATAACAAGCATGTCGTCTTTGGCAAGGTCGTCGACGGCATGGACGTGGTAAAGAAGATGGAGGCTACCAAAACTGGCTATGCTGCCCCGGATAGACCGAACCTCGACGTAGTCATCTCCCAGTGTGGTGAAATGTAAACGTTCATGGTGTTGCTGGCTTTGTGGAGTGTCTCTTGTTGGAAGACACAAGGAGATACGGGACTGTAAAACACGATCTGGTGCTGGGGAAGCCGAGATCTGGATCAGTAGAGATACCATCCCGAATACACATCTCGATGTGCCCCTAGCTCGGCGCTTTTCATGTCTTGCTTTGTTACACTCGTGTCTCTCGAGGTAAATTATATGCAGCTTGTATCACAAATCATGGCTCGGCATCTGATATCATCCTCCGTATACCAGAAGTTGGGTCTTGAGAATCCTAAGACATAGAAAGTGTAGGAATTCATGGACATCATTCCAAACTATCTGCCATGAAACGATTAGTTACACGACCGAGTTGACGATATGCTGGTGAGCCAGCTTCAAAACCTCCCGGAATGACTCTCACCACACCGTGTCAGAGTGAATGCCGAGATGATCATATTACAGTCCACGTTAACACATTCACAAGCACAACAAACACGTTTCACTTCACTAAACACAGAAATCGATGCGAACTGTTATGGAATTTTTATCTTAAACTTTGATTCCTTAGATTCCCACGTACCCATCGCCCACCGGCAAAGCACCCAACCAAAAGCAAAATCATAACGCTGCATTAAATCATGTGTACATGCCGAAAGAAATTGGCCTACCTTCTCATTCTCCCCTTTCTCGAACGCCCATAGACACTGAGAGAAAAGGGGGAGGTGAGAGGCGCGTAAAATCAGATTGGTATCTATATATCCAACGCCGTGAAATGCGACCGGCGCCCCTTTTTGCTGTGTTTAAAACCCTATACCTGCATCTCCCGGAGATGAGGAACACGAAGCCGTCTATATATACTTGAGAGACGAAGGAAGGATGGTGAACCTTGACAGTATAATAATATATGTCAAGGAGTGGGGTTATTGAGTAACCTAAAAGCTACCAAACACCCAGTTTTGGCGGCGGCGGAGGAATGGTGTGGGAATGGGAGGACCATCGCTCTGTGTTTGAGAGGGAGCGCCACTGCTGGCGGAAGAAGGATCCTCGCGGAACTCGCCGCCAGGCATTGTGTGTTGGGGAGGAGTGTTGGCTTCCCCCGAGGAGGTTGGTGTGTTGATGTGTGTTACGATGGTCTTGATGACTGTGGAGGGCTGAGGTTGTTGCTGCTGGTCACCACCAGTAGGTTGTTCCTTGGGTCGGGTGGTGTAGAGAGTCTCGTAGACAGTCGAAGCAGTTGGTGGTGTAGGTACAGCATCGGATGGATGGGAAGTCTTGCTTCGGGTGACAAAAGCTGTTGTTGTGATAGTCTTGGTGCTGGGTCCTGCCTCTGTAGGCTCAGGCTTGGGCACAGCAAGGGACTCAGCGGGCATGGTAACATAGACAGTACTGATAATGGGAGAAGGCTTGACAGTCGCTGTGACGGTAACTGTAGCGACGCCATCACCATTGCCAGCGCCTCCACCAACGGGCGCAGTAGCGGTAGGCTTGGCAATTGACGAAGGAATAGTATCATCACCCTTGTTGCCATCAATGTCAACCTGGAAGTTAGACTTCATCTGATCCTCGATACCAGCAGAGTAAATGTTCTGGTTGTCGACCCATTCGAGAGTTTGTAGGTTCTTGGCAGCGAATGGCTCGGCGTCAGGTCCAGTAATCTTGATGTCGATAACACTCGAGTAACTCTCGTTGCGGGCGATAGCATCCATGGTGAAGCCATTGGGATCCTTCTCACCACGCATAAACGTACCAGCCCAAGGGAATTTGCCATTCTTGGTGGCCTCCATATCAATCTTGTCCTTGTTCAGGTCGGGCCAGTCCCAGTACCAGTAGATGGTGTAGATGTCGCCAGTCTTGAGGTTGTCGGGCAGCTTGATGTCGGACTGGCAGGCCAGTTCCTTGGTGGGGAGAGCGCCTTGAGGAGCGAGCTCGCTAGAGCGCTCAGTGCTGAGTTCACCAGGGTTTGGCTGATAACACTGGCCATCGTCGTAGTTGCGCGTGGCGAGGAGCTTGCCGCGCTTATCACCGCCTGTGCCTTGCTTGTTCCAGAGGAGATGAACGTCGAAGAGCTTCTCCTGTTCTTTGGGCTGAGTGGTGCCATAGAAATAGATAGTGCCGCGGTTTCTGGGCTTGTTGGGCTGGTTGTGAGGAAGGGTAGTGTGACCATTCTCAAGATGCATAATAGCAATGTAATCGCCAGGGGCAGCCTCGAGCATGGGAAATTGAGGCTTTTTCTCAAGAGGGAACTTGTTGAGGATTTCTTCACCAGAGTAAGCGGGCTGGCCTGCCTGGGGGAGAATGTTCTGGGGAATTGTGTCGGTGAATGGAGGATTCGTAGAGTCACGAGGCACATATCCACGAGGATATCCTATATTCCCAAACATTGTGCCATTTCGAGCGAGCTTGAAGGCATACTCAACCCAGGAGTGTGCCAGGGCTGGAGAGATGAGCGTTGTACTCGCAAGAGCGAGGCCAGAGGCATGGAAGAATTTCATTCTGAATACTGATGTTTCGTAAAGTTTTTAATGGGTTTTTGTTGCCACAGTTTGCGAGTTGGTCGTTGTTTTTCTTGTGTTGAAATAAAATTGAAATGATATTTCGAAAGGAGAGTTGACGAGGAGTGAACTTCGAGGAGGAGAATGAATGCGTCGCGTTTTATGCACCAAGGAGCGGAAGAGAGTCAAAGCCCGTCACTATGGAATTTCGCAGATGATATTGTTATTGTTGATGAAAAGGGAACAATTGTTGTGTGCGAGCGAACAGTGAATAGGGCTTTGTGTGGTGTTAACTGGTTGACAGCTGGCGAACACTGGCAGAGTGTGAGTGGCCTTGGATGACAGGCAACGAGCGGTGACTGAACACTGACCAATAACGAACACTTCAAACTGTCAATGAAGGAGCCTTAAACCTCTGCAATCAATGGTGATTGTGGTCTGTCTGACTTTGGTTGTAGTGTATGTTGTTGAAAGACTGAGCGAGCGCCGGCGCAGGTAAAGTGTTGATAATTTGGTCAGTCCTGCTGAACCTCAAGTGAAAGAGGGGAACACAAGGAAAGAAACAAAAGTATTTGTTCAATGAAAAAGAGAAGAGAGAAGAGAGAAGAAGAAGAAGAAGAAGAAGAAGAAGAAGAGAGAGGTGACAAAGGGAAAAAAAGAGAGAGGTTGTATACCGCTTGCTCTAGTTCAGCATCTTGGTGTTCGTGAATCACGAACAACAAAACAGGTGATGCGTGTCAATTGTGATCCGAGAGCGCAGGAGCTTATCGTCAGAGGCTCTGACAACCAAGAGATCACGACAGCGAACGGATTGTATAGCTTGGATCGGATGGGAGGACGAGTGGTAATGAAGAGATTGCACGAGATAGGGACAATCAAGAACACAAGCAAGTGGGGGGTGTTTCGTAGGACTCAAGTGAGGTAGACAGACACAAGTAATGCACGGCAATCAAGCAGAGATGACAAGCAGGCACCCGAAGGACGAAACACTTTGTTCTTTTAGTCTGGAGAGAAACATGAGATCTGGGACGGGGGATGTGAGGCATTGTATATCCCCTGGTAACCCCAGGACCTATCGTTAGGCAGCATATTGCGGTCCAGGAAACTGGCCTCGTACAGATGGAGTCGAAACGCAGACGGGAAGAAGAGAAAGATGCAGGCATGCAAGGCACGATCAGGACAGGACAGGACAGGGGAGAAAGACGAGGCGCGGCTAAGAGCATGTCATTGTTGAGATGGCGCGGAGCTTGGCGTAGCATCAGCTAGTTCATCTCATCGTATCGCGCATATCTGATCGCGGCAGCTCATACATGGGCATAATACAGCCACTATGGCGCGTTTAGACTGAGAAGTGGGCATAGAAACAAGAGCACCAAGATCATGTTCGTCGCAGCGTCGTCTGGGGAAGCGCTCAAGGGGGCACAGACTTGTCCCAAGAACCACTCAATAGAACATGATCCCTATAGCTCAGGGCAAGGGTAAGGATCCCAGGTTGAGAATAGATGTTTCCCACGAAAGAGAAACGTTGCGAAACTGGGATCTTGATAGCCGCCTGGATGGTCAAAGAGCATCATGTCAATAGCTCAGGCAACGCGTCTGGGTCGAGACTCACAGCCCAGCGGTGGTTGGCTATCCACAGAGACGGGACAGTCAATTCAAAGCGAAAACAAGGATATAGTAGGTCTGGAATCCTCAAAATAATGCTTGCAATAAACTATTACCAGGATTATCAAGATAGAACAAGAGAAGAAAAAAATAGTATGAAACGTCTAGATGCGAAACCAATCGGTTGGATGTCGTTGCTCGGTTGGCGCCCACACAACGCGGGCGTCTAAGGAAATTAACTGGCGACGGTTGCAAGCGCGGCTGTACCTTTCTTAGCGGCCAGGGACCAATTGGCTGTGGCTTGTGCTCTAGAAATGATCGATACAGGGATTTGCGACAGGGGCTGGTTCGCTGTAAATTTAGCAGAGGAGAGCAGTAAAAAAAAAGAAAAAGAACGGCGGGGGTATTCTGGTCTCAGAATTGCGTGGACTGACCAGTCACCTGAGGCCTACCGTCGTGGCCAGTACCGCTTTTTCGCTTAAGTGAGGTAGGTGTTCAGTGTGGTCTTGGAGCAAGGCTACGGTGAGAGTGGCTTACCATCCTGTTGAAGATCTATTTTAGACGCCTTTGTTGGTTATGGCTATTATCTTTCACATTCATCTTCATGAAACCGTCATGTCCTCTTTTCTTCTTCTTTTACTCTCTCAATCTCTCTCATTTCTTTACTGAGTAGTAGTCGTCATCGTCCCACAAGGTCATCTCTACGGTCGCTGTAAAATTATCGCTGCATTGACGACGTTGTTTGATCAAGCGCCCGACTCAACTCCACCAGAATAAGATGACGAGGCCAGCAAATATCTTGGAAATCTCGTGCTGAACCTTGACGAGGTCGCTCAATCTGTGACCGTAAATTTTTCTATCAAATGGTATTTTTGTTATGAGCTGCTTCCTCTTCTTTTTCCTTGTTAATGACATGCTGTTCCTTGACTCATCTCCACTGCTGAACCCTCAAATGCAGTCTCGTAGTACACAACCATGCATACCAGCAAACATCAAAAGAATTCTATATTGCTCATTTCATTTAACTAGGGACTGCTTCAGTAACCGGTAATCTCCTCCTTAACATATCTCAGCTGTTCAAGGCATATTCACTCCTTAAGTGCGTCCCTTCAATATCTAACCCTCAACTCGATTCAATATCAACGCCAAATAACACATCGTCAACTCCTTCAAATAAATATCGAATTCTTCTGCACTAACAATAACAAAACTCCTTCACTCCTCAGAAACTCCATAAATCTATCGTCTGAATATTCAATACCTCCGCACCCCCTCAAACTCACCCATCCCTCATCCACGCCCCTCCCTTGACATATTCTCCTCACACGCCCACTCTGTTCATTCAGTCTTTTGACGTCTTTTTGAGAGGACAACTTACGTCAAAGGCCTAATTATAAATGCTATGTTACTAAAAACTTCATCTTCAGACGATACATCATGATTACAGTGTCAAACTCACAACTTCCGCATTTCAACAACTCACGTGCCTGTGGGTGTGACTATTTCGTTCCATCTCCATTCTTCAATGGCTTCTCTCAATGTCTCACTTCCCCATCCTTTCTCACCCTCCATGTTTCTCTCTCTTACTCCTTTCAGGTTCTCCAAGTTTAGCTTCCGCAATTATTGCTTTTTCGACGTACATGGCGTGCACCGACTATTTGGGTCCTTTTTGACTCCTTCAGATTACCTATAGTCCACCTATGTAAAGGGAACGAAAAAAAACCGTTGTTTCACACCCTCGGAAGCTTTATTCCATAACTCAATCTTGAGTGGATCGAGATGAAGAAACGCTAAATTCCATCTTCGCCATCTAAACCCTCACGGCGCAGATCCTCCTGGTGCCTGCATGCGTTGTGAATGTCGTCACTGTCCCTTACCTTAGTCTCTGTTGGTGATGTAGTGATCGACCGACGAACCTGTCACTCCAAACTCTCTTTTAACCTTTTGATGAGCTGAAATCTGAGACGTCATGAGGAATTTCACTGAAACTGATGATCATTTCCATACGCGGACACTGAATAACCACTTCCATAAAAAAGACATCATAGCGAAGGCGAAAGGTGACGAGTTGTATGAACTAATTAATTTGATTCTGTAATCTGCCATGAACTACCAAATGATATGCTTGTCGTATCTATAACGAACTTGGTATTACTGTAATCTCATAACCCAACAACTCCGAAAGATATCCTGAACGCCACCCAGATTACCATACCGTACCAAACCGAACCAAACCAAACCCGTAACATTACATGACTATTGTGACATTAAACGCGTAAATGCATGATCCATCTCATCAGTGATCTCGTTCACCATCCTCCTGCCGCTGCCATTGTGACTGGCACATGGCTATCAATAGCATCTCCTCGTCTTCGCTTCATTGGTCTGGGGCTGCCATCACGATCAGCTCCAGCCATAGCCCATTGTGATTGTGTCCATAGAGCTGTCTGGTCACCGCTGGCCTCGGGCTTGTGGTGTGATCCCCATTCTGATCCACCAGTGCTGGCAGACCATCCGTCCAACGCCGGCATATCCCAGCCTTGTAGGCTATCTGGGTTATCGTAACCAAGTGAACTAGACAGATCCAATCCTGATGTGGTTGTTGGGCTCTGGAAAGGGTTCACAGTGGAGATCACAGGCTTGAGATCTGCCAGTGTTGTTTGCGCATCGTAGTATCCCGCCGTCTGGCTGTGTCCGTGCCCAGCAACCGGATGGCTATCATTTGCTGTGCTGCATGTTGAGGGCATGAAACCAACGCCTGTGCTTGGAGGCATACCATGATCAAAGCTGGCCGGGTACGACGGTTGCAAGCCTGCTGTTGGTGGAGGTGTAGCGAGACCTCCAGAAAAGGACTCGAACAGTGTAAGTCCACCATTGTTTGTTGCGGGAACAGTTGGTACTTGAGCCAGGCTCACGCTGGGATCCCATGCAGAGCTAAAAGTCTCGTTCATCGCTGCTGTCATGTGCTGGTTGATTGAAGGTGTAGGCGACATGATGGCATCTCGCGACATGGAGGTAGAAGGATAAACGAGGGCCTTTTGCTGGTGGTAGCGGGACATGGGATCGTTGACTGTCAACCAGCGCCACGAAGTACCAGCCGGCTTGAATACCGGGTTGTACTTGTACCATTGGTTGGTCGTGTTGAATCGCCAAAAGACAATGCCCTGGCGAACCCATCGGTTGGAGTCGGGAGCACACGACCAAAGTTCTTGGTACATGGCAACCTTGCAGATGAGGTCGCTTCCAGTCAGGTCACGACGAGCCCAAGAAGCGGCATCGCCGTCGTCCTCAGAGCGCTTGCGCTTACTGCCAGAGCGGTCGAGATCGTGCTTCTTCCGGTCATCTCCCTTGCTGCGCTTGTCCTTCTTGCGCTGATGCTCAACATCAGGATACTGAACAGCCATGCTGAGAATGCTAGCCCACTCCACGGCGGGGAAGGGAACATGGATATCCTGACGAGGGCGCGAGTGACAGTCACAGTCGGCCTTAGAGTCGCTGCAGCCCCGGCGGTGAATGCCGGTCTCATTGGTGTAAACACCCTGCTTCTTGTCATCACCGTGAAGCTCAGATGGGCGAGTGAGACGTGTAACACACTTCCATCGGTGGTTCTGGAGGTTGGGGTTTGTGATGGCAACCTCGACAAAGCCAGTGAGCTCAGAACCTGAAGGGAAGCGAGCATGCTCATGCAACTCAAGAGTGGCGCACATCTCGAGAAGCAAGCACTCCTCATCTCGAGTGGGGAGATCCAGAGTCTCATAGATCTCGGGCGCATCCTTCTGCCATCGGCGAGTTACCGTCTTGACACAGGCAGAAGTGGTTCGATCCAAAGAGCGGGTGTACTCATGGAGTAGCACATCCTTTCCAAGTACACTGGGGCTGTCATCACAGTTGTTGTACTTGTTCAGGTGGGGGAAGGACTCTGCGTCCAGAGCGTTGTCCTGAGCGTCATACGCGATCTCATCCTTGAACTTGACCTCAGAAGAGGAGACATAAATCTCTGCTGTCTTGGGGCGGACTGAGATAAGAGACTGGAGAGCAAGAAGTTGTGAGAAGTACTCGTAGTTGGGCTTCACATCTGGCACTCGGCCTTCAGCGAGAGCAGTCAGGACAGGGTTAGACTTGAAGGATTCTTGCTCCTCCTCGTCATAGTAGTCCTCAGAGTTTGTGGAGCCAGGCTCCTTCTTCTCCTCAGCAGGGAAGAGGAAGTGGACTAGTGAAGTTAGTAGGAGATTCATATGAGGCACACGGCAGTGACTTACAGCATCGCAAGTCCTCGAAGAACTTCTTGACCACTTGCATATGACTTGAGACCTGCTTGCGTCCCATTTGCTCAATGCTATCGTTACTGTTGTCGATTCGGAAAATCTCTTTGCTGCCAAGAATAGCAACGCAGATTGTGAAGATGTACTCGCTGATGAGCATGTTTCGGCCATGGAGCTTGCCACCCATAGAGAACTTGCGGCGGCCCATGTGAGGCATGAGGAGAACAGCTGAGTCTCATTAGTATAGGTCCAAGCCAAGAGCAATGCGAGGGTATTCTTACAGTCAACAAAAGCATCCTCAAGCTCTGGTCTTCTCCAAACACCACCCTTATCCTTCTGGGTGTCTTTGTGTGCTTGTCGGTTGCGGTACTGGCGGAAGGCAGGCCAGAAGTATAGAGGGTTGACACCATTTCTGGGTCTTCTTTGGTATCGAGGTTGGTTCCTGGGTGTAGGTACGCGGTACAGGCACTCGAATGATTGTGAGGGGATCATGGGAGCTGGGAGGCTGACTGGTACCGAAGGCGAGATGCCTACTGTGTTGGGATAGCATGATACCATGCTGTTGAAGCTGTGTGACTGCGCATTGCCGGCCTGTTCACGTAGAGGTAGACGGCTGTTGTTGTGATATGTTCGTCGAGCATCTTGAAGATAGTCTGGTGAAGGTGTATAACGTTGTGAGGACAGCACCGGCCTCGGGTGATAGAGTGATGAAGACATGGCAACAAGCAAGTGTTTGGCAAAGGAATGCCGACTGGAGAGCTCAATAAGATAGAAAGACTTGCACCAGCTGAAACGAAATGCCTTTGAGGACTCTACGAATGCAGACAATGAGTAGACAAGAGATGATGAGAATGTTGAGAGGAATTCAAGACGTGGAATGGTGGGATAGATGTATGCATCTGAAGAAAGGAGTGTTCAGGCACTGGAACGAAGAATCATCAGGAGAAATCTAATAAACATCTATAAATCCTAGACTGGGGAGTATATCAGTGATAGTCTGCGGACCAGGGCTGGAGCGCCCCTCTCAACTCAAACGATCAAGATCAAATCCATCATAAACCATCCTATACTGTCCTAACCACCAAGGGTAATGGGGTCATGATGGATGGGGATGGGGTGGGGGTAGGGATAGGTGGGAGTGGGAAGGGCGCCGCTCCAGCTCCAGCTTCAACTCCAACAACAGCGGGGAACAGACATGGCTTTGCCCGGAGGGATGTCTGCTGTCGGTAGTCGTGGCGGCCAATTGTGAGTGCCTGCAGAAGCCACCAGCACATGGCAGCTTGGAGCATTGATCGAGGGCGTTAGCATGCAAGGGAGCGTCAGGGCGGGGCTGCGATATCTGTGTGCTAACCCAACCTGACCATGAACCAAGGGACTGTGGAGGGGGGCGTGTGTCGAGGGATCTCAGAGACATCTTCAGAACGAACGGCGCAAGGTACAGAAGGTTTGGTATGTGTACAAGATTAGAATCAGACATTAAGAGGATCCGCATACTCCCCTGGCCCGTCAACTCAGGGCATCGAATTCTTCTGTCCAGATCGTAGCCACTCCGAATAAGCGTTGCGAGTAATGCATGCTATCTGCTCTACAGCGACCAATCGACCCTTGCCAAGGGAGAACGGCGCATAGCTCATTGAGAGCGAGATCAGCCGTGCAGGCACAGGAACAGGAACCCTCAGCCTTGTCACAACTCTCTCTCTCTCCCCCCCCGTGGAAAGGCAATAGTATCTCTGTAGTTTACTATTCCATACTTCACATATCCATCTCATCATTTTCATTGCCAATATTGACCCTACTCCTCCCCTTTCCAGTCAATTGCTGAAGGGCAACCTTGTTCACCTGTCCTCCAACCTTCTTCTGCATCTTTGCGATCTCCTCCTCAGCATCGACTGCCTCTGCCTCCGCAAAGTCCAAGACAAGCTTGCGACCAAGCAAGTGGGTGTCCCTCAACGCATTTAGTGCGTTCTCGGCTTCGCGGGGAGTGACAAAGTCGGCAAAAGCAAAACCCCGAGGGGTATAGTCAGCCTTCTTGGGTAGGCGTACCGATCTAAGCTGACCATAGGTTCCAAACAGTGACCTGATGTCCTTCTTGGTCGCCTGGAAAGGCAAGTTCTTGATGATGATCTTGGTGCGCTGCCCTGCAGCCTTCTTAGCCTTGTCTTCCCGACGTCTCTCCTCGGCTGCGTCATGGCCCTTGTGTGATGCCTTAACAGCCAGGGCATGATCATCAAGTACATGACCATCCATGACTTTGAGTGCAGCCTGGGCTTGGCTCCTTGTGCGGAACTCCACAAAACCGAATCCCATGCTAAGTGTCTGCCCTGGTTTCTTCGGGTCCATTTTAGTCTTAACTCTGGCAGATACGAATCCGTCGAGGGACTGAAAAGCTTCAGCAAGCCGAGATGTGGAAGTCGAAAAGTTTAAATTTCGCACAAACAGAGAGGTGGTTTCCAAATCCTCCTCCGGCTTATCACCGCGTGACAGCAAGTCATCCACACTAAGATTTTGGACCGTCGGAGCCGGACGATCTTTTAGTGACACGGCTTGATCCAGTTGGTTGCCGCCTCTGAAGATGTCACTTGGCGCTTTTTCCAAAAAGAGCACACTATCTCCAATCCGGCGATATGCCAGCTTCCCAAAAGCGGATTTGGCGTAATTGGGCTGCGAGAACTGGACAATGGCGATTGTCCCGCTCGGGGGCATCAAAACTCTCAGCACGGGCCCAGACTCCTCGAAGAGCTTACGGAGCTCGTCGATCGTAGTCCCGTAGGGAAAGTTTTTCACCAAGATGGCTGTATCACCCCGCTTCTTTGACTTGAAAGCTTCGAGGTCCACTCCATTAGCGGTGAAATATGCTTTGGTCTCTTGAATGACGCTCGTCTCCGCGATGGCCTGCTTGATGGCAGCATCGGCCGAGGTAGGGTCAAGAAGTTCTGATTTTGAAACACCAAGACGGTCGGCGACCGACGCGTTGACGGCGTCCTGGCTCATATACAGCGCATTCCAGTTAAACGTAGTAGCAGCTGCCTCTTGTTTCTTCCGAATCATGTTTTGTTTCTTGAGGGGGAGTTTGGAAATTGCAAACTCATCCAGACCCGTGTCTCTCTTTGCACTCGCAGGAATGATGTGAAGAATACGCCCCTGAAACGTCGCCCCGTCCATGGCTTGGAATGCTTCAACAGCTCCCGACGGGTCAGTGAACAACACCAGGGCGAACCCCTTACTGGTACCTGAATTGCTGACCGGTAGATGAACCTAGTATTTCAACAGCTATTAGTTGATATTCAGACTAGTAAAATCCTCAAAAAATGTAGTAAGATTGGCAACAATTCAGTCAATCGAAGCATCTACTAAAATATTCGCTCAAGTTCTCATCAAATACCGAAGTATAAGCTGTCCCTATCTGAGCTTCATCACGTCGCCTTTGTTTTGTAAATAAATAAAAGAAAATCATTTGAAACATACCTCTTCAATGGTTCCGAACCGCTCAAAGGTCTCCCGGAGATCCTCCTGGGTGGCGCTGTAGGGCAGGTTTCGGACAAAAAGTCTTGATGTTCGGCGGATCGCCTCAAGTGAGTCGTCCTTTGCCGGCTCACCCCCCGATGCCTCCATCGTGGTCTCATTCATCGCCACGTCAGCTGTAGCTGGCGGGTCAACAGAAGTGAGTTCCATAGCTTCGCCTCCCTCTGCATGATCGGTCTCAGTTGTTGATGGCCCTTGCGCAGGAGTTCGTTCCAAGTCATCGGGATCAACAAGGTCCAGCAGTCTGTTTGTTCGTGAACGAAGCCAATCGTCATCCTCTGCGACTACTTCCTGCTGTTCCAGATTTGATTTTGCAGCTGCTTCTTGAGGCTCCACAGGTTCGTCGCCTGCAGGAGTTTCCGCCTGCACATCAGAGACCACCCTTGCTTCTTTCAGCTGCGATGGCAAAGATTGAGAGACCAGCGGCTTTTCTGGTGCTTCGATCCTGCGCTGCTTCTCCCTTCGAGTCGGGATCTGCTCGTACTCATCATCGCTCTCCTCTTCAGGAACAGCGGTGGCAGCAACAGCAGCAACGCCGTCGCCGATACCACCGCGGACACCATCATCGAGCGCGCCCTCTCTGCCTTCCTTCATTACGTGAAGGAACTCGCGTAGCTTCGGGTCCGCCGGCTGGGGCTCATCTCGCTTGCGCTTTCTCAAGCTCGAGTCTGACTCCTTTTCAGCGGGCTGCTCATTGCCCTTGATTGTTGTGGATGGTGTTGATGCAGCTTTGGAATGCCAGGCGCTCTGGCCTTTGGTGAGGGCGGGATCTGAGATCTAGCATTCCATCAGTATGAGAAGTCAAGACATTTAGAGGAGTCAACTCACGGGTCGCGCAGTCTCGACGGCGATCTTGGACATGCGAATGTAAGACCTGTTGAAGTACTTGACTGCCTTTGAGGCATCTTCGGGTGTCTTGTAGCCCACATAGCCAATGCGTCGCTGGGGAATCAGCTTGACATCGGTAATCTCGCGACCTTGGGCGGAGAAGTGCTTCCGAAAGTCAGCCTCCGAGATACTGGGTGGCAAACCCTTGATGAATATCCTCGATGAAGCCATTATGATGTTGGTTTTTGTTGTTTATATCTCCCGATCAATGGCGAATGGTTTCACCGTGGGAGTTGAACGCGTGAAGTCATTTTCAGAACTTGGGCTCTTTAAGAAGGGAGAGAGGAAAAAAAAGTTTCTCTACCACATTCTTATTGCCCGAGGTTGGGACCCGAAGCTGGCCCGTGCACCGGATTTCTTAACAGTCCAACCCCACCATCAGCTTCCACGATGCTTCTATATTCGGTTGTTTTTCTTCACCGCCCTGAGCTCAGTGATGGGAGAAATTCCAGTGAACAAGTCAAACGCCACTATAAACAGTATGACAGGGCTGAAAACGGTCGAGGATAGCTGCTCAAGAATCTGGATATCTCTTTCCATCAAGAGATTCTACTCAGCTGAACATGACGAGAATTATTGACCAGTATCACTCATGAAGCTGACAAATTCTGCCATCTCAGTATTCACCTTTTTCGCAGCCAATGTATATCAACTCAAAAGCGTATATCTGTCCATAAGAGCCTCATCACGGAAGAAACCACTTCGCATACTCAGCTCCCACTTCACGCCTTCAAGAATGTTGGTGTGGAGGGTATGGTTTTGCCTGCAAGACTCATCTTCCACACAAGACCTGCATCTTGAATGCCAAAGGGGTAATTCTGGAATCCAGTGGCTTTCTGGGCTCTTGTGATGCTTCTTTGATTTTGATGCTGCTGCATGTTTTCTGCCTTCCATTGTCAATCATTGTATGGTTCATGTCGAATGAAGCTGTCTGTCGACCAGCAAGCCGTCGAGACTTCTCGACATCAGTACTACACTAACCGCTCCTACAGCACTCATTCATGTCTATTGCTTCCTCGAATATGATTAAATCATCAGTCGATGAATTACGGAGTACCAGTAGCGGGAATGAGGGTAGATTCCTCATCTCCGACATGCAAGTCAAATGGCGGGGCGTTATACGTTTGTTAGACGCAGATCATGCGCACATCTCCTCGAAGACTACGAGACAACGAGAGCCTCAAAGTTCTCGACATATGAGCTCTTGTTCTTTGACTTGAGGTTATCTTCTTCAGTCCTCATTTCATTCATGTTCAAAAAGAGATTCTCCATACCAGGCTCATCGTTTGCAGCAATGTATTAACTGAATGCATGAAAATAGATCAACAAAACATCAACTTCTCCGCCTGGTTCCCCAGCAACTTGGAATTAACTTTCAAATCAAGTAGCGGTGAGTTGACATCTAGAAATATTCTAAAGTTTATATGGCCCTACAACTCTGAATTTGGTACTCCGACATTCCTAGCCTCCCACCTTTCAGCTATCATTGCGCAGTCTGGCAAATATTGGTTCTTCGAGAATCGTGAACTTGAGACGAATCTAAGAGCTTCAAATTCAAGTAAATAGTAAATATTTAATCAGAAGTGCTTTTTATATTCTAGATCTGCCAGAGGGGTGCTGAGATGTGCATTCTTGATGTGCATTCTGGCATACGTGAGATGCACACTCCACACCAGGAGCTTTGGAATGACTGGTGAGGGAATGCGGATGCAAGCCATATTCTCTGGAGAATTCTTGTCAAAGTTTATGGAGGGCCATCTGACTTTCAGCGTGCAGGAACACTCGGAATCCGTAAGTATAAGAAGACCTCACTGCTCACTCATCAATTCTTCCAGAAGTGTTGTTTAAGGAACTACTGATGAAATGTATGTGAGATGCATTTCCCAGTAACTCCCATACTGTATCTTGGATGACACATTAGTCCATTATTTCAATGTATCCAACATCGACTCCATGGCTGATCGATTGGTCTTCAACACGGCAATAACACTCCGGAATTACGATCTTGGAACTCATCGATATGTCACCGAGAACATGATTTTTCACCAAAATAATTGCATTATTCCCGAGAGATGGTAAAGGCATTCGATATACTGGACCGCGGTTTTGATTACAAGAGCTTGGGAGTCAGTCGTGGTTTGGTGAATGGGTCGTCTTGAGTCATGTTGCGATACTTCGCCCATGACCCACGAGCAAGAGTTATCACACTATCCTCCGGATGCGGCAACTACTCGACTACAACAACAACTATTCTCCTTCCGGTTGAACATTGAAGTTTATTCACGGTTTGGACCTCGTTTCTTTACCATGACTCCGGTGTCAATCCATCATGAAAAACTCTTCATCGCTTCTGTCACTGTCACTGTCACATTTAGCGACCGAAAGATATCGCGAGTTCCAACAAGGTTCCGCGGCACAAGTTCCCCTCAGGACAGAAGTTAACGTTGTACTACCACTGGAGACCATGGGGAGAAGAGGTAAGAACTGCAATTGGCGTACTGATAGTCCTTCAAGCGAACTTCGTGGGCCATTTACTTCATGAGTTTCTGTATATGTATGACGCCACCAAAGTCTGTCACGGTCTTGGCATACTTTGATGCCTTTTTGGGCTGTGATGAGAGATGATCGCAAGAGGTTACCTCGGATGTTGGACCTTTTGTCGTTAAGCGTTTCCACTGCAGTGTGGACCGACCTTTGGACTTCTTGGAATCTTCATGTCAAACGCGACGGTGCTGTGAATTGCCGTGTTGACATGTCGATGCTTTTCCTTTTTTGGTTCTAAGTATGCGCCTCTTTATGCCTGGTGCCTGATTGACATGTGTTCCTGGCTTAAGTGTACTGTAATGGTCTACAATCAGGGGCCAGGAACTCATCCGCTCATACGCCCTGGCGAATTTGCATTATGGGGGGTGAACTCGGGATGTTCATGGTATCCATCAGCCGTACCTCGTCTTCGTTACCTATCAATAACTACCATATCCTATGTGTTCCTGATTGATAAAATTGGAGCTGTCCAATATCACCAACACAACAGCTCTGCCGATGTGACGAGAGGCGTGATTCGGCGGGCCAGAGCTCTCAATAAACCCCGCACATGATCGAATATGGCAATGTTTTGTGAATTGTACCCAAGCTCATGATCTGACAAACTGGGAGTCACGATCCACCAAGTACTGCGCACAGAGTTGATGGGGTGGATTGCTTATCGACTCAATCACTAGTGTCGAGGCCCATGTGAGTAGGACCCTTGTTATTCCATATCCTTACGCCTTCAAATGGCAGGGCCACGGTATCTTTTGGGTTCTTTTGGTTGCTGGTCAGAGTCTTTGGCACTTATTGACCTGTAGGTGCGAAGTATGAGCTTCATCTCTGGAGTTGGTCCTGGAGAGATTGATCCAAACAACATGTTACGTAGCGACCGAATGAACTCAAATGAGATTTAGACCTTGAATATACATATAAAGCAACAATACTGAAAGTGTCGACTGTTCAACTTCATCATACCGGAAAGTACAGAACAAAATTGGATGAAAAATTGGATGAAAAATTGGATGTACAGGGTAGGCTATATCGCAAAGATGGAGCATGTCAAAGGGTCTGGTACGTACACAGATAGCTACGGACGCGAGCCGCGCCGCCCCTGGCGTCGTCACAGCAAAAGAAGCATCCAGTCCCATCCATGAAGTGCCCGTGCGCTTTATTTCCAGGGCAGCTCCCACTGAAACTGAGGCTGATGCTGACGAGGCTACGGCTTGGCCAACGATAACCCAATCACGAGCATAAACACGCGACTGTACACTTAATCCGCTCCACAGTCACACAAGGCTTTAGCATTTGCGCGTCTCATCAAGTCAATCAACGGCAAAACTCCAAACACAATCAATTGTAATACTAGTCGCTATTATTTTTACTTTATCGGCCGAAAACATTAACGCCTCGTACCCTCCATACATCACGTATGTACTTCCTGGATCCTCTACGGCTAGCATCCCGTCCCGTGTCCCTCAAGAAAGGGGGCGCACACCAAGGCGTCGTCAAGCGCCAGCCTCACGACAACAACTCAGACTAACAAGATTTCGCAGGTCGCCTTTGTTTCCTAAACCGAACACTTTCTTCAACCTAAACTTAACACAAGATGGCCGACGCTCACGTTCCCAAGGCAGAGTCTCCCGTCGCTCGGGAGAAGCTCGAGGGTAAGCAACACCCCCTTTGGAGCTCGAGAAGCATCATACTGATATAATGCTAGCTCAGATCAAGTCCGCCGACATGGTGAGATAATCCGACATACGTACCGATATTCCGGACGCGATCGCTGACGAGAGAGTGACAAAGACGGAGGATATGCAACAGGAGTCTATCGAAGTTGGTATGGGGAGTCCATGACAGTTTTGCGCCGGCGGCAGGAAGACGAGGCTGACGTGACGATAGCCCAGGAAGCCATGGCCAAGTTCACCATTGAGAAGGTTTTCTCATCAAGTACTGCGTCTCTGTAGGCACACAAGCTGACATGCTATGGCAGGACATCGCACAGCACATCAAGCGCACAGTTCGTACACACCAAGCCTCTCACGATCGATCCCATACTTACAGAATGTAGTTCGACGAGCGAAAGGGACCAACCTGGCACTGCATTGTTGGCCGAAATTTCGGTAGCTTCGTTACCCACGGTTCGTCAAACCCAACCCGCCGATTTCCGACTCCATAGCCCCGGGCACGGCTGGCTGGCTAACACGCTACGCAGAGACCAAGCACTTTATCTACTTTTACCTCGGCCACTGCGCAATTCTACTATTCAAAACGCAATAGGCATGGGAGAAATGGCTCACCGGTGGGGGCCTTTGGAAGAGCTTGCTGTAGCGAGAGGGACGGGTGTGGTAGGACAAGAAGAAGGCAAAGACAAAAGCAAAAGGCAGCGAGGCAACACGATGGCTGCTGACTGCTGTATCGTCCACCCTACCCTGCTGGATCTGCCTCTATGTACGAGACGGACGGTCGTGGAGCTTGCGGCTGTACTAGGTTCATGATCAATAATGAGGGGCGCTCGCCCAGTTTTTCCAAATCCTTCCGTTCCTGGCCCAGCCTGATGTTGGGAAGTTTGTTGATGGGGGTGGCTGGTCAGCCGTGACGGGCTGCCAAGGTGTGCCTGATGCAAGGCTGTTGGTTTTTAGTTTGAGATCGGAGATTCTTGCAGCCTGGTGTGTCGTGTTCCTGAGACATAACTGTCACTGTCAGACATGTCGGTCATCGTTCGATTTCTTCAAGGCTGTCACTGATGATGCTGTTGTTGGAATAGGCTCGAGTCAGAGATGTCACTGGCAATAGCAATCGCCGATCATGCACGATCTAGTTAACCGTCCGATCAACAGCCTCGACGATCCACCTCTAATCAGTTCACGTGGTCTCGAAGAGGCTACCAGACTCTTACCTTACTGTAGATGACAAGGCGCGGCCCCAGAAGGATTTACTTACCCGATTACCCACGGCGGGCAGTCTAAGCAGCGTAAGCGACGGCACACCCGTCAAAGGATGGCAGATGGGGCCTTTGGGATCGAGACAAAGTCAAATGCCTCGTCCGTCTTTGCCAAGTCGGTCCTGAAGTTCCGCTAGCTATCACAACTCATATCAACTCTTTAAGTGACTGAAGCTAGAGACACTTTCGGAACGGAGGCGGGGCTCCATATAATCGACGCCCTCTCGTTGGTATTGGCGTTGGCGTGGGGGTGGGCGTTTATCAAGACGACGGATGAGGAGGGTACGCTTACAATTACAGTTACAGGTACAGGAACAGAACATGAACAGGACGAGTTGATTCCCCTCTTTGGGGGGAAAGTCTAAAGAGAGGATTTGAGGATTTGAGGCTAGTGTGACGGGTAAGAAGTTGATGTGTCATAACCGTGAGAACGCCATTGAGTAAATGGAAGATCTTGGCTCATGATGAAAAGTGAAGAGTCAGAAACTCTAATAGCAGGGGTACAGTATGATGTTATCACAGTCTAAGTGTAAGTGCAAGATCATCAGGCACTATAACAATGACCTCAGACATGGAGAAATTAAGTAATTGGCTTAGAAGACTGGAATTGATCAACGTCTGGTGGTTTCTTATCTCAACTTCACTTTGACTGATGTCAAATTCACTCAAGATAGACTCTTGAGGCATATGAAGAGGCTTTTTTCATTGGAATACAATGGTCCGGGCCGCTGCCGTTAGAATCATCCAATAGCACAAACCCTCAGCCGAAGAGACGGAAATACTCTGATCAAACACCATCAAGTCAAAGAATGGTCAAGTCAAAGCCTAAAGTGACCGAGAACACTACGGCCCACTCACTCACACTTATTCACCCGCTGAATTGGGTTGGGTGGTACCCCTCTGTGAAGATCCTGGTCGAGAAGGGTCCATATGGAAAACCTCAAAGTTGAAAAAGAAGAAGCAATTGAGGGACCATTGATAGTGTATAGTTGACATTGGTCTAGTGTTTCCTAGTGAAGAAAAGACTGGAGAAAGACTTGAGCTCTCAGTATGATGGAATTCCAATGCCGATATCGTCTGGCAGAGCTGGACGTCTGTACGTGCGGTTAAACCGGAAGATGCACCACATACAGTGCTGCACCACATGTGCATCGCATGGCATCGCATGAGGATGCATTAGGATCAAGAGGTGCAGATGGGGATGGTCCACCAGGCCCGATTAGACCGAATGAGCCGAGCCTATGCCGTTCGGTTGAGATGTCTGATATCGTACTGTGTTGTACCTGAATGGAGTCGATGACTGTTAATGACCATTGTTGGTGATTCTTGACAGAACATGAGTTGTTATGGAGAATTGATGACCAACAAGGTGCATGATTCTGCTGATTTGGCATGATCTGAGGAATATCCAAATGCCGTGATAGATTGTGTTGTTATCTCCCCAAGTGAGCTACCCTAGAGTCGAAGTGAGGATTCAGTCGGGCAACATCTTGCTTCACTATTGTTCGACTTCGATATTGCTGTGATTGGGATGAATAACTAGATATCTTTATGTAGAACTCGCTCTCTGACAGTAGCTTCTTTTTTATTATGCAGTTTCATGACAAAACTGCTGTCTCAAACTTCACTCAATGTTCTTCAAGAGTCATGATTGCAAGCATATACTGGCCGACAACCCATGCTCCTGTTTCGCCTCAAGGTAATCAAACTACTATTGATTGCTACTAAGACCTCCTTTATGAAGCGAGTAACTTTATCTTAGACTACGGCAGAAAACTTGGTATTTACGTTTGTCAGAAGAGGCTCCCAGGCACTGAAGGCATAGCGGCTCGAGCTCACTCATCCGAAACGTCAGAAACTGATGAACTATGTGATAAAAGTATTGCTCATGACAAATAGTAATCACTGTTGATTTTCAAGCACAGTAAAGTTGTAAGTCACACAAATGTTTTGCAGATTCGGGGTCCCAAGCGAGGGTTACGCATGGCGAATATTGAACAACATCAGACAGCCACTTCGGGTATTCTTGCAGGTTCAAATGCCGACCTGGCTAGAAGCAGAATGAAACGAAAATCTATTCTCTGTTGATTTGCTGATACAAACTATTGCCCTGTGTCGATAGACTGATCTCGCAGTTACATTGGCGTGGACAAGGGAGTTAGATCAACACATGGTATAGTCTTTTAGTTTTCACCCCTCAAGATCTCAGCAGCCATTCGTAGATTAATAAAGATTGGCTGCTAGGCGATGAACAGAAGGAAAAGGGCAGTCGAATTATTCAGTGATTTCCTTTGAAGCATGTCGAGGGCGCTGGGCTGCCGCCCTTGCAATAGCCAATATCTTCAGCGCCTCCCGTTATATCGAACAATACAAGCGGGTACTCACATCCAATCTCGCAGCGCTCAAATATGCGTTTCAATGTCTCTGTGCCCTGAACAAGGACCAAATCAATGAACCAAGTTGATCCTAATAGTCCTAGAGATTCATTCCTATAACTGCACACGGTCAATATGTGACAGAAGGGTTATGATGAGGCAAATAAGCGCCCATGTTTGCCCAGTAAACTACACCAGCAGAAGCCATACGAGGTGACAGCAAAGGAGTGTCAGGGATATCACCCTTGTCCACCATGGATGGGAATCGAAAAGTCAGCGGGTCCAGGCAATACCCGATTTCCACCTGAATCACTCGCCGAGAAAACTCCCCTTCTGTTTTGTTTGTTTTGTCTGTTGCAATTTTACTGAATGGCCCTCAAGGGTGAGGCATCGACACAGTCCCTGTTACAGATGCCATTCCCTCTAATATCGGTATTTGTTAGTATCGATGAAATTTCTAAAACGTAAACCAAACACCAAACAAACATCAGACTCAGGATGGTCACGAGCCAAGAGGCCAGGCGTCAAAATCCGAGACATTCCAGGTTCTTTTTGTAGGATCACCGGCTTAGCAGATGCAGATGCAGATACGGATACAAAGTGGGAGATGTCAGCGCAGCCTCAAAAAGACACGAACAGCCGTGGCGCATGCATGGTCCACTCTGTAATTCGTTATGGCAGAATATTTCTTGCATCTTTCAATATGTTGCATTCGTTCAATTGAATCGACAGACTTGCAGACCTACCTCGTAGCACAATAACATCATCATCTTACGGCCATCCACCATGTAGCGGTCTGCTGAGAAATCTCGGATCACCAGGCCTATCATTCGGGTCATTGGCAGATTCTCAGGGCATCCGGACACTATAGACTGGTTCGACGTGGGATGTCCCGACAGACCAGGCGAGGCGAGACGGAGAGAGGAGTCTCGCTGGAGTCTGGAGCCATCTGCCAGCGTGACCATTTCCATAGCGCTAGACGGGCCTCCGGCACCTTCACAGTAAGGTCTTTTAACGGTGAGAACGGGAAAAGAGAGCAGTGGTCTTGTACAGCGAATGCTTGCTGTGGCGGTCGGGCTGTTGAGAAAGGCTGGCGGATAAAGTGACAAGACAGAAGAGTTTCACCAATTGAGAACCCTTTCAATCATCAAATTTACATCGCCAAGCGCGATAACAAGCCACTGACAGTTGTACGTGTTGTAATTGTTCAGCAGAGGTGCGAGATATGCCAATGCAGCGGGATGCCACAGACTGTGATGTCAGCGATCATGCTTCGCCGAGCCACTCCCACTCTTGTGCAACTGTACCTCGAATGAGGCGCGTCACCAAAAGGTACATGACCTTTTTCAACTCTTCTCTTGGACCGAAAGGAAGACACATCCTTGTTGCACAGCACACAGCGGTGCCCCCATGTCGAACAGGGTTCTTCCGCTTAGTTCCCCCAGCGGACTGATCCTGGTCAGGCCCAGCAAGACACACGTTCGCAGGCTGTTACTGTACTGTACTGTACCAGTACTATTCGTGGACTCGAAATGATTCCCAACGTAGAGATGTTGCTGCTTAGGTTGGCGGGCATCTGGATTCAGAACTGCATTTCGTGTGACGAACAAGTGTCTTAGCTCAGATCGGTATACACTCGTTACCATAAAAGAGAGAATAAGTCGAGTTCATTTATGATTAGAGGGGTTCGCTAGTAAGTGGCCGTTGAAAGCGAAAAAAAAAAACTCTACCGTTATGATTAAGGGAAAGCTTAAATAAATCTACCGAGCGTGGGAGAGTGGTCTGAGTGGTAGAGCTTTACGACAAGCTCAAGCCAGACAGCATCTGAGATGATGATTGCTCGACGACCACTCTGCATGTCACTCGGAAAAGAAAAACCAGAGATTCGCCTATTATGTCTCGAGAATCAATAGTCTTCAACGCAAGAGGAGAATTGTCGGCGTGGTGGAGTTGATAAAAACCACCGGCGTTGCGGGGGCGGGGCATTTGTGTTGTTGAGGCTTTCTTTTCGATGGAGATGTGCATATGTACTGTGTTCGATCATGCAGTGTCATCCGCAACCGGATCATATCGGAGACTTGTAGTGTGAGTGCGTTCTTTTTCTTTTGTTCGTTCGTTTGCTTGTCTGTCTATCGATGGTGGTGGTTCGGCTATGGAGTCCGGCTTCTTCGGTGGCCGTGGCTAATAAATCCTGCTTTCCGCTCTTCAAAATCCTTCTTCCCCGCATTGCGGAGCGGAGGAGCGGGTGTTCCCTTCTTATGATACCCATCTCCGGTTAGCAGCGGTCCCGAATACTGGGACGATCAGTATGAAGTTTTGAGAAAGTATCAAGAGCTTCATTATATAGAGATATTGGTTGATAGTTAGGTGGTTGTTGAGTATAAACTTTCTGCGACTAGCTCCCGGGTAGCTGAGTTTGACTAGAACGGCCGCAGAGAGGTGACATGAGCAGTAATTTACTTGTGATTTATTTTTACATCTGCCAATATATTTGTGTTCAATTAAGACCACTGAAATCTACCATAATATTCGGAAACCAATTTCCAAAAGTCTATGCTACATGTCGCTCTCTGTCATGCAAAACATATTCGTATTCTTGTAGGTCTCAGGCCATTTCTTCACGAGCTATCTTCACGAGCCCTGCATAATCCATGCATTTGCTCTCTTCATTCATGTCTTGAACAACTTTGGACCCTGATCCACCAGGATGAGATGATCGGCAAACATGTCCAGCTGCCACCAGACCAATTCATCTGCAAGGTCCCGACCACGCCAGCCAAAGGAGGGTCGCAGTAGATGATTTGCGTGGAGGGTTTTTAGTCACATTTACACAGCCTTGGATGAGCCTCGAATAAATCGTCCTCAAGCTCTCGAGGCCATTACGAATATTTCCAAGAACAATCGTATTAATTCCAAGGGTTTCAGAGTCAAAACGTCAGCCTGTGACGCTGATGGGCAGAAAATAGAATGGCTTAGCCTTTTCTACGATGGAAACGGACAGCCCGACATGCATTCTGTAAGCCACATACGACCGTAGACTCACCGGGGTTCAGTCTTCCATGCAGATGCATCCCTGACTGACTCTTCATCAGCCATCAGAGCCCAAATCAAATAAATGGTTCAGACAAGAACGGTACCTGGAACATACCCTTCCGCATATCCCCCAATCAGCCTCTTTACACACTCAACACAAATAAAAATGATGGTGGCCGGATGCTGAGCTGTTTTTGAGCTGACCACAGATCACGGGTATGCCGCCGAGACGGGCAGACTCTCCAAGACATGACGCATTGGCATATCTGCTTCTGTCTGGTCAGCAGTGTAGTACGAACAATAGCATCCTTTCGTATCGAGAAGCATGATAAATGGCTTAGATCAATGCCTGTATCATCGTAATAAAAAAACTAAACCAGAAGCATGGGTACTAGAGTCATTCAAGCCTCAGAACAGACCGTGAGAAACCATCGCGGAAGCCATTCGGCACATGTCCAATCATCAGATCCCCCAAGTCCTCGGTCGCCATGTGGCAGCGTCACTGTGCTGCACCTCACATCACTCCCAGTCTGCCACTGGCTGGCTGAAGACATCGGGTTTAGCCTCACATCGCTCGATTGGAAGAAGCAGGGTTCCAGACATCCGCCTCTTGATTCTCAAGTCCCCTTCTTTCGCTTCCATAATCAACCAGGCAGGCATTCAGATAACGAAGCCTAAAAGAATCGTCGAGATTGCTTCTCTGCTTAACAATCCACTTGCTCAATCTTTCGAGTCACTGGAAATAGAGTCACAGATCCACTGTGAGCAGTCAGTAGGGCCAAAACGGTCATGGATCCGTTGCCGGCTCGCTGGAAGCGCGGCGACAGGGGTTATGGGTATGGGGGTTTGAGCTCGCGCTATTGTTATTGCAGGCATAGCAAGGCAGATGAGATTGGGGCCAAGTTCATTTATTAAAGATCCATTTCAAGGGAGAGATGATAGATAACAAAGGGGTAAGAAAGAAACTCAAGCCTCAGCAAGGCTTGAATGGCTGAAACTCATGGCGATGGTCTTTTCAAGCTGCACAATTGTTTCAGCAAGTTTTGTTCCAGCCCTCTGAAATCTGACTGCCCGGCCAGCCGTTTCTGGAATGAGGCCTAAACAGATCAGATGGGATGGGATGCCCATCCATCCATCCCATCCCATCCACGGCTCGGCCACGGCCACGGCCACGACTACGACTACGACTACAACCACAACCAGAACCCCCCCCGGCCGGATGACAGATCCGCCGTGAACTCCCATACCGAGCCCTTGATGTCTCGCCATGGGTCGTCCAGACTTCAGAATGGGTCGTTCGTTCGCTAGGCTCGTAGCTCAACCTGCCCGCTGGATCCAGCCCGTCAAGTCCCGTTTCTCTGGGCTGACGACCTGACAACCAATTGGGTCGGGAAAACAAACAATATGCGACAATCTGAAGAGCACCATTGTCTCGCCTCTCGTCCTTTCTCTCATCTCCCCAGCTTCACGTTAAAAGAATCCTTTCTCTCATGTTCAAATACCTCAGAGAGAGACGAAGATCTTCCAGAGGCCGGCGAACGGGACGGGAGGAACCCTTTGGCTTTTCGCTTTTCTGGGACGAGTTTACTCGACTAGCACAACGCCTTGCATGCATCCACCACCTCACTCGGTCGCTGTGGGCCTCTTCGTGGTACTTAGTCCGTTCTTCGCCGTGAATGTCGTCATGAAGTACTGAACTGTGACCCGAAGCTATTCCAGGGCAGCTTGTAGGGTTCTACAGTGGCTCAGAGCTCATGGGCAGTACCTAGCCTCTACCCCTGATGGGACCTTGACCGGTTGACTCTTCCACATGCACCATCAGGCGCACCATCAGGCACGCCACCGCAGCCACGGCCCCAGTGGACGCTAGCGAAGCTGAAGATATTTGTGTACAGAAAAGGAACATTTGGTCCAGCAAATGATTTTGAATTTGTCGCTGTAACAGATAGAGTTGCAGTGCTTTTGGGCTCTGAGAGGCCCCTGAGCCACAACCCTCCTGACGGCTTCTCATCGCTGAGACCACTATAGAGCCTTGAGTAGTGGCCAAGTACTCTCATCCCAGACGAATTTCCATAGCGTACCGTGCGGGTATCTTGGCACATCCGCCAAAGACAGCATCTCCCTGCTCGAGTGATGGTGCTGTCAATCGGTGTTTTGCGCTGTCGGACCCCAAGTTTGGTACTGTGCTGCGCTGTGTTGTTCGCTGTGCTGTACTGTCCACCCCGGTCAACTTCCCTGTTTGGCCGCACCCACTCCCGCCCGTCAGGTAAGGTCAAGGTCAGAGGTGCTTGCTTGCTTGCTGGTGAGGTAGCAGAGAGGCAGGCACGGGTACCTCCCCCCAGTTCCTTCCGCACGCAGTACCTTGGTACACCCTCGTCTCCCGTCCTTGACCTGGGCTCGCCGCTGCCGCTCTCATTCCCTCATCATCTCCGCCCTCCAACAACTTTCTCCCTCAACTTGTTTTTTGCTTCTCGACGAGAGTTGCAAATCACAAAGGGTGTTGGAGATTCTTTGTGTGCTTTGAGGTGTTGGGAATATTGCACTGCCTGTCAGTGACAAAACCATCTGGCACTCCCCTTTGTCCTCCTGAATCGGAGAACAGCCCCCATATTCCTAGGCTCTCACGCCCATCTCATCAAAACAGCGGCCTCTCTCTCAGCTCACCTTGTTGGATGACAATGTGACAACGCTCCTCACGATTTCTTTTTTGACTATTGCACATTGACGAATCCTTACCTCCTCAGCTACGATTCTTCGACTTCTTCTCTTCATCTTCAACCTGTGAACCCGAACGATCTAACGTCACGCTTCCGCCCAGCTCCTGCATTGATCGACACAACATTCAACTCCGCGACATTTCCCACCCCACGGCCTACAGAGGCTCGTGATGACCTCCAGTATGAACTCGCTCAAGGTTCCCGAAAGCGGGCTGCAGCTGGAGGGCTCGACTGGCAAGGATGCCAGCCTGCCTTCCCAGGCCTTTGCTGTCACCCTGAGTGATAATGTTATTGAGGACATGATCAAATGCGTCCAGAACGGAGATGGCATTCAACTTTCTCTTGGAGCCAATCCCGTAAGTTGAGCAACCCAAAGCCTCTTGTCACAACGGATTTGAGGTTGCACATTTGGCTCATGTTTTCGAATGCTAACATGCCCGTGCCAGACCTTGCTCTTTGGTTCCAAATCCCACGCCATTGAGCCGCCCTCCGACTCGAACCCATATGATCTTTACCTCACACGACCTTTCGAATCGACACGAACTGCCGAAAAGATACCATACACCGGCTCTCTCTTTGAAAAGCCATCGGGTGCTACTTCGAAGAAACTGAAGACTGGCAAGGCCGACAACACCACTGACGGCAAGCCCGCAAAGTCCAGCAAGAGCGCCCAATCGGGACGAGATTCTGACATCGAGGCTCTTCAAAATGGACTTGCGGCTCATGCTGCTTCTCGGGAGAAGTCGGTCTCACTTGCATCTAGTTTTGGGATGATCATACTGACATGTTTTGAAGGACTCGCGTGGTCGACAGGTTACCAGCGAAGAAGGCAGCTATCAAGAGCAAAAGCAAATTGCTCGACTCAACTCCACGATCGATCCCCCAGTCACCAGGTCAAGTTTCGCTCGGGTCCCTTACACCCAACCCTACGACATCACAGCCCCTTGATCGAGCCAAAGGAGACCGAGCCATGCTGGTGCATGAGCTCGCTGTGCAGGATCGCTCATTTGATTACTTGGCCAAGAAGTGGGAAGGCAAGGTGGAAGACATGGAGCCGACGCTTCGAAAAGTTGCCGATGATCTCGACGATAACAACAAATGGTCACTGAAGAAGAAGTCCTGGAGAGACCTTGATGTTTGGAATTATGATTATGATACCCAAGAACTACGACAGAAGGCGATCGACAACGCCGTTCGACAATATGACAAGCAGAGAGTCACCATCTCAGAGCCAGAGTGGGACAGACTACTACCCAAGGAGGAGCGAGGAACTGGCAAGAGTCTTAGCCGAGTGCAGGCTAAGATTACAAAGACTGTCAGCGCGCCGTCAATCAATGTTGAAATGGCGGATGGAGGCACAACGCCTCGAGAGAGTGGGGATTCTCAGGACGCCAACCGGCCAAGGGTTGGAGGAGAGGCTATGTCGAGGTCCACCTCAAATCCTCTTTCTACTAAGCCCAAGAAGCCCACTGCACAGGAGGCCCAGGTCAAGCGCCTCTTGGGTAAATCCAAGGCTAAGACGGCTGCATCAGCTACATCCTCCAAGCCGGCATCCAAGGTGTCTTCGGCTAAAGCATCTCCCACCAAGTCACGGCCCACCGCCGCGCCCAAGGCAAATGGAGGAAGGGTTCTATCGCAGGCCATCATTTCTAACTCGGACACCTCAGAAGATGACGCTGCTCCTACGGTCAAGCCTAAGCCGAAGGCTGTACCTAAACCGGCACCCAAGATGAGGGACACGGTCGTTGCCAAACCTCGACCTGTGGTAAGGGAACCGATGAAGCAGCAGATTACGGCCAAGCGACCTCGCGAAGATGACGACTCGAGCTCGAGCTCTGGAACACCATTGTCGAAGCGCATCAAGCCCAAGCAGCCTCTTCCTGCCCCCCGACTTAAGCACCGACCATCGGACGCAAGCCAGAACTCTCGTGGAACTATAACCTCAGCCTCGATGAAGAGCAAGAACACGTCCCCAACGAAGTCTTCTCCCCTGGCATCATCGCCACCCACCAATGCCTCTGATCTGGAGAATGAGGCACCCGGTGCATCAATTGTTGCGAAGAAGCGCAAGGTCGAAGGCTTTAGCAAGGGTGGTGTCACAAAGCGACCTGCAGCATCAAGGTTTTCTGATGATCTTGTGCAGAAGGCACAGGCCTTCAAACTATTTTATCAAAAGTATGAGACGCTGCACCATGAGATTTCAGCGCTGGACAACCCTTCAAGCAGGAAACTGGGCCATCTGATGGAAATGAGAGACCGACTGAAAACGATGAAGATGGAGATTTACAGCGAATGTCCCCCAGAGAGGAGCTAAAAGGCGGCAATAATACGACAGAACAAGGACAAGATAAGGTGTGGGGGTTTGATTTCAGCGGCGTACAGCATCACGACCGGATAACTTTTACAGTTGCATTTTGCATTGGGAAAACAGGATCTGCATGAACGAGCCACCTGTCGGACAGGAACGGAGCTCTCTTTGATATTTGCATCGTTTTTCTTTTTCTTTTTTTGATACCACATGAGAAGACAAGATAGGCCAAACGCGGCCAGAGACAAAGCCAAGCCAAGGCAGGCAGTTAGATTAGGCAAAGCAGAAGCCAAACAATACAGAAAATGTTGAATTGAAATCATGATATTCATATACACTACATTGAGTGACAAAAGAAACCTGGCGTTTGATTGAGAGCCTGGTCCAGTCGCGAGTAAAATCAGTCAATAGTAACAACGATAGTTCGGTACATGGGAAGATGAAGTGATACTATGACGTGAGGCGCATGTGATGGAGGTGCGTGATTTACCTCTGGATTTACCAGATTGGGCCCCAGGTTTGATATGGTTGCTGAGAGGGTTGGTTTGGTTGGTCTTTTGAGTTTTGAGTCGGGTGGGGGCCGTATATTGTGTGTGAGCTGATCCAGGACCCTCCGAATAAAGAGGGATTAGCAAATAGCGGCTGATCATGGATGTATAGTTTAGAATGGGGCTGGTGAATCATATTGCTCGCAGCTTAGAGGACATATGTCAAGGCAGATACTGTCTGTGTAGTAATTGTAGCACGGTGCTTTATTTAGTCTTTGTGCCGTTTATGCGACTGGCCGTTGTCAAAAGGCGTTTGTTTGAATGCTGTAGCGATAGACAATGAACTCTTGTATGCGACAACGCATCTCAAAGACATTGAATGAAGAAGGGTAGAACTCACCAACGCATCTATGTCCTACAGGCAAACTTGTCTTGAAGATGTATAAATATCTGCCCAGACGTGAGCATCTTGATTCTAGCTTTCTCATCAACTTCAGTCTCAGTCTCAGTCTCAGTCAGAGCAACAGCCGTCACCCACAATGACATCCAGACGCTCCCAGTTCGTCAAAGAGGTGCGCCCTGGAGCTTACTTCCAAGAGCCAGCATACGTTTACACTGTCCACCCTGCTCAGACTCAAGATCCGTTCCGAAACGTGCCTGCTCGCACGACTGAAGACTACAGCCACATGCATCCTCCCTCTTCAACTGCAACAAACGTCTTCATTCCTGGCTGCTGCCGTCATCGTCGCCGTGCATCCCGGTACTCAAAGACCTACGAAAGCGATGGTTCAACCAAAAGCTATGCTTCTTACCAAGACGTTCAGCCTGCTCAGCCTATGGATCGTCTCCCACCACGCATCGCTCTGAAGCAACTCTCGGATTTTCTTCACGAAGCTAGTATCTTCTACAACACGCAACTCATGGACTTCACACGCGAGCATCAACGTCAAGGCCACGACACCTCCAACGAAGCTCTTCGACAGTGGCTCTGGAACGACTGGACCCGATCTCGCGATAACCCTACCCGTGAGAACTTTACATCTACAAAGGCGAGCATTACACTCTTGCTTCGCCAGGTTGAAACCGCCATTGCGACGCCTTGGCTAGAGAACGCAGACCTAAACGCCAGATTCGAGTTCAGCTACAGAGCTCTTAAGAGTTCTTGTGATGAGATTGTCAGGTTGTCAGGCAAGGTCATGAGCGATTGGCAAACTTGTCGATTTCTGGCTGTCGAGCTCAAGAATGCCCGTGTTTATGCCAACCCGGAGGGACCTGTTCTGAGACAATTGTTTGCGGGGTGGGAGAAGGGCGAGCCTTGGTGATCCTAACGAGAAGAGAGGTCGTCTAAGTTGCTAGAGTTGTTTCTTTTGTCTCTTTTGTTGGATGTTTTTATGTGTTTGGTTGGAGTTTACCAGGATGAGATGTTACCTCTTGTATCCGTACAGACATTGCTAGGGCGACCAATCGGGAAGACGGTGGAGTTTGAGCTTCATAGCTCCCTTTCCCCTGGTCAATCAGCCACGTGGGCCATGCCGATCACTCATTCGAGAGTGGCTGTGGCGGTGCAATACTGCATGATGTGGCTTTAACACCAACGTTGATACTCACGAGTTATGATAGGAAGATAGACTTGACCCAATTAGATGTTAGCCAAAAATTCGCAACTTTTTTTTTAATTTTTTTTTATTGTTAACAATTTTTTCTATTTGCCGCCAGTAGACGAGACAATGTGTGGACTACAATAGCGTTCTTTTTTCCCCGGACTTCTCCTTTACCTTGGAAAAAATCCTAGTGGACAGGGACTATGTTCTAGACTCAAGGTGTCTCCGATATGCTCTGTAGCATACATAGTCTTGTGTTCTTGCTGAGGGCACGTTGAACAGTTCCCTGATCAAAACTTCTGTTCTGAACTTCTTCCTCTTTGATTCTTTTTTTGCCACACCGACAATTTCCTTCTCTCACTGTGATTATTCCTCTGAGTTGACCTCACCACAACTGGCCAATAAGTGTGGAAAAGAGAGACTTAGGCTCATAATCATGGGTATCGAAGCACTCGATTTCCCCCAAATGTGGGAACGTCCAAGCTACACTCAACTAGCAGACATTCTCCAGAGTCTCGAACTTAGCCCTCCAATATGGAACCACAAGCGTCGTCGCTCTGAGATCATCGAGGAGCAAGAATCTCTCGCCAGCCAGCGCAAGGCAGAAGTCACTCGTTATCTCTCCTCTATCATCAAGAGCCCCTTATCATGGATCGACGACGAAGATGAGAAGGAGGTTCTCTGGACGCAGGCAAGCAAGCGCATGTCGGAGCGGTGTGGACGTACGGCTATGGGAGAGGTTATTCGCAGATGGCCCTTTGGAGAGGGAAACGATGAGTTCGAGTTGATCATTCGAGAACCGGCGCTTACCGGAGATTCTTTGGGTTTCAAGACTTGGGGGTCTTCATACGTGCTATCACAGCATCTTCCTCGCATGGCGGAAACATCACTATTTCGATTATTCGATGAGACGTTGGGTCAACCGCGACCTGATGTCCTCGAACTCGGCTCCGGGACTGGCCTCTTGGGTCTTGCCGCAGCAGCTCTATGGAAAGTTCCCGTAGCACTCAGCGATCTTCCTAACATCGTTCCAAATCTCAGGGAGAACGTGGCCAAGAACACGGAGCTTGTCAAGTCTCGCGGGGGATCACTCACAGTTGGCGACCTCACCTGGGGAGGGAGCGAAGACGAGGTCGATCAGGCCCTGTTTGGGCAACCGCATCAGTTCAAGGTATGTTTTTGCTCGTAGAGATCTGTGATTGCAGGGCGATGCTTGTATGACTCTTGCTTACAAACGATGTCTAACCCCCCTGGTGACTAGATTGTCCTCGCGGCTGATCCCATGTACGACGATGAACACCCAGCGCTTCTCGCCTCAGCCATCAGCGACCACCTTGCTCTTGGCTCCGATTCACGCGCTGTCGTCATGGTCCCCCGTCGAGATGCTACCACAGAACGTCTCCTCGAGTCGTTCCGCCAGGCTATGCTTGACCTCGAAACCCCCTTGTTCTGTGAAGCAGAGGACGAACTTGCGGGACAGGACGACTGGGTTGAGGACGATGACGCGGGCAATGTGCGGTGCTGGCTGGGTGTCTTCAGCCGTGGTGGCTCACCGCCGTCTCAAGTCGGTGATGCAGTACCCATATAGCACTCTAACTGGCCACGGCAGCCAGTGATTAATAGAGAAAGGGAGAGTCAGGTGCTTGAAGAAGAGACGAAGTTTATACAGTGGAAAATATCAGACGAACTAGACATAGACACTGAGCGAGTGAGGAAGCATAGCCACAATAGAGACCAATGATTTTATGCAAGCAATTGCACTGTTTGAGTCATGGATCTCCCGTGAACAATCAGCAGACGGTGCTTTAGGGAGGGGTTCATAAGGAGCCCTTTTCTTCCTCTTTTACGCTTCTGCTTCTTCTCTTCTTCTCCACTTCTACGCTAGCACACCACAACACCACCTCCAAAGCTGCTTTTCTCTACAAATACAACAGATTCTTCTTTCTCTAGGGAAGCATTGATGATTAACCTTTATATGCTTTCTTTTATCCAATTGCACAATTTCATCCACGCTCAAGCTACGTCAGGATTCAGTGCCAGTTGTTAACTGGCAACTAATCGAAGTCTACAACTCTCGAGCCCCTAATCACAGCCTGTAGCAACATCAACGGCGCTGATTAACCCTCAACCGATCACCGAGTTCCTACCTACTTAAACATCAACCTCAGACATTCATTGTCTTTCTGTTCCCCCTGAACAACAACCTTTGCTCAACCGTCTATCACCTACAACCTCACAACACTCACCATCGCTGACCGCTCAGACATTTCTTGGACAGCTAGACTTTAGACTGCTCGACACTTTCAACACTTGTTCCACACCTTTGCTTCTTTTCTTACTTTTTTCAAGATGACCGGAAAACCAGTTTACAAACCTGACGAGATACGCTTTGCTTTAAGCCTTATGGAGAAAGACTTCTACAACGATGCAATATCCAACGCTTTTCGGGAACGATTCAATCGAGCACTTACAGACAACCAGATTCGATATTTGAGGAACAAATATGGCAAGGATCCTGACTATGGGTGAGTTGTCTCGTGCCAAAAGGGTCTTGCCACTTGCTTTTGAAATTAACTAACCGATATTTGCTCGTAGAGCTCCCCTTTGCAACAAGCAATCCAGGAAACGAAAGGAACGTCAACCTGACTCTGGAGCTGGTTCTTCCGCTTCGCCGGGCTCAGAGTACGTTTCGAATACCGCCCCGATGTCCCTTTCCACGTATCTCTCTAACCTAAAAAACAGAGGATCACCGACTGAAACCAAGAGAGCTCACCAAGGGTCTTTCAAAGCCTCAGCAGGACCTTCTCAACACCCCCAATACCAGTTTGGATCCCTTCCAACGCAATCACCAGTTAAATTCGAAGACATGAAGTCTCCCAGCCTGTCTTCCGCCCCCTTGTTCCACGAAGCACCAATGGCTCAGATGGGAAATCTTCGTTCACCACCTACAAACTCCTATAGCCTCTTTTCAGGAGCACCAGCTCAGGGAGGCTTCGGGGTTATACCTCCAGCTAACCCCTGGCAGACGCAAGCTAGGGCAAACTTCAACACCAACTTTTCCCCGATTAACACTCGTTTTGGTCAACAACAGATCAAGTCACCAGAACAGGGAAGCCCTGGGGGCTGTAATGCCGCACTATACCAGACACCTCATCAGTCACCTAACGTCCAGCCTTCATATGCCTCTTATCCGAGACAGCAGCCAACAGCTAGCTCTCACGCACCAGTCTCATCTTCGCAGCAGACCGTGGTCGTAGGGGGCGGAGCCTAGGAGCCCCCCGTTACCCAACACTCACCGTCCTTTAAGTTGGATATGCCCCTCTCCAACTTTTCTCAGCTTTCCGACTTTGTGTATCCCCAGCAGGTATCACCCACTGAAGAGCATAAGCAGGAGCAGGATCAGGAGCCTGAGATGGCCGGGCGAGATGACGTCGCCCCGGTGTACTGTGAGGAGTACTTCGAACCAGCTCAGCAAGCGGTTGAACAAAGCGAACCGCAACCCACCCAAGATCAGGATGAGGAAACTCCAGAGCAGAAAATCCCACAAGATCGCAAGCAATCTGCTGCTTCGGGCACTTCTGGCGACAGCAATGAGCACCAAGTTGCCAAATCAGGTTCCTCACACGACTCCAAGAACTAAAGTGGCGACGATGGGGATCAATGTGAACACGATCGATCCCAAGGTGCTCAATGCCACCTGAGATCTGAAGTTGCTCATCACCAAGTCGTGCTCCTGAGGTGGTAGCTGAATTGTCCCACATTGTGTACTATACTTGACATAACCCAGTCCCTGTGGACTGGCGATCTTTCAAATACCCTATTCCTTCTCCGTGATAGATCCGGGCCTCTTTGCCGCTCCTGAAGGCAGTGATTCGTCTTCCTTTGTTTGACCTATCCACAGACAGGATTACACGTTTGGCGAAAAACACCAGCTGAGCGTTCTGAGAATTGTTTTCCAAGGCTGCGGGCTTAATGCATATCACGAGGCGTTAAGGCCTGCCGCATGTGTTAGAGTTGATACCCAAGCTGAAATCCACAGAACTAGATAGGCAGAGACTCGGTTTGGATACCTAGTTCTTAGGCCACTTAGCACAACTAATTAAATAGCATGCACTTATCTCAATCCACTCGTGCCCTTTCAGATTCCTTAATTCCTGATGCGCCATACAATAAATCATAACATCTTGATATAAGCTTGGAGAATTGATTTATCCAAATATTTCTGGTCTTACCCTCCAGCTCTCTCATATCATCAACTCGCCCGCTAGAGCCTTCCTACAGGGTATCTCGTGCAAGTAGAAACGAACAGACCACCGCATAAACCTCTTCAGGATGTCTCTCCAATCTCTGATACAAAAATTGTGATGTGTGTGTAAGCATGCTGGCATAGAATAGTCCTTAAATCCTTGTGATCCGACTCCCAAAAACTCTTCAGTATGAAATAATAACATTAGACGTAACGTGGCATAAGTATAGGCAATTCGACGCAACCATTGCGTCGAAATAGAAGGTTATGAATATGGTTGAATAGCATGTTACACCACAATGCTGACGTTGCGACGTGTGTCGACCTCCTCAACCGGGAACTGGAAAACGACCTTGAAGAGATCTCGGAGATATGCATACCGCTGTGAACTCTTCATCATCATCTGAATACTCTTGGCCATCTCCTGGGCAGTAACGCGCTTGCCTCGGGCTGGCAAGGCGTGGTGTCTTGGAATTATGGCATCGGTAAGGACGGAGTTTTTGTACTGTGATAGCAATGTCGAGTGCGAGATCAGGGACCCAAACGATCCAGGAGGAAGATCCTGCACAAATTTCTGTAATGCAGCAGCAGCAGCTTTGGGCTCATGGATGGTATCACGATTGAAGCCAAGATTCATAGCAGCTCGGAGAACGAGTACCTTTGCACGCGTCACATTTGCATCTTCCGATGCAGCTGTAGTGGTGGCTGTGCTTGAAGTCCTGGTGCTGCTCTTTGAGTAGCTGGAAAGATTGGACGCGCTACTCGACCACCGGCCACGGCTATTGTCACTAGGAGTACCTAGGACAAGAATGTTGGGCATTGTTGGCGAACGACTCTGTGGAGAGATGGGCGTGTCTTCGAACTCGGTTACAGGGGTTTCTGGAACAGCTGGGTTTCTTGGTTTCTCTTCCTGTCGCCCACTCTTGACACTATCGTGCCTCGAATGGACTGAAGATGGGTTTGATCCTCGACTCTGTCGGCCGCTCTGATCGTTAAGATGCTGAGGAAATGCGTGCCCGGCTCGAGGTGTTCCCCTATCAGGTCGAACTTGTGTCCAGCTGTCTCGGAATACATCGCAGAGCTCCCAGCAGGCTTGGACAGTAGAGCTCAGCAGCTCCTCATCTGGGGGTCTTCCATCCCTTCTGTTCTGCCTGAGATTGAAGAGCATCTCTGCAAGTGCCCAACAGGCCCTGAGCAACTGATCGGTTTCCTCGGCTAGATCACTCCGTTGCTTCATTAGTCGATGACAAAGCGCGATGTAGAAGTCCAGTGTGCGTTCTCGGAACTGCTCCGGTAGGGTACCATCCTGAGCACTATAGAGGCTGCCAACTTGTTAGAGTAAGATCCATTACTTATTTGATGCACTTACTGGTTGTTGAGCTCAAAGCTAACACGCAAAACCGAGTCCGCTGCTTCATCATTACGCTGTCGGACATCGAATAGCGCTTGACAGAAATCGCGACACAAATCAAGGTTGACCTTGACATTGAAATTGCTCACGTCCTCATCTCGACTGTGGTAAAGCCGCTGACAAAGTTTCCAACATGTCCTCCATGCTTTTTCGTGGGCATCAGGAATGCCATTTTTGCCAAGAGCGCGGTTACGATTGATTGAACTGAGCTTAGACAAACTGTTGCACAAAGTCCAGCACTCAGCAAGAGTTGTTCGTAGAGTCTCGATCTCGTCTTGTTGCTGTGGTATCGGCATGGCTTCCGATTCATAGTCTTCGTCGTCACCTTCAGCCTCGGTTTGTTCGTCGATTTCTAAACAGATTAGCCATGTTCTGTGACGAAACTAGTATTTTCTTACTCTCGAGACTACTCGTACTACTCGAACGTAGCCGGGCCCCATCATCCAGCATGGATTGCAGGTCCTGAGCTCGGGGTGTGGCGCTGTCGATGCTGTACCGCACAGGGTTCACATCGGTTAAAATCGGAGGTCGAACGGGATGAGTCGATGTCTGATGACCGTTTAGTATATGGCATAAATTTAGGTCAAGGGTAGCAGACCTTCTCTTGTCCGCCATTGAGAGAGGCTAGGCTTTCAGCCTCTGATTTTGGAGATGTCCTTGGACTTGGCCCTTTTTGCTCCATGGCTGGAGGTGCGGCGGCAGCTGGAGCAGCCTGAATGGTGTTAAATGTGTCGGATCTAGAATGACGATGAAACTTACCCAGCTGGAAAAGCTTTCTGGTGCATGAATGACAGAAATAGCCTCCTCGTTGCTGGACTGGCGCACACTCTCCGGTAAGTTAGTTGTGAGCATTAAGAGCTGTGGTCAAGTTAGTTTATAGCCCAGAATGTCGGCGGTGCCCATTGTCACTGACCTCCGACCGACGGGTAGCCTTTCTATCACTAACTTCCTTCTCAATATCCTCTGAGACATCGTCCTCGATCTCGGTCGTTTCAGTACCATTAGATGTGACTGGAGAAGGACCCACAATGTCACTAGGACTCATGACATTGTAGGAGCTACTTGACATGCGATTGACAGAATTGGGTCGAAGTGAGGACGAATCGGTAGCAGGAGGAGGGGAAGAGCTAAGACATGGGTTAACAGAGATTCCAAGAGGTTTTACGTTAAGCGCATAGCTCCTAAGGCAACGTACAATGGTCTGAATGGAGAGCGACGGCTCTCATTCTCTGTGGGCGCAGACATGTCTGTCTGAGGGTAAACGAAAGGGAATTGTAGGCTTCCAGTCGATGACCTCAAAGGGGCTTCAAGGGCCATGACGGGAGCGTGGAGTTTCAAAATATTAAGCTACCCTGACGGTGGTAGTTGAGAGCTCCGATGGCAGAGGGGTCCTTAAGACAATTCGCAGCTCCAACCAAGCGTCGACGCAAGAAAGCCTTGCGATGCAGCAGTCCCAAGGTCGACAGACGATCGAAACCCGATGCAGGAGACAATTCGAGATTACCAACAGCTGTCGTGACAGCAAAAGAATAAAAGATGAGCTTGTCGGTTGGCGGTCGATGTGCGGTCGCGCGGCCAGTTAAGAGACCTATGGAATCGAGTGTGCTAAGATCGGGAGGCTGCGTAACTAGTCTGATCCAGTCGAACAGCAATAAGGAAAGATTGATGAAATAGAAACAATACAGAAGATCCAAATGCTGAATGAAGGGCTCAATGACACTCCGGCGACGAAGCAAGCAAGCAAGTTCGTCCAACGAAACCAGCTCACCAAAAGCCGAACCGAAGAGAGAGAATGGTTAGAATGGAGGGGGAAAGGTTTAAAGAAACAGGCAGAGCCAAAAGCTGGAGCACCAGCGGTTGCAACGACGGACTAAGGCAGACAGACAGACGCCAGTTTGACAGGGGTTCGTGAGACCGGGTCCCTTGTTCTCGCAGCCCTGCTACATTGGGGTGTTATGGGTCAGGTACTCAATTGTAGCTCTTGTTACTGTGAGAGTCAAGTAACAAATAAGCAGACAGCAGCGTTCAAGATATTTGTTGATGCCACCTTTGGTAGCTGTGAGCTGGCTTCAGAAGCTTGCTACCTTGTTACTTCTCTGCTACCTGTCCCGGTGAGCTGCCTTGAATTGTTATGGAGGGGGACCGTACATGCGGCCGGCGCTTGTCGGGAGCGCGATGGTTGGCGCGGTGGGAAACAAAGAGACGCGATAGTCGTTGAATAGGTATTGTGTATAAGGTCTTACAGAATTGCTTCGTCAATGGAATTGAAGCAATTCAATTCTTAGAGTGATCCAAAGACTGCAATTATGACTTGACCAGATTTATGTTTGTTAACGGCTCACCAGACTGAGCAGGAAAAGATAGAATGTTGCGGAACGTGAACTAAAAGACGGTTGGATCATGAATGGGGCGTGGCCCAGCTGATGGAATATGGGAGGTGTGGATATCGATCAAGCTGGTAGCAGGAGGGGCTCTGCGGCTAGGACGCAACCTGTGACACTTGATGCTCCTGGAGAGTAGCTAAAAGAAAATACAGCCTAGACAACTCTGAAAGTCTGAATTGTCTTGCCGAGACAAGGCAGCGAGCGGGTGGGCCAGTTGTGTGGATCAAGGCGCAGATGGGACTTTAGAGAGGAGGGTGAAGTTGGGGGCCAGAGATGTTGAGTTGTTAGGTAGTTGCTTGGTTTCTTTTGAACAGTCTGACCAAGAATTTCTGCCGAGGGTGATGGGTTGATACTGATGAGTGCCAATGCCGTCCCGAGATGGGTTTCCCAAGTGATTTGAAAGGCTTGAATCTAAGTTCAATATATCGAGGTGTGGCAGAAGCCGTCGACTTGCAGCATCGGGGTGTTGAAATTGGATGCTTAGGGTGAATGGATGGAGCGGCTAATCGTGAGTGGTCTGTCCTCCTGGACCACTTCAAGCGACTTTCAACAAGGCCTTCTTGTCTCTGGCTATTGTGTTGAGTAGAATAGGGTGTGGTCAATGCAACCTATTGATGACTCCCCTGTGTGTATTGCAGTGGCTCTTATTATGCAGAGAAGTCGATTCAATCATTGTACTTGCTCATGAAAAAGCCGAATTGAATCAATTGCAGATGACTGGCATACATGTACGTCGAGATTGGCGCTGGGCTGAGAAAAAATGTATCTCTGATGAAAACTAACAACATCGTTGTGTAAGTCTAAAGCATTACCGTTGGCGGAAGGAGAGGCTGGAGGGTTGACGAATGGACCATAGATCGGGGGACGGGAGGCCCACTCTGGTTAGCACCTGCCCTACGTACAGATCGCAATCGTCAGTGTTCCCGCGGTAGGTACATTCGATGCCAGCTACCTTAATCAAGCCAGATGGTTGAGGTTAGGTATAGGGATAATTTCCACCTTCGGGCTGTCTTTTTCGTCTTTGGATCATTATTCCATCTTTCTGTATAGCAACATAAGTCAGTTGCCAGCCCCTTTGTCCCGACTTGCCAATCTTGATAAACAACTGACAGCAACTACTTCTGCAAGTATATTTGCCCGTCACTTTGCGCTCAACTTAACAGCTCTGCACTGCTACAAGACAACCATAAGAGAGAACTTCCAGCCGCCCGCCCATGACATGGAGCCAGTCAAACCCCAGACAGTTGGCCAGGGTGGATGGATCGTGGCTCCAAAACTCGTGGGGCACATTAAAAAAAGGACAGGCGTCGGCGCTTAACTCATGGTGGGACTGGCCAATCCTCCGAAGTCCCCCACTTGCATTGCTTCCACCAACGACCTGGAACTGTCCAATGCTATGCTTCATGGTGCTTTGTGTTCGACAAGCTACAATGAACTTCCGAGCTTTCCTCCCAAGTTCAGCCGTACAGTACTATGGCTACAAAGTCGATGCCATGTGCCATGGCCCGCTGCACGGCATCAACGGTACGGAATGTGACACCCAATGCTGTATACGTATTTAGCATGATCGACAACCTAAAATCGGAATCCCAACCAGCTTCATGTTTGGAAAGGACATAGACATACGGTGGGAGTCTTGAGTTTTGGGGACAACGCCCAACATGGTCTTGAGTTACTTTGCTTGAGAGCGTGTGACGTGACTGACGATTCAGCCGGCTGACAGCGTTCCGACTTAATGCTTTATCGGTAGCCCTCAAAAGACATGCTGGTTCGATACAGTCTCCATTGCTTTTCAGATGACACTCCATCCGAATTACCTGAGGATGGAGTAGAACAACTGTGGTCGGTGAGGCAGAATTCTTCGTCCACTTCCGCAGTTAGCTTGAGGAGTGGCCCTCTCTCCCCATCACTCCAGAAGTCAATGGCAATACTACTCATAATGCTAGGCCTTCACGATGGTGCTTCTAAACGCCCAGGGCTCGCAGGGGTACGACCAGGATGTAGAACAAGCCAATCAATAACCCAAACCTCAGAACCCGGCGAACCCAGCAGTCTGGTCACGGCGGCTTTGGCAACGCTAAAACGAGCCGGTGGCCCCACCACCCCGGGTTGCAGTATGTCCTTTGTGACGCACAGTTCGCTTGCTCTGGAACATGACTCTCGTGGCAGGCGGTTCAACAATGTCCAGATGCCAGCAGTTTGGCAAAGCAACATCAGAAGATTCGAACAAATACTAGAATATGCTTGAGCTAGGCCCTCTAGTCAATCTCTCTTCCCCTTGGCTTTTCAACCCTAACCGCCATGGCCTCTAGAGCCTATCACTCACTCACTGTCTGGTCACTTCAAGGTATGGAGAACGGACAAGGACACATATACAATCATCTTCAGTTCTTTCTTGTTTATGACTGCCAGAGAACTAACACCATAAGTGGATTCTGTGCCCATTTAGAGAAAATGACCAATCCATTCGCTTATAATCAGACCAACACAACCAGCCCACGAGCTCATGCAAACTAAGAGGAGGTTTCCAATTTTATTTTCCCGGGCTGAACCTTCGGCTAGGTTTACAACAAGAGGAATGACTACGAGACCAAGACTGTATTGTTTGCTACTACCCATGTTGTGACAGACAACATCGTCTGGGGTCTGAATCCTAGTAGCCAATTTAGCGTGGTGATAGCCCAACGCCTGTTGCGTTGTTTTAGTTATCACAGCGCTAGACAGATTCTCGGAATTGTATTCACGATCGCCAATCCAGCCAGCCGGTGCGGGGACTCCCAGCCCTTGTTAACCGGTTGAATAGGTGTTGATGCACCCTTGACAGCTCCACGAGTTCACCTCGAGATTCTGAATGGTGCAAGCTTTGTACTCCTACTGAGCCGGGGATCTTTCTCGATTCTTTTCTCGAACCCAAGAGCAGGGTTGCGGTGTGGATTTACCCCTTCCGGAACACATCCCGCGGTCCACCGCCGCAGAGGTCAGAATGTTCAGATGTGACCCAACAAGGAGGGCTACGTACATCGCGAATACACGACATATGAAGATGTGCTTTTAATATATGGAATAGATTTACTAAACACCATAACAAGAACTTTGAGCCCGAAGTGGACTTCCGAGTATGCACGAAAACGCCGTGGAGGGAAGCACAGAATGCAGTGCATAAGCGCCAGCCTGACTAGACCTTTGACACTTAGACACTCTTCTCTTTGGCTCGAGGTTGTTTGTTTATCGTGTTGTACAGCTCGATGACTCAAGCTTTCCACTTGCGGTAACCAGTCCGTCTATGCGGTCTGTCTAGGATCAAGATCGTGTTGGTCGATCAGCATAAGAAAAAGAAAAGCGCGGTTGCTGGCCAAGCTTGTTACTACACAACCAGGTCGCTTGGGTGTGGTAAGTGTTTTCCGACCTGCTTGGAGGATCCTTAATTGTTGTTACTATACCACAGCACATCTGTCCATGAAATACATCGTTACCCATGACCTTGCGGCCCGAACAGCCACACACACTGGACGGGCTCTTCCGAACCAACACCTCTTTGTCTTATTTTCATTGTCTGCTCCATGACTCTGAGATGTCTACTCCGCTGATAGCAGGGCGGCCTGAGGTACTGAATAGGTCGAGCGACTTGATTACAGCCAAGATTGGAAATTCATGACGGGCCTCAAAGAGAGACCACCTGCTAGTGCATTGGCCTTCAGAAACTCCCGATCTTTTGGAAACCAGGTCCAAGTCACATGTTGTGAGACTCGGGCGTGGTGACTGGCTTGCAGCCTGGCTTTGGTCTATATCATTGTTCCTACCGTCAAAGTGGTGGAAGGGTCGGAACTCAAATAATGGGCTTGAATAAAGGTAACTCTCGTGCCAAGATACTAGAAAGTCATTATCATCCTTGTCATTCACATAGCAAAAGGCCAGCCAAATTCTTGAGTCTCTTTATGACAAGCTTTTCATTGCTTCGGACGTATAGATTAGGACAGCCTTGTTGAATTGTTCTCAGTCTCGCTTCAGAAGGGAAACTCGATTCACTTTAGCCCTGGTAGACAGGTATCGCGATGTAAAGCGAAAGCGTCGCATCCCCTTTACACTGTTGTCGGGCACTAGGGCAAGAAGTTACAGGATCGACAGCAAAAGGGTAACCATGCTATAATAGAACAGGTATAGACCCCAGAGACATGAGAGCTTCAACCAACATTCGGGTGTGTTGTCATACTTGTTGGCCTTGCAAGAGACTGTTGGCTCGATGCAATCGCCCGCTTCCTTCTGCAAGCACACAATTTTGAGGACAACCAACACATTTGAGTGAATTTCCGAGGTCTTCGAGTGAGGCCAGACCATAGAGGCAAACAAGAAAACTCAATTCCAGCACCTTGCAAATCAGGTGAGACTGAGAATATGCGTGCCAGTTTAACTAGCCTCTTCTGGCTTCCCATAGATGTTGGCATGCTGTCTAACAACATGGGCCATCTCCTGATTCCTGCTCGTTGTTCCTCGCCGCAACTTGACATCCACCGCTCTTTGCGCACAGGCCTCAACAAGGGCGGGAGTGTTGCGGTAGTAGTCTGAGAATTAAATCCCAGTACTCAATGGCATAGTGCCGAGAAGAGGCAAGAAAACTTAGGACCTCTATCTTAAGTAACGAAAAGAATCAGGTAAGTTTAGTATATCTTAGCAAGCCATTATTAGACCAGTTTATTTTAGCACCCTGATTTCATGCCAGAAGTTTTCCTGCTCCCTGAGGAGTGCATAAGGACCTCCTGCCGGAAGGGAATACATGCAGGACAAAGGGCCTACCAAGAGCCAACCGTTTCTTTTGAAGGGAAGCATGAGTAAGGATGGTGGAGAAGGATCCAGTGAAAACACAGATCAATATCTTGACAGTCTCGAAAGTGTCTGTATAGGGGGCACCGTAGATTTTGAGGACTCGTGCTCTCGTATTTGAAACTGATCAATTCATTGCCTTCCTTGCGCCGTCAAAGTGACATATTTCGGCAAGATTCCCTTAACGCCAAACCATACACAACCGTTCTTTCGCTGCTTCTTTGCCACTACGCATTTTATGAGTACTGAACGCCAAGGTTCTGCTTCTTCTCGCTTCGGCCATCAGGAGTGTACCTAAAGAGAGTTAGAAATCGCGTATGTAATGGTATCTGGACGGTCGTGTCGTACTTGAGAAGCTTCTCGATAAGGTCAACGTGGGTCATGATCATGCGGCGGCAGCAGTATCGCTTCAGACCGAGCTCGTCCATAGCATCGCTACAAATCGTTAGATATCCAACAGTATAAAGAGACAAGAGCCAGCTTACCCATCGGTCTTACGGGGATCTGCGATCAGTTGAAGATAGCGCTCCCAGAGGTCACCAGTGACCTACATTCCAAATTAGTAATCAGCGCCTGGCGCATCGCGGCTGAAGATCCTACCTTTCCACAGGAGAAGCAGCGGATGGGAATAATCATTTTGATGTAATATGGTGAGTGCGCAGGTTCGTCGGATGCGTCCAAAAGAATTGCGACAAGAGCAGGAGGCACGTTACAAAGAAAGCTTGCGATAGTTTGGCGTCGTAGTAGGACTACGAAAATAAATTCTAGCTCCGTTATTTTTCCGACGGAGCGCTTATCTTATCAGCAACTTTTTTCGCAAGCGGGACCAAAATTTCTGCGAACCTTTACCCAGTAGAAGCATATCCAGCAGGACAACTTCGTCACTTTTCTCTCCGTCGACGAATTGTTAAAAGAAAGTCGCAAGCACACGAAATTGATCTCGTGCAGAGAGAAGAAGGTGGCGAAAATGGCCGGCCACAAGAGCCCCCGAACAAAAAACGATCCGACCAAGAAGCGCAAACGCGATGTGACGGAGAACGATTCGAGAACCAAGAGGCTAAGAGCTGAACGAAAGGCGAACAAAATCAATGGAACTAAGCTTGAGAACGACAGTGGCAATGGCGTGGTTGCTGAGGTGAACGGTATTTCTGGAGCTCTGGCAGAGGCTGGAACTCTGGAGATCGAAATTGTTCGCCAGTTCGACGATACAGAGGCAGGATGGCGCGTTTCGAAGCCTATGGGTGGCAGGATGCTTGATATCGATCCCGTATTGACAGAAAATGAGCAGTAAGTCTCAATTTCTGCTAGTACTGGCCTAGCTAACCTTCATAGATTCCTCATTATTGCATACAACACATCTATCCAGGTGTACTCGGCAGCCGATTCACTCCTTGTTCGACGAATCCCCATTACTGCAGCCGAAACTTCCGACGACAAGGCTGCAGCACCCGCGCATATCGTCGCCATGAGGCAAGCAAAGCAAAACTCCAATATCGTCTGGGTGGCTACCTCTGACGGCCGCGTTTGTGAAGTCGATTGGACAACCTCCAAGACCCCCGAATTCTTCCAGACCCAATCCAAGACTGCAACTGCCATGGCCCTCGTTACGAAAAAGGTCTCTGGCAAAGTTCAGGAGATCATATTTGTAGCAGAATCAGATAAACCAGGCCGAATTGAGGTTGTCGCATACCCAGCCTCAACAACGGAGTCTGAGCACAAGGTTCTCTTCGTTATGAAGAAGCCTGGTAATGGCCTGCAGTTGCTTGAGACTAGTGAAGATGGCCACCTGGTTGGCGCCATTAACGACCGCCTTTTCTTTGGCGTTCCATCACAGCGACAATTCGATAACCTGGCTTCTTTGGATTACGAGATTTATACCTTCGATATTCCCGACTTGGTCAGCGCCCTTGACCTGAGAGTATATCCTAGACCAGTGACTAGCGGAAAGAAATCGCGACAGGAAGCCGCTCCTGTTCTGGATATCATTGTTGGTGGTGCCCGTGGTTCAATTTACCTCTACCATGATGCGCTTGCTCGAAGCCAGGCGCTTGCAAAGTCAGGATCTGATAAGGAGCCTATTCAAGCACAAAACTTTCATTGGCACCGCAGAGCGGTGCACGCCCTGAAGTGGTCGCGCGATGGTACGAAACTCTACACTGCACACGAAGCCTCGAGGATTGTACTGACATATCGCAGGTAATTATGTAATTTCAGGAGGTTCTGAAAATTCTCTCGTTCTATGGCAAATGGATACGGGAAAGAAGGATTTTCTTCCCCATCTTTCTGGCAGCGTGGAGAACATCACAGTTTCTGCCAACGGCTCCTCATATGTTGTTCACCTCGACGATAACTCAGTCATGGTCATTTCGACCGCTGAGATGAAGCCTACAGCATACATCGCTGGTATTCAGTCGGCCGCCGTCAACGTCACTACACCCAAGGATCTTCTCGTTCAGCGAACATGGACAACACCTGCGAGCGTACAGCGACCTATCCCAGCTGTAATTAGCCCTACTGATCAGTCGAGACTACACGTCTGTGTGGGTAATGGCCGGCAGGCTACTATGTCTGGAGGGTTCTCTGCACCTTTACTTCAGACCTTTGATCTTGAGACTTTCCGAAGTGTCTCCAAGCAAGCTTTGGCTCGCACACAGCCAACAGATGTCAACATCACGAACAAGGGCCACCCTATCGAAGAGCCACTCATTACTCACCTAGCGTTCTCAGCTGACGGAGCGTGGCTTGCTAGTGTTGACACCTGGGAGCCATCACAACGAGACGTGGACAACGTTATCAGCGATGCCAAGGACCAGTTCATTCAAGAGCGACGAGAGGTGTATCTCAAGTTCTGGGAAGCACAAGAAGGCGAGGAGCAGATTGCTCTTGTCTCCAGGATTAATGCCCCTCATGCTACAAATCGCAACGAGGCAGTTCTCGACTTAGCCTCGAACCCAGTCTCGACATGCTTCGCAACTATTGGTACCGACGGCAATGTTCGATTGTGGCGCCCCAAGACAAGATCTCAGAATGGAGTTGTAGTGAAGGGGCCTAACGGTCGCGAGGTCTTCACTTGGAGTTGCTCTCAGATTATTGCTGTGGGTGACGGTATTCCTCAAGACGGCGTGATCGACCTCCCCGAGTCTGGTGTTGTTCAAGAGCCCCAAGGAAGTATCGCCTTCTCGGAAGATGGCTCAACTCTCTTCGTGGCTTTCGGAACAGCTGGCTCCGGTGTAGTCTACGTGATTGATGCTGCGTCAGGCGATGTGGTTAAGACCCTCGAAGGCCAATGGAAAGGTCAATTGCGATCTATCCGTGCGCTTTCGCCTTTCGTCATTATCCTATCAGATGAACTGCGCGTTTATGACGTTGTCAGTGATGAGCTACGATATGGTGTTGTGATACCACAGTCCAAGGCCAATGCTCTTCTTCAGCTGGCTGTTGATCACACTTCCGGTCACTTTGCCCTGGCTCTGCCAGCTAATGAGGGTTCTCTCATTGCAGTTTTCCAGCCTGGGGATATCGAGCCCCTGTTAGTGCGTAACACGCCTCAAAGGATTGTCAGTTTGGTTTCTGCTCCTGAGACAAGTGGTTTCATCGCTCTGGATGATGCTGCTCAAGTCTGGGTGGCTGCCGAGGGATCAGACCCTTCATCTCTTGCAACCGTCCAGCCTCTTGAGGACCTCCGCCTCGAGGGCATTGATGTTAATCGTAATGAGGCTGATCTTCTCGATGAGGACGAGGATATGGCAAGCGATGTTGACGATGCCGAGGCCGAGCCTGTGACTGAGCCTGAAGATGTCGAGATGGAAGATGATGACTCTCACCCAAGCGTGATTCAACAACAACATCTAGCAGACATCTTTGACGCTGCACCAGCATTTGCTGCGCCTCCGATCGAGGATTTGTTTTACAAGGTTACGGGCCTGCTCGCGACAAAGCCTCTTTCAGCATCATGAAAGGAAGAAATTGGTATGTAATAAGGCGTGTTAAAAAAGCTAGAATGTTTTTTTGTTACAGAGGAGTATGTATAAATCAAACTAGACAGTCATGGTCTAGTCGCATGGGGTCTTGGGAAGTTAGATGATCGCAGCGCCGGCGTTGAGCAGGTCTGGAATACTAGCTATTCATTCAGTTTGTATATGCATCTGGAGTATGGCCGACATCGGCGTGATTGAAAGAAGAGGCAATCGCCAAAATAGCCCGGCATCTCTCGGGAATCGGTTGCAGATGCGGGGACTTGACTTGACTTGGAGACGAAGGAGAAGAGGAGAAAAAGGTGTATTTGGGTGGACCAATCGCGCCATGGCATGAGGAGGTGATGGGTAATCAATCAGTCGATCTATTGACTTGACTTTGACTACCTTGGAGTGAAAGATACCAAGTTATTTATCAACAAGTTACAACATTAACTATTTTACTACTTTGCTTGTCCAACTTGGCATATAGAAATGTCGTTTACGTCTATTCCAATTCTGGACCTAGCTGCGGCTCAGGATCCCGCTACCAAGCCTCAGTTTCTAAAGGAACTTCGTCATGCGTTAATGGAAGTTGGCTTCTTGTATCTCAAGAATGTTGGCATCTCGGATGAGTTGTTTCAGAAGATCATTGAACTTGGAAAGGGTTTCTTTGACATTCCCGAGGAAGAGAAGTGAGTGATGAGTGACATTATCATGATCTGATGGCTCACTAACTCGTCCAGACTCAAGATTGAGATGAAGAATGCGCCCTCTTTCCTAGGCTACTCTCGTCTCTCAGCGGAGATCACAGCTGGAGAGATTGATCATCGTGAACAAATTGATCTCTCAACAGAGCATCCTATCCCTGGGCCTGGTGCTCCTCTATATCGTAACCTGTTAGCACCCAATCAATGGCCATCCGAGGACTCGTTGCCTGAGTTCCGCAAAGTGTATACAGACTACATGGAGCGCATGGGCAAGATCTCAATTGAGTTTACGTCTCTCATCGCCGAAGCTATTGAACTTCCCAGCGACGCCTTTGATAAATACTTTGACGAAGATCAGCAACACAAGCTCAAGATTGTCAAGTACCCCGATGCAAAGGAACTCGGCATCGAAGGAAACGTGCAGGGCCAGGGCGTAGGTCCTCACAAAGACAGCATGCTTACAAGCTATCTCCTCCAGGCGACATCGCACAAGGGTCTTCAAGTACAGAACGTTCGAGGCGACTGGATTGACTGTGAGCCAATACCCGAAACCCTCGTCGTTGCTATCGGCCAAGGCTTAGAGGCACTTACACAAGGCGTCTGTGTCTCTACAACACATCGTGTCCTCTCCCCCGCTGCCGGCTCAGGTGCACGCTTCTCTATTCCCTTCTTCCAAGGCGTGCGCATGAGCGCTGAGTTTGAAGATCTGGAGAAAGTTGGCGTTGGTCTTGTACCAGAGGAAGTACGGGAGCAGCGTCGCAAGATCGTGGAGCGCAATGGCGGACGTATTGATGATGTCGAGTTTACTTTCCGAGCTGGCGGTGCTTCAAAGACGCTTGGTGAGGCAACATTGCGAAATCGGGTCAAGAGTCATCCTGACGTTGGAGAGCGCTGGTATCCTGATATTCTGGCTAGCATCCGTGAGGAACAGGCGAAGGCGAAGCAGCAGAAGGAGGCTGCAGCACCAGTCGTGAAAGCGCCCCCAAAGGCTGTAGAGGCTCATTAGGTAGCAGATGGCAAACACAGAGGAATGGCAAGAATGTGCAAAAAAAGAGCCGCGTAAAATTTATATCCATCATGAGTCCCTTGATCTCGTCTTGTCTCGTATCCCCATTCTCGTCTAGGCTATCGCGCCACAGTACGCCTCGCTTCGCTAAACATTTCCCATTTTCCAGTTGTTTTCTTGACTTTTCTCTTCTCGTACGATACCATCATGTCAACACATAGTGTTATGGTCTATGCGACTTGGACGTTGGGGAAGCAGTCGGCAATGGTCTTGCTGTGCTTGTTCTCGGCATGCTCTTTCAGACTGGAGAGGAAGTATTAGTTAGGATGATGGAGAAACAGAGGAGATCGGTGGGTATTTTGGTGGACATACGCAGGGGCCTTTGTGGTCTTGAGGAAGGTAGATTTGCAGATCTGGCACTGAATATCACAAGCCTTCTCGTTCTATTTGGTCATGTTAGCAAAAGATACTGCAAGTTCTAGAGTACAGTCTGTAACTCACCACTTTGAGCTGGGACTTGGCAGTGTTCTTGTCCTTAGCATTGCGCTCGCGCTTCTGTTGAGCCTTGGCACCCTGAAACCTCCATGTCAGCACAAGGTATCGTTTATGATCGCATCTGAATCCTCTTAGCTTACGTTACCCATGTTTGCGATTTGGACTGGTTGTTAAGAAGAGGGTGTGTTGCGTTATGTGGACTAGGAGAATTTGGTATAGACTGGTGGTGTTGGAAGGTCAAAGGTGTAAGTGAGTAAGAATTAAGAGGATGGATTGGATGCGATTATGCAGAAGAAAACCCGTAAAAACGGAAAACGGAGGGGTCACTTTTTTTTTTTCTCCTCTCTTAGCTGTCGCCCTTTTCGGACAGGCCGTTATCTAACCGCTCTCAGGGTCTAGGCCGTTCCATCCTGGGATTGGCATCGACGGGCATTAACAGAAGCTACAGAGCAGAGGCAGAAACTGTATCTATTTATGTTACAGAGTTGGTGTCACCGCCGTCTCAGAGTTGTTATTGATTGTTCAATTTGGTCAAGGGTCATAAAATATACTTTTACTAAGTTACAGCTGAATACATAGCCTCTAAGTGCATAACCACTTTTGGTAGCTTTGAATACTTGCACCACTCATCAACATCACTGTCAGCGCCGCCCCAACCAACCATAGCTGGCAAAAGCTTCGAAACTGACCCATACGAGCCTCAACTCACAGTAAGCTAGCTTACTCACGTCTCCGAATCTTGCTGAGTAGTGGAGAAGCCTGGGGAAAGCTACTGTGCTGTGCCTTGAGCTAGTGTAGCTTCTCGTCGATCGTATTGAGCTGACCTCTGGCTGGCCTAAGCCCTATCAATTGCAAGAATCCCGCTTAGATAGAAGTCAATATCATGCTTTCCTTGCTCCAGTTCGAGGCTATTACCTAGCTAAGGTAGCTAAGCGGGCAACGCCTGCTTTGCCGCTGACGTTCATGGCAACGAGGATTCGAAGGATCATCAACAATACATCGTATTATGTACAATGTTTCAAATCAGGATAAATCAGGTTTATCAGATCTTCCCTTTCTGTCAAATCAAGAAGCTCGAGAATACAAGCTCCTGTCTAGATATCCAATGTCCGCCATAAACGACGCCACGTACCGCCAATGGCGCTATACAGCACAGCCTAAACGCCCGTTCTTTCAGCTTCACACCAACAACTCCGCATCCAATTTGATAGCTCGTCTGGTCATCCAAACCGAGTAAGGTATAGAATCCATCTTGGTATGCAACGCTATACGTGTAGTTGGTGCTGAGGTGAGACGGCGACTATTGATGTCCGACAGCCGGCCCTGTACAATAGTATATAAGGCTGTTAGGAAGCACGATAGAATATGCATACACACCATTATCGAGAGCCATCACTTTTCCAGTAACCAAGTATGACCCAAACTAAGTTCTCATCGTTGCGCAGCAAGCTGGTTCAGGGACGGCTTCTACTCCCTGGAGACGAAGGATTCGAGGAGAGCCTCCAACGATGGAGTCTTACCTGTATCAAGCCCGCTGTACGTCAAACCGTCGTGGCTCCCCAGCTACCAGCTAATCAATTCACAGGCCGCTGTAGCCCAACCCAGAACTGCTGAAGAAGCCAGTGAGGTCGTCCAGTTTGCAACATCTAATGGCATCAAATTCAATGTCAAAGGAGGTGGCCATAGCACCTCGCAAACTTCTTGCGCTCCCTCACCCGAGGGCATGGTCCTGGACCTCTCTCTTATGCGTGATGTCTCGGTGGACACCGAGGCAAACACCGTCTCCTTTGGAGGAGGTTGCTTATGGAAAGACGTTGACGAGGCACTATGGCCCAAAGGCCTAGCTACCGTTGGCGGAACTGTCAGCCATACTGGCGTTGGAGGCCTTATCCTTCATGGTGGCTATGGCGTCCTGTCTGGTATTCACGGTCTGGCCATCGACGTCTTGCTTTCCTGTCAAGTCGTTCTAGCCGATGGGAGCATCGTGACCGCATCCTCCACCGAGAACGCAGATCTCTTTTGGGCTCTCCGAGGCGCCGGCAGCAGCTTTGGCGTGGTTACCCAATTCACCAGCAAGATATTCCCACAAGGTGACATCTGGGGTGGCATGGCTTTCCTCCCCCCTTCGGCTCTGCCCGCCGTGATTAAGTTTCTCAACCACTGGGGAGAGACAAACGACGGCACGCAAATCTTCCTCACAGGCTACACTTATGCTCCCCCCGGCCCAGACCCCAATGCGCCCAGGCCCCTCGTTGTCCTGGTTCAGATGGCCCAGATGGGGCCCAATCCAGAGGAAGATGGCCAGAAATATTTCGCTCCTATACTAGAGCTCGAGGCATTGATGAAGCAAGTTGGACCTATGCCATATCCTATGATCAACCAGGGCGCAGATGAGGTCTTTGCAAAGGGCAGCAGATACCTGTTTGGTGGCGCCAACTTCACTCTTCCCATGGAGCTTTCCACCGCCGAATCAATCCGTGATAAATTCACGGGATTTGTCGAGGACACACCGGGTACCGAGGGCTCTGTTGTTATGATAGAGTGCATTCCCCAGAAAACCATCCGGACGATTCCTGTTGAGTCAACATCCTTCAACTCACGAGGTAACTACTACAATGTTGGTATAAATTACAAGTGGATGGATAAGAGTCTTGATGCCAAAATTCGCCAGTTCAATCGTGGATTCCAGAAGTCGATCCGCGAGCTTGGATACGACGACAAAGCCTTGTCAGATGGCATTGGTCATTATCTGAACTATGTGAGCACTGACACCATCTCGGCTGAAGAAGCATTTGGTTCAAACTCGAAGCGCTTGAGGGGGTTGAAGAAGCGGTATGATCCAAACAATGTCTTTGACAAGCTGTGGAAACTGGTTGGTGAGGTTGAGGATAACAACTGGATTGCCTGAGGGGCGAAAGGTGTATTATCTCTTGCTGAATAAATCAATCAAGGAATCTTACCACAGTAATTGTCTTATATCTTGGGAATGAATTTAACGTTATCTTGGAAAATAATATGGTTTTGTAGAAAGAATAAGAGGTGAATCAAACAGAGAAGTACCTATGGCCTTCGGGAGTAAGAAAACAAGACTTCTCTCTCTATCCTAAGGATAAAAGACTTGAGGTAAATTTAGTGTAAACTTAGGACCTTTCTCCTAATTGATACCTAAGAATAACTGATCTATGTACCTACTTGTACCTAAGGCAGGTACCTAGGTAGGTAAGTTTCCTTGCCTCCCCTCTCCCCTAGTACGGATATTAGCAGGCACGATCATGCACGGTGCGAATTGAACAGTCCCCTTCTATCGCGTCGCGTCTCTCCAAGGCACTTCAACTTCGCATCTTCTCCTCAATCTCTATGCTCGTTTCTCGTAACACTCGACTCTCCTGCCTCAGCCTATCATTGAAAGTCGCAATCGGGAAACAAAGCACTTTCAGGTCTCTCGCTCCGTCGTTTCTTATAAAAGGACATCTTATCACTGTGTCAAATTATATCAGCACTATGGCATCCGCTTTGAGCATTACCTCTGCCAACAAGATCAGCCTTGAGGAGTTCAAGCGAGTTCTCAATCAATACCCGCCTCTTATTCAAAAAGTATCAGATGAAAAGGGTGGTAAGTGAATAAAAAAGATATCAAGGATGCCATTTCATACGAATATCGGCTAATCAATATTAACCAATAGCCAAAGGTGGCCAGAGAACGCTGCAAGAACTGGACAATTATCGATACAACGATGCATTGGATGCCTTCAATTCTAGCGCAAAAAGTCGCCCAATGAAGCTAGACGACATCAAGAACCTCGTGGAGTGGAAGTTGTGAGTCCAAGTCCACCCACCTGTGCCAGAATCGTACAGCTGCATGAGGTCAAAGCTGAAGTCATTTACTAATAAAGATCAGACGCCATGGGAAGTTCAGACCAACTCTTATGAATCTGGTCTCATCTAATGATGCAAACGATGCTCAGGAAATTGTAAAGCAAGCTCTTGACGCTTACAAAAAGGATGCCGACATAGAAACCGCCTTGGGTGTATTGACAAAGCTTCGAGGTATTGGTCCTGCAACTGCATCCTTGCTTTTGGCTGTTCATGATCCGACACGGGTCATCTTCTTTGCCGACGAGGCTTTCTGGTGGCTATGCTGCAATGGGAAGCAAAGCCCTATCAAGTATAACGCCAAAGAGTACCGTATGCTATGCTCCAAAGTCGACGATCTGCGGAACAGACTCGACGTGCAAGCAAGTGACGTGGAGAAAGTGGCATATGTATTAATGAAGGAACCGGCTCAACCGGATCAATCCCATGATGTGGCACCACCGAAAGAGGCCAAGCAGATTACAGCGCCCATGGCAGCGAAGAAGGAAAAGAAGAGGAAGGCTAATTCAAATGCCGAAATAGTACAGGATGCAACCCATGAACAGCCGTCACTTCGTCGATCCAAACGGGTCAAGATCTAATTAGTGCTTTAGTCGCAAGGGAAAACAAAACGACTCGACTCACGGCAACAAGACCACAAAATTATTCTGCACACATTTTTGCAGAAGTGCAAAGAATGATGCTCACAATTCAGTGCCACCTTTCCAACCGTATGCACACTAGGTCCATGATACCAAGCTGTAAGACTCAAACGGTTAAACATTACAGCTAATCGTTTTGATAACACACCGCAACTCACCCTAGGCAGTCAAAAAGACAGCCTCAGAGGACCGGGTATCCGGCCCGTATAGCGTGTATCCGAAGAATACCAAGCTCCCATCCGAAGAAATTCCGCATGACGACGATTCCTCACGATGAAATCAATGACTTAACGCTCAAAGAGGCCGTGGACAGTCACGCGCAGCGTTCAGGCACGGTTACGGACCATGTAAACGCGGTTATAAAACAACCATACGCCGCACTGGCACCCAGAATGTCAGGTTTCCCTTCCTTGGAGAAGATGCTTGAGTTCTTACCTTTGCTGTTCCAGTAGTGTCCCTCGATTGCCACATTTACTCCAGTATATATCTATGATTCAACTGGTGCGAGTGGCCTAGGATAGCTCAACGTTATCTTTTATTTCCAATACCCACAATCAACTTCTCAAAAGTTCTCACCATGGCTCCAAAAGGCCACCGGCATGGCCCGTCAAGTAGTATGTTTGCTCAGATTACTGAGCCCATACCTCTTCCTACTCGCTTTGCCCGAATCAAGAGAGATTTGATTGAGGGTAAAGAATCTCAAATCAAGAGTTCCTGGATAAGACTGCTTGTCAAGTTAAACACTGAAATCGATATCATCGCCAAAGCCGGTTCGGATATCTACCCATCTATTGATTTTAACGATCTCAAAGAGTCTTCAGTTGCAGACGACTTTTCTTCAAAACTAAAAGATCGAGGTGTCGCTGTTGTTCGGAATGTAGTTCCTCATGATCTGGCTACGAAATGGAAGGCAGATACCGACGCCCACTTAGGAGACCTTCAGGCTCAACGATTGCCCACCCATGATCCGCATCTTTACGGAGTTTACTGGTCTCCTGGGCAGATCAAATCTCGAGCCCATCCGAACATTCTCTATACTCAACGTTTCCTAATGAATTTATGGCACTCGTCTGACCCAGAAGCGCTTGTGAGCCCCAATTTTCCCATCAGCTATGCCGACCGCATGAGGGTCAGGAGACCTGAGGATGAGACATGTTCCCTCAGCGTATATGTTGACGGAGGAAGCGTGGAGCGTTGGGAGCCGGATGGCTATGGTTCAGCAGCGACTTATCAACGCATTTGGGATGGTCGTTGGGAGGATTGGGATCCGTGGGAAAGCAGCACTCGACTAAAAGTGACAAGCGATTTATACAATGGTGACGGCTCATGCAGCGTCTTCCGCATGCTTCAGGGCTGGGTCGCTTTGAGTGAGGTTCCTTTTGGCCATGGCACCCTTCTCTTGTGTCCCATGATTCGACTCACAACTGCATATCTTCTTCTGCGCCCCTTTTTCGTGCCTGAAGAATCCTCACCGGCAAGCCCAGACTTTCTTACGCCAGGAAACTGGATCCTTGAAGAGCCACCTTCGTCTGTGATCCAAGGTGCATTGCCGTCTTACCCACAGGAGCTCAATGATGCATTACATCCTCATCTACAGCTTCATCGGAGCATGATCCCCATACCAAAACTTGATCCTGGTGATTACCTTGTCTGGCACTGCGATACCGTCTACGCCCTTGACCGTCTCCGTCGCCCAGACATCCCTCCTACAACAATTATATATCTTCCAGCCTGTCCATTAACTCAGACAAATGCCCTATATCTTGCCCATCAGCGCAAGGGTTTTCTACATGGGGAAGCCGGCCCTGACTTTACCGGAGCCCCTACAGGCGATGTCAATGTAGGGGGAGAGCAGGCCGTTCGAGAGGTTGGTGAGGCAGGCGGTGTAGACGGCATGCGTGCAATGGGGCTATTGCCGTGGGATGAGGACGAAGCTCAAGATGACCTTGAGTATGCAGTATTGGAAATGGCAAATGGTGTATTATTTCCAGAAAAGTATGATGAAACCTACTGAAACGTTCGTTGTTCGAAATAGGCAGAATGAAACTAGAATTTGTAACTTATTTGGTCGGACACATCACATGGAATTGAGAACGGCATGATGTTTGAATAGTGATATAGCAATTTGCATGCGAGACCTTGGTGATTGTTAGTACACCAAGGCACCCCATCATCCAACATCACTATTCTATACCTAGAGAAATTCCTAATACAATCTCAAATAGTCGATCGTCCTGTCCACGTCCGATCGCCAACTTTGCGCCGGTGCTTAACCCAGTAACCGTTATAACGCTATTTTACATCTTCCACCTCATCTGGCTCCAGGTCTGTTGCTGTTTGTGTATGCCCTGACAGGCGCAGACCCAGTCTCTTTTCTTCCGCCCAGACAGGTCAACAATAGATCAGGTGCCGATATCCTTGGATGGGCGGGCGTCTTTTCCTTTGGAGCGATATAGAACATACACGCCTTAGATGCCCTTTCTGGACTCGCCAGTTTGTTGGGTAGCAGCGTACTTGTCACTAAGCTCATCGTAGCTCTTGTGGAGCTGCTCGCTCTGCTTCTTCAGGGTCTTGAGGTCCTGATCCTTCTGCTCAAGCTCCTTTCGGAGACGGGCAAGCTCACCGGGCTTACCGGCAACGGCAAGCTTCTCAGCCTCCTTGGTATCGCTCTTAGTACCCTCGTAAGCGCGGACCTTGTCCTCCAGGCGCATCACCTCGAGGATCATAACGTAGGTGCGGTTAAGGATGAGCGAAAGGAAGAGGGTGAAGCCGCAAAGGTACATGTTGCGCTGGGAGTAGAACTTGCGGGCTTGGACTTCGAGGCGTTCGTGGCCCATAACGGCGGCACTGCAATCAAGTTAGTGATGTGTCCACCTGCTATGCCGTGGTTGCTTGGGGTAACATACCCTCCTCCCTGCTTGGACTGTTCGGAGGCGGCGGCGAGCTCGAGCTGGACGCGGTAGACACGGTTGACACTGTCGATAAAGAGAATTAGGATAAAGACAAAGGTGATCTTCATCCAGTATTGAATCTTCGCGACAACAGGGTTCTCGGAGATGAAGCTGTATATCCTGTTAGCTGCACGGTAAAGACGCCTAAAGTTCGTGTTTGACGCACGTGAAGATCTTGCGCTTAACGTTGAAGGGCATGGGGAAGATCAGGAGCATGAAAAGCGCCATCTCGAAGACGAGAAGCATGAAGACCTAATTGAAACAGTTAGCAACTCCATTGGCTAGGTGATTGAAGCTCTCGATAAAGGCACAAGCAACGCACGAGAGTATAGTAGAGCGTCATGGTGACGGCGGTGACGAGGGGTAACAAAAAGTGAAATAGAGGAAGATTGAGAAGCTCAAAAGAGAGAGTGAGAGAGACGTTTAGTCGTAGAGTGTTGGTGTGTTATGAGAAAGGAAAAAAGCTTCCGATTGCGATGGTCTTCGTATTTGTATTTAAGGTGAAAGGAGGAAGAATGGCAAAGTGGTCAGTTTGGACCTGAACCTGGCAGAGCTGGGAAAGCTGTCGTGCACCTGTCTTGTTCCTTCCCGCTTTCGAATCGACAACGTCATCGCTTGTGGCTGGAGCCTACTGGACGCTAATGGTGGGATGTGGGGCATCATCACTGAAGCTGAAGAATTTAGTGGCTTACATCTGTACAAAAGGGATATACAAAAAGGACACTAGTGCAGATCTATTTAACGAATTATGAAGACATAACTATTGATAATGGCGGGCATCCTTTCATAAAGATGATATCAAAGCATTCTCTGTATTCAAGAGTCGAAACATTGTACGTAGTCAATTGAAGAGCATCCATTCGGTATGCCTTTTACGTCCATAACACAAAATACCAAAGCCAATTGCGTCCTTGAGACTCATATATTTTGTAATACTACTACAACAACTGTCTCCCAACTAATACCAAGCCTTCTGTTTCCCACCCAAACCCAGAAATTTCCATCCTAGTTTGTGCAAGAAGCCAAACCACCTTGGAAGACCCTCTATATTATTGACTCCCGCTTATCCAGTCTCCGTCATCTCTTAACTTGGCTGTTGGGCGCCGGTTTCTAACACCTCGATCAACGCGCGACCGCACAACCACGTCTTGGTCATCATCGTCGTCGTCTTCATCGTTGTCCTCCTCTAGTTGGCTCTGGAGCAGCCTGGATTCTTCAGTGCGTTCCTCTGAAAAAGTGATATATTCCATGCTGTCATTGATTTCCACTGGCTGTGGCCGTTGCAGTGCAGCTGGCACGATGGTGTCTGCAGCCACGATCTGGCGTTCTTCTGGGTCCTCTCGATCTTGCGATTCCGAAGCTGAAGGATGCTCCAACATCGGAGCTGAAGTCAGCTTTCGTGGATACTTTCTCGGCCGACCACTTCCTGGTCTGGCGCCTCCTCTTTTGCCGCGTGTCTTTAAATCTCCTCGTGGTTTGCCATTATGGCTCGACGCTGCTCCCTTGCCATCTTGTCGCGCTCGTTTTCGCAGTCTTGCTGCTGAATTTCCAAAATCCGAATCTCCATCTGAAGGTGTTTCCATGATGGAGGCATCAGTGCCAGTCGGGTGATACTCTTCTTCTTCTGAGTCCTCCTCAAATGGGCCCTTCTTACGCTTACGGAGAGGCTTTGGAGCGAAACCAAGCGTATCCGCCAGCATGTCGTCTTCATCGAGAACTGCTTGAGCACGCTTCTTTCCCTTTCCGGGCTTCTTCTTATCCGTCTTTGGATTCTTCCGTGCGACCCCTTCTCCGTTGGGCCGTCGCGATCGTTTTTTACCCTGGTCAGACTTCCCTCCCACCTTATGGTCGAGCAGCTTCTTTGTCAGGTTGGGGAAGTTTTCACCATAATTGAAGAACAATTCCTCTCCAGCCTTGATATCACGCATGGCTGTAAACTTGATGCGGTATTCGCCATTGACGTAAAGGATTCGTGGGGTGATGTTGCATCCGCGCTTGTCGCTCTCTGATGCGTGGTTGATGTAGCGACTCAAATTACCATATGTCGCAGCGTCCACCCAAATACCTTCGTTGTCTAACAGAGTAAATACGTACGAAATGTTTGATTCTTCATCGAACACGTCGCCACGCCTGGCTTCTCGTCGCACTCCTTCATCGTGGGTGATCAGTTCACCTACATATTCGATGATGAAATCGTCCTGTGCGATATCCTCGATAGTGAATAACCCATACCCGACTCCCTCAAGTTGACTCTCGCCCAAAGCAAGGCTCTTCGCCTGGCCCCGCTGCAGCGAACAGTTTTGACAGCCGGTAGAATGAAGAACTTCATTATCAGCATTCTCAGGATCGGCTCTCTCAACCACCCCGCATCGACCACAAACATCTGGGTCGCATTCCCGGTTCAGCTGCACACAGATACATGGCCTTTCCTTTCCTTTTGAGAGGCAAGTTTTGCCTTGCGAGTGGCAGGCACAGCCTGTGAATTTGTAGGCGCAATTTTCCACCGTACAGCCGCAGAACTTCTCGCAGAGAACACCATGCTGAACGCAAATACAACTTTCCGAAGTACAAGGTCCTTCATGATTACAAGGTTCGGAGAGTTCGCGTTTTTGATGTTCGTGGGTTTTGGTATGGGATTCCCAGTCGCCGATGAGCGTCTTTTTGAAACGATCGTACCAGCTGACCGTCCGGATTTGCAATCTGTTTGCTGGCTCAACTGGAGACATGGACACATTCAACTTTTGATATTCATTAAATACGTCACTGCAATCCCGGTCAAGGAGCTGGGCAACCAAGCAGAAGGGATCTTTCGTAACCTTGCTGCGGTCGGCGGTCGCAACCGTAGATCGTAGGATAAAATGATCCTCTTCATCCCAGGGCCTCTGGATTGAGGCAGCAACAGGCCGGGGCGAGCTCCGATAGCAGTTACGTTTGCAGAGTGGGGATAAGGGGCCATTGCCATTAACCGTATCAGCTGCACTGTAGGGGAGGCGACGTCGCCGCTTCAGAGTATCTGAAAGACGGGGAAGAATCGAAAGGGTGCGCTTGCAATTCTGGGCATCGTATTCGCCGTGCTCACAGGAATGACTGAAGCAGATGAGGCAACCAAGTATTGAATAAGTTCCCAGCCAATACTCGACAGCATCATGCTCGTTTTCGTGCTGTGTGCTGGAGCCATCCTTGGCCGTGGGCTTGGTTTCCATGATGCTGTCGACTGATTCATCCAAAAGCAAGACGTCGCGGAGCTCAATCTGCTTTGTTGGGGGTTGGCCCTGGTGAAAGACGCGGCGGAATGCTTCCGTGAACATGTTGGCGGCTTTGTTTGCCTCGGGTGGTGTGGTGGACTCGGCAGGGCGATGTGAGTTGAGAATGTCTGACTTCTGTCGGGGCGTGATCGCGTCGTCAGGTTCTCGGCTTGCCATGTAGCGAATAAGAGCTGATCTGTTACAACCAGGTAATGAGAGCTTGTCCAGCCAAGTGCCAAGATATAACAAGACAGTCGATGCAAACTCGGAGCGCACTGCTATGCGCACTTTTTCCTCGCGACTCATGGGCTTAAAGCCAGATTTGCGGTCAATATCCTCCAATTCTTGCAACCAAACATTGTATTTGTACTCTTCCGAGGTCTCAAGATCCCTCAAGTGGGGTACAAAGGTTAGCATTGTGTTGGGAGTAAGAATATTCTTTTTGATTTCCACGTGATGAAAGCGGTATCTTGGAACACGCTCTTCATCTGTCTGGATGCGTACGATGCTGTAGTGATCCTCACGTTTGTTGTTCTTAAGCTTCGTGTGTTCCTGTTGAGAAGATTAGCAGAATTCACTTGGACTCGTTTGGGACCCAAGTACTTTGGATTTGATTCTCATCGTTTCTCCTTTCTTGGACGGGACAGGTTTGTTTGTAAGTCCGGCGAAGAGGTTTTTGCCTGTGAGAACACGACGTTCATTAGGCTTGGTGGACTCAATGATATAAGAGGTCATGCGACTGTGTCCATCCTTGATATCTTGGCGAAACTGTGTCAGCTTTTCGGCAATAGCAGCGACATCCCATTCCTGCTTCTTAGGCGTTTGATATTTAGGAGATGCCGGTTTGGTTTGTTGCGTTGATTTTGAAGCGTCTTTTTCAGGCGTGGGCGTCACCTGACGAGATGCCAAGTTGGAGGCTGTAACACTAGACAGCTTTGCCATACTTTGGGCGTCATCAGAATTAGCCGTTATGGTGGTCACCTTCTGGCTCAGCTTGAGGACTGAAGATGCTGGGCGTGGCGGCTCAGCAGAGGCGGAGGGCTGTTTGTCCTGGTTGGCGGCGATAGAGCTCGTAGATCTATTCAACTTGGGCGGGCTGACGGGAGCGTTGGTTGATGATGGGCGCTCACTTGAAATAGAAAAATTGGGGGTGAAGCGCGCCGTAGTAGTGTTGTTGCGATTTAGAGACACCAGAGAATGTGGTTCATAGTCTGAATCACTGTCTCCTGTTAAGTCGATGGTGTCAGGTTTTCCTGCGACGATGGCGACGAGATGAGGAGAAGCCATGGTTGCGGCTGATGACTTTGCCTCAAACTCTAAGGCAAGGTACAACCGCCCGTATTGGTAAGGAAGGCGAACTGCCAAAGGTTTTCCTAGAATTGCCCCTCTCTATAGCCAGCAACTGCTACCATCCTGTACAAGAGGAGTCGCTGATGGACACCAAAAAAAGGGGGGGAGGAAGAAAGGAAGATGGGTAAGGACTGCAATTCGTGCTGATGTTGCTGTGGAGAGCACCTTTGTAGATAATAAATGAGAGAAGGAAACACGAGTTTGTCGACCCAGCCAGAGACGCGTGTGGACAGATTAAATGTGCAAATTCGGCAGAAAATAGGAGCGAAATGCGCAAAAGAGGTCGAGGAAACCAAAGAAACTGAATACCAGAGAGTAAGATAATGGTATTATATACGACGGGTTTGTACAAAAGACACGAGTGCCCTCGATTGTCGGTTTGTTGTCGCTCGAAACTCAAACCAAGACAGAGATGAATATTAAGTTGAATGAGTGAATGAGTGTCAATTGCACGCGTTGAGGAGTCTACAGGGGATATTGACAGGGGATCGCGTTCATTAATCCGGCTTAGCGTGGTTGGATTGGTCATTACCTTAAGTTAAGGTGGAGGGCGATTCTATTTGTTCCCTCTATGAAAGCGAACCGTCATGGCACTGTTTTGTTATGATTGTAGATTCCATCCCGCTCACATATGAGTTTGACACATGTCATACTCTATTATAGTCGTTGATAATGCATCGAGGTTACTCAAACATGGTCTATCATAGAAGTTGGATATGTTGTGCCCTAACCACTAGTCCATGACAGAGCAATCGTGGAACATCCAAACTGAAAGGATCATAGATAATACCATACAAAATCAAACTGTATAGGTAAGTAATTTGATTTTACAAACATATTCCTTCATTTATCTCTTTTCCAGAGTTTTGATATATCTTGTAGGTAGTTGGCTGCCTCACATGAAGATCACTTTAGTCAGGTTTGTGATTTATCGGAATTGCCGGATGCTAAACCGCGATCGAACTGGTCACTAAAAAACGAGCAAAAGTCGACGTAATTAAGGTATAGAAAGTATTGTCTTGGCTCCGGTAGTTTAACAACATATACTTGGCACCTTATTGGAACTTTTGATAGCCAATTACATCCACCCTTTCTGTATCTTATTCAATACAAATACCGGACTTGATATCATTTATACACTGCGCAGCCTCGTCAGATCAGTCCATAGTGCTTCGAGAAAGTGCTCTCAACTTCGGAAAAGACCCTGTTTCACGAAACGACTGACATCAAGATCGGAACTAACCCAACCACAACATGTGAAAAAGGCCCTTGTGGTAATTCGGTTTCTGGGCAGCCTCAATTACCCCTTGTCTCCTTTATGTTTCGGGCTGGAGACTGCCGGAGGATCGCTCAATTTTAGAGCCCGTTCACCCACCCACTGACCTCCAAAAGACCCCAAACTTGTGCCTCGATATCGTCATATTTCATCTTAGACACTCACTAGCGTTGCGCTGGATTCGACCGAAGCTTGGTGGTCGTGAACCGCATCCGGGATGGGTAGTCCAGCTCTAGGGTGTCTCTCCGGATGCACAGGTGAGAATCCTTGGCGGAGGCCCGTAGAATGCAAGACGTAGACCTGAGACACGCTTGACGTAAGTAGCAGTACCTCGAGCAATGCTGCGATCACCAGGGGCTGCAGTGTAGACATACACTAGACGCTAGCGCCCGCCTGTATCGAAGACCTCACTCACTCGTTCTGACCCAAGTGGAGTCTTGATGACGTCGCTCTCAGCTCCCGCATCAAAAAAGGTGACGATCTTGGTTCTCCGCAGCAACAAACACCACCAGAGCCCAGGCCCAAGCCTTGCCCTGTTTCTGGCCTCCATCATATAACGTTCCCAGCAGCCCGGCCACGATCTTCTCTTCGTGTTTTCTCCGACCTCTTATCCTTGCTTGATTCTCAGCTCTGCAGCTGTGATCTCCGTCTCCGTCTCCAACCCACGTTAATCCCCACCTGATATTATTTATTCCCTGCCTGTCCTTGCTGGACCCTTTTCTTGTCATCCATACTCAGCTCCACCGCTCGTCGCATTCATAAACAATAACACTCAACATGCATCGCACCTATTCTATGCGCCAGACCCGGGCGCCTACTGCCTCTCAACTCCAGGTGCGTATAATCGAAGCTTATGGCGCCACAACTCAATGCGACAGCAAAATTGACTTTGAGCAGAACCCCCCGCCACCTCCGTCGTCGACAAAATCCGGCCGCCTCTTCAAGAGCAGCTTCGGTAAGCTAGCATCACGCCACTTCGACTGTCAATTCCAACGGAACTAACAAGATCTTCCGTGTAGGACATGCCCTTCGCCGCAATGCTGGCGGTGCCTTTGGCCCGGACTTGGCCAAGAAGCTTTCCCAGCTGGTCAAGATGGAGAAGAATGTGATGCGAAGCTTAGAGACCGTTGCCCGTGAGCGAATGGAAGTTGCTGTATGTTTCCAATACCCCAATCCTACGAAACCTTAAAACTAACTTGACAGCAACAACTATCCATTTGGGGCGAGGCTGGTGACGAAGATGTTTCCGACGTTACCGACAAGCTTGGTGTCCTCCTTTACGAGATTGGCGAGCTCGAGGACCAATATGTCGACCGTTACGACCAGTATAGAGTTACTATGAAGAGCATCCGCAACATTGAAGCTTCGGTTCAGCCTAGTCGTGACCGTAAGAACCACCCAACACCTAGACGGCGTATTGTCTACTAACTCCAACTTAGGCAAGCAGAAGATTACTGATCAGATCGCCCAACTCAAGTACAAGGAGCCCAACTCTCCCAAGATTGTCGTCCTCGAACAGGAACTTGTTCGGGCTGAAGCCGAGTCTCTTGTTGCTGAGGCTCAGCTTTCCAACATCACTCGAGAGAAGGTGAAGGCTGCCTATACCTATCAATTCGATGCTCTCCGTGAGCATTGTGAGAAGGTTGCCATTATCGCTGGCTATGGAAAGCACCTCCTCGAGCTTATCGATGACACCCCGGTCACTCCCGGCGAGACCCGCCAGGCCTACGACGGATATGAGGCTAGCAAGGCCATTATCCAAGACTGCGAAGACGCCCTGACGAACTGGGTTACTTCCAACGCTGTCGTTTCTTCCAAACTCTCTACCCGCGCCCGTACTCTGTCTCAGCGACGTCGTAACAACATCCGCAACCGAGGTGAGGGCCACGATCTCTCCGGTCAAGATGTGCCCTTGAACGATGGCAGCTCCTGGACTGCTCGGGACCGTGATCTCGACAGCGACGAGGAAGAGGAAGAGGAGGATGCCCGAGGCTCCATTCTGGACAGCGATGGTGGTCTGAACGGCGAGTCTCGTGGACGCACACAGGAAGCTGTTGCCGCATAGAAAGTGCTCATAATTGGTGTGGCAAAGCACGGAAATCAGGCTATGTGAAAGAGGACGAGAGTGTGTCTTGCTTTCCTCACGTTCGGTAGTAATGATGGGAACGCAATCTTGGTTGTACAAGGCGTTGTGGGTAGCTTCAGGCTGGACGGGTTGCAAAAGGCTGAATGGGTACGATAACTTTCTTTTGCGGTAGCCTTGTTGTATTTTTTATTCATTAATATTATCTCTGTATCCGCTACATCATATGATGTTCTGATTCCTCATTTGACTCGCAAACTCCTCAACTTCCATCTTGGCAATGTGCTCCCCGGGTATGACAACCAGACCCAAGTAGCGAGATGTCATGTCGACCTTGACAGTTTCTCCATCTGCTTTCTCTGCTGCCTTTTCACGCTCCCTTGAAGATGGTTGCCGATATTCATAAGTGTGAGCCAGCACAATATTCTTGTCCTTTTAAGGTCAGGTCAGTCGCTTACAACCAAGGCTCAGCAGCTGTAGGGTATTGAAACATACAGGGTCGGTGCATTTTAGAGCGCCCCAGAACAACCGACCATCGGAGGTGTACACGCGAAGGTTCTTGTTTAGAATGCTGCTGAGGCATTCCCGAGCCTTTTCAGTGTCCATTTCCACTCAAGAGGGCTTGGTAGCCAGGGGTTTGAGGGCTGTAATTGTGGTATTGGTGAAGACGTGGGGAATGTGATGTTCATTGATTTTGCGAATAGAAAGGTTAGCGGTAACGGATTAGCGGCGATATGTCGGCCCCACGCTGACGTTATAGAAGCTTGATGCTGAAGGCAACAGTGAACCTCTGATTGTTTTCTCAGATCTTGGACTTTCCATTCTCATCATTTTTATGTCAATCCATTTGTAGAAACGTCGACCCTCCCTTTTCTACGCATTACCAGACAATGATCATTACTCCCATCAGACGAGGGCGTATCCCTTAAACATAAGGCCTTGTGCCTCTCCCTATTATACGGACTTGTATTGAATTCACGGTCATAGCCTATCATGGGTGTGACCGGTCTATGGACAGTTGTTCAGCCATGCGCCCGACCGACGAACCTCGCGACTCTAAATCGCAAGCGACTCGCAGTTGATGCCTCAATCTGGATATATCAATTTCTTAAAGCTGTGCGCGACAAGGAAGGCAATGCGTTGCGCAACTCGCATGTCGTCGGTTTCTTCCGTCGCATATGCAAGCTTCTGTGGTTTGGTATTCAACCAGTATTCGTCTTCGACGGTGGCGCACCAATTCTAAAGAGACAGACGATTCGGAATCGAAAGCGAAGACGCGAAGGCCGTCGTGAAGACGCCGTTCGAACGGCTGGTAAACTGCTAGCGGTGCAAATGCAGCGCATTGCGGAAGAAGACCATGATCGCAGGCGGAGAGATCGAGAACGTGATATATCTGCCCGGGAAGAGCAGCAACAAGAAGTGATTCCTGATGCCAGTCAACTTGTTTACGATGACGAAGCTCTCCTATCTCAAAATGAGAGACAGAAGGGAAGAACATTTCGAAAGCAGGATGCCTACCATCTCCCCGATCTAGATGGTGGCGGTATCGCGGCAATGGGAAAGCCAGATGATCCACGAATCATGAGTGTAGAAGAGCTGGAAGAATACGCGCGCCAGTTCCATGACGGTGAAGATATCAACCTTTACGACTTCAGCAAGATCGATTTTGATGGCGAATTCTTCAAGAGTCTTCCAGCTCCCGATCGATACAATATTCTGAATGCAGCAAGACTCAGGAGTCGACTGAGAATGGGTCTCAGCAAGGAGCAGCTGGAAGAAATGTTCCCAGATCGCATGGCCTTCTCCAAGTTCCAGATCGAAAGGGTCAAGGAACGTAATCACCTCACTCAACGTCTCATGTATGAAGTCGGCATGACTGGCACCGACCTGACACTCGGGGTAAATGCACGAGTTGCTGGCGAAAAGAACAGAGAGTACATCCTTGTAAAGAATGAGGGTGCTGAGGGAGGATGGGCTTTGGGTGTGGTCAGCAGAGACAAGGACGTTGGAGAGGCACATAAACCTATCGACGTGGATGCCATTCAAGTTCAATACCAATCCAAGGAAGATGAGGAGGAAGAGGAGGAAGATTTTGAAGACGTTCCTATAGAGGGTCTCAACCGACTCCCGAAACCTTCTCCAGCACAGGTTGCTAGCTACCAAGCAGCCCAGGATATAGCGGCACGACGGCGGCTAATATATGGTAAACATCGTCAAGAGTCCTCCCCACAGGGCGAGGAGTCACTCTTCGTAGGCGGGAATATCGGGAATACAGATGTGCTGTTTGAACAACCACCCGAAGAAGCGCTTCACGACGACGAAGAGGATGACCTCAACCGCGCAATAGCTATGTCACTACAAAATCAACATGGAGTTGGACAAGAGTCAGATCATGAGGAGGAGTTCGAGGACGTTCCCATGGAAGCTCCTAAATGGACACAAAAGTCGGTTGACGCACAGAAGCCCATCACAGCCAAAGGAGGCTCTATGATTGCTCATATTGTTAATAATAGAGCAAGCGCTGCGGTGCCCAGGCGCCAAGAGCGTGATACCGCTGCCGATAGCGACAGCGACGAAGATATGCAGACAATGCTTGCAAAAGCCAGGATGAAAAAGAAGCCTCAGCCAAAACCAAAGTTTGTACCCGTCGTTGAGAACAAGAAAAACCCATTTGATGGCCCGCTGCCGTTCCCGAAACTTGACTGGGGCTCGTCACTATTTGGAAAGAAGAAAGCCCCAGAAGCTAAACCAAACAAGAAATCTGAAGTTGCGGATGAAAACCCAACTGTTCTCAATGACGAAGAGGACGACATGGCTGGTGGGTTTGAGAGAGAACTGCAGGATGAGAATGCACCCAGACCCTTGCCGCCATGGTTAACTGATGACACCGATATCCGGGAGTCGCTCAAGAAGCAGCAAGAAACAGAGCGTGAGATCAATAACGCAGACAGGCAGGCAGCTGAAGAAGAGGAGCGACTTTATCGCCGCAAGATGCAAGATCAGCTGATCCACATCGACTCTTCCTCAGATGATGATAGTGATGTCGAGGTTTTGGAAAAAGCGCCATCACCAAAGACGCCTGCCCAGAAAGAGCCCGCTACCATTGACGTGGAAGATGAGACCGAGAAGATCAAGGAAGCGTCTCTTCAAAACGAAGAGTCAGAATCGACAGAAAAAGCTTCAACTCTAACGCATGAGCGGGAGGATGCCCTTGAACAAGTTGCAGACAAGGCCGAGGAGCCGTCACCTGAAGCAGAGGCTCAAGGGCTTGCAGATCGCACAGTTGAAGAACCAACTGCACACTCAGCACAAGAAGATGGGGATGAGCCTCAAGAATCAGAATCACCCGAGCCAGAATTTGAAGATGTGGTACCCACCAATGTTGTGACCGAGGCCGCGGCAGAAAAGAGTCCTACGCCTATCTTTGAGGAGCTTCCTTCCATCGGTGTGCCAGCAGTGGAAGGAACCCAAGAACTGGATATCGACGACGACGGGCTTTTCGACGACGTAGAGTACGATGAATTCAGTGATCCTGGTGACGAAGAGCTTATGGCACAAATGGCCGAGGAAGCCGAAGAGCATGCCCGTTTCGCTAGTGAGCTCAATAACAAAACGGCCGAGCAAAACAAAGAGGACTATGAAAGAGAACTGCGCGCCCTACGAAATCAACAGAAGAAAGACCGTCGAGATGCAGATGAGGTCACTCAAGTGATGATCACTGAGTGCCAGGCTCTCCTTCGTCTATTTGGTATTCCTTACATCACCGCCCCTATGGAAGCTGAAGCTCAGTGTGCCGAGCTCGTCCGTCTAGGACTTGTCGATGGTATTGTGACTGATGATTCGGATACCTTCTTGTTCGGTGGCACACGAGTGTACAAGAACATGTTTAATAGCAACAAGTTTGTTGAGTGCTACTTGGTGGGCGACATCGAGAAGGAGCTCTCTCTGTCTCGAGAGCAACTTATCTCTCTTGCACATCTGCTGGGCTCTGATTACACTGAAGGATTACCAGGTGTCGGTCCCGTTACAGCTGTTGAGATTCTCTCTGAGTTTCCTGGCAAGTCTGGACTAGAGAACTTTCGCGAATGGTGGAGATCGGTGCAATCGCAGACACGCCCTAAGGACGCTGATGTCTCGACGCCTTTTCGCAAGAAGTTTCGCAAATCTCAAGGCACCAAACTCTTCTTACCGCCAGGCTTTCCTAACCCGGCGGTTTATGATGCGTACCTACATCCAGAGGTTGATGACAGCAATGAGAATTTCCAGTGGGGTGTGCCAGACGTAGAGGGACTACGGCAGTTTTTGATGGCTACCATTGGCTGGAGCAAAGAACGTACGGACGAGGTCCTCGTACCAGTCATCAAAGATATGAATAAGCGAGACCGCGAAGGCACACAGAGCAACATCACCAGATTCTTTGGTGGTAGTGTTGGAGTTGGAGCTAAGGAGGCATTTGCACCAAGACAGAAAGCCCAGGGAAGCAAACGTATGGCTGCAGCGGTAGATCGTCTGCGAGCAAATGTTGCAGGCGAGGAACCAAGGGGCGCTGAGAATGGAGGAAAGCGAAAAAGAGCATCAAGGAGGAACGCAGCTGCTCCGGTGGATGAAGAGGAATATGCTGAAGAAGTTGGCGACGAAGGAGATGAAGAGTCCACAAGCAGAGGCCGTGGCAAAGGTAAGAGAGCCAGAGCATCATAGACGATGATGGATCTATACCAAAGTATTTAGATTATTTGATCATAAATAAGGCTATTTTGAAATACTACAACTATCAAATCTACTAGGAATTTACTCACAAGTACCTCTATGTATGGAGTTTCAATTTAGAATATTGAGCTCTTGTGGAATCTTCACTTTCGAACAGGTCATCACATTTATGACAAAATTGGCGAGTCTAAGGATGGTCCCCGAAGCAAGATATGTATAAGAAACGCTGGGTAAGGGGATTTGCTAGAATTTGGGCTGAAAAAACATGAGTAAGTACAGGATTTCATGGCACTCGGAAAAGCCCAGTCCATAGTTTCTTGACCCCCTCGTTCTTCTCATGTAACTGTCAAGATTCGCTGCTTTTCTCTTCTTACATCTTCTAGTGGTATCATATGTCAAACGAGAAAGAAGAAACTCAAAAAATAAGAAACGAGGCCAGAGAAAAATGAAGAAAGCAAATCAGCGTCGGCTGGTATTAAACGTGTGCAAGGATTGCGAAATGTGTCTCGTAGATGTGTCACGTCGTCGCGATTGTTCGTATAAAGGACAGACTTCGTCCATGCTGGCAATGAAGGAAGGGCATATTACAACTCCACCTCGGGCTGAGATCGCCCGCCTCGCTGGAAGTGACCTAATGGCGGGTGGCATTAGCCTGAGGACCATTTGTACCCTCCATGTTGTTCGTCAACTCGGCTACACGAGCCTTGATGCGGGCAACACGAGATTCAATAGCTGGAACATCGTATTAGTTTACTATCGGGTATTAAGATTCCCATGCAGACTTACTCTCTTCTCCACTTGTATCGTCGTCGCCATCTCCAGTTCTGTTGCTGTTACTGTACGATGGCCGAAGCTGATCATCAGGGCGAGTAGCGGCCCTCTCAGCAGCGTTCTTTCGAATTTGTGCCCACCGGTCTTGAACTCCTGGACCGGCACTGTGACTCAGCTTCTCCTCAGGCTGCGCTGGGCCTCCAATCTGGGGGGAATGGCGGGGCGATCGAGGGATAGGAGGAGGCGTTGCGTCGTCTTCATCATCCGAATCAGGAGCAAAGGCTGGCTGGTCTTGAAGAGGGCCTTGGTTGAACTGAGGGACAGCCTTCTGGGCAGGAGCCGAGTCCTTAGCACTGAGGGCTATCTGTGACTGGTCGATAGTGGGCTCCGCGATATCCTGGTTCTTCTGAGGTGTATCGACTCGCTGCACAGGTTCCTCCATTGGTGTCACAAACTCAGCAGCAGGTGTGGGGGTAGGCATGTCAGCCTCATCTGTTTGTGCGGGCTGAGGTACTGGAACACGCTGAATAGTGGCTGCAGGCTCAGGTGTGTCAGCTGGAGTAAGGGGCTTCTGCGCCTGGGGTTCTGGCGTTGCTTGGGTCTGGCGGAGGAACTCATGAACATTGGCGGCAGCGTCATCAGGCAGTTTGGAGCTTCTGTTCTTGCGGAACAACTTCCGGAAACCGCGGTTCTCCTTTTCTGCCTTCTGAAGTTTCTTCTTCTTCTTGTTCTCAGGGCTTGATGGAGTAGGAGAAACCATATTCTCACGAGCCAAGTCCTGGGGCGCCTCGTCCTTAGGAGGCGGCACAGGGCTAAGAGGGCTGACGGGAAGCACTGGTTCAGGCGTGGGCTCTTGAACGGGCTCTGAAACCGGCTCGGGGGTTGGTGCCTGAACAGGCTCAGGTTGTGGCTGGACCTCGACGGGATGTTCTGGCTGTGGGAGGGGTTTCCTCGTTGTCTCGTTCGAAGTGGGCGAGAAAGTAGGCGAAGTGATCGGGGATGCCACGTCCTTAACGGGCACCTGCGGAGGCTGATCCGGGGCTTGTGTGCCACTGTTGGAAACAGCGTCACCGTTCATGCTCTCAGATGGAATTGGTGATACCATAGTTCCACGACCCGCATTGTTGTTGGCCATGTACAAATCCTTAATCGTTCCCTTATCATACTTGGAAACCCACTTCAATGCTGATGAAGCCTCGCCAATGATTGTAGGCTGAAGGGTGAGAACACTATTAGTCTTCTCTGCCATGAGCTCGGCATCAGTTCGACCACGTCGCTGGTACAGGGGCTGTTGAGCTAGCTTCTTTCCTTGCTGTTCCTGCGCACGAAGCTGCGCGGCCTTGGCTTGGATTCTGGCGTGAGTATCGGGACCTATGCTGGCCTTGCTGGTGCCCTGGCCAATGTTCTCGACTGACTTATTGGCTGTCGACTTCCGTCGGCCGAGGCCCTTCCCACGTTTTGTCCAGCTAAAGAGACCCTTCTTCTCTGCAATATACGCACCCTCCTGAGGTTCAGGAGCTGCGCCGGCAACCATTTCTTCCATCACGAGCCAACGGCCACTAGTAATCTTGGTTTCGATGACGGCGCATCGTCCAAAGGCCGACTTGCGCTCTGCAGTCTCCTCAGGGGCAAGACTGGACATCCAAACCCACCAGAACGAATCGTCCAGCAAAAATGTTGCAATACTTGCGAGCTCCCCAGGCTCAAGCGAGTGATCATGTTCAAGCCTTGGTCGATGCGATTGAGAACTTTGTTGTCTCTGGGTTTCGAGGGGAGGCAGAACCTTGTCAGGGGGTAGAAGCAAGTTTGACCGAGCAGGCTGGTTTTCATCCACGAATCCCGAAGAAAGAAAGTCGGCCCAAGACGGGGTTGTCGGTCTACCAAGTCCGTTACCAGACGCAGGGGTTCTTCGCAGAGCGGGTGGCTGGCGTTTGTAGGTCAAAGCACTATCGTCGTCGTCGTCGTCCTCATCCAGTGTAGAAGAGAAGCCAATATCCTCGAATCGTGACCAGGAGGCGTCGCGCAAGCTTGTAGAGTGCTTTGAGCTTGAAGCTTGTGACTGATTGGCACCAGAAATAGCCTTGAGAACTCGGCGGCATTCGTCCGTCAAAGCCTGCACAGGGTCGTCGTACTCGGAAAACTCTTGTAATGCGCGGTCCGAATCACGATATTGGAAGTGGTTCGCTCTCCGAAGGAGCGCAAAAGGAGTTGGCGATACAGTATCCACAATCATGACAACTTTGTTTGTGGTTGACATCATAAGAGAAGGTCGTTGAGGAGGATACTCGGTTTCCTGAAGTAGTTTCTGGAGGGATCTGGGAAGCATCGTAATGCCAGTGACGTTTTGCTCGGGTGAGAGGGATCTGAGGAAAGCGAAGAACATATGGCTTGTGGCATCGGCGGCACTAGTTTCTGGATAAGCAATCGCGAGCATCACAAGTCTCAGGGGTACTTACCGAAGCCAAGCATCATAACCTCCTTCAAAACCCTTGTTAGTATCTTTATGTTCGAATGCCCACCATGCTGCCATTCGTGAAAGCTTTCGTCCACCCAGGCCATTGGACTTTCCGTGCGCTGCAACAGCGGCCAGTAGGTCGAAGAAGTCGAAGATAATGCGCTGACGGGCACCATTCTCAACACTGATAGGAATGAACGTCTTGAAAGAGTCTCGGGCCATGTTCGAGTCTATAGAAAATAGTTAGTATATCAGGAAACCCAAGATGTAGAAGCGCATACCAATTTCTCCCACTTTGAACAGTTCATACGCATCCCAACCAACGATACCCCCCTGGATGCGACTCCAGCACCACTTGGCAACTCCAGAAACCACCTATCTCGATATTAGTTGCGATCATGCCCTCTTTCCGCATGTACTGACCATAGGTTCTGTCATGCGGAGTTCTTGTGTCAATTGTTCGCCCCGTAAATTGGCATGGGATTCGAAGAAATGGCGAATAAAGGAACGAACAGCGCTGGGATCGGAGGTGGGACGGTATGGCAATAAGAGGAAAGGGTGATCGAGACCTGGTATGACATGGCGATCAGTATGCTGTACACACAAAGATACATATTTTGTATTTCATGTGATAGTTGACATACCTCGAGCTTTGAGCTCTTCTGTGCAACATCGGATCAGCTCGTGAACTTCTTCAGGCTCAACATATGTGCGTGCCCAGGCGTCTGTCCATTGTGGTTTTTGTGGTAGCTGTTGTGCAGAGTCGTTTGCGCCCTTCTTTTTGGATTTGCCATCCTTGCCCTTGAGGCGAGAAAAAAGGCCTGCCATTATGGGTGATGGCTATAGAATGATAATTCGAAATCGAGAATTAAACGAAACCGCAGCGAAATCCCATGCGCTGGATATAGGAAAAGTGACGTCGGGTCGAGTCGAAGCAGATCTCAAATAAAGGGGCGGTGATCTTTCAGGAGATGCCTTAACTAGGGTAGCAGCTAGGTATTCGTGATAATCTCCCCAGCTGAAGTTGTAAAAAGCAAGGTTTTGGTGGTTTTTCGATAAGAGAATTGAAAAGTAACGAATCGAGGACCGAGAACCTTTTGGTGAAAAGAATTAGCAGGAATAAAAATGATGACGATGTCGCTTGTTGAAGATGCTGCTGCACGCAGGACAAGGCGAGACGTGTAAGTCAGGGAAGGTGGGCATCGGGCAGTTTTGATGCGCACCTGCGGCAGATGAGCCAAGTTGGGTGGGCGTACAGATAAAATTAGTAGGGGACCCTTTTTCCCGCTCTGCACCTCAGTTATTCAGAGGTTAACACAGAGATTGGCTACTGGGTATCGAAACGAAACAGAGAGAAGAAAGAACTGGAAAGGGAGGGGCTCAAGAAGCCAGGGTTCAGAGAAAATAGATGAATATGGAAAAATAGAAAGAAAAGTTGAATCATACAAGAGGAGAAGGTAAAGAGGAGAAAAAGCGACTCTCTAGTCTAGATGAGACGACAAAATGAGAATTGTGAGGGTGACAGTGAGATGGGGGGACGCGCTCAGGGGGCGACTGGGATGCGCGACCAGGTTCATGATGGACTGGATGGGATTGGATTGGATGGTACGTACAAATGGAAAAAAAGAACAAGAGCACTAAGATTGGGAAATGGGCTTCTCGCTGGGATGAGAGGATAGAGAGCATGAACAAGAGGACATGGGGCGGGTAGGGGGTTTGGGGGAGGGGGGCAATATGGATGTGATGGGCGTGCATAGATCGAGTTATCATGGAGATGAATAGTTTACAGATCCAACAATATTTAACAATGTGGCTGAATTGTATGAGTTGCTTGGTTGATAGTTGAATCAAATCTACAGCCTCTTATTGTAACAACGGTCATGCTGTGCAACACGATATCTTCAGAGACAATACACAACACATAACTGTACACTGTAACAATGAGGCTGAGAGTCATGACACACGAGTTCAAAGCAATTCATTGCCCTCAGTCTTGAGTTTCTTGGCCCATTCCAGTCCATTTCAAGGGTCCTTTAGGCAAGAAAAGGAACTCGCCAAGTTTCTTATACAAGAGACTCTTCTGAGGATAATCACTTTGCCTAACCTGAGGATATCTCTATAAACTAACCATAAAGTCTTCACCATCTTCTCATGTCATTTCCCCAACAACAACCTTGATTTCTCTCCCGTCCCTCGAACAGAAATTATGAGAGTCACAGCAAGGTACACACCAAACACAACCATTGGATCAGCTAGCACTAGCAGACGGGACTCAGCCGTTGCACAAGGCCAAGGCTTTACTAGACGAGTGGATCTCCACGTTCCTGAAAGTTCTGCTTTTTAATTACATCGAGCAAGCGGGCTGCCCGTGTAATTAATTAATTGGATGGCCTCATGGACCACCAGCGACCTTTTATCGCACCAGCTTGCTCCGGTCACAGTTTCACCGGTCGATAAATGGCTTGTAGAACCCTTCAACACGGGTCATATCGTCAATATTCTCTGAATATGCAGGTGACTTGAGTTCCTGGCAGCATGTTCAGTAGAGGTTAAGCTTCATCAAACGAGATCCAACTTGGGATGATGGACAGGGGTAATTACCGCCAGTGGCCCCTACAAGCGTGTCATCTTGACGCTATGGTTGGACGCCAAAGCCTTTAGCTCATCATGTTTCCTGGGCCCAAAGATATGAGCAGCCAAACGATACACATTTTCTCTCATTGCGCTTTAATGCTATCGAGCACAATGGCGGGTGGCTCGCCGCCAACGTTTCGTAATTCCCGTGCCTCTTTTAGAGCTCCATTTCCATCAGAACTAAAGCGCCGCAATCATAACCTCTTCTGTTGCTCGTTCCCCTGCCAATAACAGCGCTGCTATCAAGCAGTCTTCAGCCTAACTCCACGTCATGAGAGGCAATATTTGTCTTTTTCCCTTACTTATTCCATATCGAGTCGCCCTCGGCCGATTGAATTACTTCTTTGCGCTCTAGCCCATGGTTGAGCTGATGTCTCATCTGGGATATTCCATGTTTGCCAGGAACTTCTCGCTTGCAACGGGTTCTGGATCACGAACATGGAGGCTTCTTGGCTCTGAAGCGTCCAAATATAGACGCCATTCTGACTTCTTTCCTAGCTTCTGTAGCTGTGGTCCAATGGCTGCACCTGTGCCAGTAGCTTGGTCATCCGCGGGGCTCATGGGTGTGAGTTGGCATCGCCAGCGCATCCTCATCCCACCCTCCCCAGGCGAAGCCGCTGCTTGGAAGCATTTTTGAGTGGTTGTCTGGCAAGAGTTTACGAGATCGACGTGATGAGTTGGCATTTACTTACGCAAGATGGCGAAAAATAACTTACATGTTTGACATGCAGATGAATTGTGATGCGCAGTATAACTTTAAGGTGAGGCTCTACTGTCAGATTGATGTCTCCCAAACTGGAATGTAGATTTTACAACCTGTCTCAGCTTTATCGAAACCCTTGCTGATTGTAGTCTCTTGGGTTAAATGACCCAATGGTATAAGTCAGTGCAGAGGCTGTTCCCGTTGTCCGTCATGGATCCATGATCTGCCTCATGACAGCCCTGGAACCCTAGTCGCCAAAGCTCATCTCAGCTTAACATATGCTTTTTCTTCCTTAAATATATGCTCAGAGGCCACCGATGTTTAGAAGAACCGGTATCTGCCTTGATTGGCTCAGCTCCTCGTACAAGATGGCAGCCTGGAGTGACCTACAATATTTCACACCAACATAATCAATCTCATGCACACCAGTATCCTTTACCAAACATAGAGACGACAAGATCGCCTCATTCTTCTCGAAACGAAAACGTCTCCCCCGCTTCGCCTTCGCCTTTGAAAAGGATACCCAGATGAGATCAGTTCGGCGGGCTGAACAGTGGGGATGCCTTGACAATTTCTTAAACACGGACCTTTCTCTTGACCGTGAACATGATACGATAAAAGTGTTGAGCATCAGATATCAAGGATCTGCCTCAAACCGGAACTTTCTGTCCCTTCCGGCCGCGCCCTGATTTCCGAAACAATCTATCACTTTATGCGTCAGGTTGTGGGGAGTTGCACCAGGTGAGGATCACGTATTGAGCGTCATAATATTCCGTATTCATCCATCCTATAAACCTTTTCCAATATCCATGTACCTAGATTCCCGAGGCTGATCCTACATTGATCCCTGACCCGGAACCGAAAACTTAATAGTTGAAAAGCTGTCCCAACGCTTGCATGCCATGTACCTTTCACTTAGTGTTGAACGCCGTCATAACACAAATCCACTCCGAGTTTGAACACTTTCAACACTACTTTTCTTTCTCCTTCTCCTCTTCCTCAGCCAACCTAAGGGCCTCTTCGAGAGCTTCCTCATCTTCGTCGAAAGCATCGTTCTCCTTGTCCTCTTCAGCCTTCTTCACCACTTCAGGCTTAGTCTTCTCAATGGCCTCAGCCTTTTTCTCAGCAGATTTAGCCTCTTTGGCATCGGCTTCCGTCGCTGGAACTTTCGTGGAAGTGCCAGGTCCGAGTGCCCAGTCAATCTCTCCTTCAGGCCCATATCGTGTAACCAGCCAGTCATTGGCTTTTCTGAAGTGACCGCAGTCAAAGAACCCCCTGGAAGCACTGAGAGGGCTAGGGTGGACACTCTGTAGTACAAGATGCTTGACGCGATCGATCTTCTGCACTCGCTTGCCGGCTGGTGTTCCCCAGGCCATGAAAACAACACCCCTTGTTCTCTTTTGCGCCACTAGATCAATGACTCGCTGTGTGAGCTTCTCCCATCCTCGATTGGAGTGCGAGTTGGCCTCATGGGCTCGAACTGTGAGGCAGGTGTTCAACATGAGAACGCCACGGTCTGCCCAGGGGGTGAGAAGACCTCCTCGGTTGGGTGGTGGCTCGAAAGTAGGATAGTCTTTCTTCAGAGCAATATACATGTTCTTGAGCGACGGTGGTGCAGGAGTTGGTGGTCGAACGGAGAATGCCAATCCGTGAGCCTGGTTATCGTTATGATAAGGGTCTTGACCAACAATGACAACCTTGACATTGCTGAAAGGGGTATGACGGGACCTATAAGCCATAGGTTAGGAGCTGCCACCGCAGGTAGAAAGATAGTTCGTCCTTACCATGAGTAGATATCGTTCCTAGGTGGGAACACCTTGCGACCAGAGCTGATTTCCCGATCCAAGAATCGCTTCAGGTCCAGGAACTCCTTTGTAACAAGATCATCCTTGAGATGCGCCAACCAGCTTTCGTCAAGAGTATCGATTTCGAGCTGCAAGAGCTCTTTCTGCTCTGGCTTCAAGGAAGCCACCCACTTGGCCTTATCAAACTTGACGGCTGGTGCGGGAGCAGAAGCACCAGTACCGGTAGGCTTAGGAGCTGCTCCGAAGAAAGAGGCAATGTTGCCATTAGCTTTAGGCTTCTTCGAATCGTTCCCGGCTGAGGCGCCTGCTTTACGTTTGAGGGTCGACATGGCGATAGCTTGTAGGTGGAGACTGATGGTGGGAAGAGGTGGATGCACGATGAGCCCTCGATACGAGGGAGGGACTCTTGTGACGAGAGCTCGAACGAAACGAATTCTGGGCAATTGATACAAAAACAAGCCAATTACACAAATACAGTATTCACGAAAGCAAAGACGGAAACCGTGAGTATTGCAAGTATATGCTGATATGTGTGGTAGTGCAATGCGTAGAAATGAGAAGAGTATCGTTGTGAGAATTCGAGCTAAAGTGGTGATGCAAGTTAGTTAAATGCAAGCGCGTTAAGTAAAACGCGCTAGCTCCCAGCCATTAACGCGGCCCCCGTGACTTTCGCGTCGAGGAGGCTTGGAGAGACACTAACTGCAGGGACCTGAAACTCTGAGTGGTTGGGGCCTAGGATAGCTTCAGCACTAGCAAGCCACGCCGTCAGTCTACCAGGCATCAGGTCGAATAACTCCAAATTGGGCAGTCGCCGAAGCGATATTTGAGTATAATTGCTTCTGTTTGTTGAAAGTGGCTATCAAATAGAGTTTCGGCAGATCACAGCTCTTTGAACTGAATCAACGGATAGTTGCTCAAGTTCGGATAGTCTTTGCGTAGGTATGCGGTGAATTTGGTTTGCTCTGAGCCCCTCCATGGAAAGATTGTATGCTTCCTACAGAAGAATAAAACTTAGGATCTCTATTCTAAATGACAAAAAGACTCAGGTCAATTTAGGATAGACTTAGTATACCTTAGATTAGTTGTCTTGGGCACCTTGCCTAAAATGTCAGAACCTTTCTTATTCCCTGAGGGCTATATACGGATAGTATATTAAGCAAACTTATCACCTGTCATACTATCTTTCGAATAGATTTAACAACATCACTGGAAATTATTCCTCCGTGAGTCTATGAGCCTGCTTAAGCCGAACTGTTTGCTGTGCTTCTGCTGATTGGACATGATCTTTAAATGCGATTGTGAAATCTCAAATGGCTGGTGCATAGTATACCTCCCTATGTAGGTAGAGAGCCAATCTGATTTCGTGCAGTGCTTATTGGGTACCACGTGCATTGAAATCAAGGCAGGTTCCAATTAGGTTTCAGTTCGTATAATGCAAAGACAAAAGTCATAGTCGTTCATCCGTCACCTGGTGCTGAACGAATGTAATAGGGTCGTAGAGTGGTGTCGGCTCCTGGCCAATGTTGCTTAATCATCAGCCGTACAGTACCGCGCTTTTCCCTTCTGGGCTGCCGCATTACCTCATGCAAGCTCCGACCTCAACTGGACAGCTTGTAACTCCAACACCGTTGGCCTCACCAAATTATTACTCTGCATTATAGCCATGCTCTATAGCAGAATTGACCTTTCCGGCACATAGCAGCTGCCAACGATGCGTCAATCGATAGTCTGGGTCCTCCGTTAGTCAACCATTTCGTACCTTATTGTAACACGCGACAGCTGTCAATTTGGCTTGCTGACTTCTTTATTAGTGCTTTGGCAGGTAACCACAGGACTCGGCACAAATGTCAAACATTATGACGAAACATATAAGGATAAGAACCTTGAAGGAGCTGGACAGAATCAATATATCGCTTCTCCCAAGACCGACGTCGTTGTCGATCAAAGTCAGCCTGCTGGCCCGCAACCTGGTACGATTATTTCCACCACCAACAAGGCGCAAAGATACTGACAGCTTCTAGGCGCGGAACTGGTCGATGCAGCAAGAATAGAACTTACCAAAGCCCCTCAACCTTTACATCGCCGAAAGCGAAGACCTTCGGGACTCGTCGGAACCGCTCTGCGTTACATACTTAAAGCCATTCCATCTGGTCCGGCAACAGCCCCATCGCAATCCCAAGAGACCACTGTCAACGGCGCTGTCGCAAAAGCGGTTGATTTTCTCGAACAGGCCGCACAGCAAAACAATTCCGATGCTCTCTACTTACTTGCCGAGATAAACTTCTTCGGCAATTATAGTTACCCAAGGAACTTGGAGGTGGCCTTCAACAACTACCATCAACTTGCAACTGTCTATGGAAATTCAACAGCCCAGTATATGCTAGGAGTCTACTATTCGACCGGGATCGGTAACGTTGTAGAGCGTGACCAAGCTAAGGCGCTTCTCTACTATACCTTTGCTGCTATTCGTGGAAATGCTCGTGCGGAGATGGCAACGGCCTTTAGACATCATGCTGGCATTGGCACGACGAAGAATTGCGAGGCGGCAGTGAAATATTACAAGCGTGTCGCAGACAAGGCTATTGCTTGGTACCGAGCGGGCCCTCCTGGTGGTCGATCTTGGATCCATCAGTCATGGCGAATTTCCGATGACGATGGAGGTATCTACGGAGAAGGAGCGAGTGCTTCAAGCTCAGGCATGAACGCATTCAAGGCTAGCCCTGGCTCTGATGCGAATGCCGCCATAGACGATGTGATTGAGTACTTGGATCTTATGTCTCAAAAAGGCGATTCGAAGGCTTCATATAACCTCGGACGCATATACTATGACGGCCAACGAGGCCTGGAACGAGATGTTGACCTAGCACGCAAGTACTTTGTTCTGGTCGCATTACGTTACTGGAAGAAGGACGGCCGTCTAAACGAGAACCCGAAGCCTGGAATCGAGAAGATTGCCAGTAAGGCTGCTGGGTATCTGGGTCGGATGTATTTGAGAGGCGACGGCGTTCCTCAGAACTTTGAGCGGGCGAAGGTGTGGTTCGAGCGTGGCATTACACAACATGATGCTCAGTCACAACATGGTCTTGGTCTAATGATGCTTCATGGCTACGGTCAAAAAGAGAATGTGAAGAGGGCTATGGAGCTCTTCAAGTCCTCTGCCGATCAGGATTATGCCCCAGCCTTGGTGCAGATGGGCCAACTTTACCTGGACCAGGGTGGCCAGGAAGACGTCAGGATTGCCAACAACTATTTTGAACTCGCCGGTAGGCACGGCAACATTGAAGCCCACTACTACATTGCAGAGATGATCCATCATGGTGTTGGACGAGAGAAGCACTGTCCTGCATCCTTGACGTATTACAAGAGCGTTGCCGAGAAGGCAGAGCCCCTGGTGTCATCATGGGGCGACGCCAACGACGCTTACGAGGCTAGCGATTACGAACTTGCATTCCTTGAATATCTTCTGGCCGCTGAGCAGGGCTACGAGAAGGCCCAGACCAATGTTGCCTACATGATAGATTCTGTTCAAAATGGGGTTTCCATTTCGTCATTACTTGGACAGCCCCGAGAGAAGAGTAGTCTTCTCAAGAACCCATCTCTTGCTCTTGTTTACTGGACGCGATCTTCCAGACAGTCTAATGTTGACGCATTGGTCAAGATGGGTGATTATTATTATCATGGTATTGGTACTGAAGAAGATATTACAAAGGCTGTCCAGTGCTACACCGGAGCCTCCGACTACTCCCAGAGCGCACAGGCACTTTTCAACCTCGGTTGGATGCACGAAAACGGCATTGGTCTGGTACAAGACTTCCATCTCGCAAAGAGATACTACGATCATGCCCTGGAGGTAAACGATGAGGCATATCTACCAGTAACTTTGAGTCTCCTGAAGCTTCGCCTTCGAAGCGCTTGGAACACACTGACACATGGACCGATTCACTCGATCCAGGATGAGCCCAGTAAGTTTCTCTTGTCAGATACAAATCCTAGGTACATACTTACAAAGCCTCCAGAACCTAAGAAGGATCGCTCATTCTCCGAGTGGATCGCCAACTTCCTGCGAGAAGATAACCAATACTACGAGGAGGAGCATTACACCGGAGGTGATTTATACGATGGTGCTCTCGGCGATGGACAGGGAACAGATGACGACGATGGTGTACTAGAAAGCGTCCTGATCATTGGAGTCACCTTTTCACTTGTCTTCTTATTATGGTGGAGACAGCGGCTGCAACAGGCGCATCAACAAGCAGAAGACGCTCGAAGAAGAGAGCAAGGCCTCCCCCCGAACCCTCGTCTCGATGGTCCAGGTCCCGACTTTGCTGGCTGGGGAGCCGCTGGAGGCGTAGTTTTGTAGAATCTCAGAAGCAGCGTGGTTGTTTATCTCGTTAATAGCATTAGAGCGATGGCGTCTTTGGATTGGTTGTCAGAATTTGATAAACTTATAGTTGCAACCTCGCATGCATAAGTGTAACGATCGTTGACATCAAAGTGAGGTTTTTGAGTTTTGCACGACTAGAGGAGTTGAGCGTGCATGATAGAACGAGGCCGGAATGTCCGTGTTTACTTCTCAGTGGCTTTTCGGAAATGCAAGAAAAGACGAGATGTTTCAAGTAGCTACGAGGCTGAGCTGATGGCTCCTTGTCATACGCTAATACAGTACGGATGTAGATCGATCCGTCTCACAGTTTACTGAGCATGATATGTACAGTAATATTCACTGCTGAGTCTCATTTATATGCAGGGCTTGTGATTCTTATTATGGCAGAGTCTTATTCTCCTCGTGAAGGATTCTTCACAGCAACCCTCACCGTCAGTAAGCTGAGGGGCTGACTAGACTAGTTAGTCGCTACCTTATTCAAAGACGATCATCTTAACGGAGTAGCGATAAACTTGTAGGAGACAAAGAGGGTGGTGCATTTCTTCGGCTCTGTGGCTTGTCTTAGGCTCGTAGCCGCTGGGACGTGACAACAACCCTGCCACTGTCAGCCTGTGAAACTTGAGGAGTCGAGCGTAACGTAACTCTGCCGCAGAGATCGTCGCGTCTACGCACGATAAAGGCACTGGCAGTGGCTATCGCCCCCTCCTGTCCCCTTTCTTGTCTTGCCTTTGTACACTGGAGCGCCCGCTTAAAACGAAACCGAAGGGGGGGGGGGGAGTCGTATTTGTACGACAGGCCTTTATGTGAAAACCAACCTTCTCCCTTTGGAATTCTCAGCATATCCTCCTAATAAACGCCTTCTAGTCTCTTTCTCTCGACCCTTCATCTTCTTATTCACTGGGGGCCGTTCTTTTTTATTTCACAAGTGCTGACTTTGACATCCATTCATTTATCCCTGCGATTGGGGGTTGTTTACGCATCCTTCGGGCACCTGGCACCTAGCACCTGGCACCTTGGCAACTGTGAACTTTAGTGGAGGAGAGCACTTCCAATCAATCACCTGTACGGACCTCGGAGTACCGTTCAGCGTAGCTCGTACTCGGTTGATTCCATCCATCTCAAAATCAACAAACACACGCAACAGCCTATTCTAAAGAACGATTTCTTATCGCCAATATGGCGAGATTTGTGAGGTATGCGCTTGAGCGCAGGGACGATGAGACTTCCGAGTACTTCACCGATGACGATGATGTCTATTGGTGGTATAGCAGAGTAAGCATCCATCATTAACTTTCGTACGTTCACGTTGCGCATGCTAACTCGACAACAGGAGGGATATATCGTCAAGTGGACTATCCTCGCCGTGATTGTACTTCTTTTTACACTCTGGATCGTCGGAGGATACTGGCATGCAAAGAAGAGAATCCAAAAGGGTTTACGACCACTAGCATATCATAGAGTAAGTCGCACCTGTGATACACATCCAAACACCAATTCTAACCCTCCGCAGTGTTTTGTTAGTAGGCGCATGATGGCTCAGGTCGATCCCCGTTACGCATATCCTCCTAACGGATACTACTACGCTCCTCCTGGCAACTACGCCCAGCCTGGCGGATATCCCATGCATAACATGCCTCCTCCACCAGTCTATGACCCATCACGACCTCCCATGTACGAAGAACCCCCGAATGCCTCAAAGATCGACCCGGCGCAAGGACAGCAGAGACAGGCCGATGGACCGGCAGACTATTATGCTCCTCCAACAGGACCTCCGCCTCCGCGATAAATGATGTTAGGCGCTGGAAAGGTTCGGTTGAGAGGCATACATGCATAGATGGTTGATTCTTGAGCCATGTAACGGTTCAGAAGTCGCTGAGCGGCCACGCGAGACAGTATGAAATTGAAAGTCAATCAATAAATGTAGCTAGCATAGAAATACAAGCAAATGCCGACATTCAAGCGCCAGGCTCTTGGGAGCAAGAAAACTTCCGACGTGAAATCAGGGTGCCAAAAATATCTGATCTAAGTTATAATAAGTTTACCTAAGTATTTTCATCACTTAGGATAGAGGTTCTAAGTTTTCTTGCATCCTCTTGCCAGGTTCTCTTTTCCAATTCACAGTAAACAAACGCCAGTCGCCTTGGGTATATATAAGTGTGTGTATCGGGCGTCATATACGGTTCCCTTCCTCTAGTCCAAGTCCATCGCGTCTGGGTCGTCGTCCGTACTCGTGGCAATACCAGTATTCAATGTGGCGTCCTGTATGGTTGGGGTCTCCGTCTTACCCTCCCTTTCTAACCGCTGTAGCTCTCTTGTGCGATTTCTCGACTCGATGATGGCCTTGCGCACACTATCTTTGTCCTCTGGCACCGTCAACGACTTGGGATCACTATACAGCACTACCTGCATGCCGGCTAGCTCTCCCTCGCTGTTAGCTAATACCGATGGGGGGATGCGATTCGCGCGCAGATGCTTCTCGATATCTGGTAGGAAGACAAGCTTGCCCGGGTCATCGCTGTCGCTATCGGAGGAGAGCTCATCATCCATGTTGTAGATGTACACTTTATGTTTGGAATCGTCTAATTGCATGGTCTCATCGGGAACTGGATTCGAAGCAACATCGGAAGGGGTAGGAACTGGAGCAGCAGAAGAAATCGAGGTTGTTGGTTGTTCGACAGGGACGTATAACTTGTTCCCGCTCTGTTCTGTAGGCACGATGGGTGTTAGTTCATGGGCATTGCAAGGATAAGGACAATGTGACGATAGAGGAAAGAAGAATAAAACATACCCAGATTAAGGAGACTCAAGCGTTTAGAAAGACGTTCATTATCTTGTGTCTCTGCCTTTCTCTTTCGGCGCAATCTTCTTGTCTTATCGACCCCCTCGGCTACAGCTACTGTAGCTGGGGCGGAAGATGACGGGGATTGTAACATGATGGCAATGGGACTCAACCAGTGGTCAATTCGTAGTCCACCAAGGCCTAAAATGGCGGACTTTTAAACCCTTCAACACCTGAACTATCCGACTGAACGTCGAATCAACGGCTCGGAGAAGGACACTGGCAACCACACGTGGCGAGGATGAAATTTTGAAGTCTTGACTTGTCTTTTGCGTGAAGGCGACGGGCTTCTTTTTCTTGGCTAGGGATTGGTTTGTCCTCTGTCTCTCGAGGCTAGAATTGCTGGTTGCCCTTGATGTGGGCGTGCATCAATCGGGCGAGTGTCACTAGGGGCGGAAACGGAAATACTGCAGTGAGCTTCAGCGGTTGCGGGCGTTGGAGTCGGCGCTGTAGGCCCCGGAGCTTGAGGACGATTATCGGCGCGGGAGAGCGTGGGCCTTATGTATCCGTCTCGGTCTTGACTCATTCTTGTAGAACTTTCTACCCTCCTCCGCCTGCGCCTACGCCGCCACAGCAACTCCATCTCCAACTCAGACCCCAGCAACATCAACTTCTCCTCCACAATCTTCAATCAGAAACCCCCACTACCACCACGACGATTCCTCCACGGCCGACAATCATTGCAGCGCCTGCGCGGAATATCTTCAGGACTGCGACTAACAAGAGATTGCCTTTTTTTATTCTACGTCGGTCTTATTCCAGCGCGACCATGGCCGAGTCGGAGCTCAAGTGGCCCGCTGCGCGCGTGCGCAAGACCTTTCTCGAGTACTTCGAGCAGAGGGGTCACACAATTGGTATGCGATTGCGATAGCGCGGGCACTACGTCTCACTGCATTAAAAGATATTGAAATTATGTCCAATTTCTCGAGGAGAATCTCCTCAACACCACTCTTTACTTTGTTTTCCTTCCCTCTGACTCACAAATCGCTAACAAGACTTCTTCTGCTTCAGTCCCCTCTTCATCGGTCGTCCCTCATAATGACCCCACCCTGCTCTTCACCAATGCTGGCATGAACCAGTTCAAGCCCATCTTCCTCGGCACCATTGGCAAGACCGATCCTATGGCCGGCCTCAAGGCCGCTGTCGACAGTCAAAAATGTATCCGTGCTGGTGGCAAGCACAACGATCTCGACGATGTCGGCAAGGATAGCTATCACCACACATTCTTCGAGATGTTGGGTAACTGGTCTTTCGGTGACTACTTCAAGAAGGAGGCTATTTCATATTCCTGGGAGCTTTTGACAAAGATCTATGGTCTGGACCCCGATCGTCTTTACGTTACATACTTCGAGGGTGACGAGAAGTTGAAGCTGGAGCCTGATTTGGAGGCCAAGGAGCTCTGGCTCTCGGTTGGTGTTCCCGAGGATCATATCCTTCCTGGAAACATGAAGGATAACTTCTGGGAGATGGGTGACCAAGGCCCTTGTGGTCCTTGCAGTGAGATTCACTACGACAAGGTCGGTGGAGGCCGCAATGCTGCCAGCCTCGTCAACATGGATGATCCTATGGTTGTCGAGGTTTGGAACAACGTTTTCATGCAGTATGATCGACAAAAGGACGGCAGCCTCAAGTCTCTCCCCGCCAAGCATATCGACACTGGTATGGGCTACGAGCGACTGGTTTCTGCCCTCCAGGATACAGTTTCCAACTACGCCACCGATTGCTTCACCCCTCTCTTCCAGAAGATCCAGGAGGTCACTGGCGCCCGACCCTACGCCGACAAGTATGGCAAGGATGATGCCGATGGCATTGATACCGCCTACCGTGTAGTTGCTGATCACATCCGAACCCTTTCTTTCTCCATCGCTGACGGCGCTGTTCCCAACAATGACGGCCGAGGTTATGTTGTCCGACGTGTACTAAGACGAGGTGTGCGATATGCTCGAAAGTATTTCAACGCCGATATCGGCGCCTTCTTCTCCAAGATCTTGCCTGCGCTTGTTGACCAGATGGGCGAGCAATTCCCCGAGCTTGTCAAGAAGCAGCAAGACATTAAGGAGATTCTCGATGAGGAGGAAGTCGCTTTTGCCCGCACTCTGGATCGTGGTGAGGCTCAGTTCGAGAAGTATGCTGCCGAGGCCACCAAGGGCGGCTCCAAGAAGCTCGAGGGTGATGTTGTTTGGCGACTTTATGACACTTTCGGTTTCCCCGTGGACCTTACTCGATTGATGGCTGAAGAGCGAAGCCTCGAGATTGACGATGCTGAGGTTGAGGCTGCTCGAATCAAGGCTCGTGAGGCCAGCAAGGCTGTCAAGGAGTCTGTTCAGACTTTCTCCAAGCTCAATGTGCACCAAATCTCTGAGCTCGAGAAGGATCTTAAGGTTGAGCGAACTAACGATGACGCCAAGTTTGCTCAGGGTGACACCAAGGGTAAGGTCCAACTCATTTACGACGGTCAATCCTTCCTTAAGTCGACCAAGGACGTCCCCGAGAAGACTGCTCTGGGTCTTTTGATCGACAAGACCAACTTCTACGCCGAATCGGGTGGTCAGGTCGCTGACACTGGACGTATCGTCATTGACGATGTCGCCGAGTTCAAGGTTCTTGATGTTCAGAACTATGGTGGCTATATCCTACACAACGGTTATATCGAGTATGGTACACTATCCTCCGGTGACGAGGTTATCTGCGAATACGATGAATTGCGCCGATCTCCTATCCGCAACAACCACAGCGGTACTCACATTCTGAACCATTCCCTACGGGAGGTTCTTGGTGATGATGTCAACCAGAAGGGTTCTTTGGTGGACAACGAGAAGCTCCGTTTCGATTTCTCCCACAAGACTGGCGTCAAGATTGAGGAGCTCAAGAAGATCGAGGACATGTCGAACGCATACATTCGCCGTAAGGACAAGATCTTTTCCAAGGAGGTTGACCTGGAGCTTGCTCGCCAGATTGAGGGCTGTCGTGCTGTCTTCGGCGAGACCTATCCCGATCCTGTGCGTGTTGTCTCCATCGGCAAAGATATCGATGAGATGCTCGCCGACCCCAAGAAGAAGGAATGGCGTCAGTACAGTGTTGAGTTCTGTGGCGGTACCCACGTTGAGCAGACCGGTTTGATTAAGGACCTCATCCTTATTGAGGAGAGTGGTATCGCAAAGGGTATTCGCCGTATCATTGCCTACACTGGTGAAGCTGCTCACCAGGTTCAGCGTGAGGCTGATGAATTCTCCAAGAAGATTGATGCTCTCGACAAGTTGCCGTTCGGTCCTGAGAAGGAGGCTCAAGTCAAGGCCGTATCTGTGGAGCTCAGCCAGCTGACAATCTCGACCTTGACAAAGGACGAGTTCAACAAGCGTTTCCAAAAGATTTCTGCTGCTGTGACTGCTGAGCAGAAGAAGCGCCAGAAGGCCGAGTCGAAGACTGCGCTTGATATTGTCCAGAAGTACTTCGAGGCTAACAAGGATGCCAAGTGGTTCGTTGGCCGCCTGCCCGTTGGTGCCACCGGCAGCAAAGCGCTGCCTGATGTGGTCAAGCACTATCAAGGTAAGGATAAGGAGAAGACTGTTTACCTGTTTGCTGGTAGCAAGGAGGAGGGTGCTGTTGCTCATGGTGTCTACGTTGGAACTGTAAGTCTACCCCTATAATTAGTATTGCATACACTGACTAACTATTTCAGCACCTTGCTTCTCAAGGCGTCACTGCTGAGCAATGGGCTGCCTCCGTGTCGGAGATTATTGGTGGCCGATCGGGCGGCAAGGAGCCTGTACGACAAGGCCAGGGCACTAAGCCTGAGAACATTGACGAAGGTGTTGAGACTGCGACAAAGTGGCTCAACGAAAAGCTGAAGCTGTAAAATTTGAAGAACAAATAACTGTGTTTCTACTCTGCTCAATGGGAATTCATGATTGTTCATTCACCTGGGAGTAATGTCGGGGATCTGGTCAGACAAAAGAAAGGATATAGAGCGTTTAAATAGGCATGGCCATTTACCATTGCCATAAGAGAGTACGATGAATAAAGAACACCATTGATGGCATATTGGTTTGATGAGAGGGTATATGCTGTATCTTTTCCCAACCCGGATGTATATCTACATGGCCTTTTGCTTTGGCTTTTGTTACAGGGCTAATTTTATACAGTTACAAGAACGCTGGCGTTGCGATAGTTTGATATCAAGGGATTCTCTCCGCTTCGGGTTTCGGTATCCTCAACGTATGCCCACTTGCGCATGAAATCACCATGCGACATAACACGAGTCAACTTGCCCGTGATAGCGCGGTAGATAGCCTCTGTGACGCGAAAATCTGTTGGGAACAGAATATCGAAGTATCCTTGATGAACCTATGTGATGTTAGTTTGCCAATATTCAACGACAGTGGGCTTTATAGCTTACCAAGGGGGTTGTGACGGGCACCATCTTTCTGTGGTACCGTGTCTGGACAACAGGTGCATTCATACCCTTGACAGCTTGAGGTAACCAGTCAAAGTCAGAAGTCACAAGTCGATGACCTGGGAAGTACTTCTCAAGAACGTCGAAGAACTGCATCAGCCGTGTGGGGATAAATTCTGGATCCGAAAGATTGGCAGCAAAAGGCATCTTGGTGGATAGATATCGTAAAACGGCGTTGCTGGGGTACGGTTTAGGATAGTTTCCCCCTGTAGCAGCGTGTCTGACACGGAAGTATCGCGCAGCAAGAGGATCCAACTCATGAGCGTAGAATTCGTAAAAGTCACCGTCACCATCGATCAGCACGTGGCCTTGCAGGGGCTGCTCGGTAGCAACGTCGTAGCGAATACCATCGTGAGAGAAGTTATCGAAGACCTCCATGGCAAGAAAGAAACAAGGCGACGGCACGTATTGGTCCCAGTCGAAGATGGAACGGTTGATAATCTCGACCTTATCCGCGTGGCCTCGAGACGCAGCCGTGGAGAGAAGATGTCTGTTTTGCAGCGCAGCAAGTGTGGAGGAAATCTCGATGATGTTGAACTTTGTGCGGGCGTACACTTGAGGATCGACTTCTCGGATGTAGTCCAGGATATTGAGCATGAGTGTTCCACGACCAGCGCCCATTTCGTAGATCAGAAGATCGTGGTAGGGATATGTGGTGAGACGATAATTCGTGACGAGGTAGCGGGCGATGGCTTCGCCGTAGTATGGGCGAAAGAGCTCAGTAGGCGTATGCCATAGCTGGCGTGTTGGGTTCTCTCCTTCTCGCTCATCGAGAATATCCTCGAATTCGGTGTAGCGACGACCTAGCTCGGCCTGGAACTCAATTTCATCGCGCATTGAATTGAAGTCGAATGGCTCGCCGGGGCTGAAGATGACGGCTTGTTTGGAGAAGTATCCATATGATGGATTGTAAAGACTGTCTAGAGCTACGTTATTCTACTATTCCTAGAGGGATACTCGAGTGTCATGCCGTCAATAAAGTCTCTCAGCAGCATCTTGACCTTTCGTGGTCGTTCGGTTCGTTGCTTGAGCTCGTCAATCGATATGTAGGGGTACTCTGCAAACTCGGCAGATCGGTCTTGGGGGAGAATATTCGTGCGCTGCTGCCATCGACTCTCGTTTTTCTTCATTCCGCGATCACTGGAGGGCCGTCCCGCAACGTAGAAGCGGCTCTGATGACTGACGATAGTGGTTCGAAGGCCATTGCGAAGACCGGCGAGGTTTCTGACACCTTTACACCCTGGAGGTCGATGGTGGAAGAGTTGGCGGAAGATTTGGGCCACAATTGGGGAGTCCATGTTGGAGATAACTCTTGTTATATTGTCGACATGTCGGTTCTTGAGGACTTGGTGTTTTGAGGTTTGAGATGGTTTACATTGGATGGTGTGGGTCTCAACTTGTCGGGTGTACCTCGGGCTGAGAGTGAGAGCAGAGGATATGCCAACTTGTACGCGGATGATCATGTGCGAGTTTTCCTTTTTGGATTATGAATAGCTTCATCATCTTAGCTTGATACAATTGCCGCGTAAAAGTAACTGGTGTCCTTGGTATTGAAACGTCGGTTCTCTAGAGCTCTCGTGAGCTTGGACGGACTTAAAGTGAGGTTGACCAAGATGTCTCAACACATCTTCTTTTGTAGAATTATTAGTAGAATAATAATCAAAAGCTTCTCAATATTCGACCCTATAGATTATTGATTTATCTCAGATATTAGAGCACAATCATATCATGGATATCCCACTATTAGAGGTCAAGGAGAGGTAAGAAAACTTAGGACCTCTATCTTGGGTAATAAAAAAGACTTGGGATAATTCAGGGCAATTTAGTATAGATTTAGTAGACCTTATTAGGCATTTTTGGCACCTTAAATCAACATTAGAGGTTTTCTTGCTCCCTGGGAGGTTTATAGCACTGATATACTGAGCTCCACATGACATCACGCACGCACCAGGGTTCATTAATTCTACGTAGTATGTACTCATACCTTATCACTCACTAAGCTTTAGCCAAGATCATTCAAGTTTTAACCTCAACCTCATCAGAAGCGCCCTCAACAATGCAGGCATTCTAGTTCTCCAGTGAATGCCCAATTGATGATTTCATTGGGTACGCCAGCCAAAAACTCCCAAAATGGCGCTCAGCGACCATCCAAAAGCCTACGGCACTGCTGCCGTTGTCTTCGCCTTCACAACTGGCATCCTCGTCACTTTAGGATTCAAGGACTTTTACCCAGATCTTGAACGTCGGTTCCAGCGCAAGAGGCGTGCAAACACGGGTGGTGGCCGAAGATCGAGTCTTTTCTGGGGAGACCCTGTTGAGCTTCAGGATCATGAGTCTCAACCTTCAACATCAACGTCTTACGATGTTGTGAGGAATAGCTTGGTAGATGGCATAGAAGCTACCATCGGTAACACACCTCTTATAAAGATTCAATCCTTATCAGAAGCCACAGGTCGGATCATCATGGCCAAAGCAGAGTTCCTCAATGGCGCTGGAAATTCACCCAAGGATCGTGTTGCGCTTAACATGATTCGAGAAGCAGAATCCAAGGGTCTACTAACACCACATAAGGGTGATACGATCTATGAAGGCACAGTAGGAAGCACGGGTATCTCACTGGCAACTCTTGCCCGAGCGATGGGCTACCGCGCTCATATCTGTATGCCTAGCGATATGGCTCTCGAAAAGTCCGATCTACTCCTCCATCTTGGCGCAACCGTTGAGCGAGTCACTCCCGCACCTATCACAAGTCCCGATCACTTTGTCAATCTGGCTCGAAGGCGTGCGGAAGAACACGCCAGCAAGGCCAAGGATGGCAGTAAGGGTTTCTTCGCAAATCAGTTTGAGTCCGAAGCCAACTGGAAAGCACATTTCAATGCAACGGGTCCCGAAATTTGGCGGCAGACGAATGGCCAGCTGGACGCTTTCGTCGCAGGAGCTGGTACAGGAGGAACAGTCTCTGGCGTGGCAAAGTATCTGAAGGAGGAGCAGAAGGCAACTGCTATCAAAGTCGTTCTCGCCGACCCTCAGGGCAGTGGTCTCTACAACAAAGTCCGCCACGGCGTTATGTACTCTTCGACAGAACGTGAGGGTACAAGACGCAGGCAGCAGGTTGATACTATGGTCGAAGGCATCGGAATCACACGTCTGACTGAGAACTTCGAAGCGGGGCGCGAACTTATCGACGATGCTGTGCGAGTAACAGATGCGCAAGCCTGTCGCATGGCGCGCTGGCTAGTTGAGCACGACGGTATCTTCATCGGCAGCAGTAGCTCTGTCAACTGTGTCGCCGCGGTTGAGGCAGCTATGAGACTTCCTAAGGGGAGTCGTGTTGTTACTATCCTGTGCGACTCTGGAACTAGACATCTAAGCAAGTTCTGGAAGCACATCAAAGAGATGGGACTGGAAAGCGAGGAGGAGGCAACGAATTTGTTTACTGAGCTAGGGATACCCGGTCATGATGAATGAGATGCGAACGAACCGAAAAAATGAGTGGGTTTCATGAAACGAAGCACATGTGTATAATAGTTAATATCCTCAATCGACTCTCGACTTTCCTGTTCCGAAGACTGCCAATGAATGGAAAGCAAAGAACTGTGTATTCCTCAGGGAGCAAGAAAAGTTAAGACTTTAGAAGAGGATGCCAAAATAAACTCAGTAAAGAGTCCCCTAAACTTAGGCTAAATTACCTAAACATTTTTATCGCTTAGAGTCAGGATAGTTAAATGTTCCTGACAAGAGCATGACCGTTTCAGCCACCTCCACGATCTGGGTAAACTCCGGTACAGGAAATAGCCAGGGGCTCACGTGCCATCCATCAGGCATAGGCTGGTGTATGTAAGTTTGCGACAGACCACGCCTCAATTTATCGACTCTTTCCAACCCTTCGCCTCCAAACCCGCAAAAATGCCCATGGACGAACGCGAGCTTGGGCAGCGCATCAAGGCGCTTACAAAGTGCGTTGCTGCGAATGAGCCCCCGGAGAACGCTATCAAGTTGCTCGAGACATTGAAGAAGGATGCTTCTCCCACTGAAGAGATGCTAAGGGTACGTACGCGGATCAGGAAGCGATAGAGAGAGCGCTTTTCTGCGCGCGTTTTGAATATATACACGTCTTGGTTGGTTTGCGCAAATGCATGATCGCATTCCTCGCCTTTCTTTCATCAAAATTGCGACCTCGGCGGATCTATCGGATATTGCACTCTTGATTCCACAGGGACTGTGCTAATACTGAGATCTTCGTCATAGGCTACAAGAGCCGGTGTTTTTGTCGGCAAACTTCGCTCAAATTCCAACAAGGACATCGCCCGTGCCGCCGCCGAACTCGTTAACAAGTGGAAGAAGTTGGTCGAACAAGAAAAGCACTCGAAACTACGTGCAAAGGTCGGCTCAGGATCTCCAGCCCCAGCTCCATCATCAGCGCCCGCGTCATCTCCTGCTCCTCCTCCTCCATCATCAGCCGGTGCCTCTGGGGCCAAGTACAAGGGCGACATCGAGAAGCGAAAATATGAGACCGACAACGTGAACGTCAAGCGCACCGATTCCAGTGTTCGAAACTCATGCATTGGGCTTATCTACAATGGTCTGGCCTATCGATCAACGGCAACCGAGAACGACGTCATTACTAGAGCCGTCGCTGTTGAGCATGCCGCCTATACCAAATTCAAAGGGGAAACGCCTGATTACAAGAAGAAGATCCGATCACTATTCACCAATCTGAAGAACAAGTCCAATCGGGAACTTGGGCGCAGCGTCTTGTCCGGTGAGATCACTGCCGAGAAGTTTGTTATCATGACCGACGACGAGCTCAAGAGCGAGGAGCAGCGCAAGAAGGAGCTTGAACTAGAAAAGGAGAACATGAAGAAGGCTCAAGTACCGATGGCCGAGAAGAGTATCAGCGAGAGTCTGGAGTGTGGTCGCTGTAAGAAGAAGCAGGTCAGCTACACGCAGGCGCAGACCCGAGCTGCTGATGAACCTATGACAACTTTCTGCGAATGCATGGCGTGTGGGCACCGATGGAAGGTAAGTCTTGTCACTTTCAACTAAAGTTCGGCGACATAACTAACGCGGGATACCTCAGTTTTCTTAATAATATACAAGGAGTCTGGAGGATCAGGGATGGAACAATGCTAAACTAGACTAACACTTAGGTAACTTCTGCCTATCAGATTCATCAAGATCCTTCAAGTTCTACAAGTTGCTAGCCTAATTAAGTTCACCTTTATATACCCCATTAATAAAATTAATTGTAATCGATCGTAATCTTATCATAAGCCTTATGTAAGTATACAAACCTTCAGTTCTGGATAAGTGAGTTGCGTCCAAGTCGAGGACGTGTTAGTAAAGGCTTGGGTTATAATTCGAGATCCTAGTTAGAACTTTCAGGATCCTGAGATCATAGTGTAATCTTGTCTATCATGGGCTAGTCTTATGATCATATACTAAGATTATACAGCTCTACTAACATATATGCCCCAGGGGCTTATCGAGATGGTTACAACTCGAAATTTAAAGGACAAATGTAAACTCGGCGTCTCCTACTGTGACCAGATTTGATGATAACTCCATTTGATCCAGTCTTTCTATCAAATAGATTCTGCCCTCATTTTGTACTGTGGTCGCTGTCATAGTTCACCATAGCAATGTGACCATATTCCTCATCATCTGTGAGATTGGACTCGGGCGTCCAGGGTCGTTGCTGTTGCTGATGAGTATCGTGTGAAGATTCAAAACGTCGAGGAAGAGGAGCGTTCACTTCCTTATCGGCTCCAACTGGCCTGCGGGGAATGGCAGGCCTACCTTCCTGTTGAGCTTCAGTAGGGCGTCGGGGCAATGGCGGTCCCGCTTCATCATCCGGTCCTGATGATGGCTGTGCTTGGCTCGCTACAGGCCGTCGGGGCAGCTTTGGTGCTTCTTCTTTCCTGTCCTGAGGAGTCGGTCGTTGAGGAAGCGGCGGGTTCTCATTGCTGGACTGTTGTGGTGACTTTCCCTGGTCTGGAGGCTGTGATGGCGAAACAAGAGCCGGAGGGGAGATGTTTAGTCCATGAAGGTCCTTTTCGATTTGCTCTTGGTTCGGCGACTGAGAACTCTCCTTTCCCTCGACTGTAGTCCCTTCGAAATCGATCAACTCGCCCTCGGCATGACGGTCCTTCATCAAAATCACATCATCCTTTTCGATCTCCGATGTTGTCTTGATTCCAACAAATCCACACTTGTTGAGAATCTCGCCGATGAGGTCGGGATATCGGAGGTGCCCACTGACGGAATCGCTCAAATCGAGGTTCTGAATACCTTCAACCTCTTGGATATTCTGTAAGCCTGAGACTCCCATGGAGAGACTATGAGCCCGGTAGACAAATCCAAGAATCATGTCATTCTCTGAATAGACATTGAAGATCTTTCCAGAGACAACCGTACGAAGGGTACGCCAGTGAGGAGGGGCTGAAGGAGCAGGAGCGCCGATGATGACAACTGAATCAATGAGGCCAAAAGCGTGCCGCTCAGCAAGTGACTGCAAGCAGGCATGAATCGCTGTAGCGCCAAGGGAATATCCGATTAGAGTGACAGGCCGCTCGCCTTGGACTTTGTTGATCAGAGCGTCAGCAAGTAGCTGGCCTGCTTTCCGAGATCGGTTGTGTGCATGACCAAAAGGATTATCAATGTTGGATGCAGCAGCAAGTACCTGGATAGGCCAAAGAGCCGCAAGCAGGGTGGCAAAGGCAGTGCGCTTGATGATCTCGACCTTGAGCTTCTTCCAGGCAAAAGATTCGACCATGCTTCGTAGAGCATGTCCCAAGGCAATGAGAGACTTCATCTCATAGCGCAGAGCGAAGACCTCAGTGTCGTCACCAAGGATACGCCATGGCTTTGTCACATCATCCTCATCGCGAAGCCAGCCGTTGATTCCGATTGTAACACGCAGTCGCCGTTCCTGTGGTTGTGCTTGATCCTGTTCTGCATTAAAGACCTCTCCCCATTCGCCCCTGAGAGGGATGAAGCGGAAGTCCTCAACTTCTTTCGCGTACTTATCCATCATTTCACCCTGCAATGTTAGTCGGGAATGAACAGGATTTTGAAAAGTAACTTACAGTCATCTTTCCTCCATATGCACCAAATAAAGCGCCTACAAGAGCACCATTCATCCAGAAGATACCAAGAAAGCTAGCAACACCTCCCAAGCCCACGCCACCGAGGATACCACCGACAGCTCCAGCGACAAGAGGTGCTGCCAGACCACCAGTGACGCCGATCACAGCTGCACCGGCAACAGAAGCAAGCCCGACTTTCCAGAAACGACTGAACTTGTTCTCTTCTCGGCGCTTGGAAGCTTCGGCCTCGGCAGACATGACCTCCTGCTGCTTATCTTGGTCCTTGGAGGATTCAAGAAGAGTCTTGGCGATTTCCATTTCTTCCTTGATGAGGAAAGTCTGGGGAATCTCCAGAGAGGAAGCAAGATAGAGCGCAAGTGCTCGGGTATGGGCGGAATACTTGCCCGTGGAAAGCAGAAGGAGTAGTATACATGATATAGCCTCTCTTCTGTCGGCAGCAGGGATCGTCGTCAGTCTTGTGGGGATAGGATGATACAAAGCCTGTAGAGAAGCAATATCCTCAGACTTGTCTATCTTATTCTCCCCAAAACTGATGAGATTCTCGCCTTCTTCGGGTGTATCGAGCTTCCTCTTCTCAGCCTCCTGTTGATGTTTGCGCCTTTCCTCCTGAATCTTGTGATCATCCTTGACACGAACAATCTCCTCCAACTTGGGCATGAATTCCTTTTTCCACTCCTTCAAATGCTTTATAGCAGCTTTTTGAATACGTAGTGCCTGCGCCGATGGCTTGTTCGGCTGCTGCTGCTGCTGAGCATTTCGATCAGAGTCATCATTCCTGGGTGTGAACGACCGGTTCTCGTCTCTTGGTGTAGAAGGTCCACTCTCATTTCGAGGGGTTGATAGGACAGGGCCAAGCTCATCGTCGGAAGCTTGAAGTTGATCACTCATGTAAGTAGTGATCTCATCAACGAGCTTGAGGAGGGCTTGGCGACGCGCGGGGTTGAGAGTGATGACGATCTGACGAGGATCCGAACATGTTGGCGCCATTATGATGATACTGACCCCGACGAAACTCCAGATGGGGTTGTTGCTGAGGAAGCTGGTTATGAGCTGGGGGCAGTTGGTTATATAGTACGCGTTGGCTGTGGTGTCAATAAATCATGGCCTGAGCACGGCCCGTGTATATGCAGGATCAAAGATTAAACGCTCAGTTTCAGGCTGAAATTCCTACTTGCTAGGCAGGCAGTGTTGTTGGTTGTGCAATACTGAAACATGCAGTCGTAGGCTCTAGGCTCAGAACTGAACCCCCGAAGCCTGGTGTGAGGTGCAGACGGGTTGTAATTGGTGTGATGTAATCACTGAAGGAGTCGTAATATGCTCAGACCTTCGTCACGTGCGTATGACCAAGAAGATACAGACCTTCTATCCTCAGTTTAATAGAAAGAAATGGAGGATGTTGGTTTGATATACCAGTCTGACCCGAAAATGAATGTGTTTTTAGTAAGTATCGTCTTGGGAGTCCTAGCGCTGGTAATGGGACCTGTAGATCTAACGTCATACATACTACTATTTGGGTAGCATATCTTGGTTATGAGATCAGTTGCATATCTCAGGGGTTGAACTTAGAAGTCAGACAGAACGGGTTACTAGAACAAGGTGCTACACTGAGGATTGTGAAAAGCCAAACATTCCACTTGCGTCAACAAGTACATCCTTCCCCTTTTCGACATCGAAGGTCGAAGATATTGAGCTTTCGGACAACTAGCTCGGAAGAAGTTTGGAAATCGGGACTGCATCTACAATAAGGTTGAATAAAAGCGACAAATGAGTGTGATCATGATGTGAACAATTGTCCAACACTTTAAACCTTACCGTTATGTTCGGTATGTTATATGCGTATATATAAGAATTCCTGTAGTCTTCCGAAGGATATAGGGTAGGCAAAATGGAAATACGACCAGCGCAAACATCCCCTTGAGAGGCCTGGGGCTTTCGAAGAGGATGCCAAAATAAACTCAGTAAAGAGTCTCCTAAGCTTAGGCTAGATTACCTAAATACTTTCGTCACTTTGTTTCAAGGGCATAAGGTTTCTTGCCTTCCCTAGACAACTAGCATTGATAAGACCAATCTAGGCTCCGATAAGCCAGCCCCGCTAAAAAAATTCCCAATCGCAACCCTCGACCGTCTAAGTTTCAAACCTCCAATTCTTTATCCCGTTCCCTCTTTGACAGACACCGGATCAACACCCATATAATTGGTCGCAAGAGAAACCCAATACGGAATCGGACGATGGATGCACATGCGCTGCTCTCCTCCCAAGGCTGGCGAGGCACCGGTCACTCCCTACATAAAACCGACGACTCGATCGGACTTGCGAAACCTCTGCTGCTGAATCGCAAAGACAATACTCGAGGACTGGGTCAGAAGCAACATTTCACTAGCGACCAATGGTGGATGAACGCATTTGATGAGCAACTCAAGGGTATCGATACCTCCAAGGAGGGAAAAGTGGTTCAGACTGTCACAACTGGCAAGCTGAACGCCCTCGAAAAGAATCTCGGCAAATACTCCGTATACACGACCTTCGTACGAGGCGGATTCCTCGAAGGAACAATAGATAAGCTCACAATCAACGACTCGAGCACGGAGTCATCCGAAACCGAATCCAGTGACCAGCAAGAAGGCGACAAGTTTGACAAGGACAAGCCTCGGAAAGAGACCAAGGAGGAGAAGAAAGTCCGAAAAGAAGCAAAGAGGAAGCGGAAGGAAGCGCGGGCCGCGAGAAGGGCCGAGAAAGCAGCGCGCCGAGAGCTCAAGTCCAAGTCGAAAAAGTCTTCCAAATCCTCCAAGTCCTCAGCAGAATCAAGCGACGCAGACGAGGAGAAAAAACGGCGGCGCGCAAAGAAAGAAGAGAAGAGGAGGCAAAGAGCTAAAGAGGCCGGGAAATAGAACATAGAGGGACATGGAAAATCGGAGTTTGAAGGCATATACAGCGAAAGCATATTCACGGAGTTGAGGTTAATGGAAATTTTGGATGATACCCCATAGATGTATATTTACGTCTGTTTTGGAATCTTCCCAGGCTTGTTGGAAAGGAGCCACGGTCTTTGGTTCCAGAAATCGTCCTTGATGATGTCCAAGTGTTCCACCACCACACGAGCTTTGGCTCGGCTCTTCTTGTCCTTCTCCTTCTGTGACTTTGATTGCTCAACGGGCTCTGCTTGAGAGTCGATTGTTTGCATGGTATTGTGAGAGTTTGGGTCCACCAGTTCGTACTGTTGAGTGTCAGTGCCGGTTTGCAGGGAAGTGTAGACCGATACGTACATCGCGGAAGATAACACTCCCCTTTCTGTATATCTCGGGCTCGTTGTTGTAGTTGATGGAAAAGCGGGAGAAGAGTATCTCGTTTTTGTCTGCTGCCAATGTGCGCTGATACAGTCAGCTTGTTCAAGTTCCGCAATATGGCCACCTACCGCCAGAGTACTCTCAGCTTCCTTGTTGTCAAGACCTCCGAGTTGGATCAAAGACCAGAAACATGTGTTATAGAGGTTATTGATGTGGCCTTAAGTTATGTTAGTCGGTGCCATTTATATAGTTGTAAAACCTACAATCTGCTTGTCTCCAGCTCATGTAATCCCGGAGATTTTGAACACTAGGGTAGCACACTGCCCGCCCATCGAAGGATGGTAGTGGAGGAGATAACGGGCTGTCTGGGAAGTGAGTCGACCAAAAGTATACATAATTTGCAGTGAATGTCGAGACGACAGTGCTAACAAGTTTACTAGGAAATGGTAAGTTTTGGACGTAGCATGGGGAGAGTGAGTGTAAACGAACCTGGCTCTTCGATCAAACAAAGTGCATGCCTTGTGAAAGACGAAGCTGTTGGAAGTATTAGTGATACAAAGCCTTGACATGGTTCGTCTTACGAACCTGTATTCATCACTGACGCCGTATGCAATGGTGATTTCTGGTAGCTCAGTTACGACGGCCTTGGCAGCTGTGTTCATAAGATCAAGGGCACGGCGATCATTTGGCTTCTCGAAGCCATACTTAGCACACATTCTATCAATTGTTAGGAGACTCATTAAAAGAGAAAAATTCAACTGTACTTTGTGAACCCTCTTCCATCGACTCGCACCACGATCCATGTGTTGGGTAATAGCGGATCTGGCATCTCAAAGTTACGAACATATTCAAACCTTCAATCATTAGATTAGCGATGATATAGGTACAGGCACTGCGAAGACTCACTTGGAATTCGCCATTTTGCGAGCTTCAATGAGAAGTTGACCGTTAAAAAAGAATGATGGCTGAAATTATATGCGCTGGCTGTGTCTGGAGTCTGGTGTTTGTGACTCAATATGATTTGTTTGAGTGTAACTCGATATGGTGGAGAAGCGAATATTTTATGTACTTCTTGGGGTTAGAGAAATGTTGGAGAGACATGTCATGACACATGTATAAAGTCACGCCCAAGTTCAGGCCTAATAATTTTAAAATGATACTTAAACTCTGAACTCTTAACTATATAGAGATCTCTACAGCCCAGACATGTAGCTATGAATTGATGGATAACTTCGAGGCATTGTATCTATTTATCTTCACCCTCTTCTTGCGCCCCTCAGTGGTAACTACACCTAAAGCTTCGCTCAAGCCTTTGAGCGACAGACAACTACCTACAAGAACAGAAAGCACATACCCCTCATCTACATCTGAGGAATGAATTCATACGAATCCATTTTATGAAAAAAACCCTATAGAAAGACTTTCACTAATCTTACTCTAAGACATAAGTGACCTTGAGGAACAAAGCATCAGCCACATTTTTATTTGCACACCTACCTAGGTCGTGTGGGCCTGCGTCTGTAGCCTTGCAGACTAAGCCCACCTCCAACAACACGGCTGAAGCCAATTTCTAGAGCTTACACAAACACTTTTGTCAATGGAACACGAGCTCTTTATTCTAACTACTATTCTATGACGCCGACTTTCAGTATATCGCTATTATGAATCTCCTACTCTCAGATGACTATCTTCTCCAAGATTACCCCGAACACATCACAAATACGATCCGTTCAGGACATGCGACAACTCTACGTTTTAATCGGCAGGGCGATTACCTTGCTTCGGGCCGAGTCGATGGAACCGTTGTGATTTGGGATCTGGAGACAATGGGAGTCGCGAGGAAACTGAGGGGTCACAATAAGAGCATTACAGTTCTGAGCTGGTCAAGGTGTGGACAGTATCTTCTTACGACCTGCCACGGATGGAAAGCTATCCTTTGGGACCTTCAAGATGGAAAGCGTCTACGTGAGGTTCGTTTTCGCGCGCCTGCGTATATGGCTGAGCTTCACCCATGGAACCAGTAAGGAAGCGCGATCATCTCTTGAGCTTGACTAACTTGAGTCAGCCTTCAATTTGTCGCAGCGCTATACGAAGAGCAGCCAGTCCTAGTCGACATAACCGATCCTGTCGACGTGAAACACATTCTTCCGTCAGCGGCGAAGCGACCGAGTACCGACGATGCAGCACTGCGCGAAAAGCAAGCCAAAGAAGATGCAAAACAAATGACAACTTCTGTGATCTGGAGCACAACTGGAGACCATGTGCTCGCCGGAACCAACAAAGGAAAGCTCAACATCATCGATGCGAAGACATGCGAAATTATTTACTCGGAGAAGATATGTTCGGGTGCCATTACCACCATGCGAATGACTGTATCGGGACGCGAATTATTAGTCAATTCCCAAGACCGAATTATTCGAACTTTCCGCGTACCAAATTTACTGGCCGAGAATCTCGATCTCGATACACTGCAATTACCACTGGAGCACAAGTTCCAGGACGTTGTCAACAGGCTATCATGGAATCACGTCACGTTCAGTGCAACTGGTGAATATGTAGCAGCCTCGACGTATAACAACCACGAGCTGTATGTATGGGAGCGTAATCATGGCAGTCTGGTGTGTATGCTCAAGGACCCAAAAGAAGAACAAGGTGTGATAGAGTGGCATCCCACCCGCGCGCTCTTGGCTGCCTGCGGCCTGGAAACTGGTCGCATATACATATGGTCTGTTGTCAGTCCACAAAAATGGTCGGCGCTGGCGCCTGACTTTGCTGAAGTGGAAGAGAACGTTGAGTACATCGAGCGGGAAGATGACTTTGATATCTATGCGCAAGAAGAGATACACCGACGGCGACTAGATGCTGAAGATGAAGAGGTTGATGTCTTGACCCTGGATCCATCAAAAACTCTGGACGAGGGAGAAAGCTTTCGGATGCCAATTCTGTTTAATCTCGGGGAGAGCGACAGCGAGGACGAATTCATCGCAGTATCAACCGGCACCATGAGACGCAGGAGTCCTGGAGAGGGTCAAAGCGATTTGGAAGAAAAGATGCCCGTTCAAAAAAGCACGGCCGGGAAAAGAGGCCGAAAGCGTTAGACAACAAAGGAGATGATGGGTGGAACATTAACAGCAAAGAACAAAGGGGTCTTGTCGCATTCGGAGGGGCTAGTTAAAGCTGCATGGAATAGGGATGATTGCAAATATACCATTTTCGTCTCAACAATGGGATGAATGAAATAATTTAGCAAAATACATAAAGAATCTATTATGAGATCTGCTTCTCAAGACTCACAAGACTTATCTCAATACACCATGTCTGATAGTGCTTCTGAGTATGCAGTCAGGCCGTGTGTCTTTCTTCTTTCTTATAGCCTCTTGATAGTCCACAGCTTTCATGGAATTTCATGCAAGCTGATTCAAGGATCAAATGCTCAGAATCAATGATTAGGAGCTGTTTCGCCATAGCCTGAGTCACTGCCCGGATCTCTAACGTCAGAGGGCGTGATTGGATCCAATCTCTTAGGGGTACAAGTACCGATACTTTGAATACCCATCTAAAAAGCGCGACTGGCTTTCATTTTACACCAAAAACTCGCTTTTAGTCAGCCCGCGAGAACGTGCAGCAAAGTAGCTCTACTCACGCGTGCAACAAGCCTCAGGCAACACCCTGAGCTCAGGGAGGCCAAAAAGAGCTTAGCGCATAACTGCTGCCAGCCGTTCTCAAGTCCAGAATCTTTCAGGCTTCCCCCGTCCTTCTCGCTTCAACCACGACAAAACTTTGCCTACAACACAAAGTCATCACAGCGCGCGTCGGGCATCGCGCGCATCCCATCGAAACAGCTTAACCTCCGATTACGAACGATCGACGACATCGCCGACCGCGATTTTTCGAGTTTCTGTAACCTACAAGGTGGCGGCGACGGGGGAGACCAGCCTGAGGTTCACCTGAGCCAGTGGCCAGGACAGGCGTTGCTGTTCATCGCCCATCAAGCAATCGCATTTGAGAGAATTTATTATCGACTTTACAGCCTTGCGCGACCAAAAACCTTTTTAATAGCATCTTTTTGCACTTTTCTTCTACTTTTCGCGTTTCTTTGCGTTCCGGCGCGCGTTTGGATCTCTACTCTCGCTTCTCGCTCCTTTCCACTCCACGTCAGAACAATCACATATCGCCACCATGGCTAACCTTTATTTCACCCACTCGAGCGCTCCGCTCAAGACGGTGGAAGAGATTCAGTTCGGTTTGATGTCTCCCGAGGAGATCAAGAACATGAGTGTCTGCCACATTACTTATCCCGAAACGATGGAGGAGAACAAAACAAAGCCTCGTGACGGTGGCCTCAATGACCCGCTTCTCGGATCGATCGATCGACAGTTCCGTTGCAAGACCTGCACCCAAGCAATGGGCGAGTGCCCTGGCCACTTCGGTCACATCGAACTGGCCAAACCTGTCTACCATCCCGGATTTATCAAGAAAGTCAAAAAGATTTTGGAGATTGTCTGCCACAACTGTAGCAAAGTGCTAGCCGATGATGTTGGTCTCGCTATATGACGCTATTTAACTTTTGATGCTAACCGCCTAATCAGAGAGATCCTGAGTTCGTTAACGCCATTAACACTCGAGATCCTAAAGTCCGTTTCAACCGCGTGTGGGAAGTTTGCAAGAAGAAGCGGAGATGTGAGAACGACGAGGCCAAGCAAAAGGATGATGAGTTCGGCACGAAGACTGGTCCTCCGAGAGGGCACGGTGGCTGCGGTAACATGCAGCCCAACGTTCGACAAGCAGCTCTACAACTCAAGGCCGCCTTCGATGAAGTTACAGTCGATGAAGATGGACAGAAGTCGAAGAAGAAGGAGACAACACCCATCACCCCCGAGATGGCTCACAGCATTCTAAGGAGGATTACGGAGGATGATCTTGTCAACATGGGCCTAAACTCCGACTACGCTCGTCCCGAATGGATGGTTCTTACTGTTCTTCCTGTGCCACCACCCCCAGTCCGTCCCAGTATTTCCATGGATGGCACCGGAACTGGTATGCGCAATGAAGATGATTTGACATACAAGCTGGGTGATATTATTCGTGCCAACGGAAATGTCAAGCAAGCTATTCGTGAAGGATCCCCTCAACACATTGCTCGAGACTTTGAGGAACTCCTGCAATATCATGTTGCGACCTACATGGACAATGATATTGCTGGCCAACCTCGTGCTCTACAAAAGAGTGGCCGACCTGTGAAGGCTATTCGTGCACGTCTAAAGGGTAAGGAGGGTCGTCTTCGAGGTAACTTGATGGGTAAGCGTGTCGACTTTTCGGCACGTACTGTCATTACTGGTGATGCCAACCTTTCTCTACACGAGGTCGGTGTCCCTCGCAGTATTGCCAGGACCCTCACCTATCCCGAAACTGTGACACCCTACAACATCGGCAAGCTGCATCAACTTGTCGAGAATGGACCCAACGAACATCCCGGTGCCAAGTATGTTATCCGAGCTGATGGTCAGCGAATCGATTTACGCCATCACCGCCGTGCCGGTGCGATCTCTCTTGAATACGGATGGAAGGTTGAGCGTCATTTGATGACTGGTGACTACATCATCTTCAATCGTCAGCCCTCTCTGCATAAAGAATCTATGATGGGTCATCGTGTTCGCGTCATGCCATACTCAACCTTCCGTCTCAACCTTTCTGTTACTTCTCCTTACAACGCCGATTTCGATGGTGATGAGATGAACCTTCACGTCCCCCAGAGCGAGGAAACGCGCGCTGAGGTTAAAGAGCTTTGTCTAGTTCCCTTGAACATTGTCTCTCCTCAGAAGAACGGTCCTTTGATGGGTATCGTCCAGGACTCTCTGGCTGGTGCCTACAAGCTTTGCCGTCGAGATGTTTTCCTCACAAAGGAGCAAATCATGAACTGTATGCTCTGGGTGCCCAACTGGGACGGTGTCATTCCTCAACCCGCTATCTATAAGCCTCGTCCTCGGTGGACTGGTAAGCAGCTTATCAGCATGGTTATCCCTAAGGAGGTTAGCCTGTTCAACGGTACGGATTCTGGTGAAAACGCCCCTCTTAAGGACGAGGGTCTTCTGATCCAAGCCGGCCAACTGATGTATGGTCTTTTAACTAAGAAGAACATTGGTGCTGCTGCGGGTGGTATTGTGCATATCAGCTACAACGAACTTGGCCCCGAAGGTGCGATGGCTTTCTTAAACGGTGTCCAGCAGGTTGTCACCTACTGGCTTCTCAACAATGGTCATAGCATTGGTATTGGTGATACAATTCCCGATGCGGCGACCATTGCTAAAGTTCAGGTACATATTGATGAGGAAAAGGCTGAAGTTGCTCGCTTGACAGCAATGGCCACAGCGAATGAGCTTGAGGCCCTACCTGGTATGAATGTTCGTGCAACCTTCGAAAACAAGGTCTCCATGGCTCTGAACCAGGCCCGTGATAAGGCTGGTACCACAACACAGAAGAGTTTGAAGGATTCAAACAACGCTGTCACCATGGCTTCCTCAGGTTCCAAGGGTTCATCTATCAATATTTCTCAAATGACTGCGCTTGTTGGTCAGCAAATTGTCGAAGGCAAGCGTATTCCTTTTGGTTTCAAGTATCGCACATTACCTCACTTCACCAAGGACGATTACTCCCCTGAGGCCCGTGGCTTCGTCGAGAACTCTTACCTCCGTGGTCTCACTCCCAGCGAATTTTTCTTCCACGCCATGGCTGGTCGAGAAGGTCTCATTGATACTGCAGTCAAGACTGCCGAAACAGGTTATATCCAGCGACGATTGGTTAAGGCTCTGGAAGATCTTTCTGCCCGTTACGATGGAACTGTCCGAAACTCTCTGGGAGACATTGTTCAGTTCCTCTATGGTGAAGACGGTCTCGATGCCATGATTATTGAGAAACAGAAGTTGGGTATCCTCAATATGTCAAACTCGGCATTTGAAAAGAAGTATCGTCTGGATCTTGCCAACCCCCCGGACTGGTTTAAGCACGACTACGAATTCGGTAACGAATTGACTGGTGATAAGGAATCTATGGAGTATCTCGATCAAGAATGGGAAAAGTTGTTGGCTGATCGCAGACAAGTCCGACAGATCAACAAGGCCAAGGGCAACGAGGAAATGATGCAACTGCCCCTCAACATCACTCGCATCATCGAGTCTGCTAAGCGAGTCTTTAATGTCAAGGCTAATGACCGAAGCAACTTGCGACCGTCGGAAGTTATTCCAGCTGTGCAAAGCTTGTTGGATAGCATGAAGATTGTTCGTGGTACTGATGAAATCTCGATTGAAGCTGACGCAAATGCATCCATTCTCTTCAAGGCCTTGCTTCGCTCTCGCCTGGCCTTCAAGGAGGTGGTCAAGGAGCACCGGTTGAACAAATTAGCTTTCGACCATATTCTGGGTGAACTTCAGAATAGATGGGATCGCGCATTTGTCAACCCTGGTGAAATGGTTGGTGTTCTGGCTGCGCAGTCTATTGGTGAGCCTGCTACTCAGATGACACTGAACACCTTCCATTTCGCTGGTGTGTCGTCCAAGAACGTTACTCTTGGTGTGCCACGTCTCAAGGAAATTCTCAACTTGGCCAAAAACATCAAGACTCCCAGTATGGCTGTGTACCTCAACACACCGCTCGCGAGACAAGAGCAAGCCAAGAAGCTACGAAGTATGGTAGAATACACCAACCTTCGCTCTGTCACTTCGGTGACTGAGATTTACTATGATCCCAACATCACGGAAACAAACATCCCTGAAGATGTGGATATGGTTGAGTCTTACTACATGATCCCGGATGAGAGCGTGGACCCCACTGCCAACCAATCGCGATGGCTTCTACGTATTACTCTGGACCGACAGAAGCTTCTGGATAAGGAGATCAAGATCGATGATGTTGCTCAGCGCATCAAGGAGGAGTATCCTACTGATCTGGCAGTCATTTTCAGTGACAACAACGCCGATGAGCAGGTTATCCGTATTCGAACCCTCCAAACCGGTGACAAGGATGAGGAGGGTGAAGGTGGTATGGAGGAGGATGTCATGCTCAAGCGCCTGGAGGCCCATCTCTTGGATACTCTCACTCTTCGTGGCGTTCCTGGCATTGAACGTGCTTTCCTCACCAAGGGCACCCGACTCACCGAGGGACCTGACGGAGCTTTGCTTGCTATCAAGGATGACCCCCGCTGCACACAGTGGTATCTGGATACCAGCGGTACTGCTCTGCGCGACGTTTTGGCTGTGGACGGCGTCGACGCGACTCGAACATATACCAACGATCTGTATCAAATCGTTGAGGTCTTTGGTATTGAAGCTGCTCGTGCCGCGTTGGCGAAGGAGTTGACCAACGTGTTGGCCTTTGACGGTTCTTATGTCAACCATCGTCACATTGCCCTCCTTGTTGATGTGATGACATACAGAGGCTCCATTTCAGCTGTCACTCGACATGGTATCAACCGAGCTGATACCGGTGCTCTGATGCGTTGTTCTTTCGAGGAGACAGTCGAGATTCTCCTCGAAGCTGCCGCAACAGGTGAATTGGATGATTGCCGTGGTATCTCGGAGAACGTCATGCTTGGTCAGATGGCGCCCATGGGTACCGGTAACTTTGATGTCCTGCTGGATCCCAAGATGCTTGAGACTGTTATTTCTGACAACTCTCGTATGGGCTTGATGGCAGGTATGCCCACCAAGGGCGGAGATGTTGAAGGAGCTGCTACTCCCTACGACACTGGCTCCCCCATGGCTGATTCGGGTTACCTCAGCCTCAGCTCCCCTGCTGCAGGAAACTTCTCCCCTATTCAGGGTGCTGGATCGGAAACACCTGGTGGCTTCACCACTGTTGGTGGCGATCATGGATTTGGTGGTGCTAGCCCCTACAACCGCGGAGCGGCCAGCCCCTTCAGCAGTACATCCCCAACATCGCCATTCAGTTACTCGCCGTCATCACCTAATATGGGATACTCTCCCACATCACCTCTCATCGATGGTGGTGGCATGAGCCGCTATGGACCAACATCTCCTTCCTTCAGCCCATCATCACCATCATTCTCTCCTACCTCGCCGATGTTGCGTCCGACAAGCCCCGCAAGCCCCAACTACAGCCCGACGTCGCCCAGCTACTCGCCCACGTCACCTTCGTCTCCTAGACACTACTCGCCGACATCGCCGGCACAGTTCAACTCTCCCACCTCTCCTAGTTACTCACCGGCGAGCCCCAACTACAGCCCGACATCGCCCAACATTCATGGGGCTGGACCAACCTCACCCTCTTACTCTCCGGCGTCACCTTCATGGTCTCCAACGTCTCCTGAGGCTTATTCCCCAACAAGCCCAAGCTTCCAGAGGAGCCCTGGTGCACAGCAGTCGCCAACCAGCCCAAGCTACTCGCCGACGTCGCCTGCTTTCTCTCCTCGCACGCCGGGTCCAGGAACGTCTGGAAATCAATAGTGAGTTTGGGTCCTTAATAATACTTTAATGACCAGTCACCAACCAAGAACAGCTCTCCCAACTCGCCGTCGAACGAGCGGTAAATTGTGTAGGCAAAATGGTGGTGGGTGTGCTTTCCTATCTGGGTAACAGCAAAAAAAAAGAAAACAACTTGGAATTAGTAGCTTCGAGAATGATGCTAGCAGCAACACAGGCGTTGCATTGCTTTTATGTTATTTAGGTAATCATATGGTGGTAAATGATAGATTTTACTAGTAGAATGCACTAGTACATGCTTTATTATCACCTACATGATTACCTCTATGAAACGGTGGATGTGTTTGCATTTCTTGAGGAGTATTGGGGGCATGGGCCAATACATGAAACCATGGTGAGCCCTGAGGAGATTGACCAGACTTCGAAAGGACAGGTCTTTGTATGCTACATGTATAGACGTTACTTGGCTTGCTTATATAAGATATCATTAATATATATTTGACTTTGGCTTGCCGAAAGGATTTGGGAATGATGAAATTTTGGGGTAGTTGTCTCAGACTTTGGCGAAGAGCCAGATGCTGTTCTACAAATAGCAACATATCATTCGTCATCAAACCATGTAATGTTTTATTTGTGCTCTCAAGTATTTACAAAACTTATCCTAAGCACATCCTAAACTCAAGCGAATTCCTAAAATAGAACTTCTGAAGGCTAGAACAGTAATGGCAGGAGATGAATGACTGGGGTCAACGCCCAGTTAGAGAAAATGTGAATGATAGCATGAGCAAAGGTAAGGCTGCGGTATAGCAGTAGAAGCTTTAGATAAGATATCCTAGAACCAACCAAAGCAGATCGTAAGATTAGTAAATCTTGGAGGTTTGCCCAAAAAGCCCAACTCTCTATTTCGCTTGGATTGATAGGAGATCGAACTCATTCAAGACTGCCAACTAGGGACGGTTTTCAACCCAGGCTCGACGGTGGGGGGCCGTGGACTGAGTGAACAAGACAAAGACCCGAGACGTGTACTGCCTGCGAGATGAAGCAAGGCAAGACCAAGGCAACAAATGCAAGATGAAGATCAGAGACCGGTCCGTATCAGAGATACCCCCACGTGCAACGCATAGTCGCGTCTCAGTTTTCGGGGTTTCTGGAAGCGAAACTGGTTGGCGAGCGAATAGAAGAGGGTCTTGTACAACAAGCCATAGACGAAGCAAGACCCAGACGCGGCAATCGTTGATAAAATGGAAAAGATTATGTGGAACAGAAGTTGGTCGACACTTTTTTGTCACGTCCTTGAGGCCGGGGGACCAATCATGGAGTAAAGGGGACCGGGTGGGCACCCGGTGCGGTCAGGTCCGTCAGGTCCGTATGATCCGGGGGTGTTTATGTGTGTGAGTCTGTGGGTGTGACATGAAGTCAAGTCATTCACGGTGGCAAAGATTTATCATGTCAACATCTCGAGATTTGTAACGCGACGCGACGACCGTATGACGATGATGTGCTAAAGGAACACAAGAGAAAGAAGAAGAGGGTGGGAGCGGGATAGCGGGACCTACTGTAGTTTCGCACTACAGCATCCATCTTCCTTTACCTCCATGTTTTTAGTTCGGACAGCGGAGTTTGGGTGCAGTCGGCGATACGGAACCTGGCAGGGGGTACGCCCGGGGGTGGATGATAAGTCTCTGTAGGTCGGTTGGTATCAACACTAGGCACGGAGTACGTATGGACTATGGAGTAGCACATCATTGAGATGAGACGGCAGATCAAGGCCGCGAGTTTCCATGGGATCGTGAAAGCATAAAGAGGACGGTTCCCTCGCTCCAAATAGGAATTCCCTTTTCTGTTCTCTAACCAAAACAACAAGCCTCGATTCTATCTTCCTTTCAAGTACAACGATCCAGCTGTCTCGCCCACCTCAGCTACATCTATATCTCACTATCAACAACAACACTCTACAGTTCAACTCTTCTCTACAACATTCACAATGTCTGCTCTTCCTCCTCAGAAGTTCCTCCCTCTCACCCCGGCTCCCAAGTCTTCTTTCCTCTCCCTCGCCCCAGCCACTTCTCCCTCATACCCTCAGAAGCCCGCTGTCCGCTCTCACACTCGTCCCTCTCCTCCTCGACGAGCCTCGACTGAGTCCTCCAGCTCCAGCTCCAGCTCCAACAACAGCTACCGCATCCTCAAGCTTGGACCTGTTCACTACGGCGAGCATGCAGATGAGCACAAGACCGACTTTCATGATGTTATCCTTCACTAAAGTCACGGTAACCTTTGTGAATGGCGTGCTTTTGTGAGGAGGTGTGAAATTATGACAGCGCAAGCGATGATTTTTTATTCATTTCGATTTTCATGAATATGACACAACCAACAAAACTTACGGGATACCACTTTGATTGACAATTTTGGATCATAAAATGAAAAAAAAAAACAAGGCTAAAAAAGAAAACGAAACGGAAAAAAGCAAAAGGTGAACAAAAGGTCCCCCCAACTGTGAAAAGATGGGGGGTGGGCATCTTCAGCTTCGGTTGAATGGAACAAGAGAATCAAACGGGATTAGGATTGAGGTGGGCGGCTTTGGTCTGGATCCTGTGAAAGCAAGAGTCTTGAAAGGCTGAAAAAATTGAAGCAGAGGTTTATGCTGTTTTGCATTTCCTTATTATCATCTTCTCTCTCTCATTATCTATCTATCACTGAGAAAGAAAGGGAAAAAAAAGAGTGGAATTATTAGGGAGGAGGACTTTACTGTCTCTATTCCCTGGGAGCTGGAAACATCTTGGCCTACAGTAGCACTATTGATAGCGGCAAATCATGATTCCAGTCCTTTCCGGATAAAGCAAAGAGTGTCGAATCTGCAACCAGAAGGGTCCCTGAGTGACGATGATCAGATATCCATAGCCCATGGGCATTTCGGCATTGAGACCGTGTGTCATGGATAGAAATGCGGTGCGGTGTGGGCGGTAAGCCAATGTGAGATTGACAGATTTGTAAGGCTGTCCTATCAGTTAGCGTAGTTGCAACACGGGTCTCCTTCAGTCAATCATTGATCTTCGGTCTTATTATTTGACATAGATAGCAAGTGTGTGAATCAATGAGTTGTCTTTTCACTTCCTGTCCATCCATGATCTGGAAAGGTTTGCTCATACATACACGCACATGCAATGTCTGCACACCCATAGACTCAGCCTTTCAGATATTACCGGCATTTCATTGATTCTAGACCGATCATGTGCAAATGCACAGAAAAGATAGTCGAGATAGCGTAGCATTACCGCGCCGCGTCTCGCATTGCATTACATGGAAACCGGCCCAAAAAGAAAAAAAGAAAAGAACGTGCCATCAATAGCCGGAGCCTGCCGCCCGCGCAGACTTGCTATATCCGGCATAAAGACTCTTAACCATGATCTGTTTATACACGACCCAATCAGATTCTCCTAGTTTTTGTCCAGGCTCTCGGTAGACTCAGGGCCCGGGGTAGCAGTTTCGGGAGGTGGCCGAGAAACCTGCATGACGTCCACTGAATTTTTCACTTTTTCCTTGTTTATTAATTTTGTCGGTATTTCCTGTCAAAATCCCACTGTTTTATAACAGTGCACAGCATTACATTATGTTGCCGATCATGGGCGCGGAGAGCATGACCGGCTTTTTAAGTTAGTCAAGCGCTTACACAGCATTATTTGCGTCAGAGATAAGAAAGGGCAAAAGGAAGATGGTTGTTTCTTCTAAAAGTATCCGATCTGAAAACCATAAATGTGTCAGCTTATTATCCCATAAAACACCACGAAGCGTGGGTGGTGATAGAAAAAGGACCCCGACCTTCATTCATCCTCAACGCTTGGGCCAATTGCGGGGAAGCGGCTTGTCACCTTGAAGCGTAGGAGAGACACGGAAATACGTCATTCCTCATTTTAATGCTCGTTATGCGTGACCTGCTTGCTATCGGAAGCTGACGGTGATCCCTCGGTGTTCCGACGGGGATATCGAGGCGTGTAGAGAATTGTTGCTATGGTTGGTTAGGAGCGGACTGTTTCAAAGACTGTGCTTGTGTACGGAGGCGCATTTGAGACAGGAGGTATGAATAAGATTGCGTTTATAGCGAGGCTGCACCAGGAGAGAGGTTAAACAGCATCGCCAAGACGGCACACAAGATGCTCATGCTGATCACTTTTATTCTACCTGCCCAGAGGTCCAAGCATACTGCGCTATAGATCTCGTGACCAGTTTATAAGTTTACTCAATTTAAGCCTAACCTTTAGTCTTTGAATCCCTGACACTTGATGATACGCTTTGGGATAGCATGCTGATGAGTTGTAGCTGGCAAATCCCTTTGTCGCTCCCAGATATGCACCCTTCAGCATGATGATCTATCTGAGAAACCTTCACATGTTGATCAATTCTTAGGAGTAACCATCTCGCACACCCTCTTCTTCATCCCATACAGAGCCACTGCACATCTCGGCTTCTGTGCCGTCTCTGACCGTCTATAATCCGCCACGTACAACACATACACCCTCAGCTTTCATTCATGTGCCACAAGCGTCAAATGCTGAAAGATCATCCTCATGGTGTTCAGTTGCCTTGCCTGTGAAATTCACCACTTCTTCTCAGTGCCTATGACCGTGATCTCCTTTCTGTCCGGATCTACCACCCGGATTATCTCCCGCCAATCAATCCTCACCCTCTCCCGCTCCCGTCCCGGGTCTCCACTCTCCGCTCCGCATCCTCCGGCATGGAACCGGCACCATGTCTTCGCATGCCGCGCGTCTACCCATAACCGCGCTGACAGTAGGTATGGATCTGCCAGAACACGCAGAAGGCCCTCCAGAGGTGGTCGTGCAAACATGTCCAGGTCTTTTCCCGGCTTGGCAGGGCGGAAATGGACCGGAGTCCTCGGCTCGACGGGGGTGCGAACCCAGACTGTGAGGTAGTCCATCCTTCCTTGCACAGCTAGCTCCGTGAGCAGTGGTATAATATCTGTTCCTATCCACCCTCTTAAGCGGTCAATTCGTACTTCCAGTCTTGCTATTCTGCGTAGAGCATCTCGTGTTGTGAGCAGCGTAGCTCGGCCGGGAAGTCTGTCGTCGACTCCGTGCGGAGCGCTCTGTAATTCCCTGCGGATGTGCTGTGCATGGGGCCCTGATGCGTCCAGCAAGAATTCGTTTCCTGCGTACAGTAGCGGAGTGGCGATGGTGTGTAGCGCTGGGTGAGAGAGGAGAATGGGCAGCGGGTTGACGGGTGATCCAGTGCATGGGCAGAGACATATGGGCGTTAAAGATGTGACGAGTGGCTTCAGGATGATGCTGAGAATATCCACCGGGAGGTCGAGGAGGTTGAGGCTGTTGACCTCCGAGGTTGTCATGATGGCGGTACCTATGATGACGACTCTTGACACTGATCTGAGCGAGATATCACTGGTTCGTCCTGTGACTGTGGCATTCTACTATCCAGACCCTAGATGCCTACAGCCCAATATTTCCGGTTTCCGTGAAGCCGCAGCCTTCTTGTGAAACATGTCGTTTGAATAGGATTATGTTGTGAGGTTCGAGTTTAACAGCCAGTGGCGGCTAAGCATGATATCCCCGCGACCAATAAGTGGGGCTTCTGTAGAGCTCCTAGATACAGTCCACTGCACACACGACAGAACCCGAGACAACGATGGGAGTTGTATGCAACTCTAGTTGTGAAACTGTTATCCTGAGACGAGCTGGACGGTATAAAATTACACGATCTGAGTAAGGCTGTCGGTTAGTGCGAACTGTTGATCCATATATACCTACAGTATAAGTACATATCATTCTTAGAGACCAGCCCTAAACTGAAGGCCCTTATGATAATACTTAGAGCCACCTCGGAATAAATTAATAGTAGTTGGATAATTACTAGCATTAGTTTTCATGACGGTGTTACTCCAAGTCTTAGCACTATCACATGAGACTCACTTTCTGACTTGATCATCAACATCCCCTATCAAGACGATGGCTGTCGCAACAACAACACGGCCAAGCCCTGTGATCGCTACAGCATAGGAAAGGCATATTGCAATAAGTTTTAGCTGTATGATTCTATGAGATCTTTCAGACGGTGGCAACTTTTGAAGTTCCGGTATGCGCCCTGAGATTCATTATCTGGACATCATTACCGCCCATCCTTTAACTCGGCCTTCGTCTCGTTCATTGTGTTGTCGTGACTGTTCCCAAAGGAACTGATTATCATGTCGAGGTCTGATGGTTGTTCCTGTGGCGGACTTTCCACCCCTTCAGCCTCATAATCAATTGCTGAATATACGCCTGCTACTCCTGCTCCGTGTCGGACGTCTCTTTGACCTTTACCTCGAGCGTTCAGTTACCATCAGAGAGTTTTTCGATTTCTTCGCCTTGTATGTTGATCAGCTCTTCTAGTTCCTTAACATACGTCTGCCGACTGCGATCCATGCCCTTGTGTTTTGCCTTAATCTTTCTGTTGCGATCAGAGAGCCTCTCGATTTCTTCATCTCGATTCTTGATGTGATCTTCCAGTTGCCGAACATACGTCTGCAGATCGTGTTCCTTTTCGGCCGCATCCTTGAGGTTTGCCTTGAGCGCTCCGACACGATCGAAGAGCTTTCTGAAGTCTTCGTCTCCTTCTTTGAACCTTCGATGACGTCGACGCTCCAGCTTCTTGATTTGCGCGTCTTGTTGTTTGATGACTTCGTCTTTTTCGCTGATAAGTTCGTCCCGTGCCATGATTTTCCTTCTGAGATAAGTAATTCTGCCTTGTTCCATGCCCTCAACACCTGGGGTCGTTTGCACATTGGACGGCTCTGGGATGGCATTGTTGGACAAAGCGGTAGTTCGGTCAACCTTGTGCCTTTTTGTGACCCTGTTGAAAATATCGCCCGAATTAGACTTGCGCTTGGAGGGATGATCGGTTCCGTCTTCATTGCAATCCCCATTATCCTCTTTGTTCTTGTCTCTGGGAATTCCATCGCCAGCATCCGAGAGGGGGTACTCGTCCCCCTGCACAAAATTTCCATCGTACTTGATGAGTGCCTCCTCCTCTGAGACGTTTTTTGGGAAGAAAGGTCGTGTATCAGGGAAGCTCTGCCCCCAAAACCGTGACATTTCGTCTGCGATGCCAAGGACGCGCAGGTGGGATGGCCAAATAGCCGCCACAACCAACCAGGCTGAGAAATTCAGAACTTTTGAGCGTCCTTGTCCTATTAGCATTTTATATTGATGAGATTGGCTAAGGTTGCGCGGGCTGTCTACCCATTTCTCATGCCTGAGAAACCTGGCGACCTTTAGCTGAATCGTCTTGGGCATGTCGAGACGCATCTGGTTGTAGTTGGCAAGGACACTCTGGACCCGAGATCGGGCCATTGATGCGTCGTGACAGTTTCTGATCTTGCCACCAAACTCTCCCATACTCGGAGAGTAGGGGTCGAGATCAGATTGCCCTCTCTCGACGTCTACCATCTTGATGAATGCTATTTAATTGTCAGTATATAGAAGGAAGAGCAAATGATATCTGAACACAAGGGGAGAGTAAGAGACAAGGTATGAAAGAGGAATGTGACGGTGGTTAATAGGATAGATCACAGATGTCCCGGGGGAGGAACATAAGACCGCATTTTGGACCCTCTGAGAGAATTGCCAAAAAGCCAGAAAAGAAAGGGAAGATACTGTTGGATAGATGACACCTACCAGAATCTGGCTCTGCTGTTAGCGCTATCAGAGAAGGTGTGGTAAACAGATTTGCACAGTTGTTCGATGGTAACAAGAATGGGAGAGAGGAAATCATTCTCTGGTATGAACTTGGATCTGAGGTAGGGTAGTCTTGCCATTGCGATTATGTGGCGCTTGCTTCATAAATTATCCATTTCTCCAGGAACTACGGATTCTCTATCAACTTTTCAAGTTGAGAGACAAATCACATACATCTCTCATTCCCAACCAGAGTTGCTACAACCAGAGTTGGAAACACCCATGTCAGTACAGCTTTAGCGCCAGTGTCCAGATGGTCAGTGAATCAGTAGCCGAAAGATGTGGTTTCTCGCCTTCAACTGAAGCAGAGCAAGACTCATCATCGACCCGATGCGAAAGAGGTTCGCCAGCCTTGTTAGACTGCACCACAATTTCAACCCATGTGAAATATCTTTCGGAGTTCTCACCAACAGGCGGCATAAGCCAATGTGATGAGAACGGGGATAGTTACAGATGGAGGTGGTCGTGTCGTGGGCCGGCACGTCACGTCCCGTATAATGCGGATCGCGAAGGGGAACGGGAGGACAACGGCATTTACTACAAGCGAGATGTGGAGGTTACATCTCCTGAAGATGTTGACTGTTTGTATCATACGGGCCGGAGAGTTTTTTTATTCTTTTGAGTCAGGCGGGTGTTGCTGTGTGACGATTTTCGGGGTGTACTGAGTTTTGGCAGTTGTACTGATACTGTACGACTACCAACAATAGAAGCAAAGATGAGAAAAGTCTCGGTTGCAGATTGCCAGAGTTTGAAGGGTAGTAAATACGGCCTGTTGCAATTGACAAGGTTAAGTTCCTTCGCTAGGAGGGTAAAACACTGCGGGTATCACGACCTGCATTTGGCCCTTGTGTCCAAATCGGCAGAAAGAGAATTGACAGACAAGTTGATTCAAGATTTCAATCATCAAGAAACTACTCTTTGTAACAATTGAATTGAGTGCTGTGTGTTCATGAGTTGGTTTTACTCAAGACTCGCTCACCCCAGCAATGAGATACGATGAAACCATGTCACATGATCAGTGACGTCTGCACGCACAGCTGCTCGTCTCAACTCCACCCAACCCAACACCAACAGGGCCAGGGGTGTTTAATAATTAATCGAATTGCCCAGGTAGCTTGGTCGACCGGAAGTGAAAGAAGAAGAGAAGACGCCATCTCTGTACTAATAACCAACGGAGAAAGAGTCAGAAAGGAATAGTTTACTGCTCACCGACTGAATAACTATCGACTAACTAAAATCTACATGAATCGGACTCAGCTTGCACTAGGCCGGAGGGCTGAGACTAGTCTAGTACATGCAGATAGATATTGGGCGCTTAAAAGTCTACGTGGTGACAGATTCTCCCAGTGAGAGATCTCCCTGAACTCTGCCTTACCTCAACCGCTACTAGAAGGAACAGGAGGATCATATCAAATTGGACTAAGTCAAAGGATCTCTGATGCACGGCTCACGATGCCGTTGGTAGCATCTATGCAAGAGGCTGACTTACACGGACATTCCTTTCCGTATAGATCCATAGCTCAGACCTTGAGAGGCGGTGACATCAAACCTCGTGCACAGTCCTCATAGACGCCCACGAGGCGTTTTCATCTCTCCAGAACCCACAATGAGGCTGTAGAATAAGATATATCGAAACATATTCCTTTGCTGCATCGTTGATGGGTTGGTCGTGGCTTTCTTTAGGGCCGCTGTTATGGCCGTGGCGTAGCGTGGCGTAGGGGGTCGCAGATTGGGCCAGAGGATCAGTGTGACTGTTAGTGGGGGCAAACTTAAACCAACTTCAACCTGACTTCCATTGGAACATATAGGAATACAATGTATAATATCATGCGAGAAATAAGATCGAGAATAAGACAGGTCAGCATTTGTCCACCAAGTAAAAGCAAAAGTTAAGGCTATTAGCGAGGATACCCCAGTTCTTCGAAATCTCGCCTAAGTGCAGCGGATACATGGGATCCTGGTCATTTCTTATTCACACGCCCCAATCACACTCCTTTCAACTCAATCAAGCAAGGGGCACCTAACCCATGCATGTCAAAACGGTTTGTGAGATAAAGTAAAGATGCAATTCAAACTATCAAGGAAAGTAGATAGATAAGTGTAAAAGAAGAAGAAGAAGAAGAAGAATAAGAACAAGAATAAGAACAAGAACAGGACGAAAATAACCAAAACGATGCCTTCTGACTTCCGGAAATGACTGTATCACCCTCTCATCTGTGCTGTTCTGGGAGTCCGGGTTTGTTGCCAAACAACTCCAGGGATACCACGGTCCATCTATGGATTCAGAAACAAATCCAAAAAGATATAAGAAATCCCCTCCATGATCACCATGCGTTTCCACCTTGCGCGGGGCAGCCAAAGCTTTTGCAGATCTAGGAATCTGCTCATAACTTTTCTCCCTTTCTTCGAGGGTATAGAGGATCGCTATACGTGACACTCGTTAGCTGCACTGCAGCGTAGAGGCTCGCTTTCAAAGGGAAACTCAGATACCAACCTACTAGGTCGCCCGAGGAGGGTTAGGGCACTGAGGGCGTCCACAGTAGCCCTCCCACGTCGTCGAGCCCTGATCGGTGACGTTGCTCATGCATCGGCAGGAGGTGCCGGGCTGAGGATCAAGGTTAGAAACAGTGCAGCCACACTGAGTCCAGTGCTGAGTAGTTCTCCAGTAGCACATGGTTGCTGATGGTTTTAAGTTGGAACCTTGAAGAGAATGCAAGAGAGTTTTTGTCTGTTGTTGAAGCTAAAGACTTCAATATATAGCAACAAACTGGCGTTGTGCGAGGATTGATTTGTTTGACAGCCGGAGCTAGTTGACTCAAGAGATGACAGGCAGTTCACAGCCGTGATCCGAGAAGTTTGTGTGAGTATTTGGTCACACTTGTCCCGACGGGTGTGGCTTTGTGTATCTGACGGAAAGAGGCTTGCTGCCGTGGTAGACTATGGAGGGTTGGCACCAAAATATGGCTGAGGATTGGGGTTTAAGCTGAAGGACAATGAGACCTCGAAAGGAAGAGATCTTCAGAGTGATGATATGGAATATTGAGTGTAGAACGGTGGTTTGAAGTGCTGTTGAGTCTGAGCTGTGAATATCGGATTGAGGCAGATGTCCTTGGCCCTTATATAGCTGGTGACACGGTCCCGAGGGTTTGGAAACGATTATGACTGAGCGAGGCAGTTTACTGTCCATGACACTATGTGTACAGGTGTCTTGGAGATTCCACAATGTGAAAGTCGAAATAACCCTCAAAACGAGAGCAAGGAAGACGGATTGTTGGTCCTGTTTGCACTTCCCAGGTGTTGAAAGACCAGGAGCTAGGTTGCTTAGATAGGTTGGTTGGTTAGCTACCTAGTCAGTTGGCTCTGGGTCGGCCAGGGGGTGAGGCTTGGAGGGGGTGTGTGTTGGTGCGCAAAATGTACTGCCAGGCACTCCCCTTTCTTCTCGGCCCTCTGTCCCCGCAAACACCACAGAAAAGAGGCGAGGGGAATTCTGGAAAAGGAGGCAATCAGCTTGTAAACTGAGATATAACCTCCGAGCCCCAAATCAGGTCGCTTGTGTGCCGCAACACCACGCTCTGTTGGCAGGCTGGTCCAAGGGTTGACTTACGTCAAGGCACATCAGTCCACAAGGAAGTTCTGGGCAGACCAACAGCATTAGACTCCGATACAGTTCTGAGAGCCCTCATAGAATTCCACGCGGTGTGACTGTGAAGGAGATTGTGTGAGCATGTTGGCTTCAATGGGGCCCTTTGTAGAATGGGTCATCGTGCATCCACACTCTACGGACATGTTCTTCTGCATTGAGGGGAACCACCATCATGCATCTCAAATCCGTCGTCAACATCATGGTCGCAGTCAGAAGGGCCAGCAGTTGCGATTTCTTTATGTAGTTGGGTACGGTTTGCTTGATGCTCGATTGCCTGCCGTGAGCAGTGGCCGGCTGTCACACGTTGCAGCCTGTGAACACTCACTAGTTTAGTTTGGTAATGGCATCGTACAAACTTTTATCGAGGAGCAGTACAGGTCGGGCAACATAATGAGCTACTGTCTCGTAGCCCAAGTTCTTGAAATGTTGGAAAAACTGATGTTGAACGATCCCCTGCATCCGTAATCGAAGGCATGCGTCAAAGATCTAAGCTCCTTTGCAAGCTGATGGCTTGCTCAATGAGCGGGAAAGCTCGCCCCAAGTTCCCACTAGTAAAGCTGCAGGCCTGACGTTCAGATGACAGCCTGTACCCATGCTACCATCCATTACTCGAAAGCCTTCAGAACACTGAAGCTGAACCTGGCCAGAGAATATGACACTGGTAATTGGTGTGTTTCAGCAAACAAGTAAGACGGGCTTTGCCGAAGTCGCCGATTTTTGCAGCTGCCACATGGACGTGATAGCTCCATACCTGCCACCCTCCTATTGATGCCTCTCCCGCTGTCGATTTAAATTGCGGCCAACAGATACCGGCTTGTGTCATGACGCCACAGAAATTGGTATTTTTCATGAATGCGGGCCCCCGGACGTTCTTTCGATCTCCCTGGTGACCTACCAACTTGTTCTTCGGCACATCTCGAGGAAAATTTCTTCCTTCGTGTGTCTGTTGGTCCAGGTTCTGCCATAGTTCCTTGTCCCTTGGCTAAGCTAAGACGCGAGAGGCGTTAGACGCCTTGTGGAGCTAGCGGATGTTGCACATGATCCGCGAAGAGACCATTAATCCCTATGTAGATTAGGTAGACGACGGGATGTAGGGTCATTCTGGGGTCGTCAAAGGTCAAAAGGTCAGGTACTAGCTGTGTTTGAGAGCGAACAAAGAAAGACTGCAGAACCCTGTCAACCACTAGGGTTTGGACATATCAACACCATTAGGGAGATGCATATAGTACATGACAGCGGCCTATGTGAGTGGGAATATACATATCGCGCTTGCATCGACGGGTCAAACTCTCGTTGCCGAGTTTGACGCGGCGGATGAAAGTAACGCTGTTGCTTCGAGCAATTCACCTCGTCAAGGCGACCTGTTCGGAGTGATGTCTAGGTGGATATGCAGGCCAAATCATGCGCGCGGGCCGCTGAAGGCACACCATGAGAATACCCGCGACAAGCCAACAACACATGTAGATGCCAAGGAGAGCAGACGTCGGCTGTTCCTGATACTGGAAGTGTCTTCAGCGATCACCAAGGAGAGTGTGAAGAATGTAGCCAACCGTGTATCCACATCTCGTAAAGACGGGGATGATTCCTGATTGTGCGTCATGTCTCTTTGTTCTATTCTCCACAAATGGTATTATCTGCGCCTCGTTCTCGACTATCAGGTCGTGCATACGGAAACGAACGACATGTAGTCTAGGATAGCTTTACACAATTCCGCGCTGCTGCATGACTCGATGCACGAAGGGAGAGGTTTGTCACACATGGTTGTGCTTGACCATTCCCTTCTCGATGATGAGAAGTGTGACAAAGCTGTAGTTTGTGCGTTCCACTATCCCAAAGTGCCCCATGTTGTGCCGTGCCATATCATGCCATATTCAAGTTAATATATGCCGGTTTGTCCATTCCGGGTCTTGGGATCTTCATCAAAAAGTTGTGTGGGTGTGAAACTATACGTCGAGTGATGATGCCGAAGCGGGCCAGTATCGACATGGAAGTCAAAGGAGACTTTCATTTGGATGCTGTCTGTTGGTGAAGTGGAAATACAACTGCCGTTGTAGGCTGAATGATGATCTGAAGTATAATTCGTGTACCTTGCAGTATCTGAACTCCTTCCTTACAGTGCTGACCTACCACGTCTGGCATCCTTCTGTACATACTAAAGCAGGTCCGATGGCTTCAACTAGAAGAACTCTTTCCTACTACAAAGTATTGCTGAACTCTGATTGGACTGAGCTTGATCAGGGAAGCGATTACCCCTGTCATGGGGCGCTTGGAGCTGTTGCTTCGACAGAAAACTTATATAGAATTGACACTGTCCATACCGCCAATGGATACGCTATAAGCACAGTGTTAGTAGGCGGCCGCACATCCCCCTGTCTGTTCTCCAGGCGGGGACCGATAAACCCCTGCACCTTCCTGCAGCTTAGGTTGGGTGTGATGGCGCGCGGCTGTACCTTACCTTGTCTTCACATCAACTCAACGCGCCTCAACCCATCACAGCAAACCTCGAGCCGATGAGTCGATGATTTGACTCCAGCGGCGCCTTTCTGGCGCGGTTGTTGGTAAATCGACATCTTCACCCTCGGCTGGCCCACTCTGTACGAGACAAACTCCGCTGCGGCTGCGCCTACTACTACCTCTTGCGCCTGCACCTGCGTCTGCGCCTGCGCCTGCGTCTACACCTGCAACCCCCTTGCCGATGTTGTCTTCAAAGGCCTAATTTGTGTTGGTTTGGGTCGTTTTGCGCATGATATTTCACGAACCTTGCGTCTCTTCTTGGTACTTTTCATTCCGGATGACCTCCCGGAGCTCAGAAGCAAGTGGGCAACACACTAGATCAGCATGCAACAGAGTCTCATCGTCACACTCTCTACGGCCCTTGGCATGAATTCCTCCGATCTTTTCCTAAGAGCAATACTGTCATGCTCTTCACACTCTGACCGCTTACATCTTGGTGCCGTCAAACCCTTGAACCCCGAAGAGCCGAGGGTGTTGGTGTGTCTGGTATCATCTGCGGCCCTAGGATCTTCCCGTGGGCGGCCTTTGATGCGGCCTGATTCCTTCGACGGCCCCCAAGGCTTGTAGAGCTTGAGAAGCTTCGATAGGCATATTTGTACAAACTATTTGCTTAGTTTCGGTCGGCCACGGTCCGACTTAAGGTGACGAACACGCAACCACTATCATGCATCTCTGTCTGCTCCTTTAAGACCCCGTAAAGGTACCCTGGCACATGGCGTATGAGTCAAGTGATTGATACTGCATTCTACCTGCATTACACCTTCCAAGCTGGATTTCTCTCAGACGAGTGTAGTCGAGCTGCAGCCTTGATTAAGATCGTCCAACAACAACCTCATCATCTCACGATACATACCCAACAAGTTACATGCAAAGTGGCTCCGTGACTGGTTTGGTTCACTAAACACTCTCAATCGAGATGTAGCCGATGCAGAAGAAAGTACTCTAGCTCCAACATCCCTAATTCTCTCACGTCTCGACTTACATCAAGGCATGGGGCACGGGACGGCACGGATAACACTAGCTCGAGTTGTCCTCGTTCACAAAAGCTCATCACACATTACCCTTGTTTGAAGTGTTGGTTTTGCACACGTCTTGGTACAAAGAAATTATCGCCATGCATGTATTGATAATCACTTCTTGTGATAACTGCCTAGCAGGGGCAGCACCCACCTTCCCAAGAGTAAGACTAGGTCACCATATCAAGTTAGGAGAACTCCGAAGTAACTAGATACGAGTTGCATACTCTGGTGGACCGTGCCGTGAGTACGGATGACCCAAGCCGTCAAGAAGCTGTCCGTCTTCCGAAAGTGACGGTGTGGGTGTTAGTGAGCCAGATTTGCTGCATCGTAACTAGTCTAGTCACCAACAAGAGCTTTGGTTTGCGTTGAAAACTAGTTCGGGTCACGCGAAGTGCTTCCGATACAAGTTCCCTGCATGTTGTGGCCGTGGTGACACCGACTAATGGACTCTGAGCTGACTGCTGTTCAAAGAAAGAGATATGGTCAAGAGCGCGCAAGAGCGCGCCTGCGCCTAGCAAATGACGTTGATTAGGCAATGACAAAGCGAGTTTAAATCCATACCAAGTTCCTGGTTCTTCAGGGGTGGTAGGGTTTAGCGACAGGCTGCAACGGCGGCGCTTAGGAGTTATCCTCATTGGTCAACCAACACTTATGCTTCAACCCTGGTCACAACCCCAAAGACCTCACGCTCTGTGCAGGTCGAGATACAAAAAGAGAGCGAGGGCAGATAATTTCAAGAAAACCTACAGCTTAGTATTAGATATTGATCTTCCAGAGTATAAATTTGGTTTATCAGTGATAATTTGTAGGCATTATCATGAACATTGAGACTTTGTGATGAACCTCAGCCGTCGAAAGGCTGAGGGTCAGGTAGAATTCCTTATTCCACCACAGCATCACAGGATCATATTTATTATTACCTTCTTACTTGGGACCACAGCGGTCACTTCTTACCCTGACTTCCGCTGCTTTCCATCTACAAGCGGTCCTCTCGAGCCTCATCATATGAGGCAGCGATCAGCAAGAAACAGAACTAAGAACAGAGCGAGGTCAATAATGCCCCCCCCCCCAGTCAACACATCCTTGACCAGAAAGCTCTTCTTTCATAGGCAAGACAAAACTGCGTAATGATTGGATAATGTACTTTTTACAAATGGGTATTGACTATCTAGCTGAGGGTTTCCCCTCTTGTCATTACTCCTTAAATGAGTGACTTGTAAGCGGGATGTGGGCAAAACCTAATCAGGCATGATATAAAGCTCGGCATGTTTCTTTACATCGAAGACCTAACCAACTGGCCAATAGGGTGCATTGTATGATCATATTTATCCGTCCCGGGCAGATGGGGTCTAGTTTGTTGGCTATTTAATGGTATGTGTTGTTGGCTGTGTATGGAGTGGAGTGGCACATGATGAAAAGAGATAGAAAGTGGCAGAAGTATGGAAGATGATCATCAAGACGCCGTTCTCGGTAGACCCCGCGGCATTTAATTCTCGATCAACCTCACTTCTGAATCCGCCTTTACTAGGGCATTGCTGAGACTACCAACACCTTTCCTGGATGCCGAAGGAGGGTTATCAATGATGGCCAGCTCATAGGTCTCAAAGCATCGAATAGGTACCATGGTCGGTGTCAAAAAAAGATATGATCCGACACCGACTGGGAGATATGTCGAAGACAGACAGACCAAAGCCGTAACACTTTCTTTGATCGGTGACTTTCATTGCTTAGGTCTACCGCCTCGCAACAGTTATGGAAAGAGAAGTGCCAGAGTTAGGTCACGAGAGAACTCAAGGTGACGAGATGAGATAGATCTGTGGGTTTCATATGCTTGTTGTCAGAGGAGTAGGATTTTAAGACAATACAAAGAGTACATATCGCTTTTATTCCCATCACATCAACATGCTCTACTACGATGCTACAAAATACAATCAAGGGATATACGAGATTCGCGTCCTGACCTCGCATACATTCTACTAGCGCACACTTTCCCTCCTTTCTTAGAACGAGAGATCTCATTTGGACTGAATGACTATCGACTAACCTCTTTGATGAGCCTACAGGTTCAGCCTCAGGCTGTCGTTGGCGCGAACCCCAGTATTAACACAAGAAAGACTAGAGTAGCTATGAAGCACCTAGTGAATTCACCAGTGTCACTGTTGAAAAACAAGGGTTGTAACACAAGAGTTCATAGTCAGTTAGCCTCAGCGAGCAAGAAACTCTCTGACCCTAGGTCCAGGTGCCAAAAATAACTAGTCTAAAGTCTACTAATCTGCATTAAATCCATGATAATTTTACCTAAATCTTTTCACTATTTAGGATAGTTATCCTAGGATTTCTTGCCTTTCCTGTGAATCAATTGTCGGTCGCCATCTTCTTTTCAAACGTGACAAAAATACGGCAATGGCCAATCTCATAAGTCAAACTTTGTCCATGGCTGAATTTGTTTTCATGAGCATCAGTACCTACATGTTATACCTAGTACTCTATCTAAAATTTTGTACTGAATAATTTACTCTGTTAAAAAGGGGGCAAATTTAGGATAACCTCTGAATATAAATGATAACCTGCTATCCTTCTTTCGATCACAGTGGCATCTGATGATTTCTAAACGGGCTCTTTTATGGTTATCTATGAATCACTGGTATTTCTAAAAACTGTTCCCTCAGGGTATTAGGCAACCATCGAGGTGAGTGACCGTGATTCACCGTCCTCCAGCAGCGGCCTTTGCTCTGGGTATAAAGTCTCTCTCCCTCCTCCAACCTTCTTCCTCCTCCTTTATCTTCACACATTCTTCAATTTCTCACTTCTCGTCATCGCCGCATAATCTACGCGAATCGCCTACAACAATGGCCAGTATGGACCACATCGATGCAGCTCGTGTTCGCTTGCATTACCTCTTCAACGCCTCATTCGAGAAGCTCGACGACGCTCTCTCGAATGCGAGTACCACAGTATCTCACAAAGCCCATTGCTATCGTGTTGATATACACCTTCTCAGTGTATTATCCATCATTGGCACAAACGAAGGACCCGCTGTCAACAACTTCGTCGAGGTCCATGTGCCTCTCCCATCACAACGTGGCGACACATTCATCAAGGACGAGATTTAATCGAAGATCGTCACCAAAGCTTGTGCTTGTCTTAACGAGTTCCGAGTACAGCAAACACTTGGTAAGCTTATGGATCTATCTGCCTCTGGATATCAGCTGCGACTGACACTATTTGTGGTAGGGTTATGTCGGCAACACAGATTCCAGCCCACGCCTTGAAATTTTCCATAAGCTCAACACAAGGCTCAAGCATTGGCAAGTGACTGGAGTCGACAAACTAATTTGGCTTGCCAAGTCACCATTCAAAAGTGGCTTCCTCTGCGATGCCATGGGCCTTGGTGAAAGTACTCAGGCATTGGTCGCCGCTATTCAAGTGAAGAGAACCATGCCTACACGATCTGGTTTTATTGCAATCGTTACACGGGCTGGTTGTGTTTTGCAATGGGTAGATGAGATCAAGCGACACTTCAAACCAGTAAGCAAATTTCTATATCTGAGTCATACAGTTACTTATTTCATCAACAGGAACACCACACCCCATACAGCTTCCTTGATGATCCTGGTATCGACAAAAACTGTCGCCTGCAATACAACATTGTCGTTTCTTCTTGCAACTTCCGCATGGCAAAATACCAGGATTTAGTCAACTTTGCGGTTTTCTGCCACGCGATAGCGAGTTATGGAGTCGATGAGACTCGCAAGATGTGTAGGACAAAGCTCGAATGACCCAATTCCGTCTTAAATTCCAGCCATTATGATGCGATACGACGAAATTTCGCTGTCATTATTCTGTACGATACTCACAAAAAAGCCTTGTTCTACTCAAACAATGACAATCTACGGCCTGAAGAGCCTGAAGATGATCTTTTCACTCGTCCCTACCAGGGTTTAATCGTGGCTCGCCCCAAATCCATGGTGAGACTGAAAGCGAAGAAATTTGAGCACGTATTCGAGTTCATCGATCGAGTGGCTGTCTTGGTCACTGGGCAGATGATTGCATGCGCCAGGAAGTATCTCCGGCGGCAGAAAGCGATATCAGATGAGAGAAAACAGGAGCCATGTTCCTTGACGTTGTGGGTGAGGTACTGGCTCACCTTGCTCGCAGAGACGAGACGTCCTCGCGCCAGATTGTAGCCTATAATTTACAGTGTCTATGCACACACGGTCTGAGATCGTTCGCCAGTCAAACAAAACTGACAGTGGTCCGAATGCACCGCTGCTGGGTACTACCTCTGGCGGCTCAGGATTGGACCTTGCTGGGGGATCCTGGGTCATTGTCTGTGAGCCCTGGTGGGCGACAGGCTTGCATCAACAGGTCATAGTTCGTTGCCATCGAATGCCACGGTCAAAGCAGGTTGTGGCATACAGAGTTCTGGCTAATGGGTCCGTAATTGTCATGTGGAAGTTGTCAAGCATCGAAAAGCAGGCAGAATTCGTCAACGGCGTGGAGGCCTGGTCTATAAGAAGGCTTCAGAGCCCATGCCTCGAGGCATTGTTTCATGTTAAAATAGAATATACCCTGAGAGGCTACCACAAATGGGATGAATCGATACCATGGTATTGACACCATTTGCAACGGATCATGCATCCGCCGTGCACCTCCCAGCTTAAAATCATGGACTGGAAGTGGTGGGTAAATTTTGGCCGACAAGGCAACATCATGTACTTGGAACAAGCGAAAGAATGGTGAGCTGTAACTGGTGAGTGATGCATGGCTAAAACACTTTGGAATTCTCTGTCGGTTTCATAGGCGTTGTTTAGGGGCCACAATGAGGTCGCTAAGGAATCTTCACCTGATCTGCCACCTGTGAACTTAGATAGAAAGTACTGACTATGACATGTGCGGCAATATGACAGGTCTCTATTCTTAAATCATGATCGTGACATCTGGAATCTCAGATTGATCATTCCTCTCCCCTCAGAGAAGTGTCCTTTGGCTGGTCGAGAGCCCATAGACTCATAGCACCAAGCCTCAGTACCATCTCATTCCATTACATTGATCCCATCATGCTGCATTCATACCCATCAAAGCAGCCAATTTCCGTCTTCAGACTTATTTCTTGCCAGAGTTGGACGAGTGAGTGTAGCCACTGGGAGACGTGTAGGTTGAGCTACCTTGACCATCGTTGTGGTAAGTGCTTCCATTGGGGTTGGAGTAATAGTAGGAGCCATCTCTGGATAGAATGTTAGCACTTGATATGCATCTTGGTCAGTTCACGCCTACGTGTTGGAGTAATGATAAGAGTTCGAGTTGGAGGCACTAGCACCGTAGTCCCGGGAGCAATAGTGGTTTCCCTAAGACATGTTAGCAGTGACACGAATAGGTGTGTAGATGATGGGTCTAACCTGGCTGTTGGTGCCAGAGTTCTTGGTGGTGTAGTCCTTAGGCATGTTTACTCGTTTGACGAACAAGAAGATGGAGTGGTTTCGTTGCTCTGAGGTTCTTGTGAGAGTTACTATCGAAAGTTCAAAAGAGTTTCAGTTCCGGGAAAGTTAGCCTTTTATAGTGAGGGGGATTAGTCCCAAACGATGCCATGTCGTATTCACATGTTTAGTTATCTCTTGTGATGATTTCATTGGTGGTTTGCCTATTGCAACTACTAAAGAGAGACAAGCGAGGAAATCGTATACCCTTTTGTAGTTGAAGTTGCTAAGGAAGCTCGACCTGGGTTGGTTGATGTTAGCAATTGAGTTTCTCGTTAATTAGCGTCAATAGCTCACAACAAGGAAACAGGATATTGCTAGTGGAACACAAGGTGAATTCTATACAGACCATAAAGCATAAACAACAAAGGGATTAAAGTTTATGCGTGCTTACTGCTAAACCGGAAATTCCGGTCTGACCTGGGTTTGTGATATGCATAGGGTAAGTCAACATCTGTGAAGTCAAACTTGGCATTTGAGGTACAAACAAGATTGTCTCATTGGCTATTCCCTCGTACATCCCGCAGAATTGTATGCAGTTAGGTCATCTTCGCAGTAGTTCTAAGTTGGTGTATGTCATTTGGTCCGGGTGCAGTTTCACGCCGTATGTTTGCTTTGTAAGTGATGTCTTGCGATCTGCTTCCTTGGAATCGCCACAAGATTCTGAATCACGCACATATATAAAGTGAACAAGTTCGCTTCTTTTCCTGTAAAGATTTGGAATAGCTATCAAACTATATAGAAGCTTATTTGCTGAACCAAAAACTTCGTCTCATAACTTAACAATAGTGAACACCGCGATGGCACCCAAAGTTTTGCTGTAAGTGCCAATCATACATCACTTTGTACAATATGTGGTCATTAAGAAAACTAACTTGTCCTTCTAGTACTGGAGTCACTGGTAAGAATGGTACCGCAAGCGAAATTTGTCCAAACTGACACTTGCCAACAGGCTTCGTTGGAGGAACTGCCTTTTCCAAGATACACGATGCCCACCCGGATTATGACTATACCCTGTATATTCGTAGCGAGAATCGTGCAAAGATCATCTCGGAGAAGTACCCCAAGGTCAAATTCGTGTATGGAGACCTTGCGAGCACCGATGTGATCGAGAAGGCGGCATCTGAAGCTGACGTGGTTGTTCGTAAGTTCAGCATACCTCAAGAATGAGGGGAGAACTATGACTTACACTTGCGAATAGATACGGGAGACTCTGCAGACTCACTCCCAGCGGCAAAGGCAATCGCAAAAGGTCTTGCCTCTGGCCATTCGGCAGAAAATCCGGGATACTACATCCATCTTTCAGGAGCAGGTATCCTGACCTGGTATGATCTCAAGAATCAGCGCTATGGTGAACCACCTCTGCCAGAGCAGAATTACCATGACGTCAACGACATTGACCGGATTCTCAACCTTCCTGATGAAGCGATCCACAAGGATGTTGACAATGCTGTCCAGAGTATCGACTCAGATGTCGTCAAGTTCCTCATTGTATCACCTGGTGTTATCCACGGAACTGGTCTCGGGTTGTTCAATACGACTAGCATGACAGTTCCCGGCTTGGCTCGAGCAACATTTGATCTTGGCTACACCCCTTTCGTTGGAGCTGGAAAGGCAAAATGGGACTATGTTCATGTGGAGGACCTTGCAGACTTTTTCAATAAAGCTATCGAAGCAACCCAGAATCCCTCCAAGAAAGAAGACCCTGAGATATGGGGTAAGGAAGGGTACTACTTTGTCAGTGGCGGTGAACACCAATGGAAAGACCTCGCAACCTGGGTTGCCGACGAGGTTCATCGCCAAGGGTATATACCTGAGTCTAGGACCCAGTCTGTTAAATTCGAAGATGTAATCAAGCAGGGCTATAAGGCTGGAATTGCGTGGGCCATCAACTCGAAAGGAGAAGCGGAGAGAGCGAGGAAGTTCCTGGGATGGGAGCCCAAGGCCCCGTCTCTTAAAGACACAATTCCTGACTCTGTGACTTGGGAGGCTGAGATTCTCGATCTGAAGCCTAAGTACAAATGAGACATAGGACGGACGACAATTGATTGTAACTTGGTACCGATTTTTGGGCCGAAGTGTCTTAGCGAAAGGAAAAAAGAAAAAGGAAAAAAACTGTGTGCTGGATGATGTCTGGGAAGATGTCGTGGTCCACCACTTTCATGCTGGAAAATATGAAGCTATTCGCAGAATTTACGAAGATTTATTAAGTACAATTAACAGAATTGCACTTGAGAATGACTTCCACCACAGTTGCAATGCCTTGCCATACCAGTTCTCAAAAGATGCTAGGGCTTTGATCTCCCTTCATCGTCTTATCTCATATTGGTCATCAATACCGCAGGTCTATCTATTGGCCACCATTCTGAACCGACAAGCATAATCTCAGATTTAGGAGTATTTCTTGTCACGTATTAGCACACGTTCATTAGCATCTTCGTTGTAACCTGGCACAGTCTTATAGCCTGAGATGTGTCTCCCGAGGCATCACGTGAGGCTCCTTTATGTCATGTCGTAGACTGATCAACCGTCTTGAAAGTGTATTCCTCGAAGCAACCACTGCTTCATATCTAGCTCAAAGCTTAGCCGAATAATGCTTATGTCTCGAAAAGCCATCTCTGTTACCAAGTTCCACA